AACAAAACCAAGTGGAAAAAACGGTTCCTTATAAACCTGGATTAATACAAGCTTATTCATGATCTAAATTATCAACTGATCGCTGGTTAGCTTCCTCCAGGACTGCTAATGCTACTTTTTCAATTTTTTTTAGACAGCTACGAAGAAAAAGAATCGTGCAGCCAAAGGATAGAGTGCTAGCTACCACTGAACCTACAACCGGAATAAAACGAACGATTTCTTCCGCAGCAACTCCTGTGGCAGCTTCTTTTGCAAATAATGAGAGGATGCTGGCCTTTGAGGAAAACATGAGATGCATGTCAACAATCGCCTTTTGGGTGACATAACTTACCATCTCAAATATTTTGGACCCTTCCAAAGGAATACCAAGCTGGGCTATGTACTCCCTAATCTCATTGAATATGAGAGCGGCATCGACGGCAATAGATAACCCAGAAACTGGAATCGCCGCGACTCCACCAGATGCTGCCGCAACAAGGATCATCCGCCCATAGAGAATCTGAACTTTTCTCTTTAAGATATCTTTTGACAAGCTGGTTAGGGCATTGAGAGACATGGTGAGTGCCTCTCGCTTATATCTCGGCAATGCATCAAGAATCGCTTCGGTGAGTTGACTGAAATCCCACTTTTCCGGATCATGGTTGCTTATCAGGAAGATGTCGTTTTCACCACTGATGGGGTTGCCGGCCTCGTCAACCAGATTTTCCTTACAGTTGCGGCGGATTTTCAGCAACACTTCATATTCGTTGAAAGATTTCTTTCGCTTTTCTGCTCGAACAGCTTCATCTATTTTTGTGCGAATGAAAAAAAAAGACTTCTCTTGTTTCTTGATCTCTTGGGCCAATATGATGTCGTTCTCGGTAAATCGATTGCTTGCAAAAATAAGATATGTATGATATTTATCCAGCTGTACTTTTTGGCGGTACGTTACCAGGTCAGGGTGATTTCGAGTTCCAATTCCTGGTAGATCCCAAAACTTTACGTTTGGATATTTTGGGTGAATATAGAGTGTAGGCTCTTTGGTGCATTCCTTGACATCAACCTGGGCAGCGCCATCATCATCTTCATAAAGACTTAAAAAGAAACAGACGATTTAATTTGTTACCAATCATTTTCTCTGAAATATCTTTTACCACCTGATAATTCATTTTTTCAGTTTACGCAAATGATTTTGTGAGATTTGTCTGCATATTTTGTTCCTAATTCATGAGCAGCTTCATTTACGTACTGATATCATGATAATTTGACTCTCAAAGGGTTCACTTTTATCTCGGAACATCGGGTTTTTGAGTTACGATGTTACCGGCGATATCAATGTTTTTACAAGGATCATCAGACTACCAATAATTGTTTGTCTCCTTAAGAAAGTTTCACAGACACACCAAAAAAAACGATCATGTCTTGATCTGTCGGCACATAAATGTCGTTTCCTATATGTGTTTTGGAAAGAAAAAGGAATTTGATCTCTCGACAGGTCACAGTATTGATAAACAACATATGCATAAGAGGCAGAAGCTACAAAAGCTCGCTAATACTTTCATTTGCCTAAATGAACCACATGAATTTCAAGAAAACAGAAGGTTTTAGTTGGTCGGGAGAGCGTCTAAAGCGATATGAATATGAATGAATTTCCCTTGGAATTACGGGATCATTTCGTCGTTGAAAGTGAAAATGAAAGTGAAAATTTATTAAAGACAGATGTTACAACCATGAAGCGTCTTCAGCGTATTCTCTTAATCTCTCTTCTCTATTTAGTGTCATAAGAAAAGGTGAGTTTCGGTCACAAAAAACTGCTCACTAAAAGACTTCATAGCGGCGGTGACGGGAAAGTGAAATATATATATAGAGAGTACGTAACTCGATGACGTGACACACTGAGAAGAGTCGACTTCGTTGGCTTCCTTAATCTCTCTTCTCTATTTAGTGTTATTACACACGAGAATACTTACTCCCGTAACACGTTGATAAAACTCGATTTTCCAGCTCCTGAATCGCCAGTGATACCAATATCCACATCCTCCTTTTTCCAACTCTCCAAGCGCTTCTTGACGAACTCATCAATACCCGACACACCATGTTCCTTTACATGTTTCTTAATCTCCTCACCGTTTCTTGCCTCCCAATAGCTCATTGCCTCGGAAAGTTGGCCAAAGCTATCTGATCAGTAGATAATTTCAATGAAAAATCTTCGCTTTAACAAGACGAAACAGTGTCGCAGAAGAGTAACTCCGTCTGGTAATTGAGGGAAGCTTCATCTTTTAAAATCGGGTGACACCCCAAAGGTTGATTGGTCAATTCGAAGTGACCTGCCAATCATACCATCACGGAACTTTTGTCTGATTGTTTGCTTAATGCCATCTGTATCGAGTTTCCTTACTGCGCGCGGCCGTTAAATGATGGTAAACAAAGATGGCTGCTGATGGGGAGGCTTTCCATGGTCCCTCTTCGATCGTTCGTTCGAGAATTTCTATGATATTTGGAGGTTTTTTTAATCATAAATGGCGGGAAAAGGTTCTGCAAGGGGCGTTCAAATTGGCGGGAGTCTTTTTCTTTTAAGGTTTGAGGAAGAGCAAAGGCACCCAACACGGCCTTTGTCGAAATACTGAGTTCTCTCTTTAACTTACCTTTCGCAAAGTTATGTTTCGTAGTAAATGTGCACACTGCGAAAAAACTCGTTCTAAAACAAGATATATTGGCTGGGAGGGCTCATACGGGTGTATCAAATGTTATAATAAACTGCGAAGGGAACAAGGTTACAACAGCAACTCTTGGTCATGAAGAACGTTCAACAGCCGAGAGAGGTAAGCTTTAATTTGCAAAACTTGTTTGTTTTGTGCGTTGTTATTTCTTTGTTTGCTTGTTTGTTTTGTTTTTTGCGAACCATTTTTTCTTTCTGTGTTGTCGCTTTTTATTCACAGTCAGTGAATTACCAACCGACCCCAGCTGAAGCGTAAACTCCCGTGGCTCTTCAGAGACTCCTAAGGACAAGTTTCTTCGCAACAGGTTGGTTATCTTCGGGATTGATGAAATAAATTATTACATTTAATTGACGCCTAAACATTGTCTCGGCACTTTCTCAGTGTTTTATTTAAATTTAAATTTTAATGTCACGTAATCTGCTCTATGAACGAATATTATCGTCACCGTAAGTTAAATATTGGAATTGTCAATAAGCTTAAGATGGGAAAAAGAAAAGACTCTACGCACTTTAAATTGAAAGACCTGTTTCCATTTGAGTTAAGGAAAACCCTCTCTAATCACCTTTGCGTCAGATTTTTCTCATCAAGTAACCTGACTGTGCCTCAGGTCAATTGCCTAAGGGTTTAGGGCCCGTTTACATGGAGTTGTGGGACCCCAGGTAGGTGAGGTAACCCGTCTAGCCGTGGTCGAAAAATAAAACGCGTTTACATGTAATCTTACAACCCCAGGGTGCTGGGGTGAGGTTTCTTGAGATTGTTGTTGCGCTTGCAGTTAAGGAGTTTAAGCAGATCGAGGTGTCCCAAGCTCGCATCTCAAAAAAGACAAAAGATTAACTCTTGAACACATATGTACTTATTCATGAAAGCGTCACACGTTGTTACGCGGTGTTTGGTTTTGCAAGGAACCGTTTACTTAATGCGTTATACGGAATAGTTTGGGAAACCAAATATGGTCGATTTACAACGCTAAATATTCCGAAATGTGAACATTTTACACTCCTTTTGTGTCCATTGCAGTTTCTGGTGATTTCTGCCATGAGCTGGCTAGGAAATGTAAAAAGTTTTAAAATATACATGTTCTGCTTTTGAGCTTTTTGCCATGAATGCGACCCCAGCTAGGCAGGTTACCCCACCTTGACACATTTACATGGCAAATTGTCACCCCTGCTTACAAGGTTACCCTACCTGGCAGACCAGGCAACCCGCCTAGGTGGGTCACCTCACCTATCATGTAAATATGATCAAAATAAAATAAGAAATTATATGGAGAGGCAGGTTACCTCACCTACCCAGGGTCCCCCACCTCCATGTAAAGAGGCCTTTAGTCTTCTTAAGGTGGACCCTGTCACAGGAGAGAAAAATAGGGGCCATAAAGGTGTATGTGACTACTGCTTAGAAAGTGAAAACTACAAATAGTAGAACTGGTGTAAATATGTGGTAATGTGCATAAGAATGCATGCAAGTAGTTGGAATAAGGGATTGTTGGTTTTTTATGGGGTAGTGGGGCTGGCAGGATTTGATAGATAGTCAGTGTAATGAATTGTGGTTGTTCCACCCGAAGTCAATTGCCGTAGAATGGAAGTCAATCCACTCAACAAATAAACAGTGCACCAAATTACAAAGATTAAACTGTTAATCCATTCTTTTGATTTCTTTTAGTAATGTTTGTAGATATTTGTAGACTGTGTTATCAAAACAACAGCTCATTCAACTGCTAGAATATTGAACTTCTTTGGAACTTCTGTGATCAAAAGTCAGTATACAACTCAGCAAAAATATTAAACCATTCATGTTGTGTTTCATCACAAAAACTTGTATACATTAGTTTTATTTAAGATACTATGTTAAAGAACTCTACACAACACATAGATAAGACAACATATACATTGGGTGGAATGACTTCAAGGTTCGGGCGGAAAGTTCTCGGGTGGTTTGACTCTAGGTCGGAACAACTGGATACCAGTGTAATTTATGATGACCTCCTACTGGTTTATCAGAAATTTTTCAGCTGGTTCACTCCTTTTAAAGCCAAATTTTTGGGCAGGTTCCCCTCCTCTTTCTCCTAAATTAAGTTGTTGTATTGACAAAGAAGAAGATTGAAACAACAACTTTGTGAGATCTACTTAACACAAGTTGCTATATTGTTAGTTTGTATTATCTATAAGTCACATGAACAAACCAAAATTGAATACATTGGTTTTTGGTTTGTTCCAACTAGTATTAACAAGGTGAAGAAACAAAACTTAATGAAACACAAGTTACTACAGTAATGCACGCAACTAGGTTTTACAGTATATACTGTGATGTTAGCAAAAATGTTTTTTGAAAAGCAGGGAAGTTACATGTTTGTAGCAATCCTCAGTATTACTTTGGATGTTGTGTTGTATGTGAACTTTACTGTTGGAAGACTGAACAAACTTTCTGTGATCATTTCCTCAGTTATCGTTGGCATGAGGCTTTCTTTGTTTTGAATGGCTAGTACTTGCTTAACAGCTAGGCTCCTCAAAAAGTGTTAGTCTACTGGACCAGTACTTAGGCATACCAGTGTTTAAATGAAGGTTTAAGTTTTTGTTTTAACTCTTTAACTCCCATGAGTGACCAAGACAGAACTTCTCCTTACAATATCAATACAATATTAAGCAGACAAGTGATGGGAATAACGAAAATTATAAGTTAAGGGAATATAAATTGATCCAATACCAAATTCTCCAAACAAGCATCATGAGAACTGTATGGCAGACAGTAAGGAGAATTACAAATGAGATCTTGGGAGTTAAAGGGTTAAGTGGCAATTTTTGCACTCTAAATATATTGCTGCAGTAGATTGTTCTAGTTTTCTTGTTGCACTTAAAGCAAGAGAAATATGAGTTTATGGTAGTGATTCCCAATATTTCTCCCTCGATGGTTGTGGATACAAATTGTGTGGTATCTTGAGTTAGTGGCATAGCTAAGACCTCAGTAAAATCTTGTGTGAGCTTTACTTCTGTTCCATATTTAGCAGTGTTCAAATAAATGTTGTAGTGATATTTGTCCTTTCTTACTGTTACATTATGGGACACGTATGTACGGTTGTTTTCTACTTGGTTAATAAAATTCTCCCACGATACCATTCTGACTGAAGCTGTAGGGTCAAGCAGGGTACAGTTCACAAGAGTTAAATCTCCTGCCTTTTCCTCTTTGGACATGTTGGTAACTTTGGCCTTTAAACATTGATTTGACTGATGAAAGCATGGTTGAAGATTGAATCTCTGATCTGGAGAGTCAAGTTGTGGATAGTGTTGAACTATGACAGTATCTCCCATCAACATATCATTGGTGTTTGAAGAGGTGTCCGCATTGAACTTTTTGACTCTTATGGAGCTCTTCTTTCCACTGTAATCAGTGAAAATCTTGTGCTTTCTTGGTGAAAAGCACACTACTCTAGTTATTGTTTGTAATTGGCATTCAAAGAACTTTTTGTTATACACAGGAGAAACATGTATGTAACCAACAAATTCAACACTGGTGCTGTTAGTACATGTAGCTGGTTTTGAGTGATGGTCCATGAATGAAAAAGAAAAAAAAAAGTTATTGAATTATCTGTAAATAGATTGACTTGCAATGACTATCAATAAACAAAGAAGTATTGCTGATTAGTAAATACAGGATGCTATATTAATAAAATCATTTACAATATAATGAATTAAATAGTGGATGTTTACCTGACAGTGACTGTGAGAGGACAGGGAGGGGCACATGGATTGGAACATTATTAAACATCTCAAAATTTTTGTAGTCATTATATTATATACTAGTCTTTCAGTATTCATCATATTACATCTAGGTATGCTTGTATCATTCTTTTTGTAACATACAAGAAAAGTTTACAGTGAAGTTATGTTTCTGTATTGAAACAGTTAATTAATGCACATATTGATTTGTGGTCTGAAAATATGTTTTTAATATGTGTAATTGTGCCTGAGATTCTGGCAAACTTGTATAAATGTGGTCTATAGCTGTTTTGTTGTCGGTGGTACACAAAGATACTAATTACCTGTCATTATTCTCTGTAATTATATAGTTAAACTCTATATGTTTCATTTAGCCAGTTTAGATTAAAATCTCCAGTGAAAACATTGTACTGTGTTAAAGTACTTGTCTTAATGCGATACACAATTGTGTTATTGGCACTTTAAGTGATCGATATACACCAATAATGGTGACATGAGGTAGATGCATTTCATTATAGTCATCTCAAGACCATTCCTATTAAAACAGTAAAGATTACCAGGATTGAATGGATCCTGTTGTAGACAACTGTACCTGCAAAAGGTCTTGTAGTGTTATTAGACTGACCAATATTTCTAAGCGAACTATATCCATCAATGGTATAAATGCTATCGTTATCTGAATTAGTGAATCTAGTTTCTGAAAAAAAGCTGATATCAGTGCTTGAGTAGTTGAGATCTTTACACATATCTTCTATAATGACCTTGCATTGAGGTAACATATTTTTAGAGGAATTGAACTTACGGTATAAAGATGTAAGACTGATAGTTTAAGCTGACCTGAATAACTTAACTGTTTCATTTCAGTCTGTACATCAGGACTGAAAGCCATTTTATTTCACAAAGATTAGTTACATGTAATCCCCAAGACCTACATAATGTATGTGAGGAATATTGCCCTTGTAGTATCAAAGTTAACAACTATTCTACTCTCAGTATCACCTTGAGACCTGTGAATGGTTCTAGCAGCAACAGGCCTCAAAGGGAATTGCTTCCTTACAACCTGAGCTGTTCTATTTCTACCTACAAGAAATTGTGTGGTAATTGGTTTGATAGGTGTCCAAGTAGATTGTATACCCTTTGTGTACAAGTGCTTATTCTCATGTCTATATAGTTTTCTCTCCTACATCAGCATGATCAAACTGTACCCATATTATACCAGATGGTTTGTCTCTCTCATGTAATTGTACCTTTTTAACTACATTACAGGCACCATTTGTCATGCAATCTTCAGTTCTTACATTCATAGTTGATTCTGTTCTTTCACCTTCAGCTAGATGAAGCTTTGAGACAATTTTTTTTGTTTTTCTAAGGTCATCAGGTATCTGCTTCATAATTTTATCTCTAAGCTCTGAAGAGTTTGCTCCTACTACACTGTCGTGTGATTTGATAATATACTTTTCACCTGTTGCTGCTTGTTGAACCTTTTCATTGAAATTATTGTTTTGTATTAAAAGATGAGGAATATCTATTAATGAGTTAAGTGTACTGTTTTCATTAAAAATTCTTTCTTTGAGTTCATCATTTGTATGGATGCCTTCTCTTAATCTGTTCAAGATTTCAGAAAATACTTTTCTTTCTCTTTGTCTCATAATTTCATGGAGTTCAAACATTTTGAAATGCTTTTGCCAAAGGTTTGGAGCAAGAATGCTGTATTCTGAGGTGTCTCTATCTTTAAATACATACCCATCCATAACAGGCTGAAGTTGGAATAAATCACCAATAGTAATTATACTGACACCTCCAAAGTCATCTTTACTGCCTTTAATATCTTTAAGTCTATTGTTGATTTTAACATTTAACATTGTATTTCCTACCATTGATATCTCATCGATATATATGAGTTTTGCACCTCTTAGCTGACACCTGGGAGTGTTCAGTCTACTAGAATCAAATGATTTATAGTCGTTTAGAGATTGACGGGCTGGTATTGCAAGAGCACTATGTATTGTGTATCCCTTTTGATATTATAGGCTGCTTTACCAGTAGGAGCTAACAATAAAACTTTTACTTGATGAAAATCATCACCAGCTCTGGTGTTATAGTATTTTAATGCAGCCTGATACAAGGCTTTGGTACCATGTGATTTACAAACACCAGCTCCTCCACTTAGAAAAAAGTAGAATGGATTATGGGATGTTTTCATAAGATGTAAAACATGATATAAGAACTCCTTTTGTTCCTTATTTAGTGTCTGGACGATGTGTCAGTATTCATCATCTGGTGCTTCATTTAATATAAGTTGTTCCGTATTAGTTGTATTAGATGGAATGCTTTTATCTTCAGAAAGATCATAGCTCTTGGTTAAATCGGGGTGCAAATCTTGTGCACCTTCAGCCTCATCCTGAAGTTCTGTATTCTGAGCATTGGGTATGATCATATCAAAACTGCCATCATTCTCTTCCATGTTACCAAATTGTTCTTCAATCTCATTCAAGTCTTCACTACAAACTGCGTACAGTTCCATTTGCTCATCTATTTTGGCTTTTAGAAGCAAATATTATTCTTGGTATGAAGAACAATTGCCGATCAAGTCAGTATTCTCATTTCTCCAGGACGTGAAAAGCAGGATTAGCTCTCGATAATGTTTTTCAGGGTCTGCCACCTTATTAAAACCAACACTTCTAATAATTCTTGCTTTTGAACACCTTTTATTCTTTTGACATTTAAATTCAGATTGGTAAGTTCCATTAGGATCATGCGGTGGCCCACAACTGTCACGGCAAAACAAAAAGTCACGGCACTACAAACTTAACTCACGGCAAAACAAAATTAACTCACGGCAAAACAAAATTAACTCACGGCAAAACAAAATTAACTCACGGCAAAACAAAATTAACTCACGGCAAAACAAAATTAACTCACGGCAAAACAGAGAAAACGGATTGGTCAGCGGTTGTTATTCGAATCTGAAATTGTACGTCGTGTAACAGTAAACGGAATGGCGACCTTTGTTGTTAAGAATAGTGGTGGGGTGAAAAAGAAGCCAATGATGATCTTAAAAGAGTTTATATTTTTTCGTTTTAGTTTCAACAAGCGGCGCCAGCGACTGGCAGGCGTGCGAGGATTCACAATGAAATAAGAGAACAACCTTTGTTTTTCGTAAAATTGTAATTTACAGTCCTTGAACTTGAAAACAATCCGAAGATTCATTAAAATTATCACTTACTCTGAAGCGCTCAGAGTTTACAGGTGTTCAAAAGCTTTTTCTGTTATGGCGTGAGATTGGGAACAAAATCGATCACTACATTTCGTATCGTGCGTTTTTTCTGTGTGAAGCAACAAAAGCTGCCGGCGACTAACGAAATTACAGGTTAACACGAAAATCAAATAACACCTAAACAAATAATTTTGGCTACCGATTTTTAGTGAATTTTAAAAGAACAATTTTCTTTTAAGTTTCAAGACAATTTGAAGATTCAAAATAAATATTACGTACTAAAATGCGAAAGTTATACACCACAAAATTGACAAATAGGCCTGAAATGAAATAATATCTTGTTCTCGATTATACGTTGCCTAGCACGTGACCAAAATCTACCCAGGCGGAAATCCAAAATGACGGTAGCAGTCTGGGCTTAGTTATATCACTCAAAACTCGCTACCGTTTGTCTCATTTGATAAAGAGGGAATCACTAATGTTTTCATTAAGACAGTATTGTCTTGATTTTCCAATATTTACAATGATAGAGAGTAAATTTTACTTTTCACCCACATTTACTTCCAACCTTTTCTTTTGAACCAGAAACAAAAATGATATATGTTTAAAACACATGACATCATCCACCCTTGTCAAATATAATAGCATGATTGTTTCAATTGTAATGCCTTCTCATCCCAACGTTACTTTGTTTCTTTGCTACATTAGCCAACACTGAACTACTGCTCGTACTCTAAATATGACAATCAACTGCAAAATTCCCTAAACCAGATAACATTAAAACGTAATCCAAATCTGTCATCTGTTAATTCACGAGTATACTCACAGAGCACTTTGATTCGAGCTCACGATGTTTTGCTCCGCGTGTGGTTCGGTAGTAGATGAAGATACAAACTATTGTAAAAGCTGTGGTAGAGGTACGTTTCTTAATTTAAAGTGTTCGTATTTGCATTTCTTTTAGTTCCAAATAATAATTTGGCGTGAGAAGACACTGCTACAAATTAGCTGATTAGCACGTGTCTGGAATAAGATTGTGCATGTAGCCTGTGTGTAAGAAGAAAACATTCATAATGTTTGTGCCTTGATGAATTGAGGATTTTGAGCAAAAGAGCGATTGAGAGGCGAAGGGGATTTAAGAGAGTACATAGGAAAACACACCCTTAAGCAGCTATCTGATCGATGCGAGATACATACCACTCTACACGCCCTCGTAGAGTTATTATCTCAAAAATGGTGTCGGATAATCTTTTGACCTTTTCCTAGAAAAAGTTTCACGGAATTATGCATGCAGTTTCCTTAGTTAAATTGGCAGGTGGTTTTAATTTAATTTAGCGGCTAAGTTAAATTATAGATTCAGTTGATAAAAGCAAATGATATGTTCCAGTTATCACCTTTTTAAACGAGTACTAATAAAGTGACAATTAAGTGATTGTTGCAATCACCCACAGGGAATGACGGGATGGTCACTAAATAAAAGTTGACCACAGAGTAGGAGTACTGTAAAAACCGATAAAAACCATGTTTTACCATAACTGACCACTTATTGTCCTAACACTCACCCAGAAACTACTAACACTAATTTTGGGAGATAATGATAGCGCAAATTTTCTTTATCCAAGAAAAGAAACTGAACACTCAATCTGATTAAATTAACCCTAAAACCCCCATGAGTGACCAAGACATAATTTCTCCTTACAATATCAATAAAATATCAACCAGGTAAGTGATGAGAATAAAGAAAAACTTTGGGGATTATTAGTTGATCCAATACTAAATTCTCTGAACTAACATTATAAGAATTATATGGTTAACAATAAGGAGAGTTACAAATTTGATGCAGGAGTTAAAGAGTTAAAGCAAAATTATTTAGTACTTAATTAAAACTCCACACCAGTTCTACATTGTAGAGTTTTGAATCTCTTGCAACGAGACTTTCATATGCACTCTTACTATATAAAGATCTCAAAGGAATTTGAAAACGATGAACGAGTCATCGAGAAGTCATTCAATATTATTATTGCTGCTGTTTATTCTTAATCATTTGTCCAAAACCTCTGTTATTTTAAAGATTATTCTTAGTTTTATTTCAGTGGTTGCCTCCAAGTGACCCTTCAATACAAGTGGCGAACAATACAAACAAACCGTTGGGATTTTGTAAAGGGTGACCACGACCGCTTGATAGAGGTGACAGCTTAACAGAGGTGAAAATTACAGTACTTAAGAGGAAAAAATTTCGGGACTTGATCGCTTAATGCAGTGTCGCTTAATCAGGTTCGAATATATTTTGTTGTGTGATTTAGTAATCAGTCACTGGAGTCATAATTAGGCGAAGGCGGTGATTACTAAATCACACAGCGAAATACATTTCGAACCTGATTAAGCGGCACTGCATTAACATTAGATTGTTGTTGTCTTAGTACTCTTGCTAGGGCCTGCGCTTTAGGTTCTTCTCTGCATGTATAATGAAAAACCAGTGATAGATTCATGAATAAAGGGGGAAAGTTTCTAAAGAAACTGTGGTGTTGCGTCGGTGGGAGAGTATAACAAGATAATTTGGTTTTATCAACTGAGCTGATCAATCAAATCGAATCATTTGGTCTTACGAAGGGCTAATGCTCGAAGCGTCAGCTTAGAAACTCTTTACGGTGGCCAATCTACATTTTAAACTCAATTGATAAAACCAAATTATCCAGTGTCAGATTCACCTGAGTGTCGACAGCTGCTTATCGACGAGACTTTATTCTTTCGATTCGCCCACATTTTCTGACCTTTTCCAAGGAAATTTTCCATCCATCTTAATGAGATTGGCAGGTCGCTTCGAATTGACCAATCAAACTTTAGGATGTCATGCGCTTTAGAAGATAGAGCTTCCCACAATTTACAGAAGAAGTTACTGTTCTGCGACACTGCTTCGTCATTTTAGCGCGAAGATTTTTCAGCGTTGATGAAATTATCATGCAATGAGCGATTGGGAGGCAAGAAACGCTGAGGAGATTAAAGAGCATATAAAGAGAAATGGTCTATTGGGTATTGATGAACTCTTCAAGGAGCAATTGGAGAGATGGAAGAAGGAGGAAGTGAATATTGGTATCACTGGCAACTCAGCAGCTGGAAAATCGAGTTTTATCAACGCGATACGGGATTAAGTATTCTCGTATGTAATAACACTAAATAGAGAAGAGAAATTAAGGAAGCCAACGAAGTCTACTCTTCTCAGTGTGCCACGCCATCGAGTTACCTACTCTTTACATATTACACTTTCCCGTCACCGCCGCTATGAAGTCTTTTAGTGAGTAGTTTTTTGTGGCTTTTCAGCGAAATTCACCTTTTCTTATGATACGCTGAAGGCGCTTCATGGTTGTAACATTTGTTTTTAATACATTTTCACTTTCATTTTCACTTTCAACGACGAAATGATCCCGTAATTCCAAGGGAATTTCATTCATATTCATGTCGCTTTAGACGCTCTCCCGACCAACTACTAAAACCTTCTGTTTTCTTCAAATTCATGTGGTTCATTTAGGCAAATGAAAGTATTAGCGAGCTTTTGTAGCTTCTGCCTCTTATGCATATGTTGTTTATCAATACTGTGACCTGTCGAGAGATCAAATTCCGTTTGCTTTCCAAAACAAATATAGGAAACGACATTTATGTGCCGACAGATCAAGACATGATCGTTTTTTTTTTGTGTCTGTGAAACTTTCTTAAGGAGACAAAAATTATTGGTAGTCTGATGATCCTTGTAAAAACATTGATATCGCCAGTAACATCGTAACTCAAAAACCTGATGTTCCGAGATAAAAGCGAAACCTTTGGGAGTCAAATCATCATGATATCAGTACGTAAATGAAGCTGCTCATGAATTAGGAACAAAATATGTAGACAAATCTCACAAAAACATTTGCGTAAACTGAAAAAAATGATTTATCAGGTGGTAAAAGATATTTCAGAAAAAATGACTGGTAACAAAGTAAATCATCTGTTACTTTTTAAGGCCTAATGACGATGATGATGGCGCTGCACTGGTTGATGTCAATGAATGCACCACAGAGCCTAAATCTTATTATCACCCAAAATATCCAAACGTAAAGTTTTGGGATCTACCAGGTATTGGAACTCCAAATAACCCTGACCTGGAAACGTACCGCCAAAAAGTACAGCTGGATAATTATCATACATTCCTTATTTTTGCAAGTGCCGATTTACTGAGAAGGACATCATATTGGCCCAAGATATCAAGAAACAGGGGAAGCCCTTTTTTTCATCCGCACAAAAATAGATGAAGATGTGGGATTTTGTTCGACTTACCGAAGCGATTCTTGATGCATTGCTAAGCCAAGAGAGAGACACTCACCATGTCTCTCAATACCCTAACCAGCTTGTCAAAAGGTATCCTGAAGAGAAAAGTTGCGATTTTCAAGGGGCGGATGATCTTAGTTGCAGGATTATCTGCTGGGGCCGCTGCGGCTCCAGTTCCCGGGCTATCTATAGCTGTTGATGCCGTTCTCATATTCAAAGAAATTAGAGAGTACAAAGCCCAGCTTGGTATTCCTTTGGAAGGGTCCAAAATATTTGAGGCGGTAAGTTTCGTCACCCAAAAGGCGATTGCCGAAATCCATCTCCAGTTTTCCTCTTTGACCAAAATCCTCTCAAGACGCTGCCGCAGGACTTGCCGCGGAAGAAATGGCTCGTTTTCTTCCGATAGTAGGTTCAGTAATAGCTGGCACTCTATCCTTTGGCTGTCTGAAAAAAATTGAAAAAGTAGCATTAGATGTCCTGGAGGAAGTTAGCCAGTTAGCCAGTTAGCCAGTTAGCCTAAACTTAAAAGTTTAGATCGTGAATAACCTTGTATTAATCCAGGTTTATAAGGAACCATTTTTTGCTCTTGGTTTTGTTTGATGAGTTGTTGTCAGTATAGAAACCCTGATTGAAATACTTGCAACGAAAGATCGAATTGCCCTGCAAATTCCCAAAAAGGTAGTTTAACTGAGTTACCTTCCTTTTCCTCGAACGGACGGAAATTTGACGCATTGTTCTTCATCTAACTAATTTTTGTAATATTTACAAGAAGTTCAGAACTATCTGTTGGCCTTACAAACTGTGTTCGATAATATTAACAGTAATACTAGTATTAAAGAGGATTTGGTAAGTCCCTCCATGAAGCTAAAAACCTGCAAAAACTTCGGTTTTTATTGACTATAGAAAAGTATGTTTTAGGTAACACTGAAAATATTAACTGTTTAAAGGTTAGTATATTGATAGGACACTGATTTTGATAAAAACAGTTTTGTAACCGAGTCTTAGTAAAGTGAATAGCGTTATATGAATAAAACTAGCTGTTTAAGATGTTCAGTTATTGTTTAAAAAACCACTAACCTGAAGCTCTCTCCAACCAACGTCTCGTGTCGTAGAACTTTTAAGAGGTATCCATTCCAGGAAGTGACTACAGGCGAAAAACCTAAACTCAGGGGATTTTCCAGTGTGGTGAAAAGAAACAAACAAAACAAAGAATATACAGATAATAAGCTCTTAGAAATACAAACAATTTGTTGCTGTAACAAGCATTTTATGACGTATATTAGGGAGTCAAATCAACAGACCTGTCATCACATTCCGCAGTGAAACGACTCGCGATGGCCCTTCTTCGCCAGAAAACAGCCAAAAAAAAAAAACAAAAAAAAACAGGTCTGTTCTTCAGGCTATAATTAGTGCTAAGATGCGGGCGTTTCCAGGTGGATGCATATTTCTTAGGCAACAGTTGAACTATATTTTAAGTTTCGCGCCAGAAAATAATTGCGCTTTTGATTCCTGTCTGCACGAATGATGCCAAACTTTTCATATTTTTTCCTGACTGACGAAGGTGGCTAATCGACCAGTTGCTTTATTTCTTCCTCAAAATGAGCCTTCTGTTCTGAGTTTTTCCGAGAAAATCATCAGCGAAATTATGCATGTGGTTTCCGCAAGATGATTCGCGGGTCCCTTCAAAGTGACGTGTCAGTTTCTTCTATACCCTACGCTTTAAACGCAGAAAGCCTCTTACAATGCACTTAAATTATTTGACCAATGAAGTACAACTGTGCTTTATACCGCAGTTTTCTGTTGATCGATTGCTATGGCTGTCTTTCCCGAGTAAGGCAGTAAACGTGGAGGAGATTAAAGAGTACATAGGAACACATACCCTTATACAGCTATATGATTGGTGCAAGATACATACTCTAATACGGTGATTTGATCGGTTCGAACAACATACTACTCTACACGCTCATAGAGTTATTAACTAAAAACTGGCGTGTCGGATAATCTTTTGACTTTTCCTAGAAAGTTTCTCACGGACTTATGCATGAAGTGTCCTCGGTATAATTGACAGGTGGCGTTAATTTAGTTGACCATACTACTTTCCAATCCCTTACTGGCTCGGAAAAGTCGGTCATAGCTATCGATCATTTAGATAATTACGATGAAAAACTTTTGTGAATGATGATGACGCATTGTCGCAGAACAGCTATTCCTTCTGAGCTTTGTGGGAAACTTTGTCTTATAAAATGGTTGGAAAAGGTCAAAAGATTATTCAGTGATACCCATGTTTTCTTCCACCCCCTTCCATCTCTCCTACCGCCTCTTGAAGAATTTTGCCATATCCGACATACCAGCAAAAATTTACCTAATTACACCCCCCTTCCTCCCACATAGAAATATTTTACAATCAACTCGATGGATAAAAAATTAAATCATCTGTTACTTTTTAAGGCTTAATGACGATAATGATGGTGCTGCCCCGGTTGATGTCAATTTTACTAAGGCTCCACAAGGGCTTAAACCCAACATGAGTTGACGTCGACTCGCATTTTGCATGCGCATTTAGCCCATCATATGACCATATATATGTCAATCATCATACAGCCTGAAAACGATAAATGACATGCAAGCTTTAATTTCAGCTAGTGGAACCAAATTCACGATTCTCTCTTCATGATAAAACTTACTTTTTCTGTCGCGCCAAGCCAATAAAACCTCACTAATCTTTACCGAATGGTACATATTTTTAAAATCAATCGTTTGAGTTGCTGACCTGTCGATGATGGGTTTTTTAAGTATCACTCCAGCCATCTTCTAAAAGAATAAAACCACACGGTTTGTCGAAGATTTTTCTCTGCTAAAATAATCTCAGAATTGTCAATCGCTCTAGCGAAGGGCTGACGCTCGAAACGTCAGTTTTAAAACTCTTTACGGTGGCCAATTTACGTTATCAACTCGGTTAATGATTCTAAATTACCCTGTTTAATTTTTTTATCAGAGGGTACGGTAACGAATCCTGCAATCTCATTGGTTCTTTACCCGGTCAGTATTTTCCTATCTCTGCCCACGGGTAACAGTAACGCTTTCGTGAGTCGCCGAGTACATCCCTACATTCGTAGCCATTTTTCTCAAATATATCTTTTTTTAACGGCTAGGCAGTATTTTTAAGCAAAGTCGTCGGTCACTACCACAAGCAGATAAATAACTTATTAATCCTCTCTTTTCTCTCTCTCAAATCACTTTGGTTGACAGAAAAATTTTGGTTTTCAGAATGACTTTTTTGTACAAGGAAGAGTGTCATTACGTTGGTTGAAAAGCGGCCTAAAAACCGTCTGCAATTAATTTACAGCCCTAAATAATTCGGGTTCTTTCGGAAAGAATTTCGTTAAGTTAAAAATAAAATAAATATGTTATTTGCCGGCTAAAGGTCGGTCCGTATGATGAAAAACTGTGACCTCGATCTTGAAAATGCTACCCTTGGCTTACGGTCACAGTTTTTCACCATACGGACCTCCCAGCCGGCAAATAATATATGTATACTCTCCCACCGACGCAGCACCACAGTTTCTAGAGATAGAGTTTTAGAGATACCCTCTCTAATGATAGTATCAGCCGATCGACGAGATCATAGTTAGTAGAGGAGACTGGTTATGAAAGTCGACAATCTTCAAAGCGCGAACTAACTATGACGAGATGTTGCTTCAACTCCTCGCCGAAACTTAGCTAACTTTTTCTTCATAGAGGCTGTTAAACTGATGCTTGTCGACTTCAAAATGTGGCACATTGATAAAACAAGTCAGCAATTACTTAAATCCTAAGGAAATTCCGTTTTTTAGTTCTCTGTTTCTGATTTCCATTCCGTTGAAAAACAAGTTTGAGTGGTGTGAATGGGTGGTTCTAACGCCAGTTTCGCGCCAAACAAAGCGTCATTACAGATGGCCCGTTTCGTAATAAACCACGTGACTTACAGATTGCGCGGCTTTATAGTATGACATGGCGGCCATGAAGCATTGGACCTTTACGTAACACAAATTTGACAGTTTTTTTTGCATGCCATTTTGGTGAATTAATCCAAGTCAAACGGAGAAACCTTAAGTAGCTTTCAATGTAATCAGCTTCTTTCTCCTTTCGAGAAAAAAATCCAAAAGTTCCTTATTTTAGTGTGCTGATCACAAGACTCTTCTGAGCTACGGAGAAAACTGTCTCGATCGGTGAACTTTCTAAAATACAGCAGCTTTAAATCAGAACAAAGTCAGGTTAGTTGACGAACCTAATACACAGAGGCGAAGATAAAATGACAGATTGCAGCGATCTGGACAGGTAAGCTTTCGTTTGTGGATGACACGTTGTTTACACTATATTCATGAGGTATATATTTCGGTAACTTTCCGACTTGTACTGTCTTCAAGAACGCTTTGATCACTCACATCTTGAGACATTTAAATCTTTGGAGTGCCTTTCAATTGAGTTAATATTCGTGGACCCCCTTTTCTGCTGCAGACAAATTGACAAGCTGAGGCGATGCGAACTTATTACAGAGAAAGAAGTGAAGCAGTTGTGTGCTAAAGCAAGGTTTGTATACTATATTTTGCAGTGATTTCATTTTCTCTTAATTTTATGATTTCGTTCGCTTGGAGTAGAAAGGAGAATGAAAGTTTTTGGAAGTCAGGTTGTCTGTTGGAACTTGTTCCCAGACCTACATCCTGTAGCCTTTTGCCCTCATTTAGGAAATAATTTAGACAAGAGATTCGAGGGAGCAATAAACGGAAATAGCAAATGAAACTTGTCCATGCGTGCTTCCAGAAAGTATTAATTTCCCTACAAATTAACCTTCCTGTCCATTAGTGTGTAAGAATGAATGTTTTCCTCACGATATCCAGTTACTTTTAAACAGAGAGGTGATGAAAAGTAGGAAAATTGTATATGAGGGGTTTTCCTTGGATTTCACACAAAATTCTCAGATAAAGAATTGAAAGAAATGTTTTGTGAACTTGTTGAGAATTGATGTTTAGATGTGGGGAGTGAAAGAGTTGAAGGACTAGACCACCCCCCTTCTGGGCCAGAATATCCATTCTTACTTCCAGCCCCTCAAATACACTTAAATTTAATGTCAGGAAGTTTGTAAATGCTGTAACAGGCTGTATTTGTTTTTCTTAAATTGATCATAACATCTCATGCAAGGAACTACTCTCTGGACAATTTCCTTAACCCTTTAGCTCCCAAAAGTGATTAACATGGAACTTTTTCCTATAATATCCACACATTATCCTGCAAATAGGTATTGAGAAAACTCCAACTTAACAGGTTGAAGTTGTTATCTTGATCTAACACTTACTTCTCATAACTGATTTACAAGAAAATGTGCTAGATAGGAGAATTTACAGTCAGATCTTGCAAGTTAAAGGGTAAACAGCCAGCTGAGAAAATTATGGTAGCTGCTTGTCAATTGACTCCGTTTTCATGTATATTCAGTTGTGTTGAGGGCTGGTTAAGGTGGTTATTAAAATCAAACTTTTGTTATTATTCAAATTGCTTTTGAATATATTTTTTTTATCACTGAATACAAGTAATCTCCAACACAGAGAGTTACTGAGTTACCTAGTAAGTACATGTATGGCTTTGATTAATTTCTTACTTCCATCACAGGGAAATCCTGGTTGAAGAATCGAATGTCCAAAGGGTGGACTCTCCAGTCACTGTAAGTTCTTGTGGTTGTTTACTGTGTAGTGTGGTACTAGTACTCTTAAAATTTGTCATAATTTACATGTTTTCATTGTCTGTGAAAGATTGTTTATTTTAAACTTACTTTTGTGTGGCTTAGTAAAGTTTCTTTTTAAACTGATTCTGAGGTATTGAATCATAACAATAAGTACACTCTTCATACATTTTCACCAATACTACTGCAATGAATTTATAGCTGAGAAAATGTGTTTTGTTTTTTTTCCAAGGTATGTGGTGACATTCATGGACAATTTTATGACTTAAAAGAACTTTTTAAGGTACACAATTAATTTTGATTGCATTATGTGGTGTTTTGCTCATCAAAGCTAGGAAAGTATTAGACAACATCTCCTTGGTCAGGAAAACCATGATTTTTTTCCTTATTTTTTCCACACTAATCTACATGATTCAAACTAGTTTTGTTACAATAGCCTTGTGACATTTAATTGATATTTGTTATTCTTCTTATTTCATTGTTGTTACTATTTCTATTTTTATTGTTACAGTTTTGACAAAAAAAGATAACATCTCCCTGAATTTTACCAATTATTTTTTGTTGAAGCTGTTGTTTTGTCAGTACTTTTTTTTTCATATGTTTAATGAATCAATCCCCAGTAAAGTCCACTGAAACTCATAATTTTCCTGAAATTATTAGTCTAAGAACTACAGTACTAACAAATAGTGGGATTTGATTTTCTTCAGTTCTTTTGTTATCTGTTTAGACCTGGGTTTCATGTAGGTACATGCAGTGACTAAGTGAGCACTACAATGTATAACATATTAAAGCTGTGATGCTTTGAAGGAGTTAGCCAAAAAATATTTTGTCAGTTGTTTAGAAAATGTGCAGATTACAATTGATATCTGAATCTCTTTTCATAGGTTGGAGGTGATGTGCCAGACACAAATTACCTTTTTATGGGAGACTTTGTGGACAGAGGATTTTACAGTGTAGAAACATTTCTATTACTTTTAGCTTTAAAGGTGGATAATAATGCTTAAATTTGAAAACAATTATCTGATCTCATTTCTTAGAGAAGTTGTCATTATGTCACAGTTTACAGAATATTGACTCTGTTTCTCCTTCTTGAAGGTACGATATCCTGACAGAATAACATTAATCAGAGGAAACCATGAGAGTAGGCAGATAACACAGGTTTGTTGACATTGGTCATTAATATTAAGATTAAACCACAGGATGAACTTTTAATAAGAATTTCTTCAGGTTTATTAGTAAATCTTATCATGTAATTTTGCCTTATAACAAACAAGTCATTAGTGAAATGCATCACCTTTCATCCAATTTATGTTATCTTTAGGTTTATGGGTTCTATGATGAATGCTTAAAGAAATATGGCTCAATAACAGTGTGGAGATATTGCACAGAAATATTTGACTATCTTAGTTTGTCGGCAATCATTGATGATAGGGTGAGTGTGTTCTTTACTTGCTGTAACACATTTGCTGCTTTGTAGCTTATTGAAATAGTTTAAAATTGAATTTTTGTTCTGTTGTTAGACTGTCTCTTATTTCAGTGCCACATATGGACTTGTTTATGTAAAACATCTTTTTGCTGTTTTGATTGATCTAGTGTACAAAGTGAAACAAATTGTAAGTTTCCTTACATACTAATATACTGTTTATTTCCATAATCTTACAGAAATCATCTTTTAATTTTCCCAGATTTTTTGTGTTCATGGTGGTCTTTCTCCATCCATTACTACCTTAGATCAGGTAACAAATAAATTGGTTCTACCTACACACCCAAGCTGTTTTTCAGAAATTTTACTATCTTTAGAAAAGTGACATATGAGTTTTTCACCAGATAAGGGCAATTGACCGCAAGCAGGAAGTACCACATGATGGCCCCATGTGTGATTTGCTTTGGTCAGACCCAGAAGGTATTCACTCTGATCTTTTACTTTGTATACCTTGTTACACAGTTTTGGCAGTATAAACCTTAGCTCTTTTTGGAATTTTTTTGTTTGAAGGTAGACAACATACCAAGTAAGAAGCACTAACTTTGAATCTTTGAAATAAAGCCTAGTTGGTGTCATTATAATAGTAGGGGTACATGAAATAACACCTGGGGTGACTATAGATAGATTCCTAGATTCTCCCTACAAATTCCCTTGTGTTCCTTTGTGAAATAGAAGGAGAAGTAGATGTTTATCCAAAGTAAGCAAGTAATTGAGCAAGTAGTCTTAATTTAACAAGGGTGACATCAGACAATAAAAAACCTGGTGAACTCATGGCTCTCAGGGTTTAACTCCACACAGCCATCCCTTCAATTATTATCTTTACCTTTTTGACTAATGTTGCTTTCTTGCATGTTTCTTCATTAGATACACAAGGTTGGGGAGTAAGTCCTAGAGGTGCTGGATATCTGTTTGGCAGTGATGTTGTCACTCAGGTACAGTAGCCCCTGTATTTGTAGTCCTATTTATGTTTGCCTTTGTGTTACTTCTTAGATGTCACAGTTACTGTAAACAGTGACGCATATGTTGTGGTGAATTTCCATCCCTTTGTATTTTTACAGCACATCTGTTAACATGTGGGGATTATGCTGGCTTTAAAAGTATAAGATATAGTAGTTTTAGAGACAATTTACATTTCTGGGTACTGCCTTTGTCCATAGGAAAAATTAAATAAAACATCTCTGCAGGTCGTCCTTCAGTAGTATTTTTAAAGGTTGAAAATCTCTGTTCTGGCCAATCAAGGGCATCACTATGGATAATAAGGATATTAAATAAAATATTTCAACTTTCCTTTCATTTCTGAGCTAATTTGTGTACTTTCAAACTACTGCACTCCAGCGTAATTTGATGTGATTTGTACCATTAATCGGTCAGTTAGGACTCTTCTTTATTTGCTTCTAATCAACTTCTCATTGTTTAGTTTAATGCAGCAAATGACATTGACTTGATCTGTCGAGCTCATCAGCTGGTGATGGAAGGATACAAGTGGCATTTTAATGAGACAGTCCTCACTGTTTGGTCAGCGCCAAACTATTGCTACAGGTACAGGACATAGATAGTGCCTTTTAGTCACCATGTGTGGGGGATACTCTCTTTATGCCAGCTGAATTAAAACAACTGATGCACATTGGAAGCAAAATAAGTATATTCAAAATAAATGATCAGTTTTTTCATGGGCAATAATAAAAAACAATGGGTGATAAATAATTGAAGGTAAATGAGAGAAAAGGGAATGGAAAGATACTCAAGGTCTGACTATGTTTTACTACCAGTGAACTACATCAGTTTTAAGTGCTTTTAAAAGAGGAACATTTTACAACAATCACTGTGATTGGGAATAAAAGGTCAGACAGCTGTCACACCAACACAACAGGTTTCATTAACTTACCCATCAGCTACTTACACTAATTTTTTTTTAACGAAACTGTAATTGTATATTCAGGAGAAAAATTGAAAATTATCATTTTCTCAAAGGTGTGGGAATGTTGCAGCAATATTAGAACTGGATGAGCATTTAAAAAGAGAATTCACAATATTTGAAGCAGCTCCTCAGGTAAGTATTAAAAGATCAATGACAAAGGTTATCTCAGCTAGACATAAATTATGAAAGTGAACAGTTCAGTATTTTACAAAAGGAAAAGAAATCCATCATACATTTTATTATGGTGGGGAATTTATCAGCAACAAAACAAACAGCCATGTGTAATGATAATGTAGAAAAGTTTTGAAATTTACTACAGCAACAAACATTTGAGTAACAGTTAAATAAATTTTACGTGTCTATTTAATTGAAATTCTTAGTCTGTCTAGTCAAATCAAACTCAAGCATATCTACATGGACATTCTAGGGCAGAAACATCACTTTATTTCTTTTTTTTTTTTTTTTACTCATAGGAGGTGAGAGGTATGCCAACCATTGCCAAAAAGCCTCAACCCGACTATTTTCTCTGAAGCTGTTTGTTTCCACTACAGCTGATCAACTGTGAACTACACCATATATAATGATTGGCAGGAACAGTAATTTTTATATCAGTCTTGTATATCAGTCACATATGTTAGAGGATTAATTTATTGAAATAATTACTCAATTTTTGTTTGCTCATACTTCTGGAGTTAACATAGAATTGTATGTGGAGTAAATTATACGACAGCTATCTTTGTATTTCTCATGGAGAACTGAGCACAGAATCCAACCCTTTCACTCCCAAGATGTATATACCAATTCTCCAAACTGTTTGCCATACCTTGCCTGCCTATAATCTTTGTGAGATAAACTAACATCCCCTTGTTGCTGATTTTTTCTTTAATTCTTGTCACTGTTCTGCTTGAAAATGTCTTTACAATGTAGGGACAGATTCAAATCAGTTTTTTTTTCTTGGGAGTGCAAGGGTGTAACTCTCAGAGCCTGTTGAACAGATCAGAAAGGAATCAAAGCAGACCTTTGAGAATACTGGTGTCATTCAACTGCGTAGAAACATAGCTTAATGTAGTTTACCATGGGATAAAATCACTGTTCTCTTAAGTTATCTTAAATTTACTGTTAGGGTATGATCCTCAATAGTTTAACTTAGTTATTGGGATTTTGGAAAACTTGAGTAGGTATTACTTAATAATTTAACCACAACTGTCTAGTGGGGAATTCAGCATGTAGCTGTTAACTTTCAGATCAATATTTAAACCAAGTTCAAAGCTTGTTAATTTAGGTTTTCTAGGAAATGGTTCCTTTATTTGGTGGGAAACAGCCTTTGGAGGTGAAACTATGGTGCCTTTCTGTGAATATATTATTTACTACTCTAAAATTTAACTTCAGTTTCTTCTTTGTTTACTTCATGAAAAATGAAGTGCAACTTCTGTAATAACCATTTCCCAGTACAAGTTTTAAATGTGATCCAAAAGTGTTTGTGATGAAGGAAGTCCAAGCAAGTTAAATGTGTTGATGTGAATAACATGAATAAACTTGTGTTATGGGCATGTTGGTCACACAAGCGCAATTTGTTAAAGTCTTTTGATAAAGTGTGCTCATAGACTGAGTGGGAGGGTTGGATGTTAAATTTTTAGAAAATTTGTGGAAGGTCATGATATAAAAACAAGTGCAGGGGGGTGTACTTCATGACCAAGATTGAAATAAATCTTGTCTCCCCAAACATAACTCAGTCAATAACCATATTAACTGCTGCTCTTTCTCTTTCTTCTTTCTGTCAGCATCTCATGGGGCTGTACACCTTTTTTTGGCCTTTCTCATGCTATTGTGTATGGTCCTTTAATGGGGATTTTTGTCTAGGGTTTTTCAAGGAAAACACCTCGGGAAGTAGTGTGGATATGATAAATGGTAAAACCAGTTAATTTTGAGCTAATTTTCTCTTGTCTTATTATGAGAAGAGTTTTAGAATTATTCATGTTGTAATTTACTGTAAACTATATCACTTATATCTATAAAATCTTTTATTTAACACAAATCTCTGGTGTCACTTGCTCTGGTTCTATTTTGTCTAGTCCCTTCTCATACTTGAGGGATGATTTCCTGGGGAAACGTTTGTGCAAATAGAGGACAGGTTGAAAAATCTCTAAAGATTAAAGCCTGCAAACACATTACACCTACTTTATTGTGAGAGCTGACCACTTGCAGGAGTGGATTTGGAAAGTAGTGAAGGCCATTCTCTCAGAGTTGGTACTCTTGTAAACTTTAAAAGTTGTATAACTTTCAGTTACCTTTTTCAGGACTTTTTATTTTTGCGTGGTCAACAACTAAGCCGTTACACCCTATCAGCAGCATCTATTTTCTCCTTACACTTCTCTTTACATTTCCTTGGTACTGATAAGGAGAATTTTTGTAACAATCAAAGCTTCTTTTAAGTGTAGGTTTGAGATTATTTCCTTTGTTATTGTAACTTAATGTTTGATTAAGGGGTGATATTTGTTGGGAGAAATCATATGGTTATCACTCTCGGGGTTTAGAGGATAAATTGGGTTTCAAAAGAGAGAAATAATCCTTTAGTCAAGATATTCCTAGCTATGTTCTCAGAAATATCCCTTTCAGTCTCTCTTTTTTTTTTTTTGTGGCATTCCACTCTTAAGAATGATTATCTTGAATTCAATGACTTTCCAGGTTTTCTATGACCCATTTAAACCCTGTCTGTGCCAGTGACTTTCATGGTATGGGAGCAAACATGAATGATAGATTGCCACATAGAAAGACATTCCTTCAAAAGAAATATGTTTATTTACAAACAAAAAAACAAACAAATGAAACCAGTACAACTCAAAATTAAAATAAAATATCAGACTTGAAAATACACTCTTAGATAGGGAAGATATTGGAAAGATACTAGAAAAATATGCCTGCCAGTTTCATACATAGATGATTTATAAATCCTTCACCCTTTAACTCCCAAGATCTGATTGTCAATTCTCCCCTCCAGCTGCTACACATTTTCTTGTAAATAAGTCACAAGAATTTGGTGTTAGATCAAGACTACTAACTTCTACCTGATAAGTTTGAGTATTCTCATCACATGTTGGTTGGATTATGTGTGGATGTTACAGGGAGAAGTTACATGTTAATCACTTATGGGAGTTAAAGGGTTAAACAAGAAAATGATGAAATCACCAAACAAACACTTATTACACAGCTAGAACAAATTTTACTAGACACAAAACCACTACTTTAAATTTCAAATCAACAATGAACTACAGATTAATGATGTTTTAAGACATTTTAGTTTAGATCAGTAAGAAAGTAGTCCTTGCTTTCAGTTCAACAGGGAAATAGCGAATAAATTACACATTCATCAAAACATTAAAAGCGAGCTCTTTACCATGTTATGGCCAAAATTGCACTAGGTTGTCTTTGCATTACCAAAATATTTGGACTGTAGAATTATTACATTCTTTTTTTTTTTTAATAAAACTGAAGATCTGTTGTTAGCTGGTACTCCCATGACTGACTAAACCAGGGTTTTTTTCCTAAATATCCAAGAACATTTCTTTACCAGTCATTTAATCGACATTACTTCAAATCTATGGATGGGAATTTGTAAACCAGAAAGTTAAATATATAATAGTAATGATTCTTTCATCACACAAGGCTTTGGCCAGTTTGTTGTAATCTAAGTTTGTCAACAATGGCGCTAAAGTTGCAACTAGTTTGTGAGTTGAGTATGAGTTGATCTACAAAAAAAAAGAATCATACTTTAGGACATAACATTTATGAGCCATCACTGTTAGAAACAGTCTCCTGGGGTTTCATCACATCTGGCAATTCAGGTGGGGTGGAATGAGGAGCGATCACAACTGGTTCAAACTCTCCATCTGAAACACAGGGATAACAAGGTATTTAGCTTAATCAACATCCATAGCCTCATAATATTCAATGTTTCATTTATTTCATCTTATTTACTCACACGCACTTCAGACATTGCTGATCCCAACAGCATGCACAACCCATGTCACATATGGAACTAGTAATGGCAAAACTCAACACAGAGTTCACTGTAGCTCAGTGGTTGAGCATCAGAACATGAAATCTCAAGGTCTAGGGTTTGATTCCTTTTGGAAGGGAGGGATAGGCCAGGTTCAATCCCATTTTTTCATTATTTGTTTTCTATAATTTCTTAAATCACAGTTTACCCCATGGATTAAGCAGCTCTTCATCATCCAAAGATCAAAATGTGATTAGTTTTAAGTGTAATTTGCAATCTTCAGCATTTGCTCTTTCAAGTGCCCATAACCTTCAGAAAAACTGTAGCAATGTAGACATAAGTTATATATACTAAAATCCAATCTCTGTTAACCCTTTGAGTCCCATAACCAATCAACATCTCAACTTTCCTTGTAATTTTAACACAACACTTAGCAGCCAGGCAATAAGAATTCTACATTTTATTGCCTAGAGAATTATTTTTTGAAATTTTTACCAGAAAACGCTTTGGAGAGGTAAAAAATAACTCAATTACAGGATAAATCAAAGAGTTAAAAAATCACTAGATCATATTGTAATTCAAAGTCAACCTATCATTTCACTTAGAAGCAAGATTCCAGTTATATTTGTTGGACAAAGATGAATGATCTATGGTCAAATGAAAACAAATATTGTAGAAATTGTCCTTGTCCCTAAAGTTATCTCTGAGATCTTCTCTGATCATCAGAATCGTCAAAGAGAAAGATACTGGACTGTTGATAATAGTGAGTAGTTGTACTTCCTTTCGTAATTTTCCTTGTCCACAAAAAAATAAAACAAAAAGCTTTATTTCCCTCCTAAAAATTAATTAACGAAATTTTGAAAAGGTGACCGTCAATAACGGACTCATTGTATGTATCGAAGTTAAAAGTTGACAATAAGTTAAGGACGATGATCACTCGAAAGCTATATACTAATCACTTCAACAAACATGATAAGCACGATGTCTATGCAAATCTGTCAACGAACAGATCCCGGAATAACAAATAACAAGTATACAGTTAACACTCATCAATCATTAATATCGCTATAAGTTTCAGGACAACTAAATTTTGTACATTATCAACCAACGCACCTTCTCCTCTGAATGACAAGCTAATCAATGCCGGAGTTTGAGCTTTCGCGGTTTGGGTTGTAAAACCACAATCCTCCAGAGTTTTCGTATCATCCAGGACTTGATCATCTTTGTACAGCCTCTGATCTTCTGGAGCCTTCTTTAAGATGCCTTCGACCATTTTCTTTAGCTCGTAGACAGTTGTGGCTTCCTTACAATCAAGGAAGATTGTTGTCTTTTCACGACGCACCATCACAAAAATCTCCTATAAATCATAAACATTATAACTTATATCAACATCATTAGAAGTATATGATGTTATTTTACTTCTTATGGTTCTAGTACTGTAGAATCGCTTTCCATTAAGCGAACAAATCGAGGAGAAATATTTCTTTCTACTTACCATGATGGCGGTCGACATTGAGTCTACCCCCAGTATGCCTCCGCGGAAAAAACCCGCCGCGCTATTCCCCAGTGTACCGTGACGTATCAGCGTGAGACCCGTGAAAACATTGCAACAGAAAACAAGATGGCGACTTCGAATGAGGATGTAAACGATAGAACCTCTGCTGCTGGGGCCTCTAATAGCGAACAATCAAGTGCTAATGCAAATTTTGAATGTAACATTTGTCTCGACACCGCGAAAGATGCAGTTATCAGTTTCTGTGGACATTTATTTTGGTAAGAATGTTGTTTGGGTGTATTTGCTGATGTGTAATAAGTATTGGTACTTTATATTCAGTTCTTTTTCCTCTTTTTATTCCCCTTTCGCTAACTGTTACACCGTAAAAAACTGAGAAATCTATTTTTCTCCCTTACAGCTGGCCATGTCTTCACAAGGTGAGTAACATAACTTTCAATTAAACCGTGTAAATTAAGTTATTTTTGGGAGAAAAGTAATTAATAATACTTTCCGTGAGCTGTGAATCACGCCGTCTTCACGTCGATTCTGGCAAATTTTCATGCCTTTTTCATGTTAAAACAGTGTGCTGATAGTATTTTACTTTCGCTCCATACTTAGAAACAAGTTAAAATAGACATTTCATATCATTATATATTGGAAAAGTTGCAACTTGATTTATTCATGTGGATAGTTGTTACTCCTGTATAGTTCAATTTACACCCACAACACTGAACTTGGCAGTCAACAGTCAATCTTTCGATATTAGCATACATCAAAATTGCTTCATTTGATTTTGTGAGCCTAAGGCTCGAGAAAAAAATGTCCTCAGGACTGTGGTATTGAAAAAAATCAAAAGGAACAATCCTTGGAATCACTATTTGCAAACTGATTGGGGTGAGTTTCAAAGGAATGTTAACTGCTTGTCTCCTAATGGTATACTATGGCCATGGTACTAAGCCAATCAGCTGTTGTCTGAGCAGGGTAATTTAGTGTTATTGACTAAGTTGATAATGTAAATTGGCCACCATGAAGGGTATCAAAACTGACAATTTGAGCGTCAGCCATTCTCCAGAGCGAATGACAAAGGGCCAATGTCAAAACGTTAACTTTGAAACTCTTTATGGTAGCCAATTTAGGTTATAAACTCGGTTGATAATACTAAATTACCCTGTTATAGTCTCCCACCGACCCAAAACCACAGTTTTTTTAGAAACTTACCCCCTTCATTGTGTAGTTTGAGCACCAGTATTGATTTTAAAAGTGAAGTGGATTAGTTGCTTGGTTCTTAACTGCTTCTTGTCAATTTGATCAACTTCACTCAGAAACTTTGGATTTGACCTTCTTAAGCTATTCTAAATCATGAACATTTGTATGATAGTGTAGTTTGATCATTCAGATGAGTGTTGTCCTTAGAAGGACTGTTGTCGGTAGTGGTGACTGACATTTTGACAACCTGAGAGGAATTCATGATAAAAATGTGTCTTAAAATATGGTACAAGGAAAAATCTGAGTTTCTTTTTGAGAATTTGAACTATATTCCTTCAGATTTCACAGTCTAATGTGCTACTACCGAGATTCATAGAATATGGTGATGAATTTGGCTGAAACTAAGTTCACAACAAACTCTTCATCTTATAAGCAATGACCAAGTTCAAAATTCACCATCTTTCTTGATCTTCCCACAACTAATAGGTTTTTGATTTACTGACGACGTGATATTCTCCTTTTTTGTTTTTCAGTGGCTAGAAACGCGGCCTAACAAATCAGTGTGCCCAGTTTGCAAGGCAGGTATTAGCAAAGATAAAGTCATTCCACTGTATGGTAGAGGAAGCACTAATCAGGAAGACCCCAGGTAAACTTGGACCCCAGAGTCCAAACCTTTCACTCCCAAGATGGTAGTAGTAATTATCCAAGCTGTCTGCCATACTTTTCTTCAAAGTTAGTATGTCAGTGCGACTGGCAGAAACCTCACAACTAGACTGACTGAATACAAATGAGCGATGAGGAAAGGTCTTGTCAACAATCACATTACTGAACATCACAGACTCATGAACCACACTATTGACTTGGACTCTGCACAATGCCTCAGAGAATTTAGTGACATAAAAAAATATACCTTTGTAGATATTTCTCTTCTCTCCTATCCCATCTCTGTGGGACATTGTGCTGATATTGTGTGGGGAAATTACTTTTTAGTCATTCGAGATAGGGACTGAAAGCATTAAACATACCCTTTATGTAAATTAGTTAACTTTTTATTGCCTCTTTTTATTATTCTGTACACCAAAGTGGAGTTACTTGACATAAGCTGTGAACCATCATGCTCACTTGACTGCCCTAAAAACAACTGTCATTAAAATGTTAGCTTGTAGCTCTCAATTCAATATTTGGTAACATTATACTAAGTAATTTCATTCAATAACATCACTATGTTTAACCTTTTAAAGAGAGAAAATGCCACCAAGACCTCAGGGAAGAAGACCAGAACCAGAAAATAATGGAGTAAGTACATCTACATTGAATTCAAGTAGTAGAACTTTATTTTCTAGGTTCTAGCCCTCCATATGTTTTGATGAAAACCTTGAATAGAGTGGGATACCAATTCATAAACAGATGGTAGAGACCAAAATTACACAGTACAGTCTAAAAATGGACAATAGTGACCAAAATCAGATAGTCCTCTCCAAAAACAGACACTACAGTCCAAAATGGGAGTCTTCATTCTGAGAGCAGAAGGTAGTGTCTAAAATTGGATGGTGGTGTCCAAAAGCAGAGACTGTTATAAACCCAAAAAGTATTGTTATTAGAGACAAGTGTCTGAAATAGTATGTTATCATCTGAAAATTGAATGCCATGGTAAAAAATCAAAGAAAGTCATTGATTTTCTTTCAATTGAAAATAAATCCAAAAAATATGTATGAATCTAATACATGTACACTCTGGACACTCCCACTAACTAAGAAGAGCACATATAGTACATGTATGCGGGTAATTGTATTTATAAATTATTTAGAGAAAACAGAATGAGCAATTTTATAGTCCTACACAGTGATCATTTTAAATATGCATGTTGATAGCATTTTTTGGGGTGCTTCTGTTGGAAAAGGGACGGGAGGGTACCATCAGCTGTCCAAAATCAAAACTCTTGTCTTCAAAATCAGACTTGAGTACCAGAAAACAATTGGAATCATTGAAGTTGGAGGCACTGTCTAAAGGCAGACAGAAGAATGTAAAAACAATTACTTGTGTCCAAAGTGTGGCAGTACCGTCCAAAAATGGAAGCAAATTCCCAAATTCAGATGGTACCATCTGTAATAGGGAAACAAGTGTCTAATATCGAATTAAATCATGTATGATTTGTAAATTTGAGTGTTGGATGTGATTTTTCAGGGCTTCCCAGGCTTTGGTGGATTTGGTGATGGATTTCAACTTTCATTTGGTATTGGTGCATTCCCATTTGCCTTCTTCTCAACGGTAAGCCTTGCCTCATTTAATTTGAGACAGTACTTGTTTTCATCTTTTTGCCGCATCAATATTAATGATCAAATAAAATTGCTTGATTATTTAATTATTAATTGCAGACATTTGGTGGCCAAGGACAGACTGCAGGTGGGTTGTCGTATAATTGTTATAAAATGCATTATCTTAATTCAGGCAGAAGCGTATTTTAAAATTATCAGAACATACGTGGCTTGTTGTAACCAACCTTGGACCCAGCAGAAAGAAGTTTCTTCTAAAGAAAATTTGGCAAATGATACACCACAAAAATTAACTACCATTCGCCCAAAGCATAATATTCCAACCAAGGCTTTCACTAATTTGAACCAAATTGTTGATCAGAAGGTAGTTGATGACTTAAAGTGAATAACATGTGTTTCCCTCTCCTGTGATCACCACTTCCCTACTTCAATGTTATTTACATGTATATTTGATGATTCATTAATCAATATCTTTTGTTAACAGCACCACCAGGATCACCTCAAGCAGAGGATGAGCAGTTTCTTTCCAAGCTGTTCCTTTGGGTTGCATTCTTGTTTATGTTTTGGCTTCTAATTGCATGATCGTTATGTAGCATATCCTTGTATTTAGTGGTAAGAGAGCAAGTTCAAGTCTCCTGAGCCAAATATCAGTGTCAATAGAAAATAGGAAAGAGCTATGTAGAGTGACCTGAACAGATTACACATAGACAGATGGATGGTAACTGACATCTTTGTTGAATGTGTTTCTCCAAAAAAGGTTCATGGGTCACCCTTGACTAAATCTAGGTGTGTTTTATTTTTATGTTTTTATTTTGCAGATAAACTAGAAAGAAAGCAACCTCATTACTCTGTTACAATGTGTACCTGTTAGGTTATAGTGAATTATATACTATTAAACTCTATGTTGTGGAGGGAAATTATATCAAGTTACATAGTGATGAAGGTCAAATAGTGTGCACTAAAGGGTTACAAACGAGATATAACATAATTACTGTGATAGCTCTTTCAAGTGTTAAGTGTGAGTGAATTAAATGCCATGAAATGCTGGCAACGTATCTCACGTTATATAGTGATGAAGGTTGACAAGTAGGAAATCAACATGGAAAGATAACAGGATTACTGTGATAGGTCTTTTCAGTGTTCAGTTTGACATACCATGTGTATTTTGATGAAGAGACAAATTGACACAAATCTAATAGTTATTACATAGCAGTAAAGGTTCCTCAAAAGAGCAGGGAATTTTACTGGTGGATACCACAGATTCATAGTGAAATAACTGCATATTAAGTGCTTATAGACTGATGTTGTTATTTAACCAACTGACAGACTTGAAAGCAGACAATTGGAATGCACTAAAATTAGCTGAACTTTTTCTGACAATTGTCTAACAGTTCTTATGAAAAAGCTGTACTTCAGCTACCACAGATACAAATAGAATAAAGTTTTTAATGGATCTAAGTTTGTGGTATGTTTAAGAGGACAAGTTTGGTATGGTCTGTAACAGAAAAAACCAATATTCAGAGGGGATTTTCTAGGCCTACGAAAGACCCTAGACTTTGAAACTAGTTAACAAATAGATTCCAAGTTGCTGTGCGTCTGTTCAGTAATAGATCACAGATGACGTCAAAATGTGGTAAGAACAAAAAAGTGTTCTTACCACATTTTGACGTCATCTGTGATCTATTATTGAACAGACGCACGGCAACTTGGAATCTATTTGTGTTATATAATAAAGAATTAATATTCAATATTCGGAGGGGATTTTCTAGGCCTACGAAAGAACTGGGACTTCAAAACTTGCGCACAGTAGACTGCTTACCACGCTTTTTTAACACGCTATTAACTGTTAAGAAAATTCTCTCTCTGACTGAGATGTAAGGACAGGAATATTGAGACAACAGAAATTTGCTAATGAAGTCTTTGGGACAATTCGTCATCCTCTCTTGCATTTATTTGCTCTCAATAATTTTTTATCTGTTACCACCCACGTAGTCTAAATTGTAGATTTCTTTTATGTGGCCGCAGAAAAAAAGTAAACACATTGTATAATATTAGAAACAATTTATTTGCGTCTCAAATAGCGCAGTTACATTTGCAACTCTGAAGGAATTCACAAAGCATCAGTTCCCTTAGGCTCTTGCGTTTCGTATCAATGAAAAGTACCTGGTGATGGTTCAGACACTTTCTCAGTTGGTGTCATCCTTGATCGACAGACGAAAAAAAAGTTTCTAATTCATCCGGGTCTTCTTCTTGAGTTGCTAAGCGACGTAACGATTTTCGGCATAGATCCTGTATACCTTCTGCAGTTGTGGCGTCGAAAATACGGCAGCAGGACTGAAATAAAAACAATATTAATAATAGTAACGATAAATAAAAATAATATAGTCTGCTTGCTTCTCATCGCACATTAGCACTCTTCCTGCAAACGCTCTGGGGCCAGGGCGAAATGTTTAACGTAGGGGACGTAATTAAGAGGGCAGGAACCTTCACTTCCTCATAAATTCGTCTTTTATGACTCCTCCCACCTCTACCCACTAGCTCCTGCAACGAAGGCTATGACGAAGCCAGTGGCAGGAACTCGTTAACAGGTGCTTTGCTATTTCTCCTTATCGTGCCTATCCAAAGAACGAGAATAAAGACATTTTAATGGCTCATACCTGAAGTGCTGACTCGCCTTCTCGAAGCCGCAGGACATACAGAAGTGCGGATTCAGCAGAGGATTTCACAATTGTGTTCTTTTCTTTGGAAGACGCAAGTAATGCTGGAACTATGACTTTTAGAAGAGCGTTATCCAAAGACGCTGGGCTTCTACGCGCGACGTGTTGCAGAGACGCTGCCGCGATCGTTTTCACGTCGTTTGCGCCTTCTTGTAGTACCTGGGATTGAAAAATCAGTTGCAAGAATTTTCTGAATGGACATATTGAGAGGAATAGCTACCGCTAAGACAAGAAAGACATTTAGATCCCATTCAGACAGCAAAAATTGAAGGTTTTTTAATGCGCAAAGTACAATTGTGAAGAAAACCATCACAAGGAATTATAACTACTCTGCAGCTCTTTTAAACTGAAATTTTCCGCTATTGCTGACGTACCTCTACATAATTATTTAACTTTACCTTGAGTAGGGTTTCAAGCACCTCTGTTGATGGCGGAATACACTGCACAACCGAGTGAGCGAGAATGAAGCCAAGACACCTCACACCGGAACTACAAATGGGAATCTGAAGCATTGGAAATATAGAGTGAGAAAAAAATGAACATGCGAATGAATAGTAACATTAATCTCAAAAATACATTATGAAAAATTGTGAGATGCTACATTGGAATGTGGTAAATGACGGTAAGAAAACCGTCTCCATGTTTCAATGCTAAACCTATTAACAAAAATGGCTCTCTGCATTTTAAATGCCGCGCTACGAATTGAACTTGTGCTATCAGAATAAACACAAATAAAGTTGCACGGATACTGACGGGTACCAACCCACCCCTCCCCTCGCAGTAACACTCACCCTGTCTGTGTTAGCATGTGCTACAGCCATGTCAGTAACGACTTCAAACAGGCCCAGGGACACCATCCTCTCGGCAGCATCGTGTAATACCGCTGACAGAGCGATAGCGTGACCGTGGCGCACTGTCCAGTCAACAGTGGGGTCATTCACTGCAAACGAAATTAAAAAGAAAAAGATACTAAAAACGCACGATAACTACATACTGATAATTGTATATTTAATACGGGGAGGCGGGTATTGTACTGAATTGCGTTAAATTATTAGAACTTAAATGTTTAGAAACCTTGTAATTAAACTGAGTAGTCACTGAATACAATTTTTAATTAAGGGTGGATTGGAGATGTGCTGGAAAGGTGAAATAATTGTGAGAGGGTAGATACGATATTGCACATTTGCACATCAGTGGGGTCCATGGGTTCCCTACCAATATATTCATTATTATTCTGTAATTGTTTTGAACTTAACCCAAGCCACTATGATTGTTGACGCACCTATGAGATGATCATTGATGATATACTCGAGTTCAGTGTCTGGAACAATAAGAGCTAATGATCCAATACAGCCACCTGCCGCTACACGAATGTTGTCCTGTTGAAAATCAATGCAACAAATCAGTGAACCAGAGACTACGAGCCGGACAAAAGGGCAAAGTATACTGGCATACTGCACAATCAAAACATCACACTTTTAAACAAAAACGATAATACAACAAACGCTGTTTAAAAAAATTATAAAAATGCATAACGTAGACCTGGTCTATTACAGAATGCTGAAAGGAAAGGTTTTTAACCCTTTAACTCTCAGAAGTGATTAACATGTAACTTCTCCTTATAATATTCATATCTTATCCAGCATACAGGTAGAGAGAATACTCCAATTTATCATGTGAAAGTCCCTTTTTTGATCTAAAACCAAATGCTTTTAACTAATTAACAATGAAATGAGTAGCGGCTAGAGAGGAGAAATTACAATTCGATCTTGAAGGTTATAGGGTTAGATAATGATAATCTAAGAGTGTCTTACATCTCCATGTCCCAGTAAATCCAGCAGTGTTGTGGTTAACGTCTTCCTTATTGGATCACCCATCTTCTGTCCTGCGCCAGCGATGACTCCCCTTAAGGCCTGTAGCAGTGTTTCCCTACAAAATCAAGAATGTTGTGTTATATCAACCCTCTGGTGCATCGGTTTTAGTTAAAAATAATTAGTCATTTTAGTAAGCTGGTAGCCCTACAAACCTTATGGTATTGTCTTCGGTGTTCTTTACTCCATTGTGTAGTTCAGTAAACAGAGGATCCACTCGTGTGTGCAGTTTAATCAGTTTCTGAAGTGCGGAAGCCGCGCGTACGCGCACTTCTCGGTTAGGATCATTCAGGGCCTTGATGAACGTAGTCTGAAGCTGAGGAAGGAAGGGTTTCAACATGGCGCCTACCTGTGAAGGAACACAAGGACGATATAGTTGGTTTACATCTTGCTTCAGTATTATTGAACTCGAGGCAATCAAAACAGACGAAGTGTTTATGCAATGATAACCAATGAGAATTTCAAGGTATTTCTTGACGAGCACGGGAAAACGCACGCGAACAAATCTTGCTGAGTTATTGATTTTGCTTGATTGGGCGAGAAGGTGTCATGAGTACTAATGTTTTGTCCACCAATCACATCTTGTAAAAGGAACTGCAGCAAACTATTTTAAAATTCAATTGAAAATGTCCTAAGCCTAAGTAAACACACATACTTTGCCTAACAAAAGACCCAGAGTCTGTAGGACTGCCACTTTGACGTTCCACGTAAATCGGTCTCCAAGGATACGAATCAGGGGCCCTGTGATGTTTACTACAAATGGTCGTAGTGCTGTGGCGCTCGTCAAACTGATCACTTCTCCAAGCCCCTTGGCAGCTTGCTCCTTTAACTCTGGAGTACCATTTAAGATTCCCTCTCGGAATATCGGTAGAATGGGAGCAATACCCTGTGGATAAAACAACACATTAGAGGGTAAAAATTGTCACGTTTTCAACCAACAGCAGACAAGTAAAGAAAAATGAGAGGTCGGTAATCGCAAACAATTTCTTGAAGGTAAAGAGGACAAGGTGCTCAAGTGTGTCAATAGTTAAAAGTCACCAAATAGGCATTAAGCAAGGTTTTACAGGCTTCTTAAAACCTTAACGCAGCGAGCAAAAGCCATTGCATTCAGTAACAAATCCAGGCTTTAGAAGATTTTAGGATATTTTCTTTATAAATATCTGCGTTCATTTCGTTCTCTCTGCATAAGTTTAAATTGTGAACACAATTTTTTTTCAAATAGAGCATATTTACGAAAAGCAACTTCTTGGAACACAAAATGGATGGCAAAAACAAGAAAAGGACCTCTCATAACTAAGAATCTTTTTAATGAATTTGCGAGACCAAACATTTTGCTTATTCACTTTTTAAGACAACGAGGTACACAACAGAATCCATAGCATCTGATAATTTTGATTTTTCTTCACGTCCAGTCTATTTTGAAATGATTTTAAAAACTGATCAGTACCTTTTTAGGAAGACAGAACCCTGGCAGATCTCCATCCTTAACCTCATCTGACACATACTTGACTGCCTGCCGTACGTGGCTGATATACTGTAACTGCTCAGAGGCCTCCAGACGCTGAAATAAACGACAAACGAACAAAGCTTAGCCCCCTCTGACATTAAAATGTTTAAGGGGGTTATGTTACTGTCGTCAGATCAAAACCAACGATACAATTGCAGCCAATCACAACAAACCCCAGTGACATATGCTGGGTTGCGTGTTAAATTATCAGGAAATCACAGTCGTCTTTTGCAGGGGAAACCGCGGGCGTATAACACTGAAACAAAACACACTTTATTTCGATGGAAAACTAGTAAACAGGTCGCAGAGGTGCAGAGCGAAAAAAGGAAGAGGTCTGGGTCAGGTTGTTACTCAACCTGACCCAGACCTCGGGCTCTCTAAGCACGGGCTCTACGTTCCTACCTCGACCGTTTACTAACTGAAGGCCCGGGACAGGCGACAGTATCAGTGGTTACCTTGGTTACTGCATTCAAAGCGTTCCAGCTCATTTCCACAACCAGTTCATCAGAGTCGTTCATCAGGTTAATTATTCCACGAAACAGGGCCGGAATGAACTGGGAATAGTCTGCCTTAGTCTCCTGACAGAACGTGTGCATGAGAGAGACTGCAGCCTAGGGTGTAAAAACAATTTGTCTCATGAAAACACACAGCGTATCTGGGTCAAACTACACTTGAAAGATGTATCTTTGTTTAAGCCAAAATAATAAGAAATTTTACCCTTCTCATGCCGGGGACAGGATCCTTAGAGGCTGCCATGAGTTCATCCATAATGGTCCTGATTCCAGCGTCATCTTCAACCGACAACACTAAACTAGATGCGCCTTCCAGCTCCTAAAGGGAGAAGAATAAGCATTTTCAAAAGTCTTCGCGCTTAGCATTCTAAATGGCGATTTCCCTAGCAATTGTCCCTTGAGTTATTACGCAATAACCATTGCGTGTCATCTCAAAAAAAGACTGCAACTGATTGGCTAAAAGTGTGGCAATTTCATATAGTCACGACCAAAAAGAGGGGAAAAATTACACAGGCATTTTGAACTAACTTCTTTTTCATGCTCTGTTCCAAAGCAGTCTTGTATGGCTTTAAGCATGGCCGGTAGAATCCTATTCAGATGGCGGGTAAGCGCATCACCTGCGACGGCAGACAGTATGGCCAGCGCACGAGTGTTAACAGGTGGAGTGATGAGCTGAAAAAAAAACCAACAAAAGGCAGCTCTTAAGAATACGTCACGCTTTCGTCGAAAGCATTGCTGGCCTTCCTGTGACAGCAGTTAAGAAAAGGTGTTGCGTAACAGACACTCCAATAGTTCGGTTTCCTCCGATACAAACTGGAGTTACGGATACCAAGACCACAGTTTGAACCAAAAAAAAATGCGTGCAACAGTTTCAGAAATTCAAACTGCCTTTGTCTTTGTCTTCCGTCCGCCCGTCCTTCCAACCCACCCTTACTCCGTCCGTCCGCTCTTCCTTCCAACCCGCCCTCTACTCCTCTGTCCAGCTTTCCAACCTTTCCTCCCTCCCTCCCTCCCTCTTTTTCTCCATCCATTCTTTTGATTTTCCCTTGTTCCGTCCTACCGTATGTCGGCCCGTCCTTCCGACACTCCTTCCGTGTTCCCGGTGACTCCCTTCGTGCTCGTGACCCTCCCTACCTTCCGCGGTCCGTCGGTCCGTTCTTTTATACGGTTGGTTTATCATTAGGCTGGTTGGTTTTACTTACCTGAGGTACAAGGAAAGGAAGTACGACTCGGCTCTTCACGGCCATGACCTGACGGAGCCCATCCAATGCGTACTCAGACAGAGAAGGGTCATCCTGAAACAAGTCCATAGAGCCCCATAAGAATAAGTTCTCAATGCACTCTTTCCCATACGCAACAATTCGTACTTCTTGAGAATACAATTAGGACTGTACAAAACGATGAGTGAAACAATTGGCTCAGATTACAAATTACTCAAGGATAATTTCTGACAACAGCAACTTGGGCTAATCTTGCTCTTCACAGGAAGAAGTGAAGAGCAACTGGTGCAATCGTACGGCTGGCATGATAGGGTGAGACGCACTGATGTGATGCATAAGGATCCCAAATATCTCACAAGAAATATAAACCTTTCTAGACAGGTCTCAAATCTGAAGTCTTTCAGATTATGTACTGAGGTAATAACAAGTTACGAGAAGATTTTAATTAATAACATGTACCATTTTCTTGAGCAAGTCGGGCAAAATGTCGTCCAAAGCTTTCGCTCCGATGGTATTATGAAGCTGATCAAATGTTTTGGCTGCAGCCACACGAACTTCAGGCAACGGGTCGATCAAAGCACGACGCACCGTGGGTACCAGGGAATCTACATACTGTATTACCTGTAATGACCAAAGTAATAATAAAATAAACTTGCTGGCTCGTGAGGGTCTGGTAACCAGTAGATGGACGCGGCAACATGGGACGAGGTAAAGGAACGCAGGGAGGATAACAGTAGAAATTGTAGATTAATGAAGGTATTGCACCAAAATTGGTTTGCGAGTTCACTGTAGCGCGGATAACGCGCTGCCGCCATCCAAGGAATAAGTTTAACAGTGCTTCCTTAAAACCAGTCAGTCTCTTATTATTGTAATGGGTGTCTTTTGTTACCTGTTCTTTGCTGGTTGAAGAGACAATTTCACTGAGTCCAATACAAACTCCTTGTCTCTCGTCTGACTTGTCGCTGTCCAAACCTCGCTCTAAGATCGGAATGATCTCCGGAAGAACTCGCTCACCAAGTTTGCGAACAAGGTCTCCCAGTGTGCGAGCTGCAACCTGGAATGAAAGAACGGTACAAAGAAACAAATTCAATAAATTGATAAAGAAGGGTATAAGTTAATTTTTTGCCTCTTTTTATTGCCTGGATTTCTTTTATCCCTTTAAACCCTACGAGTGATTGGCATCTAATTTCTCCTTACCGTAAAACAGCTGAATCATTTATTAACGTCTTGAGAATAAAGTAAATAATCACCAACCTCATAAGCTTTGATTGTTAAATGAATTCTCCTTGTCAATAACAAAGGAAATGTTTAGAGAACAGTATGGAGAATAAGGATTCTGATGTTAGGGTGTAAAGGGTTAATACTTATCCGTAAAGACCAATGCGTGTATCAGGTTGAATTGAATGCGGTATAAAACTATTTAATCAAAACAACCACATTTTCGACCAAATAAACGAACGGAAAATACAGTTTACTCGCGATGACCTGACAAGCAACACTTACTTGTCTCTTGTCATAGCTGGTACTCGCTAGGCATCCTAGTAGAAGAGAAAACAGCGTGGGGAGAATCTCTCTTAGGATACGAGGCGTGTTAGGGACCACAACCTTCCACACGTGCAAGGCCGCCTGGCGCACCATCAGGGAAACGTCAGAACGGCCCATATAGAGCCCGGATAACACTCGATTACGGCGTTCTGCACCAAGAGATTCGATGATGGCCTGTGAGAAAGAAAATTAAACGTTGCTACAATACAAATATCAAAAGAGCAATTTTCAGGTACGTGTCAAAAGTAGTCTGGGGTCCCACTGGTTCTGCTTTGCTTCACTGCGTGATTGGTCCAGAAAACTCCGCAGAACAAAAACCAATCCCGACTTCATCATTCGTGTTTTTCCCGCGCATCAGGCAGTTTGCTGGGCTTCACTCTCTATTGTCATTAGTTGCTCGTGAGATATAGCATGAACAACGCATTTGATTGGTTCGATTTGTTTCCCTCCTGGACACTGATTGGTTTTCAGCATCTGGCTGGACCCAGTTTCAGTAAATGCAATGTAACTATTTTAGCTTTGTGCGTCACCTGGTTGGACTGACTAGTTCCAAAGTTATCATCCTCTTTGCCTTCAGTGGACATTTTACCCGTTACACCAGATATCTTGTACAAAAGATCACCCAGTAGTTGGACAGAACTGTGTCGTATTCTCCAATTATCATCAAACAATCCTTTCTCCAGCTCCGGTAAGAACAGTTCAATGGCTGTGTTGGCGTACAAGTTCACAATCCGCTGACCAGCCTTTAGAGATGTGTCTCGTACATATTCGGACTCATCTGCCAGGCCCTTGATAGAAGATGAAAAATATGTCAAATTTCCTGTATCCAGTTCTTAGTGCGGTTGTGAGAACTCAATGGGGTGAGGTATAGTTGAGAGCTTCATAGCAGAGATACAGACGAAGGTCAAGTTAGTAGATACCACAAAGATCAGAAGATATATCCAGTTAAGACGAGAGTTCACACACGTACGGTAATAAATGTTGGAGCTCTGTTATGACTTAATCTGCTTAAGGGAAGTTCCCTTTTTAAAGGATTGATCGATGAAGTTCTTTGTGCACGGTAGACTTAGCTCCACCTTAATTAATAAACTTATGAGCTTAAGGGTCTACATCGTGGCAATAACCTGACCATAAACCCGCTTGTGAAATTATTACCGAGAATATCATAAAGAAATCACACGTAACGTGGGCATGTGATATCATCTATTTATATTGATAAAAATTTGTTTCTTTTGTTCAAGCTGAAACTCTGAAAAGTCTTTGTGCTGTTAAGTTCAATTTGTATCTAATTTCTTGAAATTAAATAGCTAAGTTAAAATGATAAATCAAGTATAAAACTTTAGCTATAATTATCTTTGATAAAACTAATATCATTTAGCTTTACAAACTGATTTAAAAGCATCATCTCACAAGCTCTATATACACAAAGGAGAAGAAAGAAGCTGACTATTGATGTTACCTTCAGCACAGAAGGAATGACGGGTCCCACAAATGGAATAAAGTCATCTTTGAAAGTTGAAGGAAGATAGATGTACAGCATCAGGTATCCTTCGCGTACATGTGGCGCCAAATCAACGCGCTCTGTGGTTGAAATCACTTCCGGCATAAGTTTCTCGAGTCTGTTGGTACCCATAGCACACAAAACTTCACCAAGACCTAAAACAGAAACGCGTAATTGTTGTGAAGTGCAAAGATAGTACAAAAATTTTTCTGTGTATAATGTTTGAGCACTAAATACTTCCAGAGAACAAGGTGTGAGGTGTGAAACATCATACCTTGAGCTGCGCCTGATCTGTCTACGCTGCTGTTCTCTGACGTCAGAGTCTCCATCAACCACGGTAACAGATCCTCAAAGCACTCCTCGCCCATACCGCGGACCAAAGCACCGAGGGCGCGGGAAGATACTGCACGGACCTAAATGAAAAACACGCTGATGAAAACTTGCGCCGGAATTTGTATTAGAAAATGTTTTAAGTTCTTACCTCTGGTACTGGATCAAGTAAGGCCTGTTTCAATCCTGGAACAACTGCACCCAAATATGGAGCGAGATCCTGAAAAATTCAATGAACTTGAGGACATGGTTTAAAAACCGCCGACAACAACAGTAGACAGCATCGTAGTTCTAATAAACCAATACCAGTACTCTATTATTAGTTAGGAAGACTGTGTTATCAAACAAATCCCGAGTGATTGGCCCACCTGTGGTACCTAAAGTAATAATCTTGTTCATGATGCTGCTTTCATTACGGATAACTCACAAATGAGTTTTACTGGCCCTTTTGTGATTAAATAATGACAACCTCTGTTCACATAAAAATAGTTCAAGGAGAGGTCCGGAACCAAGTTCAAATACGAGGACATTTAAGTTTGTTGATCCCATTTTACCTTTTTGTCCGTCAAAGAACACATATTTCCAATAATTTGTGCCGCCATTTTCTTGGTTTCAGTTGAACGCTCGCTCAACGCGCGTTGCAGGACGGGCATGATGAGAGCGAGCGATGGAGCATCAATAAAATGAACGAAAGAGGTCTGGAGCAGAACTTGTAAACATGGTGCAGTCTTGGTAGATGGGTCCATTAGGGCTTCGAGAAGAACGGACGAAATGGCTGAAATATTAACGAGAAAACTAGAAGTTTCAACCACCTTTTACAAACAGGCAGGTTCCTTTGAATGTCTTGACTACAGCCTACAGTAAATTTGTATCGCTGTTGAAGTAGCAGAGGAAAATTTTGTCGCGTGACCTGCTATGGTTCAAATCCACCAATTAGAACCTTCCATTTTTGACGGCCATCTTGCATAAAAATCCTGCCATTTGATTGGTAAAGATCGATGATAATAGGTCATGGAGAATAAATTGGCTGCGCTCTAACACGCTTTTTAATCTAGGTAAGGATCCTACACCAATGAAGTTTTGAGACGTGAAAATTAGAAATTAAGGCTTTAGCAAAATTTTTGTTGCAACCAGTTTACCTAGAATTTCTGGGTTTCGGATCACTGAGCCGATTTGTCTAAGGGCCTGGGCTCCAGCCTTCTGTACTTTCATGTGAGAATCTGTGAGAACTTCACACAAGCGAGGCACAATACTGGGAAGACATGACGATAACTGCTTTGGGGCACAGAACGCCATAGCACCAAGGAGCTCAACACTACCTGAGGAGGACAACATTAACAACATGTTAAGAGAATATAGTAGGTAAGATAGATTTGGTTATAACCCTATATGTACAAGGAAGACAATGGATAGGTTGAAGGTCTTAGCACTTTTCTCGTGGATTTATCCGCTAGCGGTAAGCACCCAGTAATACACCCAATAAGACACTGACTGACTGACTGATAATTCACAACTGAAAAATAAACCGAGCACATAACTGATTAATAGTAAATAAATAGTAGATTAAATAAATCATTAAAACAAGACTGACTTTTGGGCTACCCAACCGACATAGTGAATGAGAGGCTAACTAACCAACTGATGAAAGGATGGATTTATCCGCTAGCGGTAAGCACCCAGTAATACACCCAATAAGACACTGAGTGACTGACTGATAATTCACAACTGAAAAATAATCCGAGCACACAACTGATTAATAGTAAATAAATAGTAGATTAAATAAATCATTAAAACAAGACTGACTTTTGGGCTACCCAACCGACATAGTGAATGAGAGGCTAACTAACCAACTGATGAAAGGATGGACTGACGGACTACGGACAAACGGAGCGACTTACTGTATATTTCACTTAGATACATCTTACATTTAAGTAGGTTTTGGAGTGCTTCGAAAACACCAGTAATAAATTATTGCTAACGTTGTCTTTCTAGAAATTTTAGACTTTGAACGTTATCCCAAGAACAGTAACACACACCAGTCTTTGTTCTCCACGAATCCTCTTCAAGCGCAGCCAGCAAGGACGGCAAAACAAGCTTGACACCATGTGCGCTGAGGTTCTTCATGACTGCACGAGCAGTGTCGTCGGTGGCCTAGAGAAGACACTCACATATCAAAATCTAAAAGTTGTAATTCTCCCTACTGTTCCAGTAGATTTCTGTTTAAATTTTACAGGGAATTGAGAGCTCCATCAAGGCAACATCCCCAAGTACATTATATTGTTGATTCTCCTTAGTCGTGTGCTCGAGAAATGACTGCAATTGTTGAGAAACAAAATGAATTTTTGATATCAGTCTTACCTCTCTTACATATTGGTTTCCATCCCCAAAGCAGAGCAGTAGGTTTGGTAGAACATGTACAACATAAGGCTCAAATAAACGGCCCAGCATTGTACAAAGCATCTCATAAGCAAACAGCGCTCCTGGAAAACAGGCCACAAAGAGATATAGATTTACCGCAATATGGCATTTTGATTGGCTCTTCCTTATGATCAATTGGAGGACAGACGCCTAAATGACATCACTATTAATGACATCTTGCTTCTTCATCATATAGGACAAAAAGATTCTATGTTGCCGCGGGTCTATATGGTGAATTACTCCGCTACGCCTCGTGTAGTACTTTTTTGTTCTAGCCATATTTTGACGTCGTCTGTGATCTATTACCTATTTAGAGAACGGTTCAGTATCGCTCAAAACGCCTGTTTTAGTTTGACAAAAGCGCGACTCACCCTCCCTATGTCGGTAATTCTTTTTGTCTTGTATAGCTTCCTGTAGTGTGGACATAATATTCAGCTGTTTGAGGAATAAAATTCCCAAACCCTTCACCAGTCCCGCCAGTCCGTAAGCTGCACCTTTCCTCTCACCGTACACAGTGGAATCAAGAAGCTGAAATAAAAACGAACAGAACCAAGTGGTCGTATAACTTGGGAACGTGCGACAGTGATGCATGATGGATTAATAAAGACCGACTTGCATTGTACAGGACCAAACTTTTTACCTGGTTCAACAGGTTCTTCACCATATCTGGAGATTCCGACTTGATTGCTGGAACAAGTGGAGGAAGACAGTTTGCTACAGCTTCTTGAACCTACGAAGAAAAAACAATCACTTGTTTAAATTCCTTTCCGCAGCTTTCCTGACAGGCACATATTAATCTCGAACCCAGAACCCCGCTGACCAAGACGGCTTCTTCAACAAGAGATCGCGGTGTTCTGGGTGTGAAATTAATCAGTTTTTTTTCCTTCAGTTTATTCAGGCAATAAGCTCTTCACGGTCAAAAATACTTTGATACGTTAGCTAACAGCCCATGGAAAGTTTAAAAAATTTTTACCTGCTGTGAGGGTGTTGACAGAGCATTCAAGAGTTTTCCAACAATTGGTCTAACCTAGAGTAAGTGTAAAAGATGACAAAAGTTAATGGAATGATCTGAAAATAAAGCTGTTCACATCCATTTCACATTCTTAAAAACACCAGCACTCACGAAGCTGAGAGGAAAATTGACCAAATAGTGGAAGACCTCACCTTGAGACATTACAGTGTTTTTAAATGGAGTCCTTACCTTAGGATCATCTTTGTCTAAATGCCGCGCCAAGCAACCCATCAAAATAATCACTGATTGACGGATCGTGTCATGCGCAGAAGTATCTGGTGCCATGTCCAAGAACTGCTCAAATACAGGAAGAAGTAGCGCGATATTGGCCTGCAAAGAAGATTGATGCAAAATCAAGTCGCCTTATGAAACACAAAAATGTACCATCAATAATGATGAAAAAACCGAGTTAAATAGAGCGATTTCCAATTCAGTGTCGCAAGTTTAGCAGGACTGCTTTGGTTTAACTTTTCCTCGCTCTGTGATCGCTCCAGAAAACTCGCATCACTTTACCATCTAATTATATTCATAACTAAAACCAATCACGACTTGGTCACCCGCGTTTTCCCGCGCTTCAGGCAATTTGCTTGTCTTTACATCCGAATCTGATTGGCTCCATGTGATATTTTCCCTTTTCTAATTGGCTGTTGTGAATACTTTGTTATGGTTTTTTGACACTCAATCGAAATGCATTTTAATGTAAAATGTTCACAAACCTTTCCATGATCATTTACTGCCTTCAGAGCTGCATTCAGCATGTGTTTCCTGACCTCAAGATGGTGATCTCCCAGACCAGTTGGAACGAAAAATACGAACAATGGAGGGACCTACATAACGAAAAATAAAAGTTCCTTTTAATTTGTCCTTTCCTCGCCGAAAGAGACCCATTGAACAGTTCTTTACACAGTGTCTCGTCAATGGAGTATATATTTTTCTAAATATTCTGCAGCAAAATTTTTTCCTCTTGTTTCAGTTTTAAGTTGAACAATAAAGGTATCCAAACAAATCCGCAACTGTTTCGTCTCGCTTCTTTTAGCTTTGTGATTCGTTTTAGCCAATCATATGCGAAACTTTCAAAAATCACGAGTACGTCACGTGTGTTTCCCCGCCCTTGACAACTACGACTCTGAAGTATTTTGACTTCTCATTTCATCAAAGTTAAATAAATGTGTCATGATTAGCTATTGAAGGTTCTTCGGTAAAGATTTAATACGACGCGAGATTGGAGACCTTTTTAGTATCACATTACCTCCTCTTCAGATAGCGTGGGCGATATCTCACCGAGAGCCAGAGCTATTCCGCACCTTGCATCCCAAGGGTCCATGTTGTCAGCTGGCACAACTCGTCCCAGACTGTCCACGACTGGAGGAGGCACCTAAGAACAGGGTATGCTGGTATAAGTGGTCGGGATCGGTGACCTCAAATTAAGTATAACTACTGGGTGATACCCACGTTCCTATTTTTAAGCAAGTGCTGCTAACTTTGAATGGGTAACAGTATTCGCAGTCGTCTATTGCATTAACCTTTTACAGACCTTACCTTGAGTTTTACATCATAGAGATCCACCAGCTGCTGAAGAATGGCTGAGGCAACATCCGGGTGTTCGTTAATGGCCGCCGCTAGCGCTGGGGCAGCGGCTTTTCTGATAATTTCTACATCGTGTACGACATCGTCCAAAAGTGCACTACATAATGGCTCTGGGGCAGTGAAACCTACTTCCTGCCATAACCTGAAGAGTTTTAACACACAATTTGTCATTTCAATCTCACGCTCAACAAATAGCTTTAAAATAAAGAATATAAATGGAAAGGGTTAAAATAACATAAAATAGCACCTAATGAACAAACCTATTCGCAAGAACACATCAACAAAGCTGGAATCAAACGAATACCTCTCAGCTAATTTAGCATTTTCTTCATCAACATCAAACTTGGCCACCCACAATCGTCTTACAAGTCGAGCAGTCTGTGATGTTCCATGATCCCTTGTAGACAGAAGGTAGGTGAGGACCAGAAGCCCTTGCAAGGTTGCAAATCGCAATGAGGCTGCGGGGGACTCCAGGGAGTTTAACAGAACAGAGATCTCGCCTGGTGCTGCTGTGGCACAACCATATTCCCCGCTTGTCGCCTTGCACAGCTCAACCAGACTGAGAGATGCCAGTTGCTGCAAAGATAAAATGAACCAGGAGTAAAGAAAATGAAAAAAGAGGGAGGGGAATTGACATTGTAAACAATTTACCTGTAATCTCGAACCCTTGATGGTGTCCGCACTCGTGGAAATAATCTCAGTCAATAAATACAGCATTTCTTCTCTTGGTAACAAAGCCGGGTCATTCTGACAAAACAAATATATAAATGAGTGAACCAAAACAAAATAAAAATGAGGGAGGGGAGAAAGGGCGGGTGGGGGAGCATCCCACTCACTTCATCCTGCTCATCTTCCTCGTCATCATCGTCGTTATTCGCTCGTAATTTACAGTGTTCAGCAACAATCTGCAACGCTTGCTGTCTGAGATCTTCATTTCCCTTGACATTCTTGCCTCCATCTCGTAGCACGCATCTTAGAAAAGGAAAACAGAACGCAAACGCTGGGGCTGACAGAAGCTCGGTCAATGAGTCTGATGAACTTGATCCAACAGTATTTAGATCAGGAACTGATGTGGAGTGGAGGACAGAGATAACTCGCTTGGTCGCTGATAACAAATCCTCTTCACACCAGGCTTGATCAATACGGCACATTGGTTTTAAAAGTCGCAGAGTGACGTATCCAACGAGCTCAGCTGACGTGGAAAAATGAAGAATGACAATGTTTAAACTGGAAAAAATCTAACAGCCAGCGTTGTATAGAAGGGAGGGGTAGGTTGGAGAAGAATAGTCTCACTACCACGTTGCCAATTTCGTGCACCAACCCCTCCCCTAACCCAACAACAGTCAGCTAATAACAAGTTAGGGTTAAAGTTGGTTCCTAAAACTTTACCACTCGCAGACACAAGATAACCCATGTTTAAGAACAGTCCGCTACTACGAAGTTGGAATGAAGTTATAGGGACGCTTCATGATTAATAATTTGATATACGAACAAAAACTCCTTTGCTGATTGACAGAAGGAATATCAATAACCCTAACTGTGGGGGAAAAGTGCAACTATGTGCAGAAAGTAAAGATTTTGGTGGAAAGCGATTCGAAATTGTTCAGGTAATTTTTTTGGCCCTGGAAGAATACTCTTAGGTTTTTTTTTTCACAACTGAAAGGTCTGACTTGTTTTCGTTGAAGACTTCACCCTGAGGAAATTGAATATAAGTGTGAGTTGTTTGAAATGGAGATTAAGACAAAAACATTTGGAACGACGCATTTCGAAACAGAGAATGGACTACAGACAGGGTAGAAACCAAGAAAAGAACGAAGAAAGTTAAGCCCCACGGTTCCACCTAAAAAACAAACAAACAAATTGAACAATAGAGGACACTTGTCACATAGGAACTTTCTAGTAATGGACTAGTTCACCATTGTGTTCTCCGCAGGTCAGCGGTAGAGTATCGGAACGCTAAATCTAAATCGATGTCGTGACGACTAAGATTTTGGCCATGTCTCAAGCTCGTGACAAAGTGAATAACACATTACCACATTAAAAAGAAACTGGCAATCTGCGCTTACCAAGATGTTCTTGATCGTCGTTAAATGCACTTTTACCAAGCTTCACTAGAACAGGAATCATAACAGGTGCAGTCAGGGGGGACTGTAACAGTGGCAGCAGGGTGGTGAGGATAGTGGGGGTGTACATACGCATAGCGTTTGGGTTTGCTGTTATAGCTGTCTCCAGTAGTGATCCTACTTGCACCACTTCCCTTTGAAGCTGAAAGAAACAAAAAGGACAAAAATTTTTGACCGGCTCTCAGAGTCTGAGGTTCTGAGGGGTTATCACGCTATGATTTACCAATATTTTTAAAAGTTTTATGTAATCTAATAGCAATCAACACAGAAGATCTCCTTACCTCTTTTAATCTGTCTCTTATTTCTGCTTCCTTCATCAGCTGAGCTTCAAAGATTTCTTTTTCCTTCTGGCTCATCTCATCCTTTCCTGAAAGTTTTCCCTCGGCTTTCTTTTTCTTTTTGATTGACTGGAAATGACATGACTCATGTTAATTCCAGTTCTACTCAGGGAGTCCCTTCAGTCTGTGTCCAAAGCTGACTTCTTTAGTCATTTTTTTCCACAGATGTACCACTTTACGAGCAAGGACTGGAACTAGGCAGGGGGTATCGTACGCACCCCAGTCCGTAACCATTCATCCCGCAAAAAATAATGCGTTTAATTTCTCTCCATCATCACGGGTTTGTGGGCAAAAGGAGGAGCTAAGCACCCCCCTTTCGCTCTTCCGTCCGTAATAAAAGCTAGTCGAAAATCATTCATTGGTTATAGGCGTCAGTGGGACAAAGATTATCTGCCCCAACACTCCCACCATAATGATGTTTTCCTTTCTTTTTTTTCTCGTATTTCAGTACAGTACAGTGTTCAAGCATAACACTCAGTGTACAAGTATAACACTCAGCAGTAACAGGTTGCATCTTTATCACGATAAACACACCTCACGTATATCCTTTTCCCAGAGTTGATCCTCATAGGAATAAGCCTTTGATTCTTTCTTCATGTTTTGCTTTTTTCCTGCTTCTGCTACCCTAACACTGAGGAGATAAAAACAAGCCCAGTGACACTATCATAAACATAATTATCTATACACTCTTGAAATACACCAAGAGTACCAATCTTCAACTGTACTCAAAAACGAGACCTTTGCAACAAACAATTGACACTTTCACACAAACATTTGGAACTTTTCTTTTCATTTCCTGGAATAAGAAAAATAACTTGAGGGCTTTTTTCACAGCACTTATCAATCGAACCTTTCCAATACACTGGTGTTGTGGATCTCTCCTTCTGGTGTGAACAGTATGGCATGCTCCTCCATAGTCACTTGCTGGAAGGATGGTTTTGCTAAACAAACTGAACTGTGCTTCACTACTCTCGGTAAAATCACTTTTGGTGCAAGTCCAGCCATGGCGTGGAGCATATTCTGTGAGCACTAAAATAAAGATTGTAGCGATGTATCTACTAGCAAGTGGACAATATCGGATCAATGTTAGTATCTTGGCAACTGCGCACCTACCCCCCCCAACCCAAAATTAACCCCAACTTGTTATCAGTTGAATGTTTTTTTTTTTGTTTTTTTTTTGGGGGGGGGGGTAGGTGCGCCCGTTGCTCGTATACTAATATTGATCCACAATTTCTCCCAAAGTATATCAGCACTGAATAGATATGACGTGACTGAAGAAATTTTCCATTTCGTTACAGGTGTTGTTTTAAGGATAGTGTCTCAGAACACCCCCAAAAGAAGCATTCTAAAATAAATTAAATCTTACTGCGCCTCTTGATAACTTACAGCGTCCAGAGGTCATACTGAAAAATACATCAGTGTGTTTTTCTGTCTGCGGTTCAAAAGGTCTTCTTCTTAAGATGAAAATGGCAGATTACAATCCACCTTTAAAGGTTTACTATGATGCTGATTGATACAAAGCGTACCAGATATCAACCTTAAGTAAGGCTTTGGAGTTCAGAGATCGTGTATCGATGAAAAACTCACACACGAAAGAATTTGAACAAAGTAAAACAAGACCAAAGCAATTGGAAAGTATTTCTGACAATTATTGCAAAGAACTCCTAAACAGGTACCAAAGAGACAGCTGTCAAACCTGTTGAGACGTGCTGCTTGAGACTATCATCTCCATTATGGCATCCACGTGACGCTCAACAAAGCCTTGTGTCTCAATCCCCAAACTGCGAACAATCCTCATCCATAACTCACCTTTACATGAAACTATTCACCAAGAAGCAAAACATATTAAATTAGCGTGCAGAGTACAATTTAATGTTACTGATCTTGCCAATATGGTGACAAAACAGTGTCTCAGGGAGCCCAAGGGCACTATGGTCCACCTGGCCATAGGTACCCTGTGGTTCCGTAGTATTGGTTTGAGCAGTGCTCAAATGACTGACCTTGACTTTCTATGCTATTCAGATCTTTTTTTTTTGCACCGTTCTTAGACTGAAATAATATCTCAAAAAACGGCTTCAGTAAAGCGAAATACGCATTCATAAACGTACAAACTTGACATAAGAAAACTACTATATTTCTCCATTAAGGGAAAGAAAGCAGGTAAGATAACCTCATATTGCCCATTCGGTAAACTCAATAAAACACGGGATTTTCTTTATCTTAAACACTCGCAGAGCCAATAATATCTGTAATAATTTTTCAAATGACACTGAAGAGCAATCACTTATGTTAGATGACTATAATTATACTTTTTTATATTTATAGATAATTATACTTTTTCTTACTCCAAAACGTTCCAAAAATAGAGCATAAACAAACAACACGAGCAACAATAAACAAGAGTGAAACAGAGATTTACCAATAGCTGGATGGTGTGCATCTGAGAGAATCTGCAAAGCGATTTTGTCTTTCGTTTCCTCAGACAGGTCTGGATTACTCTTTACGAGAGACAGGGTCAGGCAGCAAAGACTGGACACAAGTATCCTGTGGCTGATGTTAGTTCTTCCTGCATCATTGGGCGATCCTCCCTGTGGTGCATCTCCATTCATGATTGGAACAGAACTGTCTGTGACATGATGCTAAAAACAATGAGGAATATAGTACTATTAAAAATTGCGAGGTATCCCAACGGCAGCAGGGTTTTCAGCCTATGTAATCAACTGTAAATAGACACAGAGTACATGGAAGGTGGCTCTGAGTGCGCTGTAAAACTGCGAGAGATTTGCTGCGCGCGCTTTTTCAACGGAATGCTCAAAAGACCGCCAGCAACGCAAGCTAAAAGTACATTTTAATGACGCACCTAACGGTAAATTATATCAAAAAAGGAAAACAAGAATCTATGGATTGGTATAAGACAAAAGGCACTTTCATTTTACAGCAAGGTATCTATCTTGGTGAGAAAAAAGAATCACAATGATCACTTGTGAAAAAGAGTATAAATTCAAACTGAGAGTTTTTCAAGAGTCACGCAGAACTCTTGTAGCTGGCTGTTAAGTTTACCTTCTGTTGAGCAATAAGCTTTGACAGCTCTTTCAACAACAAACACTGTAGTTCTAAAGCACTCTCTCCTAAAGCATTGAACAGCCGCTGAACACAGGACTGCGCATTCTGCCTGACCTTCCAAGCTGAGTGAGTCAGTAGAAATACCAAAGCTCTGTACCAAGGTCTAAAAAACAAGAGGCAAAAAGTTAGGAATACAGCAGACCACGTTCTAACACATACACAAAAATCATAGTATAACTCTGATGTATATAGAAGATATCCACACCCTACTGCTAAAGGTAAAAGGGCAAAGTCTGCACTCCAGAAAAGTGGCTCACAACTCACAAAGTGTCCAAGCTTTCTATGGCATGAAGGGACTGGGAACATTGTTACTCCCCCTGGGTGACACACTAGGACAATACAGGTTACCCCCAGCATTTCATCAGGCTTCCTTGATGGTTCATCAATACCTATTTTACTATCCTGAGTGGAAAGAGGCATTTTGAGATGAATGTTTTTCGCCCAGAAACACAACACGTGATCCAGCCAGGTCTCACACACAGACCACTTGACTTAGAGTCTGGGACAGGCACCTTGTTTGAAAGCCCTTACAACAGGGCTCAGCACACTGACCATAGGCTATCACATATCCCATGCACTCTGCTTTAAAGAGGTTTTAAATCCTCTTTCCTGGTTATAAGCTAGCTAAAGATTAAGAGCTTGACTCACTGGCTATTAGATTTGTTTAATCTTTGTCCATGACTGAGGACGAGTCTTTCAATGACAGACACCAGTAATAGGAGAGCTGTTGACAAATCAGAAAAATTACTATCATCAAAAGTAAATAAGTTTGACATGCATGCAGTTCATATGATCAGGTGGAGAGATAACAAACCAGTCCTACAAGGTTCAGTGGTAGAGCATCGGCTTGGGAAATGCAAAGGTTTAGGGTTTGAACCTTCATGGGGGACTCTGATGTACCACACACACACACGCATTTAATGAATAACATCTTTCTTAAATTTTGGTCATTTTTTGTAAGTGCACTGTCTAAAGCCAGTAGTGGATTTTTCACTGTTGTGACATTACCAAAATATGTTTTACCTTCTTCAGATGCAAAGTTTAAAAATTTGTCTGAAACAAACAGCTGCTTCTTTATATCCAGGAATGTTGTCCAAAATGAACCCAGTTTAGATTCTGAAAGAAAAGTTATCAATGTTGCTAAGCTATACATTTTAATTTGTAATATTTGTATGTGAACCACAACTTTTAAGTCAAGAAGATCTTAAAAGATCTTCTTGACTCTTCTTGGGTTCAAAAAGTGTCACATTAGCTTTCCTGAGGAGGTTTCTTATTTATCTATCGCAACATGTTAACATCTTTATCATATACAGTTACCTGCTTGTACATCAGCAAGTGATAATTTGATCAGTATGGAGGCAGCTAATAGTCCTTCTGTAACAATGGCAGCTTGGTTTGGTTGGCCACTGGCTTTTTCAATGGTCTAAACATGGAGCATACCAATCAAAAATGCATTCACTGCTAGATAGGTTCAGAAAAATAAGACTTTGAAACATTCATAGATGAATAATATGCTGCTGGTCTTGAAGAAATCTCATTATAAAATAAATTATTATTGTTACATCAATATGTGTTTTGTGTCAATTTGTCTTGACCTTTCCATTCTTAAAGAAACCTGTTTTGCAGAAAAACACAGGGAGAGAGAGGAAAAGTACCTGTTATATGTATATGACAAATATGGGTAAAAACCTTACTTGCAGTAACTGAGGCAGAATTTCCATTCCTTGGAGAAGGGTATTACCTTGAATAAAATTAAAATTTAGCATTATCATTAAAGATTATCAAAAGCAAAATTAACCTTCTCATCCCTAAGAGTGACTAGTATCAAATCTCTCCTCACAGCATCAGCGAAAAATCAAAAGTTAAGGTCACAAGAAAAAAGGAACTGATCACAAACGAAAGAAGCTCTTGATTGTTAAACAAATTCTCTTTGTGGGTGCCACAGAACTTGTAAAGTGAACAACATGGAGAATATGCATACTGATATTAGACTGTTGAGTGTTACCATAATAAACCCTCCTAGATTCTTAAATTTTCAATGACAAACACAAGGATTTATCAATACCTTGAAAAGCGCCTGTCATACACTGTAAGTACCCAGTACGTACAGCTGTGGTGGAGTTCTTGTTGGTCATTCCTTTCTGTAAAACATAACAACACACCATACTTGTGAAATTGAAATCTGACCTCTGTTTCAGTAAAAAGACAATCATATGTTTGATAGAATTACTTCTAAAACATCATAGTTTTTTCCAAGTAGCCTAAAGTTAACATAAATGTCATTTTCCTTTTTGCTGATTTGAATTTTATTTTTAAGGGATAACGTTTTGGGAAAAAAAAAAAAAAACTTTGAGCTGCCTTACAACAACTGAACACATTGAGCTCTGTCAAACACAATCATTCAACTTTTTTCTGTTTTTGTAAAATAAACTAAGGGTTTAGTTCTTTTATTTCTGCTTCAACAAAAGAATTCCAGAAGCATAGAGATGTGACCAGATGATTTTCACAACCTCTGCTCTTGCACCAGTCCTTTAACCTTACAACTTAGAAACAGCTAAAAATTGAATATTTATCAACAATTTGAAAATCAAATGCTATTTTTGAATCTCATGTCAAGCTACAGTTTAACAATAATGTCCTCTGATTCCTAAACAATTTTTAGTAAGATGGTTTATCTCCTCCTCTGACTATTCTCACCTTGAAGGCATCAACAAGCACCTTAGGTACTTGTGTGGAGAAGTGGGTACACCAGTGACTTAAAACTGATAGGCCATACACAACAGCTCCTTCATGCACTGTATGAATTATTCAAGACAAAGAGAAGGTTCACACAGATAAATATCTTATAAATGCAAACAACTTGGACCTAGTGCTGGTGATCATTTCTTTTCTACAACCAATCATTTTATTGAATGGAAACCTACCTAATGCTCTAATGAAAATTTCCAGTAAAAAATGATGACAAATTATTGATAAAGATCAAAATCTTTTTATAGCAACAAAAAAAGGGCAAAACCTAACATCATTCTTTTACTTCTCTACACAGATACTTATAACATTGCCTATAACCCAGACATGAGGTGTACAATCAACTCTCTTTAGGTCTCACATACTTATGAAATAAGTAAAATAGAAACCTAGAGCTGTCATTTCTACACAGTCAAGTTATTTGATAATTCGATACTCTAATTGTTCTTCTGAAAAAATCTCTCTAAAAAGAATGATACTTGATGGAAGTCCCAAAAGTGTAACACAAATCATTGAAGAAGTTGACTGTCTGGTCAAATAATTTCATTGGCAAAAATAACAATATTAATCTAAAAATCATATGGTCTCAGGATAAGGCCACACATTTAATTCTAAGAAAAAAGAATCCTCATGATCCTTCAGATAATGAAGCATTTCCAAACCTTCTTGTTGTAAATATTTCACAAGTTTTTCAGCAACAAGTTGGCTTAATGCTTGCACAGATGCATTTCCACTAACTGAATGGTGCTCCAGACTCTTTATCCCTAGAAACATTCAGAAATAATTTAATCATTTGAAAGTCAAAGGAGTCGAGAGCATTATTATAGATAACTGTTAGAGAATTGGCAACAGAGAAGTTTGCCATAATGTAGCATTAACTGTTTAGTGAATACATAACTAAACAAACCTTGAAGAACACCAACTCTGTCATTCCACTGAGTAAGTTTGCCTTCTGAACCTAAACCAGGCAATGTAACAGTTAACTACTGGTAGGGAACTTTTATCCAGAAAAGCTATCAACTATATGAAATGAAACATTTAATGCATTAACTCCTGTAAGTGACTGTTAGGCAGAATTTCCCTTATAATACCAAAATGAATACAATATGCAATACAATGGAGACAATTGATGAGAATAATGAAAAATATCCACTAGGGTATAATCAGTTGATCCAATATCAAATGATCCAAACTAACATTATAAAAATTGTATGGTAGACAGTAAGGAGAATTACTAATGAGATCTTGGGAGGATCTCAGGGTATATAATAATAAACTATATTTTTTCCAATGGTACCAATTACCTCACAGTTTTTGTCTTTTTTCTCCCAATCTTTGGCTGGGTCACTTAAACAACATCATAAGAAACAAACTATGCAATTCAATTCACTTGTGACAATTTTTGCTTGAGACCAAAGCATGCAAACCTCGCAAAGAACTTAGATGGAATTCATTGCTTGTTTCTTGTAATTGAATTCAAATTTTGTAAATTTTAAGTCTGTGACTCCAATAAGAACAGTGTCATGGGTTCTCACTCTACATTGTACATAAGAACATTGTCAATCAAAATATTGTTTGGTAGAGAATGTTCAACAAATCCTTACCATTAAGGACAGCAAATAAGTAGTTGATAAGTTCCTCCATTGCTCCTGGATCACTGCACTGATGTGCAAGATTCTTTAAGATTAACGTAGCCTCCTGTCTGTGGAGCTCTTCTTTAGCACGCAGCTGACCAACAGTGTTTTTACAGATGTCTAAAGCATACTTTGATAAATCAATTGAAACTGAAGAAATTAAGTAAGCAGCACCTGAATAAAAAAAGGAAAAATTTATATATATCAGTATAATTGTGTGAAGACCATAAATATTAAATGGTAAAAGTCATTATAAGAAGAAGATAAATGAATAAGAACTTCTTGGCATCTCTATTAGTACTGCCCATAGACCAGGTTAAAAACAAATGTTTCCATCTCTGGTTTGGTTAAGATTAAACCTTAGTTAATAATTAAGAAATGAAATGCTTATTTCAACCCAGGACACTTTAAACTCTTCTCCTTCTATTGGTGAAAAGTTGTTTTAGTTTACTGTTTAAAGTAATATCCTGGAAAGTTATTCATTCCCAGACACAAAGTTCAATGATGCCTTATTCATGCTACAATTTTAGGATGACAAGGGGCCTATAATAGGGATTTACAATCTGGAAACTGAACTCTACATTTGAATTTAATTGAATTTGTAAGTTTTGTTCAGAGAATTATTCCTGAGCAAAAGCATGTAATTAATCCATCACTTACTTTCAAGAACCACCTCTGGGTTTCGCAGCAGAGATTTCTGTAATGCTGGTAAGATTAAACTGCTGAAGTCATCATGGGTGACGTGACTGAGCAAAGGGGAAATGTTCACCTGGAGGAATCAAAGGTCAAAAGTCACAGTAGTAGAGCAAAATGGTAATGAAGGGTATACAAAGCATATCCCTGCTTCTGCACTCAGCATTTGTTCAAACTTTGTCAGAATTATTTTATATAAAAGATCAAGTGTTGAGCCCAACTATTCCACAATTTTATTCTTACCAGGACATGATGGGAGGGTCTTGTCTTGCTATTAATCACAGCTTTCACATACATTTCCAGCAATGTTTTCTGCTCAAAAAAGAGATTATAACATTATTACCCTTAACACCCTAACATCAGAATGCACATTCTCCATAATGTTCTCTATACATTTCCTAAGATGCTAACAAGGAGAATTTGTTTCAGCTTTTTTGTTTGGTGATCATTTCCTTTATTTCTGTGCCCTTAATGTGTGATTCAGGGGTGATATTGTAAGGAGAGCATAAAAAATAATATGCTAGTTACTCTGAGGGGTAGAAAGGGTAATATGGCTCATGGTGAACATTTCTTGTTCTATCTTACCTTAAATTTACCTATTGTTTCAACATCTTTATTTTTGGTACAAAAATTAAATAGCAGTCCAGTCAAGCAACAGTTTTCCTGAAAAAGAACAAAATCAGATCGGGGAAATAAGTGTTCATAACAACTCGTTCTAATAGTCTAAATGGACGTAATTTTTCATCGACTTTATTGACTCATAATATCATCAAAATCAAAATATCTTATGTTGTACAACAGGTCAAAGAAAATCTACCACTACAGAGAAGAAAATACTATACTGCATTTTAATTTATCTCATTGCAATGTACCATATGAAGGTTTACCTGTGATGCCTCCAATTTGCTGATGGCTTCTGCATATTTAAATGTGATTCCTGGAACCTGGAAAAATATGTAAAAAAAAATTCAGATGATAGTGACGACTACATGAAATAGTGCTCAAACATTCATCATAATAACACTTTAATGAAAGGGCAAGAGTATATCAAGCTAACTAAAACAGGATCATGAATTTCACATCTCTTCATGCCAGACAGCAAATACTCAGTGAGAGCATCACATTATCAAACCAAATATTCTGGGCTTTGCCTTGGGCCAAGTTAACACTTGTTGTTTGTTGTGGTAAAGGTGATATGGGGTTGTTACTCTTTTTCTCAACTAATTTACCCTTTAACCCCCAGAGGCAATCAACATGTAACTTCTCCCAATAACATCCATAAATTATTCACCAAACAGTAATGAGAATACTCAAAGGTATTAGGTAAACACTATTTTCTTGATCCAACACTTAATTCTCATAACTAATTAACAGGGGGGTGTGTAGCAGCTGGAGGGGAGAATTAATATCAGATCTTGGGAGTGAAGGGGTTAAAAAGAGTAATCTGGCTTCATCTCTTTTCAATCAAGTTATGTTCTAAGCCTTGCCCTGTGACTTTCAAAGTTGCATCCAAAATGATAAGACAAAGAAAAACATAGTCTATCTTAGAATCACAAGCCAGCTTTCAATACTGTACCTCTCTCCAGACTTTGTATAATTTTTTCTTTCCTGCTTCACAAACACAAGCTGTTCCAGCAGACAGAACTCCATGTAGTGCCAGACATTGAACCTGTACCAGTCTGATCCATTGTGCATCCTTACACAATTCAGTCTTGCTGTAGACATGTCTGGCAAGGACACATGACCAACACAAAAGAACAAGATTTGAACCGCTGTTCACATAACTGCAACAAAATCCACAAAAACAGATTTAAAAGTTAATTTTACAAACAGCAACAGCATTATAAGTTGTACAAGCTTAGAATAAAACGTAATAACTACTACCTCTGGGACATTCATTTCAAGTTTCAAAATACCATTAAAGTCTGCCTGCATCAAGCAAGCACCAAAGATCCCTTTACAAGTTCAAATAAAGCAATTATTTGAATGTCTGAATGTTCACTGTTTGTACAGTCAAATGAAAAAAGTGTATTATTCCACACCTAATGAGAATTGACCTTTAAAGATCATAGTGTCTCAGAATTTCTTGAAAATATATAAATCTCTCAAACTTTTGAAGAGAGAAACCATCAATGAGGACAAAATCAAATTCAAGAAAATGGAACTTGTAAAGGAAAATTCAATACTTGTTGTCCAAAATTTAAAAAATCTATGTCGGCTACGACTTACAGGTTCAGCCAGCACATTGTGGTATAATCAGTTAACTCAAAATCTCCTTGGATAAGTACTTGATTTTTTTAAAGTTTAAATCCAAGAAAAATTCTTACCTTTGCGCTGATGAGGTTATATGTTTTTCAACATCAGAAAACACTATACAAAAGTATTTGACAGCATTCACACCTAATTAAAAAACAAGGGTTTGTGATTTCAATTCAAATTCAAAACTGATACAAAAGATATAACCAACTTCAAACATGAAAAACATAAAACAGACAAAAATTGCTATGATGATGGTATATACTGGTAAATTGCAAAATATACTGAGTTCAACAAAAATCATGCATCACCAAACTCTGAGCCCAATATCACCTACTTTGCTTTTCTGCCAACACTCTAAGGACTTCTTCAACCCCTCTTCTAGACTGGTTATCTCTATAAAGAGAGGTAATTACTAATTTTAAATTTTAAACATTTGACATTCAAATCTAACCTTGAAATTATTAAAAATAATACATTTCATTCAGAAATTTACATTTGTGGTCAGCCCTCCATACCTTTTAGTGACCACTGAGTTTATTGCAAAGTCGAAAATGTAAAGAACAGAGAGAACAATGTTCACATGTACTACTGATTCTTGTCTGCAGAGTATGGTAGATGCACTTGCAATTTTTTCCCTTTTCACCATACAATTTCACATGCGAGAATAGCCTTTGCATCCTTACAGCTCTGCCACACTTTGCACAAAGGATAATGGAGAAATCTAGAAACTGACTAAAATACTATTCCATAACAAACAAAAGTTAATAACTATAATGAAGGGCTAATGCTCTAAATATCAACTTTTGACTATTGTAAAAGTTTCAAAGTTTCACTCACAGGCTAACACAAGGAGTAAGTCATTTCTTCAGAACTCATTATTTTCTATAAAACACAGGTAATCGTTTCTGGAGAAATACACATCAACAACATTTAAATTACCATCCAGGAGATTAGTGTTGACAAAACAAACTGCGCTATCCACCAGATGGAGATTTATCCAGTGGATGGTGTTACCTACCCTTTGAGCAATCAGAGCCTGGCCTTGTAAAGGTTATCAATTACCTGTAACGATGTTGTGTTAAAAATATCAACTTGATCACTGCTTTTACTCCAGCCTCAGAAAAATCTACAAAATCAAATAGCAAGAATTTTGATAGGGAGGAGCGAAACAATAGTGAAATGAGGCAATGATCAACATCATTTGATCAATTCCATCTCCTTTGGTCCGGAGGATCCCTCGCCAGTACCCCCACCGGACCATCTTGTGTAGGTTTTACGCCAAATCAATGCAAACCCCAAATAGAATCTTCCCAAACCGAAAAATGTTCACTAGAAAATGCATGGCTTCGACGAGTACTTGAGATTTCGTCGATGATAGCCCAAACAAAACCTTTAGGTTCCTCATCATCATATACCTGAGTGACAACAACCGCCGCCCCCACCCCCCTCTCCCGTCCCAAAATAATTCAACTGGACCTATGGCACCACGTGAATCGACCAGTACGTTGTTTCCAAAGCAATTAACAAATCACGCAATAATCAAGTCATTTTCCGCGACATTCAAGATAACATTTAAATATTGATCAAAACACTCGTGAATACTTAAGATCGATCATTTTTCTGTACATACATAGTTCACTGAAATTACAACAAATTGTAGCATACCCTGTTTCTGGATGCAAGGCAATAGAAGTTCCTCACAAACGTGTCGCCTTTCCTTCGTACTGGAACTTGTGATCTTGTTGACGCATTTCTTTAAGATTTCAATCACCTATAAAAAGTAATATATAAACCGTAAAAAACATGTGGGCATCCGGGATATCAGCAGTAAACGGGAAAAAAATCAGAAACTCTCCAAACTTTACCTCGGCCGCCATCTTGGCCACGTACTTTTTGAGCCCACAATCCATTTGCTACGAGTTAAGAGTTACTTCATGTAAGTTTTAAGGTAACAGGCAAGGACATGGCGGCAAAAATGCACTCGGATGTGAGTCGAAAGTGGCAAACTCGTTTGCCTAAACACCCAGTTTTCCGAGAGCTCTCTGCAAGGGTTGGTGAAGGAAATTCAAGAGAAAGAGAGGAATCGCCGGAAAGGATATCAAAAAACATTTTAATAGAAAATGATGGTGAAATATTTTTATGGAATTCCTCGAACACTCGTGTACTGACAGCTAATCTGAAAAACTTACATTTTGAAAAAGAACGGCCTGCTAAGTTCCAAGTAAGTTGATAAATCTCTATGATTCTATAGGGTTGACTGACTGATTAGCTAATTGAATTACCGAGTGACTGTTAATTAACTGAGTGAACTAGTGACAGACAGTGGGTTACTGACTTACTAATTGGATCGAACGATTGATAGTTTTACTGGTTGCTGGGATGATTGAGTGATGGGTGGAAAGATTGACTGAAAGTCCAATTGATTTTTGGAGAGATTGATTGATAGATTGACTGATAGTTTGATTGGTTAGTAGAGTGATTGATAGACAGAATTATTGACTAATTGAATAATTAAGTAGTTGGACTGCAAGACTGATCAATTGCCAGATTTAACCTCTGATTGATTCTTTCATCAATTAATTGATAGTATCATTGACTGATAAAATGGTTAACTGATTTTTCTCCTTCAACCCTTTTGACATGATCTATGAACATGTATTATGACTTAAAGAACTTTACTGGTAAGGTCAGAACAAAATCACCCCAATTAAAAAAAAATTCCACAAATGCATATGGTTTTTTGATGAAAGGAGACAATGGCAAAAACAATGGATAAGCTTTGGGACTGGGGTTTTGTTAAGAATAGAATAGAGTGGTATATACTGAAACCTGTCCAAATGTTCCCATACTAGACCCATTACACCCTAACATCAGTATACATGTATATTCTCCACACTTTCCTTTACTCATTTTTGTGGTATTTACAAGGAGAAATTGTCAGATAATCAATAACTTTATTAGGTAGTGATCATTTTCATTATTCTCATGACCTTAGTGATTCAGAGTTGATTTCACAAGGAGAAATAAGATGACAGTCACTCTCAGGTGTTAAAAGGTTATAAATGTAAAATCTCTGTTTAAATTTTGTCCACAGTCTTTTGTATGCACTGAGGCTCCTTTATTTGATGTGCATTCCATGCTGTTCAGTGCTTCGTCAAAGTACCTTTTGCTTGTAGGACAAAGAGGAATAATGGTTCTTGAGATGCCAATGAGATGGGGAAAGTTTGCTGCATATGATGGTGGCAGTGAATCAGTTCTCTGCAGGTACACTGTTTTAGCTGTGAATCTCTGAATTTGCTGACCACATAACCATTTAGGTCCAATATGTGAACAGCTGATGAGAATAGACCAACTCATCAGCTACATGGTAGAGGGAGCTGACTTGATTTAAAACCTAATTTTCTTGACTAATTTACAATAAAAACTAAAGATAGTTAGAAGAGAGAATTGTCAATCTGATCATGGGAGTGAAAGGTTAAAGTGAAATTTATTATTTTACCCAGAGTGTTCCATTGCTTCATTCAGTTGTGCTTATAAATAAATGGAATGGTTATATGGTTATTATTTTTTTTTTTTCAATGCTTTCAGCCTCCAGACATGCTATCTTTAATTTACCTGTTCATAAATGATTTGTTTCAGGACAATTCCTATTGATTCAAGATTCTTTGTTACAAATCACAAGTTAAAGGTCCTTGATGTCAAATGGCATCCAGGAAGCCAAACTGATACTCATCTTATGGTGCTTACATCAGACAATAACTTGAGGTATTCTGTGGTTTTAGTTATTGCTTTACACCTAGCATCAGTATGCATATTCTCCATACTGTTCTCAGTAAATTTCTAAAGGTGCTGACAAGGAGAATTGCTTAACAATCAAGAGGCTCTTTAGTTGGTGATCATTTTCTTTATTCTCGTGTCCTAAGTGTGTGATTCAGGGGTGATATTGTTGGGAATAATTAGGTGCTAATCATTCTTTGGGGTCAACGCATTATTGAAAATCAAATTTTTGTCGATAAAAACTTGATAAATGAACCTCCTTATGGAGGCAGCCTGAGCAGTGGTGTAGTTTATTTTCCTTTTGTCAATTTGTTTTTATTTCATCATCAATTTGGTTTATCTTCCTTTTTACAATCTGTTGTCTTTGACAGACTTTACAACATCCTCAAGCCATCTTCGCCGGAAGAAACCATTTCCTTAGGGGAGTCCTCTTCCCTGACGGCTGAATACAGTCAGAAGTCAATATCTATTGGATCTTCATTGACATTTGCAGCTGCTCTTGGAGAGAAAGCAATTGCATTTGATTTTGCACCAGCTGTTAGAGATACCAACCCAAAAGCAAGACTAAGCTCCAGTGATTCTGAACCAGATGTTGCTTACCCTGTTTTCATTTTGAGAGAAAATGGAGACATCTTTTATCTTCTTCACAGAATCTCTCAGATCCGGTACATAACCCTTTACTTTTCAATAGTAACCAGAACTATATCAGTAGTTTTATACTTATAAGTCTTGGTAATGCTGACCTCAAATTTCAGCAGTGATACTTCACACAAATAGTCCTTAGAAAGAGAACAAAATTTGCTTCTGAAATTGCTGCACAAAATATTACTTCATTTATATGTAATTCTCTTTCAGTGACCTACATGTATGTGTCAATGTATTTTTGTATTGGATCCTTCACTAGAATAGAATAGTTTGCTTTTTCTTCTCCATACTAACCCACCTACTATTGAGGTGGTGTTACTTTTGATGTTATCTTTACTTTAAATGTGTTGATTTACTTGTGCTGTAATCTGTACTTTTACGTATTATTTTGAGCTGATTTACATGCAACTTATACTATTGTGTTTTAAGTACCAGTAGGGTATGATATCTGATTTCCTCCATTTTAACAGGCATCAACCAAAAGTTTATGGTCCTGTTACAATGTTCCCTGCAGCAGATGATAATTATGGTCAGGATTCTTGCTCTTTACTGTGTCTTCAGTGTCAACCCCCTGTTATTGCCATGGCAACAGCAAGTGGAAAAATTTATCACTGTATTGCTTTGGAATCTGAAGAATCTGATGATGCAGAGGAGGTATTTTTTGTTCCTCTACATTTCTCAATAAAAACCCTGTGTTTCAACGTTATTAATTGTTTTTTAACTAGTTATTTACTAGGTAGCCATGGTAACTTTATCGTAACTTTAATGAGATGATGATACAAGCATCAAGTTGTATGTCAAAGGTGTTAAAAAGCTGATGTATTTTCAGGAAGAAGTCTCCTGGAGCAGACATGAACAGACTCAAACCAATAGCTTTCACGGAAAGCTTTCACTCTTGGTTCATGAATGTGTTGAACTCCAGCTGTCTTTACTGGATGATGGAACAGGATCCCAATTTGATAGGAGCTCTTCAGAAGAGGAGTCTGATGAAAATGAAAACTTGTTCATTTTGAGACTCCAGCGAGGTACCAGCCTGTGAATTTTTTATAGCAGGGAATACCATGCTTTATGGGATCTTCTTTAATAACAAATAGCAAACAAGATGTAGGAAGGCAGTGTGGCCAAGTGGTTAGGGCACTGGTTTGTAATCTGGTGGTCCCAGGTTCAAGCCTTCTACCCTGATACTCACTGATTGGTTCTCAGTTGCCCCAAGTTGAACTCCCTGGCTGCACTTCATATTTAGCTAACCAATCTGCCTTCTGCCAGTTGGAATTTTTAGACACTATGTTTATTCATTCATTTACTTTTTCATATTCGCCCTGAACAACCCCATTGGGGAAGTGGTCAATTAAGTGTATATTCAAGTATACAGACATCTTTCACTGAAACCATAATAATATAATCAACTTTTTTAGTTAGTAATGATGGAACCTGCTATGAATTTACTCAGGAAACTGAAAAACTTCAGTAGGTAATCTAGAGTTTGTACTTGTCTTGAAAATCCTTGAAATTGTTAAAATTTCTAGCATCATTTTCTAAGCCTGGAAAGCTGAGGAATTTGAGTGTGGACCATAGAAAGTCATGGAATGTTTTTAGTTGAAAAGAGTGTAGACACTGTAGTCTTTTGAAGGTAAATATTGTATTATAAAGTTGTTGAAGTGGCTCCAAGTCTCAAAATTTGTTTCCCTTCAGATCCAGTGTCTCCTTATCTGTATCACTGTTCTCATATTGCTGGAGTACACACTGTTTCATTGCCTTGGACCAAGAAACTACAGAGTTTTTGTGTGCAAGGTAAATTTGGGCAGATGGAAAACTAGTTTGCAGAGTGTTAATAAGCATTTCAAAATCAAGCAGTGTATGTACAAAACATCATTGAAAATACTCTTTATATGTGGAACAGCATCTAAAATATATTTTCTCTGTGACATGAAGAGCTCTAAGATATAGGAAAAATGTCTATGATATGTGCCTACCATATAGAGATAGTGGCATGTGGGGATTTTCAGATTTTTCTTAACCCTTTAAGTCCCACTAGTGACCAAGACAGAATTTCTCCTTACACTATCAATATGATATCAAGCAGACAAGTAATGAGAGTGAAGAAAAATATCAATTAGGGGATTATTGGTTGATCCAATACCAAATTCTCCAAATTAGAATCATATGAATTGTATGGCAGACAGTAAGGAGAATTACTAATGAGATCTTGGGAGTTAAAGGGTTAATGTAAAAAGGTAAATTATTAGTTAATTGAAGCATTTTTTCCCAAATTTTGACTCTTTTCCAGATGATAAGAGTTACTTTGACATTGATGAAGCAGCCACTGTTTATCACATGATATGTACATCACCAACAGCAAGGTATGTAAGGATTTGGTGATAAATAATCATGCTCAGGATTTTTCATGGTGGCTGTATTAATTAAGGCAAGTTGAGAATGCTTATTTTGATTTATGAGTTTATTATGTAAACTTATTGTGTTTTTTTTGCACACGTTGTTTCAGTGCACTATCTCCAGTGCTTGGTGTTGGTGTGATAAATAGCAAAATCCTTGGTTCTGCAATACTATGTTTGACCTCAAAGATGGAATGTATTGTTCAACCTTTGAAGTAAGAATTATTGACATATATCTCTGTTTACTGTGAATCAATTATAAAGTGCATTGGTGATCAAAAATATTTCACAAATTACCCCTTAAATGCAGTAGATAAAATTACTTGTGAAAAGTTTTAGAAAATTTACAGTCATGTTCTTGTCAATGTCAGCTTTACAAACTGGTTTATTCTTTCAGTTTCTTTTGTATTAAAAATAGTTTGGTCTTTGTATTTCCTATTTAGTTTGTTAGATAGACCATTTTCCCCTCCAACAACAGATGCAGACCTAGAAACCAGCCATGAAAGGTTGGTTTGTCAGTTTTATGTAAAGATTAAAAGTTTCCTCAATATTTCCTCTCTTCAAATTAGACATTTCTGGGGACCTAAGATCATGGAACATTGTTATTTATTAACCCTTTAACCCCAGAGTGATAAGCTCACAATTTCTCCCAACAGTATCACCCCTGAATTAAACATTAAGGTCAAGAGAATAAAGAAAATGACCACAAGGTCAAAAAGCTCTCGATTATTATGCAAATTATCCTTATCAGTACCATAGGAAACATGTAAAGAACAGTATGGAGAACTTATAAACTGATGTTAGGATGTGATATCTTACTCATGGGCTTCTTCCTAACATGTTATTTACAGTGCTGGGCCTTCACCAATAAGGCTACTGAATGTTGGATTATTCAAAAGCCAGATTGAGAAAATTCTATTAAGAAACACATCAACTCCATTGTTACAGTGAGTGCATAACTATGCTATGAAAATATATACAAAAATTAGACATTTAATTGATAACTAACAATTAATCTATGAACCCTTTAACCCCTTACAGTGACTTGAATCTGATTTCTCCTTGAACAAACTTTAAGGCCATGAGAATGAAGGAGATGATCACCAACTAAAGATGCTCTTGATTTTTTTAAAAAATTTTCCTTGTCAGCAGTTTAGGAAATGTTTAGAGATTTTGGAGAATATGTATACTGATGTTAAGGTGTAAAGGGTAAATAAGCAACTCAGGTTTTAAAATTATGATGGCCCTCTCCACCCCTTAAATAAGCGTAGTGTTAGAGAGGAATTCTCAGAAGTTTTTCTTGCTCATGTTTGTTTTGTTTTTCCTCTTTGTTTTGTTTTTTATCTTAACTGATATAAAATGGCATTAATCTTACAGGGGTGGTGAAGAATCTGAAAAAATCTCACAGCAAGACCTTTATCAGCTGCTTACACAAGCACAAGAAATACTAAGAAAACAGTACATTCAAAAACAAAATGAAGCTAGGGAAGAGATAGAAAAAAGGTAAACATTGTGCATCACAAGTACTAATAATGTACAGTAATTAAAGAAATTGGTAAGTGCTCCAATTTAAGGCCAATTTTGCTGTTAGACTAGTCCAGTGATTACAAGAGTTGTGGTGAGAGGTATTTAGTATCCAGAAAGGAAGATAATCTTGAGGACAATTTTGGCTGTTAACCCTTAAACTCCTTAAAGTGACTTGGATCTAAGCTCTCCTTACAACATCACTGCTGGATCAAATATTAAGGTCAGGAGAATTAGGAAAAATGATCGGAAACTAAAGCAGCTTGTGATTGTGAAACAAATTCTCCTTGTCAGTATCATAGGAAATGTATCAGGAACAGTATGGAGAATATAAATTGATGTTAAGGTGTAAATGGTTAAATGAGACAAACAAGAATATCACTTGGAAGACTGTAATCTCAATTATTGGCAACACTGCAGAAATCTGAAATGATATGCAGGATATAAATCATAGGGAGAAAGGGAGAAAGCTATCCAGAAGAAAATCATAATTTTACTGACAGCCATTTATTAAGTACTTAAAATGAAAAAAATATTTTTTCTAGGATCTCAATCCTAAAAGATCAGAAAGCACAGCAGACCCAAGATTTGAAAAAAATTAAAGATGTCAGCAGCTACCTCAGAGACCAGGCTGAGAAACTGGCAGAAAGACTGGTGGATACTTCAGATAAACATATGCAACTTGTCCAAAGGTAATATCGCATTTGATGATAGGCTAATGTATAATCTACCTTCTTTTGTAAGAAACATTCTCTAACCAGACACACAATAACACCTCAGGCAAAGAAAAATCCTATTTTTAACCTCCCAAATAGGATACCTCTTTTCTTTGGACACTTTTGGTAGCCCCAAGGCTTTCTGCTAAGATCCAACTGCACCATGTACCGGTACTGTTTGTTTGAAGTGCTGTAATCAATTAGTTTCATGGTGTTGAAACTATCTGTCATTAGAATTTTCATAGGTTGAAGTAACCTCAAAATTCCCTTCCAAATCACCTATTTCTAATAAGAAAGTTAAATGAACATGGGTTGCTATCTGATTTCAATGATTTTGTGCTCAACAGTTATCATGCCTAGTGTAAGAACTATCATATTGCTTGCAGACTGGAAGCTCTCTACCACTATGCTCACCATGGTATTCCAGTTCTCTCCTGTGCTGAGACTAAAATGAAAGAAGAGTTAGAGGACATTGAAAACTTTTTGAGGTTTCACAAGGACTCTTTACAACAGGTAAGACTGTTTCAAGCTGAATTCATACTTCATTGATTGTCCAATAAATTCTCACAGTTTGTCAGTGTGCCAAAATTGGCAATATAAACTATGAAACGTGAGCCATGTTGGTGTACCAAGTCAGTCCAGTTGATTTGAACACTTCTCCTAAAATAACACCAAACACTTTCTTTTGTTCTAATAAATGTCTGAAGTGCTATCAAATTCAGAAACGTTCCATTTTTAATTCAAGAAGAAGTACTTCAGAAGCATGTTATTTCTATTATCATAACTTCATACAATTTACACAAATTAATTTTGTTGGGGTACAGAGGGAGGGGAGGGGAGTGGGAGTGGTGGGTTGGGGAAGAGCAAAGATTCTTCAAAGCATTTTGCATTGATCACAAAGTTTGTTTCTTAATTTGATTCACAATTATTAATTATATACTGAACATAAGGAAGATTCCATCTGTCTTCTGCTTTGACAGTAAATACCTTAAAGTCAAATGTTTTTGGTTGCAGATTAGATTGAAACATTTCTACTCCAAGAGAAGTCCAAGAAGGTCATCATCTTCAAAGTCACCATTTGTTAATGCATCACAGCAGAGTAACATTAGGAAAGTGCTAACTGAAGAGTGAGTACACTGCCAGTTAAAATTAATCATAAATCCCTTCCATTGTACATGTATATCATTATATAAATAGGAGCATTAGAAATTTGGCCATGTTTCAAAATTGTTTCCTGTTTGACTCAGCTGTTCCTCAAACCTGCACTGCTTCCTTATTCAAGATCCTTTGTTCTTCCTGCATCTGAATGCTTAGCATATTAACACCTCAACCCGCCACAAACTAGCAACGACTTTCTACTTTGATTTTGAAAATAAATTTGTTTTTATTTCCTGATGATGGAAACAACACACATACATGTAATTTGTAAGCTTTATTTTTACATCATGAAGGCTTTTGCTTATCCTTTGCAGGAGTGAAGCGATTTCTGACCTTGTGAATCAAGTTAAAGAGCTAAAACTTCAAATTGGACTATAATTTTACAATATTAGTCACAAGATCTTGTCAGAGCTGCAAATAACTTTTCATAGAAGAGATTTGTTTGATCAAATGGCTGTTCACACTGTGAATAGCATTTGTGTAAATTGAAGTAGGCTGAGGTGAAGAGAGACATTGTAACTGCTTATCTAAACCTCTAATTTGTAAAATTTTGTGAGTAGTAGTCACCTGTTTTTTGACAAAAAGCAAGCCAGAAATAATTGTAAAGAAGCTTGTCAATAACTTCTATCAGTCTAAACACATTAGCAGTAAAGCCAACTTAACTTACTTGCAGGAATAAACCTGATGTAGTTACTCAGTCCTTTAACCCTTTAACTCCTGTGAGTGACCAAGACAGAATTTCTTGTTAGTTTATCTATATAATATTATGCTGACAAATGATGAGAATAAAGAAAAATATCAACTATGGGAGTACTGATTGATCCGATACCAAATTCTCCAAACTAACATAATGAGAATCATTTGGCAGACAGTAAGGAGAATTACTTATGAGATCTTGGGAGTTAAAAGGTTAAACATCAACTTTACTACAATGTTTCATCTGTCTAGAATGTTAAGTACCTAAAAAGCCCCACTATATAATAAGGCCCTCCCCCCCCCTCCTTCACCTCTCTTTCTCTCCTGTACCTCATTATTGGGGTTACACAAATATTCATATTTCATGTTACAGACACTTTCTTAAGGGGTAGAGATCCACCAATGGATAAGTTGCGAGGTAAATTTTGTTTGTTGATAGATTTGAATGTCCTTTTGTCTTCAGGCTTTGCTGTAGTGTAGAACTTGATAACATCCCTTACAATGTTCATTTCATTTAACTGGAAATTGGGAACCAAAATTCCAAACTCCTCATAACATCTGTTGAGAATCTAGAGGGAAATATCAAAATAGTGATAATCAATAATTGCACAATAATTTTAATTTATTAACAGAACAATATGAAAAACATGCTATACTTGTGACTGGCTATAAGATGCCTGGAAATTTTTCACAAGGTAACACATAGAACACACCACATAAGGGATTAACCTTGCCTCAGTCATTAACCCCTTCACATCCAAGATCTCTTTAGCAATTCTCCATACTTTTAGGTCAGAGGATTTAGTATTGGATCAAATTATAATCTAATTAACATTTGTTGATATTCTCGTCACTTGTGTGCTCAATACTGTATTGATTTTGAAAGGAGAAAGTATGTTTTGCTCACTGCTTGGAGTGAAAGGGTTCATGTTATAAACCATGGTGTGAAAATGTTGTAGCTACTCCCTCAAGGAATATTGCCCTACTTTTCTTTCCTTCAAAGCTGCTAAAATGAACAAAAATAATTACTTACTTTACTTTTCAGGCAGAGTTCTTGGTGACACGTACCTTATATTTTAAAACCAAATCTTTAACCGACTGATCTCTCCAATTTTCGTCGTCAGGCATAACTTCTGTGACAATATTTTCTAGTCTTTCCACAATTTCCTGTTTCTTCATGCTGTATACAGCTGGTTTTTCAACTTTTACAAATTGAAAATAACTGAAATGATTGAAAAAGAACATTGACCATTTAAAATCACATAATTCTGGCCAAGTTGGGTAGAACTGCACACAAGACTGACATCCAAAGCTGCAAGAGCATACCAACTCCAACAAGTTTCTAAATCTTGAAAATTGTTCGAGATTTTCTCCAAAGTACATAACTAAATTAATAACCCTCACACGTGCAAAATTACCTCTCGGGTGTTTCATCCTCCTCTTCGGGTGGTCCCTCTCCGAAGACAAATTTTTTCACTCTGTCTAAAATACGGTCTTTTTTTGTTACATCTGTACTTAAATAAATTTTATAAACTGTCCTTGAAACACCTCTCAGCTTGGTAAGTCTACCACAACTACCCCTCAGTATGGACGCCATGTTGGATAGTGACCACGATGCTCTACGGTATTGGCAGTACCTCATTTGTTCAGACATGATTCCCGCGTCACGCGTGTGCAATACACCCAAGTTTACACTGGTTCACTTTTAACCAAACTCAAAACTTAAACGTTTGATCTTGATTGTATAAATCAGGAATAAGTAAAAGTGGCAAGAAATGAGTAATTTATGTTATGTCGGACTTCAACCCTTTGAGTCAGAATTTTTCTCTTGAGTCTAGCCTTCTTCGAGAACCTGCACATCGGCTGTAACGTTACAGCTGAGAGCTTTTGTGGTTGCGTGAAGAGAATATCGACCAATTAGATCGTATTTCGTGACAACAGAAGCCTTCTATGTAAATATGGGTGTGCTTATCACCATCGGATGCCCCTAGTGCCGGTCTTTGCAAATGTCACCCAACACTCTGAACACCGTGTAGTTCTTCAAAATTCAAATTACACCTATTTCAGGAAGCTAGAGTTCAAAAATAAATTCTGTTTAAAGGGAATCACCCACGCGCGTGTGATGCTCAAGCTGTGGGCAAAGAGCTGAGAGGGAAAATTTATTATGATATTTTATTCCGAAGATCAAATTGTCATAGACGTGCAGTTTCATTTACGAGTGGACGACTCGCAAGTTACGGCCAGTGATCAAGCATGGATGTCCTTTCTTCTCAATACTCACACCATATTCAGCTTTTTTCTCATAATAATTATCACCAAACTCGGAATTCTTCGATCCGTCAAGATCAAAAGTGTACAAGTTGATATCCAAGTTGTTGATCATCCAGGTAAGATGAAGTCTTTATTATAACTTAACTACAAACCGTATGTTCCCCAAACACAGTTGACATACGTTTTTTTAAATGCACTTCGAAGATTTCAGTGTCTAAATTGAAAGTAAATGTGTTACGTCTCCTCGCGATGTACAAAAAGGATTCGTCTGTATGTTTTACAATCAACGACAGTAATAATAAATTCGCCAAGCCCTTTTCCCGACGCGGAGTTAAGCAGATGCAAATTTTTTAATCATACGATGTTAATCTCGACTTTTCATTGGTCGATCATTTTCGCATAGTTATTTGAATGTGCAAAATAAAATAGCATTGGGTGACTCTGATTAAGATTTTGAGAACATGCTTCAAATCAACTATTTTCATGACATTTCTCGTTTAAAGGAAGGCAAAATTTTATTGCGTGACTTAAAAAAAAAGAAAACTAAAGCTAATTGCACGCTTGGAAGAATGTAAATAAAGCTGGTCTTGTGAGAGGTGTGTGCACCTTCTTAAAGCAAACTCCACCGTCCATTCAGAAATAAAAACTTTCTGATCACAATCGCCCTTTCGTCACTCAAAGCGAGTTAGTGTTTAGAATATTTACACGTTAAATGCAATTAGGAATTTCCAAGTTTGTTCAATATTTTTTGATATGTTAATTTCAGTAACAGACTAACTGATGCGCAGCGAAGTGTGGTTTGCAAATTTTTTAATAAATCATCAAGGCTATGCCTTTTGTATATTAAACGCAACGACTGTGGAACGGAAAATAGACATTAGGATCCGAAAAAGGAGGAGGGTTTGAATGGGGGTCTGAGGAATGTTTCCTTAAGAAATGTTAAGAAAAAAGGCTAAAATCTACTCATAAAATTCTGATTTTTCTTAACGTTGTGAAGGCAAATATCAACAATGAACATTTAACGGTTAGTCTTCATTAAGAAAGGTAAACACTTTTGTTAAAAATTGTTTACGATATGTCTGCCGCTAGGACAGTTACCACACAAAAGGACAAAACTCACGTCCGAGCTTTGACCCTTTGACCCCTACAAGAGATTAGCATCTAATTTCTCCTTACAATATCACCCCTGATTCAAACATTAGGGTCATGAGAATGAAGGAAATGATCACCAACTTAAAAAGCACTTGATTGTTAAACAAATTCTTCTTGTCAGCACCTCATGAAACGGATACAGAACTGTATGGAGAATATGCATACTGATGTTGGAATGATGAGGGTCAGAGGGCTACTGTTAGATAAACAAATGCATGAAGTTTGAAAAGAAAAGAAAAGTAAAATGTTACCGTTCATTTGAAGTTACGCAGAAAAAAAGCGCGTTTGGCCAAAAGCTAAACAGCTGAGTAAAAACAAGTGTTTGTTTTGCCCAGCTGATCTGCTGATCAAACAAAAATTAACATCACTTGAAAGGCAAACAGCATGAAATTTACAAACTTGACGAATATTTGAAGTTTTTTATGCCTCAACGTTTTACAAAGAGACCAGCTAAATTAAAGTAATTTCAGCTCTGTTGGCCAAAAGTAAAATAAGAAAAATTAACCCTTTAACCCCTAAGAGTGACTAACCACCATTAAATCAAAAATAAGGCTGTGAGAATCAAGAAAATAATTCTCAACTTAAGAAGCTCTTGATTATTAAATAAAATACTCCTTGTAAGTTTCTTTGTAACTGTGTAGGGAACAGTGTGGAGAATCTTTACACTTATGTCAGGGTGTAAGGTGTCAAAACCCGCATAAAACAAGAGCACTAAAATTCTTACTTGGAGTCTGCTGAACTGTTTAAGCTCGTCACTTTTGGTTGCTGTGGTCATTATTAATTCAAACAAGTTCTTCATCGAACTTGCGCCATGAGTGATATCGTCTCTTATGCAAAAGGCTTCAGTATCGGCATAAACTTATGATCTAATTGGTGAGGTTTTTGATTCAGAGACGGCCTAGGAAGATTTTTCCTTCAAACAGATGGCGTTTGTTTTTCTTTTGTTTACGCCGTTAAAAACATGTAAAGCATAAGTATTTGGAAACACATATTGTTTAATCTTTCATTGGCGGTACCTCTTTTCTTTGGGCCAATTTTCTTCTCTAAACCACGTTCGTTAGAAAACTTCGATCACTCGCTCGTAAAGCTCGTTAAATATTCCACTCAGTAAAATAAAAAGGTAAAGTAGGTATACTCTTTACTTTGAAAGGCCCTGCTTGGCGTTTAGACGTAAAAACTGGCGGAGAACGCCGCCTTTACTCACAGTCGGCATGCCCAAATTGTTCAGATTCTTACATAAGAGCGGTCACGGTCATGGTCACGATGTGGTGAGGTAGACAACCAAGTTTGTGAGCATTGCGTGAAATTACTGAGGATTGGGAAATGTTCACCAAAGCATCTCTTTTTATAATTCTTATTTTACGTCCTTGAAACTGCAAACCTCTCAGAACCATTTTTCTTTCTAATTGCGATTATATTTCTGGATATCATAGAAAAACTTGTGTGAAATGCACCTGAAGTACTTTATTTTGATATATATATATTTTTTTTAATCTTACCCTTTACCGCATTGCCTTCGATATACTCTCTTGTCACGCCTTATGCAAGAGTTAATCGTGCGTGATCATAAAAGCCAGTATCCACAGGTTTGTCACAGAAAAAATATATGCGTTAGGTACGTGTTAATTAAATTAGATACAACCTTCAGGGTAGAAAAATATTTAAGGCCCTTATGTTTGAGGCTTTTAAATTCTTCATTAAAAAAAACGAACTTCTTTCGCTGCGTGATTTTTAAATTATTATTTCCGTGGTAACGTAATATGTTGCATAATCTAGCTGACATTCGCTTGCACGTGCACAGAAGACGGGTATCATTCAGTAGCCAATGAAATCTTAGGGAAAAATTCCCGGATGTAACATACCACAAAAACTATGTAAATGCCCTTCCTTCTTCCTTTCAGTGTGAAAGTACTGAAGGGAGTTTTCGTGTCTGTCGTGATAGCTATCCGAAAGCTTGTCAATTTTGTGTCTGCAAGGCATAGAAGATTAATAACGACATTACATTAAACGTCCTCGACCGTACTTAATTCTCCTTATCATGCGAGTGCACGCTGATGATGATCTTTCATTTTCCGGCTATCGACAACTGAACGATCTCAGACATGATTCCGCTTGGATAACATCTTGTGTTCTTTATGCCCACTCGGCAATCTGTCTTGTCGTGGTGGTTGCGTTTGCAAGCTACGGTATCGTTTGGCCGGTAAAGGAAAATTCGGATACACTACTGCACAAGACAACGAGGAGAGGTACGGGTTAACGAGTCGTCATCCTGGTAATGTACAAATGTTCAACTGAAAATTAGCATTTTGTCATCGCGTCCGCTCGACCGTCGCGGCCAAACCGGTTTCATCGGGTTTGTAACCAGTCGAAGCGGCACGTTTCCAGTCTCCTCCACCAACAATGGAGTGAAACGTCTTATTTGATATATAAATGGAGTATTTAGAGAGAAAGGCGATCGATTATCTGCTCTTTTGTGGGAAAGTAATGAAGTGTTGTTGTTCAGTTGACCCTGGTGTCTTCTCATCTTCGGTCACACTCCCTAGTGTTATGAAAGGAATTGGTCTCATCTATTGATCATTTTAAGAATTTTTCCAAGGGTTAAACGAGGGAAGACCTCTTTTCATGAGTAAAATTGTAAGGGCAGAAAATTGACTTTTAAATTTCATGGAATCACATTTTCAAGCGAATATTTCGTAATTGTTTACGCTGAAGGTGTTGGGAAATGAGTATGTTGGCGTCTATTGATTGGTGGCTTAAATCGTTCTCGCAAATAGTTTAAAAACACAACTGATTTTGCCAGACCAAAGGGTTAGTTGTGAGATTCATATGTCCTTTATATGCATGGTTGAAAGCACTGTGAAATAAATAATGCCAAGCCTGACACAGGGCCCCATTAAAACCAGCCTGTCTGGCTGTGGTGGGTTCACCCTGGAAATATCCATAATAAACTATCATTTCAAGAAGTTGAAAAATACCGCCTGGTGTTATTGTGATAACTGTAGAAAGCAACCTGCAATTTTAGAATCGATAGGGGTTTTGATCGAGTGGTTTCAAAATCGCAATATGGCTTGGTTTCGTGGTCTAGTACATAATAATTTTCGCTTGTCAACATGTTCCTATCGGAAGTTGGCAGTAGTTTCGTTGAAACACGTTCGAAATTATGTTTATCATTTTCTACTTGAGAAACGAATTTTGTTTGACGAGAAAAGTAGATGTTTTGAAGGGTGAGATAGTCATCCAAATAATGGGATCCTGCCACAACATATCAAATTTTTTTCATCGAATTTTGCCGTTGGACCGTAAAAGTACTGGGGCGTTTCTCTTAGGGTGTCACGTGAACGGCAAGTGAGCTCTAGTACAAAGTGTATGGAGACTCGTGTGACAATCTGTGAGGCCACCAATAGAAATTAAGTCTTTCATTTAAAAGGTAACCTGGTCAAAAATGAGAAACTTATTTTGTCCCGAAATAGCTTTTGAACCTGATATGTATCTCGTCATGCGGACATTCGGCTCATCTGACGTGTGGGAATCAACATTTTTATATTTCGATAGAACTTTCATATTCCCTCTCTTACCACTAAATTCATGAAAAAAAGCGAGAACAGTAAGCTAGATATCAACGAAATATCACTGGGCACGTGATCAGGGCTAAAAGGATGTGGCCTAAGCCTCCCTTCCCCTAGGACAAGAGCGAATCCTTCCCATGGGCCTCCGCATGCATTAACGCTCTAACGTGGATGTTGCGTTTTCAAGTGAAATTTCTCAACGCATTCTGTGACATGTCTCTTCCATAACAAAGAGTTAAATTGAGAGAAGAGCAATATCGTAATTGCATCTAATAACGATGCATAGTATTTTTCGAGGATCAGCGAAGACGCTGTCGTACAATTCCTACTCTATATCCTCGGCGATTGTCGGCAAATCGTTCGAAGGAGTGTCGACTCAATTACCTATTCTGTACAGTAAAGTTACAATCCTTGGATTTTATCGTTCGTTTTCGCATTCTCAAAGAGGTAAGGCAATCGGTACACAGAAGGGAGGTTACTTTGCAACTCTGGGAAAGCCATGGCCGAGAGTGCATCGAGAAACTAATCGATTTTAGTCACATGCCAACGCGAAACCTGTACCCTCTTAACTCTTAGCTAATCTTCACCTTGACGCCTATTGAGCGAACGGAGTCTGATAAATTTTTCACTGCTCATAATTTTCAAATAAGTTGAGGAGAAATTGAAATTGTTTCTTTTCATCTTCAGGCGCCCGAAGACTTGGAACCGCTGTAAGAAATTACATGCGAACCCTCCGATGGTTCAGTATCCCAGCGAGTGTTGGCTTCGCTTACGTTTGTTATCAACAATTCTGGCACATTAGGGAGAGAGAAAAACGTAAATTACATGCTGGTGAATCTCTCGAACCTAGTCAATGGCAGGTGAGGTTGCGTAACCGAGACGTCTTCTGGTGTCACGCGAGTTCGAGTTTCACTTAAACAGGTGACTTTTTAGCTAAATTACCCACTTTGTAATCATTTCAGGTTGCATTGTTCAAGAAATTGCCCACAAGAGCTTGTTCACGTGCTTTAGGAGCAGTTTGTGATATTGACTTGCCACCATGGTTACGTAAACCCATCATTGGCTCATATTCGTGGTATTTTGCCTGTAATGTTACTGAAGCTGTAGAGGAAGAAATTGTTAACTATTCAAGTCTCGGAGCCTTCTTCAGAAGACAACTTAAACCTGATGCAAGAAGAATCTGTGATGCAAGTTGTATCGTAAGTGCTCATTTTATTTTATGATTTGTCAGTAGGAAGGTGTCATTTTCTTCAAACATTTATTTCCTTTTCATAGGATCTTTTTAAATGGGTCAGTTGTAAGTTAATGGCCAAACTACAACTAATTTTCTGGAGCTGGAGGAGTAATCCTGTTTGAAACCTTGTTAAATTTCATTCACTCTTCCTAGGTGAGCCCTGCAGATGGTACTGTTCTGCATTTTGGTGAGGTGCAAAATGACTTAGTGGAACAAGTCAAAGGAATAACTTATTCAATGAAAACTTTCCTTGGACCTAATCAACCATCTGCTTCCACCTACACAAGAACTAGAGTCTAATGACAATAAAAAGCTTTATCACTGTGTTATTTATCTTGGACCCGGTGACTACCACTCCTTTCATTCACCAAGTGAATGGAATGTAAAGCAAAGAAGACATTTTCCAGGTTTGTCATCTTTTCATGCATAGTTCTTTTTCATGATTAGACCAAGAAGGCTAAAGTTTTTACTTAGTAGGGTACAATATTTTCCTGTAGCTAGCCTCATGTGACAACTTACAACACAGTTACCTTTCTTTTAAGAAGGTAAATCTTTCTCTTTAAAAGGAAACCTTCTGTAATTATCATTCGTTGTTCTCCTTTTTCCAGGAGATTTGTTTTCTGTGCATCCAGGAGTAGCTCGTATGGTTGCTGGTCTTTTCAACCACAATGAGCGTGTTGTTCTTACTGGTACATGGAAACATGGATTTTTTAGTTTTACTGCCGTTGGAGCTTACAATGTTGGATCTATCAACCTCAAGTTTGATCAGGTGACAAATTATTCCCTAACTTGTATCCATTCAGTTTATTTCTCTTTTTTTCCTTGTCAGTGTAAACTGAGGCTTAAGTGTATTGCATCTTCATCCCATGGCTAAGACCTAATCAACTAAAATATAGAGAATACCTCTTTTTGAGCTGCTTACTAGTTAATACACCTTTCAGAAAATGCATCTAGATTTGCATTCCCTTTCTGAAATTAGGAGATGCCAAGTATTTTTTCCTTGGATAAATTGAGCAGTTCTTTGCTTCCATTAATCCTCCACTTTCTTTCAAGCTACACTGAACAAAGACTTAGCATTTGTAAAAGATGCAAGGGTGGTGTCAATGACTTTTTTCTGTCTTGAACTTAACCATTTCCATATAATTTGACAGGATTTGAAGACAAATTGTCCAGGGAGATATTCAGAAGGATCATTTGATGAGTGTGATTATATTAGTGATGAACCTAGTGGAGTATCCCTTGTGCGCGGTGAAAGAATGGGAGCATTTAACCTTGGATCAACAATTGTCCTGATATTTGAGGCCCCCACAGACTTTATATTTGATGTGCAACCTGGACAGAAACTGAAATATGGTGAACCAGTTGGATCTTCAAGAGAAGATACAGATTAGACAAATTATCAAGTAATGTAGCTAATTTTTGAGGTGGAGATGCATGTATTTTTGTTTTCTTGGGATATTTAAACATGAGAGCTATTTCTAAATCTTCTTCTGAAACTCAAACACTCAAGATTTCCATATACCCAAAAAACATTGTCTTAAGAGAAATCTTTTGTCTTGCCATTGTTTTCTTTTACCAAATTACTGTGTACATAATGAAGTATGGGGTTATATGGAAATCTTGTCAATATCTCTATGGTTTAGTTATCATTAAGTTGTTGTTGTTGTGGAGGGCTGTGTTGATTATGTGGACCACGCATATTAGCAAGTGGCAGTCTGCTCTTCAAAGAAAGAAACTAATAAAAATAATTCAAGTAGAAAAATATCACTAAAAAAAAACTGATGAAATTAAAAGCAGCTCTAAGGTCTGCAGGCAATCTTATCAATGACATTAACATTTATCCATGAGACAGCCCATGTTCTGTCAAGGATTAAAATTTAGTGAGTATTGAAAACTCTTGAATTTAATTGTTAGTTTAATTGATTTGGGTGAGCTATATGATCATCTGAATATTTTTCATTGTGGCTTTACAAAATCTTAGTCTAGGTTGTTCAAACACATTCATGCAACTCATTATTAAATATAAGGATCAAATTCTCTCTGATTTTCAATATGACATGTTTAAAAATCCTGAGAAACTTGTTGAATCTGTACAAAGATTATATTGGAAAAAATATTTATTATACATAATTTGTTTAAAACAAGGGGAACCAATGAAAGGTGTGAACTGATCAATCAATTATAGATATTTCACCTATGTTAGGTCCACAATTAGAATTTATTTTTACTAAATGTTTACAAAAAGAAAAAAAACATAACATTTTTTTTAAAGGATTAGACATTTAATCCTACCCCAAAGAATTATTGAAAACAAAGTTTGTAAAGCCTGGTCCCTTGGTAGGCAAGGTCAGATGGAATCATGAAGAGGATTTAGTTTGTGCAACCTTCCATGGACCAGGTGTAGTTTGAGGACTATGTAAGGCTGGAAATGTTTTAAATCCATACTTGCAAGTAAAGTTAACTTGGTTCTGTATGTAATGTCCCAACAATCTGTGGGAATCACCATATACCAATGTTATTGGTGTTGAAATTTGATAGTAGGAAAGAGACTAAAAGAAACCTTGACAAAAAAAAAATTAAAGTAAAGGACCCAAAATACAGGAAGTGTCGCATTTTAATAGAAAAAGAGAAAAATTGGAAAAATATGTGCTGCATGCTCCATTTAAAGAGCAAGTATTTTTTCATTCAGACTGGTAAAACTCTCCAATGGTAGCTCAATGTAGTCCACTTTAGTGACACAGTTGTTTCTGAAGATATCTAGACTAGTTTTTACAAAGATGAGAAAGTTACAGAAACAGTTCTGGCAACCATTTAAGAATTTCAATTCTTAGGTCCTGTTGCTTCTTATCACTTGTGTTAAACTCATCCTTCACTGTACTGCTTGAATTGTCAATAAAATGTTCTAAATTTTTCAAAATAGTTCTTTTTGATGAAATATGTCACAAACGAATCTCCCCTTCCAGTGGCTCAGAACTTCTGGATCTTGAAGGTAAAAGTTGAGACTGTAGAATCTAGTTGCACACGAATGACACTGGCTTTGATGTTGACGTTCGTGGACCCCTATAAGCGACTAGCATCTAATTTTGGCTCAATCACCCCCAAATGACAAGGTTACAAGAATAAAATTATCACCACCTAGAGAAACTTGATTGTCAAATTCTCCTTGACAGAACCTAAGGAAATGTATAGAGTACAGTTGGGAGAAAATGCAAGCTGAAGTTATGGTGTAAACGGTGAAATCAACCCACACAGCAGATACAACAAAAAGGCTTGTGATACAAACACCAAACCATTTATTTCAGCCAGAGAGAGCCTTCTGAGTTGGACACAACTTTTCCTTAGTTGACATATTTTCAGCCATACTAAGATGATGGGTTCTTGTGATATTTAAGGACATCTTTGTACTGTGATGGAGCCTTGTCAGACTGTGCTTGATGCCATTCTGACCACACATCAGATGATAACTCTGCCAGACGTTTCTTACGCCTTATTTCTATAAACCTCTGCTCAAGCTTGTCAGCTATTAAAGCTGCAAGAAAAGATGGATGTAATGAGTTCTGTTAACTTTGCAACATTAGAAAATGAAAATCAAATCATGATTACCACTGAGAAGTGGGAGGTGAAGTGGGCAAATTGCCATAGCACTCGATTTTAGGGGAAGGTCATTGAGTTGTAGTCTTGGGAAAGATTCTATACTCTGACAGTACCCTCTCTACTAAGGATGTTGCTGACCTACCAGGGAAACTTGACAAAACAAGGGGGGAGGGGGGGAAAGGACTTGTAATGGACTAAAATGCCATCCAGGGGTAAGGAGGGTAGCCATAATACTCATGGTTACTTTATGCTGTGGAAAACCAGATAAGTTTTGTGCTGCAGGTCAGTTAGCTGGAGAGGACTTGACCTGTTTTTCTTTTTCCTATTTTTCTTTTTCAATGAGAAGGAGAGGGGATACGCCTGTCATGATCTGTTATCTCACACCTTTCTTTGCAACTTGATATAAAAACTGTTATTTAAAAGTACCCTAAAACTATAAAAAAAAAAACATACTTTCTCTGCAGTGTGTAACAGTAAATGACACAGGGCCTGAAAAAGGAAAAAAAAGAGGATTTTACTGTTAATTATTTACAGCTTGTGACAAAAAGGCCTGAAAAGCCAGCTTGTAAACATATTACCTATCACAAGCTTACTATTTCACCTGCCTTTTTCTTTTGATTACATCATTAGTGAATACCACAATTCATTACATTATCTCACCTGAAACAGATTTCAAAAGCTTCACAACACGCTTGTGATCAAGTCCTTCCACATTCTAAACAAAAGACAAAACATTAAGAGGAATTCAGTGTGATCACTATACCCCAAAACTCAAAGAGAAATACACATTAGTTTCACTGTTTCTAAGTAGAGCAAGAAACATATAGCTACCATTCTGTTCAGTTGACTAACAAAAACAAACCCCAGATTTCAATTTAACCCCATTTATCAATTTGCTAGAAAGTTTTCTGCCTGATGCAGTCTTCTTTCCATTTCATTATGCCAACTAAAAAATAATGATAATCAATAACAAGAGTAGTTATTATTTTACTTACTCTGTCATTTATGGCAAGAATTTTATCTCCAACTTTAAGTCCTCCATGTCTACAAAAAAAGACATGAAAAAAATTAAAAAACCTTCTCCTTGAAAAGAAAAAAAAAAAAAAAAAAAAAAGGCAACAACAACAATTCTTTGACATGACATGACCTGTTGACTTATGGCTTTTTATCCTTGATTTATTTTTCAGTTCATTTTAAGCAATAAACTTGTTAATTAAAAGAGATTCTGGTAGATTAGATGGGGTTACTCCAACTTGTAAATCAAGACAACACTCCTTTCTACTAGAAAATGTGTCCAAAACTGTGAGAGCTACCTCAATTAACCTTTTAACTCCTCACAGTGAGTAGCATTTTATTTCTCCTTTCAATCATTAGACATTATCATGGGTGAATCAAACACAAGAGTAAAGCAAATTATCAATAGCTGAAGAAGCTCTGGATTGTTCAACAAATTCTCCTTGTCAGTTCTATAGGATATGTGCAGAGACCAGCAAGGAGAATCTGCCTGATGATATTAGGGTGAAAAGGGTAAATACTCATTTTGTTATTGGTATAATTACCATGTTTAAACAAAAGAGGTATACTCACTTGTCCGCAATACTGTCTTTCACTATGTGAGATATAAACACTGGTGACATGTAATAACACTCAAGAAACTTGTCTGTCTGTTTTTTCTTCATCTCTCCTCCCCTTATGTGGAATCCAAAACTGTCATTTTCCTGATAAGACAAAAACAAGAAGTGTCATTTAAAACCCTTTCCATTAATGTGCTCATTTGCCTGTGATTGGCATTTATAATTACCACTCCCTTTGTCCAAAACCCACAGATTTTCTTCTCATGCTGTGTAATACATGATTGTTAACCCTTCAACTCTCATGAATGACCAAGACAGAATTTCTCCTTACAATATCAACTGGATTAGTGATGAGAAAAAAGAAAAATACCAATTTGGGATTAGATGATCCAAAGCTAAATTCTCTGAACTAACACTATGAGAGTTGTACAGTTGATAGTAAGGAGAATGACAAATTTGATCTGGGAGTTACAGGTTAAGACCAGTTTCCTTTCAATAAGTATCAGAAACAGAGTTGTACTTTCAGTTTCCTTTATTACCTCACAATTGTAAAGAATCTGACCCTTTCTCTGCCAAGATCTTTAAATCACTTCTTCATTCTGTCTTCCATACCATTCTTACAATATTAACTCTGAGAATTTATAATTGAATCAAACAATATCCCTAAACTAATGCTGTACTATCTTCTTACAACTTGAAAATAAATAGACATCATGAGGAGAAACTTCTTTTCTGTCACCCCTAGAGATGAAAGCATTGCCATGGTCTGCTGAAGTTTCAGACAGAATAATAATGAATCTAATCACCAGGGATGCAAAAACTCTCTGGAACACCACTGGAAGTTTGTTTTCAATCATATAATTTATCAAAAAAAAAAATTTAAAACCAGTTTCAAGAAAAAAAGTATTAAATGGTTTTAGCAATGCTATCAAAAACCACTAACAATAATCTGACTTACGTTACAAACATTACAACCCAAATTTTTAAAGCGTACCTTTTCCAACTCAACTACTCTCTGTTCAGCAACAGTCAAGCCAAGATCAACATTTTCCTCTTTTACAAAATCATCCCCATCAAGAGCTAACTGAAACTTGTTGAATTCATCAGGATAGTGATCTAGTAAAGCCCTCTGGCATGCCTGGAGTGAAATGGAGGATTAAATATAGAATTGCTTAGATATAGAATTTCTCTTTTCATGAACAACTCAATATCTCACTCAATCGCTTTGCTCACTTGTGGGATATTGAGTTGAACATGGAAAGAGAAAATTAATTCTGTGTCAAAAAGGAACCATGTGTTCTTTTGTTTCCTTTATAAACACCATACACTTTTAGAGACAAGAATAGTCAACTTTAATGATGAATCAACCAGACTGAGTGGTACAAAAGTGGAGGACATGCCAGCACCTGATTAGCAATATCAAATACACCTAAAAAATTATTGTAATTTTACGCATGTGCAGTTACCTCTTTTCTCAGTGCTGGAAATACTTGTAAAACACCACAGTTTATAGAATAAAATGTCCTAACTTCTTTACTCATATGATCTGATTGGTTAATTAATAGATTAGATTATATTCTAACTTGCCATATTAGATGTAAAATGCTCATTATCTTACGCAATGTAATCTGTACAAGAATGACTTAGTTGTTTGATACAAACTCAGTTTACCTTTTTCTCTGCTGATACAAGTGAGTGGCAGATACCTAGAGACACAAATCTTATTCAAAATCATTAAATTTTATTCAAAATCATTAACACAGCATGTCTGAATCCTGTTTGGTCACGTGATATTTTAGAGAATGATAGCATTTACATCTATTTTACCATGTCCATAGTTATTTAGCACCTTTAATCCTTGAACTCCCAAGATCTGATTGCTAATTCTTCCCTCACACTACTACAAATTTCCTTGTAAATTAGTTTCAAGAATTTGGTGTTACATCAAGATAACAGCTTATACCCAACAAGTTTGATTATTCTCATAACCTATTTGTTGGCTAATGTGTGGATATTACAGGGAGAAGTTACATGTTAATCACTACTAGGAGTTAAAGGATTCACACCTGGCAAACAGAAAGGCATTGATTTACTGATCACAACTTGGTTAAGCAGAGAAGGAAAAGACACCAATGGGCAAGATACATGTAGGGAGGAATCAGTGAGTAACAGGATTACATTGCAGCTCTAATAGCCACACAGCGTCATAATGAGCAAGTAATCACAACCCAAGAACAAAACCTGGAAGTTGCGCTTATTTGTGGAGAAGTAAACAAGGAGATTTTAACCAGAATGACTTATTAATTCATTAAAAGTACATCTTTCATCAACACATCAACCAAACCTAAAATTTAAAAACAAAAGAGAAGCTAAAGAGACATTAAATGACAGTCACTTTCACTGACTGAAAACTGAAAGACTGTCCTGACAAGAGTCTTACCTTTCCCTAAAATTTCCCTATTTTCACCCCTTGTCACAATGACACCATAGATGAATGGGTTGTTCACATTATACTTGGACTTGCTTTTCTCTTGGAAATCAAGTCTGGGGATAAAAAATTATTTTCTTTTAATTAAACTTACAAATGATTCACTATTACCAACATCTTAATATCAATAGTGGGGTTTCTCTGATTCAAATGGGAAGACTGGATCATAAATAAGCAAAAGTTAGAACAGATAGCTTTTGTCTCCTGGTTTCATTTTCTTCGTAACTTATTCAATGTATTTTAGCAATAGACCCCATTAGCTTGTATGTTTTGTTCAACCAGTTCAGGTCTCAAAGGAATTTCTAGGTTCTTCTTTCATAAAATTTGCCCATGTTTGCTTACAAATAAGTGGAAATTTGAAAGAATGGTAACTCTCAGCAGTCTTATCACATAACTTGAAATAGAAATTATGAGTACAATTATACCACTTGTAAGTTAATCATAATGTGGTAACATAACTTCAATGTTTGATTCAAGGGTGATATTGTATGGAGAAATTACTTACTTTACTTTTAAAGGAAAGTGTTCCTTTTCAACAGATATTTGCTGAAGAATGAACTTGGGGTGTTGGAGTTTCACCATCTCTTCAACCTTCTCTTTAGTTAGCTCAGGTATAAGATGAGTCTTCACGAATGCATCTACATTCTTAGGACTCTAATAAAGAAGAAAATCTTCAAAATAAGAGAATTTCCTACATCACCGTATCTCACTTCAGAAAATAAATACGTCTTTATCATTAACTTATCACTTATATCCATTTAGAGATAAGATATTCGAAAAATTTTGTGTGCTTAAAACACCTGAAAGGCTTATTACCCAATAAACCAACAGAAACTGTGGCCAACTGTTTAGAAAACTTAACGTGTTACACAAAATCCATCACTGACCTGATGAGTGTAAACTACTCCCACCAGAGCAAGCACAGTTTGTCTCTGCATCAGTTCTTTAGATTGTCGCTAAACATCAAAAAGTAAAGATCTCATTGGTAATTCTCCTTTTTGTCTGCTATACAATTCTTATGATATTAGTTTGAAGAACTTGGTTTTTGATATATTTTTCTCTGTTCTCGTCACTTGTCTACTCAATATTTCACTTAGGGTTTAGGGTTAGGGTTAGGAGAAATTCTGTCTTGGTCACTTATGGGAATTAAAAGGGTTAAGACAAGCACTATACAACAGAAATAATACAAAAGAACAAAGACAGTTGTTGAATGATTAAAAAAAGAAATGCCTTTGCTAGGAGCTATATATGCATTTTAAGTCAAACAAGTTCTACATATTTATCCCCAAGAGACACAGTCTGATTGGGTTATCAAACCTCCAACAACTAAGAGCTTAGGGATAGAAAACTAGAAAGTAAAATAAGAGTGAATGTCTGCAGCACAAGATATCTTAAGTGGTTCACAACTATCTTGTTATGGAAGTAGACAAATCAGTCAGTAGAGATTAGTATTGAACTGAGTCAGATTTTACACTCACATAGTAGAGAGTTTTTTGCATAATGTCCCATTCTATTGCCTTCTGCATTATAAAATCTTCTAAAAAACTGTTCTGTAGATCCCTGAGACCAAATCAAAACACAATTAAGAGGGTATAATGGTCAATCTGTATCAAGGATCAAATTGACTAAGATGATATTCAAATTAAGCAATATAAAGGAAACATAATTGTTGTGAAGGACTCCAAACTCTTAATCATATTACATGATGGTGATTTAAATGTTAAATAAATGTGCTAATTTGACAGATTGTGTTGATTTAAGAGCACAAGCAAGTGATATATCTTACCCTTACCAAATCTCTGCAGCTGAAAGTTGAGGAAAGTTTTCAAACAGGTACTCAGTGAAGCTCTTCCTTGCAGTTTGTGCTCCTATAAATTGGATAATGAGCTTGTTATTATAGATCCATAGTCTTTATCGCATTAACCCTTTACACCCCAACATCAGCATACATGTTCTCCATATTGTTCTACATATTACCTAATGTGCTGACAAGGAGAATATAATTAACATTCATAAGCTTTTTGAGTTGGGGATTGTTACCTTTATTCTCCTACTCTTTATGTGTAATTCAGGGGTGATCTTGTTGGGAGAAATTAGATGCTAATCACTCTTGGGGGTCAAAGAGTTAAAGCAACTTACTGCATCTTTGTATTTATAGACGAAACAACGGAAGTGTTTCATCAGTGTTGAGTCTTACCAATAAAAGCAAGCTTTTCATTAAATCCAAATGATCCTGATAGTTTGTCGGCATTTTGTAGAAGGAATGACTCATGAGTGAATGCTGCTAAAAGATTTCTTTCTTCTGAAATATCCACATTGAGCTGAGTGGCAAATTTGACAATATTTTCCCTGAAAGCTAAAGAAAAACGGGATCAACAACAGTCAACTGATAACAACCAAGGGTTAATCTTGGTTTAGGGGAGGGGAGTTGCTTAGATACTGACATTGATCCACAAAGTCACACAGTTAAAACATTGACATTTACTGTGATTCAAATGTTTTAATCCAGTATGATTTTTTATTATTTCTTTGCACTGTGTCCATCAACAGAATTTAATACAAAGGAGGTAAAATTTTAATTATAATAACCATATCATGGCAGAATTACAGGGTTACTGATATTATTTCATTGTGCTATTTTGAACAATTGGCCTCAAATTACATTGAATCTCACCATTTAATGAAAATGTCTTAATACTCCCAAAAAATCACATAATTCAAGTAGGGATTAGAGTGAACTCTTATAAAAAAAATTTACAAAACTCAATGTTATTTCAAGGTGATTTACATCAAAAAGCCTTGTAGTGCTTAAAAGGGATACACTATCATGATCTTAAGACTTGGTTGATAATATGACAAAATAAACCCATCTTGATAATTTACCTAAACATGAAATTTTTTTTCCTGTAACAAAAACAACAAACTATACTCCTTTATTCAAGACTGAAGGATATGATTTAATTTGTCAAATATGGTCCAGACAAAATTTGTGTTAATACCTTTGTTTGTCAGAGGGACTTTGTTTTGTTGGACCTTTGCCTCCTTCATAAAGAAAAAAAGAAAAAATAATAATTTAAAGTTAAGAAGTGCAGTTAAGGACCACTTGATTGTGATTTCTGATGATTCCTTACATTTTTAGTCTTCCATACCATAACTCCTTGCACACAGACAAAAACTAGGTACAAATCAGTTATAAGAGTATGGTGGAAAGTTTAAATGATATGAACCTAGTACGAGATGCAACCAATACTAGGAAATTTCATAACATTTAAGTCATAACAAATAGTTTAGTCCAGCATATTAAAAAGAGGTCCACACTTAAGAAACTCATCATGATTTCTATAACACAAAGTGTATTTCCATAACACAAAGTATATTTCCATTTCTCCAGGATGTGAGGCCACTGAGTCCATCACTAGTTACATCCCAATATTTCATCAGCCTTCCCTGGAAATTTTTCATTACTCATTTACACTGAACGCCATCTAAACTGCCATATGGGTGCTCAAAGGTTATAACCCAAAAAAGGAACAACACTAGAGTCTTAAAAACATGAGGATTAAGAGTTGAGGATAGTGAGTTATCTATCATTTAAATCAACTAATGATCAAAAGTCTATGCACTTAGGCTTTTGTACCATTGAAATTTTACCCTGTTGTGAGTATCTTAAATGTCTAAAATATTGTTTTTAAAGTGGATACCTTATTCTAGATCTGGAATCCCAAAATGTCACCTTCTCCCTACCAGCCCCTCCCAACCCCTCCTTCCTCCCCAGTCCCCCTTCCCTTAGGCCAAGTTTGGAACATTAGGGAACATCTTACATGTTTCCAGGGTTAAATACCTTGATTACTTTTCATTATCTTATATCCCGTTCGAGCTAAATATCATTGAGGTTATCACGTACCGGAGGATACACTTCACTTGATGTAGAATACCGCAATACAGATGACATCTTCGGATTCGATATTTTGCATAAAATGCTTCTCTGTTTTAGACATGAAATACCGCAACAAACACACCGTGAAGATGACACACTTTGTGAGGATAATTTGTACAGATAGTCACTTTTAAATCTCCACGTAAATGAAGTTCTAAACAATGGTAAAACGTTTCTTGTCTGACCAATAACACCGCTCATTGTGATCAGCTGTAATAGTGGACACTGGTGTCAAAAAGTTTCCAGCAGCTTGAGGTAAAAGCTGTTAAACTGACCGCACTTAATTTTGATAGGAAAACAAACACTTCCAACCAAAGGCAAATATTCCGACAGTAATTTCGCAAAGTTACGAGTAGAAATCCATGGTTCCTTCATTGTGGCTTGGCCGCCATGATGATGCAAACCATACACGTGAGACTGTTCGTACCCAGTCTCCACTCCAGTTCTGAGATCCTCTAGCCTCTACTTCAAGCCGAGGGTACAGGATTTTCGACTTCCGGTTCATTTTCAATTTTTCACAGTAAAAGATTGGAACCTAGCCTCATTTTCAAGCAGATGGTTCCTGGCACACTCGACAGCGGCTTTGTTATGTCACCGACCAAAGAAAGGGATAAATCTCAGCTGACTATGCTGGTGCACGTGAAATCATGGATGATTTAATATGCAGAAGAGAAAATGTCCTCCTTTTCATACCCAACTTAATAGGTAAGACACGTTTGTCTTCCGTATTACATCCAAATGGATTCTTGGATTCTTACTTGCTTTAGAGCATTACTTCTTGTAGCTAGTAAAACTAATTTAATTAAATATTTGATATAGGCTGATATACCAGCTCGATGAATAATTGAAGCTGAATTAACAGCAAAAAAAGGCTGAATTAGTCACCTGATTGATTGCAAATATGCAGACTGAAATGCATAGGACACACTTTGACACAAATTTCAGTTCACAAGCACAAATGTTTTAATTCCAAAGGGTATGTGCGGGTTATCCTTTTATTTGCATCGTGGATCTTCTTCAACAATCCAGTCCTCTTCCTGTGCTTTTACACAGCTTCAGTCTTGCTGGATGGTGAGTGTGGTAACTAAATTTTTCTGTAATAACAATTTGCATAAAGCCTAAACTTCATGGCTTTTGAATGTGTAGGTAATTGTACAAAGTTATTACAAAACTAGCCATGGTACACACTGTGTAATTCCTGAGCTTTTAGTGGTTTTTAGGTCATAGTATTACCTCACATGTCATGAGCCACAAATATTGCCATAAAAATTGTATTTGGTACAATGTTTGTGACAGATTTTGAGATGTGGTTTGGTAATTTTGGTTATTGTTTCTTTAATTCCAGGTCTAGATGGAATCGTTGCTCGGCAATTGAATCAAACATCAGCATTTGGAGCATGGGTACTTACCATACTTTTCTTTGCTTGGAATTTAGGATAATTCTATTTGTAGCTGTTTATTTCTTCCACAGAGTATTTCCTGATGTGATTAACAAGCACCAAAAGTGCGATTCCTTGAATGAGAAGTCTCATTTTGCTTTCAAAGTTACTCCCTTTAGATGGATGGCAGACAGAAAAATCTTAACGAGTTCCCCAAAATTCAACCCTTTGACCCTCTTAGAGTGACCAACATCTAATTTCTCCTTACAATATCACTCCCGAATCAAACATTAAGGTCACAAGAATAAAGGAAATGATCACCAACTAAATAAGTTCTTGGTTGTTAAACAAATCCTCTTCATCAGCACTTTGGGAAATGTATAGAAAACAGTATGGAGAATAGAGATACTGATGTTAGGGTGTAAAGAGCTAGCAATGGATGATCACAGCTTAGTGATACTGACCTCCCTGTTAAGAGGGTCTCAGCAACCTATCAACAATCAGTAATCAAGGTTAACCCAACTGTTTAATATGCACCAATGGTGCATAATGGTGCATAACAATGGTGCAACCAGGTGTGGTAGAGTTGGGTCTCTACCACACCTGTTAATATAATGATTTTTAGAATTTCAAGTTCCTTGGTCGAGCCTTAGGTTCAACCTGTGATTAAAGCCTCTCATTTGGAGGTAGGAAAAAAATGACAGCAAGTGTTGTGGTCTAAATATAATTTTATGTGATTTCTTTTTAAGTTGGATGTTGCTACAGACAATCTTGGCAGAGGAATGCTTTGGACCTTGCTTTATAAGGTAAAATACTTCTAACCATTTATAGCTAATCACTGGGAGATTTATTTAATTTTCTGCATTCTTCTTAACAGTGGGGATACTTTATCAGTGCAGTGGAGTGGATGGTATTTGTGTGTACACATTCACTTGGAGCACATTGGAAGAGTACTCAATCCAACCCACCTTCATGGGTTCAACTTGTTATGGCTAAAGGTTTGTTATGACTGTTATTAATTAACTATGTGCTTTAATCATTAGGCGAAGTCTTTCCATCACTCAACTGTTACAATCAATTATTATTAATAGCGTTAGCCCGTAATGACAATCCATGGTAAAACTTTAAAAATGTGCTTTTTGTTTAAATATCTTTTATGACTCCCAGCTTCTATGGTTACGGTAGTAATGAAACTAATGAAACAATAAATTACATTTAAAAGTGCTATCAGAATGTTTGTTTTGAGGTATAGATTAGGTTTAGCAAAGTAATCTAGTTACAAAAAAAACTGAAATAAATGAAGGTTAAGGTTTCTTTCTCAGGATTTAAAACACCTGCAGGAGCATTTGCAATCTGTGGCCTTCATGGGCTCCCTGTGTGGTTGTATGGTATGAATAAACACATGTGGTCACCATTCATGTCACATCACTTACAGTTGGGAGTCACTGGAATTTTAGTGTCTGGTAGAGCCTTGTGCATGGGAGTTGAGGTAAGAGTAGTTGCAACTGATAACAATGTACCTCACACAGGAGCTTAATAGACAAACTCAGAAACTGATCGACTGGCCAACTGGTTGACTGACTGACTGACTGATCAACCTAATGGCTGAGCAATCAATGTTTGACCAACAGAATACTGACTCAGTGACTGAATGACTGAACAACCCATCAACTGACCAATCAACTGAATAACTGACTTGCTGATCAGCTGACCGTCTGGCTGACCAATTGACTGACTGACTGACTGACTGCCCAGCTGACCAGCTTACTGACTGACTAAATGACTGACCCACTCCCTCACTCACTGACTTGCTGACTGACCTACCAACCAACCGACTGACTGACTGACTGACTGACTGATCAACTAAAATGAAAATTAACTGAAATAGGGAGATTCCCAATATAATTTTCGATTGTGTCAATTTCGTATCTTAACCTTTAATTACTACTCAACCAATTTCAGTGTAGAAATAGCTGAGGGACAAAAAGCTGCTTCAATGTTGTGACTCAGTAATGATTTATTAATGTGCTAGAATGGTTATGTCAATGAGTAAATGGTACTTTGATAATGTTTTAACAGGTTTGGTTTATTACAAGTCACATTAAAGATTTACTGGCAGATCATGAACAAAAAAGGCCCTTATCAAATACAGAACCCATGATGGAAGACACTGATTAAAGATGCATGCTATCTTGAAATCGGTCATGCCAGCTGGTGGCATTTAAAGATAGCTTTTTCATCCTGAAATTCTTAAAAAATTCAGCACTAATAAAAACTGAGCATTTTGTACCTTTCTTATCACTGAATTATTCTATGAATTGTAAGTATTTTTTCTGATCATAAAAGTTTCCACCTAGGGACATTTTAACATATATCAAATACTGAAGATGTAGCTAAATGAGGCCCAAATAACTATGACTGAAAAAGAGGTGCAAACTTTGAATATGAAACCCAGAGCCTCACATAACAATGATAAAAGTTCCTAGTTATCAATTGAAATTATTTTATATTTATCAGTAGACTATTATTTGCCACATGACTTCTTTCATATATGGCTGAGATCTTTTAAAATTATTTTATTGATTAATTTGCATGTCACTTCTTCTTCTTTCCCTCATTGTCATGTGGAAATAAATTACATTAAACGTGTCCACAAGTCTAGGAAGGCTAATAAACAAACAAGTCAAAGAGTAACAACAAGCCTCTTCGGCTGTCAATGTGAGATGTCTCTACAGTGAAAAGAAAATCATCCCAGAAATCAAACTGTACTATTAAATAAGACAGAAAAAATGTGCTCTATGGTAGACTCACAAGTCTGTAGTTGTTTTATCGACCTGTATCCTGCAAGTAGGCCCTCATGGTATATCTTTGCCCACAAAGTAAGCTATTCAAGGCCTTGAGAAAAGCCAGATTAGGAGAGATCTACAAGGAATCTGGCACTTATTGTGGAATTCAGAAAATTTGTAAGGGGGTTGAGCTGTTCGCTTCATCTCGACGAGAATTAACGTTTTACTCTACTGCTGCCACTGGAGTATTAAAACTATAAAATGTGATCATATTCAAGTATAGTGTACTCTGCTGATCTTACCTTGACAGGACATTTGAAGGTTAATACACAACGTGATACATCGATTGAAAATGGCGGAAGTATGGCTGGGTTTATGAATATTGTACTAAAATTCCTTGTCGATCATTTGGACAAGGTCGGGCTAATTTATAAGAGAGACATTGGATCTTTCTTAAGCTACAAGGTTGGTAAAGGTCACAAAACAACATTGCCTCCATCAAAGTCTCATGTTACGATAAATCCGCAATTTCTCGAGGGCAAGAGAGTTCTGTTCATCGGGGATGTCCATGGCTGTTTTGACGAACTGCAAGAGCTGTACAATGAATGTACAGATCCCAGCAAGGAAACTCTGTTAATTTTCGTGGGTGATCTCGTGTTTAAAGGACCCAAGACTCTAGAAGTTATACGTTTTGTTAGAGAGACAGGCTCGTTTTCCGTCAGAGGGAATCATGAACAATCTATTTTAACTGAAATCCTTCACAAAAGAAGAAAAGAACCTGTGCGAGAGAAACGCAAGTTTGTGTACGATTTGACTCAAGAGGACGAAGATTTCTTGCAAAATCTACCTTTCACGATAAGTGTACCTTCATTCAATGTCCTAGTGGTTCATGGCGGACTGCTGCCGGGAATACCTGTACAGCAACAAGATCCTTTGGGTATGATGTTCATCAGAAACTACATTCCAGAGAAGTTCCAAGGAACAGCAGGAATTGAGGAAGGCTTGCCATGGGCGTCAACGTGGAGTGGTCCTCAGCATATAGTATTTGGACACGATGCTCGCCGAGGTGTGCAGCAATACAAGTATGCAACTGGGATTGACTCTGGATGTGTGTATGGGAATTATCTGACTGGCATCTTAATAGAAGACGGTATCTGGGCTAATAGGAAATTGGTACAAGTCAAAGCAAAGAAAAAATACACTCTAAAAGAGAGTTGACTTTTGTCGAGCTATACTATTGAGATGTAGAATATGACTTTCTTTTTTCAAGCAGACCAGTGGACCTAAGTACTCAAAAGAGAGACATGATAAGGTTTTACAGCAACAATTAAAATTTTACCCAATCACTAATTAAGATTCACATGTTAATGCAAGAGTTTGAAAAGTCTTCTAACCTGTGGTTGGTAGAGAAAGCATAATTTTGATGAGTGAGTGCTCAGTATTTTCCTGGTACAAATCATAACTGCCATCCTTGATTTTTTTACAACAGGGGAAGGCTTGGAATGGAAAGAATCCTATACCAAGGGAGTGAGAGACAGTCAAAAGGAGGGGGAGGGGGTGAAGCAATAGAAATCTTCTCACCTTCCCTTCCCCTTCCCTTGATGTGCAATATCCTAACAAATCTCCATATTTAGCTCTAACCAAGTTCAATCATTATTTGATCATTTAAAAAAAATCAAAGGGCTTTTGGAACCAGCTCATCCATGTTATGGCTTAAGTTTGTATTGATTTCTTGGACTTGTTGAATATAGGTACAGTTGAATTTGGTTTATTTGAACTTTCAAGACTTCTGGAATAAATTTTCTTTTATGGTTTGGGCAGTTGTGTGATAAGAAAACTCGTGCATTTGTTGTGATGGGAACTGAAAAAAGGTTGTGTGGGATGGGCAGAGGTCATTAGGCAGACAGTGTCCTTTTTGTTGGTGTGTGTGTGTGTGTTTGCGGGGCTGAAGGTGGGCTGCGTGGGCATAATCAGACATCAAATGTTGCCCTAGCAGCAAAATATTAGTAACCCTCATCTTTCACGATCATTTGCACCAGCGGCCACAATCGTTCTTAATAGAATTTCAAGCCTTCACATAGTCTGATTTTCATATATTAATATTTGCATGGTCACCAAACAGATAAGAGATAAAACAACCAGAAAATTAAACAAATGGCCAGTCACGAGAGCAACGCTTCGCTTTTCCCTAAAAGAATTCGCCGGTTCCTCACGTAAGCCATTAACAACATAAGGCACATGTGAAAATCAGTTTGTGTACACCCCTGAACGTTGAAAAAAATATCAGGAGGAGAAAAAGGAGAGAAATCCAACCCAGCCAACTATAGACCTATATCTCTTACTTGTGTTGCATCGAAGATCCTCAAGCATATCACGGTCCACAGCTTTATTATGAAACATCTAAACGACCATAACATCTTCACAGACTGTCAGCATGGTTTTAGGGCAAAGAGATCCACAGAGATGCAGCTAATTCTCACCTAAATTACACGACATGACAAAGGCTATTCAGAGCTCATCTATCCACACGGATTTCGGATTCCATTTTCAGCGTCTTCAACGCCAGGCAGAGTCCCCGACCTTAGCAGAGTTCGCTGAGTATGTCAACAGTACCTGGATCAGCAACGCGACATGGAGCCCTGCCGACTGGACAGTCTTCAAACAAGCAGTACGAACGAACAACGACCTCGAAGGCTGGCACCACGGGATCAACCGTCGAGCGGCTGGCAAGTCACAACTCCCACTTTACGTCCTGATCAAGCTGCTACACCAGGAGGCCCAGCTGACAGCTTTCCAGATCCGTTTGGTATCAGAGAAAAAACTACGAAGGATCCAGCGCCGCAAATACAGAGACCTGCAGTAACTTATGTATGGAGCGAAGTAACTTATTTGATGGAGCGAACTAACTTTCGAGTGGAGCGATCTGACTTCGGTATGGAGCGATCTGACTTGGAGCGATCTAACCATGGAGCGATCTAACAGTAATTCATAGTGCTGCATCGGCTTCCTTAAGAGTCGCCTATGAGGGACCTTGTCGAAAGCTTTGGTAAAGTCTAAATGCAGTTAGACGAGCCATTCAGGGAAAAGTTCAATAACCCACGTGCATACACAAGTCTTAAAATAGTGCACTTTTCGGAATTCTCAGAGAGCTCGTCTAAAACTCCTTTCCTTTCATGCACCGTGATCTGTGTGATCTTGGATCACAAATCCAAATCCGGATCCTCCCAAAGGAACGCACCCATAGTTTTCTTTATTGAACTTTTATATCATTATTTTATATGTTGTTATATCTGTATATTATTCATTTCCTTATTTTATTTACTTATTTATCTGTTTGTTTTCATTTTCACGGTTGGTGTGATATCTTAACGATTTTACCAACCCAATACATGTAAAAGTAAATATTCGTGAAAGATGATTGTAAGAGGACATGTTATCACGTATCTGACGAAAACACAGGATAAATACTCAGTCTGCATTTTGTACCCAGTCAGCAGTCTGCATTTTGTACCCGGTCTGCAGTCTCCATTTTGTACTAACCAGATTGGTATTGCTGTTTTTGTTCGAGCGAGCCTCAAGTCCGGACCGAAATATCGGAGCTCGAAAAAAAATTTTAGTGAGACTATCTTGGCTGCTATGATTATTTTGTAGACTGTATGTTGAAGAGCTCCCGAGGACAAGCACAATGATAGGGAATGATTACTCTATACCAACTGAGGACGAACGCAAATGCGCAGCTTACCATTATAGCTGCCTCTGATGCTCCTCTGCTTGGTCACAGCGTGTGTTGAAATGAACCCGCTGCGGGTCCCCTAGGTGTGAACATTTCGGCTTCTCGATTCAAGTTGCATTTTTAGAAGTTCGGAAATGTAATTTGAGGTTATTATTTTTATTAAACCATACAAACATTTTATTTCTTTCCACGTGAGTTTCTGAGCTTCATCGAAATTAATTTTGACTTTCACTAAGTGGGAGGGGTAGCATACGAGACTACTTCCGTTTATGGTCCACAATGCAACTTCCGTCTACGAAATACAACTTCCGTCCACGGTCGACAACTTCCGTCAACATCATCACAATACCTCATTCATTGCTTTCAGCATGAATGATTTAAAAATAGGTTTTTGTGGTTATTTTGGAATTACCCTCTTACAGCATAGCAGATTTGCATAAGATGATGCATCAGATGACAATTGTGACTGTTCTAGGTCCTGTGTTAATAATCCATTTTCTCACATTTGTTAACCTAGATTGAATTTTGGAAGACAAGTTTTGCTCCGAAGACATACTGACACATGGATAATCCAGCACACCAAAATGGTTAACAACATTTATTCACAAAAATTAAACAAGTCACAATTCTAATCGTTATTAAAAGCTGCATTGAACTTCCAAGGTCACATCTTTAATATCCAAAACCAAATCTAGTGAGCTAAATATTACTTCAGTAGGGTTCACACACATTTTAATGTGAAAAATTTAAGACTGTCTCTCTCATTCAAAGCTATGAATCAAATCATGGAGCAAGAGAGCAACTGTCAACATTCTGCCACAAATTTTGTACAGTTTCCTCCACATTTTCCTCTTCTTTTCAAACCTTAAAAATGAATACCAAATAAACAAGTGTGCAAATTTCCAATTTTTGCAATTTTAGCACTTTGTACATAGCCTGCTTGAAAATTTTACATTTATATTTATCACTCTTTACTCACGGTTTACTTTCCAGGCTGATATTACAATTAAACATTGAGCAAAACTGCTAAGGAAATTTTGTTTCACTTTCCTGTGCCAATTTCTTGTCTTAGGTTTTAAAATGTATCTCAATGTTTTTTATACAAATAAGAAAAAAAGACCAAGCATAAAAATTACTCAACAGAACAATTGACCCTCACATCAAGACTTTCATATATATTTAACACCTGCACTTTACTGAATTTGAGATAACTTAAGAATATAACAATAAGCCAAACCACTAATAACCATAAGAAATACATCTAATGGTCTGAAGAGAATATTTTATACCTTATCTAAAGGTTACTCCAGGAAAATAGGAAATATTATTCAATAATTATCACGGGGCTGCACCAAAGACAGTATTTACTGGATGGTATGGATGGAATATAATAAGATTTTATACTGTACCCATAGCAAAATGGACAGATGTATCAGTTTCCTAAACTAAGACTAACAGAACTGGATTTCAAGACCTGGACAAACTATATGACTGCAATGTCAACTTTTTTAAGTCATCACTTAGCAACCTATCATCATAAAATTGTTACCAGGAGGCACATTCCATTGAGGGTATTCCTCTCTCTTCTTGTAACTTTTCAGCTTCAATATGTATGTATTTTGTGAGGAGAAATTCCTTTTTGGTCACTTCTAGGAATGGACAGGTGAGAGCACTCTATGCTCTCATATTTACCACTACTCTCTAAAATTATGGTATCTATGAATATTCTACATGAAAACACACATCACAACACTTAACTCTGTTCAATTCCATGAAAGCAGATTTGATTATAGGATCTCTTACTAGACAGAACTTAGCATATGATGCAACAAGTACATCCTGACATGTGTATTTGGTGGCAATATCTGTTTCTATTTACTTTATGACACAACTCAGCTTACTAGGATCAACCTGCCTCACAACACCTTTCCAACAGATAGTAACTAAGGTGTACTTTAGTTTTGCTGTACACTTTAGAGGGATGTCTTTAAAAGGGTGTAGTGCTGTGTATAGTTCCTTTCTCTGGTTTAGTTTCTTGGCTTTTCAAAGGTTTATTTCGGTGTGAAGAAATAATGCTGCGGGTATGACTAAAGCTCAATTCTGCAAAGTAATTCTTTGGACCAATCACTGAGCAAATAGACAAGAAGCCAAAAGTTGAAAAAAGCCAACTGAAGACCATAACCAACATTAGGAACTGTCCAAGCTGAAAGTATGCTAAGACTGTGGCTGGCATCATCATCACACCTAAATTACACAAAAGTGCAACTGTTAGACTTGATATTCACTGATCAGCATATTTAGAATATGAACTTGTTGATTGAGTTAGCTCAAGCCAGAACGGAGATGATTTTGTTTAAGACCTCAAACCAAATATTTTCTAGTCCAGCCCCACCCAGCTCAGTTGGTTCCTATTTTGTGTGATGCTGAGCTTCCTGTCTCTTCATTTCATTTCCCTCTTTTTTTTTCATTCTTATTTTTATTATGTTTTGAATAAGAGATAAAGAAAACTTTACAGTTTATATGATAATAGTAATAAAAAAAACTTCTTCAAGATTTAACCTTTAAGATAATCATCGTAACTAGGAATTGCCTACCTGTGAAAAATGTTGTAAGAGCCGCCATTGTTATGGCAGATCCAATGTGCTTCAAAGAGTAACGCACCCTGCTATCTCTCTGACTTTTGTCTGGTGCAAGTGTGTAAGCCACACCATAATGCATTGTGAAATCAATGGACAGACCCACTGCAACTGACACCACAATGGACTCTAAAATATTCAATTGCCAGCCAGCCAGCACAAGACACCCAATAGTTATGGAAATAATTCCAATGATGGTGATAATTGCATAGATGCTGATGAGGATGTTGAGGGTTGTGAACAGCATGACTCCAAATGATACAGCCACAGAGATTCCCAAAGAAGAGTATGTTCCTTCTGACAGTCCCATCTGCAGAGCATAGAAGTCCAGGTTCCAGCATCCTACCCAACCATTCTCCAATCCTGTTGGAGCCTTAGCCATTTCGTTGTCAAACCAATCTGTCACTTTCTTCCAGAAGTCATCCATAACAGTAAAGCTGGTGGTAAATGATTGACCTGTGATTATTTGCAAATGAAAACCAATCACTTTCCCTTGCTGGTCAAACAAAAGCCCAACTCCAGCAGAACTAGGCATGGATAAAGCTGTTCTCAAACAGCCCTCTGCAGTATCAGCTGGAAATGGAAAACTAGCGTTAACCCCACAACATGCTGTTCCTGGTGAGGTACAAGTTTTAATGAATGCTTCTATAGGGCATGTATCACTTGAAGGAAAAGTTACAAAAAATGGTTGCTTTTCAATGGACTGACACAAGTAACGGAGGAACTTTTGACCAGCTGGACTGAACAGATTTGATTTATCAAAGCTTTCATCCAGTTGTAGGGTGCCATAGTCATCTGGGTTAAGATGATTTCCATTATCTTCAAGTTTTATTCCCCAGAACAGTTCCAGCCACATCCCACCACTTTGCTGCGAACTGGTAAATCTAAAGTAGCTTTTATAGTTTAAGTAATAATTTTCAAGTGGATGGGATGAACTAAACACCTGGAAGTCACTTGTATTTGGCAGCTGCAGACCTGGTTTAACAAAATTAACACATAGAAATCCAACTGTGAGACACCCTAACAGGGCAATCCATACATAACGTAACTCGATCACTGCTTTTGGTAGCCAATCTTCAAACACCTTTGAACCTGCTGTTTTGAAAAAACTTGTGGCTGATATTAACAAAGAACATGGAAAGTCAATGACTTGCAGAAAACAAATGCTTCCCTCATTTTGCTTGACAGGACTGTTAACAACAGACTTCATGATGTTTCTCTCTGACATGTTCTGTGCTATTGGTTCCCCAGTCTTGGGAGACTGAACTTCATCAAGATCACAAGATTCATCAGGGACTACCTCCAAGCTTGAATGTCCATCTTTGTACTTCAACACCCACTTCTCATGCAAAGCCACAACAGCTGGGAAATATGTTATCATCAGCAAGTAATTTGTCAAGATGGATGTACCAGCAAACAGTCCAAACAACCTAACAGCAGTGATGGAGGAAGATGCTCCTGCGAAAAATGCTGATGCTGTCGTCAAGCTTGTGACAAGCATGGAGAGGGCGGCATAACGCAAGGTCTTCAATGTCAGCTGCATGATGTTTGCACAACGGTTAGCAGCAAGTGTCTGTCTCCATATGTCATAATACACAAAAGCATCATCTGCTCCAATGCCCACCAAAAACACCAGTGTGGTAACATTCAGAAATGGAAAGAAGTCTATTTTGAAGACAATTGTGTAAAGAAAATATGAAAGACCAATTGCATAAATAATGCAAAAAAGGCCGGTGAAAGTGAGAATGAAAGAACCCAAGAAAAACCACATAATAAGAAAAACAATAATCATGGCAAGAGCAGGGAATATGACTTCAGTGAGAAGCTTAATTTGGAAAAGATCAAACTTATAGTTCATAAACCAAAAAGAGGCAAGTTTCACCCCATCTCTTTCAGGAACACCATCCTTTAGCTCTAAATACAACTCATCATATAAGTCATAACCAGATGCTTGTGGGAAAGATGTCGTATATTTCAGAAACATATCATTGGATGGACTCATCTCATTGTCTGTTAGAAACTGGAAAATATTATACACAGCATTGTGTTTGGTGCAATTAGCTGGGACACCCTCACAGCTGGAAGTGGCACAAGATCCCTTCAAACTTTGTTTCACAAAGTAAGGGTGGCACTGAAGCAACAAATTCTTGACGTATAAAACATCCTGATCAGTTATGTCTCGACATGTTGTGCGGTTATTAAGCAAGGCAATATAATTTCCCAGAGAATAGCTTGAGTAACACTTTGTTGTTTTTCCATCATAAATGCTGAGACAGTATTGTGCATATAAAGAGCTGGCACTCAAAATAGAATTCTCTATTTCACAAACATCTTTGAGCTTGCTGGATACTAACAAGTTTTCATCGCCACCTGACGCCTCAAAAATGAACATCATTCTTACATGATCATACCTATTAAGTTCATCAGATGGCAAAGGAGGTTCCAGAGAACTTTGAGTTGATCGACGCTTTCTCTTTACAGATGATGAGACATTGTTCTGCTGGCCTCCTGTTTGTAATTGAGGAGGTTCATAAAATTCATAAAAATTTTTTATTGTCACCATCTTGTTACTCAGTTTTGTACCTCTTGGTTCAAAACCCTTGAACAAAAACAAGTAAAAGAGAGAAACAATCAATCATACATGCAAAGTAAAAACAAAAGGGCTACAATCACAAAGTGACACATAATGACTGACCAAACTTATCCTATAACCTATAAGAGTGACTGGCTTCTTATTTCTCCTTAAAGTGTCACTCTTGAATCCAACATAAAGGCCATGAGAAAATAAAATGATCACCAATTCAAGTAGCTCCTGATTGTCAAACAAATGTGCCTTGTAAGCACCATAGGCAATGTAAAGAGATATGGATATTAAAATTTGGGTGTATAGGGTTAATAAAAACTTATGTGAGACAAAATTAATACATTTTTTAAGATTTTAACTGCCAGATAATTTGTTCCTACCTTTGTTGGGTTGCTAAAGTCAGGCAATGGACTGCCTCCGAGTGATAGAAAAACTGACACCAAAATAAGGATAATAACAGTGAATGGAATAAACAGCGCCAGGCACAGAGCTATGGCATCGTGCTTTGTAAACTTGGGTCTGAAAAACAAAACTAAGTCACTAAAGTATTTTGAAGCATTAACCCTTTCAATCCCATAAGTGACCAAGACAGAATTTCTCCTAACAGTATCAATACAAAATCAAGCAGAAAACATCAATTAGGTGATTATTACATGATCCAATTGCAAATTCTCAGAACATCTTAATATTGGATGCCACAGTCAGTAAAGAGAATCACTTACAAGATCTTGAGATTGAAAAGGTTAAACAGGAAGTGTTGTGAAGATTGCCAATTGGAATATATAACTAGACACAACAATAATTCTGTCCCTTCTCCCACTTATCAGAAAGAAAGTATGAAACAGAAATATTAAAAAAATATTAATTTATAGTAATGAGATTCCTTTTCCACAACAAAGAATCTACAAAAATTTGCCTTGCTCACTATATGAGGGTCCCCAATAGGTTTTTCAGGATCTGGGATCAGGCTTATTTGAAGGCAGGGATCCGGGAACTTAGAGAAAGAAGGGAGCAAGATGCAGTATTGTTAATAATAATAATAATAATAATAATAATAATAATAATAATAATAATAAAAATGTCTATAGCGCCCTATTCTAGAGCTCTAAGGCGCATACAATAAAATGTTTAAATTTGAAAAATACTAGAGCAAAACTACCAATCAAAATATCGCTTAAAAAGATAAGTTTTAAGGTTGCTCTTAAAAGATGTAGGATTTTAATTATATTTTATATTCTCTGGAAGATTATTTCAAAGTTTAGGGGGTGCAGACCAAAAAAGCATGATCACCATAAAATTTTAACCTTGATCTAGGTGTCACTAACAAGTTCCTGGTTGATGATCATAAATTCCTTGGTGGCTTGTAAGTTTGCAACAAATCACAAATATAGCTAGGACCTAAAAGATTTGTTATCATGAATGGGACACATGAATTGACAATTTTGAGGGGTGCCATTTGGCTTACAATTATTTAAATGCCATTAGAACCAGGAAGTCTGTTGGCAAGAATTTATGAAGAAATTAATCTACACGAAAGTCCAAAAAAACGTAGCCATTTTTCAGGGATCATGTTTCTGTCCCCACAAAACATAATGCACTCCCCTAGAACTCCTGAGTAGGAGGCTAAAAAGAGCCACACAAAGCTTTGTTATGACAGTCTTATCTGCACACATGCCATGTCATGCACTTTCGCTCTCATTGCAACCAGAGGTGACATCTGGACATTCTGAGCCTCTCCCTGTCCTCTGGAAGTGAACCTTTATTTCTTGGTGACCGACCAATGTAACAATCAGAAAAAAATACAAAGAAAAATACTTTGCTCTGTGAAGATGTTGGCTTCTCTCTAAAGCGATGAATCAAATGACGTTGACAAAATGCCTTATAGTAAGAAAATATTTCAATAGATCAATGCTGGTTGAGAGAAATATTGCCCATCAAAGAGGCCTTTTTTAAGTTGAGGTAATGGACTAGGAATAAATTTTATGATTGGAATCGAGATTTGATTGAGAGAAAATTTAAGTCGGTATTCTGGGATCGAAGAACCCTATTGGGAACCCTCATACATATGCTATGTAACTCAGTTGGTAGAAACTAAAAAGCACAGGTTCAACGTCTGCTAAAGACTAAACTGCTTCAAGTCTCTATTTTTTTTCCACTTTAGCCAATCGCCAACAAGTTTAAGTTCAAGCTTACGCTCAACTTCACATAATTTACAAAGATTAGGTCATGATTATACAGTACAGGAACCAGAAATATAGACTCACATTTCAAAAAGGCAATATTATTAAAGTAACTTACAGTAAAACCAATGTTGACAAACGACAGCGTTCAACTATTGTTAGTTCAGCTTGTAATCGACAAAATATACTCAATGCTGAACTAGCTATTGGGCAACATTATGGCGCTTCTTGAGTTAATGGGTATTTTTTAATCAACAGTTTGAATTCGCGAATTTATAGCAAATGCTCTGTGGGATTCAGCAATTGACGATCGATTCTGATCGATTTCAGTCCAAAATTAAGCGCCTTGATTTACAAACAAGTCTTACACGATAATACTTCGATAATAATGTAAAATAAACCAAATAAAAAACTTTCCTAAACCGTATTTTCGAGAAAAATAAACCTCCATTGCTAGAATGAATCATAATGAGGAAGTATTAGTACAGTTGTTGTGAGCGATATCGGCCAACGAATGCTTGCCAAACTAATAAAAATTCGAAAGAACAGGAAAACCCGCTAAATCATAAACTTGTTCTTCGCATATCAAACCAAAACTCAAGTAGAACTTTACCTTGAATTGGATGAACAAGCAACTTTGACCATTTTGTTCAAAGTCTCGTATTAATTAAAATCCGAAGAGTTCTTCCGCAAATAGATCAGGCCCTCTGTTCGTTTTACTGACGAGTTGTTGCACCGAAGTGAGAACCTACGTCTCGAGGACTGGGGCGAGGAAATGCTCAAAACCACCTTTCCGCCGCAAATTCTTGCGTTTCCAAGTGAGACACTAGCCACCCACGCGATTTTTCTGTTATTTTTTTCTGTTTTATGTAATGAAGATTTCAATTTTGATTTCGCAATTTCGAACACTAAAGTAAAGCAAACCTTAATCACGGAGATATTAGATTCTAAACCTTTGTTGAGGTGGTCTCGGGAGACCGACGGAAGTTGAGCCTAAAATGCCAGGCACACATTACAAACAAATCAAACAATAAAAAGGCATTCATTTACATGCACAGTTCGGTCAGTTGCGTTCCTCGGCTGGTTACCAAATTAATAAAGGAAGTATAAAACATGAGTGATAGAAAGTCCAGTATTCAGAATTATCCGCGGAGAGGTAAGAGGAATGGTATGAACACGTTCGTATGCATTTAAGACGAGAAATTTTATATTTTTACTTATTCCTAGGAATGGACGACAAAAAATTATAGTACAAAGAAAGTGCGACGAAACATAGAGATGTCATTTGCCAGGTGTGTTTAATGAAATTTGAATTTGCACTCTTCTCCTTCTCAAAAACACACTTACAAAAACAAACAAACAAACAAACATCAGTTTTACATGGGTTTGGAAGAAACACTGGACAATTTTTGTGATTCTCAGTGAGAAATGTTTAAAAAAACATAATAATTCGCTCAAAATACTTCGCTTCAATTGTTATTAATGACTGTAATTTACTGGGATTAAAGGATTATTGCAACTAATGAATTTCAGTGGATTCGGTTGGACGAACAATAAAAAAAACTCTATGCCAGACTCTTTGATCTATCGTGATAAAAGCATTTCAGAAAGAGATTTCGAAAACAAAGTTTGTAAGTTAATTACTCCATGAGCTAACATCTTCTAAGACGGGTAACTGAGTTATCAGTTTGTGAAACTATGACAGTTTCAAGTCCTGAACAGGCTAAATAAATGATCAACCGCTATAAGGAAAGTGGTAACTAGAACTTTTAGGTTCATCTTTGGTCAACAGCCAGAAGTCCGGTTTTTCTCTCTCTTTTCGTCTTTGTCTTATTTATTCCTGAGAAACTTGAAGCAGCCACTTGTCATTTCATACGTGACAGTTTTCAAACATGTCATTGCATCATTGTTTCCAGAAGGTGAATGTACAATATGTATGTTAATTAGTTGACAGATAGCTTTGTAGCAACAATACCAATGGCACGAAAAAAAGAATTCAACACCAACGTTTTGGTTTTCTTCCAACTGTTCTTTTCGTATGCTACGTAACGTGCTTCTCGTCGAGTGACGCTTCAAATCTGTTATATCTCTCAGTTAGTAAGTACTCCATAATTGGTCAATTTAGCGGGCAATTCTTAACTCCTGTCTACGGTCGCGCTCAGAAGTCCCTGCATTCACCACGCGAAAAAAAATGAAACAACAGGCTATTGTTATGCTACATGAATGTTTCTCATTTCCGGTCAAAGAGAAAAGTTTTTTATTTTCAGCGAGGTGTACAAGGTCGTTTACTTAATATCGTTTCATATCGATACTCTATTTAGCAGGTTGTGCTTTTAGAAGTGAACCCAGAAACGACTTTAAGAAATTCCTTGATTTTCAAGCAATGTTTTACAGCATACTCTATTTATTTGTCTTCATTCAACTTTCGCTCGGTTATTATGTTTGCTTTTTGTGAAATTTCTTTTAATGTATAGGGGAAGCTATTTTAAAAATAAAATAAAAATTATTCAGTTGGGATAAAAAAGTGAATTCAAGACATGTAACGATGACCCTGAATTGAGAATTATAGCATCGAAGAACAACTGCACATTAAAATTCACATAAACAAAAAGAGTTGGGCAAATTACACAGGAAACCATCGTTAACGACAATTAGTTGTATAGGGAGAGCGCAGGTGTTCTTAACGTCATATGAGTTTTATTTGAACGAGGAATAAGGATTTTCACTGCCCGGCTGCATTTCATTTCACTCCAAATGTTATGCTCATTGTCGGTCATTAACATTTTCAATTGTGTGGGAACACAAGTGTCACCAATGCATCAAGAAAGTCAACAATTCTTAGCACTACGCGATGATAGGTAACTAGAAATAACTGCATCTGCGCCTGGACACGATATTTTAATTACCGACCAGTGCATGGGATTCGCCGAAGAGGCATCTTTTGAGCTTATATCCGACAGGAAAAAATGACCGGCATAACTTGTCAGAGGAATACCCAAGTCAGGTAGATAATACATTAACAATTTTTGTTCTAGATTCAGTCGTTATCGGAAAATGTACCATTTTGGGCTGAGGAAAATTCCCATGTTGACATAATTTCGATGAGGATTCCGACTTTGAGAGGGAAAACTCTTATGCAAAACGTAATCCCGAAAAATTCCCAGCTTTTCATCGTGTTTGGTGATAAAATATTCAAACTACGCATAATAGAAAGCTTGAGCGAAAATATCAGTGAAGTCTTGAATGTACCAAGCATTTGTTTATACGACAAATGAATAAAAATTGAACCATATTTTAAAGTTCTGTGTGTGAAAGACACAAATGTGCACCTGTAAAACTCTAAATTTAATATTTAAAATATCCCATGTCCCAGAACAATCTTCTTTCGATAAAAAAAGAATAGATTTGAATTTAAAATGAAAAACTATTGAGATATGCGCTGAATTCACGGCATTGAATTTCGCCCTAAACAGTTAAAGCAAATAACGAAATAGTATGCAGTTCGGTTGGAAGAATAAACTTCTTAATTACAAGTGTAGTCAAAAATCATTAGGGTAATTTTAAGAAGAGGTTTTTATGCTTATGTAACAAAGTAAAACTGGTCTGGTCTAAGACTTTTTGACAAATGTAGTCATTCAATGGAAAAAAGGCACATGCATCCCAGGTTGCGAAGCTTTTAATATACAGATCTAGAAAAGTAGAATATTCGAGAATTTTGCGATGTACTCGATCTAAGGTGTTTTGTTTATTTTATTTAAGTCAATTTTATTTTGTCTTTATCTAAACGCCTCGTACTGCAAACAGGAAAATCAAAAAACACAACGCTGTGCAATTATTAGATGTTATTTCGGGTTTTTACCTCAGTCAGACATTTCAAAAGACGAGCGATCCGTTAAGATCATCTTTGCCACAAAACCCTATCGTGCCTCGAAAACATTATGATTATCCACAGAAAAGCGTTAATTTGATGTACGACTTCTGATGACTCAATTGCATTTACTTTGTAGATTTACAAAGCATGACACCATAGCAGTATGCCTGGCTATATTCCTTCCGTTGACTGCCATAGTACTTACAATGGTGTCAATCCTACCAGCATTAGGAGCTCCACCGTTGCCTGACTTCTCAAATCCTGTCAAGGTATGGTGCATTATTGATTCGTGGCCCCACGCATGCGCGGTGTACTTGGTGGCCATTCAGGCTGGAAGAGATAGAACCCTGATGCATCGCTTAAAGATGGAACCGCAGACCATCCTATTAATTCCGCGCCATATGTCTCGATAATTATGCTTGATCAAAACAACTGGTGGAGTTTCAAAGCAGTTGGCATCGATCGAAAAATATACACACAAACAATACTAATCTTAAAAAAAAAATGGTATTCTTCGCTTCAACAAGTGGAATCTTCTACACATGTATTCCACGGGAAATTCCGCCCTGGGTCACAAAGATCAGGGACGGTATCTGAACAATTACGCACCTACTCCTCCCCTGACCCAACAAAAGTCAACTGATAACAAGTTAAGGTTAATGTTGGTTTATGGGAAGGGGTAGGTATGCAGTTGCTCAGATACTACCATTGATGTAAATAAATGTCCGCAGTTAATCCATGACTCGCTCTAGAAGACACGAATGTACATATAACACCCTTCTTGGTTTTAATGATTTCAGGGCTTTGAGCCAAGAGGCACAGTTTTAAGTGATCAGATTGTGACCCTGGGAAACTACCATCGGGCACTCCACTCTCGCACTCTTTTTACGCAGATATCCAACACCTCACAACTCTACAGCGAGGCCAACTCTAGTACTCCATCTCCTCCCCTTTCTAGAATCGACGATGACGTAATATTTGTTTTTGAGGCTACTGACTCCAGTCAGAGCATGTTTGAAGCAACTAAACTGAAGGCCGCCTGTTCCATTGAGAATGAAATTCTAAGTTCTAGTTCCCATTTCTCTCAATACTGCTCTCGTATTCGTGATACAGAATCTGGTCAAACACGATGTTTCCCAAACCCATCTCTTGGAAATTACGTAGCCCTACTGAATAACCGCACAAGATGTCAAGACATAACTGATCAGGATGTTTCATACGTCAAGAATTTGTTACTTCACTGCCACCCTTACTTTGCGAAACAAACTTTAAAGGAGGACTGTGCCACTTCCAGCTGTGAGGGCGTCCCAGCTAATTGCACTAAATACAACGCTGTGTATAACATTTTCCAGTTTCTAACAGACAATGAGATGAGTCCATCCAATGGCATGTTTCTGAAATATACTACATCATTCCCAGTATTGTACTCATATGACTATGATAGTTTATACAAAGAACATTTAAAAGATGGAGTTCCCGAAAAAGAAGGGGTACAATTAGCATCTTTCAAGTTCTCCAGCTATAAGTTAGACCAATTCAGTGAGAAGCTTCTTGCTGAAGTCATATTCCCTGCTCTTGCTATGATTTTTGTTTTTCTTACTATGTGGTTTTTCTTGGGTTCTTTCATTCTCACTTTCACTGGCCTTTTTTGCATTATTTATGCAATTGGTCTTTCATATTTTCTTTACACAATGGTCTTCAAAATAGACTTCTTTCCATTTCTGAACGTTACTACGCTGGTGTTTTTGGTGGGCATTGGAGCAGATGATGCTTTTGTGTACTACGACATATGGAGACAGACACTTGCTGCTAACCCTTGTGCAAACATCATGCAGCTGACATTGAAGACCTTGCGTTATGCTGCCCTCTCCATGCTTGTCACAAGCTTGACAACAGCATCAGCATTTTTCGCAGGAGTATCTTCCTCCATCACCGCCATTAGGTTGTTTGGACTGTTTGCTGGTACATCCATCTTGACAAATTACCTGCTGATGATAACATATTTCCCAGCTGTTGTGGCTTTGCATGAGAAGTGGGTGTTGAAGTACGTAGATGGACATTCAAGCTTGGAGGGGGTCCCAGCGGAATCAAGTGATCCCGAGAAGACTGACTCGGTTCAGAATGCACCTGTAGCACAGGATATGTCACAAAGTATCGCCGCTAAATTAGAGGAAAATAGTGGTGTCAAAGAAAAGAAACGAAGCTTTTGTTTTTTGCAAGTCATAGACTTTCCATGTTCTTCGTTAATATCAGCCACAAGTTTTTTCAAAACAATCAGCTCAAAAATGTTCGAAGATTGGTTGCCAAAAGCAGTGATCAAGTTACGTTATGTATGGATTACCCTGTTAGTGTGTCTTACAGCTGGATTTCTGTGCGTTAATTTTGTTAAACCAGGTCTGCGGCCACCAGACTCCAAGGATTTCCAAATGTTTGCTTCATCGCATCCATTGGAAAATTATTACTTAAACTATAAAAGCTACTTCAGATTTGAACAAAAAAATCGAGGCATGTGGGTAGAATTACTCTGGGGAATAAAACCTGAAGATAATGGTAATAAATTTAACCCAGATGACAAAGGAACTCTTCAAATGGATGACAACTTTGATAAATCGAGTCTTTTCAGTCCATCAGGTCAAAGTTTCCTTCGTTCCTTGTGTCAGTCCATCGGAGAGCAATCTTTTTTCATGGCATTCGGCTCACAGGGTCAGCAGTGCCCCTTCGAAAAATTCATTGAAACTTGTACCTCTCCAGGCACAGGATGTTGTGGGGTCAATGCTTCTTTTCCATTTCCAGCTCATATCGCAGAGAAATGTGTGAGAGAAACTTCAACCGATAATGACACAGGTGTTTTGTTTGATAAACAGGGAAAAATAGTTGGTTTTCATTTGGAAATACTCACAGATCAATCATTTACCACCAGCTTTACCGTTATGGACGACTTCTGGAATAAAGTGAAATCTTGGTTTGACAAAGAAATGGCTGAAGCTCCAACAGGACTGAAGAATGGGTGGTTAGGATTCTGGAACCTCGATTTCTTCGCTCTTCAGATTGGATTGTCTGAAGGAACGTTTTCTTCGCTGGGAATCTCAGTTGCTGTGTCATTTACAGTCATGCTGCTTACAACCCTCAACATCTTAATCAGCATCTACGCAATCATTACTATCATTGGAATTATTTCCATAACCATTGGGTGTCTTGTACTGGCCGGCTGGCAGTTGAATATTTTAGAGTCTATTGTGGTGTCAGTTGCAGTGGGTCTATCCATTGACTTCACAATGCATTATGGTGTGGCTTACACACTTGCACCAGACAAAAGTCAGAGAAATAGCAGGGTGCGTTACTCTTTGAAGCACATTGGATCTGCCATAACAATGGCCGCTCTTACAACGTTTTTCACAGGTAGGGGAATTTTTAATTTTGATAAATTAATTATTAGCAAAAATTAAGCGATTTCCTTGGAATTTTCACTGGATGATGGAAGCATTGCGGTCTGGTTAGAAGCTTGTCCGACTAGATAGGAAAATTCCGTCATTGATTTTCAACTTCTATTAAGACTGTGAGCTATATATATATACATGTCACAGGGCTCCTAACTTTTCTTTTGATAGATTCTTACGTTAATTCCAATTGAGTTCAACCAATACTTAATCTCAATGTTGTTGACAAATGGTTAGCTGCGACATTCAAAACATTCGAAAAAGTCTGTCTTAATGAAATATTGTTTGCTTTAAAAGCCTGCAATGTTCTTTTGATTGAGGTATACTTGAGCAATAATTGATAGCTAATGTCATCACTTTGTTTCCATGCAGGTTTGATGATGATGCCAGCTACAGTCTTGGCATACTATCAGCTTGGACAATTCTTGATGCTGGTTATGGTCTTTAGCTGGCTCTATTCCACGTTTGGCTTCCTGTCAATCTGCTCAATGGTTGGCCCAAAGAACAATTTTGGACAGTTAAGCATCACTCGTGTCTTCAGGAAGTGTGGACTTTACAGAACCGAACCAGTGCGCAAAATTGAAATTAATACAAGTAAAACCATAAATAACGAGGTTATAAACTTGAATGAGCATGTCTCCGAAAAGCCGCCACCAGAGAGGCATAATGACGTCACCTCCCCTTTGCCTGAAAATCCAGATTGTGCGTAGTTTCTCACACAAGAAACATTGCTTGAAAAAAAACCATTCAATTTTAACTTTTATTTTACTCATCACAAAACATTACGAGAGTAAGCAAATAGTATCCTTAAAAACGCCAATTCTGGATGAGATTACGACGAAAACTTGTATCAAGTAATTTAAGAATTTTGGACCTGTTGTAAATACTTATATCTGAGTTTTCATTGGGACGAATGACAGGTGACGGTCGCATATGATCAAACTGAAGAGAACAACGTTCATTTCAACTCACTTTTGGTCATTTGTTCGCTCGTTCTCTTTGCCACTTATCTACGAGTGATAAGTCTTCTGTATCATTGCCAATAAATGTAAACATCAAAACCCGCGCCTATAGAATAAAATGAGGATGCCTGTTTGATTTTCCAATAAAATGGAACACAGTTTGCTTGTAGCAGCTTCTGACGAGTATTCAAGAATTAGTCTCCATGTTACCGTGCGTCTGTTTAGTTTTATATAGCAGCTGAGTGAATCACTGATGTTCTTACCACATTTTGACGTCATCTATGATCTATTACTGAACAGACGCACGGCAACTTGGAATCTATTTCTTAAATAGATCAAAGATGACGACAATTTGTGGTTAGAAGAAAAAAGTGGCACACAAGGCGCAGCGGAGTAAATTACTAAATGAAACGTTCTTGTCACATTTTGACGTCTTTTGTGGTCTACTACTGAACTGACCCACGGCGATATGGAATTTGTTTGCTCTATGTAATTAAGAACCAAAAACTTTTGATGGTGTCGTCATTTATGCGCCTGTCCTTCACTAGCGAGTCCAGGTAAGAACCAATCAAAGTGCGTGCGTGTTCCCTGTTGCCAAACGCAGTACCCAGTCTCCTTGCGATGAGTAATGAAGGGTGCTGGTTTGAATCTCAAAAAGATTCAAAAGCTCGGGTCTTTTCTCTGCTCAACAGCAACGAAGAAAAAAAATTAAGTTCCTTTGTCTGTTGAATAACCTGTCTACAAGTCACGTTTATAGTTTAACCACTTTGTTTTAAAACGAACTGAATAACAACACGCATATTGTCTGTTTCTGGCATGTCTAACATAGCACTACACTGCGAACCTTACACTGCAGGGAAAATGACAGATAAGGCTAAAATTTCCGCACAGCCCCATACTACATTATGCATTCAGTACTTGACTAGAGAAAACAGTGAAAAAAACAATACATTTCCATTGGGAAAACAGATTTGTTTTACCATAGTATGGGGCTGAGCAGAAACTTTTCCCAGATAAGCAGCAGTCATACAACTTATCTTACAGTAGTCCTGGCGATGCGCTTTTTTAGAAACTATGAGTGACCGTGAACCACAGATCAACAAGCAAAAGAAGGCCGACCAAAACTAACGACGAGGAGAGAGAAGGAAAAGTCGCACAGGTAAGTAAGACAGTAAGGGACAAGGTACTATTATGCCGGAAACAAAACAAACTGTCCTCAGGTATAATCAAAAACCATACAGTCTACTGTCCCGGAAGGCAAAATGGCTCTTGTTGAAGGATTGTACAACACACACCACAGGCTGTCCAACCAAATTATACAACAATAACACCATTGGGGCGACCAAACTTCCTCTTCCACGACTGAACCTGTACTCAGTACATTGATTATATATTATAGATAATTTCATACAAATAGCGGCTGCCACTTTTGTTGTAGGGAGGTACGCCCCTCTGGATGATGTCTCATATAGATGGCGTCTTGTCCTCAAAGCCTCGTAAAGCCCATTTTCGCTTTAGTGTTTGCGCCTAAATATTCATAAACCATCTAGGGACTTCAGATTCAGCAGTGGCATTCAAATAGAAATCCCATCAGTGACAAATACTATCCAAGATCATGCTGCTTCTCTCTTTAATAAGCTTCTGGGAAAACCTTAGAAATACTGTAAGTCATAATGTCTTGAGCTGGGAAGTTAAACACTTCCTTCTTGACAAAACTAAGGCCACTAGATCATGTTAACCTCTTCACTCTCATATGACACAGAGCTAGCTACCTACATCAGTGATTACCATTGTCCTAAATCATAACTTCTACATTACTTAAAATTGAAAAATTGTATCATTTTTGGCTAAATATACACATTCACTTGCCATACACAGGTTTTCACCAGACTATAGAATGGTGACATATATAACCTTTATTAACAATCTGACTGTCACTAGGTTTCTTGTACCACACATATTTACAGGAATTATGCTCAAAGACTTTTTCTTCACCCACAGCATTGAAGAACCATTTCAAAGTTTTAAATAAATGCATATTAGACAATTTAAGTGTATAAATTATCTTTTAAAATGATACATTTTGATGTCAATTGTGCAAACTCACTATTTGTTACATATTTGCATTAAAAAGAGAGAACAAGCAAACAGGTTTGTGAATTGTATTGACGGCCAGAAAGATAATTGGGTGTTATCCCCCTCAAATAACAATCATAAATATATTGATCTTTCTTAACCCTTTAACTAACAGACCAAATTTGTAATTCTCCTTACTGTCAACAATACAATTCTCATAATATTAGCTTAGAGAATTTAGTATTGAATCAACTAATTATCCTCAAATTGATATTTTCTTTATTCTCATCACTCTTATCTGGTTGATATTGTATTGATATTGTAAGGAGAAATTCTCTCTTGGTCACTCATGAGAGTGAAAGGGTTGTGTTAGTCACAAAAAGCCTTGAAAATTTAGGAAAAACTCCACACCACATAATAATCCTTTCAATTATTTTCAGTTGTGAAATAATTGCTTTAGTTTTGGAGCATTTTGTGTTGTTCCCCAGTCTCCATGTCTAGTCATTTGTTTACTCTTACTCTTTCATTCTCATCCAAGCTTGCAGTGTTGATACATGCCACAGTGAGCTGAATTACACTGATGGACTGCTTCAGTATGCAGATAGGAAGAGTCAGCCAAGCTAGAGCTACCCACAGACCAAATGTGCTGCCAGCAACAGACACTTTGACAAAAACAGTATCTCCCAGTTAGTGTGTATGCTATGATTGGTCAATTAAATGGGCTGTATTTCACTGTATGGCTGGCTTAATTTAAAAGTTTGTTTGAATTGAAACCTCCCCCTCTGTTTGACCCCAGGGATATAAAGAACATCTTATTAATCTTGTTTTCTCAGTCCATATCATAAGTTACTGAACTTAATTTTTTACGCTCTGATTTATGGCCAGTGTGCTTTGCGCCCAGGCCATGATTCCAAGTAGAAAAACTTGATCTGTAACTTACCTCAAACCTGATTAGAAAGAGGTACTGATGAATAAAAAAAACAGACCTGAACTGCTTTTTCAATGAAATAAACATTTGGTGTATAATTATCTCAAAAGCTGCCATTTCACTGTGTTGAGTTTAAAAAAAGCATGTTTTCTTGAAATACAAATGTATCTGTACATGAGTACTAAAGAATTGTACTTACAGACTGGCCCACTTGTGAAATGAACCAAATACAACATACAGAAAAAGAGTTCATTACCAGCACACATGATGAACAGTACCACCTGAAAATTAGTAAATAAAGCCTAGAGTTTGAGAACTGAAATACAAAGAATTCTTCAAGTTGAACACACAGCATTAAGTTGGTTTCTCACTGGTTTCCCCAGAAAAAGACTGCCTTATTTTTTGGAAATTTACTGTGTTTCTCAAAGCATTTATCTTGTAGATGGAAGAAGGGGTTCTTCACAGCTGAGCTTGTTACTGATCTCCCTGTGACAGCTACGAGATCGCAACTGAACCCCTTACACATAAACATCAGTATATATATTCTCCATACTGTTCTCTACACATTTCCTAAGGTGCTGACAAGGTGAATTTATTTTTTTATAATACTGAGAGCTTCTTTAGTTGGTGATCATTTCCTTTATTCTTGTGACCTTAATGGATGATTCAGGGGTGATACTGTGAGGAGAAATTTGATGCTAATCACTCTTAGGGGTTAAAGGGTTTAACACAGTGGGAGGTTTAAATTTTGTCTTTTGGCAACACGCAGGGGAACTGCCATCTTGATATTAACCCTGTGTATTCTCTGCATAAGAAGAAAAATTATCAAAAATTGGTTACCCTAGAGTGATAGTAAATCCGCAGGAAGAAGTTGCCTGATAAATCAATTTTCTTGTGACTAGCTCCTCCTTTTAATAATGAACTAATGATTGAGAAAGACAGAAAATTGTTATATTTTGAGAAAATAATTGCTCATGAAAACAACAATATCATAAGGCCAACAACAGAACATTCATCAATAATTTGTGATAATTAATGAGATTAATTAGTTAATTATGATAGAAATGTAACTATTTTACCTTTGTACATGAATCCAATGACTGGCAATATCCAAACATATCAACAATTGGAAGACAAATGTGAATCTTGGATAAAACACTGCTAACATCACAAGAAGTGCTGTGGTAACACATCTATGGAAAATGATAACAAAAATTGGTCCTGTCAGAGATTTGAAAGGTTATTAAATTATAAAATAAATATTCTCAAATCTCTCTTTTCCAGTCCTCATTTCAACTAAATTAACCATACAAGATACTTCACCTGTCTGTGAGCATATCTAGCATGGCACCAAACATTGTACCTAAGAAGTTAAAAAACATTTTAAAGTTTTGAGTTGAATTAACAAATAACTATTTATTAAAAACAACTAGACCATTGGAATATTTGCTACATTTCTGGACAGAGGTTGTTAAAACTGGCCAAATCTATTGACGGAGTATCTATGTTTGAGAGCTTGCCTATCACATACCCACCCCAAATATGCATGTGTATCCCCCCCCCCCAAAGATGGTAAAACGCACTGGACAGAATTAACGGTGGTGCAACTTGCACAAGTGGGTAAGAAGACAGTGGAGACGAGGTACCTACAATTAATTTTCCCACCTAGCTATTTTGAAAAAATGTGATTCGTGATCACCATGCATTCTGCCATTTTGTTAATCACATGAGGAAGAGGAGTCATTGGACTTTCTCCTGATCACGCAAACTGAAAACAAGACTCTTTGCGACACATTAAAAGAGTCAAATATCCTGGCGATGGGAAATTACAGCTCTTAATGATCGAACTCACTTTGATTAAAGTATCGTGCTGCATGCCCATCAAATGCATCTAACAGGCCACTCAGAAGATACATGGATGCCGCCACGACACAGTTCGTCGGCATGAAGTAGAAGGATAATATGGCTAACACGATCCGTGCATAACCTGTCAGATCAGTAAAGTACCATTTGCTATTTGAAATCTCCGAGACTGAAAACGATTATGGTATTAAAACATTATTGAAAATTCTAAGTGAAACATGCTATTTCCACAATAAAACAGCTGTTACGAGGTAAAAAGTGCCAAGAAAAAAATTTACTCACCTATGATATTTGGAATAAATAGAAACACATTTTCAGCCATTGTTCGCAAAGGAAAGATCTAAAATATAGGTTAACTTGAACCAAATCTTTAACTGTACTGTCTCGCCTTAGAACGCTTTCGGTCTGTTTTTCAGTTTCTCTCAGGGGTAGGGTAGTGAGAGGCGGTCGATGTTACTGATTTAATATGACTCTTTTCAAGAAATTCAGAAATTAATTTTCTCGTCTCATTCAGAAAATAAAAAGAATTATGTATTTCTGGTATTTCAGTTACAAAAATAAAAAAAAGGAAATAAAGAAATATAAGCACAATGTTGTTAGGGAGGTAGGTAAGGCGAGGAATCTGGTGATGGATCGGGTAGGATTGTCAATGAGGGAGTCACCCTAGCAACCTTTGCATTAAAAAGCCTGGGGACGAGCCCATACGACACGTCGCGTCTCTTTGAATGTGGAGGAAAACTTTGCGCGATAAATTATTTCCGTATCGAATTTTATTGAACTGATTTGTAATATACATGACCATAATATGGAATACGACGATGAAAACCATCACGAACAAAAACGCCGCAAACAGATCCGTGTTTGGACCGATGGTTGCTTTGATATGGTTCACTTCGGTCACGCAAATGCGCTTCGACAAGCGAAAGCAATGGGCGACGTTCTTCTAGTAGGCGTTCACTCCGATGCAGAAATCACCTTACATAAAGGACCGCCCGTTTTCACCCAGGAAGAAAGGTACAAGATGGTTCGAGCTATTAAATGGGTCGATGAAGTGGTTATGGGCGCTCCATATGTAACTACGGTTGAAACCCTTGACGAGTACAACTGCGATTTCTGTGTTCATGGTGATGACATCACCTTGAGTGCAGATGGAAAGGATACTTATGAAGAAGTTAAGAGTGCAGGCCGATATAAAGAGTGCAAGCGTACAGCTGGGGTATCAACCACAAATCTTGTAGGAAGGATGCTTCTCATGACCAAGGAACACTTTGATAGGGCACCATCGCCAATAGGAAATTTGGACCCTACTCAGGTCAATAAGGCCAGTTCTGATCCATCCGCTAAGAGCCCTTGGACATGTGTATCCCATTTTTTGCCCACCTCTCAGAGGATTGTCCAGTTCTCAGATGGAAAGGAGCCTAATCCTGGGGACAAAATAGTGTATGCTGCTGGAGCATTTGACCTCTTCCATGTTGGTTTGCTAGATTTCCTTGAAACTGCCAAGAATGAAGGTGACTATCTTATTGTTGGCCTTCACACAGATCAGGTTGTCAACCGTTACAAGGGAAGTAACTATCCCATCATGAGTCTACATCAAAGAGTGCTTAGTGTCCTGGCCTGTCGTCATGTTGATCAGGTGATCATTGGTGCACCCTACAGAGTAACTTCAGAGTTGCTGGAACAGTTCAAGGTACTACATTCTTTACATAATTATTGTTGCTGTGGTTTAAGGCCTGCAGCTGTTTTGTGATTTTTTGAAACAATATCATGACAGTAATAATAATAATATTGCTACTTATAATAATAATAATAATAATGTAATAATAGTTATCATTTTAACAGATGTGTCTTAAAAGGATTTTCAATTGAACCCAGAAGAGAAATTGTCATATGTATTATTCTCTATTTAAGTGCATTCTTGAGGTGGATTGGTGAGCATAGTCTATGTGTTGATATATTTGGCTAACACAGGCTTGAAAAAATTAATAAACTTAATTTGCTCTTTCCTAACAGTCAGCAGTGAGAACAAACTGTATGGATTTTGGAGAATCTTCACAATAGATATTTCTTGTTGAACATGCACCAATCAGTGAAATTGTTAATTTTCCTATTCGTTTTTCAGGTGGACATGGTTGTCCATGGTGAAACAAATGTAATGGAGGATGTAGATGGTACAGATCCTTATGAAATTCCTAAACAAATGGGAATTTTCAAAGTCATTAGCAGTGGTTGCCCGCTCACAACAGCTGACATTGTTGCTAGAATAATTAAACACAGGTTTGTAGCTATCCATTGCTGGACAACATTTAACCCTTTAACTCCCAAGATCTGATTGTTAATTCTCCCCTCTACCTGCTACACATTTCCTTGTAAATTAGTTATAAGAACGTAATGCTAGATCAAGATAGCAGCTTCTACCTGATAAGTTTGAATATTCTCATTACCTGTTTGCTTAAGAATGTATGGATATTGTAGGGAGAAGTTTTATGTTATTCACTTCTGGGAATTACAGGGTTAATAATAGTAATATGACTTTTGCTTTGTTGTTTAAATTTATCAGTCATTCACAGAGTGTAAGTATTCTCTTATCATCTGCTTTGTACTTGATGTTTGAAGATTACAACTTTTTTCTCCCAGTTCAGCTTGCGCAAATTATTGTGCAACTATTTTAACATGGCCTCCTGAAAATTTTCTGTTAACCAACTGAAATGTGATGCTCTACCCACCTCCCCTCCCCTCCCCCCAGTTTGTCAGTTGACTAGCAGATCCTATTCTCTCCCAACAAACTGAAAGTTTTTGGAAGAGAAGATAACAACTTATAGGCCGACTTGTTTTCTCCTCTTAAATCACAACCCTGTAACTTAAAAGATCTGACTGTTAATTCTCCCCTCCAGCTGCTACACATTTCCTTGTAAATTGTTAACGAGAATTTGCTGTTAGTTCATGATAACAACTTTTTCTACTTGTTAGGTTTGATTATTCTCAGTACCTATTTGCTGGATTAAGTACAGACATTTGAGTGAGAAGTAACATGTTAATCAGTACTGGGAGCTAAAGGGTTAAAATATCCAAGTTTTAATAACTTAATGGAAGGCAGAAGGGTTGGCTGATTGCTTTCAAGCTGTTGCTACTGACCAATACAGGCCTGGTAAACATTTGTAAGAAATTTTTGCAGTAATATGTAGTATTTAATAGTTGTTTGATTCATGTTTCATGTTTCTTTAGAATGCTGTATGAGGAGAGGAACAAAAAGAAAGAAAAGAAAGAAGCCGATGTTTTTGCTGCCATGGAAAGGAGAAAGTCACAAAATCAGGAGAAGTCTTGAAGAAATAGTTAAACCATGAACTGCTCTGTTTTTAGTTAGTTGTTCAAATGATTTTTACTTAGGTCTTAGTTCATAAGAAAATTTTTTGCATTTGCATGACTGTTTGGAAAAATAGTTTGGTAATATTTATGTTAATTAACTTAAATGTTCACTTTAAAATTTTCATTTGTCAATTCTTTGAGGCTCTTTATTTTGTCTCAACACAGCTTAATGATAATGCAGTTTTAGGTCCTTAATAAAAAGAAGTAACTACCTTTACATAACCTAATATCTTATTTGCACTTACAATGACACAATTGAAAACCACAAATTGGCATTATAAACAAACCATTGATTGTTGTAGTTAAAATGTCATAATGGATTTTGTTGCTTTCAGAGACAATTTCTCACAATTACAGTACCTACAAATTAATTTGTTTCAAGCTCTGAGTCAGCAAAGGGGAACAAAGAATGGTATTAACCACACTTGACCGTTGTCAGGGACGTCTCCAGCCTCTTTAAACCTGTAACTCCCAGAAGTAATTCACATGTAATTTCTCCCTACAATATCCATCCACTATCCAACAAACAGGTAATGAGAATATTCAAATGTATCAGGTAGAAGTTATCTTGATCTAACACCAAATTCTTGCAGCTAATATACAAGGAAATGTGTTGCAGCTAGAGGGGAGCATTAACAATCAGATCTTGGGAGTTAAAGGGTTAAGCCCATTCATTGTTTAGTTTGTCTCCTCTTACAGTGAGCCTGGCACAACCTATGTACAAGTTGTATATGTATTAAGATCAAACACATTCCCCATACAGGAGTTTTCATTTGGTCCTTTTGCAAGAGCATAGTTACACATTTGTAACTCAGAGAGGTATGAAGACAAAGGACACTCTTGCACCCAAATCTAGTTGGGAGTTTTAACAGTAGCGTTTTTTTTTTGTAGTATTACCACAACAGTCTGGAGATAACTGTCTTTAAATAATTATTCAATGGATTGTTAAGTGACTAAAGGTGCAGTCAGTTTTGAATTTTGAAGACTGGGATGTTGTGGACATTAATTTTAGTCAGTCAGTTTTGAATTTTGAAGACTGGGTTGTTGTGGACATTAATTTTAGTCAGTAAGTTTTGACTTTTGAAGACTGGGTGGTTGTAGACATTAATTTTACTAGAACTGAATTATTGAAGGATGTTTTAGGTGCTCTACATTGTTCTAGAGACTAACCAAGTATTTTCACACATTCACGTGGTGCCACATGTTTTAACAGAATAGAGACCATTCTAATATATAGAGATTACACAAAGTGACAGTACTTAAATATTGTATTGGCATCCACTGCCTTTACCAGTTATTCAAATAAATGATTGTTGCATTAAGTGGCTTCCAGTGTTACTAAAGATGGTTGTTCTTGTCACTTTCCTCTTAATGCAAACAGTTTTAAAATTCAAATAAAATTGATGGCAAGGGAATGTTGTTGTGTTAGTGAATGTGTTGAGGGTGTGGTTTCATAAATTGCATGAAAGTTAGTTTTAAATACCAGTAGTAACAACACATTTCCCCCAATTCAGAGCAGCAAATTGCACATTTGATTTTGTTCTTTTTTATTCATTTTCTCATTTCCATTTGTTTCAGTATTTTCCATTTCATCCAAGCTAATACACAACTACGACTTTCCATGAATATGTACTTGAATATGTATTATATAAAAAAAAAAAAATACTTCTTATTTCTCCTAATGATCTTATTGCTTTCTTGCACATCAGATCTGAGAAATTCAAATTGTTTTCATAGATTCCTAACTGATATCACTACATTAGCATATAGTGTGATGAAACTGCAAGGAGTGGTTATGCATCATACAGTTCTGACAGCTAAAGGTTATTAAATCAACAACTATTGATTACAAAATAATAATTTGTAAAATGAATGTATATATACCTTCTCACGCCAAACTGGTGTTAATATAATAAATTCTCATGTTGTGATCCTACATGAAGTGACAAAACTTTAACATGATTTTCACAAGAAAGTATGTCTTCAAAAATGACCATTGCTTAATGACGGGATAATACAAGGCAACGTTAACACACAACGGACTATGAAAAATGATTTTCCTTGTTACTTTGATGCCATCAATCTAATTAATTGCTTTGCCATTTTTCATGTTTTCTACCTGCAATGTAATGTATCTCAGACGAAAATCATTAAATAAGCAATTCAAAAAAATTATGGCAATAATCAGAAAAACTATCCCTTTGTTTGAGACTTATTCCCTTGAAACAATCTTCACACGGATTCCATTCTTTGGTGCCATTGTGATTGTTGCCTTGAGCTCAAGAGGTTCCTACAAAAAATTAGAAAACATTAATAGCTACTAGGCATTAATAAAATCTTGCAAAGAAAACTGAGAAAGGAATGTTCTGCGAGGCACCACAAGACACCACTAGCAGTTTTCTTTATCTGAAATCAGGTTACACAGAGGGGTGAAAAGCTATTTCAAACTCTTGGTTTGAAATATCTTAGTCTTTTGACATTTTGGAGCATAAATTCTAATTTTTATTACCAAAGATGTTAAACCTTGGAGAGTAACCCTTGAGCTACAGGCCATAGGAAGTCTGCGATCACAGAGGGTTTTGCTCAATTACAAAGAGCACTTCAAGAACTTTCAATGAAACCTACAGCCTTCACATTAGAATTAACAACCAAAAATTGGTGGGGTGAGGTGAAATTTACTAGGCTCCTAGGTGATACTGCATTGGGTTGCTCCTGTGAGTCTCACCTTCACTGCTGTAACCTTAAACAATCTAATGCAAAATTTACGAGTCCTTAGCTGACATAAATCAAAGTTTTACATTTAAAACAGATACCTCAGTTTCTGCAGAGCGCTCAAACTTAAACCTCTTAAGAATGTGAACCAGAGCCATTTTAGCCTCCATGAGTGCAAATCTCATCCCAATGCATGAGCGTGGCCCTGTGCCAAATGGAAGGAAGCAATATGGGCTGCGCTGCTGTTTAGCCTCCTGGGAAAACCTACAAATAAACATAAAAACATAGCTATGATAAATAATGTGAAAACTCCTGGTTCTTGTCTGATCCTGTCACTTTAGCTCTTGTAAGTGACTGTAAATGCATTTGTCTATTAATAGTCATCCATAAGAAATCAGAGTTGATGAGGAGAAAGAAAAATATAAACTAAGGAACATTCAGATTTTATGGAACAGTAACTTCTCCACGATAAAATTGTATGAAATGCATCACAAATATTGTGAAGGATTACTGTTTAAATCTTGGGCGTGAGAGGCTTAGTCGACTTGTTTGTAAATAACTATCAGTCAGAGTACCTTTCAGGATCAAAGGTTTCTGGATCTGGCCAGTATTCTGGGTCACGGTGCAAATGATAAACAGGAAACACCACCACTGAACCTTTAACAAACTGCACACCATTTAAGGTACAACTTTCTTTAACAGCACGGCCGAACCTGAATTAAAAAAAAAAAAAAAAAGAAAATTATGTGGTACTTTGGTTTGGAAATTCCCCTTTAAAAGTTATTTTAAGTTCTTGCAAGGAGAGGTTTCTTTGTAGTTTCCAACAACTAAGCTAAACCTGTCCAGTTCTTAACACTTTTTTTATATCAAGAAGTTGTGAATAATTCCCATCAGCATAACATTCAAATGATTCATAACAGAAAATACATAACATACACTGACTGTTTTAACAGTAACATAACATGATTAAAGGACAATTTAAGTCTGAATGATACATTTTAAATGGAAATGGAAAGGAAGTTTTCAGTTAAAATCTGTTTTGATTACATGTAATACAGTTGGTAGTTACAACTGTCTGTGACAGTCATGATAACAAATTCAAACTCAAAACTATGAACCTGGAAGCTGGGGGATAGAGACGCAATGCTTCATTTAACACCATGTCCAAGTACTCTAAGTTCTGAACTGTGTCATAAGCAGCATTTTCCTGAAATTAAAAGATCCAAGCAGCTTTTCGGTGAATCACTAGTTTGATGCTTGACAAATAAATTCCATGTTGCCATTCGTATGTTCAGTCAGTGATCATGTGTCACAAAAATGTGGTAAGAACAAAAAAATTGACAGACAACATGCAGCTGAGCATCACTCGTATTATCACATTTTGACATCTTCTGTGATCTGTAAGTAAAAATACCCAAGGCAACATGGACTCTATTTGTTTAATGATTACAAAAGAGAAGCAAGATGTTGTTACTAGACAGTGACATCACCTATGTGTCCTTTATAATCCATCCTATACAAGAACCAATCAAGACAAAAACTAGTATAATTTAGCTAATTATGTAAGAGAGAATAGAATAAAATTTTTGGCTAGATAAAATTTTTGTCACAGGCTTGAAAATCAGTTCTCTCAAACTTGCTTTTGAAAGAAGATATTTTTTTCACAGGTTGTTGAGGCCAGGAAGGCTATAATTTTTAAAAATGTATCTTGAAGATAGGAGATAGAGGTAGGTGAGTAGTCCTGATTATCAGTAATTTATGGCTGATAACAACAACACAGTTCATTAAAAAAAAACAATTTTTTGTAAAAATTTTGTATAAAGTGTCAGATTGCACAAGTGAAGCCTAGTTTAGATATTGTACTTGAATGAAGGCAAATGAAAGTTAATGAATAAATTCCATGTAAACTACAGTTTCATGGCTTATTATGTTCAGCCTGGCTCATGTTTTCTTACCTCAAAATTTTTTTCACATGAGCAGGACAAGTCATTAATTAAATTTGATCCTAACTGTTCATATTACATACTGCATCCGAGCTAGACCTTAATACAGTAATCATGAAAATTAATGTGGGAGACTTACATCATCTCCAACAGCCCCATCAATTTCTTCAATCAGTTTCTCTTGCACTTCAGGGTTCAGTGCCAGACAGTAAGTCGTGTAGGCTAAAGCATTGCTTGTTGTTTCATATCCAGCCAAGATGAAGGTGAAAGATTGTGACAGAACTTCACCATCAGTCAGTTTACTAACTTTCTTCCCTTCACTGTCTGTGACCTCTGCTTTCATCATCAACTCCAATAGGTCTTTCCTCTACAACAAAGTTCAAAAGCCAAGGGAAATTCCCTCATCAATAAACCTCTTTCACTTGGTTTTCTCTTGGCTCTGTTTTTGATGCGATGTTGAGGTTCAATTTCACATACATTGTATGTATCATATCTAATTTATCTTCATTTGAAACTCATTATCTAGAATTATTACTGCCTAAAAACAAACAGAAAGTATTATGAAAACCAAAGATAAATTGAAGCACTTCAAAGCAATTCTGGATCACACTTGCAATTCTAATAACAAGATAGAAGCCTCAAGGAACCCATCATTTTCAAGTCTACCTGTGCAGCTCCAGACTCTCTCCTCATTCTCATCACTTCTTGTGTAGCTTTAGCTAAAAACATCGCTGACTTTGATCGTTCAGTACTTGCCGACCTCAGTATCAGCTTCATCACCAACCGAAACAACCGTGCCATAAATGGAAACACCACTGCCAAAAATTAACATTTACAAGAAATTGTATGAAAGGAAAGGAAAACACAGCATCAAATACATGCAGTCCCTATCCAATTTAACTAATCTAAAATTTTCTCATAATTGCAACTGTTAAAACAAAATATGAGCAGAATGTTAGGTGTCTTACGATCAACCAAACTGGAGATCAGGACAAATGGGCAATCCTCAAAATGACAGACTAGTTCTCTCCCCACTGACTGGTTTGTTCTTCTTTATACAGTAACTTTCCAGTATGAAATAATTTTGATGTCCATAGTTTCTTGGGTTTCACAATCAACACTTAGTGTAATAGTTCTTAGTCTAATAACAGTTCATCATTTACTGACAAGATTAATTACAGGTAATTTTTCATTCATGTTCCTGACTGCATCCATAGATTATTTGATAACAAATTGTTTGCTGATCACTGGACTAAAGCAACACACAAATGATCAACTTACTTAAAATAAATGATAGAGGAGGCTGTTTAAAAAGAACCTCTGCATTTGGAGTGTACTGCTCATCGGCATCATTCTGTATGTCTGCCTGGACACCAAATGCTGTAGCCAAGATTACTTCCATGGTGAATTTTCCATAAGTCCTTCAAGACATATTTATTTGCTGCTTAGTAGCTTAGACTTAGTGTCAAAAAATGGTGACTGTTAAAAAAAACCACTCTTATTAACCCTCATATTCACTTAAAAGGACCCTTTTTTCAACACCTTTTTGTGGGGCCTTAGCAAGGAAGGGCAGTTTAACACCTTAATTAAACACTAGACCATAGGCTGCTATATTTTGGCTAAATAAACTTACTTACAAACTGACTACAAAGTGAGTTTTTCACCAGAATGCTCTTGCTTTACCTGACTAGGAAATATCAGTTTTAAAACCTATAGCTCATCCCTAATTAAAGCTCACTTAGCCTTGCTTTCTTAAAGTAACAACAGTAGTAATGCAATAAAGAGAAAAAGTAATCACAGCAGTAAAACAAATAAAATTATATGAACCTTTCTGCAGCAGGGTATTTGACAAGAGAGAGAGAAGAGTAAATAAATTTTGACAAGTCATTAGGAGGGTGCAAGCCCCTAAGCAAAAGAAGGAATGCTTAAAGAGAGATAAACATATTAAAGTCATTTCTAACACCTAGTGACTCCCATCAGGAGAGGGGGTAATTTGTTTTCATGATCATGGTCCATTATCAAGACATACTGCTGCACAGCTTGATAGTGTGATGATTTCATTTGAGCTTGTCTACAACAGAGTGCTGCATGTACATGTACCTCCACATGTCCACTATCTCTCCTGTCTTAGCAATTTGTTCAAGTTTTTTGCCCAGTGTTTTTGCTGACTGGTGAACCAAAGGGGTAATCTGTAAAGAAAAAGACAACAGTCAATGTCCAAGTTCAGCACAAGATACAGCCTGGTGTTCATGTACCAATAAAAAGAATTCTAGATTATGAAATGATCGTAACATCAGTATTATTTGAAGGATATTCTTCATTGTTCTTTCATGAACATAAAAAAGGTGAAACTAAATAGAATATCCTTTTTTGCCTTCCAACTAAAGATGACACAAACCTGTTTAAGTTTCAGTGCACTGAATGTTGGAGTGATTGTAACACGGATTCTTCTCCATTCTTCATCTTCAAGTGCTAACAAGCTCTTGTTATCAAATACAGACTGACTTCCAATACTCTGTAAACACATTTCAACACAGAACATCACATCAATCACAACTAAGAAAAACATTATTGACTGATAGAATGTTCAGTGAAGATAAAGAGCAGACCAAAATAGACACTTGATGTATTACACTATCTTCACTATGACCATAAATGTGTTTATCATATACTTACAGAAAGTGGTCTGTTTGGGAATTTACTAAACTCTTTCACAGTGATCTGCTTGATTAGATCAACATCTGAGATCACATAAGCTGGCATACGACCAAGATAAACCCTACAATTATAGACAAGAAATATTTTAATGCTTGACTGCATTCGTTCTTGAATGGCCAGACTTGTAACTTAATGGTTGACTGCCTTATGTTATCCCCAACTTTTTTCTGTCAAAACTTCATCTTAATTCTAATGATAAAGGCAACCATATCGTTTTCCTTAGCCTTTGACAAAATTTATTAATTTAAAATATAACACTTCTTTATCCAGGAACTCTAAACCAGACAGTGCTATGACAACATTTCCTCCAAATTAGTTTAAGAAATAATAATAACAATTTGAATTCATAAAGTGCAAATCACATGAATGTATGATCAAATGCACTGTTAACTTGGTCAAATATAATTTACAACATATTAATATGTCTAACACAAGGATTATATCAGCTACTTGCTATGTTTACAAACAAAGAAAATTCTTATTCATTTTCAGCCTGTTAAAACAGGTCCTGGTATTTTTACTCAGGAAAGTTTAGGATTTTTTATGCAGGTAGCATAGGAAAAAGGTGCCCCTAGAATATTTGGGCCCAACCCTAGATCCATGACATCATTGTCCCCAAACCCTGTAAAATTTGACTAACCCTGCTACTCTTCCATACTTCTCAGCCACTTCTTTGTCAAACAAAAACATTTGATGGGGCTGAAATCAAAGCACATGATAAATAACCAATTAATGCAGAAAATGCAAAGAATTCTTTTTGAGGCAAGTTACATGTTATTGGTACCATTCATCAAACAGGGTTCAGGGATATTAACATGTTAATCAAAACTATAACAAGATTCTTGAACATGATTGGTTGTTACCAGCCTGATTTGAGCACTAATAGGACAGTGTAGTCATGTCATGCTTGTAAATGGACGGTGTAATAGGACAGTTAAAGGGACATTCATGGTCATCTGATTTTGTTAATCACTTGCATGATTACAGACCAAATCAGACTCCACTCAGTCCTATAACCGTTATTAATCTTACTACCCACAAACTCAAATAAAAGTCCTCAAACTCAAAAGACAAAATGAACTATTAACTGTTAGCGGTTTGAGAATTGATGAATTATTTTCTAAAGCACTTATCACCTTGCTCATTATCTGAGGAAGATTTCCCAAAAATGGCCATGGTGTAGGACCAGGTATACCCAGGTTTTTGAAGAAGGAAAAAGGTGCCATGCCATACCTACAAGACAAATATTATCTCAATACTGTACCCTAAGAATTGGAGAAAAACTTGCAATTTTGTTTCATGTAATTATCTATCATTCTAACAGGAAAGAAAGTGAAAATAAAGTGAAGCCCATCCTGCTTATCCAAGTTTACATAACATGAGGTGACCCAACACTGATGTTTTTTGTTAGAGACATTTGTTGTGTTATCAGTGATGGCTTACGTCCTCCCTTGCATCTCCTATTCACATTCTCAGGTAAGTAACCCTCCCAAAACAGTGGATGAGATTCAGGTAGATGCTGATAGAAGCACAGCATAGCATTTACAAAATACAGGTTCTTCTCGTTTGTAGGGCGTCGTGTGACATTTGCAATCCTGGCTCCTGAAAGATCACTGCAGCTTGATCAAAAGCCATTTTAAAAACGACCGCATTAATACATTTAAAAGATGTTAAGCAATCTTATCTTACGCATATTCAGCAAAGACATATAACGATAGCCTTTACGATCAAAACTCTTGGTCTCCTAATCAGTTTTAAATTGAGGGGAGGGGCAATCAGTTCAAGAGTAGTACGCATTTGTATAATTTACTTGAAGAAATTAAGCAAGACCTAGAGCGAATATAAATTAAGCTAGCCCGATTCCCCGCTGAAAACGGTCAATAAACAAGCACGGCCCTTTGTTAGCATCCGAACTGGGTAAATAATAGCAACAGCGGTTTTGCAACACTCTGCGAAACATGAGCGTCGAAACTCGGTAATTTGGAATTGTTACGTTACACATCATATGTCCCTCAAAAAATTCTGCGCAAACGTTTTTTAAACTTTCTCTGAGGAGGATTTCAGCTGCCGAAAGAGATTGAAAACAATTCTAGCGCCGAACTTTGTAGGGCAAACAAAGTTCAGTGAGGTCATTACAAACTCTAAGTCTTCGTAAGAGAAGTGCAGGCCTTCAATTTTTCAAGCGGGTAGCGGGAAAATGATGCTTAACATGTATAGCTACTGATTCAATCGATTTAAGATTTTCAATTTCGCTATAATTAGCCACATCATTAATTGCTTTTACGTGTAGTTCGAAAGGTCAACGAAGCAAACCAATAACCTGTGTACAGATTTATGCAAGACCCAGATAGGCGAGTAACTTACCAAGCGACCAGCAAAACGATTCCAATGACTAATGCAATCCATAAATGTTCAAATTCTGCAACATTTTTAACAAAATCCATCGTCAGAAAATAGGTTAGCTCGACCAAACCAACTTAACCACAATATGTAGAACGACCCTGCGCTTGGTTATAGAGTTATGCTAATAAGTCTTCCTCGCACTGGGACCACAGGCGTGAGAGCGTGACGTTTTCAAAAACAGCTGTGGGTCACGCGTGCCTAGCTCGCGAGTTCGTTTGAAGGAAGCTACTTTGCGAGACCAGAGGTAATTCGCGCGCGATACCTTGAAAAAAGCCGCAAACCAATTTTCCAGTGATAAAATGGATGATCCATTGCAGTCCTCAAAGTAGAGGTATAATGATATCTTCTTTCCGTACGACCGTGCCATGGGACGTGTGACGAAGACGCGAGTAAACGTATTTACCCGCGTTGGTATCTGAATTACTTCACCAGACTGTATTATTCTGTCCATTTCATTTCTGTGCGGAAGCAGAGATTCTAGCAAAATATTATTTTGATCCTTTCTCAGCCCACCTGTAAGGCTGCTTTAACACCCGTTGGATTGTCACGCAATATTCACAAGGAAGAACCGCGTGACGAGTGTTTCAATCTGGCCGTAAACCTAAAGTATTTCAAGTTAATTGATTACCTCTTCAAGGCAAATTATTCTTCGAAAATGATTCTGATCTGCGATCGATGACGCTGCTAAGGTATGGAACAGTGAAGTATCGTTGACCATTTTTTTGGAATAAGTGATTCAAACAGTTGAAGTTGTTTCAGTAGCAGGTACCTTGGCCCAATTCCAAAAGAAACCTATTTGCAAAGCTAAGCGATTTCTAAACACTTACTAATGGCACGGCAAAATATCAAACCCTGTAAACAAGCAAAAAAACTGAATAAAAAATAAGCCTGAAAAATTGAATACTGAATACTAAGAACAAGTCAGCTACCTTTTCTATGCAAAATGATTTCCTGAACGAAATTGAGTTTACAATACTCGCTGGTAATGCACTTTAAACGTCTTTCACAAACGAACCTATAAATTACTTATTCCGAAGGAAAAATAAGACGGCATTAATTTTTAAAAAGCCTCAAAGTTGTAGCGTCTTTCACTTACTTCAAGAAGATCCACGGCAATGGACGCACAACTTGAAGACGAAACGCCCTCAAAGGGTTGTATTACCGTGTGCTTTGAACGCATATTTCAAAAGTTGATTGAGTGCACACCGAAATACATGTACTTCATCTTGGCAGCTGATGGTTGAACTGTAGGGAAATCACCTTCGTTTTTTTTTGTTTAATTTGCGTTCAAAGAAACCTTTGGAACTGTATTCGGCGCTGGCGTCTGAACTGTACAACAAAAATCGCTATCAAAAATGGCCTTACGACTTCACAACACCAGACTAGTTGATGGCGGAATCTGTTGTTTTAATTTTATCTTTGAGGAGTTTTCCAGTATTGGAGAGAAAGTCTACTCAAGGCCCTTCTTTTTTGCCGGATCTCGATGGCGTTTACAAGGTGGAGTGAAAGGAGGACAGTTTGGTGTATTTCTCCGCTGGCTTGGAGGTGGGCAGCATACTGATAAAGTTAAATGCAATATCCGTTTCTCTGTGGAAGTTATCAACAACAGAGACCCCTCAAGCTCTGTACGGGTTGGAAATATGACAGAACCAGATGAGTTCCCAAGAGTAGCCTTCGGCATCGGCTGGAGCAAGTTACTGTCTGTGGAGGAAATCGAGAGGCCCAATTCGGGCTTTCTGGACGATAACTCTTTGTTCCTGGAGGTCAAATGTTGCATGGTGCACTTTTTATTTGAGGATAAGCTGGTGATTAATTTGTCATCTCGTACTAGTTACGTGTCCAGTTCAAAGTTTTCTGTGTTCGGCGAAGAATGGTACCTTGTATTGTATCCTAGAGGAGAACCCAAGAGTGACAATTCTGAAAGCCAAAAACAAGAGCACGCTGCCGTGTATCTTCACAGAGAAGAACCAGGCGTGTTAAGATTCAAGGCCACTTACTCCATATTTGTGCGAGGAGGCCGCGAGACGCAAGTCAGTCATCATTTCTGCAACAACAACGCCAGCACAGCATTTGGCATTGAGAAGTTTGCACGCACCAAAGATCTTAAGGCTGTCTCCAAAGGAGGCTTGGTTTCCATTGGGGTCAAAATCACCAGCATCGAGCCTTACTATTACTTTGGGTTTGACACACAGGGTTGGTCGCCTCCCAACAAACTTGGAGAAGGATGTTCTATAAAGGACGTGTTCCCTTTGTTGCTAAAGCCGTGCTCGAATGACAAGAAAATGTTGGATTTTAGTCTGATGTTGGACCCTGGGCCAAAATTTGAACATGCAGAACTGGAGGATAGTGCTTACTACATGAAGATCCTTTGGAGTATCAATGTGGTGTGTGTTAAAGATTTTAACAGAAGTGTAACCGTCAACTCTTGGGATGTCGTTGGTAAGAGCGCTTTCTGTCACAGCCAGGATGAAATGACAATAAATACAACTCTGGAGCTAAACGAGGTACTCTTCTATTCATTTAATAATCATAAATGTTTAAGCCACCTACCTTGTACTCCTTCTACAAATCGTTTCAGCGGTACTGGACGTTTAGGCATTTCGATTCCAACATTTCTATTCCTGCCACTTAATCTTGTGTGTATTGGAAACGGTTTTACTCTAACTATCCCTTATTTGACTTTGATTCATCATAGGAGTAGACTTTTCGCAACCCTCTACTTCACTGCATCTCTTTTACATCTTTTGAGCGTTCTTATAATTAAACTTCATAAAATCAGGAATTTGGGGGGGGCGGGGGTCAGTCCAAAATTAGCGAAGAGTACGATCTCTAGACGGTTGAGACATTTTGTTATTGTTTACAGCGAATGGTTTTGCCAAGGTATTCAGACAGTTCAGCCCCTTTATCCCCGAAGCAAAATACAGCGAGACGATTCCACCAAATAAGAAATATAATCCCATCCAAATTAACGATATTGAAACAAAAACGCAATGTACAGTACTACGACAAACAAATCATTGAATGTTTTATTGCTCCTTCCCCTAGGTGTTGAACCCGCATAGCCCCTACTTGGATGACGAGAAGAATTTGGGAGTTCGCCTTGTCATGGCAAATGCAAATGAAGTTTATGATCCACTCCTGATCAACTCTGACAAACACAGCGTGGCAAAGTTGAGAGAAATGAACGCTCAGACAAAAGCTGCTGTGGAAAATTTCTGGTAAGATTAGTGTTGCAAGAAAAGCCTTTACAAAGAGGCAATCGACTTTTTTTCCTCACGAAAACTTGTAAAAAAAAAATTAGAGAATCGCATGTTTTGAAATTCATTTACCTAAAAACAACGCAGCCGTGGTGGAAACGCATAATCAAATAAATATTTAATTATTTGTCAATTAGGGTATCAGTTGGATTAGATAAAGACCATTACAATCCACTTGTTTCATAGGAAGGACCAATTAGACGAAATTTATTCTGAGAAAGATAGAATAATAGCTGACAAAGAAGAAGAAATCGCAGCAAAAGAAGAGGAACTAAACCAGAAAGAGGCTGCTATCCAGGCACTGGAGAACGAGATTACTGAGAGCAATGAGTATCTGGCAGAAATTGAGAGCACTGTTGATGAGGTATGGCAAGCATCTATGCTGTGAGCTAAGGACATCAAAGAAAAATAACAAAAATCCTACTCTTTAGGAGCCCAAAGAATATTCCACTCCACTTCCTATAAAATGTTTAAGGGAAATATTGCTGGTTTGTGCTCAAACGAAAACACATGCGAACCCGCGCACAGGTAGCATGATCACACAGCCACGGAACAATCTGAAAGATAAGTTAACGTCGCTTCCTCTTCTGAAAATGTTTCTATGTTATGATCTCTTGGTTTTTCCTCTGTACAGATTGACGGCAAGAAAGTGAGCAGTATAAAGGATCTCGTACAGGAAGCTCAACCAGATGAAGAAGAACTTACTAAGCAACAAGAAGTTGGAGAAAAATTGAAGGCATTTTTAATGGCGAGTGTTCATTAACATTGCCTTAACACTTAATATGTGAAACACTCAATGTGTCTTAATTCCAATTTTCTTAAGCACTAGCGAAAAATTCCCCACGTGAAGGACTAAAGAATTGATTTATTTTTGTATGACCTAACAGGATCGCCTCCCATTCAGCGTCAGCCGTATTTCAGTTGTTGGAGCTGCAGGACAAGGAACTACTATCAAAGGCAACAAGGAATTAGAACTGGCCGTGTTTGTCAAAGGTTTAGTGTATGTTTAAATTCTCCCTTCGCCATCAAGGAGTCTATCGTTTGAAAATTTTAAAATCTGACCACCCATCCCTTATCAGTGATAAAAAACTAAGCTATTTACAAATTCCTGACGGCAAAACTTAGCTAAGCATGAGGTCAAGAAGACTGTTGTTACATAACTGTGACAAAGCAACAACCATGTAAAAAGAACTGACAAAGTCCCATTCGTTTATTAGATCTTCCTAGAACTGAGCATAAAAGTTGGTTGCCAGCCATAGTTTTCACTATCAAGACCCTGCTGAAACAAGAAGGATCTAAACCAACAGAGAGCACAGATGACAACCAAACGACTTCAACACTGCCACCATGTTCAGACTTTGTGACTACCTCAACATCTGTCAAGTTCAAATGTGATAGTGTGGATGTAACAATTGACCCAATGAATGACTGGGAGCAAATGGGAGGATTCGTTGGTTTATATAAACAGTGCCTTTCCCAACCAGCAGATGCTCAGCCATTGTAAGTGCACCCACAAGACATTTAAAAGAGGCCCCTCCCATTTGAGTAACACCATGGCAACTATAGAAAGGCCACTGAACTGAGATGTCATAAGAACTATGAAAGTAACTTAAACAAAGTGTTTTGTCGAGAAATTCTATAATTGATCATTAAGTTAATTTATCCACTAATGAGATACGTTATAGTGATGTCATAATACTAATGTAAGTCATTTGTCACCTGTGGACCTAGCTGACTCACTGGGTAAATATCAAATCGTTTCGTATACTTTATTATCTGAGCATTTCATAACAATGTAACTTCCTCTTAGGATTCAAACTCAGTTCTTATTGTCTGGCAGTAAAAGTCATCAATAAAGATGTTTGATAACAATGAACCAAAAACCCACAACTGACGAAACGCAAAGGTCATACAGTGGAATTTTTTTCTAGGGGATTCACTGAAAACTAGAAAAATTGACCCCATACATTTAGGGGACACATTCAGGACTTGAAAAATTGAGCGCCTCTTTCTATCTATTTTCATCTTTATCTAGCTACTTATAAGAGAATCAAAGATTCAGGAGAATTACATTCTCCATCACATCACACTATAAATTGTAAAAATGTTTGCAGACTTTATCATAATTCAAGGCACTCAAGAACACTGAGGTGATTAAAAATTTGTATGGAAACTTTCGTAAAGTTCAGCATACTCAACAGCTAATACATATGTCAGAAATCATTTTTTCCTTTCTCTTGTTTTAGTTATAACATCTGCGCCTGTGAAAGACAGACAGAATTTATTTCTATACAGAATCCAAAGGTATTGTTTGGGCTGTGATTCTATACAGGGTTTTTCTTGATCTCTCTGACTTTTTCTCAATATTCAGACAACTCAACACTCTTTGGAGAGGTATGTGAACATGGTATCTCTACAACAACTGTATGGATTTTGTTTATCCTTTTTTTTTTTTGCATCACTGAAACTTGAAAATAAATTTTATTTAGATAAAAGAACCACTACCCTGATACCAAAAAGGTTTCACTTGAAAAAAAAATCAGAGCAATGTTTCTATTTCTACATTAGTGCAAGGAGCTGATCCGTATTGTCAAGGTGTGGAGTAACAGCGTTGCCTGGCGGAATACCTCATCCACACCCAGTCAGTACCTGTTGTGTCTGCTGGTGACTGCAGCTTATCAAGTGGTTCACGAGTAAGTCTGGTATTAACAACACGCAAAATACCTTTCACAAAAATGTATATTTTGAGGTGTTTTGGGGTTAAGAGATTAATCAATATGGAATGATACAAATATAAAAACTCTTGAATGAGAAATTTACCAAGTTACTGTGTAAGAGTTCCTGTAAAAGAAAATTTGCCAATTCTTTCCTTAGAGTGGTCAGTTTTCCAAAAGAAAATTATCAAAAAGCAATTGTGCAATGGCTGCTTAAACATCTTAGTAAACACAAGCTTAAAGTTTGTTCCTTTTTCATTCTATACAAATATTAAAATGCAAAGCAGTTGTGAACACCTTTATATATCTACATACCATGTGCTTCAATGTGTTATTATGCAATGGTTGAATTCTAAAGGGGAGGTGATCAGTCCCAAGCAGTAAGAGCAGACAAAGATGTTTTCTTGGAACTTGCTGACATGGTTGGAGATGAATCTTTAGAGTAAGTTTAATAGATACCAGTACACACAACTTTTTTTAGAAAAAAAGTATTTCATATTGCATGATATTAAGAGAAGACAGCAACAGCATTTCTAAAAGTTGATAAATCTATCTATAAAATATTTCAAATTATTAGATACAGACAATACACATCTTTAGAAATGTGGCTTCCCTTTATCTAACTATGAAAATGGATGAATTTTTAAGCAGAGCTTATTTACTTATTTATTTATCTAAAAAAATTTAGGCTGAAGGGATTTACACTTGGGTCACCACATGACATAACATTTCATTCCTCCATTTGTTAAGTTAAGTTGGTCAGTCAGTTGGCAGTTAGCTGGCAGTGAGTTGATCAGTGACTCAGAAACTCATTGATATTCATTCAGTTTTCCCATTACTCTGTCACCCATCCATCTATCCAGCCATTCATTCAATAATTGACTCTTTAATTTAGAGATATTTCTGACACAATAGTTTTCATCTCATTTTATCCAGAGTCTACTGGAATGAATATTACCTGGTAGAAGACTATCCCAGGGAAAATTTTCCAGTTCTATTTCAACTTCCCATTGTTCAAGACCCTGCCATTCCAACACATAATGTGGCATCTGATGGACTAGAGGACTGGGCACAATTCAGGAGAGAACTGTCAAAATGGGTTGCAAAATTAACTCTTTGATACACTACATTGATATGTTGTAACATCATTCAGTTAATAAGCTCTGTAAATGTTTTTTGTAAGCATAAATCTTCAGAAATGTAAGTTGGAAAAATGTAGTAATGCTGAGTTGATATGAGAAAAAAATGCAAAAAATTCACCTTTGAAGGTACATTGTATCCTTAAGAGATAAGAGAACAGCTGCCATGAAGGATATAATCCGCTTTAAAAATCTTTGCCATAGTACTTTCTTAAATAGTGTTAGAATAAAAACACTTAAGAGACAATAGCTACGATGACTAGCACTAAAAAATATTTTAAGTGATTTAACCTGTGGATTTCATTCAAAGATAGTTCAATATTTATGATGTAACCTCAAAATTTACACATTGAACATAGGGGTAAAAACTTTAAATAAGCAAGTAGTCAGTGACTCAGTATTTAGTTCAATGAATTGCTTTTACCATTGGTATTTAGGGCCTTCTTCTAGTTATTATATCATTTTCTTTTTGTCATGTGGATGCAGAAGGAAGAAATCTGTAAAATCAACAGCACAAACAATTTTTTTGTTTTTATAAAGATGTGCGTCTATATGATAAAATTGTGATTCCTATGTAGATTAAATATCGTAATAGTTGTGAAATTTAACTGCCTCATCACTATTTTAATTTTTTAAGTATGAGCATTTTGATGGATGATTTATTTAATAAATGGTTTATCTACTGCTGGTAAACAGGTTTTATACTTGTGAACTTACATAAAACTCCATAAATTATGTAATTATTGAGTAGCAAAACAGTATTATAATTTATTACATTCCCATCAATATCACTGCCTATACTGACCACATCTCGATCAAACATATTTTTCCAAATGGATGGAACTCAAAATTTTCTCCCTCTTGAAAAAAACATTTAAATTTGAAGACATTTGTCTAAACCAGAGTATATAATTAAAGGTGGAATAGCATATAGTCGCAATTTCTGATACTCCATTAACACCATAATTAAACATAACCACTTTTATATAAATTTCTGTCTTCCACACTCAGACTGTACACAGCACATAAAACAACCTGCCCTATCTACAGTAGATACAACTTTCTACTTTTTTCTTCAGTAGATACAGCTACAAAGAGCTTTACCTACTGCAGATAGTGAAAATAGCTCTATCCAATGTAGACAGTGTAGATAGCTGTATCTCCTGTTGTGAGTAAAGGTTAAACGAAGTATCTGGCAGTGACTACCTGTACCAGTATATGCTCTCCTAGCCTGAGCACGGGATTGAATGGATGAAAATATCTTGATAACATGTTCCCATATTCCTTCGTCTTTTTCCTGTAATGTATAATTTGGCTGATGTACCATTTTTCGGCACTGTCCTTCTGTCAGCAAAACTTAACCATGTTCAAGAACCGCTATACGCGAAATTCAGCCATCTATCAAGTGGTTTCGCGTTAGCTTTATATGAAGTTACCCTACTCCGCTGACATTACCCTCAGGTCGCAGGTGATGTTCACCAATCAGAGGCTTTGTTAGAAGACGCGTGCTTTTCAAACCGAACTCTTTCGACAACAAGCAACACATCCAGTCAAAACAGAACTCGTTACAACCGAAAACATGTTTAGTCCACTCGAAGATCAGGAAAACCTGCCTGTTGGGGTAATCTCATACCCTTAATGTTTCGTATTGAGGTTATTTTTAGGTCTTTTTTTTTTAGGTTGAGCATGTGGCGATCAGTGTGACCACGTTCTGTAAACGGAATTTAGATCGAAACGTTCTGTGTGAACGAATTTAATCATGGCGTAGATCATTAGGCTGTATGAGAGATCTTGAATTGAAACGGTCATAGGGTTACTTTGTAATACACCAAAGATTAATCTAAAATTTATTTCACACGGTCTCATTCGCAAAAATCCTTATGAGATGAAAATCTCAAGACTTCGTTCGAACTGATGTGAACGCCAGCTAAACACTGCCTTTTGGCCTCTTTTTTGCAGTCTCGTTTGTTCCATTTCTCCCTCGAGTCTACATGTTCAGTTTTTATCCCTTTTCAAAGCGAGTGTTTTGTCTGACGATGGTAGTTGTCCGTTTGCTGATGGTTGCTGGTGGTTAACAGAACATTCAACCACACTGAACAGGCGGGGGTTCAAGCTTTTACCAGGGAATAGGATTTTTTATTGTACCGTGTTTCTGCACTTGAAATTTTACGCGTAAAGAATAGAACTGCATATGTCTTATAGCATAAACACAACATTTAACCTGGATGATCATTGATTGACAGGTGGCGGCCTTGGTTACTCCTGCCAGACGACCACTTAAGAGTGTTTTTGACAGTCGTGTGAACCATGGTACCCCAGCCAGACAGCAACGTTCAGATCTGTCTAAAAAGTTTCTTTTTAAACATAAACAGAAATCAAAGAGGCGCAGTGCCCCTGTGCATAACTTGTATCAGTTGATACCTGCAATGGTCAAGTCAAGAATACTAACAGCTTCTCCAGTTCAAGAGCAAAGTCCAATAGGGAAGGAGATAAGCGGTTGTAATATGTTGTCTTTGAGTGATAAAGGAAAAGAATCTTTGGCTGAGAAAGTTGTTGGAGAAATCATAAAAGAAGTAGATAAGGTTTGAATTGACCGCACATAGTCATGGCATCATTTCTACAATGTACAAAGACCTACTTGCAGAACATTTCGATGTTGCACTTTTTGAATAAAGAGACTTTGACCTTTTCGTAACAAAGCACAATGTCTATAATTTCTAAAAAGAGGTATGAGGTATCAAATCAGGTATTTTAGTCCACAACTAGAAACAGAAGACAGCTTAAAAAATCCCTTCCACCCATCTCACTTGTTTTGTTTTGTTTTGTTTTTTTTTCTCCTCAAAGACTGTTATCTTAATTTCTTAATATCATGTATAATGTTTCATGTATTTCATGGTGAAAGATTTTGAGTATATTTTTGCAAGGCTCTGATTTTGGCCAATATAGGTTATTATGTTAACAGTCTAAAAAAATAATTCAGTTTTTTATGACAAATAAATGAACTATTCCAAATAATCTTTGAACACCTGTGCAAAGGTCACCACAGAACTTAATAATTAATAAGTATTTTGAATGAGCATAAATTAATCCGAAGATGTTCCATAATGCATGACCATAAACAAATTGATTAATACTTTCTTTTAACAGAGTGAATCCAAAGTGAAAGAGGAATCCATGCCAAGGAAGATGGATTCAAATGAGCTAATTATTCTGCAGATGAATAAAGAAAGATTGAGGCTTGAGAAACAATTGTCCCAATTGATGAAGGTAAGCTTCTCCCAGACATCTTTCTAAAATCCTTCTTTTTTTTTATCTTGAATAAAATAATTTTACCTGTAATTTTTTTTGAAGTTGTTAATTGGGAATTTTCCTATCTGAATGCCAGGTTTCAAAAAGTGAAATTTTAAATGGATTAGTTTAGAAATCAGCAATCTAAAAAATATTTGCAGGTAGCAAAATTTACATATTTATCAAATCATAATGATGACATTGAATGAAATATCTGGGTATAGAAATAAATGAGCTCATGCTAAATGCAAATATTTCAATGACATGGAACAAAAGAGAGAATTTTAGAATACCGTTGTTATATTAAATGTAAATATTTGAATGTAAATATGTTATGTTAGAAGAACATTTTTTTATGTTTAATGGGTCTTCTCGAATGAAGCAGGATTACTATGTAGAAATTGTTTGTTTAATATTCAAAATACAAGTTTCAAGTTAAATTGAGTGATATGAACAGATTTTCTTCTATGTTTAGTTAACAATATCATGACAAGTCTTAGAGCACTGTTTGATTATTTTGAATTGGTATTTGTATATTTCAGGAGCAGTCAAGAACAAAGAAAGTACCCAATGGTACTTCTAATTCCAATGCAATAAACACCAATGGATTGGAAAGGGAATTAGCAAGGAAAACAAAGGAACTTTTTGAATTGAAACAGCAATTTGATCAGTTACAAGAAATGTTGTTGGAAGTTCCTGAATTGAAAAAGGACTTACATAAAAGTAAGCAAGAAACCAAGGGACTTGGTGAAGTACTTTTTGCAAGTCGGAAAAAGACTGTCCAACTAGAAGATCTCGTTAAGAAACTAAACAAACAAATTAAAGACAAGGAAAAGCTGAGTGAACACTGCATGCAACTTCAAAAGAGTTTGGAGAGTATAACACAAGAAAGGGATCAAAATGGCACTGAAGTGGAGAGACTTAGGAAGGACTTAGAGCAAAAGGAAAGTGAAGTCCAAAGAAATAGAGATCACTGCATTACATTGAAAGAACTTGTAGATAGGCTAGAGGTGAGAAATTTCAAATATATTTTTATCACCAGAGTTTGTTTTTGCATAAGCATTGTCAGGGAAAATTGCTTCTCTTTGCAAGTAAAGAACAGGAACCTTGGAAGCAAAGTTGACATGAAGGTCACTATATCTTGAAATGCTGACAAAAAGTGTCCCTTTTCTAATCTCTATTGACAAATTCTTTCTATATAACATTTAATCTCTCTGGCACTTCCTTGCTGCTAAACAGATTCAGTTTCTTTGTTGTGTTTACCCTCACACAACTTGTCGGGCATGGCATGCTCAAGGTTATTACTACTAACAAAGATGTGTTTTGATGAAAGAGTTATTTTCAAGATAAGTCTTTGCCTTATTGAGCTCATCTTTCTAATTATCCATTAAAATTATTTGCCAGAATGCTTCTTCAGATGCAGAGCACTATGTGACCTCCAGTAAGGAAAATGAAACAATACTGCAATATCAGGTAAAGTATCTATTTAAGCTGTGTCCTGAGTACAGTGTTGCCCAACCATGTTCTACTATTTATCGAGGTAGATTTGTCTCAACTAATTGTGAATTACACCTTTTTCTCTCCCCATTATCAGATAGATGAACTTAGTTTATCTTTGGAGTCAAATTTGCTTGCTTTAGAGGAGGGAAAGAAACTCATTATGGAGAGAGAAGATGAGCTGAAAAAATCAAGGTAATGAATTGATAAAAACAATAATTGTTTTGAAATTAGTTTTGTCCAAGAGCTTCCTTGTAAGCATAGTCCCATTAACCCTCTAACTCACAAGATCTACTTGTTAATTCTCCTCTCTAGCTGCTATACATTTCTTTGTAAATAAGTCACAAGAATTTGGTGTTAGCTCAAGACTACTAACTTCTACCTGATAAGTTTGGGTATTCTCATCACATGTTGGTTGGATCTTGTGTGGATATTATAGGGAGAAGTTACATGTTAGTCACCTATGGGAGTTAAAGGGTTAACTGGATGACAAAAAGTCAGCTCATGAAAAAGTGAACAATTTTTTCAAAGGAACTGTAGATTATTGGAGAAAAGATGACACCAGAATTTGTTCAGCTCTAAGTATTATGTGGAATAGTTCATCACACATTTTACCTTATGAAACTGTGAATACTTGAATATGTAACTCACAATTTTTTTGTACCAAAAAATGGAAAAAGTACAAAACTGTTTTGTTTTTTTTCAATTTTAGAGAAAGTGAAAAGGAACTACGAGACCAGTATGAGAAGCAAAGTGGACAATTGAATCATTTGACAGAAGAAATTGACACAGCCAAAATGGAAATCTCAAGGCAGAAGGATGTTATAATCAGACAACAAAGGGAGATGGAAGATCTGAGAGTAAAACTTGCAAATTCCATGGAGCAAATAGAGGTACGTCATAAATCAAGAGAACCAAGTTTTCAAGTCAAATATTTCTTTTAAATTAGAATACTGAGACTGTTGTTTGTAAATGCTTGTTTTCTCCAAAACAGTGTACATTGATCTGTCAATTTCCCAGTTCACATCTCAATTCTTGAGTTGTTTTCAGTGAGAATCATGACGTGCACCAGCTGTTCCTATATATTCTTATGCTTGAATTTGCACTTACAGAAATGCTACAGATGCTGGATTTATGGACTGTCACCGTGACTTGTTTTTGGGTGAAATTCTGTTGCTTCTGTTAGCTCAACATTTTCTTTTTTTTTTGTTTTTGTCATTTTCAGTACATACAGCTGCAACAACAAGAGATGAATGAATTCACGGAAGACGAACGAAGAAATCTAGAAGTTACAGTGTGTGAAATGGAAAACGAGGTAAGTACGATATGAATACATTTTTTTGTCCAAAATCATTGGCCAACATCTGTGCTGGCACTCTACAGAAAAGTCTTGTCTTTCTTTTGTTTGTAGTTGAAGCTGACCAAACAAGAAAGAACACAAATAAATGCTTCTTTGAGACGGAAGTCTGAGAAGTATGATGAACTTGTTCAAGAGGTGAAACAATCTAGGTAAGGACTTCAATCACATGACTGTATTGTAAGAATAGAGTATGTACTCGGCGTAGATTCCCCGTGTGCTGTTTTTTTGGCAAACTAAATCATGTTGCCTCGTTGGTTTTTAAAGAGGCCTTGTTTTAGGCAAATAGTAGGTTATACAGCCACACCACAACTTTCCAATTTGTATCTCTATTTTTTTAGGGATCTGTTGCAAGATAAGCAGGAGGAATTGGATGCCACGCAGTCCCAGGCTCACTGGATTGTCTTACAGCAAGAAGCAATGATAACAGACACCACAAAAGAGCTGAGCGAAATCTGGGATCTTGTTAATGATCTGCTCGTGGAATTCAACAAAGAAGCGTTTGCGATACAGGTAAATCCGAATTACTGTATTCGTGTTAACTTGCTACTGTTCTCTTATTCATCGAATTTTTTGAACGGATTGTTTAGCCCTTTATTTCTACCTCTAGGTCGACGATGACGAGAAGGAAAAACTGGACGAGCTTACGTCAAGTACCCCAGAATATGACCCAAGCAAGAAGTACTCAGTGCCTCCGAATAAGTCTCTTGTGCAGATTATTTTAGAAGCAACAGCAGTGAGGGATAGAAACCTGGAATTTAAAACGGTGAAAACATCTCAGCTTAAAATAGTTTGAAATTTTATGAGCTCCTTTCTCTGAAGGCCTTAATGTTTTGCCTGTTTATGTTGCTATTCAAAATGCATACTCATAGTATCGAAGATTTCGTTGATTTTTAAATCAAGTTTGTGGTGACTTTACTCATTTGGAAGTTGTTTGATTTACTTCTCAGCCAGAGAAACGTTGTCACAAGTTAAGCCCCATTCCTGAAGTAATCGAGGAAGATCAAGACTGTTCTCAAATTTCTGAAGAAGAAGAAGAGAAACTACCTTCACTCACTGCGCAAGCGGTGGAACTTAAACAAGCATTAATAGGATTGACGGAGATATGTAGAAAAAACATCTTCACGGTTCAGACGCAAAATAGTGTTGGTAGATTGTTACAAGAGAGGTAGATCATGAGTAAATCGTTTCTCGAAACTTTTGATTTTGTCTTAAATAACTGAAAAGTAAATTGAAGGGTAGAGCATTCCTAGCTGACAAATTAGACTAATAAAAAGCTTACCTCTTCTCCTATACCCAGGATTTTATTAGAGAAAGAACACAGGTCTTCTCTTGATGAAGTCATGATGCAGCTTGAGGAATCAAGAAAATCCGAAACAAATCTGGGTCGAGAAATCTCAAAAAAGAACAACCAGATAACTACACTGCAACAGCAACTCGAGGAAAGCAGAAATGATTTACACCATTCATTTCAAAAGATTGAATCGCTCAGCGAGCAGTATGAAAAGACCATAGACCAACAGGCCAAAATAACGGTAAATTTTGCTTCATGTTATTCGCATTTTCGAGGGCGTGTTCGTATACTACTCAGTCAGCTTATCGAAGAACTAAGTCATTTTTCAAAGGCAGTAAAAAAAAAGAGGACGTCCATGGCCTACAAAATGTAAATATACTTTTTTTACCCTTGAGTGTCAGCAAAGTTGAAGTGTCATTTGTTCAAAAATTTTAACCAATTTGAAAATCGTGAACAATGTTGTTTTGCAATTTACGCTTGTGACATGATGTACTTTCCAGGAGCTGACCAACGATGTACGGCGTTTCTCCGAGCAAGTGAAAACCCTCCAAAACGAGAAAGAAAGCTTGTCGCAACAACTGAAAGAAAGCCTTGATACATTGAACCAACTGTCACATGTGCCATCGAAAGAACCCGACCTTCACAAATCCCAAGACGTCCTTGGGAAACTATTAGCAGAAAAATTCAACCTAGAGGATCAGGTATTCACAAAACTCGTAAACAGTAAAACAAGTGGGCAGCCGCATATTTTCCCGCCAAAATGACCTTAGTTCACCCGTGTGACCATGCTCTGTTAGTATCTTAGTGTATCAGACGGTCTGTCGGTCTGTCAGCCTAACTGGGTAAGTTTCTTTGATCCAAAATTATGTGTTGAAATGAAAGCCAAGAGTATTCCTATTAAAATAGATACCCAGGTTAGAGATGTGTCTCTCTAACAACTGCACTGTTTTTCTCCAGGTTCGTAAGCTGAAAGAGAAGTCCGTGACATATCGACTCGAAACACAGGATCATATGATTGAATACAAATGTAGAACAGAGTCGAAGGTAAAGATCTTGCGGAGAGGGTTTATCGTAATCCTGCCCCCACGCCCCCTCCTTATGATTCCACATACCCCTCCCCTCATCTCCTCCCCTCAGCACTTCTCACTCCCAGTCTCTTTCCTTCAGATGCGTGTCCTTGAGAGTAACATCCGAAAAGCAGAGACTGAAATTTTTCGACTGGATGGCTTGGTAGAAAAGATTAGACTCGTAAGTATTGCAAGAGATGGGTAATTTATCATGGTGTTGCATTACATAACTATGAAATTATCAAGTTCAGTGATATAATTTCCCTCTATACAGGTCCTTCACCAGTATGATGACGTAATACGAAGCTGCCCGGAGTTGAACAAGTTGCTTTATTTTCTAGATGGCGAAGATATTCAATAAGACACTTACATGTAATTTACATCCATATTCGTCCGTGTTCATTTTTACTATTAATGCCGATTAATATAATTTTCAGATTTGTATTTAGTCTTTCTTCGCTTCCGAGTTCGTACGATTCCTTCTGATTGACAGTTACTTCTGATATTGGATCTTTTCTGACTGATTTTGTAAAAGAAAAGTTTATCGATGTAAGATGAAACTTAACACAAGCCATAAGAAATATTCATTTCCTAGTTTTAATTTTTTTCCTTTTCCCGGCTCGAAACTATTCCCATCTCCTTGAGAACCTGACACGGAAGCGGGTAGATATAAGGCCTTCTTTCTTTGTGAAGAAACTTCTCGATAAAAAAATAGATAAATAAAAGTAATAATAAAAGTACGATAAACACCGACTCAGAGATCCACAGTCAAAGCCCTTCATCTCTTCCGAATATGAAATAGTTAAAAGGACGAAATAGTATTTTCTTGTCCTTTTTGGCCGTGAACTGCTCAAGTGGTGTCCTTGAGGCCACGAAGATTAAACTTAAGACCTGCTGGACCAAAGAGAGACAATTCGCACTTGTCTTGCGTCCTACATAAATTTCCCAGGAGAGGGATAATTTTTTTTCCTTTTGGCGATATTATCGATATCTTGCTCATTTGTTGCTCCTTACAAAAAAAGGTAACCTTTCTTTTTTCCAGCCTTATTTTACGATATTTTTCCCCAAAGAACCGTTTTTGTGGATCAAGGACTTCCTGCAAATCCTCAGAATTGAAAACCTGCATAATTTTTTTTATGCCATGTGGTATCGAAGAAGTCAAATTTATCCCTGCATCATCACTTACGATTTTTCGTCAATGGAAGGGATATGCAAATCAAAATCAAGTGGGTTTTAAAATATTTGAATTGACCAGAGATGCAAGTTCATTTTAAATAATTAAAAAGTGATCGATAACCGTCAAGTATTTGTCAAAAATCCAAAGTGTTTGAACCCATATTGCAATTTTGTCACACACTTTAAGAGCTATTAGTCTCGAAAGTCGAGGGTGAAAGATTTTTATCCCGCCCTTAATCAAACTAGCGAAGAACAAAACAGAATTTACTTGTTTGTTGAGTTAGTAATTTGCATATACGACAGATAACAGGTGAAACTCTCGTTTGGGAGTAAAAAATCCTTTCGACTTGATCTTACATTGGGTTACAGAGAGAGAGACGAGCCAAAACAACTATCGTAGAGCTAAGAGATTGATTACACACCATGTCGAATACTGTGGAACCTGGATTGGCGAAGTCGACAGGAATTATCAGTGTCGCAGCCGGTGTATGTGGCTTTGGAAATTGTATCTGTGGATTTATTTGGCTTGGATACAACGGCTATGGAGGCCATGGTCTGTGGTCAGGCTTTGGCGTAAGTTTAAGTTATAATTTTTCTTATTCTTCAATATTGTGTTCTGTTGGCAACGTTGGTATCAGCAAGACTAAATAAAATCACAGCGAGTACGTGCACAAATACAAGGTCTAAGAAATTTTATCGCCTCCATTTTATGCCAACCCGTCAAGCTATTGTTGAAAGATGTAACGAAAAAAATGTTCCTCTCAGCAGACGAAGTTTGCGAAATATACTTTGAACGACATTTTAATTCACGTTCGCGTGAAACTTGACTTTGTATTCTCTTCAACAAAGCCCGAAAATAAATACGAACTTCTCAACCATTCAACTTTGAATAACAATTCATTTTTACTGGCACGCGGCTGAGCCTGTATTCAATCTAATCTATTTTCAGCTTTTCATCCCTTAGAATCCAAGACGCTTATGTACAACGAAGTCATCACTTAAGTCCGGCAAAATTCAGTTCGCAATGGAGAAATATATCGCCTCCATTTCGTACTCCTAGCGCAAAAGTGCGGATGCAACAATTAATTCAGCCTGTACATAATTCAAGCGTCGATGACACGTTTATAGATAAACACTGACAAAAGTGATTGAGACCTCCATAAATTTCCCAGACGTGCACATATGATTTTCGGGGCATCAAGGCATTCTAAAAGGGGTAATTTATATTGCTCGGTCGGTCAATTTTCAGACTGGGAGGGTAAAGCGAACTTGCGTAAAAGGACAGCTTTGTAAACAATCGTTTAATCTATAGTATATCAAAAATATTTTTTCAAGTTAACTCATATTTGACAAAATTTCATCCTCGCGAGAGATGAAATGCATCCTCTGAGAAGATTCGGAGGGTTTACGTCATCAGGCAGAGAATGCCGCCGTTCAACGCCCTATTCCAGATTTGGCACGCTACCAAAATGTTTTTAATGTATTCATTGCATGGATACGTTCTCTTACTCGTTTGTACAGGTGACATAACACTCTCTCATTACTGACATTACTACGTACATGAACAAAATGACGAGGTCTCTACCGGCAAGTTAACCCTTTAACTCCTACATCAAATTTGTCATTCTCCTTACTGTCAACCATACATTTCTTATAATGTTAGCTCAGAGAATATAGTATTTGATCGACTAATCCACAAATTGATATTTTTCTTTATTTTCATCACTTATCTGGTTGATATTTTATTGATATTGTAAGGAGAAATTCTGTCTTGGTCTCTCATGGGAGTTAATAATAATAAGGTTAATAATTTACATCAAGATATCAATTCTAACGTAGACGTCCCGTTTTGAATTAAACCAAGTTTGTTTTTATCATCCGACACTTCGCTCGATTTTCATGTGCTGGTTTCATGCGCAGAAATAAGTGAGAGAACTTGAGTAGAAAAAACAGAATTAAATATAACTACTGATTCTCACTCTAAAAATAGCATCCATGTATTCTTAATACTGTTCTATGTACATTTCCGCTGGTGCCAGTCAGGACATGAGGAGCTCGTTTAGCAATCGCTGAGTAGATCTTCTTTTGAAATTGTCGACCATTTCCTTTATTCTCATGACCCTGATGTTTGATTCAAGGATGCTAGTGCAAGGACAAATGACTTGCTAACTTCCATAAGGGTTTACAGGGCTTATGGAACGAAATCACGAATGACAACCTCCCCAGTAATACGAGTTCCCCAAGGGTGGGGGGATGTTTCAGTTCGATCTTCCTTAGCAGGACAGTGAGGGGATTACATGGCTAATACACCTTAGAGGATAGGATAAAGGATAAAGACGATGAAGGAGAATTGACAAATTAAAGCGAAGTTTGACTTCAGAAGAGCGCGACGTTTGACTTCAGAAGGGCGCTCATTGTTCATTTGCCTTTTTTTACAGTTACTCTTGGCCGCTGCAATGGGATTGTTCATATGGCGATATAGAAACAAGGGTATCGTAAGTGTCATTAATGTTTTTATTTTCGTAATATGTAACAGAAGATTGTTTACACTTTATCAAATACGATGACTGTTTCTTGTTTCTTTGATCTGTATGACTGCTAGACTACAAGAGAGAAGAATGATACCGAATAAAAAAAAATTTCTTACTTTTCCAGTTTCATCAACATACATTTAATACTAGTAGTAATCGGAGATTAGGGGAGTGCGTTCGGCATTTCAAAGGGGAAATATTGTTTTTTGGTTATTGGGATAGATGAATATGCCTATGGTATGTTGTCAAATAAAGGGTTATGGCGTATTGTGAAACCTGTATTTACTCTGCGTACGAAAAGGTTTTAAAGGCTACATCCTTTGCGCAACGAAATTGTGACGTCATTCAAAATGGCGCTGAAAAGATGAACGGCCGGCCGATCGAACGAAAAAACACGGGTCAGCTTTCGCTTGCGTGCACAGGACACCTACGCGATCACAGGTAGCCCAGGAGATTAGGAAGCGTTCTTCCTTCGTCGAACGCAATCAATTAAATTATTTTCAGTAGAAGTGTAGAAATCGATACAAACTACACAAACAGCAGTTTTGAAAGTAATCAATGTAAGCCCAAATAAAAAAATTTTGAAAAGTAGCTTGAATGTCGACTTACATTGTTACAAGAATTACTCTCTTTCTTTATTCAAATTTAATGTATCTCTTTATTGTCGTCGAGATCCTTAAAGTTGTCCACATAGGCCTCTGTTCTTTTGACGTTTCGCTTTGCATCCCGGCTGTGCTTATTTGGTTTCCAGTAAAGGTTTTTGCCATTTGGAGCATTAGGACCGCCCTAGAACGCCACATCACTGTCTAACAAATTTAGCCGTTTTTTTAACAAAACTGCGTTCTAAACTATCTTGAATTTAGCTGAATCTTTAACTGAACCGGTATTAATTTTTGTGAACATTGGCAGGAGGACCGAAAGCTAGAAGTGCAAGGACATTTATTTACTGAAACAACGCTCTTATAGAAAATACGTAAGGTCCACTATTCGTGTAAAACCGCGGTTTGGGGCAGACCTCGTGTAAATAATCGGCCCTGAGTGTTGAAGTAAAGGCAAAATTTGATCATAGGATCATAGGATCAACTTAAAAAAGATGAATTGATCCACTACAAAGAAACAAAAAACATGCTGATTTTGTCTTTTGTTCTACAAACTGTTTGAGTCGTGTTCAACTCAACAGTTAGCACATCAAACTGTTTCAACAGGCAGAAAGCGAAACATTGTAGAATTATTTCGAAGCCTACGAATGCTCTAGTATCAGCACGAACCAGCGCTCCTCTCCTCTTCACCATTTGATATTAAAAATGTTAGAAAGCCAAGGCAAAAAACAGGGGAGAAATATCACGTACTCATCCATGCACTTTCAGTAATTTTGTTACTTTGTTGTTGTTATTTTTTTTAAGGACTGTCTGTTGTTTTCTTTGCAGATGGTAGCTTTCCTTGTGACGTGTATAATCTTGGTGATTATTGTGGGGATCCAGACCATTATTGCCGCCTTGGCATATATTTTATGGCGTCTGTTCAGGAACGCTACAGACTGTTATACCTTTGCTGGAAGATGTCACTGTCGAGCCACCGACGGACAAAGGATTCCCATGGATCGTAAGTACCGCACAATTCAGTACTTAACAACAGTTAAGGACGCTCAAGGACGTTCTCGAATGCGGAAAGCTTAACTCTATCAGCGGCCTCTTCGTAAGAATCCTTGACGTGCGGGTGACATTTTTGCGAGGCAAGCGCGAGGTGAGACACGCGCGACAGGAGCTCTTTCCTCGCGAATCTCACCCCTCACGCTCGCTTCGCGATGTTCTCCCTTCCGCTGAAAAACAAAAATTGACGCACATTCTATAAGTTAGAAAAGACTTCCTTATAAAGTCTTACACTCTTACACTACTTCTTAGTAGCACCGCGTATGTAATTAAACTGTGGTACATGCAGTCAAGTTAAGGACCCTGTTTGAAGCTTCCGATCAAGAAGTACACTCTATTCAGGATGATAAACAGCAAAATGCAATTAAACATGACGAGAATGTTCTCCTGGGGGAGGAGGGGGGATATGGACAGTGGGACAGTGTCAAATTATTTGAAAAAGAAACGTAAGACTGGGGTACACTTCAGAGTAACAAAAGAGTTAATGCAGATCCCTTGTTTGCCAAAAATTATACGTGAAATTCATTTATTGGTTGATTTCTTTGGTTGAGGCAATTATTTAGTATACATTTCTATAAAATTAAGCCCAGCAGAACCTCCGACCTGATCACTAGCCTTTAAAAGACTGTAACTGTTTCATAGAGACTTACTAGACCCTTTGCTAGTAATTTTCGCTGCTGTCTTTTGTCAGTGGAAACATGTGACGTGATCACCGCCATCGACAGCCTCTTCCTGTCAATGACAATTTTTTCCGCCTTTGGTACCGTCATCTCACTTGCTGGCTCTGTTCTGGGATGTATGGGAACATGTTGCGCAAGAACTCAGGTAGTAAAGTTTGATCGTTATATTTTTTTATCTTTAATCATTTTCTCTTGCTCAGTAATTTCATTCCCCGCTGACTTAGCCTGCGAACTACCCTCATCATTAGCACTACAGGACAAGTTTCTTCACTCACGAGAAATCGTGTGCCGCGGTGAGGGTTCTGCAAGGGATCGTACAATGAAAATGTCAGGCTCCTGGCAAACCTTTACCTGTCTCGTCTCTCGTGCGGAAAACGCGCGTCCTGCAGACTACAAGTGACTTTGGACGTTTGTGCATCAAAAGAATTGCGGCCGCACCGCATGCACCCGTGAATACAAGCCATGGCAATTTGAGGGATCGTGAAAAGAATGAAAGGGTTAAGTTTCTAAGGAAACTGTGGTGCTGCGTTGGTGGGGAAGCATAGCAAAATAATCTGGTTCTATTAAATGAGTTGATAATGTAAATTAGCCACTGTAAAGAGTTTCAAAGCTGACATTTCGGGCGTTGGCCCTTCGTAAGAGCAAATGAGCGAATACTATTAATCAGTTTACTTCATGCTTTAATGACTGTTTTTGTTAGTAATGGTTTAATGGAGTTCTTATCTCATGAGCATCTCCGTTGAAACTACAATGTCCAGTTCCCTATTTCATTTCTATTTATTATAGCAGCCAGGAGCAGTCGTTGTAGTCCAGCAGCCATCCGGTACCCAGTCTACTGTGGTCTACACTGCCCCTCAGTACACTGGAGAGGGCTACCCAGTCCAGTACCCTATGGCTCAACCTGGACAATATCCTGCACAGAATGCTGCAGCCCCAATGGGCCACTATCCTCCACCCCAGTACTCTGCCACTGCACCAGGTGGAGTACAGCATGGAGCTGAGGCAATACCACCCAAAGCATAGTGGGACATTTGAAGTCTAAGCCAGTGTCTGGAAAGGACAGTACCTTTTGCTTTTGCCATAAACGTATGGCATTCATTTGTAGAACAATAGAACAAGTTTCCAACAAAACAAGACATAAATACTTTTCCTTTAGAAATGTGATGTTTGAAGATTTACGCCAATTTTGTGCACACAGGTTCATTTGGATGAGATCATTCCATTTGTTACATTTTTTCTAGATAAAAATTTCCTAAAAAGTATCTGTGTACTAAATTTAAGGAGAAAATTTACCATGTCAATGGCTTCACCGTTGAAATAACAAAAGGCTTCTCTTGTCCAAGTTTCATCAAGAACTTCTCAAACCGCAATCAAACTATGCTAATATCCAACCTACTTTCCTTTTTAACCTTTTGCTGCAAACCTTTTGAAGAATTAGAACTATATGTTATGCTGTTTGTAGTTAAAACATATTGGATATAGTTTGTCATAAAAACACTTTGAAAATAGCTGTTGATTGTAATTAGATATTATAACAAATTGTCTTGTCTACCCATTAAAGTTATTACACTCTACACAGTGAGGATGTTAACTTGTTCTTTCTTGTGACATATTGGTAGCATTCAGGCCATTCCTTCAGATCAAATGTGTTTTACTTGCATGAAGCACAGCATCATTGCTGAACAATTATTTCACCATTTGATTTTGATAGAAATCATCATGCTACCTATTAGCCCGCTCATAGAAAAGCATGTATGCACAACTTGATAAAGCTTGATCTCGTGAAGTCACCTCCACTAGTTCATCAGATGTGTAAAGCCATTTTGAACCCTGCTCATTGCCCTGTGGCATTTCAAATCTGCGATAAGTAATATAATGGCCATCATCAACAGTTCCCATATGAACAATAACTGCCATCAGCTTGAAAACTGCCTGGCCTGTACTGTAAGAAAAAGAAGTTCTTATTAGCAAAGCTATTACAGTTCTTGATCTTTGCAATGAGAACAGGGTTTTCCAAGCTCTCTCAGCATTATTACTTTCATAATAAGTGCTCGTAAGCATCACATACATCTCATTTCACCCTCTTTGACCCTAATTTGTCCCCCAAGAGAGACTAGCATCTAATTTCTCCTTGCAAGATAGCAAGAATAAATAAAATGATCGCCAAATAATGAAGCTGTTTATTTTGAACAAATTCTCCTTGTCAGCACTCTATGAAATGTATGGAGAACAGTATGGAGAATAAGGATACTGTTGCTTGGGTGTTTAAGGTTAAAACTCTGTGTTTCATAGATAAATTCTACTGAGTTGTCAAAAGTGCATTATGAACAAGATAACCTGGGACAGCCTTATAGCCTGAGGATATAAATGCCTTTGCCCTTTCAATCTGTTCTGAGTGTCAAAAGTACATACACCTGGACTACGAATTTTATTGTAATGAAATACACTCAGTGCAAGTGGATTACTGAAAAGAAGTATTAAAATATTATTCAGCTAGTGTCCTAAACAAAGAAAAAGCAAACAATTGATGATGAAAAATGGAGAGTAAAGAGCACAAACTTTCTTTCACTCTCTACACCCTCCCTAGACATTTCCTAAGGTGCTGACAAAGAGAAATAATGTAGCAATCAAGAGCTTCTTAGTGGGTGATCATTCCCTTTATTCTCTTGACCTTGATTTTGGTTTCAGGGGTGAAATTGTTAGGAGAAATTAGATGCTAATCACTCTTAGGAGTTAAATGGTTAACAAAAGAAAAAAATCAGTTGAAAAGAGCTAATGGAATTTTTTAAAAAATTTATTTTCAATTTACCTCTTTTTGCCTGACTTTGCAAAGGACGTAACCAGTTCATCCAAGTAATCATTAAAATCTCCTCCATTGGCTGCCGAAAGTCGAAGGCCTCCATTTGTCAGGGAACCCAACTTCTTACTGGGATGTTCCTTCTCTTGGTCTTTTTTAGGAAAGTTGTCTGAGTCTATGGGCTCATATAAAAAGGGCTTCATGTTAAGGAACTCTGGAAACTTGATGAATGAGTTATTTTTGAATGGAATCCCATTAGAATGCCAATATGTCCTCTGAATGTGGAAGCAGAGACATTGTGGTAGCTTAAAAATTGACAAGAAAAAAAGTGTTAGAAGAAGGCATCAAAAAAACTGCTTTAGCTGATTTTGCCATTCCCAGCAAGACAAAATCGATATTTGTAAGTTAGTACTTAACCCTCTGCATCCTAGTTATCACTGTGCATATTCTCCACAGTGTTCACAATTAATTTCCTATGATAATGACAAGGAGAATTTGTTAAGCTAATGATCATTCACTTTCTTCTCATGACTTTAATGTTTGATTCAGTGGTGATATTGTGAGGAGAAACTAATAGTTGGTCACTCCTTTGGGTTGAAGGGTTAATAATCAAAAGCAAAATGATGCAAAGTTACTTTTCCAAGAGTAAGTCGCTTAATAAAAGTCGTGCGAATAGAGCTGGTCGAGTCATCTGTGTTTTGTCGCTGTTGACATCCATGACATTCCACAGCATCCACTGTCTCTGAACACACAAATCTGCGCAGAAGATCCTCTAATCTCAAGCCCTTCTGTAACAGAATTACAGAGCAATAGTTAAGACTGTGTAGTTTAAAGAATGAACGACACAGAAATGCTTTTGGTCAGCAGTGAGAGAGGAAAAGGTCATTTGCTTCACTGCTCATAAATACTGCTACTAATTTGTTTTGAGGCAAAAAATGATCGCAATAAAGTGGTCATGTAGATATGATAATAATGAATGTCAACAAACTGGGATGTGCAAATGAAGAGTGGAGATGAAGCAAAACTAACAAGCTAGAAAAGAGAATGCAGGCAGAAGTTGTTATCTTGGTCTAACACCAAATCATCCTAAATACTGTGGCAGCTAAAGGCTGGGGAGAACTGACAATCAGATAATAAGATCTTGAGAGTTGAAGGGTTAAGCTATGATACCTGGAAAGTTGTTGGTAGACTAAGTGACAGGCTGTCATAACTGTCAAACTTGACGGGACACTGTAAAAACACAGAACAATTATTATTAAAATACAAAGAAGTAGTGAATAGTCCATTGATTGTCAACGTCTAGTAAATTTTTAGAGGTGACTCAGAGCATGGTTAACAAAACTTAAGTCACAGAACACCTTTTAAACAAGGTTACCATAGTATAAAGTGACAATGAGCATCACATTGGAAAATAAAAGGAAATATATTAACGGCTACATAAGTGAAAATATCAATAGCACAGTAGTTATCAAACAATTGCTACCTCAGTTTGGTGGGGAAAATTATAAATGAGTCATTTACCTTGGTAGCACACTGCTTACACACCAACTGACTTGCCAACAAGCCATGAAATGGTAAATGAAGTTTTTTACATTTTCTACTGAGAGAGACTAAAAGCAAATAAACATCAGAGTTCAGGAGAGATTTTAAATACATGCATCTACATTTAGAGAGGAAAATGAGCAAATTCATGCTGATGAATCATCCGTGGGCCCACCAACATTTACACAGCATTAATTGAGTGAAACAAAAACATAAAATTAAATACCTTTGTTTCTGTGTACCATGGATTTGTTGTCGTCAATGGAATCATCAGTTTTCTGCACAGGAAGAGTGGTAGGCACTTACTACACAAAACAATAGCAAGAAATGCAGTGGCCTAATATGTAGAATACTTTACTCCAAGTCAAAAGAAAAAGGTTCACGAGCTTGCTAGGTCATCAAGTTTTATTCTAAGGTGAGACACTCTACCCTCACAGCACCCCCCCCCCTCCACCCCCCTTCACCTGGGAGTATAAATAGGTACTGAGAACTGTTAGGGAAACCTGATGATAAAATAAAAGGGGGGGAGGAAGGGGGGTTAACTTTTAATGGACTAGCATCCCACCCTGAGAAAGAGATGGCACTCTATGTAAACCTAGCTTTATGCTACAGAAAATAAGGCTAGCTCTGGTCAAGAAGGCCACAAGGGTTGTTGTGTATTCATTTAGTTCAGACATTCACTCTCTAATTGCTTTCTGTATTCTGTCTTTATTTATCAGTCAAGCATCTAATAAGCTGGTACAATCATGTTACTCGATTAAAGAACATTTACCGCATTCCAGGGCATGAAATTGCGCCTAATACAGGCGCCAATGCGACTAAATTTTTCACTTTGGCGACCAAATCCTGAAACTTAGTCACCAAATTGGTGACTAGAATGTTTCATCATAGCCTTACCTAGAGATATAGTGAATTAAAAAGATTTGCAAAGACAAATCTGCGGCAAACTTCCCCGTTAAGTTTGTTTCCAAAACGCAGCAGATGCATCTCTATCATACTAGATGCCATCTTGGATTTAGGTGAGCTTAAACATTGCATATCATCCATCCTAGTGTCCCCTTTGTAGCACGTTAAAGATCTTTTCCCTAACTTAATTTCTAGAATGATGACAGCGTAAAAAAAAGGTTTTGTTTGTCTTTCAAAATGCAACCAACTTTTTTTAAATTGGCTACCACTTTGATGAATTTAGGAGCCAAGTGGCTATCAGAAAAAAAAAATTAATTTCACGCCCTGCATTCAGTAGTCCCACAGTGATATCAATAATATCAGTGCAGAGCACTTTTACTATATGCTCAATATACTACAAGGTTGGAGTGAAGAGGGTGCACACCTTCAATCTGGAAAAAACATGTTTTGCTAGCAATAACCAATTTCAACATCTATGACAAAGTTGTAGAGCAGAGCACTTCAAAAAGCTGACAAACAACATCGAGTTTCAAAATTCACTCATCACTTACTTCTATAATCGCAATATCACTGAGGTCCATCACATTGGGAAGATCTCCCTGTGAAATGAATGCTCAATACTGAAAATTGACTGTCTAATTATAAAGAGGGTACCTTGGATAATCACTTATACAATAATTAAAATTAATATGACAGAGCAATGACTACCTAACAAAACATAATTACAATTTGTGAAATACTTCATAACTGGTACAAGAGGATGTTATTCTCACCATTTCATCATTAAGAGTTGAAGAAAGTACATGGAAGAACTCATGGGCATCCTAATAAAGGAAAGAGTGTCATGTGGTGTCAATTAAAAAAAAAAATTAAACAACAAAAAAAAAATCTCTGTGGAACACCCATAGTACTGTTTAAGAATTTTTTTAAAAGGTGGAATTCAGGTGAGTAGTAATATGCAATCCTGTCACTGCAAGAATGTTTTCATTAGACAAATAGTGAAAAAGCCTCACAGGTCTAATGAGAGGGAGGGGATGGGAGATCCTCTCTCTGGATAAGACACTGTGGTTTATTCACTTACCTGCTGGTCTGTAGGTATGACCCAACCATGGGACCCAAGAGCATTTAATACAAAATCAGGATTAATGACATCATCTCCTTCAAAACAGCCAGTGTTTAGAGCTACAAATAAAATATACATGTTATGAGGACTGATCATAAAGATATAAAAAAAAGTTATACAACAACTAACAATAAAAAGCTGTACAAACCAGTAACTAGTGTTCTCAACTCTTTTCCTAAACTTGAGAAAGTTTTTCCATCATCATCAACAGAAAAATCTTCTAACCATGCCACAAATGATGGTAAGAATGCAATTCCCTTGAGATAAAAAGAACCATAAGTTGAACAAGAAACTACTGAGTAATATTTAAACAGAACTTTTAAATTAGCAATACAAGTTCTCCACCATAAAAAGATGGCAGTCCACACCCTCTTTATAAAAAAATATCCCCTTTATAACTAGATGTCACTCCACCTGATATCTGTCTAGGCTTGAAATCCAGATTTATAAATACAAACCTGTAATATAGAATTCATAAAACAAGTATTGCCAAGATTGACAAGACCTGGAGGGCGATCTGTTGATATAACAGCAAAGTAACAATTATGGACATCACTACAACATATACATCAAAATTCTGGTAAGATGTTTACCTCTTTTATATCAACATTTTTGAGGCATGTAGTTTACACTTTAAAATAAAAGCAGTTCTAATATTGCTTTTTCTCTATTCATATAATCATTTTGTACAAACGTCATATTAGTTATAACGCCAGTCATTGCTCAAGTTTCTTAACTGAAGCTTATTCTCAAACTGAATTTACTAGCGAAGTAGCTCAAACATCGAGGTAATTTGACATCAAAAGTTTCTTTACTCTTGGTACACACGTTTTTTTAAAGAAAGGGGCATCCCATCTTTCTCAAAAAAATTATCACACAGCTACAAAGATCAATCGACTGATCGACTGGATCAACTAATTTCAACTCAGCTGATGTTTAATATAGATGCTTTGTGGCGTGTTTTTGATCTCGGTTAAATGGTAACTAGGAAGTAACTAGTATTTACCCCGCCTGGATTTTTTCTTTTCCTTGCCATCAGGAGCCAAAAATACGTAAAAACTTGCTCCTATTGCCGCAGCGGCTGCAAAAACTGTCGCACATCGCCCGTCCATTCTTGTCACCCTGTCAAATTTAGGTACCATTACACAACGTAGTTTTGGTTTGAGAGCACAGCGCTGTACAGCAGTGCATACAAGAAGAAACAAAGATGGCGGACGAGAGTGGTTCAAAAGAAAAGAAAATTACATCTACTGAGAAACCAGTTGTTCCTCGTAATCCGACCGAAATACAGAGGATGAAGTTAGAGAAGCTTTTGAAAGATCCTGTGAGTTGTAGTTTTTTAAAGTTTCTATAATGGTATTACCGAGTTAAACTGTGAACTCACGTCATGCTTTGCAGGATAAAACAGTTTCAATTCCTGATCGACCAAAGGAATGGAAACCATCAGATGCACCTGAATTTATTCGATTTGTAATGGGTAAGGTTTAATCACTAATTTTAAATCTGATTATCAGTTTACGTATCATGATCAATGATACAAAAAGACTGCAGACAAGTTGTCTTTTCCGTTCTTTGGGATTTCACACCAAGCTTTCCCCAAGACTGGAACGTGCCGTTTTCTTGCCTTCCTCCTCTAAGGGAGTTGTGTTCTTATCAAAGTGGTTGGAGGCCAATGACATGTAGTTCCTTAGGAGTTTTCCGTAAGTTCCAAACAAAAAATGAATGCTTGAGGATTTCATTTTTACTCATTTACTTTATGAGTTTAAAATTAATGTATTTTTCTCAGGAGGGGTTAGGAATTATAAGGTATTTCTTTATTTTTAAAATATTCATTGAAAATCTTCATAGATCATTGAGATTTTATTTAGCTACCAACTGAACTTTTTCTGGTATTTAGCAGTTCTTAAAGGATCTGCAAGTGTGCTTGGATTTTTTTTAATGTTTTAAAAAGTAAGAGAAAGTTGCTCTTTCATTTTGTCATGCAAGGTTCAAGTGCTGGGGCTGGTAGTGGAGAATTTCATGTTTATCGTGCAACAAGAAGAAGAGAATACAATCGAACAGCATACATTGAAAAGAAAGCAGAAGAGGTACAAGAAGACATTAATCCTTTACACCCTAACATCAACATGCATATTCTCCATACTGTTCTCTACAAATGTCCTAAGGTGCTGCTAAGGAGAATTTGTGTAACAATCTACAGCTTCTTTGGCTGGTGATCATTTCCTTTATTCTTGTGACCTTAATGTGTGATTCTGGGGTGATATTGTAGAGAAATTATGTGTTAGTCACATTTAGGGGTTAAAGGGTTAAATAGTTGCAGTTTTTCATATTGGTGAAATAGATCAAATTAATCAAGAAAATTGCACGTTTCTTAATTAATGTGGTTAATTTTGTTGAAGATTGTCTTTTCTCTGGTATGCTGTTTGTCATCTTAAACTGATGATAATTTCAGCTCGTTTGCAGTGTATATTTAGTCCTTGACAGATGTTATTATTTTTAGCATGAACTTGATGAAAGTTTTCATAAAAAGCTTGAAGAAAACCAAAACAAGGCAGATGAAAAAACAGCAAAGAAAAGAGCCAAGAGGTGAACAGTTCTCCCCTTTCACAGACACACACTTTTATTTTCTTTAAGAAAACATAATTGATTTCCTGCTTCAAATATGAATATGCACATTTTAATCTTGGTCAACAAAACAGTAGCAAGTATGACAATTTGTCTCTTACTGTTAGTAGGCACAACAGCCCCTCAGTCACTTGTATTTTACTCTATCTTAACAACATTTCCTGATGGATATGCATTCAATGCTATAGAAAAAAAAAGTTTTTAGAAACTTAGACCAGCATTAAAATTTAATTATGTTTAATCAATGGGGCTGCTGAGACAAGCTGTGCTTGATAAGCTTAAGTGCATCACCAGCCACAGATATTTGTGCATTTTGTTTTCTTACAGGCAAAAAAAGAAACAGAAAAAGTTAAATGCAAAAAGGAAAAAAGAAGATGTGAAAGAAAAGGATGGTAAGTGACTTGATGGCAAATTAGTACAGTTGCGGCACTAAAAAGCACAAAAGAGCTGAGTAGAGTGCTTTTTATCAATTGTCATTTCATTTTTCAGGCCATGATTGTAAAAATCGTGCTAGTAGCAGTGATGATGATGATGATGATGATCAGGAGGAAGGGAATGAGCCACACTTTGTTATAGGAGGAAAGTAACTTTAGAAGTTGACAAATGGCAAAGATCAAAGAGTGATTTCCTTTAGCTGCCATCTCCTTTTCCAAGCTATTCATTCACTGACAGCAGACAGGCTTTGAAAAGTGGAAACTACAACAGTTTAAGTGAACTGTTATGCAAGATGCATGAATACTATACAAGAGTCATGTTTCTAGTCTGACTTTAATTTGTTTCAAATGGATGACAGACCACAGAAAAAAAGATTGACTATTAAAACAAATTTATGGCTGGTGGTTTCTGAAATAGCTAATGTACTTATTACCAGCAATCATGCTGTTGGCAAAACTTCAGGTAATGCCCTTGGAAAAACAAGCTAGTGGGAACTTTATTACTGCCACGAATACAGGAGTTTAGGTTTAAAGATGAGCTTCTTAAATGTAAACTGAATTGCAATGTTACTTGACTGTATGTAACCAAAAGTAAGCGCTGGAACTTTATTCAATATGCCATGATAACACCCTCTCAAGTTGAGAGAGATTTGTCTTTTTTTAAATCACATAGTATCGAGGGTTAATTTTTACCTGTTATTTTAAGTCCTTGAACATTTCTTACATGACAGATATTTATAGATATCCAATAAACAACACCTACATCAACTCACTAAAAACACCACAGAATTTTGTTTGTTAAAACAGTGTTCCTATTTGAAAAAGTCAGTATGCTGCTACCACAATGGTTAGAAGTCTAGGTTGCAGCATTTTTGTTATGAAAGGTGCGGCATGGTTTCTTTTTTCCCAACTAGTCCTGCTGATGTAAATGCAAGCTTGAAATCATCCAAATCTTAGCATCTTGTAATAACAGTAGCACACAGCCTGCCTGTGAACAGTTTTACCAAATTTGACAAAGGATCCATCAGCAGGAGAAGTAGGAGGAGATCTTTCATTTTAAAACTATTTCTGGTTCTCATTACTGAAGTTTGACAAATCCTTGCAAATCTTCAAGAAACTTGATATAATGTTGTTGTTCCATAGCTGTGCTATAGTCACGCAGCCATGCAGCAAAGTGGTTGTCAATTCCTCTTTCGGCCAACATCTTAAGTAGCATGCCATAAAGATCCTGTTCAAAACAAAATTGAGTGCATATTGGAAGAAATACCATGAATTGCAATTCAGCTTGTAAGAAAACAGATTTATCAAATGGATAGCCAAGATCATACACTCAATTTACTAGATTTTCTACACTCAAGCAATCATTCCCTGTCATGTACCATTCATGGCCTATGTTACAAATTTAAAAATCAAATTAAAAAATTCCTTACACCATCCATGTTTTCGGTTTCTGCACAATAGGAAGTCTTCCCTTTGCTGGTACCATCTATGACAGCGACATTGACAATATAAAACAAATCAGGGCCCTCCTCTTCCTCAGAGTGTTCCTCTTCAAGTTGGGTGTTAAACTCACAGTAGAACTGTAGTGTTTTACCCTAAAATCAAAAAAAAAATAAATAAATAGATAAATTGACTACATCTATAGGGAAAGTTTGAATTCTTACACCAACTAAAAATTTTTCTAGTTTTCAGTGGCCTATAAGAGTATCCAAAAATTTATCCATTTCACTACACTGGAGGATTCAGAGCAGAGATCTGGTGTTTCCTGTCGATTGTTGTAAAGTTGATTTTAATAACAATAATTCACTTATAAATTAATCTGCTGAAGAATGGAAGATAAAAAAATTATGCTTGTTGTCAAATGAAAGAGTATACCACAGAGGATAAGATGACAGGAGATGTAAGCAGGAGAAGGTATGTTTTATTAAGGGCTAGCATTTGAGAGAATTTTGGCAAAGGACTGGTTGAATCAAGGCTTAATTTGACATTTCAATTCATCTGCTGTATAACTTGTTTCAATGGAATGCTCATAGTTTGTACGTGGGTTAAATAACAACACTCCTGTAAAGTAACAACCCTTCTGTAAAAAACAAGAAATACAATCATTGTTCTCTCAACTTACAGCTTTCTTTACGATTTCCACAGTAAATAAAGGATATGAAACAATCTGCAAAATACAAATAATTACAGAGTAAGTTTTCCAAAAGAGAACAGGAAAATATCAGATTTAAGTTCACAATTACCTTTCCAGCCACTTCACCTTCATCATCTGAGTCATTAAAACTTGCTTCATCATGGTTTGTATTTTCATTAATGTCAAATGACACTACAATCCTGAAATAAAGTATTAAATATGTAAGTATAAATCAATGCTGACATCTGAGTTTTCAAGTAATCAAATTTTGCTTAACTCTGACCCATCTGGAGTGGAGAAGATAATCATGGAACATGTTTGGGACTGTTTTACATACTTGAGCTTTTGAGAACTCTTTACAACTGCATGTGAAGATTCTTTATTTGCACTCCTTTAATAATTTGCCAATACAAGTTAATGTGGGAGGTCCTTTATTATATGAATTAATTAAGAATCTTAACAACACAGGTCATTTTCAATTTGATTAGTTATAAAAATGAAGTCCAGCAGACCTTTCTGCATTGTGTTCCCTCTCTAATTTAACATGTGTTCCATCCAATGCAGCCTATTTGAAGAGAAAAAAAAATAGACAGTTATCAAAAATCAAATAGACTACTGCAAGACAGATTTGCAATACCAACTACTAGAGATTGCTTCAAACACAAAAGTTTTGGCAGCGTAATTGTTCATTTTCTTTTGGTCCAGAATATTGTTACCAGAATTAGTTCTCATTGCAAACAAAAATATAATTCAAAGACAGGACCTCACCTTAAACAACTCTGACATTGGAACCTTGGGGGCAGCATCTCTTTCACTCTGTATCTCACCTTTCAGGAATTTGATTATTTCACTGTCAACTGGCAGAGAAAGGACAATAAAAAATAATCAGCTAAAAGATGTTTTGCAGTCAGTAACCAGTGTCAGATTTTGCGCTCTATTGTTCTATCTTTTACTACATTAATATTTGAGAAGCATCCAGCATACTGCTACTACTGATTGATATCCAAATATCCAATATCTTACAAACCTTGTTTTAGATAGAAATAAGAGAAATGATAGGTTTTACAAGGTCTATCATGAAGTTCATATGACATGCATCCTGCATACTGCTAGGATCAGCAATGTCCACAGCCTACGGTTTGTAGACAAAAATAAGAGGGATGGTAAGCTTTGAGCTCGGTAAAAAAAAATAGAGAAAGATGTTTTTCCGTCTTGTCACAAGCGTGGGACAAAGAAAAAATTCCGAGTCCCCATGAGGAATTGAACCTCAAACCTTCAGATTCCGTGCTGCGATGCTCTACAAATGAGCCACAAGAGACCACATTGTGAGCAAAGTCTATCAGGAAGTTCATATGACATGTGTCTTGCATACTGCTAGGATTAGCAATGTCCATAAGCATAATGTTTGTAGATAGAAATAAGGGAGATGGTAGGTTTTGAGCTCAGTAAAGAAATGGAGAAAGATGTTTTTTCATCTTGTCACCAGCGTGGGACAAAAAAAATTCTGAATCCTCATGAGGAACCACACCTCAGACCTTCAGATTCTGCACTCTGATGCTCTACCACTGAGCCACAGAGACTCCACAGTGGGTGAGGTCTATCACGAAGTTCATATTACATACATCCTGCATACTGCTAGGATCAGCAATGTTGATAGCGTAATGTTTGTAGATAGAAATATAAGAGATGGTAAACCAAGAGAACCTTGTTTTCTTGGTCTGCACTGTTAGCCCCTCTAACCTAGAACAATGTCGTAGCTCCTTAGCTCGGAGAACTGTTAGCATAATAAATTATGGCATCATAGGTAAATCTACCCCTTGTGAGTATCATTATCATATATAGTGTTTCATTAAAGTGTAAATCTACTTACAGTTAACATTAGTCATCTGAGCTTACACATTGATCAGACACATGTCTTGTTCAGTTAATTAAACGAACGCCCATGGACTTGTCATTTACTTCTTTAGTGAAGTTCTAGATCCTTACCTTGAGTGTGTTTGTGCATCTGACAAACGCAAACTTGTGAGCAAGCACATGAAACAGGGAGGATTCTTGGTTTCTGAGAGGCACCACGTGTAGTTGCTGCAAATATAGACCTGGATCTACAAGAGACTACAGGGCTATTCGCTACATTTCTACCCGCAAGTAGTCGTGTGGACCTTGAAATGAACAGTCTGGCCAGTCCTCCAACAGTCGACATCTTAACAGAGCAGCAAAACGTACTTTTTTGTCGAGAACGAGAAAACGACGAAGATTTAAAACCGGTGAAGTTTTGAAAAGGCTCGGCAGCACAGTGTGACTGTGCTGCCGAGCCTTCAACAGAAATATGTATCGATAAATAGCTTGCCAAAGAATCACACTTTTTTTTTTTTTTTTTTTTTTTTTTTTAAATTTTGAAGTGAACTTATAAAATTAGACTGAAATAGAGTATGTATTCGTTTCCAACAAGGCCGTCTCTTTCTTCACTCATCCGGAAGACTTCAGCCTACTATCGGCGCGACATAGCTGTTTAACTATTTTCTCGTTTTCGAACCTTATACAAGGAAGAGATAGAAGTGTTACTGTTTCCTTTCGAAAAAATTGTTTAAGGTCGTCATTTTAGGGGTGTTGTTTCTTGAAAACGGTGTTAATATCGTGTATTTACGTTTACTGCGCGGGGATAGATATTGCCCACCATGTGACCACAATTGATGGCAATACTTTTAAGTGGCACAATTTGGATATTTTAGCGAATTGGATCGTTATTTATACATCAAAAATAAAGAAAATTATTGAGGGATTCCGAATTGACGCCAGAAAAAACATTGGCAATGAGAAACTCTTCTTTTCGTAGTGTATATTTGATTACTTTTGTTTTTGTTTTCGTTTGTCTTTTTCCCTATATTTCTGTGAAATCTTACTGTAAATTACTAATCCATCGTTTCTGGCTCTAAATTTGCCAGATAACGATCTTTCACTTCAAAATATGCACAATGGTTGGCTTTTGAGCATAACACCTGTTTTTGTTGTTGTTGTTGTTGTTGTTGGTTTTACCTATCTGGGCATTTTCCCAAGTCCAGTCCATAGTTATTTTGTACAATTAATAGCGCCCTCCTTTTCAATACCGCCTTTGACGTCATACCAGAAGAAACCGCCAGCGGAGTCTCTTTGGGCGCCATCTTGATATTGAATTGTGTAGTTTGTAGAATCTAGAACCATCGAGCTTTCTATCCACTTGTTAACTAAACAGTTTTGCTAAAATAAGTTATTTTAAAGATAGACAAAGCTCTATAGGTTATGGCTGATGGTGAAAAGCTTAATGTCGACAGTATTATTCAGCGACTTTTGGAAGGTTTGCTCCTTCGAGATGTTACAATCGGTATTCATTCTAAAATTTACAGGGGTCTAAATTTCTCTCTTGAATTTCAGTGCGTGGCTCAAGACCAGGAAAGAATGTACAGCTTACAGAGGGAGAAATCCGAGGGTTGTGCATCAAATCAAGAGAAATCTTTTTGAGTCAGCCAATTCTTCTAGAACTCGAAGCTCCTCTCAAGATTTGTGGTGAGTGACTGTCGGCGGTGCCGTTGAAATGTTCTACGCCCAAACTTTCCGCATCTGTGTTTAGTTCTACTAAACTTAAACTACGATTCTTATTTATTGCAGGAGACATTCATGGACAGTACTATGATCTCCTTAGACTGTTTGAGTACGGCGGTTTTCCACCAGAATCAAATTATCTCTTTTTGGGAGATTACGTTGATCGAGGAAAACAGTCGTTGGAGACGATATGTTTGCTTCTAGCTTATAAAATCAAGTATCCGGAAAACTTCTTTCTCCTTCGTGGAAATCACGAATGTGCGAGTATAAACCGCATTTATGGCTTTTATGACGAATGTAAGTAAACAGGTTATGCATTTTCGAGTGTGACTGTCGGTCGTTAAAGTTTGAAAGTTAGGATTTCTTCAATGTCATTACGCCTGTTTTGAACTCCGAGTTCAGTGATTGAATTACGAAGCTTTCGTCTCGCGTGTATGAATAATAGAATTTAGCTTCGCGTCTTCTTTGCTGCAGGTAAAAGAAGATACAACATTAAGTTGTGGAAAACTTTTACGGATTGCTTCAACTGCCTTCCTGTTGCTGCGATTTTGGACGAGAAGATATTTTGCTGTCACGGAGGTATGCTTTCTCTCTTACGTTCTGAATTCTGTTCAAAGTTTCGCCGATTACGAGTTACAGATTTCTTCTTGATGTTTGTTTGGTGGCTACTATAATTTGAATATGTACAGACAAAGGCAAAAGATATATAAATGTTTTCATGGTTTCGATCCAGGTTTATCGCCCGATCTGCAATCTATGGAACAAATTCGCCGCATTATGAGGCCGACCGATGTCCCTGACCAAGGTAAAGCGAAGCGCAAATCTCAATGTGCGCCATTTATGGCGTAATTTGTGACTAATTTAGTGGCTGGAGATTAACCCGTCGTTACTTTAAGCCATATTTTTAAAATGGAACTTTTTGTTTCGATGGTTGTCAGAAACGGAAAAGACAGGAACTTTCTCGTTACTATCCAATTAGTTCTTGTTGAAAGGGTACCTCAACCGTGAAGGTCTCTACATTGATAAAGGAAATTCATAGAATTGTGTTTCGAAGCTGTCATCACGTTTTAGTATTAACGTCTAGCATAGAAACTGTGTAAATTGTGAAGGATTGTTTCGCTTCGACTCGCTCTGTCTTAAACAATTTGAATTATTGATAAGAAGTTTGACATCTTACACTTTTAAAAATGTAGTAAAAACAATAGCGAGATTCCGTCTCCTGCGTGTGAAAAAAAATTTCACATTTCAAGAAATTTAAGGTAGTCATGTAAAAGTTTCCTTATACTCATGAATTCATGTTATTGCGGATAAAATTAATTTGTAATTTTTTTGTTAATCTTATCCTGCATTTCTTGGTTTTTAGTCAAATTTAGAAGTTTTTATAAAGATTTTAAGGGATTACACCTCGGGGCTCTGTCTCTAAAGAGCACCATTATTTTATATTAGTATATATTATTTTTCCAATGATAACAAAGTGATTTCATGGGTTAGATTGGATTACACCTCAGGACTCTTTCTCTATAGTGAGACATTATTTTACATTAGTACATATTGTTTTTCCAATGATTACAAAGTGATTTCATGCATTAGATTGGTTGAGTGTATTTATCACATCTTACCACAATCATCTGATATGACGTGATTGTAATACTGGAAAACTGTTTTTGAGATGGTTTCTATGCAATTTTTTTGATATTTGTGAAGACAAAACAAATAAGATGTAGTTGCTGATGTAATCATTTGCTAAGTTATCTGGCAGGTGATTGTATGGCAAACTGCATTGTATTGTTATATTGAGATCAATGTTCGTGCAGTCCTTGAAAATTCTGATAAAAGTCAACATTTTTCACCTTTCTGGAGTAAGTAATTGTTAAATCTTCATCACTTTACTCATGAAATTTATCGCCCAGAAATGTCTTCCTTGTTGCCAGAATGGTTACTTAGTTTATTTAGCACATCCATAACTGTATATCCACTTCTTGTTTGTAATGTTTGACTGGAAAAAAAAGATGAAGCAATCACACAGCTCATGAAAAAAACAAAAAGGAAAATTCAAGATGGTGAATAATTTTCACTGGATAACAAAAACAAATTTTGTAGGTTTTTGGTCATGTATCTGACAACTAATGTACAAGTCTTTTATAGGCCCTCATAAGTTTGATTATAAGCGGTTTCATTGTTTTTGCTATGTACGGTAGTATTCAATGAAGTACTGTAACTTAGGAATCACTGAGTTTGTCCTCATAGCATTTGTAATCTGATGTAAGACATACACAGTACATCATTGGAGCATTGAAAGGGTTCGATCATTGTAGTGTTGTCTAAAAAAGTTATTCAAGATTGAAAGATAAATTGTTCACCAAACACCTTTAGAATGAGAAACTTTCTTAATTTTGAGTGGACTTATCCAATTTGAAGTAACATTAAGTAATGGGTCAAATTTTCTCATTTTTTAGGATTATTATGTGACCTGTTGTGGTCAGATCCAGACAAGGATGTCCAAGGATGGGGTGAAAATGACAGAGGGGTTTCCTTTACCTTTGGTCCAGATATTGTATCCAAATTCCTTGCCAAACATGATCTGGATCTTATTTGTCGAGCTCACCAGGTGTGTACAGAATAGTGATAAATTAAATAGAATAATAAAGATGGTAAATTTGATAAAGAAAAGAGAGATGTTTTTGGTCTTGCCATCAGAGTGGAACACTGAAAAAATTCTGAGTCTTCATGAGGAATCAAAACCTCAAACCTTCCAACTCAGTGCTCCAGCAGTATACTGGGCACCTATTATGTATGAACTTTGTAATGACCTTGCTCACCATATAGTCTCTGTGCTCAGCAGAAGAGCGTTGGGTTGCATAATCAGAAGGTCTGAGGTTCGATTCCTCATAGGAACTCAGAATTTTTTCTTTGCTGCTCATTACAAGATGAAAACCATCTTCCCTTAAGATACAGTAGGGTGGATTGTGTAGTAATGAGACAACTTGCCTCTTACCACAGTGTGTTGGTTCAATCCCTGATCCAAGGTCACTTGTGGGTTGGGTTTGTTGTTGATTTTCATCCTTGCCCCCCCTTTTTTTCCCTCCTGGTCTTCTGGTTCTGCTCCCTTTTTAGAAACCAACCCTTCAAATTCCAAATTGACCAGGAAATAGTGGACCAAAGCAACTGCAAGGATGTCTTGCTAAAATCCAATTACTGTTATTGCTATCTTTATAATTATGAATTATATTTAGCATTTATCTTGTACTCTGTACATCTTGAAATGTAGCATTGATTTTGAAAGTTGTTTGTGTGCAATTAATTTCAGTTTTCTTCATCTTTACCTGTACTTGTTAGTGTTAGCTAATTCCTTCCATTTTGGTGATGGTTAACCCTTTAACTACCATGAGTGACCAAGACAAAAATTCTCCATAAAATATCAATGCAAGCAGAAACATGATGAGAGCAAAGAGAATATTAATAAGGGTATTGAAAGTAAATCCATTGCCAAATTCTCTGAACCAACATCACAAAAATTGCATGGCAGGACAGTAAGGAGAACTATTAACGAGATCTGGGAGTGAATGGGATAGAGTTAACTCAAGTGTAGTAGGTTATTGTAGAAGCCATTGGTTTCATATATTATGGGAAGGTTGGAGGATTTTTAACAAGTCCTGTTTGATGGCAGCCACTTCATCCTCTGAAAAGTTCCTCAAGGAATTCCTTCTGCATAAACCTTTGGCAGTGCCTGAGTAATTATTTCTGCATTGTTACTTGAAATTTTACAATCATTGAAAGTGTATGATTAAGTTTGTGTAACACTTCATTTCATGTAATTTTTTTTTTTTAATTATAACAGGTTGTGGAAGATGGATATGAGTTCTTTGCTAAGCGGCAGTTGGTAACCTTGTTTTCAGCTCCAAATTACTGTGGAGAATTTGATAATGCTGGAGCCATGATGAGTGTGGACGAAACCCTTATGTGTTCATTTCAGGTGAAGATTTTTCTTTTGTTTGTGTCTTTGTTTATGTTTAGTTTTTTACACTGTGCTTTATCAGATAGCCTAATAATAATATTTTCATTACACAGTTTTTAAGCCCTCTTATCATTTGTTATTCATCATATAAAGACATTACAGCAGATTTGCACACTGACATGTGATATCTGCTATTTACATATTTTGGCTAATTTTAACTTGACAGATTCTAAAACCTGCCGACAAGAAGAAGTTCCCCTATGGAGGGTTGAACTCCGGCCGACCAGTTACCCCACCACGTGGAGGACAACAAGGAAAAGGGAAAAAGAAATGATACTTGTACCATAAGATATTTGTTCTGAACTGTATTATAATATTGTTATACAACCTAGTTATTTTCTAGAGTCGCATGGATAGAAGTTATGATAGTATACACAATTGAAATGTCGTGTAATAAAACAGAACAGGATGCAGAGAAGAGATTGTTTCAATGCATACGATGTGAGCAAGCTTGTCTATATAATCATATTCTTTTTTCCTTTGCCGTTGATATTTTTTATTTGTAGGATAGAAATTTAGTTCTTTGTCAAACTATTGCTGTAAGTGCATCACTGAATTTTTCAGTGAGACATTTGTCAAAGTTGGAATGTCAGGAAATTATGACTTCAATATGGGCACAGGTTTGAGGCAAGACCTCATAACTGAGGAAGTTTTGGTATCTCCACAAGACAGTTATGCAAAGATTCATGTAAGTTCTGGCAGATAGCTATGTATATACAACAGAATGGAAATCAAGTCATTATTTGAGTTAACCACAGCCCTAGAAATTCTAGAACTTCTGCTTAACAGATGTAATACTTTCACACTTTCAAAGCATACTATTGTGAAATATTTTCTCCACACTCACTCACCCCTCCCCCCCTTACTAGAATATACTTTAAGCCATGTTAGGCTGAACTTTGTATTCATACTACAGAAAGCCAAATCATTGGAGAAGTGTAAAATAGTAGCAAGGGAATTTTGCTATCTTTTTGTAACAAATTGAAGATAGGTTTTGGGTTTAATGGGAAAGTATTACATGTAGTTTATTTTATGTATATGATTTATACCTATAATTGTGTGAAATTTCCATCAACCTTTCCTGCAGTACTTGATCATTGCATAGAACTATTATGAATAGTAAAAGATTAGAACAGTGATTTATCCAAGATCTTGTTGCTGCCTTAGAGGAATTAATCCAAACAAGAGCATTGTTGATAGAAACTGACTTCAATTTCAATTCATTTTACGATCCTGTAGAAATTTTCAATAGATGTTAATGCATGGTTACTACCCCTTATAAACAAATGGTCCTGGATTTGGGCAAATATTCTCATGCAAAAAAAACAGATGAAGCTACAGTTTTTCTCTAAGGATCATATAGTTGCAATGTTTTGAAATTAATAGTTTTAACTCCTGTATGTGTTAGTGTAGGATTTGTAGAAGGAAAGTGACTAATTATTTTTTTGCCTGGGTTGATGATTATTTGATCATCATGGTTGCATTCTGTGTAACCTAGTTATTCTATACTTGTGTCAAAAGTACACTACACATTTCACTTTACAATATTTTCCCAACTCAGTCTTTTGTAATAAAAGTTACCATTGTTGTTACTTCAATGCAAACTTGTGATTGTGATTGTTATTTCTCTAAGTTTAAGTTATGATTACTTCAAGAGAATATTTTAGTGTTGTTTTAATATCAATGAATTTATATTTATATGATGAGCTGAATTATGAAAGGAATTTGATTGGTACTCATGATCTATTGCAGGACAGATAGTACAGATAATGCCATCGATAACAACATTCTGCCTTTATATCTTGTAAAACAAATAGATTTCGTGTTGTTGTGGGTCTCAGAATAATCTAAGAACATCAGTGACTTCCTTGGCTGCACTTTGTGTGCTATTTTTTTTTTCTGGCCACATTTTGACTTCATTTGTGATCTATCAATGAATAGACACACACAACATGGAATCTACAAGCGAAAGTGACGATTGGCCATAATTGTGACTGTCAGTAAATTTGTCAATGGTTTCAATACAACAATGAAATGTTTCTCCTATTTTAATCTATCACTACCAGTTATTTTAATTATGTACATATAAGGGAATAAAATTTGTATAGATTACATCATTGTCTTCTATTTGCCTTTGCTTTCTGTGTGAGGAGATTTAAAGGATTGGACAGTTCTTTAAGAATTCTTCCTTTAAAAAATATTTTGTGAAATTCTTTAACTTTTGAAACATGCCCTCTGATTGCGTTGAGATTTTTTCCAATATTTTTGCTTCAGTAATATGGATGAAACAGGATCCTGAAACCACATTTATTTAATGGAGTACCCAACCTCAAATATGCGCCAAGCCTGTAGGTAGGAAAATGTGATATGTACCCACTCAACCCCCCCCCCCCCCAAATTAATAACCTGGTGCATGAAAGCATGGCAATGGCAAACAAACCATAGACTGAATCTTTTCAGTATTTTTAATTAATATAACTACATCTAGAGAGGTTTTTAGGAGTGTTAAGTATTTATACTTGACACTAATATTTGTTTAGGAGCAATGTCAATTAAAAAATTTGGCCTTACTTCTCTAATATTCCCTGTCTTGAAACATACATGGATTAGAGTTCATATCCGAGTTAATGCACATCTACCCCTCCCCAAATCCATAATTTGTCCTAAATTCATATTGGTTGAATTTTGTTGGTTTAGTTAGGGAAGGTGGGAGCATAGTTGCCTAGATACTGACATTGATCCTTTAACTCGATATGTTGACCTCAAGGTTTCACTTCAAGCTGAAAGTAAGTTATTCCTATAAAAAATTGGCTCAAAATGTTACAAAAAAGTTCCTCAATTGTGTTTACTTTCCTTGAGGTAAGAAAAAAAGAGAAAATAAGGTAAAAATTGTTTGAATGCCTACCATTAATCCTAACTTTTCAAATGAATAGAAAAGATAATCACTTTCTCCGAATGTGATTTTTGTACATTTCTAGTTTGACCTAAACAATATGTCTAACAAAATGATTGCATTTATACAGATGTGTGTTTATATTTACATTATGCCATATAGGGGAATGTAAGATAACAAAATATTTTTTACAATGTAAATATGATAAATAAAGTTTCACCTTGATATTTTAAATACTTAATAACTTAGAACAAGCTGATGGTATCTAGAACTGAACAGTCCTCACTCAAATAAATAACTAGTGATATTCTGAAACTGTTATTTTCTTAAAGAAACCAAAATATTTTTGAAATGGAAATAAATAGTTCTACCTGAATTTGGAGTTTGACTCAAGAAAACCAAACCATCAGAGATTAAACATTCATCAAAAACTGGTTCTCAGTTTATTTTCTACCTGTCAGCATTGATTCGTATGTGAAAGGTAACACCACATTGACCATTTAAAATCTCATTCTCACTGAAACAAGAAACCATTTTGAAGCCAAATCTACAGAAAATTAGCTTAAACTGCACCATAGCTTACAAACAATAGTTTATGCACTATAGTTCTCTTCTTTAACCTTTTCACTTATAAGAATAACAAGTATCTAAAGTCTCTTTACATTAGGACTGTTCAATCACACATCATGGCCATGAGAATAAAGGAAAAGAAAGAAAACTAAAAAGTTAAAAAATTTGCCTTGCCACTATCATAAGAAATGCTTTGAGAATAGGTGAATATGCTGATGTTAGGTTGTAAAAGTTTATGTCCTGGTACTCAGGCTTCTAATTAATGCTGTGGAGGATGTGGAATGGGCCCATGCAGAGAATAAGTCTGCTGTCCAGGGGGTCCATGGTGTATGACTCCACCCATGTTCAAGTCTGCACCAGATTCCATCTTTGGACCTCTGCCCATTATGTCCTAAAATTATTCCAAGGAAATGTGGTCAATGAAACAAGACAAAAGCAAGCTTACCTGGAGAAAATTTACTCAGTAGATACAAACCTATCAATACAAAACTTTTCACAATACACTAGTTCTGTTTAGCTTTATCAGTGGTCATTCAATGATAACTATACATCCCTCTCATTGCAGACTTCTTAGCAAATGTTCTTAAAAGTGCTTGTGACCAAGATTATTGTTATTGACCTCAGAGGCTTCAAAGACAGAAGTCTATTGCTTTTACTCACCATGTTTCTGAGAGGTGCTTGACCATTGGTACGTGCCAGAGGTCCAAACAATGGACCAGGAGGGCCGTAGTTCATTTCCCTCTCATGTAACACTCCCTCCAAGGACCCTCTCAAGGGAGCATCTTGATTTCCTCGCATAGACCCAGGAGGATATGGTTGAGGTACATGATGTGGTGTCATGTCACGTGGACTTTGAGGTGGCTCAGGTGTTCTTGGTCTTTCAAAAGCACTTTCAAGAGCTTGGCCCTCTGGACATCTTCCCATCCGGGGGCTGGTTGGTGATACCTCAGGAGGAGCATGCCTCCAAGGCCCTAAGTTTACATGCTCCCAAGGAACTGGCCTTTTCCCATGAAGATCTAAAGCACCTAATTTGGTGACACCAAGGGGTCCCAAACTAACAGGATTAAGGGGTGGAACATTGGCTCTAGGAGGAGGGAGGGGTGATGACAGCTCTAATTGTCCTTTCTGTTTCTTCTTTTTAGCTTTGTCCTTTTTTTTCTTCAAACATACAGCACGATTTTCTTGATCACCTTCAGTATTGTTGTGAGTGGTAATGATACGGGTGTTTTCTGCTTGAACATAATTTAGCTGCACCAGTTTTGATGGATACTTTGGAGGTGTAACAGTTTTTTCTGTATTCTTGTGAGATTCTGCAAAGAACTGCCAAACAATCTTAACATCAAATACACTATGTCATTAAAACTCCTTTTATTTGACTTACAGTCAGTGGTTGTCAAGCCACCACCCATTATGATAAGGAAAATAGCAATGAACTACAGGACATAAATACAATCAAATCATTAACAATGTGTACCAATTTACCTGAGGTTGAGAATCACAAGTATCTTCCTGCCATTTTTTTTTCTCCTTGTCTCCATCTGGGTAGTCTGTTAAGTCATCACCATGAACTATGTCCTCATTATCACTGCCAAGACTTGACACACTAAGTCCAACACTAACACTGCAATTATCAGCATTATCAGGTTCACTGTGTACACTTGACGCACTGCCACGTCCTTGCTGCAAGCGTGCACTGGAATATTCCAACTTTTCCTCACAGTCAATCTCTATATCTCCATCTTCCATGTCAATAATTTCCTCTTGCTGATCTTCAGTGTCAAGGTTACTGACTACAACTAAAATATCTCCATCCCCAGTCCTCAGGTCAAAACTTGCAGCTTCATCCATTAAGTGTCTTGAATCACCATCATGATGAAATTTGCTTTGCCTTGTAAGTGTACTCTGACGCCGTTTTGGGTTTGATGGCCTACTCTGCTCTACCCTGTTGTCTGCTTTGTCTAAGGCCTTGGCATCATGATCTGAAAATTTTTCTTTTTCTTCATGACTTGCCTCATTCATTGCTGAATCCCCAAGGTGCCCTGACTCCCCCTGTACATCAAAACCATGAAGGTCAGACACATCACAGTTCTCCGCACCAACAGATGCCTTGTGAGGTTCTTCTGCTGTTGCAGCTGCTTCATCTGTAGACGGAGGCTGCCATGAGTTTACAGGATCCACATTTTGACTATAAAAGGAATAAGTTCTTATTTCATGAAATCTGGTTAACACCTTGTTCATTTGATGATTAATTTCTCTTACTAACTTTCTACTGAATAATTTCATTATTTTAATATTGATAGCGCATATGACAAATTTGCGTCCAAGAACAACTGTAGATTTCCTGGTTTCAATGAAAAAGCATCTTCTTATATCACATACCTATAGTTTATATATGTTTAATCTTACTAAATAAATAATCCATTTCATTTGTAATATTTTCTAGAGTTAGTTACCAGGGATACTATAGGAGACATACTCCCATTGAAACACAAGGTGAAGTAAATATAGCATCAAAATTCACTTCAGTTTGTTTCACTTTTAGTTTGACTCATTCAGTCAATGAATCCTTTTTAATTAAGTAAGTTACCTGTCAAGACTAGATGGTGTTGATACAAAGGCAGCCTTTCCTGTGTGCTTGTCATTGTGTTGAGAATGAGCTCTGATCACCATTCTACAATAATTGAGCTGTTTGTTGTGGATGTAATCAACTGCAGTTGCACCAAAACAATCTCTTACCAGGAGGTCTCCTGCAAAATGAAATTTGAAGTGTTGTCAGTCTTGAGCTGACACAATTCTTTGTTCTTGTCTGCCATTCCAGCATTTCCCTTTCCTTTTATCAGCTTTAATACGAACTTATAATAACTTCAGTGACACTGCTAATGATACTGCCACTATCAAAACATGGCCATCACAATCAAAAGTACACTAGAAAGGCTAACAATGACCTTTGGAAGCAAAGAGGGAGGGGAGGGACGAGAAGCACTAAATAGTGAAATGGGGGCACTGCAAAAGTAGCAAGAGAAGCCTTGGGAGAGGATATATGACCTTATTTGGTTACTGCCATGATGGGTGATGACAATGTTGATGATAATTGACAGTCCTACAGATTTCCTTACCTCCTCTTTCAAGGAGAAAGTTCACAACTTCTGCTTGTCCACAGATAGCAGCAAGATGAGCTGCAGTTCTTTTTGAGTTATCTGTATCCTTTAGTCCTTCCAAGTTTCCTCTCACTTTAAGAATCATCTCACAAGCGGCTGCAATCCCTGCCAAGGAGTGTCAAATAATTTATATTTAATTATTAAACATAGCATCATCATGCAAGTCAACATTTTGAAAATAGTGAAGGATTAGGTAGCTTTGTAGCTGCCTTAAATGCTAAAACTTGCACCATTTACTATACCAAATAGTTCAACATTTTCCATATTAAAATCCAATAGTCCATTTTACAGTTGTGTACTTCAGGTTGCCAGGCCTTTTAACAAGAGTGAAGCTAAGGATGACCTTGTTATTATACAAACCTTGCTACTTTCAAAGGTAAATTACCTTGTTGTTATGCTAACTAGGTACTGGTCCCTATCACAGCAAGACCACCTTTAGCCTCACTCCAAATCAAAGGCTTGACAACTGAGTACACAACTGTAAAATGACCCATTCATAAATATCTATATCATTTCCATTTATTTTTAAGCAATTATGTGACCAAGCAGACTGAAAAGAAACCATAGGGCTTTTCGTTCAGGTTACCTATTCAGTATTTTTTTAAATATTATCATGAGAATTACTAGATCTTCATATAAAGTAAAGAAATTATAACTTATGGATATAGTCTGCTGAAGAATTATCAAAATGACACAAATTAAAAAGGCAGGTTAATTAGAATGATGAAATTCAACTTATGAGAGTTGAGAGTCCTTTTCAGGCAGTAACCAGTAACATTTACCACCTGTGGTACCTCTTATTACCATTTAAAATTGCTAGGAATTCTTGAAATTCAACAGGTAAAAGGATTGCTTTACCAGTTTGAAAATTTATTTAACCTGTCATGCTTAAAATAAGGGAGAACACTGTGAGAGTACATGACACAAGCCTCGTGTAATATTATTTCATTTCATACATGGACTCAAACAGGTGTAATCCTTGCCTTTTTCTGCTGCTGTGTGTAATACTGTTTTGCCTTCATTGTCCCTTAGAACTGCAGACTGAGGGGTTAATAGAGCCTAGATATTTTATAAAAAAAATTATGGATCAATAAATTGAAGAACAATAACTAATGTAGGCAATTATTAAAGTGGCAATCAATGAGGGCTTTGGTTATCTATTACAATTAACTGACAGTCATTTGTGACAGCTAACATATGAAATGATTATCTCAGACTATAGATTGATGTCGACAGCAATCATTCTTGAGAGATTATAGGTCAAAGTTTTGTCAACAACTTAATAGTTCAATGTTCTGAAATGCTGCCTAGCTCAAAATATACAGCAGTCTTTTATAGTGGTAAAGCCATCTGCATAATTAGATAACTGCATTTTAAAACAACAAGTCAAACAATGAACACAGATACTTTCATTTACCTTTAGACACTCCAAAGATCCCACGCCTTTGACAGCCCAGTGAATCACAGACTGACCATAACAGTCTGTATCTCTGAAGATTGCATCTTCTTCAGGATCAGTTCTTGCCAGTGCATTTTGTAACATCTGTAGATTGCGAAGCTGGTCAAAGTAACATGCCCACATGGCTGGGGTTAAACCTTCACTGTCTGCAGCATCCAACTTCCCTCCAACCTGAAGTAATAACTGTAAAGAAATAAAAATGGATCATTCTCAAACATAAGCTCTTTATAGTTACATCCTACTCCCTAGCTAATCAAAGATCAGAAAATCAACTTTTTAAATTAAAGCCAACAGCCATCTTCACTTTTTTCTTTCTTCTGAATTTATTTCAAATGATGTTTGAATGAACTCCTCACAACTGAAATCACCTATTATGCCACCAGCAGCCAACTATAAAAAGGGTCATTTTAAACCTTTCAAATGATAGATATCACTTGTAGCTGCTAAACCTGTGTAGGGAGACAGCAAGTCATAACTCCAGTCTTATTAAGCCCTTACCTTTATTTTCAACTTTAAAAAAAAAGTGACCCTGTGCTCAAGTGGACCCTTTTCAGGTCTTAATGTGTCATTTTTTGGCCTGTCAACCTGGCCTAGGACAGGGATATCTGCCTGTCGAAAATACACACTGTTTTTGACTTCCTGAAGCCTGCATTATCATTCATAAATACTTTTTTTCAGCCACAGCCAGACCAAGTACCTTGGGTGTGCTGAGAGAGGGAGACATTTCCATTTTTGAGATATAAATGTGTTTGTTATGTTACCTTTAAATTATCCTCTGATGGATTTGCTGCTGCCCAGTGAAGTGGTGTCCTGCCTTGATTGTCTTCAACATTATGAGAAGCCTATACAAAGAGGAGAACACCATCATTCCCATAGTGCTGGATTTGGGTGAATCAAAAATCAAATAGAAATGGTAAGAGGTTCCAGCAGACCTGTGAGAAGAACATTATAGTCACCTTATTACGAAGCAAAAGAGGCAGGGCAGCTGTGTTATTGATGTATGCAGCCACATGAAGTGCTGTTGTGTTATCTGTGCAACAAAAAAAATAATAATAGAAATAATAAACATCACTTCTTTTAATAAAATGTACTCCAAAATTGAACGATAGGAAATACAAAGTACATATCAAGTTAAATTATACCCTACCCATTTCCCAATAACAAAAAAAAATACCCAAAACAAGTGGTGGTACCCCAACATATTCCTAAGGCAAACATCAAGGTCCTTGGAATCTCATTTATGTTTCACTGATCCCAAAAAAATCCTCTCCCAAGAGTTACTAGATAGTATACTTGTACATGAAAATATGCTTTTCATATGCAAACAAGTTAAAAGAGGGCAAGAAGACATCAAGCACTGGTGTGTACCTACTGTAGGTCAATTTAAGAATTACTTTAAATCGTGTAAAAGTTACATTTATAGTTACTGTAGTTTTTGTAATATATACAGTTTATATCTGATACCATTTGCTTTGAGATCCAGATCACAGTCAGCTCTTATCAGTACTTCCAGGCACTCTGTATGGGCAGGTGTGTTGCCATGAACACAGTACATTGCAGCATTACGTCCTAAGCCATCCACTTGATTGACAACTTCGGAATCTTAAATGTAACATATTTTAAGTAACATATGGTCAGTGACATACAGTCAGCTGGTTGTAGTTTTGTGTATCAGGTATGATCACTTCTGTTTGGAAAAAAGAAACTTTCCTTCAACAGTGACCTAACTTTTTTGATGGAATGATCTGACTTTGGCTGGAGATATCTGACTAGGGCCCATATGACAATAGGGTGAAGCAAGAAGTGACGTAATTGTTGCTCATGAAATTGTTATAAAAAAATTTAGCTTAGGATGAGTCTAGAGCGCCATGACTATAATCAACTCAACCGTCATTCAAAATGAGGAGAAACGTCACTAGAAGCCTAAGAGATCTTACAGTGGGAGTAAGCAAACAGCTTAGGGTGTGGAAAAACAGTTTTGTATCTAATTGGTCCAAGAGGCACAAGTTTGCCATGTCGGTCACAGAATTGGAGGAAAGTTAGGCATAACCAAATTGCAATCCTGGGGCTGTTTTGACACTGTAATGAAAATGGGTAGTCACGACAACCTGTCATTCATGAAAATATGACCAGTTTATCAATATCTCCGATCATTGAAACGCAAATTAGCTGAATTACAAGGCGAGGACTAAGAACTGTACGATACTAATGCACTTGACTTCTGTTTTTATTTCAAGATCATTTTATTTGATACTTCGAACATTTGTAATAAAAGCGTACTCGTTAAGTACTACGTAAACATGAAGTTTTCATTACTCTGCATAGAAGGTAAACAATGGCGAAATAATTTCTTGTTTAGCATTCAATTAGCAATTAGCGTTACCTTTCTCTATGAGTTCCTTTAAAAGCTGTGAATCTGCAGACTTTGTAGCTTGCAGGACAAGAGGCAATGAAGAAAATTCATTTGTACCGAGGCTAGCAGACAGCCTGGGTGATTCCAGATTGTACCACTTCCATTCGAACTGATCAGGTATTCCACAAGCTGGACTAACTGGGCTCACACCCCCATTAAAAACCAAGCTTCCACTCAGCGATTTGCTATTAAATCTTGGTGATGCACCATTTGAAAGACTTCTGCTACGAAGTTTTTTGTAGTATTTTTGCAAGTAGAACAGGACAAGATGCATAGAATCCCTAAGTTCAGCTGTCGATTCCTCGCACGAAAGTTTCGAAAGAAACTCCTGAATAAGCCCCGCTGTTTTCTGGAAGTCTGTGACAACAAAACATGGCAAACATGACCCAATATTATCGGAAAACTGATTTGATCCAATTAACACAATATTGAAAAGCAGGAAGTCTTACCTCGTTTTTTTATAGCCATCGTTTGGAGGCTTCTAATTACGTCCTCGAGCGCTTTACGAATGTCTGATCGCGCGCGAAAATAAAATTATATTCAGCAATATTTTTATAGGCCACCATTTTGGACTTACTTTAATCGTGACCACGAAACACGATATCCGAATACAAGAACCCTTTTTCAAATCGACTAAAGGCAACAAAGTCAAATCTGAGCCAGACATGCAAAGAAAATAATGAATTGTGTAACTGATTACTTTCCCCCTTAAACGAGGAAGAAAACAACATTGAGATCGCATTGAACTATGGGATAATTTTTATTTCTAAGATGGCGGCCCTACGCTCAAAATCAAGGTCATTTCTAGAAGCTATTCCACGCTGTTTTTGCGGTGGCAATTATTTGTTATCCACACCAAGGTATCGTCTGTACTCAAATTATCAAACACAAGAGAAAAGTACGCATTTTGGTTTTGAAGAAGTATCAGAGCAGGAGAAAACTCAGAAAGGTAGACAAGATCAGAGGTCTTGATTTTTTTTTGCTTCACAAATGTGCAAATTTCCCTCTTTCAGATGTCAAATAAATCACCACCCCCACCCCCCTTAGGAGCTGCATGGACAGTCAGTCTCTATTTATCTGTAATACCTTACTTTTGGCTTATTATGTGGATAAACATGATTTTTTTAAGAATAAAACATGTATGCCTTATTCTTCAGAAATGCTATGAAGCAGTTACAGTGACTTATATAAATACGTATCTGGGACTAGTTTGCAAAACTTGGCAACTACATGCATGATCTTTTACCCAAAGAGCTCAATATACATGCTAGAATTACAGCTTTGACAATGCAAAAAATAATTGTGGACATGCGAGTTCCAGACTTCTGGTTGTATTGCATACAAATACATGTGGCTCTTCATGCTTAACATCTCACTGAGTTATGTTGTCTTGTGCAGACTGACCTAGGACTTACCATTAACTTTAATAACACACAGAGGTCAAGTATTATTAAGTAATTAAACAAATTAAGTGGGATTATTCAGAATTTATTATTTGAATAAGTAGTCAACACTTTCTACACCTTGTCCTACAAATATTTGTTTATCAGTTTACAAGGTGTTTGAGAGTGTAGCAAGTTCATATGACAAAATGAATGATGCCATGAGCTTCGGGATACACAGACTGTGGAAGGACAGGTTAATCACTATACTTAATCCTCCTGTTGGAACAAAACTGTTGGATGTTGCTGGAGGAACAGGTAAACAAAGTTGTTATTAGAGAGAGATGTGGTTCATAATAAATGGTTTGAATCAAGGAGTGAAATCATTCTCTTGTTGGATTGTCTTGATGAGAGTAACCCGAAATTGGATAATTACTCACAAGTGTGTTGTGTTTGCTGTGACTGTAGATTCTAAGTATCAAAACTAATGTAGTTTTAACCCAATAGAGAAAATTGTTACTATGGCCAAGATCTAATGTGCTAAACATCTAAACATCTTGTAAACATACCAATTATTAAGTTGACTGTTTTAATCTGATAGGTTATTGCACTGTGTTTTGAAATTTTACAGGTGACATTGCATTCAAATTCCTAGACCATGTTAACAAAAAATCAGGAAAAAGGAAACAAAGAGGAGAAAGTATTAACTCCCATGTGACAGTGTGCGATATCAACAGAGCAATGCTGCAAGTTGGCCAACAAAGGGCTGAAAGACTCCATCAATCCTCAGGTTTAAGAGCTGGGTACTTGATTGCTTCAACCTTAAGCTGCTGAGATCTGATTGTAAATCTCCTGTGTCGCTGTGTTATATTTCCTCGTAAAGTATCTAGGAAAATTTGGTATCATTTCAATATAAGCCTTGAGTTAACCCTCAGCATGTGAGTTGGTATTTCTCATTCCCTGTTTTCTTGATGATTTATCGAAAGGAAAATTTTTATGTTAATCACAAAATTGTGAGAGGTAATGGATAACAATGCCAGGGATTTCACTTCCAAGTTACTGAATTTATTTTGTCTGTAGTAATGCATTTATTGCAAAATTATCCTGCATTTTTGAAGTGTTATCAGCTATTATACCACAGTGAAATATTGTTGCAGATCAGAGGGGAAAAAAAAGAAGAAAAACTTTTTTAGTTAGAGTTAACATTTTGCCTTACAACTTAGTACAAGAATAGGATGGAATCTTAGTTTGGAGCCTTTGATTTGATAATTCTTAAATGTTTTCTGATAGGAATTTCATGGATTGAAGGCAATGCAGAAGAGTTACCAATTGATACTGCATCAGTTGATGCCTACACCATAGCATTCGGAATCCGAAATGTTACAAGAATTCATAAGGTTACCATTAACTCTGTTCTTTTTTTACTTTTTCTGGATTATAAGTGAACTGATATGTTTTCTATTCAGTATTTATTCTGAAAATTTGTAGAATAGTTGATGTATTTTGTTCTCATTGTTTGGTCAAAAAATCCAGGGCAAGGTAGCCTTGTAAAAGATAATTTGTTTTAATTAACTGAATTAAGTGAATTGGCCACCATAAAAAGATTCTAAAGCCAACATTTTATGCTTAAGCCCTTCATTAGTGCTAACTGTTCTGGAAAAGAGTCTTGTTTGTGAGGTTGATGAAGTCATCACTTGACAGCAATGAAATTTCTGATCAGAAAGCAGAATCTTCATTCACAGTTTCCCATAGCAGTCTTCTTCAGGACCACTGTCACAAGGATCAACATTCTATATGATCAGCTGTTACTCGTTTAATAATTTTCTTTCTCTCTTTTTGTGCTTCTCATTAGGCTTTGAGTGAGGCCCACAGAGTTCTTGTTCCTGGTGGAAGATTCCTGTGTCTGGAATTCAGTGAAGTAAAAAATGAGCTTATCTCTAGGTACCATCAATTTATTGTCTTTGATTATTCTTTAGGGCTTCAATGGAAAACTACATGACCCCCAAAGAACTCCTATGGCAGACATTGGTCAACTTGTCATGTCAGTTGATGGGTTGTATTCTGTTGTGTCTCCCACCAGAAGGCTGACATTTTAAAACATTCCTTTTTTTTTTAGCTTACCATGTTTTCCACATTTTCCTTCAAAACATTGTGATACAATATTATCAGGCAAAGAGGAATTATGATGCCAGCCTTGTCTGTGGTTAAGTCTACCTAGATGTACATGTTATAGATTGTTCAGTCAAGTCTAATATTTCTTACTTGGATGTCTGATATAAATTATATTTCTAACAGTGCCTATGAGAAATATTCCTTTGATGTTATACCAGTTATGGGGCAGATCATAGCTGGAGATTGGAAATCTTACAAGTATCTAGTTGAAAGCATTAGACAATTTCCAAATCAGGTTTGTCCAATAAAGTTTGTTGAACATTTTACATGCATTGCTAAGTAAAATTTTCAGTTTATCATCCCCTCATACACAGCCCTCTGTGGAAATTCATGTATTTCTTCCGTTTCTTTGCATTAGTGGTTCCTTCCTCTGGGATGTGATTTAAAGAGAGCATTTGGAGCTTGCTTCCTGTGTGCTTGCACGCATTTCTGCTTGTTACTTTCTTTACTCAACTGCCTTACCCCTCTCAGAAGTGAAGAGTTATTTGATGTGTCTGCAGCTCTTTAATGTGTTTATTGAAGAAATGTAATCATATGATTATTCAAAAGCAAATCTCAACAATTGGTCTCTGTTAGCAAGATCAGGTTTGAAAGCTCCACTAATGAGCAAGAAATGAGCTTTCCACAGAGGAATTTCAAACCGTTGACACTGTTGTTTATGTACATGGATTAGTAATGTTGGGATTTGTCTGACTAGTTACTTTTATTTCCTCTAGGAAGAGTTTGCAAATTTGATTGAAGATGCAGGATTTAGTTATGTTACTCATGAAAACTTAACCTTTGGAATAGCAGCCATTCACTCAGGCTTTAAATTGTGAAAACATTTGGAATTTGTGAATAAATATTGTGATCTTTTATAATTGTTGACTTCATTTTTTATAACATGACCATCTCGAATGAGGCATAACTAAATGTGAAAGATTTTCAACATATGGCTTTGCAGCAGGATTTGATCCAAAAAATTCAGATGGAGAGGGTTGAAAAAATTATTTTTAAAAGACAAACCATAACACAATTGGGGCAAACTTTAAAATAATTTATTAAATCGAAACTATATTTGAAATAATATAAAGCAAAGTCAATTTTAAAGTTCAGATTCTAAGCATAGCAACTACAAATGAACAGAAGGTTTGCATTAAAAAAAAAAAGAAAATTGTTTCTGCTCTCTTAAAATAATATTCCAAGAGCTTGCATTGATAGTATGGTGTATAATAGCTGGTGTTGGGTACAACTTGCTTAGGTGTGTCTAATAAGACAGTGGGAATATATATTAGCTAACTATTATGGTGATAAGATTTAATACAACATAGCAACCTTCATTTTGTACAAACTCTTAAGTTGTAAGTCTCTACAAGGCATTTTATATGGAGATCCAGCGATCTTTAGAGTCAAATCAACCAGATTTGAACAGAAGAACAGCAACCTGTCCAAGGTAGAAGTAGATGAAATGCTTTGTTTCATGGGTGACATAGGAACCAAAGTTTCTCCCAACAATACAGTGCCATGTAGGGTTGTACTTCTTGTCAAACTCTTTCTTGATGTATGCTGCTATGTCTTTCTCAATGTTGAATTTTTCCATAGCCTGTGTGGCACACTCTACAGCATCTGACTGCATGTCCTCAGACATGTCGGCATTTTTTATTACTGCTTTTCGATCGGTCATCTGCGGCAACCAAAAACGTTCTAATTAGTTTTTCTCTCCACGCGCTCATCACCCTTCCCGGTGACCACGCCTATGGGGTAATCGAGGAAAGAGGCGAAAAAGAAGAAATAGATAACTTACCCTGTCTAAAAACAGTTTTCCGCAACTATCACAGATCTTCGCCACCGAAATTCTCTTTATCAAACACCTTTCTCAAACAAATACAACATTGCTTCCTTGGTGTCTTAGACCCACGCCGTGGAACACCTAATTTACTATAATGCGTATTGTTCATTGGATAAATTCCGTAGCTTTTTTCGGTAGCCTATATCAACCCAGGGTACATTGCGAGAAATGCCTCTGTTTGCGTGATCAGGTCACACGCCAAGTTCACACTCTTCTCATGACGATTCAAGTCACGCAGTAAATAAGCTTAACTTTTTTTGTTAGATATCGGCAGACTGGTTTAGTCCTCAGCCTGGAAAATAACTCAAAACTGATTTTAATCGAATTCGAATCAACAATCTTTACTACACATTTTTTCAATGCGTGACCTTTTTTTTTAGCTTTAAAGATGGAAACAGTAAGTAACAGTTACTGCCGATAGGCAAAAGCCCAACCTTTCCACCCCTTTCCTAAATCTTGCAGAAGTTGTCTCCACATCTTTAGATTTGTAAAACTGCACATTAAAGCGTCTTTCACGACTGTCGATGTGTACCTTAGAGAACTATCTGTGGTAAAGCTGTGGCCCGTAATTACATTAAGAACATAGTAAAACTTAGAAGAGATTAATTCAATCTAGATCATGTGTAACATGCCCTTACAGATCCACAAGTCTGTCTTCTCTGCGTTATAAATCAGATCGGTAAGATTTTGTATAAATGTTACAAGAACTTACATGTGCTCTCTGGGTTTGACTCTGAAAGGTTTCGAGAGGAAATTGCTCCATTACCGAGCCACGAATCGAGGATAATTTTTAAGGAATTTTCCACTGTATGATAAGTGTGGGGCCGGTGGCATCGGCTAATGCAGATTTCCCAATTTAACCTCCGGGATTTAGAAAGTATTATGTCAATAGGAAAGTAGGTAAATAAGTAAATAAGGTTTGACAGTGTCAGTCACCTGATTGCATTCTTAAATAAGATTCTTAAGTCAAGTTTTGTAATTAAGAGGTGCGACGCTGAGAGGAAGTCGATGGAGATTTATTGAACTCCTCCATTATATATTGAGACATTTCAAGTGTTATTAGAATTTTAGAGCAGCAAGTTTCCTGAATTCCTGAATCGAGTTTCCTTGCACTTGAATAAAAAAAAATTAATAAATCCCGGTTGAGTTTTGTAAATAATGCCCGCCATTTGCGGAACGGGTCTTCGAACTCTGAATTATGTTCTTAAAATTCACCCCATTTCCGGCCACTCTACGTGCACGGAATAAAGACAAAAATTCCAAAAAAAAAAAAATTGCAAGGGGAGAATAAATTTTCAGAATTTAAAAATTTCGGAAAAATAAAAAAAGCTCAAAACACAGGTATTCCTATAACTAAATGGGCTTGAGTAAGGTCTGAATACTACTTTGGAAAATGGCATGTTTGGTCTGAATGATAGTAAGGATTTATGGAACAAGGCAGCACACTCACACTGAAAATTCTGGTGTATTCCCTGGGAGAGGGAGAGTACATCTTAATTATCATGGACTTCCTTTTCACTTGTTGAAATTATATGATGACATGCTTACTCATCAAATTGTTAGTATAACAGAAAACAGGGCATGGGAGCTATGTCCTTCATTCCAAGACAAATTTGTTCCATGGTTCACAAGTACAAGAAGGTTTGTGTTAATCCAGTTTTGATGTAAGGTCAGATTGTAAAAACACTACTCAACCCACCCAGAGTTAACTTTCATATTAAACTAAAATAACCTTGAAAAAATGTAAGGTTATGCTTATTGACATAGTCAAGAGAAATTAAAAAGCCCTCTTTGACTTCTTCCTTAGATGACCAAGGTCTGCTCACAAAACAGATTAAAAAGACAGAAATAATCAAAGAACATGAAATGTTACACACAGAATGATAAATAAGTTTATTTCTCATTTAAGTTAAGGACTCTCCACTTATAAATAAAAAATTATATTAGTTAAACCTTATATTTGGAAAAGGAATATCAAAAGTCATGTCTCACACCAAACATCCTTATATTAGTATTTGCAACACAAAAAAAAATTAAATAAAAATGAAAATATATTTACACAACGGAGATTTAGGATATATATTTTAGTTCCTTGAAGGACAATCTCTCTTTTAGGTAGCTTCATATTCTCAGCCAGACTTGAACAGAAGAACAGCAACCTGTCCAAGGTAAAAGTAGATGAAATGCTTTGTTTCATGGGTGACATAGGAACCAAAGTTTCTCCCAACAATACAGTGCCATGTAGGGTTGTACTTCTTGTCAAACTCTTTCTTGATGTATGCTGCTATGTCTTTCTCGATGTTGAACTTTTCCATGGCTTGTGTGACACACTCTATGGCATCTGCCTGCATGTCCTCGGACATGTCCGCATTTTTAACCACTGCCTTCCTGTCCGACATCTGAAAATAGAACATAAATCAAACATTAACCCTAAGAGTAACTTGTATCTAATTTCTCTTTATAACATCACCTTTCAATCAAACATTTAGGTCACAAGAATAAAAGAAACCAACACCAACTAAACAAACTCTTGATTGTCAAAAAAATTCTCCTTGTCAGAACCTTTAATAAGAAAGATGTGGTGAAAAGTATAGAGAATGATTCCTTTGCTTGCCAATATTCTTCAAAAAATCTGACTTCTAGTGAAGTTTGTTGACAAGATAAGACAACAACATTATAAGAATTCTAAATACCATAAGCACCAGAAAATAATAAAACTCCCTGGTCAATGCAAATTAAAAAAATCAACAAAGTTAATTATAGTTTCCGTTTCCATGGCAACCAAGAAAACAAAATTAGAAAATTAGCCTGTCTAGAAATGCAAGGTGGCTGTTTGCTTTATCAAGTGCTAATTAAAGAATAAACCGAACCATATTACATTAAGTCAAAATAATGTTCATAAAAACAGAATGTCTGCCTGCGTACTGATCTACCTTTCACATTTACTGTCCAAATTCTTTTCATTTATCGATCATTTATGGTTAACTTACAATCACCAATATCCGAGCGAAACGCCTGTCTCCCAAAGCTTAAGTTGTTTTCTGAACATAATTTTTAACACGTTAAAAAGCCTAAATACGAAAAAGACAGCGAGTCATCGATCGATAGGCAGCATCCAGCTGATGATTTTCCTTCGCTCAAAAATGTCATGAGGAAATATAATGAGATATAACTCACCTTGACTATTTAAAAAAATATTCTATGAAAATATTGAGGGAATTGTCGAAGAAACAAAACTCTCCTTCTTTGATCAATTGCTGAAAAAACTCAAATATTAGAAGGATAGCATCTGAAAAGTGGGTTGCTTCCTGCTTAATTTCGATTGGATACGAGCCTCAAAGCTGAAGATTTGATTCGTCAATAATTAGAATTATTTCCACAGCCTATATCAACCCAGAATCCTGCGCGTTTCTTTGCGTCACATTACTAAAGCCCCTGCTATCTCGCAAGGACTCCCTTCATCATTGGACGCGTGTTCAGCCATTTTCGATAGAACTTAAGCGTCCTTCTTGTGTGGCTCTCGTTTTCGAGAAAAGTTACTTGCTTTACAAATGATGAACCGAAGTAATAACAACAGTAGGCGAATTTACGTCGGAAATTTACCATCTAATGTAGATGAGAGAGATCTGGAGGATATCTTTTACAAATACGGCGACATTTCTGATGTTGACTTGAAGATTCCTCGATACGGAACTGGTGGCACGCCGTTTGCCTTCGTCGAATTTAGTGATCCAAGGTATGGAGATCTGACATGATGTCTTCAGTGACCTAATACAACTTTTTTTATCGACAATTCTTGTCAGCACTCAAACTCTCACTTTGCATCAGTCCATTTTCGATGCCAGGATGGGTTTCACTTCCTTCCCGGAACCTTTCTTTTGTTCTGCAATAAGCTCTCATCTCTAAACTTTGTTTCTCTTTTTTTTCCTTTTTCCTTGTTCTTCAACCTTCGCCATTCAGAAAAGATTATAAGTCTGGTATTTTCAACGTGACTGTTTACACAGCTATGCTGTTTATAGTGGGTCAGTAAATGTGTTTAGTGTAAATGGCTTGGCAAAAATGAAGTTGGAGATTTTTTCGAATACACTCTTTCCTTGAATTATTTTGCGGGTTTTTTCTTTTAAGATTTTCCGTTTTAATTTTTATTGTAGTTAAAACCATAGAAAATTTCAGGAGGTAGAAAATCGTTGCTTAATTTTTATTTCTCTAATGTCACTTTGTACAGAGATGCAGAAGATGCAGTGAGAGGGAGAGACGGATATGAAGTTGATGGACAGAGGATTCGTGTAGAATTTCCTCGTGGTGGCCGTGGTGGAGGTCGCTCTGGAGGTGGAGGGTTTGGAGGTGGAGGAGGAGGAGGCTATGGTGGTGGTGGTGGAGGAGGTGGAGGTGGTCGTGGTCCTCCTCCTAGGCGCTCTGATTACCGTGTTATGGTCTCTGGTTTGCCACCAACTGGTAGCTGGCAAGATCTCAAGGATCATATGCGGGATGCTGGTGATGTTCAGTTCACAGATGTTTTTAAAGATGGAACTGGCATTGTGGAGTTTTCTCGGTATGATGACATGAAATATGCCTTGAAACATCTGGATGATTCTAAGTTCCGCTCACACGAGGTACACAATTTTAATTGTTACAACTGCCAGTCTTGTACAGTACTTGGTTTGTCTTTTTCAGAGAAAAGTATGTATAATTGTTTTCATCATTTTTCTCTCTTTCTCTAGGGTGAAGTTGCATTCATCAGAGTCAAACCTGACAATCCAGGACGTGGTTCACGAAGTCGTAGCAGATCACTTTCAAGGAGCCGATCCCCAAGAAAAAGATCCCACTCTCGTTCCCACAGTCCACGTCGGTCTTATTCACCAAAGAAATCAAAGTCACCCTCAAGATCACCAAAGAAGAGGAAATCAGTCTCTCCAAGGCGTTCCAGATCCCGTTCTCGTTCCCGTTCATAGACATAAACTGTTTGCTGTGATGTATTATTTGTGTTGTATTACCACCAAGAAAAGGCTTTCACTTTAAACCCTTAGTTGTAGAAAAAGGACTCTTTTAATAATTCTATATTGTTGTGGCTAGTTAGATCTTTTACTTTTCCATGGTATTATTTTCAGGACAGCACAAGCACTTTCTGATATTGGAAAGGAAAGCTAGGAATGAAACATGTTTCAACAGTTATGTTGCTAAAGAAATCAAACTGGATAAGGAAACAGTGGAAATAAAATGACTCTTGGAACATTAGGACATGTTCTTTGGACATGGTATGCATGGTTTTAAGCTACAGTGATATTTCTTCAAGACCAAAATACCCCTTTTTAAACAGCAGACATTGTTTTGCACTTGTATTAGAAATACAACTTAGTTTTAAGCAACACCACAAGTTTGTTTTCTTTTCACTTATAGTTCACTTTGTATAGATTAGTTACTCTTTATGGCAACTTATGATTAAAAGATGAATAAGTTAATAGATTTGTTCAATTTTCCTAAAATTCATAGTCAATTGATTACAAGCCAGTAGCAATTTTCCTCCAGCACACTATTAAATGTTTGGGAAATTGAAGGGAAAAAGACTATTTTCAAGCGATTTCAAGCGATTTTCATTGACAAGTTGACTTCTTTACAATCTTGTGACAGATAAAAAGCTGTCGTCCGGAGGAGTCCGGAACCTCTCATGTCAGTCAGTGATCACGGATCATTAGGATAGGAACTGGAGGTCAGCTCCAGTACAGTTTTGGGACAGAACACCGGAAACAATCAGGAAATCAAACAATCAGGAGTCAGTTTTTTGGAACTCTTTCAATCATCTGGATAAGGATTTGGATCTTAACTCATTTGGTAGTTGCCAACAATTTTGGAGGAAAATCACAGTTTGGAATGGAGGAATAGCAATCACTATCTTTCATACAAAATGGTCTTATACAGTATTCTTCTTTGGAGGGTAACCTAAATCTGGTATGAATTTTAAACATTCAGTTTTGTTTGAAAGACCTCAAATTTAGCGGAGTGAAAGCTGATCCCCAAAATTTCCTGATTCAAATTTGGACAAAATCACTAATTTTTGAAGTTTTCAATGAAGTTTTTCTGTTTTTCCCCAACCTTTCTGTCATAGTTATCTTGCTTGTTTTGTTTTTTACTACTGACTTTCTTGCTTCAGGTGCTGGGTATGCTATGCATTTGTTTCTAGCATAGAAATACAAGGGATTTTAGCAGACACAACAAAAGTGCTTTTACATTTATCATTTAGTTTTCCATGCAATGTGACAGCACATTGTGCTCTTCACTGAAATAAATTTCTTTCTGACTGAATTAGTGGTTGATTGTGTGTGATCTTACTGCTAGTGTTGTTGTGGGACTAAGAAGCCTATTTATATTGCCAAGTGCATTGGTTAGGTAAGGATTAGATACCTATTGGGTGCATGTTGAAATTTCCAGGAAAACAAGGCAATGCAAGGACATATTTCTTAACTAAAAGTGTGGCAAGGCAAGTTTGGCTTGAAATACTAGTGCTATGTCGCAATCCTCACCTGTTTAAATAGAAAGAGAGAATGGGTAATTTGATGGAATTTCATCCTCCAACTCAAGCAGACTAGAAATAAGCATATATGCTCCAACCGTAGAGGGCAGAATCATAGTATTAAGTGGTCACCCTTTCCAAAGCAGTCACTTATCAAATTCACTTCCCTCATTCTCTACAATTAATTACACCTCTTTCCTATGCTCACCACCATGCAGAATTGCAAACGCAGAAGTCTACAGAAATGCAAATGAATGCCTAGATGTTGATATTGATCCTGTTTCCCTTTATTCCATGCCTTTCCCTCTGATAATAAATGGACCCTTCACACCCTGCTCTGACAACTTCAGGCAACCATTCTTCTTCAAAGAAGAGATGGTCACCCTCTGGAATTCTCACTTTCGAGTTTGTTTTGATCCACCTACTAAACCCTGAGTAAACATGTCACTACGCAAAAATCTGAGTGCCGAGTAACAAAGTATCTTAATGCATTCTGCATGAGCACAACTTGAGTACATCTTGTACTTGTACAAGGGGAAAGTGATAACAATAGGTAGTACTGGGGATGGACAAATTCCTTTCAACAGCTATGTCCAGACAAAAGTCGAAAACCCTTTTACGAGACTTTACATATGCCATGCGGAAATTTACATCCAGAAGTCAACAAAACGCAAACAAATGCCTAGATGTTGATATTGATCCTGTTTACCCCTATTCCATGACTTTCCCTCCAGTGACGAACGAACCCCACCTTGTTCTGATAATTCCAGTAGCCATTTTAATGGTTATCAGCGAAAGACTGGGACTCGAGGCTTCGATGTTTCAAGATGGAGGTCGGCGACGAAATCCGCGAGAGACAGTATGAAAGCAGTTTGTTGCTGTTGGCGGACGAACTAATTGACATGGTGCTATCCTGCCCTTTAATAGATCATAAGGACTTATGCTGCTGTGCGCAAGTTTGCACACGTTTGAACACTATTGCAACTGGAAATGAACTGTGGAAGAGGAAGGCCCTCTCTAGGTAATTAGGCTTACGTAAGGAAAATGTGTACGTGTAATTGGAACAAAAATGAGAAACTTGGTTTGTGTGGAAAATCAAAGGTATTCTCCGACGTAAAGCTGTTATTTCTCAACCTAGATATGTCCCATGACTAAGTAAAGACTCGTATCTTCGTCTCTTTTTTTTTTTTTTTTTTTTTTTTTCTCTTTCGCTTGTCCCAGCTGTGTTATTCTACGCATGAGTTGACAATTTATTGAGTTTTGGTATCAGCTACTTGAGTATGGGATATAAGCCAGTGGTCCACACTTGTTCCTTCTCTTTCCTGGGAGTATCACTCTGGACCAGACTATCTCGCTGACTCGGTGATCATGATTGAGTTCAGAGACCATCTCCTTGGGTACAGGAAGAGAGCCAGCGCTACTCCTGGCTCCTCCTGTCTCTGGGGAGAATCAAATACCAGGCAGGCTCAAGAAATTACCTGGAATTCTAGCCTGGCTCCATGAGTGGACGAGATGAAGCGAATTTTGTGTTTTGATTGGCTACTTGGTTGGTTAAGAAGGTTCCATTGCTTTACATATCAAATTTAAAAAAACACAGTTGACTTTTAATACTTGTCTCCTACAGATGGCGGTTTTGGAAAAGCATGCCCAAAGAAAACTGGTGTGCAGTTTACAGAGACAGGCTGTTAACTGAACTTAAAATCCTCTCTGCTTTAGAGAGTATGTCAAAGAAATATTACAACAACCCTGAGGTTCACAGGAGAGAGTTTGACACATTTGTGTATTTAGGAAATGAAAATCCTGCCATGTCGTGTCATGTAAACAATACTCTGAGTGAACTTTTACAAGGAAATGATTGGTAAGAGACACAGTTATCACAATGTCGTGACAGCTTTAATTAACTTGCAGTTTTTTTTTTTATCATTTAATACATATTGTATGAATGATGTTTTCATGCTTACTGAACTGTATAAGAATTTGTTTCCCTCAAAGCTGTTTTTTTTTTTTGATAGATATAAAATGTTTCAAAACAGATGAAACATTGGCTTAATTTGTACTTTTTAAAGAACATCATAACTACTGTGACACTTTAAATATTGGTATGGTATACATGTCACTAAAGAGACTGATATTTTGCAGCTGTTTTTGCTTTATAGTGAAGTCAATTTGACACACAGACACTATGCCAGAAAAGTACAATCCCAGCTGAAAATTTTTTCTATTAAGGACGAGTGGAAGAAATTTCTGGCATTACAAGAACAACAACAACATCTTGAGAAAGGTGCATAACCTTTTTTTTTTATTTGGTGAACTTTTCTTTTTATAATTTTCAATCATTAATCAATTGATAATAATTGATTCTTTAAATATTAATCACGATTGGGTGTTTATGGTTTGGTCTTAAGCAAGACATATACCTCTTACTGTGTCTCCTCTGACCTTCGATTAACCCTTTTACTTCCAAGATCTCATCAGTAATCCTCCTTACTGTCTGCTATACAATTCTTATTATGTTACTTTAGAGAATGTGGTATTGAAGCAACTAATAATCCCTTAAATGATATTTTTCTTTATTGTTATTACTTGTGTGATTAATATTGTATTGATATTGTGAAGATGATTTATTTTTTTAATCACTAATGGGAGTTGAAAGGTCAAGGTAAAGGAACTGCAAGCTTTTAAGCTGCTTATCAAGTTGAAGAGATGAGCATCTTTTCCTAATGGTCTTATTGATGTTTCATGCGGTAGAATTTGGACTGAGCTGTAGCAGCAGTAACACTTACTAAACTTTCTCATGTTTTTATGTCAACCTTCACATTAAATTTTCTGGTTACAGGTGCTATGTTGGTTGTAAGATGGATTCTCAATGAAGAGGATATAAATGAAAATGAGACTTTCTCAGAACTTGATAGAATTGCTCAGATGGTAAAGGAGAATCTGCATGGCTCCAACAGCAGTACACACACAGCACCCTTAATCCCGCTGGAGGAGCAAATGACACAGAGTAATGAGGGGCTCACCTCAGTTACACATCCTGCAGCTTGTTTGAGAATATTGGCTTGTCTGAAGCAAGTTTTGTATCATCAGCTTCAGTTTAAAGGCTGTGTGGATGAATATTATAAAAAGGAGAACTCGATGCTCTTTCAGGTATAGTTGTCAACTCAGGTGGAATAAAGCCAACCTCCATTAGGAGGAAAACTGCCATGGAATCTCTTCTCTTAACCCTTTAACTCCCAGAAGTGATAAACATGTCATTTCTCCCTATAATATCCCTATATTATCCAGCAAACAGGTAATAAGAAACTCAAACTTATCAGTTAAAATTTGTTATCTTGATCAAATTTTCCTAACTAATTGATAAGGAAATGTGTTGCAGCTAGTAGGGAGAAATAGCTATCAGATCTTGTGTGTTAAAAGGTTAATAGACAGATATTTCAAGATAAAGCAAAGCCATTGTGAAGCTGGATAATTTTCTTGGCCTATTTCCTTAAATTGTTTCTCTTTGTTGTTTATTTTTTACAGGTTAAAAATAGAACTGGTAATCCCATCACTTTGTCAGTTTTGTTCACTGCTCTTGCAAGGAGACTTGGGGTTACATTAGAACCAGTGAGTACATAAAGTTTCTCTTTTTCGAGATTATACTGGGTAATTTTGTCATCATTCTGAATGAACAAGTGAAAGCTATTGAAGTGCTTTGAGGTACAGACTGAGATGGAACACAACACCCAAGAACAAGTGTTCAACCTCTAGTGGCTATGACCAGAAGCCCTGTCCCTCTCTTTCTTCATTTTTGAAAGTCAAAAACTGTGTTGCTAAATGCTGCTGTTTAAACTTACAAGAATGGAAATTGAGTAGTAGTGTATTGTTAAAAGCTTGGGATATTCTGGGGCGGAGCTACCTTCCATACATTCTCATAAATGAAATGGAAACAATGTTCTCACAACTTGCAGAGCAGTCTCACTGGAAATTGTCAGGGGACAGCTCCATTGCAGAAGAGCACTACTTGTTTACAAGGAAAAACATGGCTGGTTATGTTGTAAAGATCTGAAGACGTTTTCCGTTTTGTAACTAACTTCAGGCCAGGATCAATACTTTAAGGAAACTTTCCTTAAAAAAGGACAGGAAGAACGGTGGCAACTAAATATTTCCCACTCGTAAATAACTAGCCGAGGTATATGAAGGGTTTGACAGGTTATTTTAAATTACCTTCCTCAACAAACCCCTAATTTAAATGGACCACAAGTGCACTTAGTGGAGTTTTTTTTTTTAATTTTTTTTTTTGAACTGCAACTTACACTTCCTGATGAACACACTTCCCACCTGAACTTGCATTTGCTTTTTGAAGTAACTAGCATCCTCAAACAGGCTTTGCCAAAGCAAAATCAACAAACAGGCAAAGGAATGAGCATATCCATAATATACAGTTCTATTAGGGAGGCCGCTGACAAGCCAGTGAATTGTCTATTGTGCAAGTTGTGAGATCATTGTTCCTCAGTTCCTAACCTTGTAGCTTCCTTCCCATCCTGGGATATTCATTTATTTTTATGGTATAAAATTTTTTTGTTGTAATATTTTAAATTATCGTAAATCTGTTTTTACAGATAAATTTTCCAAATCATTTCTTGTTGCGGTGGAGATCTAACATGGACCCAAAGTATGTCTTATACAAGTTTTTTATTACTTCATACTGGTAGAATGATAAGTATAATAGAATTTCCTTGGTGTGTCATTTCTTTCCTCATAATTATCTACGTTTAGGACTTGATTTAACCCTTTAACTCCATGAGGTGATAAACATGTAGCTTCTCCCTATGATATCTGCACATTATCCAGTAAACAGGTGATGAGAACACCTAAACTTATCAGATAAAATCTGTCATCTTGATCTGACACTAAATTTCCATAACTGATTGACAAGGAAATGTTTAGCAGTTAGAGGGGAGAATGTTGACTACTAAATCTTGGGAGTTAAAGGGTTAAGTTCATCAGATATTACAATAAATGTAGTATCTCCCTTACCAAGCTCAAGTACTTAAACTTCTGTTTTGGATAAGAGAATTTCAATGCCTTGTATTTTTAAGGGCAGATCCTTCTACAGTATATAGGTACATTGACTGCTTCAATAGTGGAAATTTCTTAACTGAAGCTCAATGTGTGGATATGCTTTTATCACCCTTGGCAAATGTACGAAGTTTTGGTAATGCACTGTTTGTTAGGGCTTCGCCTACACAGGTACTTTTGATAGTTATTGTTACCACTGTAACAGTAGTTACTTTTAACGTAAGACACTGTTAAGTTGATTTATAAAAAGCATAGAGTTCACAGAGCAAATACATTTCTGACCCTTCAGTCTTAGCAATCATGTTATTTGAAAATTTTTTTAACTTTCTGGACAAGTATTGATAAAACCCAATTAGTACTTTACACATGTCAACATTTGACACATACCAAGTTTTCCTTATGTGTGTTTGTGTCATGTTTTTAGGTATTTATTCGCATGGTGGCCAATATCATAAATAGCTACAGAATGGAAGAACACCCAGGTGGTCGGTAAGACACATGTTATAATTAGTGTTTTCCCTTATTTTGAGCATGACATGTGAAAGCAATTTTAAAAAATTTTTAAAAAATTGTAGAGTCTGATTTTGGATACTAGTATTCTATTATGGCCACAAGTTTTCATATTTTAGATACTAATACCTTATTTTAGACACTAGAATCAGATTTTAGACTCTAGTGTCCAATTTTAAATGCCAGTGTCTGATTTTGGACACTAATATCCCTTGTGTTTGTGTCCCTTCAGGTCATTTCCTGTGTACTGGTTCTTTTTACTCTGGGTAATTCAAATCATGTTCGTAAATTCAGGACATTAGTCACAAATCAAACAGTCATTAGTCCAAAAATCTAGTTGATCTTGAAATATCTGTGTATTTTGTGTGTTTTTCAGTCTGTTATGTTATCTTTGCTTATAACCCATCCAATTTTTTTTCATACTGCAACTCACACAGAAACAGATTCAATTTTTCAAATAATCAACCTTTAATCTGGGGTGGTATACTTGACCTGGACTGCCTACAAGCTCTTCATTAAGAGAAACACGCCACAAGAAGACAAGAATTCTTTAACCATAAGTTGAGCTCTTGGTCAGACTGATTATCACTCTAATTTCTTCTTTAGATTGAGTGGTCTGCATTCTGCTCTTGACCTGATGCTATTTCTTGATCCTAATGATGAAGACAGCAGACTGCTGTTGGCCAGAATACAGGTTCATCTAGGTATTGACTTAGAAGAGGTTTGTTTTATTTCACAATTTCCTTGATTTTATAAATACTTTTAGAAGACTTCTTGCTAATGGGCATCCATGTATAAGTGTTATTAACAAAATTGTATAAAGAGGTCTAAGGAGACCTTAGCAGCTGCTAAGTTAAATGGCCCAAGAAAAACTACAAAGAAGTTTTTTGTGTGTGTGCTCAAAATAATTTGGTGTTGTACAGCAACTTTTCAGTAACTTTATTTTCATTTAATAAAAACTCTTCTAATAGTTCTGAATTACAAAATGGTGAAAAATTCTAGGATAAAAACAAGCTGGCTATTGTTTTATCTAAACCCAAAATTCATTTACAGGCAATTGACAGTCTTCAGATCCTACAGAGCAGTGCAAACCAAGTGCGTAAGGGAATATTGGATAATCTCCTTGAACGAGCCAATCAGAAAAAGAGAATGCAGGATTTGGGAGAAAATCTTCCCCCTCCAGTACGGCAAGAGATGTTAATTTACAGCAGTACATTATTGTCATGGCTTTCCATCCAAATCTTTTATATTTAAGAGTTGGAGAAGTTACTCAATAGGGTAGTTAATGATCTGTAGGACCCAGCAGGCAGGATGTTCAAGTAATCATCATCTTACTACACAAGCCAAACAGGGAAAATCATGGCTATGAGATTTGAAGGGTGTTAAGTTATAAAACACTAAAATCACTGAGTTCCTTTAGACAGTTGGAGACTGAATTGGATATTATTTGACTTCACACTTTCTGTTAGCATTCACTTGAAGTAAACACAATTAACTTGTGAATTTGGGTAAATTTTTGTAACAAAGTTATTGACTTTCCCTGAGGTTTTCTTTCTTCTAACAGCATGCAATGTCTAAACTGTTGTAGGGTTGATAATATAGCTTCTTTCAGGAATGTTTTGTTGTTTCGTTTTGCATAGAAACCAAGATCTGATCCAAGGAATTCTCAAGTTGGATTTAAAGTTGGAATGGTGATGAGGCACAAGCTGTAAGTTATGACTCAGCACAGTATGTATACTGGGTAGTTGTTCAACAATGCCGTTGACTAAAGACAAAGGGTCGCACTTGTGATACAAGTTGATGACATGACAAGGGAAACCAAAGGAACATCCAAGCAAAAGATGCTAGATCACCAAAGAAGTTGACAAAAGAAGGGGGTGGGGGCTGAACCCCTACTCCAAACACCCTTTCCTCCCCCACATGTCTATGCAGGCTAACTTATTGTCATTCTTGAACATTCTTCTCAGGTATCATTATGGTTGTGTTATTTATGGATGGGATCCTGTTTGTGAAATGGATGAGTCCTGGATTCAGCGAATGGGTGTTGATCAATCACCTGGTGGCCGCAATCAGCCTTTTTACAATGTGCTGGGTGATGATGGCTCACAAAGATATGCTGCACACAGTAAGCTGAATTTCTGGTTAATCAACATAATTTTCAAAAAAAGTTAGTGGAATTTCTATAAAATGGAAGGAAAAAACAATGTATGATCTAGCTGGCCATTAGGTAGTAAGAAGAAATATCAGAGGAATTTCAATGATCTTCGTCGCATGGGTTGGTACACAGGTATTTTTTTTGGTCAAGTATGTGCCCCAACTGCTTAGAATTTAAAATTCATTTTAGAAATAATTATCATTCAAAATTATACCCTGTTTTGCAAAGAGGTCAATTTGTAGCAACTCTCACTAGAAAGTTAGTTGCATCTGATATTGTGATGCTTTGTTCTTTTGAAATGTTTCACCCAGTTTTTAGAATAACCTGTAAATGGCAGACACCTTTATGGTGTCTCTCCCTTTCTCCAGATCAAGGCCATTACCTAAGCCATGTCTTTCTGTTAAATATTGATGAAGTCTTAAACTAATGAAAATTTAAATTCTGTGACACTTTCCCTCTTCATGCATAACATAGTGGGATTGTTAATTACTTCAATTTCCTTGCAGTTAATCTGAAAGAAGATCCTAATCAGCCTTTGAACCCCCATCCTGAACTTGGAAAGTACTTCAAAGGTTTCACCGGAACCAGATACATTCCAAATGAATGTCTTCAATGCCAGTACCCTGAGGATGTTGACAATTGATCTAAACTTAACTATTCATTTCAACAAAACATATCTTCAATGAAATATCTGTGTACTTAAGGAAAACACTCATCGATATGATGTTATGTGCAATATTATATCCCTACACAGATTGGTTTTTATAAACCATAAATTCCAAGATTTTCTCTGGTGAAGGGCTAACACTCAAAATGTCAGCTTTCATATTCTTTATGGTGGCCAATTTATATTACCCTATTATACCCTTTATTCATAAAGTCTTATGTTTGGTTATACTCGAACTGTACACTTTAACTGTAGCCGAAAGTTGCAATGTAACCACTGTATTATAAATGTGTAATATTTTTTATTGACTCAGGAATTAGAGTGCCATGGACTCAAATGTTATGCAGTTTATAGCCTATTTATTTCCTACATTTTGGAGTTAAGAAACTAAAGCAGCTACTTCTTATCTACAGGAATGATATTTATGCTTGAAGGAATAAGTTTGAAGAGAACCCCTTTAGGCACTAAGCCCTCTCACCTCTAGAACTGACCAACAAATAATTTCTTGTACCAAATCAAAAAGACAGCTGATTAGATAAGAAAAAAATGTCAATTTGATTAAAATTTCATCTGATAATTTAGGAGATCTATGCCAGAAAGTAAGAAGATTTGGCAGTAAAAGGGTGATTTCTACAACTTGTTGCTCTCTGTTTGGTGGAATCAAATATGTATTTTAATAGGTAATTTAGTGTTAACAACTGAGTTGAAAACGTAAATTAGCCACTGTAATGGGTAAAAAAGCTGACGTTTCAAGCATTAGCCCTTTGTCAGAGCAATTGGAGGAATTGTAGGTTGTGTGTGGATTTCTATGGAGAAAGTGGAGCTATGCCATTGGTGGGAATAGGGTAATGAGAAAATGTATGTATTTTATGTATGTATATGTATTTTAATACTCATCTTAAGAACAGAATTATAGCCTTTTGGACAGTTCCTTATTTCATCATCTTTAAATTAATTGTACTAGAAAAAGATAAGGAATATATAAGAAAAAGGATAATTTTGTATTGGAAATACTGTGAACCTTGCTATAGTGTGTGTTATTTAAGATGCTGCATAACTGTCTACAACACCTTTATTGCCTTTGATTAAGGAGTTCCTTGGCTTCCTATGTGATAGTTGTTGATCATTTCGCTAACATTGGACAAGGCTGTTACAGACAACTATTTGAATTTCATTATCATGCAGTGTAAAGAATATGGTCACTTTGTACTGTATAGAACATACTTACATAAGAGATCATGTAAACTAGAAAATATTCATTTGGTTTAAAATGAATTTATGAGCAGAGAGAAATAAAGAAACACAACAAAGTTCTCTCTTGTTTGGATGAGAATGATGTATTCCATTATACAAGCTATTTTTGTTATGTACTTAATATATTATTAGTCATGTTGGCAGATTTTCTATCAGCTAACAATTTAACAACCTTGTCCCCACCTCACTTTACCCTTCAGCTGGTACTGAGAAATGTTCTACCCTTATTGGCAAAGCTAACCTCAACCCTCTCCCCTTCAAATTTACTTTTTTATGGTACACTTTTAGTTATCAGGTCTGCCTTGGACCAAAAGGTTGTGCGATTAATTCTTTTCTATCATATCTGGAGAAGCTCGCTGTCCCCACTCCACCCATGACCCATCATACACCATAGTGTCCCTCTTTCCACATAGATGTGCTCCTAAAGCTATGATGCAAGCTGTGATTCCTGACCCACAGGTTGTAACAAGTGGATTTTGAAGATCAATTCCTGCTTCATCAAATACTTTTTTCAACTCCTCTGGATCTTTCATTAGCTTTGTTTCGGGTTCTAAGAATTTGGCATAATGGAGACTTTTTGAATGTGGAATATGACCAGATGGAAAGTTTGGGCGTGGCTCTGTTTCAGTTCCAAGGAACCTGCCAGGAGATCGTGCATCGGCTACTTGTATGTGTGGGTCTGAAAAATTGGCTTTCACAAAATCAAAGTCACAGAACATGCCTGGATTTAAGGTAGCTTTGAATGGTCCACCATCTGCTGAAAGGAAAGCGAATTTATTCATAAGTATAGTTTCCCAAGTTTTTTAGAGCGGATGATACCTGTGCAGCTTATTAACGAGAGTACACTTCCAGGAGAAGAAAGGAGAATTTACATACGAGTTACCTACTAACGAATTCACCTTCAATTTCGACTACATCCTCTGGACCTGATGAAATAGGGTAATCAGACTCGGCTTTCCACTTTAAAAATCCACCATCCAAAATCGATACCCGATCGTGCCCAAATGCACGGAACATCCACCAAACTCGAGGAGCCGAGAATAACCCAACTTTACTGTGATCATAAACAACAACATGGCTATCGTTGTTAATTCCTAGACTTCGAACGTAATTTGAGAAATCTTCGGTTTTCGGTAACGTGTGCTCATAAGGTGATGACTTGTCGACACATTCGTCTATGTCAAAAAACTTAGCCCCTGGGATCCGATGAGCTAAAAATTCGTCCTTTGGATTACGATTTTCTGATGGGAGATGCCAGGACGCATCCAAAAGCCGCATATATTTTGTGTTTTGAAGCATCAGTTGGCGAAGCCCCTGGGCTTTAAGGAGAGTCTGCACAGACATAGTGACGAAGAGAAAACAAGTACCCCAACTACAATAAAATTGATTCGAGATTTACATGGCGTTCCACGTTCTAAACCTCGGATAAGGAGAAGAAATGCTGGTGACTAGTCCCCAGACTCTACGCTAAGAGACGTGTCAAAATGGCTGCCTTGGAAAAGGTTAAGATTTTAGTAGTTGGTGATTCCGGAGTCGGAAAAACGTCTTTGGTTCATCATATATGTCACGATGAATGTCTTTCAACTCCAGGATGGACAATAGGATGTACTGCAGAGGTAAAATTGTATGACTACAAAGAAGGAACGCCAGCAACGAAAAGTTTTTTCTTGGAGTTCTGGGATGTTGGAGGCTCTGCAAACCATGAAAACAGCCGGTCAATATTTTATAATGGCGTCAATGGATTGATCCTTGTTCATGATTTGACCAACAAGAAGTCATTCACAAATCTAAGGCGTTGGTTAGCAGAAGTGTTAGGGTCTGGGAAAGAAGGGAATGGCTCCTTCAGCGCTAAGCAGCCACAAAAACAGCCTTCAAACAGAGACAGTTGGTTTGAGTTCTCAATTGACATAGGAGAAGGTTATGACTCAGAGCAGTTTGCTGGAAACCAAATTCCTGTCATAATTGTGGGTACTAAACTAGATCAGGCAGGAACTGTAAGAATTCTTACCTCATCCAGGGGATTGAATCTTGCAGAGGAAATTGGAGCCGACATGATAAATCTGAACTCTACGGATATAAGACAACTTAAATCTGGATCTCTCAATGCCAGAAAGCTGAATGCTTTCTTTGATAAAGTAATTGAGAGGCGATTCTATTCCCGTGAAGTCCCACAAGTCCAGCAGTCAACTGGTCTTGCCGAATCACCTAAATTTTATGATCGTTCAAGTAAACGTAAAATGGTCTAAACACTCTTTCAGGAAGAAGACTGCAGTGATTAGATTACATTTAATTGTAAATTCCTCAGGAAGGAGCTTCTTTCAACAAACCTAAAATTAGCCTCTTTTTTTCCTTGCTTTGTCAAATATATTTAGCCCCTCAGCTGACTGCTTATCAAGGGCCACTGAATTTAATGTAACTTGTTGAGCTAGATGGATTTATTTTCAGTAAACTCTCGCTTTCACAGATTATGTTTTGAAAATTCACATAGATATATGACTGAGAATTGGGTTATACTGAAATTCTTTTATTTTGTCATTTGCAATTTCTGTGGTTTTCCTGACCTTCTGATTGTGTAAAAGGGTTGTTTATTTTACTACATTACAATGTACCTAACACCTTGATACCTTGATTAGGTGATATATATGAGGATTCCAGGAAATAAATTGTGGTTGAAATTGATTGCAAACCAATGGTTAAACAAAGACAAAGGTTTCATTCTTTTCGCTGGACATGTCATCTTATAAATAACCCAAGATCCTTTAATCCTATGGATATACCAAACCACTATGACTATATTACATGGTATTTTCCTTTTTCAAAGAGAAGGTAAATATGACATGACTGGATGAACGAATCATTCATCATCTTCTTTTGATTTCCGTTCACGCAATCCCTTGCGAACCTTGACCTTTCTTTTCAAAAATGATCCTTCTTGTTTTTCTACTGTTGCAGAATCAGATACATTTTCTGTCTTCTCTGTGGAATCGTAGGAAGCTTCCTGGTCTTGTAAGTGATCAAGTTCGACCGAATCCTCGGGAGACCGAAGTGGGTTTTCAGCTGAAGACAGCTGTGTTTTGGGAACTTTGGCCCGAGATCGTCCAACTACATATTCCGCCATAACGTTCACACCCTCCACAATCTGTGAGCGGGGAGGTGTTTCATCGACCTCCATTTTATGCTTAATGGCTGATTTCGAGAACACATGTTTTTCAGTCATCTCCACATCGGACTCTGAATTTTCTTTTGGAGCATTTTCTTTCCTATTGCGGATCTCATCCATAAAAGAGAGAGCAGCATGTCTATTTAGTGCATCACCAGACATTCCAGGAATCTTATCACTTCCATCTTCCTCCAGACTGTACTTGGTCCATTTCTCAGGGTGCAAAATATGATCTGGCACACGTCTTGGCCGACTCGGCAGACGAGTGCCATGTGGTTTACGCTCGATTTCACTATCATCAGCTTTTTGTTCAGGTTCAAGCTTGTCTAGGCATCCAAATATGGAACTACTGCGACCCTGGAAATCACTATCCCCAGATATTCGTAGAAAATCCTCCTTTTTCTCCGCCATTAGACTATCACCGATCGCACGTCCTTTCCGCCATATTGGATTCCAGACCTCCTCGTTTTCCCTTGCTTGGAAACAACCGCCTCGTTCTCGAGTGTTTAGATGGCAACCAAAATGGCGGACAGAATTTAAAAATAGTTATAACACTAACATGACCGAAAGCTTTCCCCCCTTTAACGTTACTGCTGCATTTCACTCGCAGCTCAACACTTTATGCATCCGAGAATTTCCTTGTGGCTATGGAAGTTGGGTGAGCAGAAATTTGAAATTGTATTGGGCTTAAAAATAACATGATACTCTATTTCTAAATTAATAGATTGCACATTTTGTAGAGAAACGTTTGCGTGAAGATATGATCTGAGACTAAACTATTTGTTTCATTTTGATATAAGAGAGCGCCTAATGTTAGCAGTAATATAAGTTTGAAGAGCACTGGTATACTGAAGGGCACAAGATCATCTGCAACAGTACCAGCCATTTTAGCAGGTAATTAGCTACGTAGTAAGTACGAGTAAGAGATTTTGCAAACTTGGTAGGGAAATTTGGGGCCAAGAAATCAACAGTTTTTCTACTGGAAAAGTTCCCTTGTCCCAAATCTTTACCATTGCCAGCATAATTCATATAGTTTATGTACTTCTTTTGAACAGAAGGATATTCTTTTTACATGGCTGCTAAAATAGATCAGCTGTCTTCATAATTATGTACATGTACGTACCAAACTGTTGGTTTTCTTGACTCTCTTTTAAACGTGAACTTCTGAAATCCCTTTCCTCTTTTTAATACATATACCTCCAAAATACTTTTTCTTTTAAGTAATATAGCTGATGAAATGTTGAAGTCCTTTTCAGTAGATATTTTTCTTTCAAGCTACATTTTCACTAATTGCATCAGTGGAAGGCACTGTCATGCGTACGTCAAAATCGTAATTGCAGAAACAACTTCAGTACATTTTTAACAATTCCAGCCAATTTCACTATAAACTAAAATAGTTAGATTTCGTTATTTTCTATGTATGATGAACTGTTCCCATTTAGAGATTTTATCACTGCTTTATAGTAGGCACAAGCAATAAATGAAGGAGGCAAGATTTTAGAGAAACTGTGGAGCTGCGTCAGTGGGAGATGTTACACAGGGTAATTTAGTGTTATCAACCCAGTTAATAATGCAAATTGGCCACAGTAAAGATTTCAAAAGCGGAGGCTTTGAGCATTAGCAATTCAATTGCTCTGACAAAGGGCTAATGCTCAAAACATCAACTTTTAAACTCTTTACAGTGGTTAATATATATTATCAACTCAGTTGATAATACTAAATCACCCTGTTCTGCAAGAAATAAATGCTGACATTCATTCCTTAATTAATTCATATGCATATAAATGAAAAAATTCACTTATTCATTCATTCAGAAAAAAAGTAGAGGTCCTGTATCTTGCAATTATTTCTTTTTTTTCCTGTTCCTTGATAGAAAACAGTGCTCAGTTGGAGACAGTTGAAAGTCTTCAAGAGCTGGCTGTAAAGAGTCCTTATGGTGTGGACTGTACATGGAGCAGTGAAGCTGAGAGTTTGCGTGAAATTGCTGTCAAGACACCAGATAAACTTACAGAAGCCTTTATTCTGAAATTCTTTAAGTCCCTTAGAATTGTTGATAAAAAGGTGGTTACATCATGTCTTGTCATTTAATTTACCAATACTTGTCAACTTGATAATGAAAATGAAATTAAAACAATTTTTTTGAATATCCAGTGTAAGTACTGCCTGTTTTCTACTGATAATTTACTTTTATTGAATGATCAAAGCTATTGCTAAGATCAGCTCTGTAGTAATAGACAATGTATGTGTTCTGTCTTACTAAAAAAAGTGAAATAAGTATCACATGAATTTTTAATGGTGTTTCATGTATTGTTGATTGTTGTAACAAATGATATCTAATTTATGGTTTTTTTAGAGCAAATTTCATTTGATTACTAGTAATATTTTAGTAGTGTTTTTAAGCCAAAAAATCATTGTTGGTCAATTTCCACTCATAAGTCATACTGTGTCTATTTAATCAGGTCACTGAAATTGATGATGGTCTTCTTCAACTGAGAAATCTAAAACAACTTACCTTGAGTGCAAATTTAATCAGGAATATTGATTCAAAGAGACTTCCAAAGGGATTAGAGGTATGTTCCTTATATTTACCTCATAATGATTAAGAAATATGGTTAAATATAAGAAACCAAATCTCTTTATCTCCTCTAAGTTTAAAATTGATGAAAAAATGAAGAACATCATGAAAGCTAAAGGTCTGTGGAAGTTAAGGATGTCGTAACAGTGTAATTTTTACTTAATAAATTGAAATCGAGAGCCTAAAATTCAAACAATTCACTGTTTTCTATTTCCAGGAGTTGGAACTTGCAGCCAATCAAATCTCAGACATCAGTCCTTTGTGTGTATCCCCCCCACCCCTTATCCATTTGGGAATCAGCTACAATCTGATTTCTTCTATCACAGGACGTATGAAAGCAAATTCATGGTACTTATCACAACATTTTCACATCTAACTATATTAGATGCTGGACAAACTCTTTACCCAATGGTTATCAATCTCTTTGCAAACTAATACTGGCTTCATGCTCTCGCTTGAAGCCACTCTCACTTTAAAAACAAGTAAATCACAACCTTGTCCACATCTGTCCTAATTATTAGTTTACTGAACTTAGGAATAAGGTACATGTTCATTCCCCAGCTGGATCATTGTGGTTCTTGGTTAGGAAACCTGACCCTGACAAGTGCCTTTTTTTTCACCCAGGGGGAACATATCAATATATATTTAAAAAAAGAATTTTTGTACATGACTCTAGGAATTTTGAAAGTTACTCAATTCATATTTAGTCTATGTGGTCATCAGATGAAAACTACAGACAAACTGCTTTTAAAATATAATTAAAACTTTTTTTTCTTGATTTCCTATTTAGGCCACAACTCTTATCTCTGGATTTAAGCTTCAACAATCTTGCAGATTTGTACAACACCATCAATGTGCTCAAAACGCTACCAAAACTGAAGAACCTTGTTCTTCAAGGAAATCCTTTAGCAGTAAGTTTTCAAATATTTGCTATTCTACCTTCCCTGGGTATGACTCTTGTAGAACAGCATTTTGAGAAAAAAATTGATGTATTTCATTGCTAGGTATATTTTTATAAAATTTTGCCATCAATTTGTTAACATTGGCACGTAAGAGGCATTTTGATTTTAAATCAGAAGGGTCCTTAGGAGAGACAAGCTTCAAGTTATCAGGAAGACACAGTTCTCTGGGTTGAACTTGCACAGCTGCTTAGCAGATGATAGTGTCATTTGATTTTCAATTGTTTCCTAAACTAAGTGTCTTGCATTAATTTTTGCAGCTTGTACCAGGTTACCGTGGTTACACAATCGACTCCATTCGTCAACTGACAATTCTGGATGATATCAGAATATCAGCTGATGAAAAGCATTTTTTTAAGGGGCTCTCAAAACTGAAAGGTAGGCCTCTGTTTCTCTCCATTTGAAAGGTATTGATCATTAAATTTTAGAAGTATTACCATAATTGATAGTATTAAAAGTAAAGTAACATCAAGCATATGGCACTAGGTAAATCTTAAGAATACTCATTGATCTTTTTCAGATGTTCCAGTTGATGATGCTCAGATACTGGTGTCCATTAAGAACATTAGAGGTGTTAAAATACCTCCAGAGATTGAGGTCAGTTTAAACTGACTGCTATTACTACTGGTTGGAGAGGGTGTATTGAATAAGATTGCTCTATACTGAAAAGTTTAGGGTTTGAACCCAGACCCGCTCAACTTCAAGGCCAGCTCACTTATCACCCAATGATTTTACTTCCTCCAGATCAAAATACATTTTTAATCCTTTAACCCCCATTATCATAAAACTTCACCTTGTGGTTTGAATTTGTTATCTTGGAAAATGTTACAAAAACAGACAAGGTTATCAACTAGAGGGTGACCACAAAAATTCTTTTGTGATATTGAGCATCTTTTCTAAGTTGACATGCTGGTATTAATTTGTTATAAAATGGGGGTGTAGTGCAAGACACTCTATCAGTTTGGAACAGCTATTGTGTAACTAGTGCTACTGCCATTACATTTCAAATGACTTTTGTTCCACAGGATCCTGAAATAAATACAGACTACCCCAAGACTGAACACAAATATCATGTAGAATTCCAATTCCTTAAAAGTGCACCCACAACTGGGTTGTGTGAATCACCTGCCCTGTCAGTACCAACCATCTCTATCACTGCAGATGATGCACAGAGTGAAGTCCAGGAAGAAGGCACAGTTGAAGAAAATGAACCTAATGAAAACTCTGGTAAGTTAGTTTGTTGATAATTATAGTTAAACTGGAATGTTTTTAATTTGGATCATAGCTCTAATGGTCCATGAGTGAATGACTTGCCAACATTGACAAGTCTTTTCTCCTTACTTGGCTATATTAGTAATTGCCTCTCTCTCTCCCCACCCTCAGTACAATATTGATTTTTCTCTATCTAATGTAACAGTTGTGGCTGTTCAGTACTGTTTTTTTCCTCAGTGAGGGTACCCAGTTTTTTTGCCTCTGATGGTAAGATTAAGTTATTGATCTTGCATGGGAATTTATTTTACACAAAAATAGCAACCTAACCTATTACTGCTACCTAAATATTAATCTCTCAAAATTAATTCACTTGGATGTCAGAAGTTAGAAGCAGTTCTATGCCAGAGAATCATCCCATGGTTGATATATGGAGCAATGGGCAGAAATGCTGAATCTTGATGCAATTTACAGGCATTCTAATGATGTTTTTCTTTGCATTAATTCATTATCAATAATATATTATTCCTTACAGGTTTGTTCCAATCAGTAGCAACAAGAAGTTTACCATGGAATGAGGACTGTATAGATCTTGACTACAGCAAGAAGTTCCACACTCGTTTGTTGATCCCATTGAGAGACTTCATTAAAGATGGAATAACTTTCACTGTTGTTAAAACCAAACACATGTATGTTGTGGAGGACCCTAATGCAACAGCACAGAGTGAAGAAACCAAGCTACCAGCTTCAGCTAAAAGTAAGATAACACACTTCTTTGTGGTGCTACTACCGTGAAAAAAATTGCACTTCTCAATCTCTCTTGATTTCCAATGCTATTTTCAGCTAAGAGGCAATATGCAAATTATTACAACTCAATTTAAAAAAAGGAAGCCTGTTGAGGCAGTGCTCTGGATGCTGGTGTGAGGTTTTCATGGCAACGTGCTCTAATCTGCTGTTTTTTGTGAGTGGCATATATATAACTTCAAAATCAAGTTGTTGTTAGGAAGATTTATCACTCAAACCCATCAGTATGAAACAAACGTATTTATTTAGTAATGAATTATCACAATGTATAAGTATTTTGGATAATAGTCAATCAAATATTTTCTCTCCTTTCTACCCAGGTCGACCAGGAAGTAAAATGCAGAAAGTTCCCAGCAAGGAGAAGAGAAAAGAGTCAGCAAAACCAAAAGAGAAGGTTTGTAATTGAATCAACTATTCCTCAGAAAAAATTTCATAACTAAGGAAAGAAGTTTTTCCTTCAAGGTTGTGTGTGCTTTCCATATTTAGTTTGATTATCCTCCTCTGGAATATTGGTTATGTTCTGATGTGTGAACCTGAAAAGCTGACTTTCAATGGGAATTCAAAGCCTCTTTTTTAACCTTTTAACTCCTAAGATCTCTTGAGTAATTCTCCTTACTGCCTGCTTTACAATTCATATGGTGTTAGTTTGAAGAATTTGGAATTGGATCTACCAATAATCCCCTGATTGAAATTTTTCTTTATTCTCATAACTTGTCTGATTGATATTGTACTGATAGTGTAAGGAGAAATTCTCTCTGGGTCACAAGTGGGACTTAAAGGATTAACGCAAATGTGAATGTTTATGGGACGAGTGCCTGAATTAAATCTTCCAAACAACACAATGTGAATTTTTAATTTAAATTTCCAGGCCAAGGATGGAAAAGGCAAGAAAAATAAACAGGAAGATATTGAGTTATTCGAGCTTCCAAGAACTCGCTACATACTGGGATCTTGTCAAGTTCCACTGAATTCTTTACTGGAAGGAGAACTGGAAGTGGAAACAGAGAGTGTATGTGAAGGGGGAGAGGAGACTGGAGATAGTGATAGAAAAGATGCAGGATCTGGTTCCAAGTCTGATGTTAGTGACAAGAAGAGGCAGAGCAAAGGTTAGTTAAAACTTGGTGTGTGGTGGTTTTCAGTGATATGTAGTGGCCTAGAGGTTTTAGTATAACAACTGGGTTGAAAACATAAATTAGCCACCGTAAAGGTAAAAAGCTGACGTTTGAGCGTTAGCCCTTCGTCCAGATTAAGAACTCCAGGTAGAGCATGGTCCCTTTGTTGTTCTAGTGTTTTACGTTTCCGAACTGCCTAGATGTAAGTTCCTGGGTTTAGACACTTTACCCTCATATTACCTCTCTGCACTCAGGAGTGTACATGTGTAAAACTTCTCTATCAAAAAATGTGACAAGTACTAAGAGGTTAGCGGTGATGAACTAACATCCAGCCTGGGGCAGAGTAGGAGAGTAGCATTACTCTATCACATTGTGCTGCACACAATCATTAACAGTACATGGGCCATGTAGCCTCTGGTTTTGTTATAGATATGGCTTGTGAGAAAGTGAGTTTATTTTTCTCTTTAGATTCTACTGATAAGCCATCAAAAGGGAACCAACGTGCAGGTACTCCAGGAAAAGCAAAAGGTGGCCAAGGAAGGTCAAGTAAAGATGATAAAAAAACAAAAGAAAAAGATAAACAGGAGGAAAACGTGGAAGGTGAGGAAGAATCAACTTCTCCACCACCATTGACAATACAAGTGCAGATCAAACTTCATTACTGGAAATCTGCCAGGGAAGCTGCACAAGAGTTTTTACCTCAAGGCATCCCCTCTCACACAGAACAAAACTAAGGTCACCTCCTTGTACCCCACCAAAGGAAGGAATCATTAACAATTAATTTAATTAAAAATGTATTTAATTTTTTACACCCAACTGTTCAATAGTTGTATTTTTCATTACATCAACACAGAATTGTGAAGCTCATGTCTAAAAGTATAGGTTTTGTACATAAAACTATCTCAACTTCTTTTTGTTTTATAAATAAATTACTGCCCTCCATGTTATCAGATGCTACTCCATCACTTTCATGAGCCTTGTTTACCAGAGTCAAGAATAGAAAAGAATGAAAGAATTAAAATTCTGAAAAGTACAATGACTTAAATTTTCATAAAGTTGATGCTTTTAAACTTACTTTGGGAAACATTTTGTGAAGTTTGAGAAGTGTTATGTACAGTTCTGATTACTGGCCAATGATTATTGCAGTGCTTATCAAACAAAGACTTGCACAACTCATCAGCACCATCACCAGATTGAATGGGCTAATAATGTTTCTGAAAATCCTTGGTCTATTCCAGTTCATTGATGTTAACTGCCAGAATACTATTGTTATCAACCAGCAAATCTCTATTTAATATTCTATTTTACTTTATCATTGCTCATATTCTTTTAAAAGTCTTGCAGCAATGACAATTCTTTGCACTTCACTTGTTCCTTCATAAATCTCTGTTATTCTTGCATCGCGATAATGTCTCTCAGCAGGCATATCAGTAACATAACCCATACCACCAAGGACTTGAATGCACTGGAGACAAAAACATCAAATGATCATCTTTGCTTCAGGTTGCAACCATCCAGAATTATGTTTACTATACAATTGGAGATTTTTTTTTCCAACATAAACTGCACTTGTTGACATTTCAAATACCTTCCCAATGAAAACACACCAAAAAATAAGCATAGTGCAGAAAAGTTAGGCTGTTATTTAAGGAAACCATCACTAAGGGTATATAAGATTGACAAAAGACTTAATTGTGATGATGTTCATAACAAAAATTTTATGGGGATTAACCTTATGCTGAGAATTTGATGCATTCTGTACTGAAAGGGTCTAGGGAGTCAACCAAAATATGAACAACAAGTGGTTTTGCTTTTTGTTTTGTATGACAATAAAACAAAACCCAGTGTGATTGAAGCTATGAATAAAAATCAATATGAGCTAATACTTCAAGTTGAGTTATTAATTATTTAAAGGTTAATTGAAAAGTGTATGGAAAAAATAAAAAATACCTGATGAGAAATGTAAGTAGCAGCTTCAGATGCTGCAAGTTTTGCCATTGCTGCCTCCTGAGAAACAATTTTCATGATTACAGTTACTGCAAGGTTGAACTATTGTGTTAATCCTTACCAGCATCAGACCATAAGGGTCCAAGGCTTGAATCTTTGTTTTTACCAAAAAACGATTTAAAAATTGACCCATCTTGATATGTTTATCAAGCATACCTTAGTGAAGTTTTCTCCTGCATCTTTTAGCATTGCTGCTTTCCAAGTCAGAAGTCTAGCACTGTCTAACTTTACCTCCATATCAGCTAGCTTCATCTAGAGAATACAGTAATAAAAAAAAAGACAGGAAATTTGTGTTACAGAGATGTACTAATGTAATTCTGTCTATTTAAATATTATAACTACATCTATTGATACTCAAGTTTTAGTGTGGCTATCAAAATGATCTGTTTTTCTTAAAATACCAGTAATTACCTGAATTCCCTGTAAACTTGCAATTGGCTGTCCAAAGGCACTCCTTTTTTGAGCATAGTCAATTGCACATTCTAATGCAGCCTAAAAAACCAGATAAGTTCTTTGATCAGTGCCAAGACAGTTGCTTTAATTACCTTATGTTACTTAATGTTATAAACTTTTCATGCTATACTAAACAGACAGCAAATTCCAAGCTTAAAACTCTGATTGAGTCGTCAGCATCTTCACTTAATTAGTTACTCTATTACTTATCATGAAAACAAAAACTATGCGTGCTAGGTAAGTGATATACATGTGCAGTATTATTACCTGGGCTATTCCTAATGCTTGCCCTGCAATACCAATACGACCTGCATCAAGTGTGGCCTATAATTGAGCACATACATGTCTAACTTAATTATATATAATATAGGAAGTCTGTGTATTGACATATATATATATATATATATATATATATATAAAACACTTTCTGTACAGAAAACTGTTTTAACCCCCATAACACCCTATTATAAGTATTCATATTATCACTGATTTCTCTATATTTCCTGTGGTGATGACATGGAGAATTTGTTTGACAACCATGAGCTTCTTAAATTGGTGAATATTTCCATTAATCTCAGAACATATACATTTAATATCAGGGTGATAATGCACGGAGAAGTTTGAAGCCAGTCACTCTTAGGGGTTAAAGGTAAAGGAATGGGTGGGAGTACATTCTTAGATTGCCAAATTTAAGAGCGAGTCATAGAAAAAGGCTTGGCAAACATTTTACTGCCTTTGGTCTGTCTTTAAATATTTCAAGATAACTGATCAATAAGGGCACATACTTTTGGATCAAGAGTTAGTTGAATTTTCCATTACAAAGAAAATATTGTATCTTTTAAATTAAATATTATATAAGCAAACGAAAATCAAATCCTTTAATTAGAAGAACATTCTAACCATTGCTATCTTGAATCCTGCTCCAAGTTCTCCAAGAAGATTTTCCTTTGGAATGAGGCAGTTTTCAAAAATAAGTAAACAAGTAGAAGAGGCTCTTATTCCCAACTTGTCCTCTTTCTTTCCAAGACTCAGCCCCTCAGTAGGTTTGGGTACAATGAATGCACTGATTCCCTTGTGTTTCTTTGATTTATCTGTTGTGGCAAACACTACTGCTGCTTCAGATTCATAACCATTAGTGATCCAGGCCTTTGTTCCATTTAAAACCCAATGATCTCCTTCTAAGTAGGCAGTGGTCTTAGCAGCACCAGCATCACTACCATTGTCTGGAAATTCAATCAAGACAAAACTTAGTTATCTGAGTCCAACAAATTCCAAAGAGTTAATGGTTTGAACCCAGGGGTAACATGTGATAGTGTAGTCTGGTCATCCAGGTGAGTGTAGTCCTGAGAAGGACTGTTGTTTGTAGTGGTGACTGACATTCAACAACCTGAGCAGTATTCATCATCAGAGTCAAGTAAGTGATGATGACTTCCACTCAAGTGGTCTACAGTTCCTCTCATATTAACCACACCCACCCGAACAATCATGTGATCCCAAACTATTACTTACCACTCACAAATAAATACTATACCATGATGAGTGCCTATCTTGCTGTTCTAACCAGTTGTTGCTTCCCATGGAATATAACAATAAAGAGAGTTTTCTGAGAGTGTAAAACATTTTGATTAAAGTAACATTACAGTTATTTCACACATCCATTAATTCTTAAAATAAATACCTGGTTCACTGAGAGCAAAACAGCCAACTCTTTCTCCAGAGCAGAAAGGTGTAATCCACTTCTTCTTTTGTTCCTCTGTCCCATATTTAAGAATAGGACCAAGATAAAGGGACTGAAAAATAACAAACCACAATTGATTTCCCTTTAGCTCTCATTAAAATACTGTGATACAATTCACCAGATGAAACAAGAATTCTAACTTAATAAAACTGTTAACACATTGTCAGTTATTCTAGTTGTGATGTGACTGTTACTAGTAATTTCCAAGGTTGTGGTGTCAATGTGGTAGTTCCCATCAATTTTATCCAACAAAAAAAAATTATAAACATTACCAAGTTGATTAAAACCCCATCTCTCAATCCAGAGTAAATTGCACTCTTTGCATAATATTATATAACCTATGGATGATATAACTGGCCCAAAAATACCTTGTTTTACACATTACGTATCATACATACATTATTTACACTCATGATAACCCCTGTGGATGCACAGCCACGACTGATCTCCTCCATTGCTATAGAATACGCCAGATAATCCAGTCCTGACCCTCCTAATGATTCAGGAACTTCCATTGAGAGAAGACCAAGTTCCCCAATCTGTTTGACCTATGAAAGAGAGATTTAATGATAAGTGGACAAATCTTATTGGACTATTATTTTTAGAGCCATGGTTTCATATCTTATTTAAAGTTGGGCAGGAGAGAGGAGGGGATAGGAGTAAGGAAAATGGGAGGGGGTGGGGGAGGGGGAGGGGAGAGGGAGTGTGGGGGGGGGAGGAATGATACTATGCTGAGTTTCCAATTGACTGACTGAATACAAAAAATTAAAATATGGTACTAATGTGGCAACAGTTTGGTGAGACATGTCCCTGCTACATACCTCTTCTTATATACAATTTACATAATCGACCACTAGTAAGTCTATTTAACTTACGCAATCTGTTACGCAACCATCTCATGAGTTAAAACCATTGAGAAAATGTGCATTTTCATCCAAAGCAAAGTTCAAATTATAGTGGCAAGAGACAGATTTTCGCATGAATTCTTCAAATAGTAGCCTCGTACCTTTACGGTCTTTACTTAACGAGGTCTTCAAAGGAAAAAAATTTAAATTTCATTTCCATGACGTATGGTGCAATGCCAAACTACAGTTTGCATCGTACACCATTGAGAGTAGATGTTTAAAATTAAAATTGAGTTTTTCCTTTATAAATTTAAGATAAAATAACTCTACCTGTTCTGTAGGGTATCTATGATCTTTATCCAGATTACCGGCAATGGGTATAAGTTCGTTGTCTGCAAAATCTCGACAAGTTTTTCTCAACATTTCATGCGTTTCGGGAAGTCGAGCAAGACTGGCCACATGTCTCCTCAGTGGTATACATTTATCAATTCTCGACCTCGGTAAAAGGCCGTAAAAAGAACTTTTTGAAGAGATAAGAGAAGAGAACAGTTTTCGAGACATCTTCGTCGCCATCTTTGTTGACCTTTGGAACCAGGCCGTGTAGGTATGTTATGCGTGGATGTGATGTAAGAAACTATCATATGAAGTGCATTGAAGTTGTGTCTGTCTCCATCCTCTTCCGATCCATTGCTTACTGCGTCGTCCAATAAGGTTTGCTGAGAATTAGGGAGCAGCATGTTTAGCGGAAAATTTATTTCATCGTTTGCTGTTTTAATACCAACTACTTCCTCGAATTCTAATGTTGCAAGAAGAAAATCATGGCTTCTTTTGGTACAATTCAACAACTATGCTAGCAGCGTCAAAAACAAAAGTCAAACAGGAAGTAGACGTTGCTGGAAGTGCAACAGTGAGATAAGATCAGGGGTAGAGTTCTTCTGCCCCTCTTGCAATATCATTCAAATGCCACCGAGGAAGGTGACTTATTTTGAGCTAATGGGGAGGTAATGAAATGTCAGCTGTTAATTCACATGTCATTCTTCCTTTCAGCCAATCGCATTTTAGATAATGAAGGTGTAAAAGGTCAAAGGTGAGAATAAAACAAATATTCCCTAGGACTGGGATGCTGTGGGCTGAGAGAATTTGTGTGGCTCCACCAAAAATCTTGAAATTTTTTCTTTTTTAACAACTGAAAGTGAACAAAACTTAGCATGGTGCATCTGGGCTCCTAGCTGTCTTACTTAAAACTTGATACAGTACCTTGATGATGATTGTCTTGGTATGAATTGGTGAATGCCACAACAGACCCAGAATATCATATGTTGTCAAGCAGGCATTTATAGGGAAGTGGTTAAAACTTCCCTTTCACAACTTTCAGAGAGGATAGAGAGATACAGGAGATATAAAAATGAATATCTCAATTTTGTGTCCCTTTTGTAAGCCTACTCAATACAATATAATGTGTGATCCTGGGCTTGTGCTTGAAATACTAACAAGTTATAATTATTTCTGTTGATGCAGTCCCACATCATTTGACATTGATACCAGGCAGCTGACCCGACGTTATAAAGAATTACAATGGAAACTACACCCTGATAAATTTAGTGATCTATCCAAGGTATTTTCAATGACTTTGACAAACAAAGCTGATCAAAAAACGTTTGACAAAATTTTTAGTTTCTAATTGAAATCAATGTATAACTTATAATTATATCAATTTACTTTGATTTCATCACAGAAAGAGCAAAGCTTATCTGAGGAACAATCATCTTTGGTAAATGAAGCTTACCAAACTCTTCTAAAGCCACTTACTAGAGGGCTTTACCTGGTATGTTCATGTGATGTATCAACCCTTTGAACCTAAGAGTGACTAACATCTAATTTCTCCTTACAGTATTACCCCTGAATTACACATTGAAATCATGAGAATAAAAGAAAATGATCAGGGACTAAAGCAGCTCTTGATTGTTATCCAGATTCTCCTTGTCAGCACCTAAGGAAATGTACAGAGAACAGCATGGAGAATATGTATGCTGATGTTAGGGTGTAAAGGGTTGAGTTCACTTGTTAACATACAATACCTTAACCCTTCTGTCTCCCCCCCCCCCCTCAAGATATAGGTATCAATTCACTTCATTGTCTGTCATACGTTTCCAATAACTTTAGCTCTTTGAATATGGTTCTGTATAGAATCAAAGAAAATTACTTAATTTAAACTCAAATTTCTTGTTCTAGTTAAATTTAAATGGAATACCTATAACAGAAGATCAAGCCAGTTCTACTGACACAAAATTCTTGGCTCTAGTAATGGACAAATATGAAGAAATTTCATCAAGTGAGAAAAAGTTAAAGGAAATCAAAAAAGAAAATAATGGTAAGGACTTTTGAGAAAAATGGAATAATGTAAGTCCATGATACTTCTTCTCTCCAAAAGAGGCACTTGTCCCAGCCATCATATGGTACAGTTACTTACGAACTTAATTTTTCATTTTTAGGCGACCTGGAAAAGTCTGTTAAAAAGGTTTCAAAGGCTTTTGAGAGAGGTAAATAAAGGTTTTGGGGGGATTTTAAATTATTTATCTCTCTGCAAATTAGACAGACTCAGTATTGTTATCAAGAATTCCTCAGTAGAAAACGTTTTTTTCATTTGATTTTTGTCAATTTTGTCTGCTGAATTACTGAACAGTTAAGCACCATAAAGGATTATAGTACTTAGTGAACACATAACAAGTTCCTCGGCCAATCAGATACGGTTCTACTCTTTTGTGGCAGACATAACTGGATGTAGCTGACTGTGGGCCTCAAAGAAAACAAATGCTTGGCATTAATTTCGGTCTATCAATTGAGACTTCCGTCATCATGATGATAAAACAAGGTTAGGTCTGCATGGAGGAATCTGTATGCAAAAACTGTCCAAAGGACAAAAAATTAACTCAGTAAGTAAAGAATCTGACCACAAAATTAGAGGGCTTAGTTTCAAATTCTCACAGATGACTTGGATCTTCTCTTTTTCCCTCACTTTTGACAAATACTAAAGGGGTGTTACTTAAAGAAAAGATCAGAAAACTCGTATTCATATTTATGTTTATAGGCTTTGTTTAGGTGCTTATAGAAATGTCTGTTTGCCTTCAACTTTATCTCGTGCATCTTGTTATTTTTAGGAGACCTAGAGACAGCAAGGAAGGAGGTGGTGAAGCTTAAATATTTCTCTAAAATTGATGAATTTATTAAAGACAGAGAAGGCTGGGATTGATACGACAAACAGAAAGAAATACCGAACAAGAACAGGCAGCTTGCCAAAAAGGAAATTCAAACTGAAGAGAGACACTACAAAGGAGATTACTCTTGTAGAGTTGCTGTTCTCTAACGCAGTTTATCATCTAAAACTTTCCAAAGAGTGGAGAGGAGACAAGAGTGAGGATTCTCTCTGCGCTAGTTTTTTGATCGAAGTCAAACGGCTCAGGCATGAAATTTATTTTATAAAAGAAGTTCAAATATGAGGATAAAGATCCAAAAGAAACGTCAGTACTTTTGTGATCTAAGTTGTTGTTAAGACTATGAAAAAAAACCACTACTAAAAATCTCCCATACAATTCCACACAATAGATAAACTGAAAGAGCATTTTGTAGTATGCTGTTGGTATAAATCACTCAAATGTCGTTTATCTTAACTACGGAGACGTTGAAAGGGAATATTGGATAGCCTTATTTCCTTGTTATTTTATCATAGTACTTGAGTTAATAAAGAAGAGAGGTCGAAATGGGTGTGAAATCTATAGCTGGTTAGCAACGTTTGTAGCCTCTGTAGGTTTATAGCAATATCCAGCGCACGCAGTCCTAACACATTACCAATTCAAATAACTTTCCTGTTTTTAATGGGAGGCGTGTCAATCTCTTAAAGAGAAATAAAAAGCGAATACAAGGAAGTATTTGTAGATAAACATTTGTGAAAAGCAGTTCTCTAGATTGACTAATATTTTTGGGTCGTTTCTCAGACCCTAAGATTCATGCGCGCGGCATGATTGACAGCTGTAAGGCTGACGTTTCGAGCGTTAGCCCTTCGTCAGAGCAATTGACAAGGGGCTAACGCTCGAAACGTCAGCCGTTAAACTCTTTACGGTGGCCAATTTACGTTTTTAACTCAGTTGATGACACTAAATTACCACGTTATACTCTCTCACCGACACATCACCACAGTTTCTTTAGAAACTTACCCCCTTCATGACTGACAGCTAACCAATTATGACGTCAGATGATTGTTTCGGTCGCGCGAGTTTTGGTGAGAAATGTATTTACTCAACGAAGATGTGAGTTTTATATGGTTATCGCCCTAAAATGAGCATGGGTTGCGCTCCTAGTTATCCCATCACGAGAAGCCCCGTCGTTTATGAGCCAATCACGTATTTTAATAGAACGGGTGAGTTCTATAGATCGGTTTAGACGTGAATGTCGGCAAGTTACGTTCCAACTTGCAAAGGAAAGAATATCAATTGCGGTAAAGTATTTATGTACTTAAAAAAAAAAAAAGCGATCGCCAATCATTTTTTGCTTCGAACAGTACATTAGTGTAATGGGTTCAGAGAATGAAGAATCGTCATTTCATAGGGTTAACTTTTGCTCCTCCTACAAAAAAGGTGTTTTCTTTTAACTAGCAACTGACTCTCGATTTCTACATGTAATTCAGAGTCCATGATAGCTTTCATTGGGTATTTCCCACAACTCACTCCACATGGAGAAGAAAGTATCAAACTTTGTTAATGATAATAAATCAACATATTCCAAAAAATGGAATTTTTGACTTTTTCTGATTCTTCCAGGAACAAGGAAATCACACGGCGAAAACGAACTAAAAAATACGGAATTTCAATCAATTCAAGAGCAGTATTGGGGAAAACTTCTCATGGAACGAAGATTATCAGCTATGAACAGAAAAAAATTTCAAGGTATGGTGTATTTTGTTTCGTGATCGAATTGGCTCCAGGATAATTCGACTCGTATTGACATCGAGCACTTTTGTTTCATCTTAGCCCTTTGCATCTACTTGTTTTCAGAAATGGGTGAAAAAGATTTCAGATCGTTGATAGAAGAATTTCCAGAATTTAAAGAATCCGACATATCGGACTTACGATTACAGTTTCAGACGTTTGACTTAAACCGAGATGGAATAATTGATTTTAGAGAATTGTAAGTATCCAGACTATTTAATGTGTCGTAACATGAACTTACTTTATAATTGTTTGCGTGGGTCTTAAGTCCCTAAGTTCCTTTTTACTGAATACAGCCCCCTAACGTAAACCCCTAAAATCATACAAACCAAGACAGAATAATTTATAAATTTTTCATCGCACATCGGTAGGCCTGCATCGTAAAACAAGGTGATTATGATATACAATTTAAAACCACGCCAACTCCAACTCCCAATGGAGAGGAAAATGGTTCGACTCAGCAGGAGATCGAGTCATTAGGATTGGTGTTGAATTTCAATTATCCTGTTAATGACTTTAATTATTAAAATAAAGAATCACGTTTATACCATTCTTGTCTGGAGCCCATTATGGGCTCCTGTTCTTGTACAATCGAGTTAACTGAGTTCGGGTTAGCTGTTAGTAAATGCCTGAAAAATGGGTTCAATTTCAAGGGAAATCGGATCTTGTTCGAATCAGCGGGATTCTACTGTATTTTTACCGATAATTAAGTACCCCTTTGAGTTCAAGTGTCCCTGACCGCGAGTACTGACCACAAATCTTCATAAGAAGAGACAACCAAAATTCTTCGCTTACCCTTACGCCCCCTCCCCGCCCTCCTCCGCCACCCTTACGGCCTAGAAATTATTCCTGACCACTTTATTGGACAGCAAAGAAAAAACACTTTTCGAGTCAACCCCACAGTAAACACTAATTCAGTACTGGTATCTTTCATTAGAACGCAGGTCCTCGATGACCTAGGGGATAAGTCTGAGCCTGCCGTACGGGAACAGTATTTCAGTGACATTGATAAAGATGGATCCGGTGCTATTGATTTTGAGGAGTTCTTAGCGGTAAGAAACAAACGGCTGAGTTTTGTCAAGTAGCATGGTCCCTTCTTACTCAAAGATGGTTTCAATATGGAGGAAGGGGGGTTGGGGCACTTTTTAATAATCGACGACTGAAGATATGTCGTTTTGATAGTCGACGGTAAAGTGCTTGGAATAGTGGTCTCACCTCATCCATCTGGGCCAAGTTGTCCATAGAACAGATAAAGCTGTCCAACAGCTAAATCACTATCCACCGGGTAAATGTTAACAAAACGTACCACGATATCCTTCGTATAGAGATTTTTCAAGTGGATGGCGTCACTCATCCTCCACCCTTCGAACAATCGGGGCCTGGTATCGATTTTCTTGCTCATATAGGGTTCAATAGGTAAGGTCTCATTGTGACGAGACTCAATTGAACATGCAGTAAACGTCTCTCACGGTAATCAAACGTTTTTCAGCGGCACCGAAACGGCTTAGAGAAAGATCTAATAATCAATTTAAGAAACAAAATGTTTTCTTTTTGCAGCTCATTTATCAGCTGCGAAAGACCAATGCAGATTTTCTCCAGTCAAGCGAGTTGGGTCAGATAGGAAGCTTGTGCAAACGTGGCACAGACAATATTCAAAGAGTCAGAAAACTTAGTGTGGCTAAGCAAATGCTCACGGGGCTGTTTTAGGGCAACTTCCTAACAACAACGTGCAAATTTTAAAACATGAATGACAATGTGATGCAGTTTACTTTGACTATAGTTCAGAATGAATGAAATGTTCTTGTTAATGGTAAACATTTCTATGGTTTGAATCATTCCCCACGATTCTCATAGCTGTGTTTGTATTACGATACGCGAATTGTATATAAAGCGTTTTTCGGAGCTCCTTAAGGAACTTCTCTCAGTAATTTTAATAAAAAAAATTTTCAGTAAACCATGCGGTACTCTTTCCAAATCCATTCAAGATTAACTCTTAAACTATAGAATGGACGCAATTAAGGCAGCCAAACGGGGTGCGACGGTTTACTCGTAATGCTATCTAATCTTGTTTCACAGGTGTACTATGGATAATCATAACTGCTGTCTGCTGGTAAGAAGGTTCTGTGCGTAAGAAATTTTTGCAATCTTTATTGGAGACCTCCCCCTTCCCCCTTCCCCCCTCCCCCGGAAATGGATACCTTGTTATAGAGCAAGAGTTCCGAAATCACCAACTTGCAGTTTTTTGTTTTGTTTTGTTTTTTTTTGGGGGGGGGGGATTGGGGGAACAAAAGTATTCAGGGTAGATAGTCCCCCCCAATGGGCGAAGGAGACAAACAATATCGTGCGTTTATGGAGCGTACACACACAAACACACACACACAAAGCCGAGTTTTAGCTTTTATTGGCTGGTAGCAAGTCAAGTCGAAGTTGTGGAGTTTTAAACAAAATTTTCCGTGCGAGGTAATTGGAAGATCGACGACAAAAAAGTTATAAATAAAACCCGTGCACTAGCAAAGGCAAAGGTTGTAAAAAGGTTTTTTTTTTCAATAACTAACGTGAAACGAAATAAATTTTCGTATCAACCACTGGAAAATTTCGCCAAACGCGAATTGTTGTCAACGTTAGATGTCTAACACGCCATAAGGGCGTTATCTTACAAAAAAATGTTGAGAATTTTAGGCAACTTCTTAAAACTATTGGGATGGAATTTACGGCAAACTGCTTAAAAACTAACTTGAGAACTTTACTTTTAGACTTAATCAATAAGTTAACCATAGGAAAGTAATACAATAACAATTCCTCTTCTATGGAACGAAATTCAAAATTACTTAATACTACATTCACTTGAGTCTAAATAAATTTAATCGAGATAATCAGAACCTGAAAGGGAACTATAAAACTCCTTGTGAGAAAATATCACAGAAAAAGACTACAAATGTAAGAAAAGGCATGGTCTTCTTCCAGTGATTCCCCCTTGTTGTAACTTTTGTGAACAACGTTTGTAAGTTGTATGAAAATAAATCATTAGCAAGGGTCCTTGTTTCAGCTTTTGAAAGGCTCTGCCACTTTCATTCCTCAATAAATACTGTATGTCAATCCTGCCAAAGAACTGTTGATAAATACCTTCATTCTCTTGTTGAGCCATAAACCCCTCCCAAAAATCAACGAATGGTCTGAAAGAGATATTATTAAACTTTTCTACAATGATCTAAGTTATTTGACTTTTACAGCTTTGAAGCTCAAATGGTGAAATCCCAAACCTGAAAGAGATCCCACTACAACCTAAAAAAATTTAACCTCTATTAGAACAAACATGTTATTCAGGCTCGTTGATATTAGAAATTCACTGCTTCTGTAAAGGAATACCTTAAGAGTACTAAGAGTACTTAATAAATAAAACTTCCTGAAAAACACTTTTTAAATATCTGTTCTAAATAACTCTTCCTTGACTTTTGCTTTGTTTTTAAAAAATTTCATCAACACCCTTGTGGAGGAATGGTCATGGAAAAAGTTTGTTGAATTTTTTTATATTTAAATACCAGTTCTCACACTGAACAACACCACCACAATGTTAGTTTGTTTCCTTGGAAATGGTATCAAATAAATGCCTCGTTGCAGCTTGACAAGCTGCAAGTATTCTCAATAAAATGGTTAGTAGGATTTGACAAAATAATTTTTCATTTTTAATAAAGAGAAATAACTCCGTAGCTACTCCTGAGAATAAAAGATGAACTATTGTAAAAGTGGTTGTCAGTCTCTATCCTTGAACATTTTCCTTCCTCTTATATTTTTGTTTAACTCTGGTGTTTGCCTAATCTAGCCAACTATTGATTTTAGTAAGTTCCCTTCTTGAATAACTTAATTTTCTTAAGTGTTTAAAGACTCTAATTGTCTAAGGCTGGCTGACCCCTTTCCCCATTACCCCTCAAGAAATGTGGTTGTGCCCTATTATCCCCAAGGGGTGCAATGGAAACATTTCAAACTATCCAAAATGCTAGTAATAAAGTAGCCTTTTACATGCAATTGAGAATGTTTATATTTTTGAATGTGAAAGACTTGTTGAAGATCAGATTTGAAAAAACAAGCAATGTTTGTTAATTAACAATTTTCTGCTGAGTTAATCCTTTGGAAGAGCACTTGAATACTGTCACTTATACCTGACAGCTCTTGAATAACTTTTTCAGATGGGTGTTGTTTACTCATGAGATCATCCAAGTTCTGAAGTCCTGTTTTCACAGTGTTTACTGCCTTCATGTAGGCATCTTCAATCTATGATAAAATTAGAAAAGAACCTTTTTTTGTTGTAGCTGACAATAAAAACTAGTAAATGACCCTGACTATTGAACACCTCTGCTGGAAACTCTCAAATCTTAAAGCAATCCAACTCAAATCGACAGCTTTATTTCCAACTGAATTAAATATCTCAGCTTAGGATGTAACTTTCAATAAAAACCATAAAAATAACGTACTGGAATACACTATATTTCTGTAAGAGGATATTTCTGTAAGGTTGGTTTTCTTCTGTGTGTCTTAGGCTTTCAATAAATTTAGTTTTAAACTGGTTTTACATTCTGAACCTTTCATTCTCTACAAACACTGAGAGGTGCTCTCTGTTCTCATGTTTTTGAACAATTAGTTTGTGTCTCACCAATACATTAAATGGTCAATTTTCTAGCTTAGAGACAGTAAAAAATGTATGAAAACTGGCAAACTTTCCCTCCTTTTTGTCATTTTACAATAAAATTAATATCTTAGATGAGCTAATATTTCATCAAATAACACAATAAACAATATAATACAATAAAATAAACAATCCTACCTTGGATGACTCATCTTTCAACACATCAGGATCCCTGCAAAATCTTTTTGGTTCTGGCTTTTTAAAGTAAAAATAATACTACATTAAATTCCATCTTCTTCCACAGCTAAACAATAAAATTCAGTTTTATATATGAAATCCAAATACCTGCTTTCGACCAGATCTGCTCTGCGGCTGTTGCATATCTCTGATCTGTGTCACTTCACCATTAACATGTGGTTGACCTTCTGTTTTGCTTGGTTCTTTCACAATCACAAGTGCTTCACCTGAATTTACAACTCTAACAATGTCATTAATATTCCATTGCTGAGAAATACAGAACACTTGATGCAAGTTCTGAGCAGGGTTTGAATGAGGAATGTTGTCTAAAGGATTGCTCACATTGCCAACAGTGCTGACTTCTCTTGAAGTAAAGTTAATATGATTTGACCCCACACCAGGGGCAACTCTATGATTTGCATCAAAATTTCCTGCTGCTGCAGCTGGAATGTGTGAGTTTAACAATGGAGGAGGTCCTGAGCTATTCAAAGCAATTTTGTTGTTTAGAATTGCACCATTCACAATTCGTGGAGGTCGTAGTAAGTCTTCCATGGCCTTGTAGAGCACTATAGGAGGTGTAGCCCGCAGGTTGTGATTAGAGTAATCAACTGGTAAGAGAGCCTCATGCGACATATCCTTTAACATTCCTGACAGACAGTTTAGTCCAGCAGCTTGTGACCTGTACCAAACTCCACTTGTAGCAAAATCACGGTTTGGTATTTGAAAAAATGCAGAGCAGGATGGGTTTCGTCTTTGAAGGAATAACTTCAATGCTGCAACAGGGCACTGTAAACTTCCAGGTACACTAAACATTTTCCTCCCAATGCCCTTATATTTTTTACTCCTCAACTGATTGGATGATGACTCACTTAGTTTACAAGCTGCATATTCAAGTCCAGTGGTCTCATCAATGTGAAATTCAAACATGTCAGGTGTCAAATCACGCAAGTCATCTCTAGAGGTAATCCCAAAATTGATTCCCACAGCCAGAAACACCAATCTCTGCAGAGATTTTGGAGTCTTGATTCCCACAACTCCAGTGGCCCACAGTTTACGGATCTCTTCCACATTTAAAGCTGAAGCAGTAGAACCACATTCAGAGGAATCAAGGTACTCTTTCTGGGCTGCTTCCAGGTCATGCAATGTCGCATTAGCTTTGCTAAATTCTGGAGAGTGAGTGAGGCTGTAGGACTTGCAGTATGGTTCACTCTTAAGATGATGATCAATAGCTGAGCGTATGATTCTCAAGGAACTGGCCCTCTTTGTACCACCATGTTTTAGGTGTGATTCCTTGTAAAACTCCGACAACCAGTTGCTAATCTCTCTTGGTTTCCAATCCTCAAATTCATCCTCCATTCCCTTGCACTTTAACCACTCTGTGAACAAAAACAAAAACATTGATTTGACCCTTTTATTCAAGATCTAAATACAAATCCTCTTCACTGGCTGACATACTTTTCTTTTAATTTCTCAAGGGGAAAGTTTGGTGTTCAATCAAACTTAATATCATAGTTGATATTTTTGTTTCTTCTCATACCCTTACGATTGAAAGTGTATCAAGACTCTCTGAAAAAAATTCAACTTTCCTTGAGATAACCCTCATGCTATGAGAATATTGCCAACAGAGTTTTTTGTGGACATTACTATCTGCAGTTTAAAGTTTTATACATACAACCTGCTAAAAATATTTCTTTCACTGGAAAAGACATCCCAAAACCAAATACCACATGTAGGAGCTGTCTGAGGAGTGAAACTTATGACTATACAATTACTACTTCAGATGCCCTACCATTGAGCTCTAAAGGATTTATGTAAGCAAATTTGTTGCCCTCAATGAAGACAAATGCTAACAACATGCAATACATAGCATTATTTTATTCTTTTCTTTTAATACAGGGTTGTTATTCCATTTAAAACCATTGTCACCAGTGAGATTTCTGCACATAGCCATATTACACCCTGAAGCTGTAGTCTCAGAGACAATCTATTGTTTTTTGGCACTGTTTTCCTTATTCAAGAACTGTATGCATAATGAAGTATGGGATTAAGGAGAAATCTTACCACATCCTCCAAATAATAAATCAGCTTCAAGCAAAAAGACTAAAGTAGCGGACACAGGAAATATCAATGAAGTGTGATACCTTTGAATACTCTGACGTGACTGGCGTAATGCCTTGATGTGAGAGTCGAGATGTGTTTACGACCATGGTTTTCCCTTTGATTACTGTCTTCTTCCTGTGCCTCTACGTCGCCAAAAGAAGCATTCTCGTCCAAGTGAAATTCATCATTTTTCTCTTTCTTTATTTCAATATTGGTGTTGTAATTTAAGCGTTCGACAGTCACATTAACACTCTGATCAATGATATTGGAAATGTTAGCGGGGTTCCTGCTTATCACCTCGTCATTTTCGCGATGGTATTCGTCATTACCTTCTCTGTGATTATCCATATTATTTTCTTCAGCTCTTTAAGAAGCCAAATTTTCCATGATACTAAAAAAAATCTTCATAAGCCTTCATATAACTCCACTAAACAGATGAAAACATGAAACCACTTCTCCATTTTCCACCAAAACAAAAGGCCCTGACAAGTGTTACTTAGTAGCCACGCGACCTTTATTTGGTAGCCAGGCTCACAGATGATATCCCTGGACCACAGCTGGATCGTATTGCTCTCTGTGTTTGTTGTTGTTTTTTCAAGTCTTATTCTCTTTTACCGTCGACAACTTGACTTCCAAAGAGACAAAAGGTCCGAATTTGACGGGAAAAGTGTTCTTGTGGTCACTGCTCACCCAGATGATGAATGCATGTTCTTTTCGCCCACCATTATAAATCTCCAGCGATTAAGCAAGGTTCATCTATTGTGCCTTTCGACTGGTATGTGTGTCAAGGCTGACCTTTATATTATGACATAGCCAAGTAATATTGTAGATAAGTGCAAAAACAAATGTATGCCTTTCCTCCTTAGTTTATAACTCTACCCACCCTCCTCCCCCTGGGGAAAAATTTACTTTCCAAGGGTGGGTGGGTACTCTTGTTATAACACATAGATTACCACCCCTCCCCATAGGAGACTTATTATTAATTCTACTTTAAGCTAAATACTGTGTGTACTTGAACTCTTTGTGTCCATTGTGTATGTACACGATAGGTAACTTTTACAAACAAGGAAGTATTCGGAAAGAGGAGTTATTGTCAAGCTGTAGCATTTTAGGGATTCCACCGAAGCATGTCACCGTTATTAATCATGGGTAAGTCTTTAAAGATGTTTGTGTGAACTTAATTTAATTTACAAGCAAGAGATAGCAAGTTCTGTGACAAGCAGTGAAGCTAAGTGGCCCATAATTTTTACCAGCAGTTAGTTGAAAATCATTCCAAACTGAGTTTTAATAAACTGTGAATCTCTTTTTATACTTAAATTTTTATTACTCTTTTAGTGACCTTCCTGATGATCCTAAAGCAGATTGGGACACTCAGATTGGAGGACAAATAATCACTGAATATATCAAACACAACCAGATTCAAGTGGTAAGACATTCTGTTTACTCAAATGTTAAAACTCTTTCACCCCTGAGATCTGAATCATTATCCTCCCTTCCAGCTGCAATGCATTCCCTTGTTAAAAAAGTCTAGAGAATTTGGTGTTGCATCTGGAAAAATGCCTCCAGCTGATAAGTTTGTCAAATTCTTATCAACTGTTACTGGATAGTATATTGAAATTGTAACAAGAACTTATTTGCTGATCACTTTTAAGAGATAATTGTTAAGAAAATGTACTAATAGGTACATGATGAGAAAATCATCATTCGTCCTATGTACAGGTTCAACCACTTTCTTGGAATTGAGCCATTAAAAAATAATAATAATACAAAAGATATTTGCTTCCATTTTCTTGGTTGTTGTGTTAATTATGTTTGTATTTTTGTATTACACTGCAGGTCATAACCTTTGACTCTTATGGAGTATCTGGCCATACAAACCATATTGCTATCTTCAAAGCAATAAAAATACTTCAAACTGAAGAACTCCTTGGAGAAGTTAATTGTTATGTGCTCACAAGTGTTGGGATTTTGAGAAAGTACATCTCACTCTTTGATCTTCCACTAAGTGTTTTTTCACAGTAAGTAACCAAGAAGAGAAACTATATATACTTTTGAAGTTCTGGGTTATGGCCACATTACCTCCTTTTCCGCAGTATGGTGCAATTTACCGATTTCAGAGAAAAGATTTTTAGCCTTTAACCCCTTACACCCCAACATCAATGTGTAAATTCTCCTTACTGTTCCATGGTGATGACAAAGAGAATTTGTTCAACATTGAGTTTCTTCAGTTGTTTATCATTCCCTTTTTTCCTGTAACTCTTCTGTTTGTTTTAGGGGTGATATTGTAAGGAGAAATTAGACACTAGTCACTCTTAGGGATTAAAAGGTTCAAGAAGGATGTAGGATGCTGGAAAACTAAATTTTTTGGTTCATTTGATTCCTTCTCCTTCAGGCAGATGTTTCTCCTTAGTCCTCAGGATATGATTTTAGCCCAGGTTAGATCTTTTAAAGGATTTTAAATTAAACTAAATTTCTCACTCATGTTTTGTATAACTTGTTGTTTATTTTGGAATAAATGTTTCTGTCAACAGAAGGCCATGTATGCTCACAAAAGTCAGTTGCTGTGGTTCCGGAGGCTGTACATCGTATTTTCCAGATTTATGCTGATAAATACACTTGAAGAACTGAAATAAGATAGCTCCAAAGAGATGATTCAGCAGTGCTACCAAGACACTCAGCAGTCTCACCAAGACACTCAGCAGTCTCAGATAATCACTGAGAGTGATCAAGATCTCAATATTCTCTTGAACAAAGTATGTCATGATATAAGAATAAAGATCAAGTCATAAAGTATAGTGGCTCATAACTGTGGATACTGGTTTTTGTGGTAGTAAGTGACTAAGAGGCTGGCATTTTCTCCTCAGTGGATTGTAATTCATATCACAGTCAGACAGTCCCCAGCAGTTTTATCAAGTTTCCTTGCCCTTGGTCAGGGCTCGGATGTAAACCTCTCAATCCAGAGTCATTGGCCTAGCTTTTCAAAGGGCAGAAAATTCTATCCAATGGATAAATCAATAAATGCTAATTAAGTGTTAACAAAATGCAAACATTGCTGCTTTTCACAACAAGGACACCTTCAGCCTCACCCCCCCTCAAAGGCTGAGCAACTAATTACAACTGTAAAATGGCCTATTGAGAAAGATAGCTTTAAACTGCCCTTTTCTAGTCACCACTTCAAAATCTTTTTATTTTTTCTTTTCTTGTTGCCAAGCCTTTTCAAATTATTTGTCTTGTTGATTCTCTTGAGGGCTTTCTTTGTGAGCTTTTTCTGAGGTCCATCTTCTGTTGTCATCACAACATCCTCAGTACCCTGTTCTGTTGATGTGGAAACACACACAAGAAGAGTTAATAACTTGTTCCTTCTGACTTGTCGTTCAGATTTTAATGCATACGTACATAGACAGTAAACATTTTAGCCTTATGTTGTAACATAATCATAAGATTTGGATCTCACATAATGCGAGATGTCAAAAAGAGCTCAAAATTTTCCTCTCTGTAACATTCTGTATGAAATGAAGAACATTTAAACTGATTTAGATTTGGTTTAGTTGTATCATTCAGTGTATCATACTCACCTGCAGCTGCGTTATTCATGATCATTGGGTCTTCCTTATCAAATGTTTCTACTTCACTTTTGTTCTCTTCGTCTTTTTGTATGTCAACGAACATCTCCTTGTCACTTAGCCCAAGTGTCTTCTCAAGCTGCGCTTTTACCCTTGGTTTTAACTGTTCTCTTCTCTGAGCTCGAAGTTTTCTTTTCCTTTTAGACCGAATGCTTTTCGCCATCTTGTTGCAAAACACACGTGTGCGCGGTGCGAGGCTTGGTACCGAGGTTATGAATTTAGTGTTTTGTGTATGAGGTTTGACGTGTACCCACCGAAATGCAAATCACGGGCTATCCAAGATGGCGCTAGCTGCCAAAACTGCTAGGTTAGCTCTAGGAAGAACCATAATTGATGCGCAATACCTGGCGGACAGTGTGCTTTTCATGAATAGTAAGTATGAGATAAATAGCTCTAAAATATCTCTTCATTTCAATTTGGAGTTAGTTTTGTACTACGAAGTACTCTATAATTCAGTGCTATAGAGATTATGCAGGCTGTTGTAGAGGCACGTGCATGTAGCTAGGGCTGACTGGTTTGCCAGCTACCTTGTGTTTGCTTTCTTTAATTTTTTACAGGTGAAATTATAGCAATAAACAAACCATATGGACTGCCAGTACATTGTAAGTGGACATAACGCTTTCATAGTTCTTAACTTTAACTCCCAGAAGTGACTAGCATGTAACTTCTCCACATAAAATCTATACATTATCCAGCAAACAGCTAATTAGAGTACTTCAAATTATCACGAAGAAGTTTTTGTCTTTATCTAACACCAAATTCTTGTAGCGTTTTTTACAAGGAAATGTGCAGCAGCCAGAGGAGAGAACAATCACATCTTGAGAGTTTATGGGCTAATGACTTAATTACGATGTATATCGCTTGTGTGTCAAAAAATCTTTGTGCAGAACGCATTTTTTTGATTTGCTGTTATTTTTCATGAGACTATATGCATTTATAGCAGCAGTTGACTTCAAATTTGAAGTGGCGAATCTCCTTTAACCCCCCACCCCCCTCCCCTCTTCTCCTCCCTCATGGTCATGGGAAAGGGTCACATAAAGGGAACTACAAATACTTCAAGCTTTTTTAGGTATTTCACTAGTTAAAAATCCTTTTTCTTTTCTTTACTTCGTTGTTTTGAAGCTGGTCCTGGTGTTAAGATGTGTGTGATGAATATGCTTGATGAATTTACAGAAATAAAAAAGTTGAAGGAAAGACCAGAGCTTGCACATCGAATTGATAAGTGTGTAACTATATGCAGTTTGCTTACTTTGATGATATTGTATCTGTTTAGTTTTCCAAGGTTCAGGTAACTCTTATCAACCCTTTAACTCCCTCAAGTGATTAACATGTAACTTCTCCTTATAATACCCGCACATTATCTAGCTAACATGTCATGAGAATACTCAAACTTATCAAGTAGAAGTTGGTAGTCTTGATCTAACACAAAATTCTTGCAATTTGTTTACAAGGAAATATGTAATAGCCAGAGGGGAGAATTAAAAATCAGATCTTGGGAGTTAAAGGGTTAAGTAATAGCTGATAAAGTTTGTATATTACAATGGGAGAGAACCCTATATGGTGGCCAGTTTGAAATTTTAACTCAATTGATTAAACTAATTGATTTGGTTGAATGCTCTCTTGGCCAAATTATAATTGTTCCAATCCACAGTGGTCCCACTGAGGGCAACCAAAGACAAAAGATGCATCCATTCATGAGTTGTAAGGCTAACTCTGCCAATCCAAAAATCCCGTTTCATTTCTTTGAAGAATTTAGTTATCCCTAACACAGTATTTCTTCTACCTGTAAAGAATAATTTAAATTTGAAACTAGAAATAACAAGATTTTGACATAAAATCAAATAGCTCTTATGCCAGTCTCCATGAGCCATTTTCACCTTGAAGCCTTTCTTTTAAGCTGACAACTGATGAATTTTTATAAGAACTTATTTCTAAAGCAATAAGATCAAAATGATATTCCCTTGAAAACAACATAAGGATAGGAAAGACTTAGGGAAAATGTAGCTCGAACAAGGTTTGAGGATGAAGTGTGAGCAATTTACATAATCATCAATTCAAGTACACTGATAGGTACATATGATTACTTAATTACAGGGATTGCAGTGGAATTCTGTTACTTACCAGGTACTCATTGTTGCTTATGTTTTTAGAGTGTCAATTGTATTAAAAAAAAAAGAGAAAAAAAAAGTAGCGCTTCTGAGATATGACATGCTTATACACAATCTTGGGATCTTAATGGGTTAAAAAAATATATATAAATTGCCCTTATTTTTAACATTTTGCTATACATAATTTTTGTTAGTTTTTTTTTTCTTCTTCTACACTGAATGATACTGAAAATCCCAATCAAGGGCAACACACTTGACATATTTATAGCAAATGATTTGTGTACTCTAGATCAAGAACTGCAGCTACTAAAGTTGCAGAAATGTTCTCAGACAAAACCATTGGTAAACAATACTGGGCAGTGACTGTTGGAGTTCCGACATTTGAAGAAGGAGAAATTAACATTCCTATTGGGGAAGCTAAACTTGCTGGAGGATATCGAATTGCCACCAAACAAGACCTGATTGGAAAGTCTTCTGAAGTAAGGCAAAAATTAAAAGATAAATAAATAAATTAGTTGATCAAAGACAGATTATTTCTGTGCTTTGACTCAAAGAGCTTAAAACAACTCAGCATGTCTTTTGCACTTTTTAAGGACAATCCTAGTAGCAGATGTTCATGGCTTAAGTCTAAGAACTTGTACCAATGGGAGAAACCATATAACTCAAGAGAATAACCTTTTCAAAGTTATACCTTGTCTTAAGAGAAGTTCTTCAGAATTGAGAAGACTGAATACTGAAGAATACTGTTGGTAGTAGCAATGAAGTTCAGGTTTTCATTCTACAATTTTAGTATAAACTATTTATTTATGTATTTTTTTATTTAGATATTAAGAGCTGCTGGCTTTAAACATGCAAAGACTAAATTCAAAATCTTGGATGCAAATCAGACTACATGTGCTCTTTTACAAGTGGAACCAATCACAGGATTAAAGCAGCAAATTAGAGTTCATACAGCAGAAGGACTGAAATGTCCAATATTGGGAGATCATAAGTTCTCTTCTGACATTCGACAACCACAGGTATACTAAGTTCAATTATGAGTGGGTAGGGGGAGGCAGATACTATTTTACTTAGAGAGGTTTGTGCCATAGCACTGAGGTATATATGAAGTTTGGATTTTGAGTGGTTAAAAGGCTATGCAGTTTCATTTGTTAGCATCTTGAATGAAGTATCTGTCCAGACCAGAAACACTGAAAAGTTGCAGCAGTCCACCAACCTTTCTTGATCACCCTCCCTCCCTACGCTGTGGGAAACTGTGGTAGGGCATTATTACCAGTCAAGGGGAGTTACCATTCTTGTCATATTCAATACTACTGTAAAATGAATAGCTTATGGTATAAATTTGGCAAGATGGCATAATTATGTTTAGTAGCAAGGCAAACAGGTAGTCCCATTGTTTAACAATCATCATCCTTTTTTTCTCAAAGGTTTTACCTCTGCGTTTACTACAACTTCTTCAAATTCAAGGTGTAAAGAATAAGGAAAACCCCACAGCAAAAGGAAAAATTAGACAATGGCAAAGAGCACTGATTCCTCTTCACCTACATGCAAGACAATTAACTTTACCCAACTTTTACAAAGGAAGAAATATCATAATAAAAGCTCCTCTGCCTGACTATTTTGCAGAAACTCTACACAAATTGAAACTTCATCCAAAGAGAAAAAATATGGTGCAGGCTGAGGATATAACAGAGTATAACAGACTGAAGCAGCTTGGAAAGTCAACAAAAAAAATTGTTGGATTTTGAAGAAAACTGATAAGAGGAACCTAGGAATGAATAAAGCAGCAGTTTGAAGGAGATTCTGTTCCATCTTATCCATGATGCCTGCTTTTCCATGTGCAACATCCCCAAAACATTTGCAGAAAACTTTTCACAATCAAGGCATTTTTAAACCATTCCCAATTGAATTAAAATTAAAGGATTCCCTCTCCTTCACCCCTTGAGAAGGGAGTGGCCTTTTAAGATAAAGCAGGTTATTTAAATTGAAACTGACATGTGGTTAATATATTAAGTCTCTTTGACTCATTTATAATTGTCCAAAAAATGAGATAAATTTCTCACAGTTTTTCACTTAAGTCAAACCTATGCCACATTGCTACAGACGTACACAATAAATGTTAATGCTATATTTATTTTCCATACGAAAAGTCTTATTAGTACCACCTTGAAAAGAGGTTCTATCAGAATATATGGCTGGATGACATGGCTGGAAGCTGGTATAAACTAATTGATATCAAAGTAAAATGGAAAACTGCTCCTAAGAAATTACAGTAGTAGAAAGGAATTACAGTTTGCTAATATATGTTACCAAGAACTGCAGTGGGTTGACCGGCAGAGTGCCATTTCCAGCTCTAAGAATAACCAGAGGAAAAACTTAAAAGATCCATTGAAGTAATAATGCTCAGTAAACTAACATCAAGTACAAACTTGGATGTCTTGTTGTCTATTCCACATAATCAAAGTCTTCTGGAATTCCAAAGCTTTTGTCGATCATTTTCTTTTCCAGCCCAAACTTGCGTTCACACCAGGATTTGATTGTAAACACGTTGTCAGTCCAGCGATTGGCACCTTCCTTCGACATCAGTGTTTCCTTTTGTAAGTTTTCTAGCACTTCTGGGTCACATTCACGATATCTCTCAAGCTCTTGTTCCAGTTCTTTACAAAGTTTTTCTTTTTGAGTCAGCTCTTCAAGAATCAAATTTCTTTCATCCTATTTTGCAAAAATGATCCATAAATAATTATCCTCACGAAAGGATGTTTTAAAATTTACTGAGTCTTCCAATTTTTTTAAATTCAATTAAATGAAATGAAATTTCACTAAGTCAAACATCTGAGATTGTTTTATTCAAGTGCATAACACAATCAAATAGTAGACAATTACAGGATAACAAATGAAGTCATAAAAATGTAAGCTACAACCTATTGACCAATAGACAAAAGATTTGTAATTTGAGGTCTAATTAGATTGCTAAACAGAAGGTTGGTGATACTCACAGACTGTTCTCTGCCACTGCCTGCTTGCTTTAGTAGTTTTGTTGTAGAGGCAATTTTCTTTTCACACTCATTGACTTGCTCTGTAAGTTGTGTCAGTTTTTGTTGTCTCTGGGTTTAAAAAAGGAGTGTAGTTTGGAACTAAACTGTGCAATGGGGGTGCGTGGATGTAAATCTTGGAGTAAGAGGGGGAAAGGGGAAAAACATCACAACAGGAGCTTGAATGTCGGCAAGCCAGTGACAAGGATAGAGTGGGAGGTATTTCCTAAAAAATTTTGTTAGTACCAGGGAGAAAAAAGGTAAAAGACAAGAATTGATGATGATGATGATGATGATGATGATGATGATGATGATGATAGAGAGGAATGTACCCCTGTCTACCATAACCCTTCTGTTTATTTGGAACTATTTTAATCAGTCTCTTGGGGGCCTCTGATATTATACTCTTCACAATATTTCTGATGCCAAATCTATTGTCAACTTACTGTATGTATTGCTTTGCTTGGATAGGCCCAGAAATAAACAGAGGTACCAATTTTATCAGTATCCACTAGATTGTCATCCACCAAGCTTTGTACAACTTCCTTGACAGACATGGAAGCTTAACAACAACAACAAAAAGTTAACATCAAATCTACAGATGTCAAAGACAACATAAGACATTTAGATGCACCGCATTTTGACTTACTAATGCCTTTCTCTTTTGGAGCGATTTTCTCCAACTCCTTGAGTAGAAAAAATTCCTTCTGTTGATGTGAAAAAAAAGGAAAGTCTCGGAAACTTGAAGTTTTAAATTGTTAATAATTTTGGAAACAAATTATTTTGGTAGATATCAGGAGCCCATTTGTTGCCTAAAGAGTCTACAGTTGTAATCGATCAACCAGATTGAAATATTCTGTAACGAAACCAGATAAACATTACCGTAGCTGTTAATAGCTCTGAACTAATGCACTCTGCAGCTTACCCTTTCAAAGAAAAGCTCCAACATTCGTGTTCTCTTCTCTTCCAAACTCAACCCACGCTTTTTTGACTGAAAATAGTCGAAATTAACGAGTACTACGATATGAAATAAAACACAAAGAATAGCGTAAGGTAAGTCAATTTCAAAATGAATCTCAAATTTACCATTTTCCCACGAAAAAATGTCTGACAAAACTCAGTAGCGATTTCTTGCTTTATTCAATATGGCGGGTAAATTTAATTTTGGCGCCAGTCTTCAGACCGGAAGTTTTTGTAGTCCCAATTTAATTTCCGGTAAAACTGCAAGTTCTCATGGGAAGCAGAGTGATAGGCAGAAAGGATGTAAACATGGCGGCAGGCAGAAGAGTTCATAGTTTGTATGATTTAGCAACTTTTACAACAGTTAGGAATTGTGATTTATTCAAGTTAGAGTATCGCTCACTGCCGAATGCCGTTCAGTGTGACATATATCGAACGGTATATATTTTAATCCTTTCGTCTTACTTTTTTTCGCTTTGTTACCCCGACAGTTAATGTTTACAAAATTTGTTTAGCTTGTAACTCCATGCGGTTTTGTTGTTATTCAGCTCTTCGACTCAGGGAAGAATGAGGTATTGGTATCCGAACTAAGTGAGTTAGATGTCGTTTCAAAGGCTTTAAAAGCTGGAGACACAAGGTAAATATAAAGGTATCTTTTTGTGTTTACAATTAAGACACTGTTGAGAGCATCGTTTGAAATTTAATTTCATGCCAATTGTGTCACGTCAGATACTTGAACGGTTTGCTACTTGAAGTTCTTCGCGAAAATAGAACTGATGAATGATTTACATAGGCAGTAACTTTTTAGAAGAAGCTAATATTGAAACTGTTAAATTTTACTAAATCTTTTACAAGGTAAAGCGACCCATTTTCCGTCAGGCGGCTATAAAGAAAAGATAAAAAGAGAAACGCTTTGTTAGTATATTTCGATTCCACTCCACGAAATTTGATCTACAAATAAATCTTAAGGTGAATTTAACTTTCGCTGATGTAAAGGGAGAGATTTTCCAAACTTTTGAGTTATTTCCTCGGTACAGGAAATGCTTAACTAAACTGATTAAAGCTTGCATTTAACACGATAAAACACGAAAAGCTTCAAAAATTATTTCTCTTTGATGAAGAAAATCTACACCTATAAGACAGATGCATCCTGGCTCAATCAAAAAATTCAAAACAAAATAGCATCAAACCAAGACTACTTGGTATGAACAGGTAACAGGACAAGATGGCAAATACCTTGAATGCCACTTTAGGCTGAGGAAGTTGTCACAATAAATGTATTAAATGAAAAAGATATTCTTAACAAATAGCACCTATAACTTGTTTACTTGTAATAGCTAAGGCAGTATTCAGGTTCTTTTTTTAACTCCTAACTTCTTATCCATTTCACTGTTTACAATTTAGCAATAGTTGTTTACTGATAGATTAACAAATTACCTGTGGGCAATTTGCTGGGAATTTTGGTATAAATTTACATACACAATGTAATTAACAGATTACCTGTAGCAATTTACAGGGAATTTTGGTATAAATTTACTTACACAATGTAATTAATTAATACATAATGGTAATAGGACTGAGGGGAGTCCACCTTGGTCTCTTATCATATGAGTATTAACAAAATCTGATGACTGTAAAGCAGGAATATGATTTATTTATCAAGAGTATGATTACAGACAGAATTGGGCGACACAAAGGCCTGTTACCAATTAATCAAAACTATGAAAATTTAAGAAAGAAATATGCATTTTTTATAAGTTTTTTTTTATGAAAAAACAACAATTTGAAAATTTAAGAAAGAAATAAGCATTTGTTATAAGTTTTAAAAAAAAAAAAAAAACAACAATTAACCATGTGAAATGCACAACAACAGCGCATGCTTATGACAATTACTTTCCACTTTTGTAAGCATGAAGTGGCAACTATCCTATTACACTGTCCAATTACAAGCATGATGGGCACTGTCATATTAGTACTCAAATCAGGCTGGTTTATTAATGGTGAAATAGGTATTGACTAGGCAGCTGTCCAATGTAAATATTAGTGACATGTCTGGGTTCGAGCAGTTTTCAGCTAAGTATTGATAGTGATCCTGGATTGCTTAGAGAAGACTCACCCCACCATTTCAACCAATCAAATACTAAACTTAAAGCAATCTCAATTTGGTCAATTATGTTTTCCTGGGCTTCAAGTTGGTTGCCTGTTTTTACTTTGAATTCTCATTGGTCAATAATGATGTTAACCTTTGCTCTGATTGGCAGTTATGATTACCTTGGTTTTGGTTTTTTGATCCTCAGTTGTGAACTGCTCTGATGGTTTTTAAAATTCATCAATTGATGTGTGATCAAACTTGGTTTGTTATTTTTCTCCAGGGTCAAGCTTTATGCAGTGTTCCAAGGTTTGAGAGAAGAAGGATTTGACTTATCAAAAGTCCTTTCAGCAGAGTTTGTCAAGAGGTGTCACAAGGCATTCAATGAAGGAGAAACATCAGATCGACATCTCATTCAGAAACTGTTAAAAACAGGGATGTCACTTGGTATGAGTAGCTTCTGAAGTGTACTCCATCCTTTAAACCATTACATCAGGTTTTTCTAAGTGTATGGTATACCTGTAAGGTTCTTTGGATTAATTTCAGGAGCAGTTATACTTGCTTTTTTTATTTCTTCTGTTGACCCTTTAACTCCCATGAGTGACCAAAAGAGAATTAATATCAAGCAGACCAGTGATAAGAAAAAAGAAAATGTCAATTATTAGTTGATCCAATACCAAACTCTCCAAACCAACATCATGAGAATTGTGCGGCAGACAGTCAGGAGAATTACTGATAGGATAGTGAGAGAAAAATGGTTAACCAGTTTCATTGATGTTTTAGGTGGTTTCCTATCAGAGGCTGGATGGTATGATGATGCAGAGAAGATATTAACTGTTAGTCACAAGCTGTGTAACATTAGAGAACCAGATGAATGTAGAATAGCTTGTAAATTTCTGACAAGGTACATGTGGTACTGAATACGTAGGTATATAAATCCTACCTGTTAGAATGTTAGGTGCAGGTATAGTTCAAATGAAAACATGCATGATAAACTTCTACAAACTGCATTTAGTTTAAGAAGCCCTCAGCTATAACAACAACTGCCTTGAGGGTCAATCCTCCAGAACATGTGGGTCATGGTTACAGTAAACATTCTAGATAAATAAGTATGTTTATAATTTGGTTCTTATAGTGCTTTACCATTCTGTAAAAGTTGTTACCACATAATATTATTATTTATTACTGATAATGTAATGTAAACATCTTTCATAGACTGCTCCATCTTAGAACTGCAAATTGTAAATTTGACTCAGCAAAAGATACCTTTAGAGAAGCCACAGAAATGACAAGTAAGATAGCCAGCAAAAATGAGCTAGACATCAACTTGGCAGTTCTTTATGGAGAAAAATGTGGCCTGCTCTTTGCACTTAGTGATTATGAGGAGGTGAGATAAATTTGCCTGTCTTAAATTCAATTTAGTCAGGGTTGTCAGTAAGAATTGAGTTACTAGAATGTGATACAAACCAGGCAACTCTAGGGGTCATTATTGTCATGCTTCCATGCTGAAAATTTAGCCATAAACATTTGGAATAGCAGATGTGATTTTCAGAGTGGACACTGAAATGCAACACTTGCTAGCATACTTTGACAACCCTGTTTACTGTAGAGACCAGGTTTGAATTACATCAAGGAAAATGACTGTGAGGGCAAAAAGATAGAGGTGATATGTTTTTAGGGGTTTTATTTCACCTAGGACCAAAGTCTACATTATTAAATAGATTTGTCCTCTGAATAGAGGTCCTAAAGAAAAGGTTCCACTGCTAAATAAATACTAGCAGATATAAGCTAAACACCTCTGAGATATGGAATTGAAAAGTCAAATTATTCTGGCCACAGCGTAAAGAGAATTTGTGTACAGAGATTTTGTCCTTGTGGTTACTTCATTCATTAGACTCTTTTGTCTTTAATTTTCATTATTCACAGGCATACAAATTCAGCATGAAGGCCTTACAGAAAATTTGTCCTGGATTGCCCATGAAGGTAAATAGTTATGCTAAACCTATTAATGAATTAATTCATACTTTCATGGAGTATTAATGCAAGATTCTGTATTTATAATACATCTCTAAGTGCTATATGTGCACAATATAGAAAAATAGAATAATCTTCCTAATGTTAGTGTATGGGAAATCTACAAAGATATGAGATAAGTTTTGATTCCCCAGTATCCAAAATCAGTTTCTTTTATAAAAGTCTAATTTCAGGCTTCTTTTTGTAGGCTGTAGTTGATATTCTAAGAAACGCATCCAAGGTAATGTGAGAGTTATTTTATGCTGATATTTCTTTTTGTCTTGTCTTTTTTCAATTTTGTGAGCATGTTTAATCAAATGATTCTGACAAGACAGAGGCACCATCTGCTTGATGGCAGTTGATTGAGGATGTTTGAAATGAAAGCTACATCAATTAATAATGCAGTCTTTCGGGACTATTATTACCCAGAAAATCACACCATGCAAAATCAAAATTGGTAACAGAAACTCTTCAGAAAATAGGCCAAAAAAAGCACCAAATGGAAATGTGGTAAACTGTTAAATCCAAAATGAGTAAACCTCTAAAGAGTGACTCTGCCAAAAAAGTGACAAACTGAAAAACTTGCACATGTGAAAATTGTATGCATAATAAATTCTCACCATGTGTTTTCAAATTTTAAGTCTCAAAGAATGTGTGCTAGTAGCACATCATACCAGTTTGGTTTTGTCTTGTTAACAATACAATCAATTTTTGTTTTTAGTCTGTGATTAAGTGTAGTCAGTTCATTATTACCAACACTGTAAGTTCATTGTGTTTGCTCTATATTTATCGTTAATAGTGAATTCAAATCTTGTTTTCCATTCTTTTTCAGGCTTGTGTAGTGAAGCGCAAATTCAAGAAAGCAGAACTTTTGATAAAGCAGGCCATGTTTTTAGCCAAGTATGTCCATTTTAAACTTAAATGACATTGTTGACATTTCAATATATCAAATTTCAAAGATGTTTCAAATGTCGTCAATCTGTGGTCTGATTTGGTTGAGTAGCTCTTATATTGTAAGTATTAATCACAGATATATACTCATGATTTTACATGTGTTTTTTGTTTTGTTTTGTTTCAGGCAGCATTTTGGATGTGATCACCCAAAGTATGCAGATACACTAATTGACTATGGTTATTATCTCCTCAATGTAGATGCTATAAATCTCTCTGTCAAAGTATACAAGGTAAGGACACTACCTATCAATTTATGACAGTCATTGTTAGTAATAAATCAGCTTTGACTGAAAATTTTTATATCCTAACTTTTTTGGCTTAATTTTTGATTAATGAAAGGTTTTGAAAGTCAGGCTTTTCAAAATACTTATCATTTATTTAATAAATATCTCATTGTGTCAGCCTATATACCTGTGCCATAACTCTGTCTCAGTATGATTGGCAGGAAATTCATCAGATACCTTTCAAAATTTTCAAGCACACTAATCAAGCATCAGGTTAAAAGTCCTGTTTGCAAATTCAAGATATAAGCAGTGTGGCATTCTATTGCAGAAGGATTCGCCACCTTCATTGGTCACAACTTTTGATATAATTGTCACAATCACTCTGCTTCTTTGTAAATAGTAACTGTTACATTTTTAACAGATTTGTTGTTTGTGGTTTTTAGGAAGCTTTTCGTACTAGGTTTTATGTCTTTGGATACAACAACTTACATGTAGCAACAGCTCATGAAGATCTTAGTTATGCTTTGTATGTCCATGAATACAGTACAGGGAACTTTGAAGAAGCCAGGTAATATTTTTATTTTCTTTAAAAAGAACAACAACAACCACCAAACAAACAATTGAACAAAACAGAACAAAGAAAACTTAGATCAATGTCAATAAATAAGCAACTACACACCTACCCCTCCCCTTACCCAACATTAGCCTTAACTTATCATCAATTGACTGTTGTTGGTCTATGGGAGGGGTAGGTGCACAATTGCTCAGATATTAACATTGTTCTGAAAATTTTTGTGCATATTAATTTACTCATACCAGACTTCTATAATAATGTCAGTATTGATTTCATAGAGATGAGGGTGGATTGTCAAAGAGAGCCCAATTACTCTCTCAAAGTCATTCACAATTGAACAGGCACGACAGTCTGCACTCCCCTGTTTTTTTCCAAGCTGTCTTGCTACAGTTAACAAGTTATGATTTGCTTTTGAGTTTTGGAGAAGTTTGGATTGAGTTGTTCATTTTAATAGTTATATTAGTGGAATGGCTTTCATAAAGTTGATTATTTAGGTAGTAAATTCAGGAATACATACAATGAGGGCATGCTAGTCCAGATTACACAGTCACTGTAAATATGGAAATTTTGTTCTTCTACATATTGTCAAACAGATACCATGCAGAAAGAGCCATCAGTATTATCACAAAACTTTTCCCTGAAGATCATTTACTTCTTGCTTCATCAAAAAGAGTGAAAGGTAAATTTGAAATACTGTGTTTTGAGAAACATCTTAGTGTTGAATATAATTCATCATAATTTGTAGCAAATTATGTGAGGAAGCACAAACTACACATACAGTGGTCTGTCCCTGATAATCAGACACATAAGAAATGATATAAGAAATGCTAACAGTAAGAGTTTATTATTTTTCATTATTATTCAGCCTTAAAGCAGTTTACTTTTCTTTTCTCCAGCCCTTATTCTAGAAGAAATAGCAATTGACACTCCAATTAGACAGAAAGAAGAAGAAATTTTAAAAGAAGCTCAGGAGCTTCATTTAGCTTCACTTGATCTGGCTAGGTAGGTGTCTTCTCTGCCCGTAATGGAGTGTCTTGAAGCCTGTTCAAAAAAGAAATTAAATGATCAACACCAGGCATTTCTCAGTGGTCATTTTAATGGAAAAGTTAGATTATACACTACATATTACAAATGGAAGATATTTTATTAGCTGTGGAATATTCAAGCTAAAAGAAGTTGAGCAGAAGTGTTTATTAGTAAGACTTCAATTTAGTATTCGGTTGCAAATAAAGTATTCATTAGAACCTACAGCCTCTAATTTGGCATTGAGTAGCCAAAAATAGGAGAATATTCAAATTTTTTCCTGTTAGCTTCATTCCTTTTGTCTTCTTCCTCTTCTTAACCCTTTCACTCCTGAGATCTCATTAGTAATTCTCCTTACTGTTTTCTTTACAATTCTTATCAGGTTAGTGTGGAGAATTTGGTATTGGATCAATTTATAATCCTTTAATTAAATTTTTTTTTGTTCTCATCACTCATCTTCTTGATATTTCATTGATATTGTAAGGAGAAATTCTGTTTTGTTCACTCTTATTGGAGCTGAAGGGTTACTGTGTGTCTGGTATCTTAATGTGCATTTAAAGTCCTGTGTTGAATATTCCACCATATGACAATGCTTTGAAATTAAGAAATGTTGCCTCCAGGAAATCATTTGGAGAAAACAATGTTCAAACAGCAAAACATTATGGAAACTTAGGACGTCTTTATCAGTCAATGAGAAGATATGAAGTAAGTAATAAAAAAAAAAACTTTCTTTGTATTTAGCTTAGGTTTTGCTTTGGGCTCAGTAACTCATTTCCATGGAAAAAAGGAAAGAGGCAAATATTCTTCCTCCCCTTTGCCCATTATTTTCATTATAACTATTTCATTGATCTTTTTTTTTTTTTTGTCAAGTTGCCAGGGCAAAGAATATATATATAAAACAGTTAAGTTTTGGTCAGTTGTGAGGAACATCTTCTAGCTGTCACTGATAGTTTGTGAGATGTCTGCCAGCAGATTGCTACATCTTCCAGCTGTCACTGATAGTTGGTGAGCTGTCTGCCTGCAGACTCCAGAATTTAAGTCTGATCTTGAAAGATGACATTGCATCTTTTATTTTCATCAAAATTATCAGCATGGGCAAGTTAATAACCTGTAGGTATTAAAGATGACTGTTTTTTCCTTTTTTCAGGAAGCAGAGGTAATGCACAAGAAAGCAATTGAAATTAAAGAACGAATACTTGGAAGTGAAGTAAGAACAACATTAGCTAAGAGTAGAAGATCCTAGTCGAGCAATGGTTCTAACTGAATTTCTTATGGGTTTTGTGGTGTTTTAGGACTATGAAGTGGCACTGTCATTGGGTCACTTGGCATCATTGTACAATTATGACATGGAGCAATATGAAAGGGCTGAGCAGTTGTACTTGAGATCAATTGCAATAGGTTAGTTGATGACAGAAAATCATCTGTGTATAATTTTAATTTAAACTTTTCTATAGTCAATAAAAAATTAATTTTATATTGGTCTGTATTATATTTCTTCTACTTTGTAATTTATTATTAAGAGAAAGACAAGAATTGTGTGTTCTTTTGCAACAGGTAGAAAACTGTTTGGAGATGGGTACAGTGGTCTTGAGTATGATTACAGAGGACTTATTAATCTCTATGATTCTCAAGGTATGATCCAGTTCATAATCCTTTTTACACAAAGGAAAGGCATTGTCATAGTCTTTTGAAGAGAAATTTCACGGCTCAAACTGAATAAAGAGTTGAAACCTTGTTGCTCTTTTGATAGGTAATTTTGACTTTATGGAGAGATATCATCAAACACTGATGGACTGGAAAGATCTGCGGGAAAACGCATCCAAAGCAGAGTCTGCTCATGACAAGACACCTGACCCATGGCCTACAGGGAAGTTTATACAATATTTTCTGAATCAGCCTGACTGATAATAATGTGACTATTAGGAAATATCATTGATGTTTAGGCATTAATATTTAAGAAATTGTATCTCCTTGGAAAGCCCAAGAAACTGTGTAAAGATGACATTTAGGATTTCATTCAAAATTATCCTTACGGAATTTTATTATGGATATGCTAGCAAATGTGTAATATAAAGTCAAGGTGACGTAAAACTGCAAGAGTCATTTCTGCCTTTGTGAGTGATGCACCTGGTGTTAAGAAACTATTATTTGGTGCATTTGCATTAACTAATTTTTGTATGTGAAACAAATTTCAATTTATGGGCCTTGTATATTTTTTTTGGTTGGTTGTAAGTGTTGAAAAGAAAATTACGTTGTATATTACGCTCATTTAGGTAATTCTCGTAAATTTAGTCATGTGTAAATCAATGTAAGTATGAAACACGAAATAGAATAGTTATTTTAAAATTAACTTCTTAAACTTTCAAAAATAATTTGACAAAGCGTAATATATGCTTCTTTATAATGATATTGATATTTTAATACAACTGTTAGCAGAAAGAATTAGGTAAAGAGAAGCAGAAAGATTCATGCTAACAAGCAAAAGATATAGAAAGGTTTAAGGCAAAGAGAGTCGAAAAGATGATGGAAGATAAAAACAAGAACAGTTAATTTGAACATGTTACTTACTTAACAACCAGTCAGGGATCAGAATCAGTGTTTCTCTGAAACATGGAAAGGGCGTTATAACACAATATACCTTGAGTTTACGAATAAACGTAAAGGTTTGACAAATATGTTATTTACTACTAAAAAATTAAGGGCATAGTACATATAAATCTAAACCACCTTTGAGATCATGAAGAAAGAAAGCAATCACGCATCCTTTCTATACAACAGAATAATCTCTCTTAATTCTGCGTTCCTATTAATTTTTTGAGGAAAGTGTTTCCATCTTAATAGGAATGCCATCGTTATCAATCAAATTTTCAATTTTCGTGAACGAATTGCTTTTCGCCACAAACTTTACATTTAAATATTTTATTGTGGGCATATAAAACTTGCACAAACAAAATCAAATTGATGGGATCGAAATTGAATGGGTATATATGTTAATAGTTGTAAAGTAAGACTTGTTTTATAAACGTTAACCTGTGTAGCGTATGAATAAATTAAATACAGTACAAACCAAAAAAGAGAAATAAACATGATCATTATTCACTATGTTCTCAACAGCACAATACAGCTTTGAAATATGGTATGTATCTGATATATATCACACGTGATATATATACACCACATCTCTTAAACTGCTTCTTTCTTGAATCACACGTGATGTATATACACCACAACTTTTTAACTGCTTCTTTCTTGAATCACACGGGATATATATACACCGCAACTTTTAAACTGCTACTTTCTTGAATCACACGATATATATACACCGCAACTTTTAAAATGCTTCTTTCTTGAATCACACGTGATATATATACACTGCAACTTTAAAACTGTTTATTTCTTCAATCACATCTGATATATATACACCGCAACTTTAAAACTGCTTCTTTCTTGAATCACATCTGATATATATACACCGCAACTTTTAAACTGCTTCTTTCTTGAATCACATCTGATATATATACACCGCAACTTTAAAACTGCTTCTTTCTTGAATCACACGTGATATATATACACCGCAACTTTAAAAATGCTTCTTTCTTGAATCACATCTGTTATATATACACCGCAACTTTAAAACTGGTTCTTTCTTGAGTCACACGTGATATATATACACCGCAACTTTAAAACTGCTTCTTTCTTGAATCACACGGGATATATATACACCGCAACTTTAAAACTGCTTCTTTCTTGAATCACACGTGATATATATACAGCGCAACTTTAAAACTGCTTCTTTCTTGAATCACACGTAATATATATACACCGCAACTTTAAAACTGCTTCTTTCTTGAATCACATCAGATATATATACACCGCAACTTTAAAACTGCTTCTTTCTTGAATCACACGTGATATCTGTACATCGCAACTTTAAAACTGCTGATGAATCAAATCTGATATATATGCACCACAACTTTAAAACTGCTTTCTTGAATCACATCTGATATATATACACTGCAACTTTAAAACTGCTTCTTTCTTGAATCACACGTAATATATATACACCGCAACTTTAAAACTGCTGATGAATCACATCTGATATATATGCACCACAACTTTAAAACTAAAACTGCTATATACACCGAATCACATCTGATATATATTTAAAACTGTTTCTTTCTTGAGTCAACTTTAAAACCGCAGCTTTAAAACTTTCTTTCTTGAATCACATCTGATATTTAAAACTATGAATCACATCTGATATATATGCACCACAACTTTAAAACTGCTTCTTTCTTGAATCACATCTGATATATATACACCGTAACTTTAGAACTGCTTCTTTCTTCAATCACACCTGATATATATACACTGCAACTTTAAAACTGCTTCTTTCTTGAATCACATCTGATATACATACACCGCAACTTTAAAGCTGTTTCTTTCTTGAATCACACGTAATATATATACAATGTAACTTTAAAACTGCTTCTTTCTTGAATCACATCTGATATATATACACCGCAACTTTAAAACTGGTTCTTTCTTGAGTCACACGTGATATATAGACACCGCAACTTTAAAACTGCTTCTTTCTTGAATCACATCTGATATATATACACGGCAACTTTAAAACTGCTTCTTTCTTGAGTCACACGTGATATATAGACACCGCAACTTTAAAACTGCTTCTTTCTTGAATCACATCTGATATATATACACGGCAACTTTAAAACTGGTTCCTTCTTGAGTCACACGTGATATATAGACACCGCAACTTTAAAACTACTTCTTTCTTGAATCACACGTGATATATATATACACCGCAACTTTAAAACTGCTTCTTTCTATAATCACATCTGATATATATACACGGCAACTTTAAAACTGCTTCTTTCTTGAATGGCATGTGATATATATACACTGCAACTTTAAAACTGCGTCTTTCTTGAATCACACGTAATATATATTTACCGCAGCTTTAAAATTGCTTCTTTCTTGAATCACACGTGATATCTGTACACCGCAACTTTAAAACTGCTGATGAATCACATCTGATATATATGCACCACAACTTTAAAACTGCTTCTCTCTTGAATCACATCTGATATATATACACCGCAACTTTAAAACTGCTTCTTTCTTGAATCACATCTGCCACACGTGTTTGTAGGGTGAACCGCTCCCTATGGTGTCTCTTCTTGAAACTCTTTTTTTTTTTTGAAATGCAGGAAGATAAGTGCTTGCTCAAGCATATAATTTGCCTGTTTATAAGACAATGAGCGCAACTTTCCATCTCTGTTGCTTTGTTAGTATTTAACGTCCTTCTGTAACAAATGAATTGTTACGTATGTGCGCGTGCGCAAATCGTTGATCAGCGCGCGCTAATTCACATCAAAAGAAGGTGGACCAAAGTCTGGGATAAATTAGTTGACTACGTTATATTTTTCCTTAGTTAGTTCTTAAGAATTCAACTTTCTTCTCTGCTTTAAGTGTAGAAAGGTATTGAATAAACATGGTGTTATGTTCGCCTTAACAAGCTGCTGAAAGAAAAAGCAAAAGCATCGGCAAACGAGTCAGCTGTACTGACCCACAACTCTTGTGCATCCACAAACTGTGGTCACCTCTGCAAGTCGTACGCGGGGTTTAAATATCATATGCGACATAAAACGTTCACGAACAGTTTGAGGGATCCTCGACGTTGCAATTGACAGGAGATTCCTACTTTATACCGGACTATGGGGCATGTTTCTCCTATTATGTTTCCTTTTGCCTTCAGGTTATGACGACGTGAAAGTAACTATCATTAGGCGTGGAATTTAGTGGGAATAACATTTTGCGGCTTAACTATTTTTGTGTGTTTGTTTTGGAGGAAAATATTTTCGAGGCTGTAGATTACGCATAATTTTGATGAGAACTGATTGTTACGAATTTCTTTTTCAGTAGCGGCACTTTGACTAAGATCAAATCTTATCAATCATAGAATGAAAAGAGAGACCCTTGAAAAAAGAGACTCGTGTCCAGGTTTCTTTGCTTTCTCCGAGAAACCTCCTTCCTAGCTCGAGTCTAAACTCATCTAATGTGGAAAGTTCGCGTTTAAGAGAAAAGAAACTAAACTTCATAGCACAACAAACATTTAGAGAAACGCAGGTGTCGTCAAACTTAATATTTTTATTTATCATCTCTTCAAAGATATAATGATAAAATAACCATATTGACTTTTTGCATGTCACATGATTCTGATCAGCAGCATCCATTTCCTTTAGTCGCCGGCATCACTGACAAGGTCCGTTAGTCATTTTGATACCATCCAATGCAACATCGCTCTTTCCAGTCCTTCCTCGTTCACCTTCAAATACGATCTGTTTGGGTATCAAACAACCATATCGGTTAAGACAGTTCAGAATAACATGCCCCCGCCATCGTTATCGTCATAATTGATCGTCATTGTCATCATCGTCATCGACATAATTCATCGTCATCGTCGTCATCATCATTATTGTTATTGTCATAATTTTAAAATGGATGTAAATCAGCAGTTATTTTTGTAAGGATTACATTGGCCACGCAATATATGTGGTACAACTTAAGCAATCTTGACTGCAAGTCTTGAACTCCTACCTTGAACGGCGTTTTATTTTTATTGCGTAGATTGATCGTCTTGTAAATCCAATTGTTTCCTTTGTTTCCAGCCTTCCTGTATTGTAACCATCTTTTTGCTCCCTTTTGAACGAACACCCGCAGTTGTCCCATTCCCTTTTTGCTGGCGTACATGTGATACCAGAAATGCAAGCACGTCGGTGAGCCCCCCGGAAACTCTTTACTGATCAGAGCCCCTTTAGACGCTTTGACATGTTCAGTTGAGCTGTCCAAGTAAATGTATCCTCCTGTTGTGAAGGTCAAATAGGTTTTATGTTAAAAAAGGAAAACTTAGTCCCGTTCCAACCCCCTTACTATTGCCATGCAGAACCAACTTAGATAATTGAATTGGGCTTAAACACACTAAAAGCACCAGGTTTGACACGACTCCTTGGCACGAAACGCCTCCTTATGATATGCGGCAGTAGTTTTTCCTCTCAAATATGACTCACCTTTATTGCCCCCCATCCTCCCCCCCCCCCTCCAAGGAAGACGCCTGTTGTGCAAGGTGTTTTCCTTTTGACAATGATAGCGTATGTGATACCTGAGCACGAAGAGGAGACTGATAATTCTTTTGGTCGTGGTTATAGACATGCAAATGATTGCGATGATGTCTGATGACGATAAATTGAAGTGAACACGAAAACAAGTGTGAGCACACTTTACCTTGTCCATTCGCTGTTTTATCACCTGCTGGTCCAGTGTTTTGGCTGGGTGTGTCACCTGAGCGAAGCATCCAATCATACCTCTGTCCATTTGGCAGCTCTGGGTTATCGGGATGGTTGGTCCAGTCGCACAAACTTCCGCTGTCGAAGTCACAGGAATCTAGAGCTACGGAAAAAACAACGCTTAGAAGTACACCCTTTAAATCGAGTGTGAAAAGCAATCCGGGATAACATTGCTTTTCCTTTATTTCAGTTTTGCTTTGTCTTTTGCATAGGAAACACACGCCGCTCTATCTAATAATCAGATGCGAAACTGAAACCAAGCACTTTGTGGTTACTCGTTTTTCCGTTTTCATGTGCCTCAGGCATGCGTACTTTGCCTATGTTTTCTTTTCTTGATATGTAGTGTTTGCCTTTACCGGAACGGCTGTCATTTGGTTTTTAGGAAAATCAATCGAAAAGCGCTCTAAAAGGAACAAGAATATAAATTACGGCAAAATAGTTTTACCTGACGGCTCTGTAGGAGGCGAAGTTGTAGGGGGTTGAGTTGCGGGGGGTGATGTAGTTGCTATAACTGAACAATCCTTAAAGGTGATGTCGTCGATAGCAATGTCACCTCGGAAGTCCACGCCACGAACACCCTCAAAATACACCTGAACCAAAAAAAAGTTTCTTAGATTCAAAACTTATAATTATGCAACCGTTTTGGGAAAAAAGCCGGAGCGGATGGTTTATGACTGTGTTTGTAATATCACAGTTGCGGGGTAGGTGGTCTTTGTTGTTGCAATAAGATACAAGAAAAAATTACTCAGCTCTAATTGGTTAAGATAAATGCAATTTTCAGGTTATTCAATGCAAAAGAGCGTTAATTTAGTGCAAAGAAGTAACAAACCAGACTGAACAATTCCTTGAACTGTTTAGTCAGACTTTGAACTTTTTTGTGCCTTAAAGATGTGAAAATATCATTGTATCTTCTTGTTTTAATCGCACGCGGTTGTTTTGACCGAACGCACAATGTCACTTGCGGGTTTGAATAAGTTACTTTTGCACCTGATGCGCGCGCTTTGCTTCTGCATAATTATGAAAAGCTATCTCGTATTTTTTCATGTATATTATTAATACGTAATCACATGAGTTTTCTCATGCAATTTGGAATAAATAAGCACTTGTAAAACTCGTGCAATTTTGTTAGTCCTTGAAAAAAATTTACTCGTGCTTATTTATTCCAAATTGCACTCGAAATCATATGATTACCTATACGAACGATGAAAATTACCTTATTACCTCGGATAAGTGCTCGGGTGCTTAATTAGAATTTAGGCTAAAAGGAGGGTCGCTAAATGTAGGGGGGGCGCTTATTAATCTCCTGTAATGGTTCCGCTTTAATTGAAGCTTCATAATTTGAAAAAAAAACCAGATCAAATAGCTTTCCCTTAAATCCCTACTATTAAACACAATGAGGGAAGAGGGGTGGGGCGCTAATTCGGGGGAGGGCGCTATCACAGCGTGGGTGCTTATTCGAGGAAATACGGTATTCATGGTATGTACCTGATATGGCACAGAACTGGTGACCTCGACACTGGCTTGCTTCCATTCATTTCCCTGTTCGCCAGACTTTTCCCAGACAATTCTTTGGTCAGAGCCGTCATTATTCTTTACTAGAACAGAGAGCTTTCCAATTCCAGAACCCAGCATGTGATACCAGAATGTGAGTGAATGACAAGATCCGGCTGAAAAGAGTTGACTGTAAAAGCAATTCGTGCCTCCGGTTTGGGCAGGCGAAGACGACTCAAAATATATATAGTTTCCTTAACAAAATGCAAAGAGAACACACGTAAATGTTAATATTTACCCTCTGCTGAGTAAGTCAGCCAGTCAACCAGTCAAACAGACAGTAGGTCAGTTGATCTCTGAGCTTAGTCAGTCGGTCAGTCAGTCGATCAGTCTATCAGCCTGTCAGTTAATCGTTTATTTGAATAAGGCATAAACCTGGGCTTACTTGTGCAACAGGGAAAAATTGTTTGAATTTAAAGTTTGATAAAATTCATCTGATAAGACATGAAAACAGCTTAAGGTAACAAAAGAAAGCGGCCTAGTTAGTTCCAAATGGTTACGAGCCTTGCCTGAACCGGAAGTGTGGTCGCCAGCGGGTCCAGTCCCTGAACTTCCGGTTGGTCCATCATGACGATACCATCTGGGATATTTGTTTGTATCACAAAAAGTCCAGTGACACAGTCCACCCATCTCAAACTCACAGTCGTAAGGACCTGAAATAGAAGAGAACTGAGAATGGATTGCAGGATTCTGGGAGATCTCAATCAACAATTGGCTTCAAAGTGTCCTTAAGAAATTCGTTCACTCAAGCATAGTTTCGTTTGGGAAGCAGTGGAAATATCTCTCCTGGCTGAAAACTTACTATAACATTGCATATAAAAAAACTCATGGTATATTGCAATTTCTTAGTTCTAATTGGTTTTCAGGTCGTGGTATCTGAGCTCATAGACTGTGGACCACAGGTATGGTAGGATTTCGTTTTGTTACAGATTTTGAGATATATCCGTGGGTGTTAATAGGATAGTTATGCTCCTGAGGCTTGTCGGATAGTAGAAAGTTATGAGCCAAGTGAACATATCTGTCGTATCTTATGCAACGTGACCTCATCCAAACTCTGTTCTGTGATTAGTTCTGTAAACTCACGCCATCCTCTCGACCAATCAGGTACAAAACTGTAATCAATCACGACTTGGTCTGAAGCGTTTTTCCGCTTTACAAGGTTTTAGTTTTACGAAGTGCAATTGAAAGCTTCTCTAAAACAATTGTAAAATAGGATCACTGACAAGCTCAATGAGGGAAAAGAAGAAGAGACAGACGGCAGGTTTGATATTTTTTGGTTGCGCCTCTCGACGAAGGAGCCTGAAAAGCTCTTTATTTCTTACCCAAATGACAGCCTCGCATTACACACTCTCCGACTTGCTCATCATCTCCATCACAATCTTTCCCGCCATTTTTTGGTTGAGGCTCATTGCACTGCCTCGTCCTGGTGTATGTTCCCTCGTCACATGACACACTACAGGAGGACCATGATGACCACTTTCCCCAGTGCCCATCGATCGGAGCTGAAAAGTGATTTGAAGAAAGACATACTGCCTGTTCCCTTTTCATTGAATTATTTGGAGAGAGGGTATTAGACCTGTCTTTGAGATGGAACACTTCTGAATCAAAGGCTTAAAAAGTTGGACTCACTCAGGGTTCACAAACTGCCAGATAACAATAACCTTTAAATTTTTGGTGGTTATATTGTTGGTGTCCTTACCATAACATTTTTCGTCGCTGCATTGTTCCGTCTGTGATTGTATTCCGTAGGAATCTGCACCGGGACAGTTGTTTAAATCATGTGATGCGCAAAACCGCTGACGTGTGTGTCTGCACTGACCGTTGCACGGACCAAAGTCTGTCCACGAACTCCAACCGTTGCTGGGGCCTGGGAAAGAATAATTGTCTCATGCTTTGAGTGCTGTATGAAGCGGAATCAGTTCAAAGAAAATCTTTAATCACTATAATTTTTAGCTCCCTTCAACTGTGGAAACGTCTTCGGGCTTTATTCGATTCCATTTCTTTTTAACCTGAAATTTACTTCTTTAATCATACAGAGAAGTCGCTTACCTGAGCAATCATAGAGCGCATTTATCTGAGCGATATCAGTTTTACTGAACCCATCTCGTTGACCCAATTTCGTATTTGGATCACCAATTGCTTGTATTGTTGGCTGACCATTTATGGAAAAGCTAGTTTTCCCATAATGCATGATGCTACCCGTGTCGTAAACTTCATTTAAATAATCGATCCGCACAGTATCATATTTGTTGAAATTGTGTTCTTTTCCTGTATAAAAAACAACAACAACAACGACAGACAATCGGAATAACATCCTGTCCTTCTAAACACAAATTCTTCCCAATTTTAGTCCCCAAGCATCAATTGTTAGAGCCAGACTCCTCGCAGACCTCTTACCGGCTTGCTTTCCTTAGAACAAAACTAATAAACATTTTCATAGTCTTCGACTTGGACCCTACTTACATGGTATCGAGCACCCTAGACAACCCTCCCACCCGAAACAACTTCTACAGAGCGCACATTTAGAGTTGTGAGTTCTAATAGCTGTTCACTCGCCAGTCTCTCTTTCGCAACAGTCCCTCTCTCGCGACAGCCCCTCTCTCGCGACAGCCCCTCTCTCGCGACAGCCCCTCTCTCGCTACAGTTAGGTAAGTTACATATCGGACAAAATGATCTCCGCCGACCTTAAACACACGGGCTCTGGAGACAATCTGAGCCGTCTCGTCTCGGGTAGGCGAGCTAAAGTTTTTATATGAAAAAAGTTTTCCTACCCAACAGGGTATCCCTACATGCCGAAGTGAGACGACTCTCCCTCCCGAGCTGAAATAAGTTAGCTCAGCCGGGGTAACTCTGGGTTGTCTTGAGTACTACAAACCATATGGATGGACCCTTAGAAAAGCGCTGAATATGAAAAACTTAGTTAAGCTTATTCTGACGTAACTACATCCGGGAAAGGCATGAATCACATTTAGTTACCAGGCTCAATATTCTCCCACATAATTTCCACATACTGGTCACGGTCATAGCGGGACTGTTCGTGCCAAAAGCCGATGGCGTGCATCATCTCGTGCATGGCAACCCCTCGATGGTTGCAACCGCTCCCTAAAGAGATTGTTTGTGAACCAGTTACCCAGTAGTTCATTCCAACTGATGAAAAACATCTGCAGGGGAACAGAAAAGAGTCGAAGAAAACAAATCAAACACAAACCTTGTACCCAGATCCCCTACAGCTAAATGTTTTTAGACTACAACACAATGTTGCTTGAGAAGGACATGGACACGAGATAAGAAATAAACATCTCAAAATGCAAGATTTCCTCTCCACCAGAAACACATCTTTTTTCACTGATGAAACGCCAAGGCTTTTTCTGTTTCTAACTCTGTTTCTTCAAAGGTATTTTAAAGGAAATACTAACCTTAGCCTTACTACAACCCATTTCCTTACCCTGATTGTTTCTCAAAAGTTACCCATCTCTCCTCATTTTCTCGTGGTTTCCATTTCACGCATGTGTGTTGCGTAAACTGGTTAATGGCCTCCTGGATAGTCTGTTCATATCCCTCTTGCTCTGAAAGAAAATAATATTTTCCTAAATCAAATTATACGGTACTTTATGGGGCAGTTTTTTCTTGGTTTGATAATTTTTTCAAACAAATGGAAATGTTTCAAAATAATTTCTCAAATTAAAAGAAGAAAGTGCCTAAATTTATCGGTAAGAAAAACCTGCTAACTGACATCATCATATAGCAAACTAAACTTCCATACTTAAAAGTTTTATGAAGAACATGAATGTCACTTCTCTGGTACAATGTGTCGCAAATAAACCCTTCGTTCTCGCCCTAATTATAGTAACACGAGAAAACTTAAAGCAGGAAACATCTCACTGAGTATATCCGAGATTTCATAGGGAACAATCTTTGCCGTCCAGATATATCTTCTCAACCGTTGAGCATTTCTCTTTTCCCTTTCCTGGTCATTCAAACTTGATTCGTCCGGATTGGGAGACAGCACTATGTCACCTTCAAAAAGATTCGGTTCAATATCCACTTCTGTAGCAAAAACAAAAATTAAGAAGTTAATAAATAAACATGTAAGCAGTTGTATCGTTAGATGATCTCGGTTTTCGAGCTAAGGGACAGATCATTATGTCGCCTGGGGGGTTAGCTTAGGGTTAGGGTCACATGATTTTTGTTGTGCCACGATAAAATTTGCTGATCTCCCCACAAGGCTCTGTAATGTTCTTATGATCTCTTCCCCCCGCTGCTCCACCCCCCCCCGCTGCCCCACCCCTCATTGACAGTTCATTCACAGTCAATTTTCTTTTGTCCATATTTGATACTCCGCTGCCGAAGACTGATCCTTCCATCTGTTCCCCTGAAAACCACGCGTTTCCCCAAAAGTCCTTCACCCCTCCTCTCCGACGATAAATAGTGACTAGTGCTTGAGTAACCCTCAATGCCGAAACTAATCTTGATTTCTGTATTCTGTAGCATGAAGCAATCTTAGATGTTGCTACTCCCCCCGTCAGCAAAACACATGCAACGAGATATGCTTTGCAAACATATACTTTTAAAAAAAACATTGCGAAGCTTTTCTGGACGCTGTATCTAGCACTACAACAAAGATCGATAGCGCACGAACAACTTGCTCCCTGAGAGACCTGGTACTGAGTTGGTCAATCAAAGTTAACAAAGTCGATCGAATCGCTGTAACCCACTTCTACTTGTGAGTGGAAAGGGAATCTTTATGAATCAAGTATCTTGCTTCAGGGCATATACATCCCGCCTGGGCTGAGACCTGAGCCTTTTTTTTTAACTTCCGCCAGAGGAAATGCCGAATATTTAACAAATAGAGAAGCCTTGACTGTGCTCTGTTCTGTTATAAAGCACGCAGGAAGCGGCTAGAGCACTCAAGAAGTGGGAAGAAACACTCGACTACGTCTCGTGTTTCTCCCAACACTTCTTTCGTGCTCTAGCCGCTTCCTAAGTGCTTTATAACAGAACAGAGCACAGTCAAGGCTTCTCTATTTGTTTTATAATAAAGAATCCGTTAAATTCCCCATGTATTACTTTCAATTTTCAAAACAAACTTTATTTCCAAAGCGAAGAACAATGTCGTCAGCATGCTCTATACTCTCATAGAGCACGCTACAATAAGCCAATCAGAATCCCTGTTAGAATGGTTCAAATAATCTGATTGGCTGTACAAGACAAAAGCTGTCAAAAGTGTCAAACCATCAAAGTTCAAAAACCATCAAAGTTCACACTCTGCGATAGTTTACAAACTAAAATAATTCGGTAGGTCGAATTTAACGCTTTTGCCTGAAGTTTTTAATTCAGAATCTTGAAGTAAAATGTTCAGTGAACTTCAGCCGAATCATGGCTCATAAAAACACGCGGGTTTTTTCACATGACAAGGTAGAAAACAAACTGTTCAAGGCGAGTGTTTTTTAAATGAACGACAGCCGAATTCACCGGAACATGAAGATCGCTCGGGATGACAGCGCCGTAAAACTCGGCTGCAGTGACTGAAGTGACTTTCCACTCAACACATTGGAAAGGATATCAGAGCGAGCTCTTATTTTTCACTCGAAGGGCGGCATGATAAGTGAACCGCGATGGACTTCAGCATGATCATATTTGCTCAGACACCGTCATGATTAGTATGAATTTTAACAATTATGTCAGTTTGGTTATATTTTTCATCATTTCTGTTTTGTTCTGTTTTGTTTTTGAACTCTGGACTTTATATACTATACGAGTGTTGGCTGTGTTTGATTTTCATTACCGTACGTAAGCTTGCAATCTAACTGAGCGTGAAAATCTTTAAAACTCGGAATGTCTATTTTGTTTTTCCTTTGAGGATTTTCGTATCTGCCCACGTTTTAATAACGTAAATAACGGCGCCTGGTATGTTTACAAACCTTTCTTTGGTTCTTCTGTTACTACTTGCCGGCTCGCTTGTTCCGAAATTTCACCTTCAATTATCGGAAAAAAGCTAAAAAGAAGTCCCGGAAAAGGTCGAACATGGTACAATTTGGCAGATGGCGTGACAGCTTTAGCTCAGTTCTATGCTCTATACTCTCATAGAGCACGCTCTTTCAACCAATGACAGCGCGCGTTATATCCGAACTTTATTATAACATCTTATAACACCCTTCTTGCGGGATTCTTCACAGGAAGAGATCACTTGCTTTAAAAAAAACAACAGATCCAAAGGAAGCTAAGGAATACATGATTCGTTTAAAGAATGCTATGATTTTTTTCGGTTTTGGCAGCGGTTTTTTAGCAATTTAAACCACAAACCTTGATTAATTACGTCGATTATTTCTAGAGCTGTTAGATCTGAATCATCCAGTTGAGGTCTGTTGTCACCTGTAAGAAAGTATTGAAGAGAGCAGTATTTCAGCAGTTGTATTACTTTATCAAAAAACTGAGTTACTTGACCTTGAAGAGGTGAAAACTCCGAAGTAAGGAGTTACGAGTTCGACGATGTAAAATTAATCAAAACCGGTCGATATCCAGGGATGATGGTAAAAACGAGAACAAGTCTAGAATCTAGACACAATCCTCGTAACTTAAGATTTTCTTTTCACAAGCAGAACGCGATGATTATTGGTAAAATAAATTTTCCTCTTGATTTGAAATATTTTGAACGAAAAACGCTCCACTGGTAGCTCTATGAGGAAGAATTTCGTGATGGTGTAAGAAAATTCACGAATCAAAATGCGCATACTTTTTCTTGTAAAAGGTGCGATGAATTTTGAACAAACTTTTTTATTTTCAACTCATAGATTCACGAAAAGGAAATTTATCTGAGAATGTGAAAGTGCTATAACTTAATGGAGAACTCATAATAACATATGATATATGTGTATCTTTTTTACTCCGCCCTTTGATTCAAATCTGAAAATTGATAACATAAATAAATATTGCGAAGTGTTCTTTTAGATGTTTAGATAGTAAAGTAAATGGCAGGCTTAGTATGGTAAATAAATGACATCTTCCAAATGAAAGGTTTCTATGCAGGAAGTTGCGTCGCACAAGTTTCAAACTTATCAGTAAACGCAGTAAGACTTCCTAGTGAAAAAAGACTGTATTGCACAGGAAAAATGATAATTTTACTTGTATGTTGTCTTGATTATTCCTATTGTAGTCACAACACTCTTAAGATTTTTCTCCGTGTGCATTAGGGATCAACGATAGTTTTTTTAGTGACATTGAAAAAAACAAATATATATTCTGCCTGGGTTGACACTGTATCCAACCTGTTTCAATGAAGGGGCTAAGGTTTCTAAAGAAAATGTCGTGCTGCGTCGGTGGGAGAGTGACGGTTGCCAATTTACGTTATCAACTCAGTTGATAATACTAAATTACCCTTTATCAATGAAGCTTCTCCAGGAATAATGTTTTGGCGAACGCAAGTTCTCCAGAATTTTAACTTGTCAGTTTGATGCTCAAAAAGTCAACCTCTAGATCTTGATCAAAGGAAGAAGTCAATCATGATGATCTTCATAATATCTGTAGTTTTTTCATCTTCTTAACCACTAGATCGACGAAATTTTAGCTAAATCACCCAACAATCAAGATTCTTACTTTAGAATTTCAACCCTCGCATTTTGATACGATAAGTTAGAGAAGAATCATTCCGAATAAACTTGTAGTAGCTAAGATGCTTAGATATAACATTATACCTGGTATATCGCTCAGGATGGGTATACCTCTTCCTAAAGATGCTTGAATCAAAGACAAAATCATTACTATGGCCAGCATTGTGATCTCCTAGGAATTCAACTACGCTCTGTTTTCAAATGAACAGATCAAACTTAACGGCAGCTATATAGTCAGCTCTTGTCAATAAAACAGGTGCCATTTCACATGTTTGTTTACACCATTTTATAGATTTGACACTTGTTTAAACAAGTTCCCTAAACAAGCAAAATATACAATTAGAGAAAATATGAAGATCTAGATGCTGTCACCTTAAGTAATCAAGTAGACAGTTGTTTGTTGATGAACTATGGTAATGTTAAGTAGTAAATATTTACCATAACAATGTAGGTTCGATTCATGTCGAAATTGTTTGAGGATTTCCTGTCAGTTGTTATCAATAATCGTATGCCGCCGTGAAAACAGAGCGATTCTTCTTCACATTGGATATTGAAAAACTCAGGGATCAGGAACAGGCACTTTCGTCATTCACATCTGGGCCAGAACTGTTACCGTAATGATCGGAAAAAGTATAAATATCTCCAAAAATATTTTGCATTCGTGTTTCGGAATCACGAAATCACAGAAACTTGTTTACTCACCAGCTTTTTGTACTACGATTTGGCCTGTCTGCGCCGATTTCTTCTTTTATAAATCATGTACGACTTTTATCATCGAAAAATGTGTTGCGGAGGGGCCACGACGTGTCGAAATGTTGTAAAATATGTCTAAGTTCCACCGTTTTTTCATATTCTTTGTGAATTTCTTTCAAATATGACAAAATTATGATTTAAATAGGTGACACGACTTCTGTTATCTAAGCGTGTGTGTGTCGCAACCTCAAATCATATCTGCGAGTCGTTACAAAAAATTGGAAATAAAATCCAAAACCGTGGAATCGCGTTTTGCCGATGAGGGTAGTAAGTGTCAATAAACGCAAATAAAAACTTGACGCTGATATCAACATGTCCTTGATAACCAAGTGCTTGTTTCCCACGATTACAATGCTGTGTAAACATAGTATAGGTAAATGTAAGTTTGTTTTCCTCAATTTTATGAACAGAATCACGTACTCGAGAAACAAGAGAAACTAAGGAGTATTTTGTTGTATTTTTGTCTGGTAATAAAACAATTTAAAACGAGTCCTTGTCGGAAAAACGTCTTATAAACTGTTCTTTTTAGCCTCCAGTTTCAAGAAAAAAAATTTAAAGTGTTATTTAAAGTGACTCTTTCTTTTTTTAAATTTTATTTGATCTACCTTCTTAAGGGAGGGATTAAAGATTCCAGATTGACAAAAGAAACAATGTTTTTCAGGGACGAGGGACCGACGATCACTTCCGTCAGAACAGAAGATGGGGGAAGGGGAGGAGGGGGTGGGGAAGAGAAAAACCAAAATGTTGTTTAAGACAAAGATTTGTTTAGTTAATCTTCTTAAAGATTACTAAAGTGTATGTAGGAACACATTGGTAAGTGGTCTTTGCATTCCATTTACCGAACTTTCTCTGAGAAAAGGAACACTGCTAACTGTCCTTAAGGTTTAGTTCTTGGTGGCCGCTCAAGGTCAAGGGGCAATTAGACGGTAGCAAAAGGGGGGAGGGGTGGGGTTCCTGTTCCTGTTTCACTCACGAGTTTTTGAAAAATTCACACGTCATGTTTTTAAAAGGGAAAATTTCAAATCTCTCTTCTTGTGCACAAGGTTTCAGGGAAATCTTGATATTTCTACGAAATGAAAGAAAAAAATTCACGGGTTACGTCTATTTCAGGAGGCAAATCACGTCTGACGCTGGTTACTAATAAATTCACGAATGACGCTCGCCGTTGCTACCCTCTAATGAAGTAAAACGTCACTAACAAAGGAGCTGTAAAAGGAGATCGAATGTTTCCCAGAAATTGTTTATCTTCAGGTAAATACTTTCTGCTTCAAAACATCTAAAAGATTATGAACGATAAAAGTGTTTTATTTCTCAGAGATGCAAAATACTAAGTTGAAGGAAAGACTCTCAGTTTCATAAACAAACCACCGTACTCGTGTGAACGGCCGGAAATGTAATGATTCCATCCTGCATGAATTTTATGTATGTACTTAGCTTCCGGTTATGCACCGTTACCCAAATTTATTCCACTCAGTAACGTGCACGTTGATATATTTGTTGCCAACTTGATTCTACAAAGAGTGCCTCGAAAAGGAAAAATCATTGTTTGTACTAAGTTTTTCTTTTCATGTTAGTTTGACATTAAAAACCTCTTATTATAAATATATGTTGACGGCTGGGAGGTTCGTATGATGAAAAACTGTGACCTCGGTCTTGAAAATGCTGCCCGAGGCCTAGTTTGGCAAGGACTGCCACGACAATGTTTTCTTCAAAAACAGTCAATGATCTAACAGATAGTATTATTCACTCTCATCGACGATTAATTCATGTACTAAAATTTACTTCTGTTCATTAAGCAAACGGCGAGGAAAGTAATTGTAAATAAATTCAAATTTTTTTACTTTGAAATTGTGACAGTTTGCTCGTTTGTTTGCTGCAATGGCGTGTGTAAATCTGGTCTTTCCTCCCCAAAAACTACATTCAAATGATACACTCCAACGAGACACAAGGGGATTTAATGCGGCCTTTTCATTGAATTCCTTCGGTTTCTGTTGTGTAATTTACGGTACAAATTGAACGGACTTGGAAAGACTCACCGAGAGCGTATATTTGTTGTAGAACTGAAATTAAAACCTCGTTCGCCCTTTCTCAAATTGTTTCAGAAAATTCAGATATTAAATGAATGAAAGTTCCATCGATTAGTTCAACTGTAACCAAATACCTCACGTTTTAACTTTCTTGGTACTTTTGTGAACGATTAAAATTAATTGCAGACGGTGTTTAGGCCGCTTGCCAACCAACGTAATGACACTATTGCTTATACAAATTCATTCTGAAACCAATATTTTTCTGTCAACCAAAGTGATTTGAGAGAGAGAAAAGAGAGGATTAAAAAGTTATTAATCGACTTGAGGTAGCTAGTGACCGATTTCTATGCTTAAAATTACTGCTCAGCCGGAAAAACGAGATATATGTATGAAAAATGGCAACGAAAGTAGGGATGTACTCGGCGACTCACGAAAGCATTGAGGTGTGGACGTCTTGTATTCTGCAGCATACACCTTTATTGATATCTGTCGGGCTAAACCAGCAACGAAACTACTCGCTACATCAAGTTACATTACAACAGATACTATTTATATATTGATTCAGGGATGACTCAGCATGAGACAGCTACTTCTAGAACATTCTTGAAGGTCACACTACAAGTGTTACCGTTGCCCGTGGGCAGAGGTAAGAAAATACGGACCATGTAAAGAACCAATCAGATAGCAGGATTCGTTGCCGTGCCTTCTGGAAAAAAAACTAAAGAATATTATACTCTGCGAATATAAAAAATATAATTGGCATGCTCTCGCATTTCATTTCGTGAGATGGTTGATTATACGTGGGACCAGGGAGAGTAAGATTTCAAGGGGAGGTGGAGGTTTCGTTCGATTCTCGTATTTCATGTATGTGACATATCGTTTCGCCTTATTTTAGACATTTATGCCTTTTTCTAGATGGTTTTAGATAGTTTTAGAGTGGCTGTAGATGTTTTTGAGGTGGTTATAGGTGGTTGTAGATGGTTGCAGGTGGTTGTAGGTGGTTTTATGTGGTTTTAGGTTGTTTTGGGTCGTTCCATGTTTTAGTACTTACCCGGCTGATGAACTTAATGAGGATTTCAGAAAGCTTTCTTTACAAAGCGCAAAGTGAAGTCTACAAAATTAAACTTGTCTAGGTAAGTGAATAAAGGGGTAAGTTTCTAAAGAAACTGTGGTGCTGCGTCGGTGGGAGAGTATAGCAGGTAATTTAGTGTTAACAACTGGGTTGAAAACGTAAATTAGCCACCGTAAAGAGTAAAAAAGCTGACGTTTCGAGCGTTAGCCCTTCGTCAGAGCTTCTTTTGCAGCTTCGCTCTGACGAAGGGCTAACGCTCGAAACGTCAGCTTTTTTACTCTTTACGGTGGCTAATTTACGTTTTCAACCCAGTTGTTAACACTAAATTACTTGTCTAGGTAAGCTTGTCTTCTTTATCGTTTTGTTAAAAGACCTCGTTATACTTGGAATTATACTGATTCCGATAAAACTAGCAGAGACATGGTGGCCTAACTGTCAAGGTCATTGTGTTTTGTTCTTTTGCGAGACATTTTACTGTGGGTAAGCACCAGGGTGTATAAATGTACCAACAGTTCAGGTATAAAAAAAAAAATGAAAATTGAATAAATATGTGTAGGCAAAGCTTTTAAGCTTTCGAGCTCTTCTCAACATTCTAGAGAATGAAGATTCTTCTATGGAGCCCGATGAGATAATGCTTAAATTCAAACACAGCAAAATTGAAATAAATCTAACCAGTTGTACAATATTTTTCGTACACCTAAAAACTCAAGGATTTTTTCTCCTTTAAAATGAACGTCTTTCATTTTCCTTTTGACTCGTGGAAACGCGATAGCGTAGAAACGAGTTGTTGTGGGTACTTTGGGATGTGTAAATTGGCGTGGACTCCTCGTAATTAGTCGTAATTAGTCGGCTCCGAACTCGAGATCTATCCTTCCAGAGAAGTCCGAAGTCCTGGTACCATTGTGATTGCATCGATCGTTGCGATGTTTATTGTATTTACACGGCAGTTTCGAAGGTTCCAGATTAGCGCTATGATCAAATTAGAGACCAAATCTGAAGGGTCTTCGAAGAGTCCATGCGCTAAACATAACGAGGAGCAGCGAGAATCACGAAGAGTTTGTGAGTGCGTGCAAGCTGTGGACATGGAAATTCCTACGGGAACATGTACCCAGGACATAAAAAAAAATGTCAGTTTACTGCATCGAACGTTTCGGCAGCTACGCTAATTTCGGTCTTTTCGTTATGGTCGTTTCGTTTCATTGTTTTTCTATGCAAACGCGACTGTTTTGATAATAAAAATGATATATGATCGGTTTCTACAAGTCGTTACCGAGCACGTGACCATAATTTGGCCGGTGTTGTTTTGATCACTTGACGGTCTCCCAATTAATTTCTATCGCATCCGTGTAAAAAAAAAATGCAAGTATATGGGTGTACTGAGAAACAAAAGGGAAATTCAAAACTAAGAGAAATTTAGAGTAATCTGTTACGCCTCCTTGGAATGGAGAGTTAGACGAGTAGTTTAGACATGTCGGCCTCTTCTGCTGCACGTGGGTCTTTTGGTGCAACATGCGTGTGTTTCCCATAGGTTACAAGAACTTTACGTACGTGGGAGTGCTGCAATCACGGTATAAGCAGTACAAGGTAGAATGGTTATCGTCAACCTGGAGTGATTATGTGCGACATTTTGCTTCATCAATCTTTGCCATTTCTAACACTTGAATATTATGAATATTAATTCAGAGGGGGGGTAAGGGTTAAAATTCTTGGAGGCTAACAATGTGCCGCTGGATAGGGTCGCATTTTCACGACTGCAATGACTTTTATGGCGTTGCATTTTCAGCTATTTTCAGTAGAGTTACTAGAATGGGGTTACACATTTTTGAGATTTAAGGCGTAAGAAATTATGGCAAGTAAGGATTCACCAGCAGGAAGATTCGTGGTAAAAGAGTTGTTACCGTATTTTAATATTTAGTAAACGGCTCCCATTCCATTCCGGTCTTTCCCAAAAGCGGACAAAGATGAGGTCTATAACTGGCCAAAACATAGGCTAAAATACGGCAGAGGTTCTGAGAAGCCAGCTGCACATACCCAGCAAAAAAAGACCCATGTACCCCCCTCCCGGGGGGTTTCCATCTCATACTCAAGCATCTGCTGACTGCGCGAGCGGGTAAAATATGTATAAGAAACTAACTATGGGTGTGAAGTGAAAAACATGTCACAAAATTAAAATCAAATTCTAAATTGCATATTTTCAAATGAGAAAAATGTTCATCCTCTAAATCAGGCTTCAGTAGCCCAAGGTCCTAAAAATGACTGATGTGATGATCCACTGAAATTCCGACATAATGATGCATTGATTTTTAGCTGTAGATTGCATGAGTATTGAAACGGAAATTTTAATTTGTTTTAGTCTTTTAAGGTAATCAATGCATTTATTTCCTTGTTGTTTTGTAGGCCTCAAGAGAAAATGCCAAGAAGCGGTTACAGCAAAATATCTAGTGATGATGATGAAGAAGTCAGTTTTACATCCGCTCTTTTCTTTCGTTGGATGAACGGCGTCCTCAAGACAGGCAGTCAAAGACCTTTAGATCAGGATGACTTTTTACCGTTACAAGAAGAGAACTCGGCCTGTTTTGTCACCGAGAAGTTTCGAGAAAGCTGGGAAAACAAGAAAGTTCACTGCAAGAAAAATGGGAAAAAACCCAAGTTGTGGAAAAGCGTGTTTCAGATGCTCTCTGTTGAAGATGTCATCATTATTTTGTTGGGAAATAGTTTGTTTACAGCATCTCGCCTTCTCTTTCCATTGCCTCTCGGATATCTTGTTGCCAAACTAATGTCAACTGAGACAGGCCATTCTATTTCCCCCTACGCATGCGCTTTGGCTTTGTGTTTCAATGCTTTGATCGGCAGTCTTGGAATGCATCATCAAGACTATAAAGGAGAAGTGTTGGGGATTCGAATAAGCAGCGCCTTGAGAGGTCTGGTGTACCACAAGGTAAGTAAAATTCTGCTTAATGGTACTAAGGCATTTTTCTGTTATTCCTAAAATTCTTCAGCCCGGGTTAGACACTCAAAAAAGAAAAAAGTTGCCCATCCGATCCGGAATTGCTATTTCCAGAACTTAAAATCTTGTTATCAGTTGCTGCCTCTGGGAGCCAGGGAACGATATCACTGAATTAAGCGATGAGGCAAATTTGTTTTTGTGCAAAAAGCTGAAAATTGTGGGGCAAAATAGTGCGTGGTCGCCACAATCACAACAACGCGATTTCTCCAGTCAGCAGTGTGGTTAACGATGTCAGTTATTTGTTGTATAAGTATAGGTGAACAATCTCACTAGAAATCATAACAAATATATCTTCATCTGTCAGAAAAATTATTTCTACTGGGGCGACGGACTTAGTCGAAAATCAGGGACTGCTCGTAGTCTCATAAATTTGAGAGAATACTTACTCTGTCTTACTCCAAACAAACGAACAAACGAACCGGCAAATGAACAGTGTGAGTCAATTTGATGTCCTTAATCATCTGCAGACGCTTCTTCTCAGCAAGCAGACGTTACTGAAATTCACAGCTGGACGCGTAATTGACCTGATATCCAATGACGTGAAGCGAATGGAGGAAGAGACCATCAAGTTTTTTTTCTTGACCATTTTCGCATTCTTTAGCACTGCGGGATCAATGTTCCTTATCACATATTTGATTAGCTGGCAGGCTGTTGTGGGAGTTATCTTCATGTGTTTCTTACTGCCGTACTTTGCGGTCATGTCCTACTTCAGTGCTAAGCTGCGCCTACGCACGGCAGCCGTTTCCGATCAGCGCATTTCTTTGATGAACCAAGTTGTGTCCGGGATCCGCGCGATCAAAACGCATGCGTGGGAAGATGAATACCGAGAAAAAATAAAGCATACTCGAAGGTAAGGCCAGACGTTATGTCAACTCAGGAAGTCAGAGGCTAAAAATCTCCAGTCTCGATGAGGTGATGGCTTTTACGGCAAACGATTAAAATTTGGGCCATTAGACTAACGGTTTACCCAAATTGGTGTTGGAGATGGGAATGATTTTTACGGTTAATTTTTTTACAACTAACGGTTAAAATTTGTCAATTTTTACGCCTGATGGTTAAATGATTTGGCTGTTTCACGGCTAACGGCTAACCTCAATGAGATCCTCAACTTAGCAATCATAGTTATGGAAAGTAAATTTATTTTTGATTGAGGTATTCTGAAAGTGGTTCTGTAGGTATTTCACAATTATTCCACGAGCATACGTTTGATGCGAGATTATACCATCGCAAGCAGATTAATTGTAGTATTACAACATTTCCATCCATTTTGAAATCATTGGTGCTCCTCGCTATCTGATTGGCGTTCATTGGTGCCAGTTATTAACGAATCGCTCCATTTATTGCTCTAAATCGCATCTTTTTCCCAGCTAATGAGAACGTCTACTAAAAAAAAGAGTATCCAATCAGACTGCAAGAAACTGAAAGACAACTTCTGCAACTTTTTACAAACCAGGTCGGCACTAGATCAATAAAATATTTGTACAGACTAAAAAATCCTGTATTTGAGCGACTGAATTTTGCGATTTCAAAATGGATATAAAAACGCACGTGGTAATTGAACTTCGTGTCGTGCACTTTTGTCTGAAATCGTACTTTTCATTTCAAACCATGCTGTGTATGATATCAGGCGAATGTTCACTCTGTTCATTTACCATGATTATTGATAGAATTGTCCAAGGTTAGATATTCCTGTCGATACTTGTAGAATTTCGATCTAACTTTAAACTAATCAATCTTGCTGCTATCGACGGAAGGGTGGACTGCTGAAACGAATGACTCCCCATGGGGCTTTATTGAAAAGTTCCTCAGTGTCTGATTTGAAAAATACGTCAATAAATAATTTATGTAACAAATTTTATTATTAAACTTTGCATAAATATTTTTCTATCGTTTGCGGCGAGATTGACCTAGATTTGAAAATTTATTGGCAACAAATTTTGTGAGCCCTTCTGATTTGTGATTTTTACGCATTTTTAGGTATGACATTCCACTGAGCATTCGCATATAACATGGGATGAAATCTTATTTTCAGGCATGAAATCAGTGTCATTTCGAAGAAGACAGCTATTAAGTCAACCATTGATGCTTTGATTTACTCTGTGGTTCCATTGGCTACTCTTGTTTCAGTAATTGTCATGGTGTTAACGGGACAACTCCTCAAACCTCCTGATGTTTTTATGCTCCTTTGCTTTATGCGAATACTTAAAAATAGCTGCTTCTATGACTTGCCCGTTGGCTTTATGGGAACATATGCATTCGTTTCGCTTGGAAGAATCGAAGAATTTCTTCTTTTGGATGATTTGTCTGAGACCTCATTTGGTGATGAATGTAAAAAAGACAGACTTCAAACAGAAAGTGGCTTAACTAAACCAAATATCTGTTGCTCAGATAGCCAAGCTGAAAATATGAGCCGAGACAATTCCTACTTTGCGTATCAAGAAAAAGACCCAATACCTACCACTCTATGTGTTTCGAATTTGACGTGCAAGCAACACCTTCGTGAAGACGAGTTCATTCTCCAAGATATCGACATAGTCGTACCTCCACAGAGTTTAACAGTTATCACCGGACCAGTAGGAAGTGGAAAATCTACTCTGCTCTCGGCGAATGCCGGTGAAATACCTTACGCGAGTGGAACAATTAAATACCAAGGTTCTGTCATTTATTTGCCTCAGTCTGCTTGGGTGTTCTCGGGAACGATAAGAGAAAACATTTTGTTCGGTCAGCCTTACGAAGAATCCAAGTACGAAAGAATAATCGAGGCTTGTGCTCTGAAGGAAGACATTCAGCGGTTTCCTGATGGCGACCTAACAATTGTGGGAGAACGTGGTGAAGTTCTGAGCGGAGGGCAACAAGCGAGAATTAGTTTAGCGCGCGCAGTTTATGCTGACGGAGATCTCTATCTATTGGATGATCCACTGAGTGCTGTCGATTTTAAAGTTGGTAAACATATCTTTGAAAAGTGCATGAAAGATCTACTGGGTAACAAAGTTCTTCTTTTATCCTCTCACCATCAACAGCACATGGAAAATGCCGGCCAAGTGATTGTGTTGAACAGGGGCCGTGTGCTGGAGAAGGGACGATTCATTGAGCTACAAGAACAAGGCATAATTAGCTCAATTGTTGACCCGCATTTTAAAGCATCTACGAAGAACAACACTGAGCCATATGAGACGGTTGGGTTGGAGACTAAGGAGAAACACGATGACATTGACAAATGTCAGGAAATACTTCCCCTGCCCAATGCGGGCAAGAGTTTGGAGATAGCACCGGAGGATCGCACAATCGGAGTGGTAACGTCCAAGCTTTATTGGGACTACTTCACAAGAGGAGTGCATCCCTTAATGACTATTGGAATGGGCGTTTTATTTCTCATCTCTGAAGGTAAACTAACACCTAGACTGAGCATTTACTCAGAGTTAGATCCAAAACATTAAATGTTAAAACAACTTTTTTTCATTCCCTTTTTCTTCTTTATTGAATGTTGTAATACAATTTACCTTGCAGTACTCTCAGTTCCTAGGTAAAGCTTTACTTACGAGAAAAAGAAATTTGCTAACTCAACCGCGCATCTTTGTTTGTTTGTTTGTTTTTTTTTTCAGCTGCCATAGTTGCTCCGGACTTTTGGCTCTGGTTTTTAACAGAACAAAACCAAGAGGATCAGAAAAACAAGACTTATCTTTCTATTTACGCCTGTCTTGTGAGCGTGTGTCTTATATTTACCGTTGTTCGAGCTTATTGTTTCCTCCTGATTTGTCTGAGGTGCGCCGAACGTCTGCACGATAAAATGCTTTTAGCTATTTTACAAGCACCTGTTCTGTTCTTTGATTCAAATCCCGTGGGAAGAATCCTAAATCGCTTTGCTAGTGATATCGGCTGCGTGGATGAGCTGCTACCCAAAACATTCTTGGAAGCAGTGCAGAATCTCTTGTCGATATCCATCTTAATTCTGATATCGATTACCACAAATCCTTGGCTTTTCTTTCTTGCCTTTCCACTGACGATGATGGTAGTGTATATTTCCAAGTATTACTTGAAGACTGCCAGAGAGCTGAAAAGGTTAGAGTCGATATCCCGAAGCCCAGTGTTCTCTCATTTTTCGGAGACTCTGGTAGGACTGGACACGATTCGCACCAGAGGAAGGCAGGCAGATTTTGTGGAGACATTTTACAGGTAGATCAGTGACACTAACACTTATCGCGTGGTGGGGGGAGGGGGAGGAATTTTTTGGGGGATCGTATGGTTTTCAGGGAGGGCAGAGGAGTTATTTTAAGCGTGATTTTGATAAGTGTATGCTGTCTTACAAAAATTAAAAAAAAACCACAAATACAAATCAAACAACCAAACTAGCAAACACCACACACTTACTCATACACACATACAAACAAAACACCAAACAATTCATCGACGTAATTTCATTACTCAACTGTCGACAAAGTACACTTCTAAAACTGCAAATTTAACATAACGTTCAGAAAAAATTCTTATGACTGGAGTATAAATAGTTTGGGGATTCATTATGCACGAGGAAATATGTCAAATGGAACAAATATTCCAATTTACACAAGACTACACAATTTACGCGGATTTGTGGCCCGAACCTTTATCTGGATCAGAGAGGTGGACCCAGGTAAACTATATGATTATCGAAATGACCTGGGGTAAGTGGGGTGAATTACACAATGCGGGAAGTTCTAAGTAACAATTTTTCCTTTTCAATGTTTCCTTGGTATGTTTATAGTCCAAAGACCGATCTTAAGTTTATACGTAAATTGACGTCCGTAAAGAGTTCAAAAGCTGACGTTACGAACGTTAGCCCTTCGTCAGAGCGAAAGGCTAACGCCTGAGGAAGGGCTAATGCTCGAAACGTCAGCTTTAAAACTCTTTACGATGGCCAATTTACGTTATCAACTCAGTTGATAATGCTTAATTACCCTGTTATACTCCCCCACTAACGTAGCACTACAGTTTATTTAGAAACTTGCCCCCTTAAGTTTATGCGCCCTGGTTCGGCTTCAGAGTACAGCCACCAGATAAAATTGTTATCATTATTAAGCTAACTTTCTTCCTTGTGAACGTTTAATCCCGGTAGATGTCAAGATGTTCATAATCAGTCGTACATTTTGGTGATGGCCAGTGGTAGATGGTTAGGAGTCCGTTTGGATTGTCTCGCTTCCCTGTTAGTTGGTGCAGTTGCTCTGGCCGCAGTACTGGTCTCTCAAAATGCCGGTGAGCTCTACAATGACCCTGTTGTTACTTTTTCTATCTGAGAATATGTATGGTCACGAGTTTGGTTACAGCATAGTGTTAGTGAGACAGTGGCATTGGGCGAAAAAACCTGTTGTTTAATGGAGCATTTCGTGCAGTGCACATTACTCGACGTATGTCACAGTAAATAGTTAGTTTTCCTCCGGCGCCGACTATAGAAAAAAAGGAAGAAAGAAAAAAGAAAAAAAGTAACTAAAAAACAAAGCAAGACAAACTCTGCATACCCTAACATAAGTATGCATATTCTCTATACTGTTCTCTGTACATTTCCTTAGGAACTGGCCAGGAGAATTTGTTTCACAGTCAAGAGCCTCTTCAGTTGGTGATCATTTCCTTGATTCAGGGATGATATTGTAAGGAGAAATCAGATATTGGTCACTCTCTTAATAGTCCTTTAAAAAGAAACTGAGAAGGCAGTCAGAAGGCAGCGGCAGTAAGGCTGAGCATCTTAAAACTTACAACAACAGCAGAAATAACAATAATAGGAACTTAATAGTGAAATCAATTTTACTTAATTGGTCATTTACTTGGTTCAGAATTTTTAAAATGACACTCCAAATATCTTTTCAGCTTTCGCTGGCCTTTCACTTGTTTACGTCATCCAAACTATGGTAATCACTCAATATGCTGTTAGAAAAGCCGCTGAAGTGGAGAATTACATGACGTCAGTTGAAAGAGTTCTGACGTATACTAAACTTAACTGTGAGCCTGGGTACAAAGTAGAAAGACACCCCCCTAAAGATTGGCCAAGTGAAGGACGTATTGCATTCAGAAATGTATCATTGACGTATTATCCGGAAGGACCTCAAGTGCTGAAGGAAATAAATCTTAATATCAAAGGAGGAGCAAAGATCGGAGTTGCTGGCCGTACGGGAGCTGGGAAATCATCGTTAGTGGCAGCTCTTATGCGCATTCCTGATGCTGACGGAGAGATAATTATTGACGAGATTTCAATAAAAGATATAAACCTCCGACAATCCCGACGGAGTATTTCGGTCCTTGGTCAAACTCCTGTGCTTTTTAGTGGAACACTGAGAAAAAATCTAGACATTTTAGAGGAGTTTGAAGATCCTGACTTATGGCAGGCCTTAGAAGACGTGCAGCTAAAAGATTTTGTAGAGAATCTTGAGGCGAAGCTTAATCACGAATTGCTTGAACACGGTGCTAATGTCAGTGTAGGAGAGCGGCAGTTGATTTGCTTGGCTCGTGTGCTGCTGCAGCGAAGTAAGATTATTATATTGGACGAGCCAACTGCGCATGTCGACCCCGCCACAGAGCAGACGATTTGGGACATTGTACGGGAAAAGCTGAAGGACGCAACTGTTATCACTATAGCTCACCGTTTGAACACTTAAAAGACTGTCAGATGATTTTGATTCTAAAAGATGGAAGAGTTCATGAATTTGACAAATTTAATTCACTGGTGAGCACTCAGATCTGAAACTGGCATGGCTCTGAACGGACTGAGGAAAATTTTAACTTGGAGGCACGTCGCCGCATTTTGACTCCGGCTCTAGCAACCATAAACCAAAGTCCATTTGGTGCAAAAATGGAGCACCGGTTTTTTGTATCTGTAGTAAGATGATAAAAGATTAACCGTAACGATAACTGTGTGCCTTGGTTAAAAAAGCTGTTCCTCCTTTGAGAGAGCTGATCAGTTATGAAACACTTTAAAAAATCGCTAGTTTCACCCAAGTACTCGGCTTCATCCAATTGAATAATTCTTTCCCAACTATATCAATATGCAAATATCTATTTAGTGTTTTTCATCAGAAGAAAGTCCCAATCTGATTGAGACCAATTAATTAAAAGTGTGTATGTTTCTTTTGTTGCTTGAAATGCTTCTACCCGAAATTCTAAACAGACCTTCCTTACATAATAAGCTTTAAGACTCCGCGAAGGAAACAAATAACATCAAGTACTTTAGTTCTTTGATTGTTCGGCGATTGCGGGGTTGGTTGGAAACACTCATTTCACCAACGTGAAGCCACTTTAACCCCAAACATCGCACACCCTGTTGGAAACCAAACATACTTTCTGAGTTCGCTTGCTTAAGCAGAAGTTTCCATATTTCGTCTGTGAACTAACTGAATACACCTTGTAACTTGTAGAAAGATAGAATTCCGTGAGCTACATTGTTGAAGTCGCTGCGCGCTGGACAAAATCTTTGAAATTTACACTTTCGATCGCTGTTCACAGGGGTGGTCTGCCCAAAAATCATTTTTGGCTTGTGGCGACGCAAAAGAAGAGAACTGGAGAACAACTAAACTATTTATGAAACATGTGTCCTAAACCCTTTTCATGGGCAAAAAATGAAAGAAAACTTTTTTCCGACGGGAAGTCGAGAGGACCGCTCTTAGCGGGAGCGGCACTTAAGATGCTGGTGCATTCTGCTGAAATAACCGAAAACGTACTTACAGGCTTGAGCGGCTCATTCCGGGGCGGTGGATTATTCAAATTTTGATCTGTTAAGGTAAATGAAAGAACCGTGTTTTCTATGAGTTCACTCACCCGTTAAAAGAAACAAATTCGAGGCGTTGTAACCTTTGGTCACAATTACTCGGCTGACTTACGATGACTGACGATGACTTAAGTACTAAAACATGGAACGACCTAAAACCACCTAACACCACCTAAAACCACCTAAAAAACATCCACAGCCACCCGCAAACCATCTAAAACCATCTAAAAAAGGCATAAATGTCTAAAATAAGGCGAGACGACGAATAATTTAATATTCCCTCAATAGCAAAAGACTTAAAGAACTTTACAAAATGAACTAACAAGTTACAAAAAAAAAATAAAGTAAAATAACAAACTCGTAGTCAAGACTTGACTTGGCTTTTTCTACCCTGGGTACCAGCAGACGTTTTGGCTCACGTCTAGAAAAAAGTTTGAGAAAGAAAGATCATTAAAAATATTTTAGGGGATCTGTGCTTACCTTCGGGGTCTTCCTTTAGCACGAACGCGCTGGCATTCATTCAGCATGCAGTTGTACGAGTGGTGCCACTTACGCAATAGTGACTCACGTTTTGCTCCAATTACATTTCAAGTGCTGTGATTATAAATGGAGAAAAACACTACCTTGAACCATTACGCAATCAAATGAAACGTGAGCCAAAACGTCTGCTTGTAAAGTTCTTAAGTCTTTTACTACTGAGGTAATAAAAAATATCATTGGCATGCTCTCGCATTTCATTTCGTGAGATGGTTGATTATACATGGGACCAGGGAGAGTAAGATTTCAGGGGGAGGTGTAGGTTTCGTTCGATTCTCGTAATTCATGTACGTGACTTGCTGTCGTTTCGCCTTATTTTAGACATTTATGCCTTGTTTTAGATGGTTTTAGATAGTTTGTGAATGGCTGTAGATGTTTTTAGGCGGTTGTAGGTGATTGTTGAAATTTTTGAGGTGGTTGTAGGTGGTTGTAGACGGTTGCAGGTGGTTGTGGGTGGTTTTATGTGGTTTTAGGTCGTTCCATGTTTTAGTACTTACCCGGCTGATGAACTTAATGAGGATTCCAGAGAGCTTTCTTTACAAAGCGCAAAGTGAAGTCAACAAAATTTAACTTGTCTAGGTAAGCTTGTCTTCTTTATCGTTTTGTTAAAAGACCTCGTTATACTTGAAATTATACTGATTCCGGTAAAACTAGCAGAGACATGGTGGCCTAACGTTAACAGAGGGCATGCATACTTATCAAGGTCATTGTGTTGTGTTCTTTCGCGAGACATTTTACTGTGGGTAAGCACCAGGGTGTATAAATGTCCCAACAGTTCAGGTATAAAAAAAATAATAAAAATTGAATAAATATGTGTAGGCAAAGCTTCTAAGCTTTCGAGCTCTTCTCAACATTCTAGAGAATGAAGATTCTTCTACGGAGCCTGATGAGATAATGTTAAACTCAAACACAGCAAAATTGAAACAAATTTAACCAGTTGTACGATATTTTTCGTACACCTAAAAACTCTAGGACTTTTTCTCCTTTTAAATGAACGTCTTTCATTTTCCTTTTTAACTCGTGGAAACGTGATAGCGTAGAAGCGAAGTGTTATGGGTACCTTGGGATATGTAAATTGCGTGACCCCTCGTAATTAGTCGTAATTAGTCGGCTCCGAACTTGAGATCTATCCTTCCGAAGAAGTCCTGGTGCCATTGTGATTGCTTCGATCGTTGCGATGTTTATTGTCTTTACACGGCTGTTTCGAAGGTTCCAGATTAGCGCTATGATCAAATTAGAGACCAAATCTGAAGGGTCTTCGAAGAGTCCATGCGCTAAACATAACGAGGAGCAGCGAGAATCACGAAGAGTTTGTGAGTGACAGAGCAAGCTGTGGACATGGAAATTCCTACGGAAACATGTACCCATGACATAAAAAAAATGTTAGTTTACTTCATCGAACGTTTCAGCAGCTACACTAATTTCGGTCTTTTCGTTATGGTCGTTTCGTTTTATTGTTTTTCTATGCAAACGTGACTGTTTTGATGTTAAAAATGATATATGATCGGTTTCTGAAAGTCGTTGCCGAGCACGTGACCATAATTTGGCCGGTGTTGTTTTGATCACTTGACGATCTTCCAATTAATTTCTATCGCATCCGTGTAAAAAAATACAAACATATGCATTTACTGAGAAACAAAAGAGAAATTCAAAACTACGAGAAATTGCGAGTAATCGGCCTCTTCTACTGCACGCGGGTCTTTTGGTGTAACATGCGTGTGTTTCCCATAGGTTACAAGCACTTTACGCACGTGGGAATGCTGCAATTACGGTATAAGCAGTGCAAGGTAGAATGGCTATTGTCAACCTGGAGTGCTTATGTGCGCCATTTTGCTTCATCACTCTTTGCCATTTCTAACACTTGAGTATTATGAATAGTAATTCAGAGGGGGGGGGGGGGGTGAGGGTTAAAAGTTCTTGGAGATAGGCTAACAGTGTGTCGCTGGATAGGGTCGAATTTTAACGACTGCCTTGACTTTTATGGCGTTGCATTTTCAGCTATTTTCAGTAGAGTTACTAGAATGGGGTTACACATTTTTGAGACTCAAGGTGTAAGAAAATTATGGCAAGTAAGGATTCATAAGCAGGAAGATTCGTGGTAAAAGAGTTGTTAACGTATTTTAATATTTATTAAACGGCTCCCATTCCATTTTGGTCTTGCCCAAAAGCGGACAAAGATGAGGTGTATAACTTAAAAATTAAAATCAAATTCTAAATTACATATTTTCAAATAAGAAAAATGTTTATCCTCTAAATCAGGCTTCAGTAGCCCAAGGTCCTAAAAATGACTGATGTGATGATCCACTGAAATTCTGACAAAATGATGCATTGATTTGTAGCTGTAGATTACATGAGCATCGAAACGGAAATTTTATTTTGTTTTAGTCCTTTAGGGTAATCAATGCATTTATTTCCTTGTTGTTTTGTAGGCCTCAAGAGAAAATGCCAAGAGGCGGTTACAGCAAAATATCTAGTGATGATGAAGAAGTAAGTTTTACATCCGCTCTTTTCTTTCGTTGGATGAACAGCGTCCTCAAGACAGGCAGTCAAAGACCTTTAGATCCGGATGACTTCTTACCGTTACAAGAAGAGAACTCGGCCTGTTTTGTCACCAAGAAGTTTCGAGAAAGCTGGGAAAACAAGAAAGTTCACTGCAAAAAAAATGGGAAAAAACCCAAGTTGTGGAAAAGCGTGTTTCAGATGCTCTCTGTTGAAGATGTCATCATTATTTTGTTGGGAAATAGTTTGTTTACAGCATCTCGCCTTCTCTTTCCATTGCCTCTCGGATATCTTGTTGCCAAACTAATGTCAACTGAGACAGGCCATTCCTTTTCCCTCTATGCATGCGCTTTGGCTTTGTGTTTCAATGGTTTGATCGGCAGTCTTGGAATGCATCATCAAGACTATAAAGGAGAAGTGTTGGGGATTCGAATAAGCAGCGCCTTGAGAGGTCTGGTGTACCACAAGGTAAGTACGGTTCAGCTTAAAGGTACTAAGGCATTTTTCTGTTACTCCTAAAATTCTTCAGCCCGGGTTAGACACTCAAAAAAGAAAAAAGTTACCCATCCGATCCGGAATTGCTATTTCCAGAACTTAAAATCTTGTTATCAGTTGCGGCCTCTGGGAGCCAGGGAACGATGTCATTGAATCAAGCGAAGAGGCAAATTGGTTTTTGTGCAAAAAGCTGAAAATTGAGGGGGCAAAATAGTGCGTGGTCGCCACAATCACAACTGATTTCTCCAGTCAGCGGTGTGGTTAACGATGTCAGTTATTTGTTGTGTAAGTATAAGTGAACAATCTCACTAGAAATCATAACAAATATATCTTCACTTGTCAGAAAAATTATTTCTACTGGGGCGACGGACTTAGTCAAAAATCAGGGACTGCTCGTAGTCTCATAAATTTTAGAGAACACTTACTCTCTTTGTTACTAGCTCCAAACAAACGAACAAACGAACCGGCAAACGAACAGTGTGAGTCAATTTGATGTCCTTAATTATCTGCAGACGCTTCTTCTCAGCAAGCAGACGTTACTGAAATTCACAGCTGGACGCGTAATTGACCTTATATCCAATGACGTGAAGCGGATGGAGGAAGAGACCATCAAGTTTTTTTTCTTGACCATTTTCGCATTCTTTAGCACTGCGGGATCAATGTTCCTTATCACATATTTGATTAGCTGGCAGGCTGTAGTGGGAGTTATCTTCATGTGTTTCCTACTGCCGTACTTTGCGGTCATGTCCTATTTCAGTGCTAAGCTGCGCCTACGCACGGCAGCCGTTTCCGATCAGCGCATTTCTTTGATGAACCAAGTTGTGTCCGGGATCCGCGCGATCAAAACGCATGCGTGGGAAGATGAATACCGAGAAAAAATAAAGCATACTCGAAGGTAAGGCCAGAAGTTATGTCAACTCAGGAGGTCAGAGGCTAAAAATCTCGAGTCTCGATGGGGTGATGGCTTTCACGGCAAACGATTAAAATTTTGGTCAGTAGACTAAAGGTTAACCCAAATTTGTGTTGGAGATGGGAATTATTTTTACGGTTAATTTATTTACGGCTAACGGTTAAAATTTGTCAATTTTTACGCCTAACGGTTAAATGATTTGGCTGTTTCACGGCTAACGGCTAACCCCAATGAGACCCTCAACTTAGCAATCTTAGCTATGGAAAGTAAATTTATTTTTGATTGAGGTATTCTGAAAGTGGTTTCTGTAGGTATTTCAAAATTATTCCACGAGCGTACGTTTGATGCGAGATTATACCATCGCAATCATTGGTATTCCTCGCTATCTGATTGGCGCTCATCGGTGCCATTTATTAACGAATCGCTCCATTTATTGCTCTAAATCGCATCTTTTTCCCAGCTAATGAGAACGTTTACTAAAAAAAAAAAAAAACCAATCAGATCTCAAGGCTCGGTGAGAGTATCTAATCAGACTGCAGGAAACTGAAAGACAACTTCTGCAACTTTTTACAAACCAGGTCGGCACTAGATCAATAAAATATTTTTACAGACTAAAAAATCCTGTATTTGAGCGACTGAATTTTGCGATTTCACAATGGATGTAAAAACGCACGTGCTAATTGAACTTTTTGTCTGAAATCGTACTTTTGATTTCAAACCATGCTGTGTGCTTGTTTGATTTTCGAATCACGCGTATGATTTCAGGCGAAATTGCACTAGAATTGTCCAAGGTCAGATATTCCTGTCGATGCTTGTAAAATTTCATTCTAACTTAATACTAATCAATCTTTCTGTTATCGACGGAAGGGTAGACTGCTGAAACGAATGACTCCCCATGGGGCTTTATTGAAAAGTTCTTCAGTGTACTGATTTGAAAAATACGTCAATAAATAGTTCATGTAACAACTTTTATTATTAAACTTTGCATAAATATTTTTCTATCGTTTGAGGCGAGATTTTGAGGCGAGATTTTGAGCCCTTCTGATTTGTGATTTTTACGCATTTTTAGGTATGACATTCCACTGAGCATTCGCATATAACATGGGATGAAATTTTATTTTCAGGCATGAAATCAGCGTAATTTCGAAGAAGACAGCCATTAATTCAACCATTGATGCTTTGATTTACTCTGTGGTTCCAATGGCTACTCTTGTTTCAGTAATCGTCATGGTGTTAACGGGACAAACCCTCAAGCCTCCTGATGTTTTTATGCTCCTTTGCTTTATGCGAATACTTAAAAATAGCTGCTTCTATGACTTGCCCGTTGGCTTTATGGGAACATATGATGCATTCGTTTCGCTTGGAAGAATCGAAGAATTTCTTCTTTTGGATGATATGTCTGAGACCTCATTTGGTGATGAATGTAAAGAAGACAGACTTCAAACAGAAAGTGGCTTAACTAAACCAAATATCTGTTTCTCTGATAGCCAAGCTGAAAATATGAGCCGAGACAGTTCCTACTTTGCGTATCACGAAAAAGACCCAATACCTACCACTGTATGTGTTTCGAATTTGACGTGCAAGCAATACCTTCGTGAAGACGAGTTCATTCTCCAAGATATCGACATAGTTGTACCTCCACAGAGTTTAACAGTTATCACCGGACCAGTAGGAAGTGGAAAATCTACTCTGCTCTCGGCGATTGCTGGTGAAATACCTTACGCAAGTGGAACAATTAAATACCAGGGTTCTGTCATTTATTTGCCTCAGTCTGCTTGGGTGTTCTCGGGAACGATAAGAGAAAACATTTTGTTTGGTCAGCCTTACGAAGAATTCAAGTACGAAAGAATAGTCGAGGCTTGTGCTCTGAAGGAAGACATCCAGCGGTTTCCTGATGGCGACCTAACGATTGTGGGAGAACGCGGTGAAGTTCTGAGCGGAGGACAACAAGCGAGAATCAGTTTAGCGCGCGCAGTTTATGCTGACGGAGATCTCTATTTATTGGATGATCCACTGAGTGCTGTCGATTTCAAAGTTGGTCAACATATCTTTGAAAAGTGCATGAAAGATCTACTGGGTAACAAAGTTGTTCTTTTATCCTCACACCATCAACAGCACATGGAAAACGCCGGCCAAGTGATTGTGTTGAACAAGGGCCGTGTGCTGGAGAAGGGACGATTCACTGAGCTACAAGAGCAAGGCATAATTAGCTCAATCGTTGACTCGCATTTTAAAGCATCTATGAAGAACAACACTGAGCCATATGAGACGGTTGGGTTGGAGACCAAGGAGAAACACGATGATATTGATAAATGTCAGGAAATACTTCCCCTGCCCAATGCGGGCAAGAGTTTGGAGATAGCACCGGAGGATCGCACAATCGGAGTGGTAACATCTAAGCTTTATTGGGACTACTTCACAAGTGGAGTGCATCCCTTAATGATTATTGGAATGGGCGTTTTATTTCTCATCTCTGAAGGTAAACTAGCACCTAGACTGAGCATTTGCCCAGAGTTAGATCCAAAACATTAGATGAAAAAAAAAAAAACCTTTTTTTCATTTCCTTTTTCTTCTTTATTGAATATTGTATTACAATTTACCTTGCAGTACTCTCTGTTCCTAGGTAAAACTTTACTTACGAGAAAAGAAAAATTCTAATTCAACCGCGCATCTTTGTTTGTTTGTTTGTTTTTTTTTTCAGCCGCCATAGTTGCTCCGGACTTTTGGCTCTGGTTTTTAACAGAACAAAACCAAGAGGATCAGAAAAACAAGACTTATCTTTCTATTTACGCCTGTCTTGTGAGCGTGTGTCTTACATTTACCGTTGTTCGAGCTTATGGTTTCCTCCTGATTTGTCTGAGGTGCGCTGAACGTCTGCACGATAAAATGCTTTTAGCTATTTTACAAGCACCTGTTCTGTTCTTTGATTCAAATCCCGTGGGAAGAATCCTAAATCGCTTTGCTAGTGATATCGGCTGCGTGGATGAGCTGCTACCCAAAACATTCTTGAAAGCAGTGCAGAATCTCTTGTCTATATCCATCTTAATTCTGATATCGATTACCACAAATCCTTGGCTTTTCTTTCTTGCCTTTCCACTGACGATGATGGTAGTGTATATTTCCAAGTATTACTTGAAGACTGCCAGAGAGCTGAAAAGGTTAGAGTCGATATCCCGAAGCCCAGTGTTCTCTCATTTTTCGGAGACTCTGTTAGGACTGGACACGATTCGCACCAGAGGAAGGCAGGCAGATTTTGTGGAGACATTTTACAGGTAGATCAGTGACACTGACACTTATCGCGTGGTGGGGGGAGGGGGAGGATGTTTTTGGGGGGATCACATGGTTTTCAGGGAGGGCAGAGGAGTTCTTTAAAGCGTGATTTTGACAAGTGTATGCTGTCTTACAAAAAGTAGGTGGACCCAGGTAAACTATATGATTATCGAAATGACCTGGGGAAAGTGGGGTGAATTACACAATGCGGGAAGTTCTAAGAAACAATTTTCCCTTTTTATTGTTTCCTTGGTATGTTTATAGGCTACATTATGTTGTCAGGCCAAAGACCGATCTTAAGTTTATACGTAAATTGGCCTCCGTAAAGAGTTTAAAAGTTGACGTTTCGAACGTTAGCCCTTCGTCAGAGCGAAAGGCTAACGCCTGATGAAGGGCTAACGCTCGAAACGTCAGCTTTTGAACTCTTTACGATGGCCAATTTACGTTATCAACTCAGTTGATAATGCTTAATTACCCTGTTATACTCCCCCACTAACGTGGCACCACAGTTTATTTAGAAACTTGCCCCGTTAGGTTTATACGCCCTGGTTCAGCCACCAGATAAAATTGTTATCATTATCAAGCTAAATTTCTTCATTGTAACGGTTAATCCCGGCAGATATCAAGATGTTCATAATCAGTCGTACATTTTGGTGATGGCCAGTGGTAGATGGTTAGGAGTCCGTTTGGATTGTCTCGCTTCCCTGTTAGTTGGTGCAGTTGCTCTGGCCGCAGTACTGGTCTCTCAAAATGCCGGTGAGCTCTACAATGACCCTGTTGTTACACTTTCTATCTGAGAATATGTATAGTCGCGAGTTTGGTTACAGCATAGTGTTAGTGAGACAGTGGCAATGGACTACAAAACCTGTTGTTTAATGGAGCATTTCGTGCGGTGCACACTACTTGACGTATGTCACAGTAAATAGTTGGTTTCCCTCCGGTGCTGACTGTAGAAAAAAAGGAAGGAAGAAAAAAGAAAAAAAGTAACAAAAAAAAAAACAAAGCAAGACAAACTCTGCACACCCTAACATAAGTACGCATATTCTCTATACTGTTCTCTGTACATTTCCTTAGGAACTGGCCAGGAGATTTTTTTTCATAGTCAAGAGCCTCTTCAGTTGGTGATCATTTCCTTGATTCAGGGATGATATTGTGCGGAGAAATCAGACATTAGTCACTCTCAGCGGTTAAAGGGTTAACAATCCTTTAAAAAGAAACTGAGAAGGCAGTCAGAAGGTAGCGGCAGTAAGGCTGAGCATCATAAAACTTACAACAACAGCAGAAATAACAATAATAGGAACTTAATAGTGAAATCAATTTTGCCTAATTGGTCATTTACTTGGTTCAGAATTTTTAAAATGACACTCCAAATATCTTTTCAGCTTTCGCTGGCCTTTCACTTGTTTACGTCATCCAAGTTATGGTAATCACTCAATATACTGTTAGAAAAGCCGCTGAAGTGGAGAATTACATGACGTCAGTTGAAAGAGTTCTGACGTATACTAAACTTAACTGTGAGCCTGGGTACAAAGTAGAAAGACACCCCCCTAAAGATTGGCCAAGTGAAGGACGTATTGCATTCAGAGATGTATCATTGACGTATTATCCGGGAGGACCTCAAGTGCTGAAGGAAATAAATCTTAATATCAAAGGAGGAGCAAAGATCGGAGTTGCTGGCCGTACGGGAGCTGGGAAATCATCGTTAGTGGCAGCTCTTATGCGCATGCCTGATGCTGACGGAGAGATAATTATTGACGAGATTTCGATAAAAGATATAAACCTCCGACAATCCCGACGAAGTATTTCGGTCCTTGGTCAAACTCCTGTGCTTTTTAGTGGAACACTGAGAAAAAATCTAGACATTTTAGAGGAGTTTGAAGATCCTGACTTATGGCAGGCCTTAGAAGATGTGCAGCTAAAAGATTTTGTAGAGAATCTTGAGGCGAAGCTTAATCACGAATTGCTTGAACACGGTGCTAATGTCAGTGTAGGAGAGCGGCAGTTGATTTGCTTGGCTCGTGTGCTGCTGCAGCGAAGTAAGATTATTATATTGGACGAGCCAACTGCGCATGTCGACCCCGCCACAGAGCAGACGATTTGGGACATTGTACGGGAAAAGCTGAAGGACGCAACTGTTATCACTATAGCTCACCGTTTGAACACTTTAAAAGACTGTCAGATGATTTTGGTCCTAAAAGATGGAAGAGTTCATGAATTTGACAAATTTAATTCACTGGTGAGCACTCAGATCTGAAACTGGCATGGCTCTTTAAACGGACTGAGGAAAATTTTAACTTGGAGGCACGTCGCCGCATTTTGACTCCGGCTCTATCAACCATAAACCAAAGTCCATTTGGTGCGAAAATGGAGCACCGATTTTTTGTATCTGCAGTAAGACGATAAAAGATTAACCGTAACAATAACTGTGTGCCTAGGTTAAAAAAAGCTGTTCCTCCTTTGAGAGAGCTGATCAGTTATGAAACACTTAAAAAAATCGCTAGTTTCACCCAAGTACTCGGCTTCATCCAATTGAATAATTCTTTCCCAATTATATCAATATGCAAATATCTATTTAGTGTTTTTCATCAGAAGAAAGTTCCAGTCTGATTGAGACCAATTAATTAAAAGTGTGTATGTTTCTTTTGTTGCTTGAAATGCTTCTACCCGAAATTCTAAGCAGACCTTCCTTACATAATAAGCTTTAAGACTCCGCGAAGGAAACAAATAACATCAAGTACTTTAGTTCTTTGATTGTTCGGCAATTGCGGGGTTAGTTGGAAAAACTCATTTCACCAACGTGAAGCCACTTTAACCCCAAACATCGCACGCCCTGTTGGAAACCAAACATACTTTCTGAGTTCGCTTGCTTTCGAATCGAGTTCGAACCCAATTCAAGTTAATTTGATTCGATTGCTACATACGGTGGGTCGGGTGGTTGATAAAAAGCTCTTTTTCAGCACCAGTAACGGAAAACATTTCTAGCAAAACGACTTGCAAGTCTCCACGAAAGGAAACCATTTACGATTTATGGGAGTATTCTAAGAAATTTGTTTGCAAAAAGGTGTAAAAGACTTGAGGATAAAAACCGGAGAATGCATTCCCTATTCGCACTAAGATCGAACGAAGAACAGCAGCCAAAAATCTTAAGATCTTCTATTTAGGAAGGGCTAGATAAACGACTAGTTAGGTATATGAAAAAAAAAAAAAACTCAGCAGAAGGAATTTTAAATAATTAGCAGACTCTGTTTATTTTTCGGGAAAACCGCGAGGGGCAGAGGTAGCCAATAAGATTTGTTCGCAGAGATGGCGGGAAATCCGGGAATTCTTCACACTCCACACCCAGCTAAGGGTAATATGAGCCCTGACTTTCCGCTACATAAAGGGCCACTGTATATCACTTCATACTGTCGCGAGTTTAATTTTGCGAAGGTTGTTCTGTGATTGACGGCCGATTGCAAAATGAAGAAGCTCGCTATTGCCCTTTTTCATGCGCTTTTAGTTTTCTTTTTCTCTCCGAAGTCCAGTGATGGACAAGGATTGAGACCTCAACCGATAAATATCGCTCAAGGGAAGAAAATCGAAGCAACTGCAACATGTGGGGAAGATGTCAGCGAGCCAGAACTCTTCTGCAAACTGGCCACTGTACCCGGGAAGCTGGGCATTCTAGGGTTGTCCTGCGATCACTGCGAACCAGATACGTTTACCAAGGATCACTCGATCAAATATGCCATCGATGGAACGGAGAGATGGTGGCAATCTCCTCCGCTGTCCCGCGGCCTACAGTACCAAAAAGTAAACATCACGATTGATCTAGGACAGGTAGTATTTCTCCGTATACATGATTCACGCGTAGTTTCTTTGTCCTTGGTGTTGCTGTTTCGTCAAATGCCTATCGCTGTACTGCAATGTGATTGTTCGGAGAGATTAGTCAAGGGGTTTCGCCACTATCGAGCACACTGTGATTTGTTGTTAGTATTGAAAATTATGAGTCTAACTAGTGTAAGAAGAAGCTTTACTGTGGTTTGGAAAGTTCGTTTAGCAAACCAGCTGAAATTTCAGTCCATTGTGACACGTGTGAGGGGAACATTTTTCGCACCGAGGAATCAAGAAACCGAGCGTACAGAAATCTCACTTATGTGTGAGACAAATTGAGTATACATCATGAAATATTCTGCACTTATTCACACTTCAATTCCCATACATTGTAAATCATAAATCACGCTGCGTCTGTTTTATTTCTTGTACGCATCTCTCGAGGAAATTTAAGATTTTAATTGAAAACCTTATGTTCAACTTGCATCGATCAAGGTTCAGAAAAACGAAGGATGTAAAAAAGTAACCAACAAATCCTAACATTTGAATTCTTTCATTAGGTTTCGGGCATTTAAAAACCGTACTTTGTCTTATTTGAGATATTCTACCTTTGGATTGAACAATTGGGTAAAATAAAATGGGAATTTTCCCCTATTTGTGCCTAAAGACAGGAATGTTGAGACTGCCAGGAATGTACGTTTGGTTTTCCAGTGTCTACTCTCTTTGGGAGGTTTCTTAAAGCTTTCCTGTTGGGATTTTAATTTTAATTTGACAAGGTGCCTCTTTTCTGTATCATTTGTGTAACACACCTTGAAGATGCGTCTTGGAAAACCAAGTTGTCATTTAACATTTATCTGCTATGATATAGACTTCTTTCTGTAGTAACAGCTCCAGAGATTTGAGAAATATAAGCAAAATGATGAATAATCAAAGTTTTGATGAAGAAGGAGTCTTTGATAGGGTTGTAGATGGTAAAATAAGAATTTTTTTTAACGGCTAAACTAAGATTATATATTAAGCTTAACCTGTTTTCTCATGTAGGAATACCAAGTAGCCTATGTTATAGTAAAAGCTGGCAATGCTCCACGCCCAGGTACATGGGCCTTAGAGAAATCTGTTGATGGTGGAAGAACATTCACCCCATGGCAGTACTTTGCTACTACTAACAGTGATTGTCTGTCGTACTTTGGAAGCTCAGCACTGTTGCAGTCATTTAAAGATGATACCACGGTCACTTGTACAACAAGCTACTCTCAGGTTCCACCTTTTGAAAACGGGGAGGTGAGTGTCATGAGATTTTTTAATTGTCTGATTAGCTGTAATGGATAGAAATGACTATCTTTTTTCTCCAAAACCACAGATTTATTTAGCTGTATGTGTTATGGGAAAATCAAGATGTTTCCTTAAATGTAATCAAACCTCTGTAATTGGACACACAAGCACACCAAAATAACAATTTAGATATCTTTGAAAAATTATAATTATTATAAGTTTGAAACACTAGAAACTTGTTGCTATGTAATTTGCAAAAATAATCTGGTATAGCTTCTCACCTTAGTTAAATTCATGCAAATCTCTTCACATTTCAGATCCATATTTCATTAATTAATGGAAGGCCAGGAGCAGCAAACTTTTCCTACAGTCAGGCATTACAGGTAAATGTTGTCTCCATTTGGCAAGCAAAATTGGTCAGCATCAATCAACAGGACTTACAATATTCTGTTTAATTCATTTTGGGGCAATTTCATGATAACTTAATAATGATTTGCTAAGTTCTTCTACTCATGTTAACAAACTGAACATTAAAGAATGCAACTTAGTATGTGAATGGCTTTTTATTGAAATGTCATGTAATTGTTTTCCCTAGTATACAAAATTGATGCTTGTTTCTTTTAGGAATCTGCTGAGAGATCTTTGGAAATATAAGGAAGCAGTAAAAACCAATTTTAAAAGACCTTAACTATTGATAATGCATTCCAGGCACTAGGAGTAGAATCAGCCAAGCTTAAGATGTAAATAAACATTTTTCCCTTGCTGGGCATCAATAAGCATGGAAACCAATTCTTTTCTTTATTTACATCTAAAACAGTGAAACATTTTATTACAGGAGTGGACTCGTGCTACTCACATAAGACTCCGGCTGTTAAAAGTGAAGACTTTGTTAGCTGATCTGTTACCACTGGCAAGGAAAGATCCATCAGTTACTAGAAGGGTTTGTAGTAATGCTGTCTCATGTATTCAAATTCACTACTTTTCTAGTTTAATTAATATTCCCTCAAAAGATAGGTTTTGTAAATTTTATCAATGAGTTCTTATTCATTAAGTACTTCAGTGAAAGAAGAAAAATTTGGATACATACACTTTGAAATCATCTTAACTTCTTAAATCCCAGAAAATCAGATGTAATTCTCCTTACTGCCTGCTATACATTCCTTATTGTGTTGGTTTGGAGAATTTGGTATTGGATGAAGTAGTTATCACCTAATTGATATTCACCTTAAGTTCATTTGTTTTGTTTGCAGTATTTCTACTCAATAAAGGATATTTCAGTTGGGGGAATTTGTATGTGTAATGGCCATGCTGATGAATGTATTCAAACTGCAGAGGACTCACAGTTCAGATGCAAATGTAAACACCAGACATGTGGCATCAAATGTGAAGAATGCTGTCTAGGATTTGTGCAGAAGAAATGGAGACCTGGAACTGCAGAAAGTAGCAATGAGTGTGAAGGTGATTAAAGAGTTTTATGTGTTTAGTTCATACTCAGGTAATGTGGCTAAGGGCCCTTGGCTTGTAATCTGGCAGTCCCAGATTCAAGTCTTCAACCTTGCTACTCCCTGGATTTGTTGCTGGTTTCTCTGAGTTCAATGTCTTGGCAGTGTTTTGTAAATCATGTTTTCTATCATTACCAACCTTTTCCAATTAGCCACTCACCCATTTGATAGATTTTAAGTTGAACTGTGTGGTGTTCAGGCTGTGTATAAACTGTGCCTATTTTTTAATCCCTAATTTTTGCCTGATGGGTATGTACAGTGTATATTTTTGTTGAGTTTGTGAAAAAGCTCAGGGTGTGGTGTTCAGACTAGTATTATAGTGATGTGTTCTTATTTTTATCAAGTTTATTTGTTTTACTTTCCTAGCCTGTAACTGCCACAACCATGCATCTGACTGTTATTATAGTGAGGAAATAGATCAGCAAAAGGGAAGTTTGGATATGAATGGGAACTATGAGGGTGGAGGAGTGTGCATCAACTGTCAGGATAACACGGCTGGAATTAACTGCGAACGATGTAAAGCAGGATACTATCGACCAGCAGATAAGGCTAAGACAGATCGTGATGCTTGTAAAGGTATGGCTGTAAACTATTATAAGACTGATGTGCTATAAAATGCTACCAGAATACCCACCTTTAATTAGATCATAGCCTTAACTTATAGTTTTTAACCCTTTCACTCCCAAGATTACCTTTTCATTCTCATCGCTACCTGCTTGACACTGTATTGATATATTAAGAAGAAGTTCTTCCTTTGGTGTTCATGGGAGTTAAAGGGTTAAATTCCTTACTGTTTACGTGATTATTAGAGGAAAAATTTAAATCTAATTTTTTTTTTCACTTCCAACTTGTCATGCAAGAAAGACCAATGATGCAGAGCTTGGCATGTAGCTCACACAGTGATATCACATACTGGGTGATTGTAGCCAGATTTGACACAATTCTTGACTAATCAGAGCACAGGATTCCATCTTACCTGTATATCATAACTGACACTCAAACTATCAGTTTTTCAGATAGTGGCATTAACTGCACATTTTTTTGTACATTACAGCTTGTACATGTGACAGAAGGTTTTCCACTGGTCAATGTTTTGATGGTGATGGGCGGTGCCAGTGTCTTGATAACTACAGTGGACCTAATTGTACTCAGTGTAATGAGGGATTTTATGGATTCCCCAATTGCAAACGTGAGTTAAATTTTGGTTTGTGCTTTGTTTATGAAGGACTTTAGAAGTCAAGGATTAATTTTACAAAATGCTTACACTGTGTTTTGGCCCTGCTAAAATTGAGGTTTGACTTGCGGCAACACGCGAGGCTGTCTTTCACCATCAAAAATCCCATGTTAAATATTATGGCATGGTAGATATTGGTTCAGGACTTACTCATTTGTTTTTCAGTTCTTATTGTTAACTTGGTTGGAATAAACATAAAAGTTCCATGTCAGAAATATTGTTATTTATCATCAGCTTGTGACTGCCATCCATTGGGTACAAGTGGACGTGTGTGTGGCCCAACAGGTGATCAGTGTCCATGTAAACCAAACTACACAGGAGCTAAATGTGATCAGTGTGCTCAAGGCTATTATGGCTTCCCAAACTGCAGCCGTGAGTACTCATATTAAGAAGAGAGGTTAATTGCAAGGCCACATTTTGAATTTCTTGATTGATTAATACATAGTTTTTCTTATGCAATTGGCTGAAGAATATTCTCCATGTCTGAATAAACAGTAGCTCAGGTGAACAAACTTTAGCTGGGGAGTTCTGGAGAATTATCTAATCTTTACCCAGTTATCACAGTGTTACCATATAATGTGTTACTTTTTTTGAAATAGCATGTGTAAATATTTTCAAAAAAACTTCCACCACTCTTATTACTGCAGCATGGTACACAGATTCTGTGTGACCTCTTTCATGTTTTACAAACTTACTGGAAAGACATTCTTAAGAAGATTCAGAATACTAAGTATTGTTAATTTTTCTTCTCTTAAATGAATGTTTTTTTTGACTGTGTTAAATTTCAACAATCCATGTATGAATTTGTTATGTTATCATTCCTATGTGTTGTTTTGTTTCAGGATGCAACTGTGATGGGTTAGGGTCACATTCAAGTGACTGTGATGTCAAAGATGGACAGTGCAGATGTCGTCAAATGTATACATCCAGACAGTGTAATCAGTGCAGTAAGGGATTCTACAGCTTTCCTGAATGCAAAGGTAAGAGATATTAAAAAACTGCTAGCCAGGGTATTTTAACTTTTTAACCCCAAGATAAACATTTTCTTGTAAATTAGTAAGGAGAGTTTGGTGATAGAACAAGATCACAACTTCTACCTCGTGACTTTGAGTGTTCTCAATGCTTGTTTGCTGTATATGTATGGATATTAAAGCAAGAAGTTACAGGTTAATCACTTATGGAGCAAAAAGGTTTAACTTTACTTCCTCAGTATTGCTTTTTGTTTTGGCTTGTAGAACAGTCTAATAATCCATATGATTACAATCTAGATTACATTTGATAGTGTCTCTCTATATAGAGGTTACAGATGATATCAAATGTGGTGTTGACAAAAAGGTGGTTCATTAGAGTGAGGAGGTGTGTTTCTGATGACTTTACCACATTTTACTGCATCTACTCTGATCTAATTCAGAACAGACACACTACCATGGAATTAACTTCTTCTATGTACCTAACAGTAAATATAGACTGTATTTAGCATATTCATTTCATTGGGGACTTATGGATGCTTACATTTGTCAAATCTGTATTATTTCTTGCCCTAGTCTGTGACTGTGATGCTGAGGGTACTGCCAGAGATATCTGTAATCCCAACACTGGAGCTTGTATTTGTATGGAGAACTATGCAGGACCTCGCTGTGATGTTTGTAATGAAGGATACTACAATAATTTTCCAAGGTGTTCAGGTAACTTCAACACATGCATTGTTATATACTGCAAGTTAACATGGAAGAACTAAATTTATGGATCCAGTTTAAGTACAAGTATCTACTTAAAACCAGACTTGTGGGAATATGAAATAAAAACCTCATCAAGACACAGTTTGATGTGACCAAAGAACTATACAATGTAACACTAAGGTGTAAATAATAATGACACCAACAACATCAAAAATACCCACATCAACAACATTTGATCTAGTGATGATGATAATAGTAGTGATTATATCTTGTATTTAGAACCATATCTCTGTTGATGCAAAGACACTAAACACAAGACTGGTGCCAAAAAAGTTTATGTAGTACAATTAAGGTCCTCACAACTTTTGTCTTTCCCCAAATTTCTTGACTTCCTTTCTTTCATGTTGGATAGATTTTCAAACTTCAATTTAATTTTTAGAGCACAGGAGTTACAAGTCTCCTTGTTCTCAAGTAAAAATTCCTGCAAATTTTTTGAGAAGCAGCTCACTGGTTTGTAAACAAGTTACTTTCAGCTTCAGTCACTGCCCTTTGTCTTTCAGACTGTGGTTGTTCAAGAGAAGGCTCACTTTTATTAGCATGTGACCAGCAGGGAAGGTGTGCATGCAAAGACAACTACGATGGACCAAAATGTAGTCGTTGCGGTGTTGGATTCTACAGCTACCCAAGATGTGTCAAATGTTCTTGTGATCTTCGAGGTTCAGTTCATGAGTTTTGCGAGCCAACCACAGGACAGTGCCAGTGTAAAGGATCTTTCCGTGGTATAAACTGCAATCGCTGCCGCAGTGGGTTTTATGGATTTCCTGACTGTCAAGCCTGTCAATGCAATCCGGCAGGAATTAAACCACTTCCTGATGGACAGGCAGTAGACTGCTCCTTATCAAACGAGGTGAGTTATTTTATGTTATGAAATGGAATAACTCATTTGATAATATGAAACAGGATCTTTTGAATAAATTGCCAGAGTTTTGAGCTCAAATTTTGTCGACATTGCCAGTTGGGCACCGAAGATTATGAAATTGTTGGAGAATTTTTTCCCCCCCCCCCCTCCTCAAAAAAAAAAAAAAAAAAAAAAAAAACCACTAATGGATAAAAGGGCAATTTCCTATGCAAGATAAGTTTTAAGTTTTTTCATTTTATTGCATGGTAATAGAATTTCCATAAAACCTGGATTGAAGTTCATGTGAGTTACTTTCCTTTATTTAGTTTATTAAATTTGTTGAACTTGTCATCACAGGGTCAATGTGACTGCAAGGATAACGTGCAAGGTCTTGCATGCACAGAGTGTAAAGATGGCTACTACTTCCTTGATAGCAATAATCCTCTAGGCTGTGATAACTGTGAGTGCAATATGGATGGTGTGATTGGTGGCCTTCGCATTTGTGACAAGGAAACTGGACAGTGTCCTTGTAAGCTTTTTGTTGCAGGCAGGAAGTGCACTCGATGCAAACCAGGGTTTTATGGTCTGGAAGGCCGTAAAGTGTTTGGCTGTACAGGTAATACAGTTGTTTTAATCATACAGGCAAGGTTACACTCATTGCTTTTTTGCATGATAGCCTGGGGTTTTTAGATGAAAGTTGGGGTAATATGGGTGTGTGTCAATATAGACTATAACTGCTGTTGCATAAGTGGTGTCACTCCCTTTCCCTCTTGTGGATGGTTTGCCAGTTCATCGGCAGTAACCTTCTAACCTTTCTCTTTCAGGTCAACAAGTGCACTATAGTATCTAGAATTAAGTAAATTTTGGGAATTTGCACCTTCAAAGAGATTTAGATTAATGCTGTAAGTAGTGAATTAATTTTGGATACATGTTATAGGTTGTGACTGTGATGTTGGAGGAGCATATGACCAGTTTTGTGATGTCAGCTCAGGGCAGTGTAATTGTCGAGTTAATGTTGATGGGAGAGACTGTAGCCGGTATGGACTTAACATTCATGATCATTTAATGTCTACATGTCAGCTTAACATGCTATTTCTGTAGTCTCACTGTGCAGTATGTGTAGCTTGTCTATAGTGACTACAATGGCTCACTTGTGTTCAGCCTTTTAACTCCTAAGAGTGATTAACATCTCATTTCTTCCTACAATATCATCCCTGAATCAAACATTAAGGTCACGAGAGTAAAGGTAATGATCACCAACTAAAGACACTCATGATTGTTAAACAAATTCTCCTTGTTCATACTACAGGAAATGTATAGAGAATGGTGTAGAGAATATGCATACTGATGTTAAAGTGTTAAGTGTTAATTTTACATTTGACTTGTGCTTTTCAGGCCAGCCTTTCAGCATTACTATCCAACTTTGCTACAAATCAAGGCTGAGATGGAGGATGGAATGGCACTCCCTACTAAATCAACCTCAGACCAAGATGTCCTCTCTCCAGACGTGTCAATATCAGATGATGGTCGACCTGCTAGATTTGGTTTTGATGAAAGTGTGTTTCCTGGCTTCTCTTGGAGGGGATATGCCACCATGTCTGATATCCAGGTACTGTAAGAGCTACCATTTAATGCTGAGGATTCAAGTGTTAGCCTTTCAACATTTGTCTGACAAAGGGGTGATGCTTGAAACATCAGCTTTAGAAACTCTTCACAGTGGCCATTAACATCATCAACTCGGTGTATAAAACCAAGTAATCTTGTAATATTCCCACTGATACAGCACCGCAGTTTCTTTATAAACTGGCCCCCTCTATTTATCTGGTATTTAATGATTCAATTGTTTTCCTTGTATTGTATTAAAAAAAGGTGATGGTGAAACACATTTGAATTAATAAACTGAAAAGAATTTGATGAATAAAAGATGATAAGTAGTAAGGGTTTATTTAAGTTGCTGAAATGTGAGAGTTCTAAATGTTATACTTTCTGTCTTTTATGCAGAGAGCAATAAAAGTAACTCTGGACATTCCAAAGACAACTCGTTACCACATCATATTTTACTCCATTACAAATGGAAGTTCACCTGTAACTGGTGAGGTGATGCTGACACCTAAAGGAGGTGAAGGAAGCAAACAAAGCAGCAAGGTCACATTTCCAGTCAAGCAGGTTGGCTCAGCAAATATTGCCACTCATCATACTGTTGGAGAGAAAGAAAAGGCCACTCAGTTCATGTTGACCAAAGGGAAATGGGATTTGATTCTGGCTCTTCCACCATCAAGTGTTCTCCTGGTGAGTCACATATAAAAAGAGCTAAAATTCAGTTGTGATATAACCAGTAGTTAGAACCAACATTACAGCACTTAATCCTTTCACTCCCAGAAGTTATCAACATGCACCTTCTCCCTACAATTCCAATATGTTATCCTACAACCAGGAAAGAGATGGACAAGATTTATCATCAGAGTGATAATTTACTGATACTTGCAGTTCTTCAAGCTATGGACAAAGAAACAATTTCTCATAAATTAAAAAATCTCTACAAATGCTGGGAAATAATTAATATTTGTGCATACAGAAGTGATGTAGGCCTGCATAGCTTTTATTATATATTACATCCATTTTCTTGTAATGTATTTCAATCTAGAAAACTTTTGATTAATTTAGGCTCTGAAATTCGAGCTAGTTAAAAACTGTTAACACCTTAACTTTAATTTTGATATTCTGCAAAATTTTCTCTTCACATTTTCTATGGTACTGGCTCGGAGAATTAGTTTGACAATCAAGGTTTCTTAAAATAATGATCCTTTCCTTTACTCTCATGACCTTTATATCAGATATCAAGGGTATACTGTTAGAAGAAATTAGAAGCCAGTTGCTCTTAGGGGTTAAAAGGTTAAAATGGTATTTTTTGGGGGTTGCATTTTATTATTTTATACTGAGTAACAGGCATACATCTATTTCCAAATTGGAAAGTCTCTGAAAACCCTATATTTTGTCTATTACAGGATTACGTTGTTGCTTTACCACAAGTATACTATGAAGCATACCAACTGGAAGAGAAAGTCACCAAACCTTGCCAAGTGAATGGTATCAATACTTTATGTAACCAGTTCTCATACCTGAGCACAAAAGCACCAGGCTTTTTCACAACAGAATTGGAAACAGGATATATTGTTACTAGTCGTGGAGTGAGACCCACACAGCTGTTTAGAGATGAAAAAGTCCTGCAACAGTTGGATTTCAGTGCCATGGCTAATCTAGATAACCAACAGGTCAGATTACTAATATTACATATGTTTTTATAAAATAGATATTTCAGATCAATGTCACGTACCACCCCTCCCCTAAGCCAACAACAGTCAACTGAAAACAAGTTAAGGTTGGAGTTGGGTTGGGGGAGAGGTAGGGGTACAGTTGGTCAGATACTGTCATTGATCCAAGATTTCATCAATTATTTATAATGTCCTGACCCTGGTTGTTTGAAGGTTAGGTAGTGCTACCCACTGGATAAATCTCTATCTGGTGGATAGCATAATACACGTACCCTTTGGATAGAGATTTATCCATTGGAAAACACTTTTCGCCCTCTGAACAACTGAGCTTTGATGTTGATTTATTGTTCCACAAATTGTATTTAGGATAGATTTTGACAAATTTTTATAGATGTAGGAGGAGAGAGAAGGGAAAGGGGTATCTTGGTGATAGCATGTAGGGAAAGCATTTGTTTACTTGGTGTAAAATTGAACTGTTATTGTCAATGAATGGACTGTAATAATTCTTGTTTTTCTTTCATACAGACCCGTGTTACAGCAGAATTTCGCATCCGTAAAATTGGTAAATATGTCCTAGTTCTGCAGTATTACTATCCTAATGACAAGAAGATCAAGTTAAATGTTTACTTGAGGTATCAGACAGGATCACAGAGAGGAGAGTTCAACCTTCAGAAATGTAACTACAGGTTTGGCTGCCGTCAAGTAGCTGTGGATAACACTGGAGCTGTCAAAGTGTTTGATGTTGCTGAACTGCAGAGGACAGTAGTTACCCTTTTGGCCAGAGACACTTCCTCACCTATTGCTGTGGTATGTATGTTGGTCATTAAATTGTGGTTAAACCTGTAAATCCCAAGGTCTGATTGTCAGTTCTCCCCTCCAGTTGCTACACATTTCATTGTAAATTAGTTTGAGAATTTGGTGTTAGATCGAGATAACTTCTACCTGATTATTACCTGTTTTCTGGATAATATATGGATATTAGAAGAAGAAATTATATGGTAATCACTTCAGGGGTTGGTGCTTTTGTTCAGGGATGTTGCAATAACATACCTCACCGAAACATTAACTTCCAAACAAACCAAATTATAAGAAAACATTTCTCAGGAAATAATGTGTTATTTTTTATTTTCTTGGATGGAAAGTCATAGTACATGCAAGTTCTATTATATATCTTCTGAGTTTTGATTGGGTCATATCATTGAATGAAAATGTTTCAGTTGTTTTGCCCTGAGACTCTAAATATTTGTTTTCCAAACCAATCCTGTTAAAATATTTTACAATAGTCATTGTTTTGTTGTTGATTCAGGAATTTGGGTTAATTAAATTTCTCCTTTGCAACTGCAACTTTTTTTCATGCAATGATTGGAGCATCCTTCACTGTAACATCAGTATCTATAATCTCCATACTCCTCTCTACACTATTTTTTTGGTACTGACAAAGAGAATTTGTTTAAAAATTATTACTTCTTATTGATGAATCAGAAGTATTAAGGAGAAATTAGATGTTGGTCACTCTTAGGGTTTTAAGGGTCCCAGAAATTAATACAAGTTCTCTTTACTACACTTGTTTGTTGGTTGTAGGACTCTGTCACAGCCATTCCACTTGATGTGTGGGATCTGGATTTCATTGCTCCAAGCATTCTTTGTACAACTCAAGGCAATGTTTGTATTCCCACATCATACCCCATTCCCAAAGGAGCTGTTACAATTGAGGTTCCAGATGCCAGTGTTCCTGATCAACCACAGCCTCCAAACAAACAGGATCCAAAAGCAAAACTACAGTACTTGGGTGAAGGGGTAAGTATACTGACTTTTCTTCCATAAGTCTGTTCATAATTAAAACCCAAAGGTCTTGTTATTTAAACAAAGTAAGACATGAGCAGGGGTTTACAGAATGGTTTATTAAATAAATTAATATTTTTCCATGACTGGCCATCAGCCTTTTTTACTCTGTTCACAGATATTGATGTGTAAATTAAAATTCTAGCTTAATGAAAAATGAATGAGAATATGGCTTTGCTAAACAAGAGCTGAACTTCTGTGAGGTGACAAACCTTATGTTTTCTCTTAAAACTCTGATAATGTACAAAAGTTTCCTAGCAAAAATGTGTTCGTCAAAAAAACAAAAACCAGCTGGGCAAATAGTGGTGCATTGTGGGTAATGAATAGTTCAAAGTAAGCTGTAAAGCACAACATTGCTCATGCATATGAAGGAGGGACTGGGTTTCAATAAGTCTCTGATTTCACTCTGCTGATCAACTTCAAGTAGTAACCTCTTATTAATTTTTTTTTTTTTTTTTCCTAACCCTAAGCACATTTAATTTTAATTAGTTACTGTGATTCTTGGTACCACAATATCAACTTGTTTTCTTCATTTGGTTTCTTGAAGATCCATTCTCTGTCAAGTAATGGGCTTAAGGAAGGGAGATATGCAGCCATTGTTCACTATTATCAGCCAAAGCATTCTTCATTTGAGTCCCAAGTGAAAGTCACCAGCGACCGTGCAGTGGAAGGGTCAATCAAATTCCATTACTGCCCTCATGCATCAGGCTGCAGATCAGTTATCAAGGACTTGGCTGGTTCACCATTCTTTGATATTGAACGAAAAACTGTTGCACTGGAGTTTGAGATTCCAATGAACTCATCAACATGGATAGTAAGTTTTTGAACTGTATGTATGCCTGTGAAGTTATCATTGAATTTTTGTAACACAAGTAAAACTTAGCACTCCTGATGTAATTGAAGGTAATTTAATTTGTTGTTAATCACCATAAAGTTGCCCTGTTTCATGCAATGTTTCCATGGGCCACAAGCAAGGACTGTGCTAATTTTCCTGTTAACTAGAATTTAAGACTAAAGTAGAAATTTCAGAGACAAGCAAAGTTATATGTTCAACCAAGCTAACAAAATTAATGATCTCTTGTATGCTTCTTTTCTTGTAGGACTATGTTCTGCTTGTTCCTCAAAATGTATTCACTGGGGACCTGCAAGAAGATGCTCCAGTCCCCTTGTCTCAAGATTTCCTTGATTCATGTAGCAAAGATGACTTCTTCATAAAAACCTCAGATCCAAAGTTTTGTAAAGATTCAGTGTTTTCACTCACAACAAGCTTCAATAATGGAAGTCTTCCTTGTGACTGTAATCCTAAGGGATCTGTTGACAAAAACTGTGAAACATTTGGTGGACAGTGCCGTTGTCGTCAGAATGTAATTGGGAGAACCTGCAATAGGTGTAAGACAGGGTATTATGGCTTCCCTGAATGCAAAAGTAAGTGGAAAGTGTTATATTTATAATTGAGTGCATTCTTCTTTGGTAAAATTTCCCCTAAAAATTAAGTTGGTAGAAAATTGTTTGCATGTATATACCAGTTGTGGAAAACCCTTTTGACCTGGGCAAAAGCACATGTACACCAACACTTTTCTTATTTCAGGAGTAAGCAGTGCTGGTGGTTTTCCAAACTAAAGAATAAACCTTCTTTCACCAGACAGTCTTTGTAAAAACCAGACCTATGCCTGAGTAGTTCTTGTTTTGGAATTGTAGTTAGAGGCTTCATCTGTTAAAAATTTTCAATTTAATTTTTACCTGATTAAAATCTGCTTTCTTTTGAAATTTAAGGATGCCGTTGTGTTTTCTGTAATGAGATCACTGGGGCCTGTGATTGTCCAAAAAACACTGTTGGGCCAAACTGTGAATTCTGCCTGCAAGGAACCTGCTGTTATGACCCTATCCTTGGTTGTGAGGACTGTGGCTGTGAGAGGTTTGGTGTGGTTGGTAACAATATAGCATGCAATCCTAACACAGGGCAGTGTAACTGTAAACCATCTCACACTGGGAAGAAATGTAAAAAGTGTGCTGTTGGATATTTTAACTATCCTTTGTGCCAGAAATGTGAAAGTTGTGATCCCAGAGGAGTTGACAGTAGGATATGTGACAGCAATGGTGGAACATGCTTTTGTAAGGTGAGCTCTTAGGATTGTTGAATTGATAAGTAAGGTATACCCCTAGAGGGTACTCCCTATAAAAATAATAATACTTCATGGAGTAAATCTGTGGGGGATGGGGATTTTTTTGGCTGTTATATTAACCTTAAATAAACATTGCTAGGGTTGATAAAAGACTGTAAGTAATTGGCTGTCAAAGTCATCCATCTGATAAATGAGCAGAATAAACTCTGGAATGTATTTGTTAAACAACCTATCATTAGGTGGCTACTTGGTGGACTGCTTTCTCAAGACACTTTGATCAAATACAATAGTGATGTCATTATTATTCCTCATAGTCATCTTTGCAGACTAAAGTTTTATGAATTAAAGCTCTTTGATTTGACCCTTTTTGGTAGCCTGGAGTCACTGGACCACGCTGTGATAAATGTGCAGCTGGACGTTTCAATCTAGATGCTAACAATCCAGATGGCTGCTCTAAGTGCTGGTGTAATGGCCTGTCTAAAGTTTGTGATAGTGGCAATAAGTACTGGTAAGAATTGTTGATATCTAACCATGTCAGCACCTTGAGCCAAATGGCCCACATGGTCAGATTATCTGGGTTTCTTTCACGAAGTAACAATTTGTGTCACTAACCCCCCCTCTCCTCCCGGATGGAATGCTAGTCCATGGCAGGATACTACCCTCCCCCTCAACCCTTACCCCTTACCCCTTCCCCCCTCACCCATAACCCCTTACCCCTCCCCCCTAACCCCTAGCATTTCCTTCCACAGGCTGATTGCCTATACCTACAGTAGTTGAACTTGCAGGTGGGGAGAAGCACTGCAATGGTGAAGAGTCTTGTTCAAAGAAAACAGCAAAATTACCCAACCAGGTTTTATACAAGGACCTCTGGATTTCTCAACCCTGAATCAAGCTCACTAATTCTTGACCCACTTTGTTTCCCAGATACATGTACATAGTTTACTTACCAAAGCAATGTTGGCAGATGCCTATAGAACTATAAAGAAAGCCTTTTAGCACAATACTGTTTCAATTTGTACCTTGAAAAAAACCTTTTTGAATTAACATGCGGTATATTTATAACTTAATAATGTGATGCTTTTTACATTTCTTTCTTGTGTGGATGACATGCAGTTTTATTTTCTTTAAAGGTCCAAAATTAATACCATGGACTATTGGAAGTTAGAGAACAGTCCAGCTATTGTGGTTAAAATTGATGAAACTAAACTCTCTGCCTCAGTAAGCAGCCAAAGAGATGAAAAAGGCAAACCAATCTACTGGATAGCACCCATGGAATACCTTGGACAAAAGGTACATGAGACTGCAACATCTTAGTTGCTTGTGAAAAGGAGCTGATCTTTGGCATTTCATCCACAACACAACCATGTTTTACTCTGATGCAAACAAAGGAATGTTCCTTATAGTCAAAGTTATTTTCCTGTAATATCACAATATACTATTTCATTTATGAAACCATGGTTATGTATGATACGTACATATTGAAAGTTTGAAATTCAGTGATGTGCTCTGTAAACTAAGTTCATCGAGGGAAGTATTTGAAAAGCAACTGATTTGTTGTGTATCTTAGATTTCATCTTATGGTGGCAAACTGATGTACACAATCAGTTATGAAGTACCACAAGGAGAAAGTTCACCAGTCTTGACGATGAAACCTGACATTGTGATTGAGGTACTTGTTCACTTTATCTTTTTCAAGCTAGAACATAAGATTAGTTCAGGGCTCACCTTCTCAAAACTTTCCTCTGGTCAGTGTCACTTCCCTCTGGATGGAATCCTGATCTATTTTTGGTGACCCCTGAACCCTTAACTCCCAAGATCTGATTGCTAATTCTTCCCACTAATTGCTATACATTTCCTTGTAAATTAGTTACAAGAATTTGGTGCTATATCAAGATTTAAAAACCTCTCCCTGAAAAGTTTGGGTATTCCTATCACTTGTTTGCTTTATAGTGTGGTAATCACTTCTTAGAGTTATGAGAGTTGCAAGTTTTTGTTACAGTTTTCCTGAGTTCAAGGATGGAGATAAGATGTCTTTATTGCACTCAAAACACTATGCAATGACTGTGTGGGGAGTTTGACTGGAATCTAGTGTCCTGTTTGTTATGCATTAAGTTATTAGGTCTCATTTGTCAATTCTTATTGATGCTGAACTTACAATCTACTCCATTATTAATGATTGTGGATAGAACTCAGTGTAATATGGATTTAACCATAGCTGAAAGTGAAGGCAGTGTGTATAGTAACACGCTATATTTGTTATTTGAGACTGTAGATATGTGTACATTAATAAGAACAATTTTGACAATTTTTTTGGGGGGAGAGGGAATTTAATTTTTATGACAATTCCTATTGAAATTTTAACAATGAGTAAGTCTTAATTTTGTAAACTGTCCATTAAAATGTTGGAAGCAATAATCTTACTTCTTGCTGTAGGGTAAAAATGGCAAAGTGCTCTTGTTCAAAAAGCAGTTGGAACTTTCTCCAGGACAGACATCAGCGATTGAGGCACAGTTTTTGGAGGTGAGTGTGAACACCCAATGGCAATTTGTGGTCAAATGTTGTCTGAAGTCATTTCAAGTTTTTCCGTTTGCTACCTCTGAGGGTATATAATTTATAGTTGCCATAACAATATATTGCTTTTGTCACTTATAGTATCTTTGGGAGGATACCAGTGGATCCAATGTAAGCAGGGATGACTTCATGTCAGTTTTTCATGACATAAAATCGCTGAAGCTGAGGGCCTCATACAGCACAGTGGTTTCAGACGTCAGGCTCAGTGATGTTGAAATGGATGTTGCAGTAGATGAGCCTGTTGACGGAGCAATGAGAGCAATGAGTGTAGAAAAATGTGAATGTCCAGTGAAAGCTACAGGAGATTCCTGTGAGGTGAGATACAAAGTCACTAAGCCAAGTTGCGCAAGTAATATACTTAAAACAAGACACCCTTTTTTTTTTTTATAATAGCAAGACTTGAATACAGTGTTTCAGTCACTTTTGCACATACCATTTTGAATTGATAGGAAATTATTTCTTTTGTGAGGATCCAATGCAACTATAGGAGTGACAGGATTAAATTGAATAGAACAAAACCCAGTAGTTGATTCTACCGGGGAAAACAACGGGTCCAGATTTTCAATCTTCACTACAATGCTTTGTCTGAGATGGGAGAGTGCTCTTTCAAATGTGTAATGTCTGCATTACTTGGGGGACTGGGATGGCACAGTAGTGAGATGACCTTCCCCCCACCACTGTGGCTGAGATTTGATTCCTGGACCTGGCATCATATGTGGGTTGAGTTTGTTATAGGTTCTCGTCCTTACTTGATGATTTTTGTCTGGGTACTCAGGTTTTCCCCCTGCCACAAAAAACAAAATTCCAAATTCTAGTTCCACATGGAAACAATGGGCAAGAAGAGCCACCTTAGGAATGTGTATTGTTAAATTCTTTTATTATCATCATTCATACTACCAACTTCTCTTACATGTGAATCAAATTACAAATAATGCATTTTCTTAAACTGAGGAGCAACCATTCTAGATGTCAACAAAGTGATCACAGTGATTTGTCTTGCAATGATCGCTCTGTGTTGTAATTTGCAGCTTTGTGGAAAAGGTTATACTAGAGCTCCAGATAACACTTCCTGTGTACGCTGCAACTGTTTTGATCACTCAGAGGACTGTGATGGAGAAAGCGGAGAATGTTACAGTTGTTTGCACAACACCACAGGTAAGGTTGATCATAGTGAGTAGTGCGCTGAATCTCTAATATACACCATTTAACATAATTTGGGATCAAAAGAGTTTTGGTATGGAAAGAGGGTTCAAGATAATTGAATAAAGGGGCTAAGTTTCTAAAGAATCTGTGGCTCTGTGTCGGTGTGGGAGTATAAGAAGATAATTTGGTTTTATCAACAGAGCTGATAATGTAATATGACTACCAAGAAGAGTTTTAAAGCTAAAATTTTGAGGTTAAGCCTTTATCATTTGCCTTGATGAAGGGCTAATGTTGGAAACCTCAGCTTTTAAACTCTTCACATGACCACTTTACATTATCAACTCAGTTGATAACACCAAATTATGGTGTTCGAGATGATTGGACTGTTTTTTTTGTTTTTTTTTAGTATAACATCAAAGTATAGGGTCTTAGGAAACCCAAGTGTCCTGTATTGCCAAAGTTGATTATTAATCAGAAATCCCTTTTAATATCTTTAAACTAGCAAATAATTTTTCTGGTTTATGTTTTAGGGCCAAACTGTGAAGTCTGTGAACCTGGTTTCTATGGTGATGCCACCACAGGCACCCCACTGGACTGCAATATATGTGAATGCCCCCTAGGAATAGTGTCAAACAGCTTTGCAACTGAATGCTCCCTGAATTCTGTCAATGACCTCATTTGCACTTGTAAAGAAGGATATGTTGGACAGAGGTGCAACAAGTGTGCTGATGGTTTCTATGGTGACCCTTCTGATCCTGGTGACTATTGTAAGAGGTGTGGTTGCAGTGGTAATATTGATTACAACGTCAATGGAAGTTGTGACTCCCTGACAGGAGAGTGTCTCAAATGTATCAATACTGCAACAGGAGACCAGTGTGACCGCTGTTTGAATGGTTACTATGGTGATGCAGTTGTTGCAAAGAACTGTGCAAGATGTGCTTGTAATGATTGTGGCACGGTAACTGCAGTTTGCAATCATACCACTGGGTCTTGCATGTGTAAACCCAATGTCATTGGGGAAAGCTGTGACAGCTGCAAGGTAATCAGTCAGTTAATTCCATGAAGTATGCCGGTGTAATCAGTAATTCACAGCTCTAGAGAAAGAGAAAAATTCTGGCTATTTTCCACTTAATTTTTAGCCCAATACCTGGAACTTTGACAGCTGTTTGGGGTGTGAAGATTGTGACTGTGCACCAGCATCACTATCAACATCATGCGATGTGAAAACAGGTCAGTGTGAATGTCCAGAGGGCGTGACGGGAAGGAGGTGTGACAGATGTAAGGCAGGGTACTTTGAATACACAAAGAATGGCTGTCGTGGTAAGTACCTCGGTCTCTATTCATTTTAGTTTTATTTTGGGTCAATTTCTCGTCTTGAGATGTTGGGTTACATTGCATAAGCTATGAATGTTTGGACTTCTGCATGTTTCAGTGTATTTACATGCTTATTGTTATCAAAATGAGGAGGTCAGAACTGCTGGAAGTACCAGTTCAGTTTATTTTCCCTAAAAATATACCATGCTTCAGAGCATTTTTATAACTACTCTGTACTAGTAATTTAAGTTTTAGTTAAAGTCTGTGTTTGTCTATGTCTCTTATTCAAACAATATGTTAAAATATTTTGCTTCAGCATGCACCTGTGATAAGGGAGAAGACAACTTGTTCGGCTTTTGCGATGTGAATACTGGTCAGTGTTGTAAGCCAGGAGGGAACTGTACCATTTGTCCTGTGAATTACATCCTAACTTCAGAGGGCTGTCAATATTGTGGTGAATGTGTTGGACGTCTCCTGAAAACAGCCACTGAACTGGACCGTAATCTTTCCTTGGCTCTCAAGGCTGTAAAACAGGGAACAGCTGGAATTATTGCTGAAGGACGATTTTCAGACCTAAATGAAACTTTGCAAAGGTACTTGAAAAGCAAGCTTTGTTTTTTCTGATGTAAAAGATGATTACAAAGTGGCAGAAATTTTCCTTTGCCTTTCTTTTGGCTCTGGCTTATAGTGATATAGCTAAGGTTTATTTTTCAATTATGAAGATGGTAAAAACATCATCAAATAAATATTGATTCAAAAAACACATACTATCACAAACAGTTGTGCAGGATTAAACATGATCCTATAGTTAGTCATTATTAAGCATTGCTGCCTTCTTATAAGCAATACTGAACCTTTTGAACCTGAGAATTATTGGTATAAAGAGTCAATTTCCCAAAACTGCAAAGTACATGTAGGCTATTCCTGAGAGCTGCAGGAGTACAGAGTTGGGTCACTACTAACATATGATTACTCACTATCAGGTTAATTCCACCAACTAATGAATATAATTCAACCATGGAAGAACTGTCCAAGGTAGTTGGAATGTCATTGGTAAATGGTAAGAATCATCATACTCAGTGCAATTGTAATTCCTGTTTAAATAAATCTTAAAAAAGAGAAGTTAAATCTTCAGAGACTCTTTTATTTCTCAAGTCCAGTCAATGCCAAACCTTAATTAGACAATTGTATCACCCATCTGATATGTTGGAAACTGTTGGAAAGTCAAATATGTTATCATCACACAGATCAATACTAATTATGGTAATTTGCACCTTTAGATTTCATGTTGTTTTTTCATCAGAGTAATACACAAGCTATTAGCTATTAGTTAATCTTTGGCTCACCAGTGACATTTTTGAGCTAAGGTTTTTCAATCGTAATAGAAATCAGAGAGCCATTACAACTCTGAAAAGTGATGAAGTGCCTCCAAACACATGGAACCATGTTGCTGTTACATATGATTATGACAGTGGTAAAGCAAGGCTTTGGGTTAATGAAAAGTTGCAGGATGAAGCCGATATTGGTGTAATTGAGCTTGCCACTGAAAGTGAATTTGTGTTGATGGGTAGTGTGGAAGGACTACCCTTCTATTTTAAAGGCCGAGTTGCTTGTCTTCAGATTTATGATGAAGCACTCACTAAGAAACAGTTATCTTTTGCAAAACATGCTTGTGACCCAGGTAATCAACAATATTTCTGCACATCTAATATTACTATCTTGATCATCATACAGTTAACATTTACACATAGATAATTTGTTAACTTTTAGCATCCTTACATTGGTGTTCATGTTCTCTGTGCTGCCCTCTTTACATTTCCTGTGGTACTTAAAAGAAGTATTTGTTAACAATCAGGAGCTTCTTAAAATAATGATAATTTCCTTTATTCTCATGACCTTTACGTTTAAGTCAAGGTTGATGTTGGAAGGAGAAATTAGAAGCCTGCCATTTTTTCTGGAGTTAAAGGGTTAATCAGTTATAACACATTGATATCACTACGTTACACTCATTTTACCTTGGGATATTTACTGTCTAATGAATATTTTCAGTGAAAAAAAGTTGTGTTTCTGATACAGGCTTTTGTAAATTCCATAAGTTCAATTTTACCATTACTTCATTCTCTTTTTCAATAACTGTCCCCTTCCCCCTCTTTCTATGAGATATATGCATATGTTATTGTACGTCCACCATCAATCTAATGGCTTATAGCTGCTGCAACACGTTAATGTTTGAGCGAGCATCCACAATATTTCTAGTTGGTAGCAAACCAGCTTCCCCAGCCCTCTTCTGCACTCAAATTTTATTCCTGTTATTGTTTGCAAAGTGGTCTTCTAAGAGATTTACAAGAGGTAGTAATACTTGTTGATTCTGTGGGCTAACTATTTGATCCCAGCAGCTGCAAACACAAGCTCTGGAGATGTTGATGAGGATAACAATCTCATTAAAAGGACAGACAGTAGTGAAGAAACAGTAAATAATGTAACAACAATGGTAATGATGATAACAGACCAAGCAAAAAGGGCTTTGGAAACTTCCACATCTACAAAGGAAGAAGCTCTTGAATTAGAAGAAGAAATTCGTAAGGCCCTTAATCGAACTTATGGTAAGTAGCCTTTTAGTTCTTGTTAGTTAAGAACATTTTGTTGCCTTTAGGATGTATGACTTGCAAATTGCAATTTAGAAGTTGAATAAAGAAAAAGAAAAAAATCTGGAAACTTTTCAACCTATTACCCTATTTCTTAATATTTTGTATTTACTATTATTCCAAGTAATTTTTTACCATTTCAGACATCATAGTTATGGCAGAGAAAATAGCTAAAAGCTTAAAGAATGAAAAGGCCAACCAAACTTTGTTGTTAGAAAAAGCTGAAGAAATCTTAAAGGAACTATTGGAAAGAGACTTTGAATCTGCTAATAATACAATGGTTGAAGAGCGTGAACTGGTGATGGCTGCTATCGAAAGAGCAAAAGAATATTTGAATGACACAACAAGTTTATTAAGCAAAGTTATGGATGTGAACAAAACTCTGGATGAACTCTTTGGTAAATTTAGTTCAATTGTGGATGAGTCCAACAGAGTTTTGGAAAATGTCAGCTATGCTTTGGGTTTAAACAATATCAGCAAGACTTACGACTCACAGGTAATTACAAAATTTCAGTGATAATGCTGCATTTTATGTCATCATATGTCATAATTTACTGTGTGTACTATGATAAATCAATTTCACTGTGCAGCCTGCTAAATTGACTAATGATAAGAAGTAATATGTAGTGTTCTTTTGCTTTAATCAACCCCATGTCATTCATAGCACTCTATACTTCAAGAGGTATAAATAATGTAGGTGTAAGTCAAGATCTTATTGTTGTTCTTTTCTTTGTGTTTGTATGTTTGTTTTTCAAAGGATCCTTTGAATTTTCTCACCTTGTATTTTCCAGTTGATATGAAAAGTCAGTGATAGTATGATTGACTTGTTAGCACTGAAAGAAATAGAGTACTTATTTCATGTTTACATTTCTTACTTAAACAAGGGGGGAGTGGGAGAGTGTCAGATGCTTTCAAGAATTCTTTGAACCTCTTAAGTGTTTAGGTGGGTTAAAATGGGAAGAGTCCTCAGTTGCTAATAAAAATATGTCTTAAATTGATTTGTGAAACAAACACATCTCAACCATGTTTGTATGTTTTTTTGACCTGTATCAGTATGTATAGTATATCATTTTTATAGTACATAATTTTTCATATGATATAATTTTTTATAGTATATCATTTTTTTATTCATATCACTAAACATCAGGACCTGGTTTAAAATTTTTATTTCATGTATTATAATAATGTTGTAAGAAGTAGTTTTTTATGTTGTTCCTTAGACACCCATGAAAGAAGCAGTGGGTTTAAAGAAAGAGGTTGACACTGCCTTGAATAACCTGGAAGGTGTGATACAGACTGCTAAGGATAAAGTACAAAATTCCAGTACTTACCTACAGGTACAACTAGGAGCATTTTTTCTTGAATATTCTGTAAAGGGATAATGTCAATCATAACACCAGCCTAATTAGCACCTTCAAAAATTTGTGGAACTGCATTTTTTTTAATCCTGCATTTGCTTTATCATGTTGTTCCCTAAGGCTGCTTCCTTTTTAACAGCAGTATCCAGCATGGAGCCATAACTTTTTCTCACTCTTCAGATATTTTTCACATCTGTGTGGATGCAGCACATACTAAGTCCTTTTTCAGTGTGTTGCAATATTCTACTGGACAAACTCTAGTGGGAATTAAGAACCACAAATCTTTGTTTTTCCTTAGTTATAACCTTTGTTTAACTCAGGACTTACTGTGTGTTTTTTGTGGGACAACAGTCTGTAAAAAACTTTTTTCCGATAAGTCTCAGGTCCCTTGGAGCTAACAGATACAATTTTGAAAATTGCTCAAAAGCTATTCACAAGAAAAGTAAATGTGAAGGGCACTGGAGACTAGAGTAGCTTTATTGCAGTCGATTCTACCTGTGTTTGCAAACAGTCGAGCTTTACTTGTTGGGGCAGGTTACTTTACACACTGAATATAGTGTTGTTTCACTTTTTAGCCTCTTGCTATTTCACATTTTCATTTCTTAACCCCTAAGATTCCCCCTCAAGCTGCTACACATTTCCTTTTAAATTAGCTTGGGGAATTAGGTCTAAGATCAAGATAACTTCAACCTGATAAGTTTGAGTATTCTCATTACCTGTTTGCAGTATAATGCAAGGTTAGAGTCGAGTTAAGGATGCTGGGATATGTCATTGCACGTCATTCTCTATCCCATCTTATTATTCATCTTTTTCAGGACTTTAATGAAAGTTTTCCTCGCCTTGATGATCTTATTGAAAAGGTAGATGAAAAGATGGCCAATCTTTCTCAAATCCTGGATGATTTAAATCCTTTAGTTGATATGGCTCAGAATCATTCGGAAGAACTGCGTAAGCAGGCTGATGACCTAGAAAAGCTGCTGACAGACATTGAGTTTGCGCGCAAAGCTTACAATGCGTCAGAAAGATATTCCAACATTGCTAAAGCATTAAAGGAAGCATTAGCCATTGCCCAAGAAGCTGAGAAAATTGCCATGAAAGCCAAAAATGAGGTATGCTCTATGTTTAATATTTCAAATGGCAGTTCTTAATGGACTGTAAATTCACAAATATCAAACGTTGTACAAAAAAACTACTAGTGAGAGAACTGGCAGAATGGCTCACACTAGATTTCTTTACTCTTTTTTTTTCATTTTTTTTTTAGGGGGGGGGGCGAGGAGGAGGAGTGTAGGGGTTGGGGGTGTCACCCACGTCTCCTCTTTTGTCTCCTGTTAGTTGATTTTATTGTTCAAGTGACTCTTGTTTTTAAGTTGCTATGTGCTCAATGAAACAAGAGTTTTCCTCATGAAGTGGTTTTGTTTGAGCCTTTGTTTCTGTACGCTGTGACTGGTGAGTATTTTACATTTGACTTTGAGAAGAAAATGAAGCCAAGTTGTTCGGAGACTTGTGAAAATGTTCCACGGGTCAGGTACTATTTTTTGTGGGCTTGGAGAACTGAACAGAAGTTGTAGTTATACAGAGGTAGAGAATAAAGGTGTGAATGGCTTAATATTTGTGTTTTGAGGAGATTAGAGACCAATTAGAGAGAGTATAAAGGAAGGACTGTAGAGAATTGACTGCCAATGAATGGGGGGGGGAAGGGGTAACAAGTTATTACAGAGACTTAGGGGAGATCCGGGGAATTATTTTGTGACAGAAACCAAATAACCCAACCCCCCATTCATGCGATAAACAGTAACTGTCCCCCCTTAATATCATCTTCTTTAGTGGTCAGTGGTGATTCTTGTTTTAGTTGATGTGTACTGAAAAGCGACTCAAATTTCGTCCTTTTTCTTTTTTAGTCCCAATCTCTCAGCAACAGCGTAGTGAAATCACTGAATGTGAGTGAAGTGTTAAATGAGACTGTGTCAAGCACTGAGGATAAAGTGGACAATGAACTGTTAGACTTACTGAATGATGTCAAGACTAGGCTGGCACTTATCAAAGCTAAAATCAGAAATGTCTCCATGGATCTCCTTGATGTAGACTCAAATTTTCCTAAATTACAGGAACTGACAGATCTCATGGGTAAGTTTTGATAGCTTTGGTTTTTCCACTGAAATAGAGTAACTGAATACCATTTGTTCTGTTGCATGTTTTTTTTAGATCAGAGAATTATTATTTGTTTTTAACTCCCAAGATTGTTATTTCTCCCTTCTAGCTGCTATACATTCCTTGGAAAATAGTTATGGGAATTTGGTGTTAGATCAAGATAACAACTTCTGCTTGAATATTCTCAATACCTGTTTGCTGGACAATGTATGTACATTAACGGGGGAAGTTAGAGGTTAATCTCTTATGGGGTGAAAGGATAACACGCTGTTTGTTACGCAAATAGTAAAAGAAGAATATTTTATGACTCAGATGGGAAAGGTCGTGAACTTGGGGAGAATGCAACAGATTCAAAAACCAGAGCAGACGATGCAAGGAAGAAAGCTGAAGACATTAAGGTGCTATGTGTTGGAAATTTGGTTTCGATAAAACGTCTATTGTGCTAGTGTAAACAAAAAGTTTGATTTTAAAACTTTGTCACAAAGTTGAAAGTGAGTGTAAAGCTGTTTTAATGAAGTCTTATGTTTGCATTCATAAAACTATGATGTGTTGCAAGCTTTGAAACTTTCTGAATTTTTGTTACCAATTAGATAATCATTTTCGCGCTCGAAAGTGTTTGTTTAATGTTAATACAATAAACTATCATCTTGACTCCTTGACCTTCTCATCGTGCTAACTGTAGCAATTAAACAAAACAACATTGCCTTTGCCTCCTAGGATCAGCTGAGTGACCTATCTGGGCTAAGGGACTCTATTGTCGCGACAAACAGCAACATAACAGAAGCTGAAAAACAAGTGATGAATGGTTTAAATATGTCTTTGGAAATTAGAGAGAAAGTGCTGATTCAGGAAAAACGACACCAACAGATTCTTAACGAGTTGGACTCTGAGGTGTCGCGACGTTTAATGGACATCAAAAATATGATGATTAAGGCAAATAATCTGCTCAAGTTCACCACACCTGTTATGAAGTTTGATGGGGAGACTACAAGTTCACCATTACTACCTCCTGCTATTAAGCAGGAAGTTAGAGCTATGAACATCTTGATGTATTTGAACCCTGATAAGCCCGATGGCTTGGTAATGTTCCAGGGAGATGCAGAAGGCACCAGCACTCTTCGCCAAAAACGTCAGTCTCAGGAATCTGACTGCAAGACGGATTACATAGCTGTGCAGTTGAAGGAAAGGAAACCACAGTTGAAGATATGCACAGCAGTTAAGGGACTTGTGGAGATTGGGGTGAAAGATAACGATTTTGAGATGGAGACTACCGGCAATGTCTGGTATAAGCTTGAAGTTGACATGTAAGTTTCAGTGTTTTAATACTGTGTGATTTGTAATAATATGCTGATCATGGCTGTTTAAAGAGTGAGATGGAGAACGGAAACAGTAACATCTTTTTAAACCTACAACAGTTTGTTAAGGTGAATTGGAATGATCAAGAACAAGGTTATTCACCATTATAAACTGAACAAAAAGTAGTTTTGATATAAAACAAAAGAGTTTGTGTATGCGGAAATCTTAACGTTTTGGGCACAACTCAGAGACATTGTAGCCTGAGCCGTGAGGCGAGGGTTAACATGACTCTTAGAAGGGCCTAAAACATATTTATACCCAAGAACACTCTACTGCTACTATTATTGTTAACTTGGAGGGCATCGAGAAACAAAAAACTGAAAAAAAGGAAAACAAAACAGCCTGAACAATCACGCGATTGTCTACTGTAGCCTCCACAAACGCACCACAATGCTCGACGAAATGATAACAGTAAAAACTGAATAAGTGCTGAGAAGATTTCAAGAAACCTTGGACTTACTCAAAGAGGTCATTGTATCAAGCTGTCATTGTTAATAGGTTCCACAAGTTTTTGTTGCTACTACCTCCCATATTACAGTAAGTGGTTAGAACCCGGGCGTAACACCTAATAACGTAGTTTGATCGTCCGTACGAGTGTAGTCCTAAGAGGAACTGTCTTCGGTAGTGGTGACTGACGTTTCGACGTTTCCTGAGCGGAGGTCACCATCAGAGTCTGATGGAACAGGGTACTCATAGATATGTGGGATGCAGCACGTTTTCTGTTTTGCATGTGAGACATGAGGGTTTATTTATCTCCTTATTATAATGGATTGGTTTTTCTGTTTTGATTTACAGTGCCGGGGATTGGGCAAATCTTACAATTAAGTACTTTGTTAATAAAAAAGAGGAGATTGTAAGAGGGCGGAGGTCATTAAAACTGGATAATCCCAAAATAGTATTCAACAAGGACAGTGATTTGATTGTTGGTGGTGTTCCTGTGAAAATGAAACTGCCATCTAAAGTTGAAGCGGTTAATTATACAGGATGTATTGATGGCCTGGAAATCAATTATCATTTTGTAGGATCATGGAACACCGAGGTATGTCTTTCACTGCAGGTGAAATTGAGTCACCTGCTTCTTAACTTAACTTATATTAAGAGCAGTGTCTAATTAAATGTCGGAAAACCAAAGCCCAAATTATCTCGGTGATCCAATCAAAACAAAGGTGTACATTATCATTAGCCAATGAGAGCTCAGAGTGAAACCAAGTGCGGGAAAACGTGAATGACCAAGTTGCAATTGTTTTTACTTTTCCATATGATTTGTTGAAAGGATGGCTCGAATTTTCTGGCCCATTTACAGAGCAAAGTTAAGTGAAACTAAAGCAATTGTGGATTACCTGCGACACTCATTTGAAAATTTCTCAGATACGGTATTGAAGGTCCGTTATTTTAAATTTTGGTTCTTGTAGGCTCTGTGTGTTGTTGGGATTTGGGTCAACTTGATGAGTTGTTGGACATGTCATTTTGGCGAACTAAGTCGGCGATCTCAGTCAGGAAACATTCGCCTTTCATCCTTAAGTAAATTACATTTAAACTTTCAGTAATATTTGCGCACTCTTTATGATATATTTCCTTTTATTTTAATTCCTTGTAGATTCTTGAGAAACCTTCGAAAAATGAAGTGTGTCCCTCGCGTAAGGGTGCCACAGAATTTGCTGTGGATGAAGAAAACGCACCCAGAACTTTCTTTGGTACTGGTTATGTCAAGTCTGGACCGTATCAAGAGGATGATCCTATGGGAACCTTCGATCTAAAATTTAGAACAACTTCCTCAAATGGAATCTTGGTTATTGCCATTGATGATGATGATGCATCTCTTTTCCAGGCCCTTGAGTTAATTAACGGGCGCGTTGTTCTCTCTTACAATATGGGTCATGGATACAGAAAGCTGACTTCCACAAAGTTGTATGACAATGGAGTGGAGGTCACCATTGTAAAGAGGGATGTTGATAGAAGAGGTTTCAGGTTTTCATTACGTATTACATCCGAAGACGGCAAGCGTGAGGTGCTTGCCGACGGTAAATCGTTTTACAAGGATCGACGCCCCAGGTTTGTGAATGCTGACTTTGTATACTGGGGAGGCATGGAGAACAGAACTTCCATTCCTGTGAACGTGTAAGTACTTTGAGTAGTATTATATTATACATACTAGCTGCTGGATAGTTTTTTTCTTGTTGAAATTTTTTTCAGTTTCACGGGTGAATTGTCAAAATTTGGACACCTGAAGATGGTAGGGGGAAAGGAAGGGGGCCTGGGGCAGAAAACAGTGGCGCTTGAGATGGTCGGCTTTAGCATAACAGTTTGCCACGGTGCTCCTGATTATTTTCTCGGGCTCCCAGATTAAAGTGATGCTTGCAGCCATTTACACTTCAAAAAAGAAAATGGATCAAGTTCTGGACCTTATTCAGGGAGGGTACTCGGGTCAATTTTTTGCTGGGTATGTGCCGTGACCTCTAAGAACCCCTGCCTCTCTGTAATTTATTCTATGACCAATAATAAACCCTTCCCACCCCCACCTCCCAGAGACGGTGTCAGTTTTTGTTGAGTTGATGTAGACAGGAGAGCTGTACTCCCTCAGACCCTGAACTTGGTGGTTTGTGAAATCATATACTTTCTTTATCATCCAGGACCAAAAGCTTTTTTAAAGGTTGTCTGTCTGATATGAAGTTATCCACCGGTGAAATCAAAGTTCAGCCCAGCCCAGGATACATTTTTGGGTGTAAAGTCAAGGTATGTTATTTCAAGAATCTCCCCAAAATGAAATGAATACTGTTTGAAGTGAATTACATGATTGTCCTTTCGCCATTCAGTATTTGGCTTACGCACCACCAGGAATAAAAAAGCCAAAGCCAAAGATGTGTAAAAAAAAAATTCTTCAAATGGAATTTTCATTTTGTGCTAAGGGTTTGCATCGTCTTTCCGTAATAAGAGAGAGTAGGCTTCATAATAGTCCTAGAAACACAATAAATCCTACTTATTTATGATATTGTAGAATACTCTTACGCTTTTCCTGATTTTCTGATCTGCAGCCAGCACATAATGTGACATTCCTTGGAGCAACGAGCTACCTTGCTATAGAACCATTTCTGGGTCAGAAAGGAAGAGGTTTTAATATTGGGTTGTCCTTCAGAGTTGACCACAAAACTAAAAATGGGCTTATTTTCCTGGAGACTCATAGTCAAGACGTAAGTGATTCATTCCAACCTTCTGATTCCTCTTTAGTTTTCATTATCATGCAGTTTGAGTTCTTCAAAGCCACGTCAAAAACACAGTAAATTTTTCCATTCAATTACTTTTTTTGGAGCAAGAGTTCTACACTTACTCATGCTCGTCGGTTAGTGACATGCTGAGAAATTCCAGTGATATTTCTTTGGCATTTTCAATGTTTTGGGGCATTTTATTGAGCTTACAAGCCAAGGCTTGCATCATGTTGGGCGTAGAAGTCAAAGACTTTGTTGGTTGAACTTTTTTTTGTTTAAAGCTGGGGCTCTAAATGGTCAGCATATAACCCGAATATTGGTCTGATCAATTTTCCCCTTTTTTCTTGCAAAAGTAGAAGGGTTTGGAAAAAGGAAACTTCTGAGTGTTGATTTGTTGTCAAAATAAGGTGGTCACAAAAAAAGAAAAAAAAAATCTTGAGGCTAATCTTATTGAATGTTTTCCTTTTTTTTATCAATGTCTAATTGCAGCCGGATTTGATTGCCTTGGGCTTGATTGACGGAAAGCTGCGATTTTCAGCCAGCCCTGGAAACAAAGCTGTATCTGTAACGAGTAAAGCTAAATACGATGATGGAAAATGGCATTTTGTACTCGTTCGTCATACTGGTGTAGGGTAAGCAAAAAAGAAAAGACAAATTTGCGGGAAATGATATTAAGTCTCATGTATTATGAATTTCGGCTCTTTTCGTGTTTGTAGGAAGTCTGACAAAAATGCAAAATTAAAAGGATCCTAGTTAAATTATTATTATAAAATAATTCAAATAGTACGCGCGCTCTGATAGGCCATAAAACCATTTTACATGAGCGTATGTAAACACGGTTTTCGTTCCTCTTTCATTAATTATTTTATAAAAGAAATGTAAAATGGTTTCCGTGTTTACATAGCCTTATGTAAACACTTGGGAGGTTGGGAGAACACTCGATAAGCTGGAAACCTTCCGCGTGTTTACATCAGGCTATGTAAACACGGAAACCATTTTACATTTCTTCAATTGTTACCATTCAATTATTTGTTGAATGTCAATTAGTCACCATATTCTTGAATCATGTTTCTCTTCTGAAAAAGGGTATTCATAAATATGTGGGATACGGTGGGTATTTTTTTTATATGGGAATAAAAATCTTCTGCAATCTTCTAGCGTCATTTTAAAACCTCTATTTATGTTCAATGCTAGTAAAAATTGTGCAATGTCAGTAGCTGCATGCATTCTCATACTGGCTCCTTTTAGATACCTTCTCTTTTCAGAATAAGTTTTATATAAGTTATATAAGTTTTTTTGTTTTTGACAGCGTTGTTTTGTTTTGTTTTGTTTTTCTCGTTATTATCAGGATTTCTATGCGTGTGGACGATGAGGATCCAGTAGAAAAAAAATTTGAAAACATGATGCAGCAGAACATTCAGACCACTAACGATATGTATCTGGGAGGAATCCCTGAAAACTACATGGATACTGTTAGAAGTATCGATATTGACAATGTTATTCTCAATTCTCTGAAGGGCGGCTCCATCCGAGACTTGACTTTTGATCAAACGTGAGTTCAAATTGTACTTTATAGTTTGATGTTTTTGGTCGTAATTTTAGAAAGAATCGTCTGAATACTTCCTTCAATAACTCATATGCTCCACGCATTTTTCATTCAATGTTTTACCTTCTCGTACCGTTTGGAGAGATCAATCTGGTCATAGCCGTTGGTATGTTTAAATCCCTATACAACCAGAGGCAGAGGATAGGGAGCACGCATTAGGTGAACATCTATCGGCCTGAATTCGTCACCGTCATTTCCCCCCCCCAACCCTTAAAGAAGAAGAAGAAGAAAACGAGAAAAAAGGGAAAATCGCTAGGTGTACCGGTTAGCCGAGTGAAGTCGGTTAATCAAAGTGAAAGCTCGCTGTAATTCACTGCAATGGTTAGCTCATCCGTGCTTACAACCAAGTCTTTTGGTGTAAACGAAGTGGCCATTACATTCAGTGGGCATTACACCCCTTTACATCTCCTCTCCCCCCCTTCCACCACACCTTGTCACAGCAAATGGAAGTGTGACTCTGTAGTCCGACTCTGTGTTAAATGCAACTATTTTTAACGACCGAGGACTGAGCGCTACCAAATCACCCCCACAAAACATTCTGACCATCAAACTTTGTCTGAGCGAGCTTAACAACTTACTTGCGAGATGGTAATTTTTCCTCACCACTGCGGTTGATATTCCATTTGATTTGTTCGTTTACAGACTGTTTGACTTCAAAAAGTATAAGAGGAGAAGAAATGTCATATTTGATAATGATGATTACTCAGAACCGTCGCCTAAGCTGGACATAATTGAGAGTAAGAGACATCTTTCCTTCTGCTAAATTTGAAAGGAGTGTATTTGAAACAAAGAAAGCTACGTATTGAATGTGTGATGAAGATCATTTCTTCGTGAGGGTTCAAAATTTTGATTTTGTAGTTCCTAATCGCACGAATTTTAAAATTTCGCGCGGTACCTTTTTTTTTCTTTTTAGAATTGCAAAATCATCGCGAGATAAGACTGTTTGGTTTTAGTTGAGTGTGCTATAATTCTTAGATTTGGAAATTGCAGTGTAAATATGTATGTTTCTTTGTGGATGTATTTACGTCGGAAAACCTCTACCCTGTTCCAGGCGTTCAGTTAGTCAGACGAGGTCCGATAGTAAACAGCGCGATAGTAGGGGAGGAGTGAAAAAAAATCAGGGAGTTTTGGCTCGGGTCGCGAAATGAAGGACCCGACCCAAACCTCTCTCGTTTTTGCTCCGCTGCTACTATCTCGCCGTTCACTATTTCGCTCCGCTTCACAAATTGAACGCCTGGAAAAGGCTTGAAAACCTGCGGGAAAAGTGGTTATTTTCTTCATATTGTTACACTGGTTTTGTGGTGGGTCGACTGTTCACTCTGTTTTGCGTCTCCCTATTGATTCTTTACAGAACCACCAGATATTGGGGAAATGACAACAACAACCAGCCCTCCTCCGTCCACAACCACAGGTCCCCCAACAACAACAATATCAACACCAACAACAACTACAACAACAACAACAACACCACCTCAAGTGTGTCAAGTGCCAGAGAAACCAGCACAAGAGAATGGAACTGGAGTGTTAGGATTTGGTTATGATCTCAATAGTCATGCAATGTATACTGTGACTGGAAATAAAGTTCTCTCCAAGTTAATCAGTTTGACGTAAGTCGGAGCATCAGTCAATATACAAACAGTAGTTCTGGAAAGTGACGCTTATGCATTTTGTTGGTTTAATTGAGAACGATAGTCACGCAAGAAACGGATTGACCTAAATTTACAGTTCTTAAATATCATAAAGTGATATGAAATCTCCAATTTCCATACGCGTCCTGTGGTCTTTTAAAATTGGGTGGAAGAGCGGGAGAAGGGAGGGAAGGGGATTAAGAAACGTTGTGCGGTGTTCTTACCTTTTAAGTCTCTTCCGAATGGTAATGTATCTTTACATTCATTTTCAGGACTGATTTGAGCTTTGATTTCCGTGCTTCAAATCCGAACGGAATCATTTTATATACCGCAATCGATAACGACAAGCAAGCGGACTTTATTGTGTGCAATTTGCTAAATGGGAACGTGTCCTGTGGCTTTAGCGCCGGAGGGGGTATCCTGCGGCTCACCTCACCTGATGCAGTTTACAGTGATGGCACTTGGCACACAGTCAGTTTCGTTTCTTGCTTAGATTTTTTTTGTCGTTTTTTTGTTTGATTTGGTTTTTTGGTTTGTTCTCAGTTGTTGTTTATATTATCGTTGTTTTCGTTATTTTTTGTATTTTTTTGTGTGTTCGATATTTTAATTTCTTTTAGAGTTCATGGAAATAACGTTAGGGAAGGTATGGTGGGTTTAACCGATTATTTTAATTTTTAGGTACAACTCACGCGCAATGGGGTGGACGGCAAGCTTTTCGTGGATGGTACACTTGTTATGACTGGAGCCGCCGCTGGCTCTCCTAAGTTTATCAATGGACTCAAGGAGCTTTACCTGGGAGGCACTCCACAGGGTTTTGATGCAAAGCGAGTCACGGTCAGCGGTGTTCCAGTATAGATAACTGTTTGTATAATACGTCATCAGCACCTATTAAGGGTACAAGGTTATTTACGGGGGAGAGAGGGAGGGGGGAGAGAGGGAGGGAGGGAGGGGGAAGTTAGTTATACCTTAAGTTTTGATAAGTGAATGTTCAAACGTTGTCTCACGATTTTGAGATGTTTCGGTTTTTTTAGACGAAAATCTGCGTTCTGTTGGTTCTTGGGTGGTGTTCTGGACCAATCTTTTCTGTACTGTGTGGGTTCTCTCCTCTACGATTATTATTTTGGTTTAATTGAATGTTTACCTCTCTGTTGCCGTATCCTGCATTGTTTCAGGAGATCATGAAGATCCTCTTTATTGAACAATTCATCCTGTAAGAGATAAACTCTTACTAACCCTAGGCAAAACCCTTGTAATAGACTTGTTTTGCTTGTTGTCGTAGATACTCGCCAGTTAGCATCAATCACTCATTCACTGTTTTGATTCTTTTCAGGTTGATGCACGTACAAGTTTCCCAGGATGCATCAGGAACGTTAAAGTCAATAATGACGATATTGGTGAACCTTCAAGTCTAATCAAGGTTCAAGATTGTTACATAGACAGCCCTACTTCAGGAGTCAGCTTTGACATGGGTGGTGGATACCTGCAAGTTGGTGAGTTTGTACTGTAAGATAACGCACATCCTAGCTGGAACTTCCTCAGAGAAGTAGATCAAATTACCCAATGGTCTGCCTCTATGAGATTTTCTTAAAATGCTTCCTATGGGTCTCCTCGTGCCCACTCGTCCCAAAAATGCTGTAAGCAGCTGGATCTGAAAAAGATTGAATCTCAGGTTGGTAGTTACTAATCAATTTATCTTTGTTATGTTTATTTTGCAGCCAAAACTTACATCGTGGGAATGTATGAAGTGATCTCCATGGAAATAAAACCAACGTCTCACACGGGTCTTCTGTTATCATCTTCAGATCCCAAGGGAGACTACATTGTGTTAGAGATTATTCGCGGAAACGTACGTATGCCCAATAGTGCATGCTCAATGCTCATTTATCAGAACAGTGTTAGGTCATGAAAATGGTAGGGATCGTTCAGCATCGTTAGTTCATTTGAATCGTCTTCCCCCCACTTTTTATTATTCAGACCAGCAAACTGAAAGAGTTCTTTATTATTTGTTGCGAAAGGTGATCTTCCGGGCAGAAAATGGCGGGGGGCAGCTGGTGGTGGAGAATACTGCCGAGGATCCTCTTCGACTTTGTGACGGACAGTGGCACAAGATTAAGGCCTGGAAAGAAGGGAATTTGGTGAAACTTCAAGTTGACGAAGGAACAATACTGGAAGGTGAAAGAAAAGGATCTCAAACCAACACAAATCTCTACGACCCTCTCTATGTCGGAGGTCTCCCAGGTAGGTACATGGTGCATGCGTAGTTAGCCTCTTGTCTGTGATTCAGTTTCCTCGTTGATGACTATGTGTGGTGTTCAGTGATTTTGTCTCCTCGCCATGAAGGAATCAATCTTGGAAAAACCGTGTCTTCATACTCCTACATTTTACACGACCTCGAAGATGGAGTAATCGTGAAGGAAACGTCCTGAAACGTCTGTTTTCAAACATTGCTACGACGGTTTATGTTCCTTTATCAACCCCTTATCGATAATCAACACAGTATCTTAAGAAATAGACACTAATGAATAACTTACCCCAGTCGAATGGCTTAAAATGTAAGAGGTCAATGTCGGCAAAGCTTACATAACTCTTTGTTCCCCTTGGTCAGCGTTTCTATTTACCCCCCAAAGAATAAGTTAAAATATATTTTATATATTTTATAATTCGTAACAGCGCTCTCTTGTATTTCTTCAAATCAACATTCGTGATCCTGTTATTATACCATTTGCCTGCCGATGAAGCGCAAGTAAAAGTTAACAACCTTTTTTGTTTGTTCAAGTGATTTGGTGTCTCTTAATTCCTCTCTGACCCAATATATTGAATGTTTTGTCCTGCAGCGGGTGTAGAGGCTAAAGGTGTGACTGCTACCGAGAGGTACACGGGTTGCATACGTAACTTGGAGTCTAAAGATAGAAATTCAGCAAGGTCTCTGAAGTTTGCCAATCCTTGGGAATTAGGTGGAAATGTTTACCTTGGAGGCTGTCCTTACAACTAATGAACTATTTCCTTCACTGTCTCCCATTTGTCTATTCAATTAGTTTGTGGTTTAAAGGCAAAAGGCTCATAGGTTTTGTTGATGCTTTAAACCCAATTTTTTAGAATTTTTTCACTTTCCTATCACGAAGTAGTTTAAAAAACTATGCTAGTCTAGCGAGATGTGTTTCTTAGATACTGGCGTAAAAATATTAAGAATTCATTTGAATTCCTAACACAGCATTTTATCTTGATAACATGTTACTTTCATGTTGGGAATAAAAAATCTTACTTCAGTTTTTGCAATATCATATGGCGATAAACATTTGAAGTTGCTATTCCTCCTCTGTTATCCACCAGTACACATAGAGTTCTTCCACCCTGAGGACACATGCTCCCCACGAGCATCGATAAACTATTTCCTTGCAATATTAAAAGGGGGAATTTTTGGACCCACAAAAGAGCTGCGACTTAATAACTTACTCACATTAGACATCTACCACAAGCTAATTCAATTTTTGAAACTCATTGACAAAATTGTATTGTTTCGATATTCAGACGAGATTTTCTCAGCCTACACAAGAGCTGTAACTGACATTTGCACATAGAACAAAGCTAATCACGCTCTTGCTAACGCGCTATAACTTGTCGCAGAATCCCCCCTTTTCGCGGAGTTATAAACGAATGAATATTACACCAAGTGTTCAAGCTCATTAACGAAATTCTATTGTTTCAATATTCAGGGGAGATTTTCTTTGCCCACACAAGAGCTGTAACTTTGATATTTGCTCACAACAAAATTGACCACGCTCTTACTAACGCGCTAAAGCTTGTCCCAGAATTCCCCATTTTTTTACAGAGATATAGACGCATGAATATTGAAACAATAGAAGTTCGTTGATGAACCTTTGACAACTTGTTGGAACCACGAGCAAAAGGGAGTTTTCAATTTCATGAACGAAATTCTGTTTTTTTCAATATTCAGAGGGGAATTTCTTGGCTCACACAAAAGCTGTAACTTTGACACTTCCACACATAACAGAGATAATCACGCTCTTTCCAACGCATATGAAATTGTCCCAGAATTAATTATTTTTACGGAGATATAGACGCATGAATATTGAAACAAAAGAAATTCGTTAATAAGCCTCTGACAACTAGTTGGAACCACGAGCAAAACGGAGTTTCAAGCTTATTAACCAAATTCTATTGTTTCAATATTCAGACGGGATTTTCTCAGACCACACAAGAGCTGTAAATTTGACACTTGCCCACATAAAAGAGCTAATTACACTCTTTATAACGCTTTTTAAATTGTCCCAGTATTCCACATTTTTACGGAGATATAAACGCATGAATATTGAAACAATAGAAATTCGTTAATGAACCTTTGGTAAGTTGTTGGACCCACGAGCAAAACCGAGTGTTCAAGCTCATTAACGAAATTCTATTGTTTCAATATTCAGACGGAATTTTCTCAGCCCACACAAGAGCTGTAACTTTGACACTTGAACCCATAACAGAACTAATCACGCTCTTTTTAACACGCTACAAATTGTCGCAGAATTCCCCATTTTGACAGAGATATAAACGCATGAATATTGAAACAATAGAAATTCGTTAATGAGCCTCTGGCAACTTGTTGGAACCACGACTAAAACGGAGTTTTCAAGCTCATTAACAAAATTCTATTGTTTCAATATTCAGAGGGGAATTTCTTGGCTCACATATAAGCTGTACCTTTGATACTTCCACACATAACAGAGATAATCACGCTCTTTCCAACGCATATGAAATTGTCCCAGAATTAATTATTTTTACGGAGATATAGACGCATGAATATTGAAACAATAGAAATTCGTTAATTAGCCTCTGACAACTAGTTGGAACCACGAGCAAAACGGAGTTTCAAGCTTATTAACCAAATTCTATTGTTTCAATATTCAGACGGGATTTTCTCGGACCACACAAGAGCTGTAAATTTGACACTTGCACACATAAAAGAGCTAATTACGCTCTTTATAACGCTTTTTAAATTGTCCCAGTATTCCACATTTTTACGGAGATATAAACGCATGAATATTGAAGCAATAGAAATTCGTTAATGAACCTTTGGTAAGTTGTTGGACCCACGAGCAAAACCGAGTGTTCAAGCTCATTAACGAAATTCTATTGTTTCAATATTCAGACGGAATTTTCTCAGCCCACACAAGAGCTGTAACTTTGACACTTGAACCCATAACAGAACTAATCACGCTCTTTTTAACACGCTACAAATTGTCGCAGAATTCCCCATTTTGACAGAGATATAAACGCATGAATATTGACACAATAGAAATTCGTTAATGAGCCTCTGGCAACTTGTTGGAACCACGACTAAAACGGAGTTTTCAAGCTAATTAACAAAATTCTATTGTTTCAATATTCAGAGGGGAATTTCTTGGCTCACATATAAGCTATAACTTCCACACTTAACAGAGATAGTCACGCTCTTTCTAACGCATACAAGAGTGTCCCAGAATTAATTATATTTACGGAGATATAGACGCATGAATATTGAAACAATAGAAATTCGTTAATGAGCCTTTGGTAAGTTGTTGGAACCACTAGCAAAACCGAGTGTTCAAGCTCATTAATGAAATTCTATTGTTTCAATATTCAGAGGGGATTTTCTCGGCCCACACATAAGCTGTAACTTTGATACTTGCACACATAACAGAGCTAATCACGCTCTTCCTAACACGCTATAAATTATCGCAGAATTTCCCTTTTTCGCAGAGTTATAAACGCGTGAATATTAAAACAATGGAAATTCGTTAATGAGCCTTTGGCAACTTGTTGGAACTACGAGCAAAACGGAGTTTTCAAGCTCATTAAACAAATTCATTGTTTTAATATTCAGAGGAGATTTTCTCGGCTCACACAAAAGCTGTAACTTTGATACTTCCACACATAACAGAGATAATCACGCTCTTTCTAACGCATATGAAATTGTCCCAGAATTAATTGTTTTTACGGAGATACAGACGCATGAATATTGAAACAATAGAAATTCGTTAATGAGCCTTTGGCAACTTGTTGGAACCATGAACAAAACGGAGTTTTCGAGCTCATTAACAAAATTCATTGTTTTAATATTCAGAGGGGGATTTTCCTGGCCCACACATAAGCTGCACTCATAACAGAGCTAATCACGCTCCTTCTAACACGCTATAAATGTTCCCAGAACTCCTCATTTTTACAGAGATATTAAAGCATGAATATTGAAACAATAGAAATCCATTAATGAGCCTTTGGTAAGTTGTTGGAACCACGAGCAAAATCGAGTGTTCCGAGCTCATAAACGAAATTCCATTGTTTCGATATTCAGGGGGGAATTTCTTGGCTCACAAGGGCTGTAACTTTGACACTTCCACACTTAACAGAGATAACCACGCTTTTTCTAACGCATATAAAAGTGTCCCAGAATTAATTATATTTACGGAGATATAGACGCATGAATATTGAAACAATAGAAATTCGTTAATGAACCTTTGGCAACTTGTTGGAACTACGAGCAAAACGGAGTTTTCAAGCTCATTAACAAAATGCTATTGTTCAATATTCAGACGGAATTTTCTCTGTTCACACAAGAACTGTAACTTTGACACTTGCACACATAACAGAGATAATCACGTTCTTCCTAACACGCTATAAATTATCGCAGAATTCCCCCTTTTCGCGGAGTTATAAACGCGTGAATATTAAAGCAATAGAAATTCGTTAATGAGCCTTTGGTAAGTTGTTGGAACCACGAGCAAAATCGAGTGTTCAAGCTCATTAACAAAAATCTATTGTTTAAATATTCAGAGGGGATTTTTATCGGCCCACAAAAGAGCTGTAACTTGCATGCACGCATAACAAAGGAAATGACGCTCTAACGTATATTAAATTGTCCCAGAATTCCCCCTTTTCATTTAGATCTAAACGCATGAATATTGATATAAAAGAAATTCGTTGATGAGCTTTTGGTAACTTGTTGGAACCACGAGCCAAACGGAGTTTCAAGCTTATTAACAAAATTCTATTGTTTCAACATTCAGAGGGGATATTTTCTGCCCACAAAAGAGCTGTAAATTTGACTCTTGCACACATAACAGAGCTAATCACGCTCTTACTAACGCGCTGAGAACAAAGATATATGTGGCAAACATTTCTCTGTTAAATACAAAATGTTTATTGTTGTATTATAGTTTTGTCAAAAATAACTAGCTGAGTAAAGAAGAGTAAAACACCAGAAGTCTAATTTCAACTTCGCTTTATTTCAAATTCCTCTGTTCGGATTGGGAACAATAAGAAATAACAACTGCTTTATCAAGAGAATATGAAGGTTGCACTAAAATTGTGTTTGGTATCCCTATGATTCTGATGTGGTTTGTTCTTTGAATGTCATAAATCCTTCAATTTCATGATTACAGGGTCATGTTTTGTGCCCACAAGTCTTTTCTCCAACATTTGAATTACAAATATCATGAACCCAGGTAGTGATATTACCAGGGAGACACACAAGGACACCAAGTACACATGAAGAAATAAGTATCGACTTGGGAGAGGAAGAATGGAATACGCGATGGAGCCATCATTACCTGAAACAACAAAATAAAAATTTTCTATAGACATAAAATAGAAGGACATCCTCTTGTAATAAACACAAATTAAATGTATGGTTTGTGGGGAAAAAAGTTATTAGCCCTTTAATCCCTAAGAGTGACTAGTGCAGAAATCCTTTCAGTGTTACCCCTGAATCATACATTAAGGTCAAGAAAAAAGAAGCTCTTGATTGTTAAACAATTTCTCCTTGTCAGCACCTCAGGAAATGTATAAAGAACAAGGGATGGTCTCAGATGGATAAAATGATAACCTGCATTCAAAGAAACATGTCACAGTTTAAGGAAGCTCAGCAGTGCTGTCCCCTCATTTTCAGTCTGTGTCAATCTTTCACCCTTAAACATTCTCTGCCTCTTTGGTTTGCTCTGATATAATTCAAGTATTTTCTTTTTCTTTTTGTCAAACTGCACACTTTGGTTTCCCCTACATTCCAAGCAACTCAAATAGTTATGTCATAGCCTGATGACCTTGAAGTAAAGCAAAAAGTTATTTTAAAATACCTATCAGACCTACAGACTTACAAAATTATATAAGCAAACAATCATACTGCACCTGTAAATTTCAGAAATTAAGAAATAATCTTCAGCCATAAGATTCACCTCAAAAACATACAGGGTATATTGGCTGAAATACTATTGATACAACTTAAAATCATGCCTTCCTCATACCAAGGAATATAGCAGTGATCAGCAAAATCAATTTTTTTACTCTTGCTCTTTACCAAAAGTTGGAAGCCAACACCTCAGAGTAAGGCTCACATCTTTATGCACATTTTTATCAGGCCCAAAGTCATTATAGTGACAGAGATTGTTTGTTGGTGCTGACACCATACCTACAACTGCCACGGCTGCCCCCATCATTTTCGTTCCCATGCGATAGCTGCAGGTAGGCACCACATATTCTGTAAAGGTAAATATTCCGAACTCATGTTGAACAGTGGCTGGCTAAAAAGCAACATAAATGGTGAGATTAGTTCTAGGTCAAATGACTGCTTAATGAGGAGGGGAGGGAGGGGGGACTGAAAATATGACAGAATAAAAGTCTCTTGATGCACATAGTCCTCACCCTAATATAAGTCTCTAAAAGGAACAAAATTTATGCCAAGATGCCAAAGATTTCACTTTCAAATCAACAACAATTTCAGATGTTTATAAATTAACCCAAAATCCCTCTGGAATAAACAATTAAACTCATCATGATTACTGTAAACAATAACCTCTGTTTTAAGTCTCTTTTAATGTGAGAATAAATCTTTAATGATTGAGAACAAGCTGCCAAATTCATAAATATTAAAATTTTTAAGTCTTCAAGCAAAATGAGGTGTCACATTCACTTGGTATTAAAAAAAAAATGAAGCAGCAAAAAATAGAACTTACCTCATGAAGATGACCTGAGAACGCATAAGTTGGTTTCATAGTTCGAATTAACTTAAAGTAAAAAACAAAGGAAAATAGTATAGCTGTTATAAACTACTATTAGTATCATTATAATAGAGACAAAAATTATCTTAATCGACCAGTCTCTTATGAGAACTCTTCACCATCAATGTACGAACAAACAATCTTGTGTTTAAAACATTAAAATTTTGACAATCAATTACCATGACTTTCTAGCGATTCCCAAACAATTTCAATTCATCAAGGAATTTACAACATTATTGGTCAAAACTAGTGTAGGCAAAACAGCAAACTTTGTACATGATCCTTGTGACCCCACCAGCAGGTGCTTATCCTGATTTCCCTAACATTTCTCCTCCCTGGATGGGATCACAGTCCATTGTAAGAAGATCACCCCCAGGACAAGATCACCTCTTGTCCTGCCCAAGAACACAACACATTGACCCAGCCAGGTCTGGAACCCAGACCTCTTAACCCTGAGTCTAGAGTACTTGTATAGTAGTGGTAAACTGCTGAAAAAGTCACAAAATATTCATGCTTAGGGGTTCAAATTTGGTGTCTCATTTCCAAAGGCTGACAAGGATCAAAAGGCTCACATAAATCCTGTATGAACTGGCGACAATGGAACAATACAACTAAAGCAAGATCAGTTTGGTATTTGATGAATCTGCCTGTTGAAAATAACTTACCTTGCGCAATGGAACATCATGTTTTACACTAATTTCGTCAATAGGAACATGACCGACTAAAATGGAAATCTTCTCCTTGTCCAGTTTTGGAGAAAGATTATTGATAAAATCTACAGTTTTATTGTAGATTTTTCTTTCCTCTCTAAAAGGTTTTCTTCTTAACAAACTTGCTGAATTGATCTGTAAAAATTCAAAACATACAACATACTTTAAAATAATTTCAAAACTTATATTGATTTTTGCTTTGGTGACCAAGGTTCCATTTCTGCCACTCTCTTGAACAGTGTCTGGTTATCAAATGCACAGTTACTCCTGCAATTAAGTGTAAGCAATAATGGGTAACAAAATAACTTTTAATAAATGTTTGAGAAAGTTTTTCTAGATTAATTTATTATGTCTAGTAACTAAACAGACCCAGAGCAATATTTCAAGATACAAATCTAAGGAAGACTGGTTTGGGTTGCCACTCAAAACCAGTCCATTCTGCTTTGTTCCCTGATAATTTCATTCCTTGAACCTCAAAACCTCTAACATCTTGATCTTTATTGAAAAAACATCAAACAAAAATAGCTTTCTAGGCGTAGTAAATACTTGGGAGAAGTGGTCCCTTGACTTTGCAGGTTTAATGTGTACTCCTAAGGACACAGTGCTCCTGGTTTTAACTTTAAGACTCATAAAAGGTTTTCTAGCTACTGAGCTACAGCTGCTTAATGTGGCAAGCAATCCAATAATCAACCAATACAATGAACTACCATAGACATAAATGTCTTTCGTTGGTGACAGCAAGACTACCACATCACACAGGACATCCCTTCCTATGCCACTGATATACAACAACATTAATCTGTCTCCACTAGTATACCTTAATTATTTGAAAAGACTTCAGTTTCACCACATCATTTATGGGACCAAAGTGTTGTTCAAATCTCAATGTTTTTTGTTCTGTGAGGATATCACTCCATTCACCTCCAATGTCATTGTCCCCAGCAACATAGATCCTTTCAGATCTGTCAAAGGTGTGGAAAATCTTATCATGTCTTGCCTAGAAAAGATATAAAACATTGTTAAAATTAGTAACTATCCATTTTATAATTTTTTAAATCAATCACAAAGGCATCTACAGAGCAAAACTGATAAATTAATACTTGATGAAAAAATTAAGTTGTTTGGGACCATACAAAGAGTGAAGCCCCATTACTCTGCATTGAGGAGAGCAATAATACAAATCCTCTCCTTTCCCTCTGCTTTTTTCATACTGGGCTGGGAGGGGAAGATCTCTTTATGGCAAATGAATGGTTCAATTTTGAAGCTGACAAAGCTGTTATATAACTGAATGAGAGGATATACTGCTGGTCTATTACCTTATACTCCTCATATTGCTCATCTGTAGCAATTGATCCTTCATCTAAAATGTCACCTGAGATGTCAAAACTAAATTACCATATATGACTCACACAAGATAAAAAAAAAGTGACATAATAATGAACAATAATAATAATAAATCAGATTTAGAAGTGGGCACCCATGACACAGCTCCTCTTGTGTCTGTTGGCAGATATTCATGCAGAACTGTGTAATATAATCTTCTTTGATAAGGATACCACACAGTCATGTACATTTTATTAATTTTGAAGTTTTTTCATCTAGTTAAAACCAAGGATGGAGGAGTGACTGACCAAGTCAGTGGAAAAAGACAAATTAGCTATCTAAGCATTAATAACTTTAAAGCATACTGAAATATTTGTTTTATGGTATATTTGTTTGTATCCACCATTTTACTGAGATAAGCTTCATCAGGAAAGTCACATGAAACACATATGACGCTTACTGGTGTCTACTTAATACAAGTAGTCTTTCTGATAAAGGTTTTCCATATCAATTTGTGTAGTGATAGAAAGCTTGACTGTGAAATTTTCCTCTTTATATGACAACTGCTACAGTACTGGCTCTCTTATAACATCTTCTCTTATAGGCCTCTTTTTACCTAACATGTAACCTGAGCTATAGTGAAGTCCCACTAAAACAAATGATTGCAAGTATCCTTAGAGAAAAGGAAGGCTTGTTACACTTATCAAAGGTCTGCGGTTACACTTATCAGAGGTCTGCAATTACACTTATCAAAGGTCTGCAGTTACACTTGTCAAAGGTCTGCAGTTACACTAATCAAAGGCCTGCAATTACACTTATCAAAGGTCTGCGTCTGTTGAATACAAGTTGGTTACTAAAAATACATAAAGAAAAAGTCCTGAATTTAGGCGGTGTCTACTTCATACAAGTCTTACTGTACACTGGGTCACATTCCTTGAGACACCCAAATGTGTAATTAAAAAACAATACAACCCCACATAGGACTTAAAAAGTAAAAATGAAGAAGGGATCATGAAACAAACCTAAATGAATAACAGCATCAGGTGAAAACGATGCCAAGGCCAGATAAAAAGCCTTGAATAAATACCAGTCTGTATCCACACGTGTTATACATCCTTGAATTCCTTCAGGTTCTTCCTTGTATCCCTTACAGGAAAAAAAAGGGTCCAAGGAGGAGCTTTGTTAGAGTTCATTTCTATTAAATATCACAAAACCAAAACCAAGAAAGGAAACCCTACAGCCAATCAGAACAAAGGAAAATCAACTCAAATCAAACACAAACCATTGGCCTGAAACATGGAAAAAATATAAGTGACTGTGACGTTGTTGGTTTTAGTTTTCAAACTAACTGAACTAACTGTTTGGGGGGAAGTGGTGCTATTAGCCATGTCAAGAGAGAAGAAGCCTAATAAGTCACTAAATATAACTGCTCATAAAAAATGCAAGGTTGTGGTTCTGAATAGAAGGACAAAAAAAAAAGACTAATTGATTAAAACTTCAGATAATAAAATGATTCAGTGTATGTTCAGCATATTTGTCTGTTGTTTTTGGTACAGTAGACCTACCGGGATTTGTGAGTCAGAGATGAGAAGTAAATTCAGTGAATCTCTGGATTGGTCAGGAATCCTCCAAGTAAAAAAAGCCCATAGAAAACATCCAAACTCTCCAATAAACACAACAATTACAAGTAAAACCAATGACACCTTGAGGGTAAAGATATACCAGTACCACAAACACTTCTTCAACATCAAAACTGAAATGAAAAAGAAAATAGTACTCTTTAACCAGAGTGACTAATACACTTGTTATATCAGTTAATCAATGAATTTATTTATCTAATAATTTGTTATTTTTTAAGTTTTTTTAAATATATTACTTACTCTTATTCTAACGTCATTAGGTTTCTATCAATAGGTTCATTCTACATAATAAATAACAAATAACAAATAAATTCCATGTTACCATGCGTCTATTCAGTAATGGATCACAGATGAGACCAAAATGCACCACAAACAAAAGTAGTACACAAGATGCAGTTGAGTTTATCTCTGATGTTCTTACCACGTTTTGACGTCATCTGTGATCTATTGCTGTACAGACCCACGGCAACATGGAAGATATTTGTTTTATATAATACAGGTCTGGAGCAAAAAAATTGTTAATGGTGATGTCATCCATACGTCTGTCCTCCAATAGATCATAAGTTCGAACCAATCAAAATGAACGCGTGATGCAGCACATTGTATAAATATATGTACAACATGTCGTGATCTCCCAAATTTTGATTGTGCTTCACCTGATTACTCAGGTGTTACCGCCTCAATTCTTCTGGTCAAAGTAGACTACACAGGGCACATGCATGATTGTCACTTTCCGAATATTAAACAAGATCAAGCTAGTGTAACCTCATTCAAATAGCTATCTAACCTGCAAGAATCGATCAAACAGTAAGCCCTAGCTGTGCAAATATTCTCAGTGTCGTGACGCAAAATCTTAATCCGCAAATGAGGACGTAATGTGCAGAGATTTCAAATCCTGGAACTAGCATCTTTCCAAGCGTTCTGTTTAAAAAATAAATAGTTCAGAGAATACTTACATCGATTATTCTACAGTAGTATCCAGTACAGCTTCCTTTCTCCAGGGTAGGATTTGCGGTATTTCTGACACAATCGCCTTCAGAGAACAAACAGATGTGAAGCGATTTGGTTGAGACCGGATGTGAGATCATGTATTTGTCACCAACTGTACCATGTTAGGGCACTGGGTACCATCGGTCTTTGCATGCCGAAAGCCGAACCAGTATTGTCGTTTTCAACGAAAATGGCGGCAATAAACGTTCATAGCACTAGTTGTACTACAGATAATCTTAGTAGACATGACATGCTGAAATGGATCAACGAGAGTCTGCAGCTTAAGTACACCAAAATTGAACAACTATGTTCCGGTTAGTAATCGAGAACATTTGCGGCAGTTTCGTCGACAGAACTTCCATGTTTTCACGCCTTCGATCGAACGAGGGGCTGATGTTCGGGGTTATCAGTCCTTTCTCGTTGTTTCGTTATCGCGTCATACTTGGCTCTCACTAACTTGTGTTTTCTTAATAGGTGCTGCATATTGCCAGTTTATGGATATGTTGTTCATGGGTGAGTACATTATGAAGATTACGTATGAAATTCGAGTCCTTTAACAAACGCCTCTTTAAACTTTGTACATGTGAAGTTAATATCATGAAATATACATAACTCCCTTCAGTGATGTTCGATTTTAAACTCACATCAATCGGTATTTTAATTGAATGTATTTTAGATTGTGTAAATATGGCAAAGGTGAAGTTTGCATCAAATCAAGAACACGAATTCATAAATAACTGGAAGATATTGCAAAAGGCGTTTAAGAATGCTGGAGTTGATAAGGTAAAGTTTATACTTCCTTTTTTCTTTTTTTGAATTCTTTATTACAGCATGATGTTAATTTATTTCACGCTTATTTTCGACATGTATCTCGTGCTGTAGAGTATGTAAACAGAATCATGAATTAATCTAAAAGTAAAACGAAAGGTGCTGTAAATTGTGCTATTGGCGTGCCGGTGTCGAAATTTTTGTGGTGACATCATCATACTAATTATTTTTTTTTTGTAAATGTCTCCATCAACAATGAAATCTTTGAAAAGGTAAGGGAGTATCAAGGTGTTTCATGATATGCAAAGTTTTATTTTCTAGAAAGATCATTTACTTTTGATTCTGGATCATGTGACCTAGCAATAGTTTGAGAATGTTTGTGAACGGTAGTGCTCTCTTTAACTGAATGCCGCACTTGTAAAACCAGCTAAGAAGAAAGAGGCCAGTGTGAATCAGCAAGATATTTAGCTTTGATTTTATATGTTATTGGTTAAGACAGAAGACTGAGTTTTAAGACCAGTCAATGAACACAGAAAATCAAAACCCAAAATAATCCTGAATTACTTTGGAACTGAGTTTGAATGACTCACACTTTTTAATTTTTGGTCTCTAAATTTTTTTAATTGAGTGAGAATTACTACTTCCTAACTAATGATTATAAAAAAATTTATTTTCATTGGGGCTAAAAATGCACGAACAATTATTTTTCACCAGTAAGTGCTTGTCAGGTGCCATTATTATTACTATTATTATCATTATTATTATCATTATTATTATTATTGCTATTATCATCTTTTTTCCTTTAATGAAGATCAGGATTTCAAGGCATTGAAACAAAGATAATATATTTTTATATATTCATATCATATTTTTTAGCAATGCAGTATGTAGATTGGAGTTGGATTTTAATAGGCAAAATCAATTGGCTTACCAGTAATATTTATAAATTAAATAAATAGGAACATCATTAACAAATATAAAAGCCAAATGGATGTTGACTTGAAAGGCACATCATATGATTGCAAATAATGCAAACTGTGAAATCTCAACATGTTTTCTCAGCAGTTGAGGTTCAATTGAAATACTAAACCACTTTGACTGTGGTTTTTCTTTTATTTCCTTATTCAGACGATCCCAATTGAAAAGTTAGTCAAAGGGAAGTTTCAAGATAACTTTGAGTTTGTTCAGTGGTTCAAGAGGTTTTTTGATGCAAACTATATCGGGCCTGATCCTGATTATGATCCTGTAGAAGCACGACATGGAAAAACAGATACTCCACAGATTGCTCAGCCACGAAAAGGGTCAGGACAGCTTACCAGACCTGTGCAACCCCCAGGTGAGGAAAATTCTTTTTCCATTCAGGTAGACCTACTGAGTATGCAATGTTACCAATTTCATACACCTTGCATTTTTCCACTCAATTACCTCAGCCTCAAGATTGTGACTTTTAAGTCTTTATAATGTATTGTCTTGGTTGTGATTCTTGTGTCACTCATTAGAACCAAACCTTACTGAGAGTAAAATCTCTTTTTTTCATTCTTAATCTCTAAACAGCCAAAAATCCAGCACTCTCAAAAGGAAATTTTAGTAAACCTACAGCAGGTGGTCCAGCCAGAAATGGTGGAGCTTCTAGAGGTGGTGCATCGGGACTTGGACGTCCAGTAGCACAAAGTTCGCGCACTGTAGGAGGGGCAGCACAGGGACCCCGTACTGGAGGAGCAGCTGGAGGGTCATCTGCTGCAATTGCACAGAAAGATGCTCAAATACAGGAACTTAATAATGAGGTTTGATTTTGATGTTTGGTAAATGAATGAAAATCATGGATGAAAATTGTTACCAATAATTGATACAAGCTCCTTAATGAATATGAGAATGAATTAGTTACTATTCGAAACTTAAGCCCATCATCTAGCACTATGTTTGGCAGAAGCATCCCTTTTGCTGGATTTTAAAACTATGTTGGTTAATACCAACAATTGTCAATCAAAAGCAGTCAAGTTATTCTTTGATTGTTTAGTTGAGTCTGCTCTTTTAGATATGCTCTCATGTTGATTGGTAAACTGAGCAACCATCTAATGGAAATCAGTTAACCCAGTATGGACATATTTATTTTTGCTCAGTTAGATGAGAAGGATCAAACTGTGGGTGTTTGTTGTAAATTCACAAGTCAGGAAGTGTCTAACATGTGTTCTTGTGCTTGGTCTCCAGCTCACTGCACTGCAACTGACAGTGGAAGGATTAGAAAAAGAAAGAGATTTCTACTTTGGCAAGTTACGAGATATTGAAGTCAAATGCCAGGAAGAAGATCCAGGTGCTAATGTTGTCCAGAAGGTCTTGGAAATTCTTTATGCAACTGAGGTAGGTGCAGCATTTTGGCCTCACAAACCCCTAAGCAAGATAATGGAACTTACAAATTGGATCTAAATCAAATGGAATCTACAAGGCACATTTCAATAGATTTTCTGTAATCAGGAATTCTGTTCTCTCACATACCTTGCAAGTTACATTTCATCTTAACTCATTCTTGTTATGGAAGGTATTGTTGCATTTGAGTGGATACATTCTCAAACAGAAGGGAACAAGTTAATGTTACTAATCTTAACCTGTTTCATGCATTTATTTGTAAACACAGCATGATAATGGGAGCAAAGAAGAAATTTGTAAGCAGTGAAATTACATTAAGGAAGGGATGCTTATGGCTGTAGATTTCACCCATACCCTGCTCCTTCTGTCACTCTGCCACAAGTAGCACTGTGTTCATGAACTAAACACTTAGAAATGGGCAAACTACTCTTCAGAAACAGATTCAATGGACAGCTTGCTTCATGAACACAATCACTGTCAAAGCCAAAATATCATATTTCTGAATTTGACCCCTAAGAGGTTTCTGTCAAATCAAGGAACTTTTCTTCACTTAATGTCCATCTGTGAAAATTGTTCAAGGAACTAGTTGTAATGCATGACTTGATATATGTTGGATTCCAATTACTGAGGGAACTATGAATTGTTGTTATTTGTAGGAGGGTTTCGCTGCACCAGAGGAAGGTGGTAACAATGAAGAATATGAATATAATGATGAACAAGAAGAGTACTAGACAGAAGAGACGTATGCAGGATCAGTTGTCATCAGCAGACTTGCCATCAACCATATTTTTTAAAAATTAAAACTGTTTCTTGTGATAACATGCTAGGAGATAAAGGGAACTTCTTCTGTTATCTAAACTGAGAGTACTGATCTCAAGTTTGCACCACTGGCTATTTTGTATTATAATAATTATTATCAAAGATTTTTCCATGTAAACTGAAGGCTAGCTAAAATGTAGGTGTGCTGAAACCCAGTTTCTGTGATAGAGAGGTAATGAAGGTTTTCTCTTCTTTTGACGTGTGAAAACAACTTGTTTAGTGAAAGATGTCGCAGCTTTGTGCTCTAAAAGATTTTTTAAGTTTTACTTCCTGCCAAAGACATCAGGTGATTCCTAAGCTACCAAGGATAACTTTTCCCTGCTTAACCCTTTCACACTTGGAGAGACCAAATATATGTTTCTCCTTACAATATTCATAAATTTCCAAGCAGAAAGGTGATGAGAAATTTTAAAAAATCAACAACAGTACATTGTATGATTGAACAAAAAGTTCTCTGAACTACACTTATCAGAAATGTCTGAAAGAGTGCAGACAATTGATATTAAGAACCTGGGAGTGAAAAGATTAAGCAGTTGAGGGGAAAACAAAAATAAAAGAACTGTCTCCTAAATGATAGGCAATTGGTGTTGAAATTGTTAGGAACTTAATGAAAACAAACTTGGAATTAAAGAATGTGCTACATATACTTCACTCAGATTTGTGTTTGGTTAAAGTTAATCCTTCTTGGTGATCTTCATATTCAACCTCCTTGCATTAAAATGTCTTCTGCAGAAAATTATAGAGTGGTAAATGGTCTGCTGTGAATGGTTTGTTGATTCTACAATTCACCAGGTGATCCTTGTAGTATTTCTCTCTTTTAAACTAGATTTAATTTGTTTAAGATATTTGATGCCATTCTTTGTGTGCCTTGGCTGGCAATTTATTTTCCAGTGAACATTCACAGCATCTGAAACTCTTGTTCATGTGATTTAGTGATGTGAGGCATATTAATAGATCTGCACCCAATACTCATGGGAACATTAAGCACTAAAAAAATACAAGAGTTGAGATGAGTACTATCAACAAGCATCAAAGATAAAAACCTCCTTCAATTGTCAGAAAAAGTATTAGGAATTTGGCTGTGTCTCAAAGTCTTGTGAAATTGCCAATGAAGAAGGGCTAATGTTGGAAACATCAGCTTTAGAGACTCTTTTATGTGGCTAATTCTCATTATGAATTCAATTAATAAAACCAAATTATCTGTAATAACCCCCCCTCCCCCCAACTGAGACAGTAACACAGCTCCATTAGAAACTCATCCTCTTTAAAAGGCAAACCAGTGAAATGGTGTGAACAACCTACCTCAGAGTTCTATGCTCAACCACTCTCTGAACTTACCCTCCACAAGTCCACGAAGTGATTTAACCAGAGAAACTAGCAAACCATTTCATTGTCATGCACAATTCTCAGCTGTACCCATCTTTTGCATGCAGATGTCGTCACCATTATTTGTGCAAAAGTTGACTATAGCAAGGTATGTTAATGAAACTGGGGAATTGCTCATGCCTCTATATCATCACCTAGGATGTTTTTTAATTTGTTATGATAAAGCCTTAACTATCTGATCAACAGACAAACTTTACTGAATGATAAAGCTTGTCTTGCTACCTTGAATGAAAAGCACACACCTGTTACACTGATACTCGTGGACCTACAATGGTTCCTGGTTATCTTCAGGATTATTTTACAGATTTTGTTACTGAGTATGTGGCTCTTGATGGACTGACACCACACTACATCAGAGATTTAATTTAATACTATTTAACTTGGTCAGTGAGTTAAGATCTCCCAACAACTACTTGCTCTATGGGCCTGTAGCTAAGCTTTAAAGTTAACATAGAATGGCATTTTTAGGAGCAGAACCAAGTTCATGGAAAAAGATTACAGGTTGGGCAATCATTATGGAAAGCAGTATTTAAAACTATTTTTTAAACTTATCTGTTTAAGGATGCATTATATTTATAATTTCCCCATTTTTATTTGTTGTAATTTACTTATATCATTCTATCCTGTTAATTAACTTTTATTGTAAAGCACCAAAGACAACACTCCACCACACACTGTATACCATAATTAGAATTATTTTATTAAATAATATTAAGTTCTCAGATTGATCAGTAAATCAGAAATTCTAGTAATAATAGATTTATTCCCACTCAATGTCAATTGATAACTTGTCAATAAAATATATTAACTATTGAAAATAAATGATCCATTAGTTTGTATTCATGAAGCCCTACTCTCGTATTTCTAAGAACTATAAATTGTGTCTATAAATGTCATTACATCTGTAATGAAAATAATATTTTTGCGATTCAAGATAATGTCTTTTACATTTCCACAGAAATTTTCATCCTTAGTTCATTTTTCCAATATTAAGTAATAGAGCAGCTCTAACCTTTTGTAATACCAAGTTAAGTTTCTCATAGTATTGTACCTGGTTATCAGACAAGTCCCACCAAAAGGTTCCTAATAAAAATAAGCTTAATACCCCTGTCTAAGAGATTCCACACTTTCAAGAACAAGACAATTTGCATCTATCCACTATTAGTTACTACTTGCTACAACTTATTCTTTTTGAGTTTTGAATCCCTCTGGGTTCTGTGATTGCCATCTCCACGAATCTTCACCTAAAAACACAATTTCCATTGATTAGTACCAAAAGCAATTCACTGAAAAATATAACCAATTGAATTTACTACACAATTTACACTCTCTCAAGACTTACTGTAGTCCAAAACCCATGGAGGAGTGTCTATTAACAAAAGTACTGGTACTTATTCATTTCATACACATGTAACTGTTTTGAAAACTGGATAATCCACAGAATCATGTTTATGCTTTTTAAGGAAATCCTAATTGTATCCCTAACCCTTGCAAAACATGGGTTTGTGTAGTTACTACTAGCCCTTCCCTATTAAAGAAAACAAAAAGAAAACAAAACAAAAAACAGTGATCACTACTTACACATTTCATCTAATCCTCGTGCTGCTGTCCAGCCAAGCTCTTTCTTTGCTAATGAAGCATCAGAATACACAGCATCCACATCTCCTTCACGACGTGGAGCAATTTTGTATGGAACCTACAAAATTGGTGGAGATCATTTTTTTGCCAACTGTAACCATTAATTGGTTTTATTAACCTTTCCACTCATGGCAAATCCCTGACAGAGGGGAGGCTATCAGAGAGGGAAGGGCTCATTACAAACTGGAAGTTCTACATGGGAGGGGAGGGGGTCTTCTTCAAGAGTAATAACGAAAAAAGCGAATAAAGAAGTGTGAAACTGTGTGTGAAAAGAGGCATTAGAACACATATGCTATATTTCTATAAGAAGGAATAGACAATTAGGAGACAATGTCTCCACCACGTCTTGCAACACAGGAAAAGCTCATTGTCTAGACACCAACAGCTTCATATTTCAGGACAACAAAAATTGGCTTAATATAAGTAATCATACCATTTTAGAGTAAGATCAGAGACCAAGAAATAAGAGAAAGAGTCACAAAGAAACTTGACAAAGGAACAAACATTAACAAACAACAGTAGTGACACTAACTGGTTTTCCAGAGGCTTTTTCAACAGCTTTCACTATTTCAAGAACAGAGTATCCTCTTCCTGTGCCAAGGTTGTAGATCTAGAAAAAAAGGCTTTTTTTTTAAGATTGAAACCTTGGACTTGTCGTCTTAAGAACAATTTATAACTTGTTTCCTATGGGTCTGCTGGGAAGCTTAACTTTACCTGGCAACCACACTTGTTTTCAAATTGCTTCAGTGCAATGACATGTCCAACAGCTAAGTCAACCACATGAATATAATCCCGCACACCTATAAGAAAAAAAAAAGTACTTTGGGGTTATAGACTGAAAAGTGCAGGATGACTTAAAAAAAGAAAAAAAAACAGTAACAAGCCCTGCATGCCTTCGCTTCTCTTAACAATCCATTAAAATGAGTTTTCATAATACTTGGACAACAGCCCTACTTTACGTGCCGCTAATTTAAAAAAAAATAACCTGAATGGAGAATACACTACCTGTCCCATCAATAGTGTTGTAATCATCACCAAACACATTAAGATGAGATCTTTTGCCCACAGCAACTTGAAGTATATATGGCATGAGATTATTGGGAATACCCTGAAATATATACACAAATCAGTCAAGTTTTGGTAAATCCAGAAAAGCCCTTTTCTCACTTTCTTATACTTTTCTATTGTCTCAGTCTTGCCCTCTGATTGGTAACCCCTTAGAGTGGCTATCATTTATTTCTCTTTATAGTAACACAGCTGAGTCATTCATTAAGATAATGAGAATAAAGTTAATGATCATCAACTGAAGAAACTCTTGATTTTATTAAAGTTCACATGGCAACCAGGTGGACAATCAGACATAGTTTGATGCTACTCTGGTTTGCAGATTTAATGAATGTAACTGAAGAAGTTACAATTCATAGACCCAACGTTTCGACACTCCTGTCTAGTGCCTTCATCAGGGGTGATCTGAGTAGCATCAAACTATGTCTCAAACTCTTGATTGTTAAACAAATTCTCCTCATACTAATGTTAGGGTGTGAAGGTTTAACAGCCTGGGCAGCCCTGATTTTAGTCCATGAACTACGTACAACCCAGTATGACTAAATAATCAACTATGTCTGGAGACTGAAAAATGTAATTTAACAATTTTTAACCTTGAATGAGAAAAACTGTAATGCTTAAATGTTCAGGGAAACATTTGCAATACAAGCACTTAACCATTTTATCACTATGGCACGTGTTACTGACTGACCTGAGGATCTTCACCAATTTTTCCTGACTTGTGAGCTCCAACAGGATTAAAGTACCTCAGCAGTACAGCATTCATTTTCTAAGGAAAAAAGGTGTTACATGTAGCCTAAAACTTAATTCTTATTTATAAATTCTGTGTGACAACACCTATTCTGTGAGTATGATATTTATATCTTGTACACCAAAGCATCTTAGAAATCAAGGGTACATGGTGGACAAATAACATTGCCTCATATGACAGTTAATTGAAGCAATAATATTGTTACCTCTTCAGCTTTGCATAGATCCTTAATAATTTCTTCGATAAAGAACTTGGATCGTCCATAAGGGTTTGTTATTCCATTACCCACTGGGTGTTCTTCACTGATAGGGAGACAATTTGGAACACCATAGACTGTAGCAGAGGAAGAAAATACAAAATTCCAAACCCCATGTTCCTTCATACACTGAGAACAAGAAAAAAAAGTAAAATCACTAAAGAAACTTATGATGTATGGAGTTAAACCACAAGATATCAATAATTTGCTATAATGCTAGGAAACTTGACCTAGGGATTAATTGAAAATATTGTCTTGTGGTATATGACAACAAGAATAAATTAATTGTGAACCCTAACCAGTAATAACACTACAAACCTCCAGTAGATTTATAGAACCAGTGATGTTATTGTTATAATATTGTAGAGGAATTTGTACTGATTCACCAACTGCCTTCAAAGCTGCCAGGTGAACCACAGCGTAAAAATTGTGCTGAAAACAAAAAGTCTGATGTGAGAAAGTTTTGTCAAATACAGTACTGTCATTTAGAGAATTTCCCAAATTTTTATTAACTTTCTCAGTGTTATCCATTTAAATTTATTTACAACATAAAACATGATATTCCTATAGAAAATATTGGTGTCACTTTCAAAGATTAGAAAATACATTTTAAAAATTGTTTTTGTGGTTCTCTCACTGGTCTTTGTACCCAGAGTAATTCATTCACTTATATGGCATGTGATAAAAAAATGCTACATGATTGAAAAAAAACAAAATAGTGTAATAGCACAAGGGGAGATAATTTCCTAAACTAGTAGCAAGAGAGTAACAGTCAAGCTATGAAAGACTCTTACTAACAGTATTAAGTCTTCCAATTTATTTCATTTCTCATTCACCAGTGCATATTGCCATCAAGATCAAAATTGAATTCAGTTTAATATAATTTCAGTAACGGTTGATTTGTATAATTCTTTTTTTTTGTTTAATTCATTTTAGACAACAACAAATACCTTGGTTTGATGTTACAAAAAAAACCAATGACATCTTACTTTTCTGAATATGTCTTTCAAGGCATCTTTGTTAAGTAAATCAACAGAATAAAATTTAAGCTCCTTTCCTGTTATTTCCTCAACTCTTTTCATGCTCTCTATCAAAAAAAAAAGTTTAAATCTCAGTTAACTTTACATTAATTGAAAATTGCTCAATGAAATGTTGGTGTTCAGTACAGTCTTGTGCATACCATGCATACCAATTCATGTTATGTACAAGCCTGTCATAGGCAAAGCCCACCTCAATACCAAATGATGTAGAGAATTGCTTAGTGCTTCTAAACAAAAATAAGATACTCCCGTTGGCTTTGTATGAAATTTTTATACAGATTTCAGTCAATCCTTATGATTACCAGCCTAGGCCAATTTTTGTTTAGTGTCAAGATCAAAGCAGTTTTATGGTATGCCCAAGTGTGGATATTTTTACATCTTCTAGAAAATTAATATATTTTTGGACTTCTTTGTTACTTCTAAACAAACATTTGAAACTGTTCAGACTTTTAACGAGTCTTTCAATTGTCTGAAAATATCTGACTGTCTAGTATTTGTTCCATTTAAGATCATGCCTAACTGTGGGGAACTAAGCCACAGTGAGTACCATACCAGCGTGTCTCTTTGCTGATTGTAGACAGGCTCATAAAAAGCAACATTTGACCTAAACTGATTAGTGTTGCTACAACCCAAAAAGCCCTCCAAATCATTACCACATTACTACATTACCAGCACCATAGAGAAAGACTTACTCACCACTAAAAGCATTTACAAAGTTGTCGATAACGACAACCTCGTATCCAGCGTCAACAAGCTCTACAACCGTATGTGTACCAACATATCCTGCTCCACCAGTGACAAGAATACATCTTCCAATCATATTTCTATTGCTTGCAATCCTTAATGCCTACAGAATGAAAATTACAACTTAATAAAAAATTGCTAGGAGCAGTGCTTATTTTGTCTTCTTATCATTTCATGATAACATGTGATCATCTTATGACAAACCCTCCTAACAAATTTACCCACGTCAGTTGACACCAATAAACTAGCAAGTCATATGCGGTGTTTTAAGGCGCTTTCTTTTTTAAACGCTGGTATACTAATTATAAAACCAAAAGTTATGTAATTCAACGTGGCATTTATGGTAATAAAATAAAAGATTTATATATTAGATGAGCGGAAGCGCAGATTGACTCGATTACTCATAATTATTCCTTTCAGATTAAAACTCGTGGCACATTCTTAACACTCCATACTTCTTTCAAAAATAAAAAAATAGCTTTCAAGAGACTTACCAACTCTTAAATTTATGCCTGTAAGGTAAACTTAGCGCACGAGGTGTTAGCGAACTGTTTGATTAATCTTTCTAACGAACGGATGGCCTAGCAACCAGGCCTTTAGTACTTGCAGTGCGCTGCTTATAAACACAGTTTCCTAAGCAACTTAACCCCCCTTAATTCATTTGCTATTATAGGGAGAGGTAGCTGCTGAGAACCGTGGCCGATAGAGGCAAAGTTGGGCGAGACTTCAAACTTTGAGTGAGGACGTGTAGATAACGACTTCAAGACGTGGCTTTGCGAGACAACTATATACAGCTATTTCAATTTACGTTGTCGGATCAAAGCTTCAAGGGTACGGGACAAGACCGAAAGGCGGTATGGGTAGATTAGAATTAATTTTAGGCTTCAAGCACTGCCTCCATAATCAAAAATTCCACGTGCTGATGCATTGCCACACTGTTTGCTGGTCTTCCAATAATTCCTGCTTTGACGTCTCCAGAATTTAAAACTCTTGAAACATAACGTTCGATAGTTCTTGGTGACAACCATAAAGCAGCTGCAACCTCATCCACTTGAAACCCCAACATTTCTTTCATCCAAATGGCTCGCCATCGGAGATCTTCGCTGTATGGACGAGGCATTGTTAATTTTGCTGATAATTATTCATTAAGATCCCATATTCCCCTTCGGTCTTGTCTTGTAGGCTTGAGGCTTTGATCCGACAACGTAAATTGAAATAGCTGTATCTGCGATTTACTTATAACGCCTTTAAGTATTTCTAATCTTTTTTAAAAAAAATTGAAAACGTCAAAATTAGGTTGTAACAGGGTAAAAATGGAAAGGGGAAGAAGGAATTTGAAGGAAACAGACTCAAGCCCTTTCTTTAGACTCTGTAAAGGTCAAAAGATGATGCGTGTGATGCCATTCTACAATGAAGTACAACCAGGAGGTGGGAGGTCTTCTCTCAGTTTAGAATTAGTCACTCTAATCCGTTTAAGTTTACTGAACTTTCTGATCCATCAAGAGGTGATCACTTGATGATCAACAGGAATTGCATAAAATAAAGTCTATCAATTTTTTTACTCCCTTCCTTGTGATACAAAAAAAAAAACAAAACGAAAAAACAGAAAGAAACCCAGGATATTGCATCAGTCTCTAATAACTCATTCAAAATCCAAGCAAGCTGATCAACAGTATCAATATATTTCTGAACTGATCTCTTTATTAAGTGTTGACATACAACTCAATAATTGCATACAATGTACTTTAAATAACTCTGTCTAATGACACATCTCCCAAAATAACTCAACTAAAGGCAATGAATTGGCAAAAACTTAAGTCTTGTTGGATGTGGAATGTAAGATAAAAAGCCACAGCGAATTACCCTTCATGCAACAATTTTACTTTTTCTTTTACATCAATGTAGTCATCAAATTTAGCTGCACATGTTCTCTACAATATTTTCTGAGCCCTGATAACAGTTTACAGTTTAGTGATGACCCACACTTTAATGAACTTAATGGGTTCCACTGTCTAATAATATAAATAAATAATGATTTACAAAGGCAACCCAACCAAGTCCATGTCAACATAACAACACAAATCCTTTCAAACTGACAGTCAATGCTTCATATTAATGAAAACACAGTCACATGTCATTGCTATTTCTACACAAAAATAGTCTTTTGGACAGACTCCACAGTAGAGCTCATAACCAAGTGGGGTTCATAAGTAAAGATAAAAATTTTAAGATGTGTGGTGTTGATCCTTCAACTGACTCTGTCTGAATTCTAATTCTCTCTTCTTGCTGTCAACTCTTGCATATAACTTAAAGTTAGGAGAATTGGCAATATCAATGAAAAATAACCTATGGCTGATAAACCCAACTATTCTCATCACCACTTTCTAGATGAGTTATATTTTTACATTACAAAGAGAAGTTATAAATTAACCAGTTAGACCAAAGCCCATCCATGCAACCAGATTAAAAGAGCTGAGGACTCTGACTGTAACATCAAAGACCACTAATATAAGTTGAGAAATAATAGTCAAGTGTGGATTCAAAATAGGAAAAAAAATTAAAAACCAAAATAAAAAAGAAGCAAATGTGGTGAACTGTTCTGATAATGCCAAAATTATCATTTTTCCAAAGCCTTAGAGACAAATAACTCAACTTTTTTATGCATATTGAACATACAAAGCTGAGTTTCAATAAATAAATTACTATTTCAGAAGTTCACCACTGAGAAAATACAACAAATTCTGATGTGAAAAATTCATACCATAAAAATTGGTCACATATATAAATTGTTTTTCAAGACCCTGGAGACTCTGTCTCCATTGACTTTTTCTGTAGAGAAAGCATCAACTGGAGAAAACGAATTATGCTATTAAGCCGTTCAAGTATAGAAGTCATCCCTAAAATAATAAGTTTGGGTTTATCCTGAAGTGGTAGTGCCGCAAGTACCCACCACATCCAATCTGGTCCATTGTTGCACAGCTGAATATCCTCTCTTAAGGCTGGGATGGGTCCAATAGCATTCATGATGCACTGTTGCTGCCTAGATGTCATTTGACTGAACCAAGTCTGTAATGTGTTGTGGCCAGTTCTGTTTAGTTCGTGGAGTTGTCTGATTTCATCTGCATCCTCAACCTGTTCATCCTTTAGCCATTCAACAGTTGCTGTATGGTAACCATCCAACATACCCCTTGACACAACATGGAAACGCTCTCCCCCTTCTGTATCCACAATTGACCGACCATCAGGAAGAAAATTCACTGACTTGATATTGAGCATAGTACCATAATCTGCAAAATTCTTGTTTGAGTCATCACTTGGGACACACATGCCAAATTGCTTTGAGCCTGAACTGACACAACGCCGTAACATCAGGCGATACCGTGGCTCAAATATGTGCAAAGGACATGGAACTTTTGGAACAGCTAGGGTGCAGACAAAAATAGGGACTTGTGCATGGCCATCTTTTCCCACACTGAAGAGGAGGGAAAAGACATGAATTAAGTTCTAAGTGGTTGGTTCAACACTTTAATCACCAACTAGAATTCAATAACTGATGCCACACTAATAAGTGAGCTTTTCTATAAAAAGAAACAATTTCAAGGCTGAAGGTACCATTAACCCCTCTGGTGGATGCTATATTGAAAGACAAACAAAGTGCTGCATTAAGGTAAGAGAAATAAAGCAAAATTTCCCCACAGCCAGTTCAACTTTGACTTTAATCAGGGATTAAGTTGTTAATGTCATAGTTTTGATTGAGTAGGAAAAAAAGCAATTACAATAAAATCCATGTCTAAATTACGACTTATGCCTCATATATTCTCCCAGGAGAGTAAGTTGGTTTGTTATGTTCAAGTGCACTAAGAGGAGCCTAAATAGAAAATTGGCATCACAAAGAGAGAAATCAGGTTGTGTCAGTGAAGATGACCTAAATTTAAACATAATCAAGTAAACAACCAAACAAAAAAGAAGATATAAACAAAATTGAAGCCAATACAGAGAGGAAAAAGACATTTCAATACTACCAAGCAGACGGTTCAGGAATGTATGCCTTGCAGACCTATTTTAAAGATGGCTACCTTACGTCCCGAAAAAATCAATTAGAAATGTTCAGTTTATTAGGCCAGAATGTTCTTACATATGTATATACCATTCCCAAAACTGGTTAATTGTACAAAACAGGAATCGTCGATTTCGCCTCTTTAAATGTCAGGTTTTTCCTTTACTTTTTCGCAACACACGTGAAAGTCGGCTAGTTACATAACGATCTTTCAATTATATAACCATTTTTCTTTCTCTTCCCCCAAGACTGTCGACCATGAAAGACTTGCAACTCTAAGGGATAGAAATATTTCTCTCTAAAAATAATGTGGTTCCTATCAATCGTCGCACCAGAAAGGCGATTTTACGACTCGGAAGTAAAGTAAAGTTCACTTCCAGGAAGATTCACTGACGCGACAAACTGTTATGTAATCGTTATGTCATCTTCATTCTAAAATTGTTACCCACCTCGCGAGTTTCTCGATGCTTTCTTGATGATTTCTCTTCCTTTCGTTATAATATGCCGTGAAATAGTTGACCAAAATCAACTCCAGTACTTCAGTGACTTCCATGTTTGGTACTCCTCGGTCGTATTGATCAAGAACCGTCCGACAACATGGACATTCGACGCGATGGTCAAGGCATCGCTCCAGACATTCTCGACAAAAAGTGTGTCCACATATTGTAGTAATCGGTTGAAATAACAAATTAAAGCAAAGTTTGCATTCAAAGTCATCTAAATCTTTCAATTTATCCTCGTATGTTACTCCTGCTGTACAGTTTTCGCCCTTAGATTTTTTGTTTTGTTGTCTTTCGAAGTTACTGGGAGCTTCCTCGCTGCTTGAAAAGGACCGAGATCTTTGCCTTCTCCGTTTGAACATACTTCCAGACTGACTGCTCGAACATTTTGAAAAAGTATTTTCGCCAGAGTTATTTTTACTATTAACTTCTCCACTAAATGATCTTTCACCACCATGGGCAAGGGTATTGAAGTGCTTCCCTACACTTCCATTGAGTGCTTTTTCCTGCGGTGTCGCAACAAGTTTAGTACCCGCAGCTCTGAGTACCAGCAAAGTCCTATTCGAGTTTGTGAATTTTGGGCTCAACAATTGATGCAAGCTCTCTGTGAACTCCCGACGGTATCGCTCGCATCTAGGCGCTAGAGCAGAGCAGCGCAACAAAGCTAACACGCTCTCTTCGTGCTTAGATGAAAGAACTCCTTCGTGTTTAGCACAGTTCGCTAACACAGCAGCTTTCCTGTAGACAGTTCTTGCTGAAGTAGGGCGAAGTTTACATGCTTGCTCGATGTCTTGAAGCGCCAACTCAAATTGTTCAGTTTGGAGAAGTGCATCAGAACGCCAGCACAAACAGTGAAAATCATTAGCAGATACCGACAGGATCTTGGTAAAACAATCAACAGCTGATTTCGCGTCGTTCTCAGAGAGATGTTTATGTCCGACAAGTTTATCCACTTGATTCTGAAACTCCGAGGGAAACCATTTCTGAATGGAGTTCGTGATTAGTAAATTCACTGAGTGTTTCATATCTTCCGACTCAAACTTTCCGCATTTCGCACACTCCACTCGACCGGTGAACGAACGCTCCTCAATGAGGCAACTTTGACAAAATGTATGACCGCAGGAGAGGGTAACTGGCTTCAGAAAAAGGCACTGACAAAGAGAGCAAATTAAAATATTTCCGCTGCTGTTTACCACTGGAGAACCTTTTCCTTCTTTCTTCTCTTTACATAGTTTGTTTCTTTGAAATTCCAACAGTGCGGTCACCAAAGATTCGATACGTTCCTTTGGTACAACTCCAACACGGAAAGCATTTGAATAAGCACTGAACGACTGATCGAGTTTTCCGTTTCGAGCCAACAATTCTCCCTGTTCCAAAAGAGAATCGAGAGTATTCTTTTTTGCATAACTTTTCTGGTCCCTAGACAAGTTTTCCATGAAAGTTACACTACTTTACGGACGGCAAAACAGAGAAAGTTCACGAACAACAGACAATGTAACGTGGTTTACAGAACTATATGTGACAACGGGCCACTCTAAGAGATGTTGTGCGTGAACTTTTCGATATTGTCACCGTTCAACCCACGTGACAATTACTAATCCTAAGTACCACTCACGTGTAATAACTCACTGTGTACCAAAATACGTTTCCGGTAAACGTGAGCATACAATGGAGACTGATTCGTCTGTGACTTTTCCGCAAAGAAAGATTCTAACATTAAGTTTCTGTCTTTGATACTTGATCAACCCTTACCCTTCCTCGAAATTAAATTATATTTCATGACAGACTTCTTTCCTTTAAGTTCTTACGTAATATTTTGATTTATGCACATCATTTAAATACCGGCAGAGCCTCGTTCCCAAGACTTTTCAAGGTCCCTTCGGATTTTTAAGGGAAGGCTCGAGGGTTTTGCAGTGTTTGCAGTTCGCTTTCACAGGACCCAGCTGAAAGAATGGCGAGATTAAGAACTCGCCAGAAGCATTTTCGAATAATTTTTTCTTTAAAAAAATTAAATAAAATAAATTTGGAACACAGAGAGGGAAAATTCCGCCAAGTATGATGTCTGTAAAACGACCTATTCACGATTTACCATATAATTTAAAGATTTTATTACTTTAAGCAAAAGAATTCTCTACACACACAGTACAGACACCAATGAGTGTTTCTAGCCGCGGTTTACTGCCATAAAAAAAAACGACAACAAACGAAAACAAGTGGAACTATACAAAGGCTCAATAACTGTTACATGAATGTTGTAAGAAATGGTGAACGTGATCAGGGAGGGGAGGTAGGGGGGATGAATATACAGACTGGGGGACGAGAGGGATTAAGAGAAAAGGACTCAAGAGAGGATAGCCGTCATCGGTTCTTCAGTGTTCCATCTTGGTCTCTTCATCTTTTGAGGCGTCCCCGCTTTCTTCAGCTGGAGGAGCCTTTTCTTTCTCCTCCTCTTCGACCGGCTGGGGTGAGTTGCTTTTTGCTATGCAAAAACAAGCCAAAAATTGGAAAAGAGTCAGTTGCAGTGGATCGATGCGAGTCATTCACGTTGGTTTTGTTTGTTTTGGTTCTCAGATTTCTAAGTGGAAGCATTTGCTTGAAAACATACACGTGATTACAACTTTCAGCCGTCATAAACATGTGCTATCGTGACTTGTTAATCTCCTTGATAAACTCGCGATTGGAACAAAGTCACGTTTCTTCAAGAGGTCACGCCACAAAAGGCTGTTAGGAGTAGTCACGTTTTTCAGATCTAATTACGAGTACAATCAACTAATACAGCAGATTATTGGCATAAGGCAACGTCAGAAGGAATAACAAGTGGCACGTGAGTCTCCTCGGCTCATTTTCTCACAGTTACTATCATATCTTGCCGCTCCATAACTGAATGCACTCATGGAGGAACTACACGAGCTGCTTCACTGTAAAGAAGGGCTCACGCTCGAAACGTCTGCTTCAGAACCTCTCAACGGTGGCCAATTTACGACTCGGTTGATAAAACCAAAATATCTTGTAATACCCCCACCAACGCAGCACCAATTTCTTTGGAGGCTTACCCCCATTTTACATTAAAACCTTCCTCACGGTAATGAAGATACATTTAACATACAAGATAAACCATTTTCCCAGGCCACTGAAGTTCTGCCTCATAATGAAAACTCGAATAACCAAGGAACTCCACAGCGTGTTGGTCTCAGGGTTTGTACAATATTCCATAAAACCAAATTGAAAATTAATGATTGTGAAAACAGGTTGTTCACTTGTTGTATATGGTGTAAGTCATAGCAGGGTTCTGATGAAACAGATAATCGTATAAATAAAGTAACCAACAACAAACCTGTACTGGTTGCTCCATTGTTTTCTGCATTGGACAAAGTATCTCTACAGAAAAACCCGTTAAGGTACACCATTAGAGTCTGATGTAGTTTTGCAAATTTCAAAGATTGTTAAGTTTTAATTATGTAAACCAAGTTGCAGCCAAAAATAATAATAAAAACTAGAAACAAACAAAGACGACAATGAAGAGAAAGGAAGCAAGAAAAATGTCTTTTAGGGGGCACATGTTGCATCAAGATTATCAATTTCATTAAAGTATTGCAGGTTATCAAAACAGTTGCCAAAAGAGTAAAAGTAAATCAGAAAAAAAAAAAAAAAAATTCACATCACCAACTAAACATATGGCAAAATTTAAAACATTAAAGTACCCTATGCATAGTGAAAAGCAATTACCAAGGTAGCCCCAGCAGAAAATCCAGCTGTTGACATGTTGTTACACTGCTTGTTACACACAACTCACAGCTGGTCAAATAAATAAGGCACCCCCTTCCTCGGAATTACATCTCAATTCTCCAAAATAATCACAAACCCCATTCAATATAATCTACGAAGAATTTCTGAGGTGATCAATACATACCCATCAGTATTTGGAGGGGCGTCAGACTCCTGTACTTCCATAGCTTCTTCTGTATCCTCTTTCCCAGTAGTAGCACTTTCAGCAGCTTCAGGACTGCATATCAGTACCCAAAAAAAAAAAATCAGGAAAGTAAATGTACCTTGAGTGTCAAAATGAGTAGAGTGCATGACAAAACTCCACCTGATATTAATTCTTACCAACACTTCATTGTTCACCTCACACCATAAACAATTAAGATCTCAAGATATGTTAAAGTTCACAAGGCAACCAGGTGGACAATCAGACATGGTTTCATGCTATGCTGGTTAAAGATTTAATGAATGTAACCAAGAAGTTACAATTCATAGACCCAATGTTTCAACACTCCTGTCTAGCACCCTCATCAGTGGTGATCTAGTCACTGCAAGAAGAGGTCCTTTTATATGCTCACTAATTACCTGCCCTTTTGCCTTTGTTTGGAAGGCTGGCATATCCACACCACTACCTCCTTTAAAGCATGATGATGGTAGCTTACTTCCTGAGGCTTATTTACACCTTGTCAGAAAAAAGGGTAGCTCATTAGTGAGCATATAAAAGGACCTCTTGGTGCAGCAATTAGATCACCCTTGATGAAGGCACTAGACAAGAGTGTCAAAATGTTGGGTCTAAGAATTGTAGCTTCTCAGTTACATTCATTAAATCTTTAAAACAGAGTAGCATCAAACCATGTCTGATTTAAGATCTGATGAGTAGTTCTCTGTTTCACCTGCTTTACAGAAAATTTCTAACTTGATTAAGAAATAAAAGGAAAAAAGTGTACCTTTTTCTACTGGCTTCTTGTTCAGGAGGTGGCTCAGTTGACATCTCAGATGTAACACTAGCAACTGTCTGAGGGGACCCCTCCTTGGGAGTGCTTGTTGAGCTCTTGGGTTTCTCTTTCTCCTCCACAGGGGAGGTGCTGGGTTTTGAAGAGGGTGTGTTCTCATTTGACACGACTGATGGTTTTGAGTCATCATTGACAGTATTTTCAACACCATTTGTGACCATTTTTTCCACTGGTGTACTGGATACTTTGGGTCTCTTGCGGGATCGTTTTGGCTCCTTTGGTGCCTGTATGTCTCTTCTGCTGTCTCCTTCATCTTCTGAATCTGACAATTCTTCCTGAGGTGCAACATGTTTATCTGATGCACGGACTGTAAGGAAAAAAAAAGTAAAAAAACAGCTAGTTTCAGAACATATAACTTAACATGCCCCTCAGTGTTTAACCCTTTCACTCCCAAGATCTCATTACTAGTTCCCCTTACTCTCTGCCCTACAATTCTTATGATGTAAGTTTGGAGAATTTGCTATTGGATCAACTAATAATAACATTATTGATATTTTTCTTCATTCTCATCACTCATCTGCATTAAAATTATATAGTAACTCCTTGGGGTCAAAAGGTTAAAGCTGTAAGTAAACATTGCGAACTACAGTGAAACCTCAAGCTCATGCTTTTAATTGTTTCCCTGAGAAAATGACAGGGAGAAAGGAAGAAATACTCACTACTTATTCTTCTGTCAGGTTCCATGTCCTCTTCATTGTCACTTTCCTCCAGAACTGGTGCATCATCAGGAATGGCTGAAAAAACAATATAACAAGTTATGGATTGTTACACCTCATTACATACTAGGTACTTCCTCTTTGAGAAGTGAACATGGTTTTGTTGAATAAACTACAGTTAATTGATACAGAAGAAAAAGAAAAAAGTCTCCTCAAGTGCCATTTAGGGTAAATCTCCCTACAAAAGAAGAACTTATTAATTGCATTTAAGTAATGAAATTGATCACACATTAGGGATTTTTTTATCAGGTTTACAAACTACTAGCACTTTAAGCTCTACTAAGTCTAATCGTTCATTTTTTCTGAACAGCCCCTCTTCAAAGGAGTCGTCTGTAAAACTAGTCCCAAGAAGATCAACTTATGTTTTCAGAAACTTCAGATTAACATGACAAGAGATTAAAAACCCCACTGGTGGACAAGCAAGATTTATCAGGGTGCAATTTTCACTTACGGTGCATCTGTACTCCTGGAGCATGGGGAAGCATTCTCAAGTTTTCAAACAATCTCTGTCTACACACACAAAAAAGTACAAGATTAGCAAGATTTGTATAGCTATCAACATTTTCAATACAGGTAGGATCTGAACATGTTCTCTGTTTGCATGGCAACAACCTGGACTATAACACACATAACAAGGAACTGCATAGCACTAAACAAACAACATAATTAAGGAAGTCTATGGCATATGCCTTGTGCTTTTTTGGAAAAATAATCTTAAAGAGAAAAACTAGTCTTAATTCTTACTTGATTTTTTCCAGGTAATCATTTGTGTTTTGGTTGGCCATATTGGATGGACTAATGTGGAGTTTGAAGTCTGGACCAAAGTACTCAAAGTAATCATTGTAGGGAAGTTCTAGAAATAAAGAAAGAAGAAGATTTGGAAGGAGCAGAAATTTTGAACTAAATGTTAAACTTTGGAGGCTATTTACAATGAACACACAGCTGAAGAAAGTGCAAGGCCAAATTATCCAGGAATTCCATCAACAATGAGACTTGAAAGTCTTCCCTGAATCCTACACTAGACTAACAACAGCACAGAAGAGAAGAATACTGACTGTTCTTCTGACTGTCTACAAATACAACTAAGTTGAAAGAGACAATATGTAGACAATTAGTTAACATACAATGTTAACAAATCTGGATTCTTCATTTTAGGTGTTTTGAATAATTTCATTTTTTCATTTGTGGGAAATTTTCTTGGTTAAAATGTAAACCAACAAAATCAAGATTTCTAGTTAGAGTTATGCCTACCATTTGCAATATCAGAATCTAAAGCTACTGCTGTCTCAAATGTCCAGCATCTTGCAACATTCCTGATTGTGTATCCCCCTCCTCCAAGAACCAACAATGGAAGATTGAACTTCTTCACAAAATTCACACACTGAGCATGGCCTATAGAGAAATCATGGTAAATCAGATGAGTAAATCTTGATGCAGAGATTAAATTAATCCAAAGATAGCAATTTACACTCTTTGTATACAATCAGTTGACAGCAGAAACTAAAATGTTATTGTGAATCATCTTTGACTGGCCCACCAAGAGTAGCTTGCTGATTTGTAGTAAGTCCAATGTAACAATAACAGTGTAAGTTGGAATCTTTGTCAAAATACCAACACTGACACTACCTTTGAGTGACAGATTGAAGCAGCCAAGTCTGTCTCCGGCCAAAGAGTCTGCTCCACACTGAAGCACAACAGCATTTGGTTTGTATACTTCCATTACCTTTGAGACAACCTGATGAGTGAAATTGGATAAAATAGTTGCAATCATCACTTGCTACAAAAGCAAGTTGAAAGAAAAAAAATGGAAAATTAGCAAAACAAACCATTGATTGAAACTTACAGGATTGAAAATTTGTTCATAAGACTCATCATCAATTCCATCTCTAAGAGGAAAATTCACAGCATAATATTTCCCTTTTCCTGCTCCAATATCCTGTGAATAAATGAAAAGAAACAATTAGTAAGAATGGACCCTCCAAGCAGTTTTAACTTTAATTAAATAAAGGTAAGCAGCTAGTTACACTCCTCATCATCTCACATGCTTCCTTTGCAGATTAAGCATTGAATTCTACTGTTATGCTGTGAAGAGAGCTGCCAAAAACATTTTGAAGAAATCTTATAGGTAACAATGCATTATAACATTGACTACTCACCCTCAAATCACCAGTTCCAGGGAAATATTCTCCATATTTGTGAAACGACACTGTCATGACACGATCGGTGGTATAGAATGCCTCTTCTACTCCATCACCATGGTGAATGTCAATATCAATGTATAATACACGCTGGTGGTACCTGGCACAATAAGAGATTTAATTACAATTAAAAAAGTGCAATGGTTATAAAGCCCAAAAGAGTCTTTCACATTTCTTGGATCTGACCATGCAATGTTCAATAGTGTCTTTACTATGTTGAAATAAATGAGCAATGACACTTCTGGTTCATCTACTCACTCACAGTAGGTGAATGTAATAAAAAAAGACTAGACAGTCAAGGAACTCCCAACATATTTTGCCCCACAGTTGATTTCAAATCTGATTGGCTTTAATAACCAATCATTTCTGCTAACTATGGGTTTTTGTTAATGGGATATAAGATATTACAACAGAGTTTGCTTGCCTCTGCAGCTGAAGATGTTTCTAAGTAAAAACCGATGAAGAGTGTTCATTATATTTGTTTTTCAGGCTCAAATTTTAACCAAGTTATAACTAATACTTGCAGCAATTCCATAGTTTAGCTTGAAGAGCGTTCTCGATATTTTTTAAACTCAGAAAAAACACTAGACAAGAAATGTGACTGGCTAGCAAACACTTCATTCAAAAATAGAGCCCCTCTGGACATTAACAAAATAATTGTTTTTGGACTTCTTCCAGTTTACTCCTTACTGTCAACAACAGTTTTTCCTGGTAAACAAATTTGGAATTTTCATACTTTTAAACACTTCCTTCTTCTGTGGAAACCCAGATAATAACACTAAATAAAACAACACTCACTTCAGAAGCTCTAAAATGGCCAGAACAATATCATTGACATAACAAAACCCTGATGCTTCAGATTTCTTTGCATGATGCAGGCCACCAGCCCAGTTTATAGCCACGTCTGTCTGTTGTTTATTTAGCTTCACTGCTCCAGCTGAAAAAATATCCCAAAAAATAATAAAATTTATCACAGTCACTTTACAACTCAAGATTCTAGTGGATTAAAATAAAAATAGAGTAGGATAATTTTGTAGTGAACAACTTTATGTCTCACATACCAATTGATCCGCCTGTTGAAAGCTGACAGAACTCAAACAAACCATCAAAGACAGGGCAGTCCTCACCAACATTGACTGATACATAAAGAAAACAGTCCATACAAATAAGTTATTTTTATTTCCTAATTTAGCTTAATTACCTTATGTACAAAGATCAATAGCCATTTTGCTTCTAGGAAAAAATTAATGGTGGACTATGATCTAGAGAGTTTAAATCAAAGATTTGTAACAAATTAACCAATGCCAGCAGAATATAATGATAGAGACCATGAACAACAAAAATTCTTATACAAAATAAAATGACACATAATGGCACAAAAGGTGTCTTCTATCATTGACACTGTGATTACTCTAAGCCTGGAGTGAATTATTTTCAAAATCCATAAGTTTTAGAAACAAATCATAATTTACCAATATTGTTTACAACACACCAAGCTACTCACTGATAATTAGAGGAGAATGGTTTAAAAAGTTAAATAAAATTCCATCTAGCAGTACATAATAATTGATAGGCGTTACAAATCAAGAAATTCTGTAAATCTATTATAATTCACAATTTAGTAACACAAAAAACTTTCAGTTAAAGCGTAAATCCCAAACCACTGAAATATAATTCATAATTTTGAATATCCAGTTTACCTAGGACTGTATCGATGATGTAGAAAACTGTATTATAATAAAGAACTTTGTAAACACATCGACAAAAACAACTTACGAACTACTGAACACGGGAAAGTTGAAAGAATGCAAAGGGAAATGAAAGCACATGTGTGTTCATTCAATAATTTTCTAGCCACTCACATCTCTGCATTTGCTTTGTGTATTCGGACATGTTGTCGGGTCTTATAGTCTTTAAGAATTTTATGTAATCATCTGAATGGTATTTAGTCATCTCGTCCAGGTTTGCTTTGTGTGGACGCTAAAATGAAGAAACGTGAATTGGTGAAATGACATTTCATTCAAATGAAAGAACTGACAGTTTTTAAATCAACGTTCTCGCAAACTCTAAGTCTAGCTTTTACACTTACATAGATCTCCATTTTCCTATACAGGCCATAGTTAAGAAGCAAGTTGTGGGTCATTCGAATACGATGTGGCTTCATGGGATGGCCTTGACCGTAGTAGTAGTTACCAATGTCACCTTTGTTCGGAACACGAAAAAGACATTAGGACACGAAGACAAAATTCAATGATTTCCGCTTAAAAATAGGGGAAACATTTCATACAACTCATCTTGAATACATTTCCTCGAGACAAAGTGGACGTTGGCAGCAGATTCGTATCTTACCATCGTAATAATAGCAAACTCTTTTCTTTCCGCCAGTAGTTGTGTACGCCATGCCGGTGATAACTCTTGCTTGCTCGGCGTTTACTTTGAACGCGACTTAGTCACGTGATCGTCTTAAGCCAATTGGAGAAGGTATTTTTTGGCTAATTAATTAGATTCCATTACTTCTCAATAAGCCTGACGGCTATTAATCCATAAATAAGTTCTAAAGATAATCAAAGAAACATGTGAACATTTTTTTTTGCTGAGGCCTGGAAGAAAAGCCTTTGTTATGATTTTAAAAATTTATTCCGGTTTTCCGACAAGAACTTTTACTGGCAATACCGAAAATCAGGCAGGCCTTCGAAACCTTAATCTCATTCATTTTTCATTTTCACAAGAATAGAAAGAAATTTTGGACGTGCAGCCATCAAGTGACCACTAAATACATCTTTGCCAATAAATTACTCTTTATTATCGCTATGGATCATATATTTTCTTGGGTATGGAGGCAAAGAAATTGTTCTGCTGGTTTTCTTAACAAGTCCTTCCCCTTGTTCTCTCACAAGAAAGAATCCGTTTCTGTGATCTCTACAACCGCCCGGTTAGGTGAATAATTTGGGCACTGGACTGCCGCAAGCAAGGGAGTGGGAGACAAGGGCCCGATGTGCGCGGTTTGTGGCCTAACCAGTACCTTTTTTTTTTTTTGACTGTCGTGGCTCTGGAAAAATGAGCGGATAAACCGCCAAGGAAAGTAAAGTCTTCACTATTGTACAAGGGCTGATGTAGGTGTGCCCTTTTACTTTTGAGAATTTTTTGGCTTTTTTCTCCTATTTCGACAAAGGGTCTATCAAGTGATGCATATGTGTTACTGATGTGGCGTGAGGTTGCGCTCTCAACCAAATATTCCGCTCCCTCCCCCCTCCCCCCTCCCCTCCCGTCTGAATTAATAGGATCTGCCCCTGATTCATCATGTAAATTTATTCGTTCGTTTGTTGGCTTCGTCACGTATTCTTTTAGGGAACTGAGGTTAGGTCGATTGTTATTACGGAGAATTTAGAGAAGATTGTAAGAAATTCCTAGGTGCAATCACCAGTTAACTAACATTTGCTCTATCTCGGGTCCAATTAGAACACGGACACGGGCTCCTCGAGAAAAAATTAACAACAGAGACAATATTTATTGGAATGTTTTGTCAGAACCGACCACTTCCTTATTTATTGAATATAGGAATGAAAGATACTCGGGACGGTGCTAAAAAGCACTGAGACATTGATGAGACACAATTGGATTATTAGACTGTAAATAAAACTTGGAGCTATGAACAAGAATTAAGAGGATAAACGTCATTAATTAGTTTATGAGTTCTAATCAAAAGAGCAATATCTTTTATAATCCTCCACTATTTTTTTCCCGGAACAATTTGGATTTATCCTGATTAAAAAGTCACATTTTATAATTCATCGTGGCTTGAATCTTCAGGCTCATCCTCAATGAAGACTTTATAATTTTTCATAATCTCATCCATGGTAAGTTTGCCATCTTTGTCTTCATCAGCCTCTTTTATGAGTGTTTTAGGTTCTTCAGTGGAGAAGTCATCATCTGGGAACAGCCAGCTTTTCATCTCTTCTTTGTCTAGTTTGCCATTCTTGTCCTTATCAAAGTTGTTGGCGAAATCCTTTTCCATTTCTTCTTTAGCGTCATCATTTACATCACTGAATGTAGCTGCACAATAAAATTTAACAAATAAATATGAAATACTAACGTTGACATTGGGGATGGATGGTTAGGACCGGAGCAGAAAAAGCCTGGTGAGAAGTTTTCTCACTCAGTTCCAGGCAGGGTAGTTTATCTCACTTCAATGGTATTTTTTTTTACCTAAAAATTCTTTCTTTGATATTTGACCATCCTTATCTTTGTCGTGTTTTTTGAGGCTATCTTCGATGGTAAATTCCGTCATTCTTGGATTATCCTGCAAAACAAATAAAATTATTATAATTTTTGCCTATTTTGACCTAATTATTTTTTTTTCATGAAAGGGATTGTAGGCTTTAATAAAATAATATTTCCTCGTACCCCTGGGTGGTAAAACGCCATGTATTCCTCTAAGTCTAACTTCCCGTCTCCATCTTCATCAGCAAATTTAAATTTTTCTTCATCTTCTTTCATTTGTTCTTTGGCGTCTTCATCTTTACCATCATCAGAGAAATGACCTTTTTTGAATTCCTCCCATGATACCTTGCCATCTTTGTCTGTCAACAAACGTTAACAAATTTGTACGTCAAATACTGGCAGTTAATATTACCATTGGTGCCGTTGCTTCTGAAAATGAATGCAAGCATTTAAAGTCGGACTTCCGAAAACGGGCACAAGAGTTCGAAAAACGGCCAAAAACGGGACCATAACGTCCACTGTCTGAAAACGAACGGCGCCGTCCGAAAACGGATGGAAGTGTCCGAACTCGAACGAGACCGTTAGAAAACGGATGGAAGTGTCCGAAATAGAATAAATCCGTTCCAAAAACAGACGTAAGTGTTCGAATATTAAGTTTAATTTACGCAAGCCTAATGTTCTTTAAGCAACCCAACTAAATATTGGTTTAGAACTAAACTTCATATATATACTAGTTGTTTGGGTGGTCCGCCACGGAAAAGCTAAACCTAATTCTAGACCTTATAGAACTCTTGGTTGTTGATTAGTACAGGGAAGAATTAAAATTCACCTGACCAGTGACCAGTGAGAAGAGTGACCAGCTAATATATTGTATGAGCTAAAATATACCAGCATATACTGACCCTCATCGTGTTGTTTCATGGTTTCCATGACTTCTTTTTTCCTGTATTCCTTTGTAGTTACGTGAAATCTCTGTCTGATCTCATCCTCTGTCAACACTCCGTCCTTATTCAGATCTACTTCATCTTTGATTAGTTGCGCCAGTTTGGTTTTTGCGTCTTCGGGGGAAAGCCCTTTGAATTCAGTGTAGTTGTCTCCTGGAGAGGGTTTGAGAGGATTCAACAATAAGACAGTGAGAAGTGCTGAGAAAGACCATTTGAGAGGCTAAATAAAAATTTTAATCTCAGTTACAGATGATATTGGCGCAGGAAAACTTAAGTTATCTTTTTTATTACTACGTTTCCTTTCACCGCCCCCTACAATACCGTCCCTACCCGTCGGATGTTTTTTTCTCTGACAAAGAAGCAAATAAATCACCTGTGTCATAATCTATTCCCCTCAATACCTGTACCTGAATTTTAAGTTTGTTAAACAGTTTTGTAACATTTAACTTTTGCATTTTTAATCGCACGAGCACAGTAAAAGAAGGACAATTAAAAAAAGTTCAGGGGTTAAATTCAACCTTCTCCCAGCGCGGAATGTTTTGCGACTTATTTAATTTTTCCTTCTTAAATGCTGTGCACTTTACATTCCTTACCATTAATTAACACTTCCTTAAAAACATCGCAAATCCGGTTTTCAGAAAGGCCATCTCCGAAAATTTCGAAAAACCTTGAGGCCCTTGATTGTAAAACTTGGAAGTTCAAAAAGTAACTAAGTGGCTGCATTGACAAATATCTCCTGGGAAAGTTCAAGTTCTAAATTCACAAAGCTCTCCTTTTCCTTTCTTTTCCAACACCTGTCCCAGTATACTACTTAAAAACTTAGTAGGTATCCAATTAATATTTGCTATGAACTCTCAAAGTTCAATTCATTCCAAAAAGGCCGGGTTGAATTATATTTATCGAGCCAGATTTTTAATGTATTTTACATAGAGGTGTCTTGGCGGACAGGTGATTACCAGAGTGCAATGCTTACTTACCTAAAAATGCGTCGTGTTCAAGGTGACTTTGATCATTTTCATCTTCTCCTCCATCATCTCCTTGACTTTCATCTTCTTCATCATCATCGTTGTCATCTTCCATTTTATCGTCGTCTTTTTCCTCATCCTCTGTTTCCTCCTCATCAGCAGGATTCTGTTCGTCTGCATGGTCTGCCATTTCTTCATCGTGTTCGTCTTCGTCGTGTTCATCTTCTGAATGTCCAGGCTTCAAATGATCATCTTCCGTGAAAGCAAAACTCACAGTGATACCTAAAATTAACAGAGCTAACCACCAAGAACGAAACATGTCGATCAATCAGATGTAGTTTTGCTGTGCTCTAAGGTTGGAGTTATTACAGCTCTTTGTTCTTTATAATGTGATGTCCGAACCAAGACAGCGAAGTTCAAATTTAAGACACGTGTATTTGGATTTCGTAGCAATGCGTGCCGCTTTTGGAGTGGTAGGTAAAGCTAAACATTACCAGCTCTCTCATCCTTAGCACAATGTTTTGGTTCTCATTAGATAGAACATAAATGGAACACCTTGGTAAACATATTTGGCATTCATAGATTGGATGTGAAAAGAAAATAATTGAATATTTAAACTTGTAGCAAATTAGCCACTTCAATTCAACTGTTCTTTCTCGCGTAACCAAATGGTTGGTTGTCCAATATTTTTATGCTAAAGTTAAAAGTGTTAATGATTAGTTTGGTCGACCAGCGCTGGTAATTGAGACCCGAAAATTGATTAATGCGGATGAAGATCTAAAAGACTGCATCAAGTGGTTTGAAAGCAGGTAGTATTGGCATTCAATTAAATAGTGATTTTGAAACGTAAATCAGTAATATTGGTGGAAAGGCTAGTTACCTGTAGACAACTTCTTTGTAAAAATTATGAAAAAAAAAAAAAACTTCCCTTTTAACCTTCTCCAGTTATATTGACATATGAAACTGTTCTTTCCGAGAGCACTTAAAAGTGGTTTATCATTTGTTTAGCGGCATCTACCCTCTGGTCTTACCCGACATGACAAACAATCCATGACTTCTCCAAGCTGCAAGAGCTGTTTTGTCCACGTTGTTATGATTAAAGAACTTTTGGAACAGGACTAAACTAATAAGTCACGATTAGTGAGAGAAGTAAAGGTCGACTGTCATAACAAAGGCGTGGTCTTTAGCGCCTACGGCTCTTTCTTAGGAGCTGACGGTTAAGTGATAAAGTAATCAAGTGTTTCACCCTAATTCACAAATATCATGAAGGCTGACGGGTCGATTTTGGCGGTAGAGCGGGAGGGGGAGTGAGAGGGATGAGCGGGGGGGAGGGGGGTGAAAAGGCTGATTGAGACGAACAAAAAAGAATGAAGGCTTCGCTGGCGAAAAAAGAGGTTTCGTGTGTTTTGCCTCCGGAATAAAAGTATGAGACGGTGAAAACGACGTTATGACCACCAAAGAGGCCACAGCTTGCAAAGGAAACACGGTGGAAAAAATGACGATGGTAACAATGATAACGGCATACAACACACTGTAACACTGTTTAATACTTCTGGCTACTCAGAGGTTTACCAAAACAAAGTACACTTTTTCTACTATTTCGAGTTATCATGGTGAAATTCTTTGCATGAGTTAAAAGAGTTTCAATTAAAGAACAATACCGAGGTAAATGGAAGAAAAGTTATATTTATTTGTAACAGAAAGGACTCGAGAACTGTGCACTATCGCCGATAAAGAATCGACGATAAAATACGCTTTACGTGACTAATCGTGAAAAAGAACTCACTCTCAGAAGGTATGTGCACAGAAATTATTTCAAGCCCGATCAGCCTGAATAGAAATTGTTTTTGGCTCAAAAACCAGAACAAACTGCTATAATTGGTTACAGAATTATAATATCTCTTGAATTGTTTTAGCATGGGTCTAGTTTTTAACTCGGACTGTGGCTCTTCAAGGCGACGTCAGGTGACACGAATTCATGATGGGACAATGTCACTCAATTACGTAGAATATATTTTCAAGTGAACAAAAGAAGACTCTGAAGAAATAAATTAAACATTAACTACCGTCAGTAACTTAAAACGGGAAAGGTAGCTCGCAAGGTTTGTTGTCACTTTGACAATTTCAAATGAGTTACACATATCAGGTAAAATTCTACAGCCCAGTACAGGTGCAAAATAATAAACGTGAAGTATCACCAAAAGCTGTTCGAAAACGAACAGTGAGTCGTGAGTTTGATTTTCTCGCTTTTGTTCTGATAAACTTAATACATTGGCAGTTCAACTGGGATTTAGAATCCTTCTGTTATGATTTCTGATCTCCTAGCAACGTCCTTAGTAACACAAGTTGGATTTGCAGGATAGTCATCTTCGTCGATGAAGAATTCCGTCTTGGTTGGTTTCTGGCACCACGTGGCAAATGACGATGCAATGGATTTATGCTGCACCTTGATTGAATTCCATTGAGCGTTAGAGATCACTTGTCCATGATCAATACACGAATCAACATACAGTCCGATATTTGATGAGGCGAACACGGGCTTCATGGCTTTTAACGTTTTACTTCGGAATTTCTTGATCAGCTTCACTTCTTTCTTGGAACATTTGTAAGGAGTAGAAGCACAAGGGATTTCCCAGATGTGACTCAACTGCCACGAGTCGTACAAAGAGTTCACGACAAACAGACGACTTTTAACAAAACGTAAAAAGTACTGAGGGAAAATACATTTCCACAGGTCTTTCCCTGACATCTTCTTGACGCACTCTTGAGGGACCCCATCCGTACAGTCATGAAGCTTAAAAACATTCTGCATCGCCTTCCTGAATTTCTTCTGTTTTTTGTGTTTCCGTGAAGTTGTATCGAGGAAAAATCCTGAATCCGCAAGCGATCTGAAATGTGCATGCTTGGGGAGTTTTGAACGGACATAATCGGCGTGAAGCATAACAGCGAGTCCTCCAGCAGAGGTACCAGAAAACACAACATTCCTGGCCTCTTTTAGACTTGTGTCAGACAACAATTCCGATATGGTCGAATCCAAGATTCTGAAGCCTCTAAAATACAACAACGAACCTTCAAACTCTACTGGGTCAGATCTGTTGCCTGAAAACGACGAACCATCACAGTATGGGAGATACGCCACGCTCCAGTCGTGGAATTCAGGATTTTCTTTAGCACTGTTTGATAAAATTCCACCAGGATTACCAAGAGGTTTGAAGAAGAGAGAAGACCCCAGATGCATGCGGCTCCTTCCCGAACAAGCTTTCTCACTCTCGCACCATGCCCCACCCTGTAAGTAAATAATCCAGTTCTTGCCTGCTTCGGCAGATCCCTGTCTCACATAGTAACCCGGTGTGGACCCATCAAGACATACAGCGCCTATTTTGTCAGCATCTCTCACAGCGTGGTACACAAACCCGTTTGATGGTTGATTGTAATATTGCAAAAGGGAACTTTCCTCTGCAGAGTAAGTTCCCTGTGGTGCCTGAGGTGACTGTGGTGTTACTGTGTTGATGATTGGACCTGACGAAGGGTAATACACGGATGGGTACTGCGTGGAATATTGTTTGTTTGAATTGGACTGCTGAACATCCGCTATTGGAATTTGACTTTCATTGAAGTTGTCATGGTGTGATTCCATTTCCTTTAAGTGATGGTCCAGTTGATGATGATGATGATAAAGTCTGTTATGGTGATGGTGATGATGATGGTGATGACGTTTATGTTCATGATGCTTCTTTACTTTTTGAGCCTCCATTGTCACATTACTAACGCTCCCGTTGAAGATTCCGCTGTCCGCGTGGTGACTGAGGGCTCGAGACGCGTCTGCTTCTTCGGTAAATGAATTATTTTGATGTTTGTGATGATGTTGATGATGATGATGTTTGTGAAGTTGTTTGTGGTAATGTCGATGTTGTTTACTGTGAAGGTGTTTATGTTCTTCACTATTGTTTCCTCTAAAAACATCCTTATCGAGTTTCGAGAGGATTTCTTTCATATTGTGTGCGTAAGCCTTTTTCTTGTGCTCACCAGAAGAAGCTCCAGACTCATCCGAATTTGAGCCGCTTTTATTTGTGTATCCTTCAAACATAGAGCTTATATCTTCTCCTTTGTATTGATGGCGGCCCAAAATGTCACTCTTACTCATCCCAGTTTCCTCTTTGTTTTCTTCAGATACCAACTGTCTTGCCTCTTCGTCAGTAATGGCATCGTCCAAGTAACTGTCATCATCCTCCTCTACTTCTGGACCCAGATCCCCATCGTTCTTGAAATCTTTGAAGAGCTTGTCATACTCACTTTCACTGTCCCCCTCAGTAACCTTGCTTTTCTTATAAATATCGCTTCTTTTCCTCTGAACCTCACCTCCCTTTAGAACAGCGGGTGACATAACCTTCACCTTGGGTTCTTCTTTCTCTTCTTTTTGAGAGTCTTCATCGTTGTCATTTTCTTGTTCATCATCAGTGCTGCCGCTACCGTCTTGTGCGTTTAATTCTTTCTCAGGAGTTTCGTTTCGTTCAACCTCGGCTTTACTATCCCCTGAGAAATCTGCACTCGTCTCCTCAGGACTGTCCTCCCCAGAAGATACCTGAGTCATTTTATCAACTGCCCCACGCGCAGAAGAATCTGTGGTGTCAGACTCTTGAATATCCACCATATAACTGTTTGGATAAATTCCACTCCCTGACATGTATTCTTCATGAACTTCTCCACTTCCGCTGGGGTCATCCTCCTCGTTTGGGAAAGTACTTCCGCTAGACTCTTCGTTTTCGTCCAAACTATGAGCCTTCTTCCCATGTGATGACCTAGCTATGACACTCTTTGCAAACTTTTGATCCGTTTGCACTGAGCCAGTTTTGTACCACAAATACTCGCCAGGTTTGCCAGACTTCGAAATATCTTGTTGAACTTTGCCAATTTCTGATTTCTGAATATGTCTTGAAGACACAAAAACAATCAGTGCTAAAGTGTACGCCAAACGTACATTTAAGGTGTGGTATAGCATGTCTGAAATTGAATCGCAGAGCTCGTCGAGCCTGCCAACAAGTTAAAATCGAATCAGATTTGGCTGAGGGCAAGTTCTTTGAACTTTTCCTGAGGTAATTTGATGTCACGCAGATCCAGGTACCTGTGTTCTCTCTTTAGCTCTTGCCTTGTTTGTTTTGATAGCAAATCATTAAAATAAAGAAATGTCGAGAGCTTGGCAGACAAATCTGTTGTTTGTCAAACCAAATCAACCAGGGCAAGATCCACGGTTTGGTTCACAAATCGTCTATAATTAATCTTGAGTTAATAGAGCGGGTGGTTAAGCTGTGTAAAACACCACACCACCTGGTGACTTTTGAGTGCTCCGTCAGTAGAGAAGGTAATACTTTTCACAACAGTACTAAGACATTTAAACAACGATTAAGATGCGCGTGGCATTAAAGTAACCTGTAATCATCGATTAGAGAGTTTTCATTCTGCCTTTCTTGTGAGAGATCTGTTTATAAATTCTATATCAATTGTTTTTAAAACTGGTCATCTGTTTTGATATAAAACATATTAGCAATATATTAAATCAGGCGAGTGATTCCATTCTTATGCGCTGTTGGTTGGATCTGACCGTGAAACGTTCACTTCAGTCTGCACAGAAATATAAGAAGAATGACATAAAATGCTACGCAGTGTACAAATCCGACTTTAAAAAAATTAACCGACAAAGAAACTTGAAGAAAATATAGGCTCAGCTCTAGTAAATTAGTAATTAAATACATACCCATGTAAGACTGGGTAGACAAATTTCGACAGCCTTTGTTCCAAAAAAGCAGTGTAAATGACGCAAATATGTAAAAAGATGAAAATTAATAATTTTTACTTTTAAAAATAGGAAGGTCAGTGCTAGTGTCTGCAAATCCATTAAAGAAAGGCGAACCATTCATCTAAGACCACTTTCGCATACGAACAGGACGTAAAAAAAGATTTGCCATACAGCGTAATGTCCCTGTAGTATTTTTTTCACTCCCGTTTTCCAGCTATTTAGAACCTGGCGAGCATATTTCCAATATAAAATTATTTCAGTCGGCCATAAGTCGTTACTACCAATTCCTATCCATCCACCATAGCTCAAGGCTCTCTTATTTTTGTGCCGAGATCTCTCCGCTAGTTTCTTTGTACACGTGGTTACTCCCAATCATTAATGTCTGACTGGTATTTACTGTAATAGCTCCTTTTTTATCACAATGTGTTGAGCCCCGAGGATGATGGGCCTCCTTAATACGATGTCCGGCTGAGGTATCCCATACTGAATGTCAGAGTTAGTCAGTTGTTACGGTACAACTGTTGAAGGTTGTAAATCACAGCAAACTCTTTACCATGTAAGGACCCTCCAGTTCGTAACCAATTTTACGATAATAATTTCGAGTTCCAACTCCTAAGGAGAAAATACAAGATTTGTTTGCATTATAATGCCCTGCTTAGCTGGGGCTTTAACTTTTAGCCAATGAATTGTTGAAGTCAATCAAAGAAAGTGATCATTCTTTCCCTCCTACATCAGGCATGGTTGAGTTCACGTGGTCTGCTTTCCAATAGTTTCGTGCCGAGAAGAAACTCAGTAGATATATTTTTTGCACCACTGTACCATTCACTCTAACACAACAAGAGAGGTTTAGAAAATACAATGTATTATCTACCATCTACCCCCACATTTTGGCTCATTTTGGAGACAAAGTTAGAGATTTTCACCTTTTTTTTCCCAAAGGTCAACATTTAAACCCCTTTTACCAAACAGAATTCATGAGCAATGCATGAAGGTCACTTAGTACACCCATGACCCTCTGCGCACTGAGAAGGTTTAGTGTGATTTAATTCTTAAAACAGATAAATACCTGAAATTACGGCAATTTTCTGTGAGCCATGCTCTTCGCGGGCAATTCTCTCCGCTTCTTCCATCAACAACATTCCAAAACCCTGAGAAACGAGACACCTTTAGTAACAATCCTAACTAACTACATTTTCCAACTGTTACCACCTCACACGGGAACTTACTTGATGCTGAAATTTGGAAGGATCGCGGGCGCTGACAGGAACTACACTGCCGTAACTAAGGTAACAAGTTAAGGAAAAAGAAAAAAAGCTTGGACTGGATTCATTGCATTCTTATGGCCTCTACTTGCTTAAAGAAATAAACAAGTTTACGGTGTTAAAATTTCAGCCAATACACCACCGTCTCCATCCCCTCCCCCCCCTTTTACCTATCCTTGTTGTGATTAGTTAAGGAATGGAACCCAAAATGTCAGGATGTAACTCCCTATGAAAAATTACAATTAGTCATCATATGGTCCAGTTCCTGAATTCTGACTGGTCTACAGGCCGTGGTGTATGAGCTGATATACCATACACCAATTTCGCGGAATAAAGAATAAGAGTCTTATAAATATTGAAATATTCCTTTGGGCGTTTTTGATGAATTAATGATTCCACATTAAATACTTAAGTTTTATCCTAAGTCTCATAAAAAAGATACACATGAAGTTCTCTGACGATAGAACAGCCTCCTTTCAATTCAGGTCTGAAGGATGCCTCTGAACACTTCCTCAATCTTAACAGGCCGACTAAAATATCTGTAGACCGTGAAGGAAAACCGATCTTCAAGATGTATTCAACGAAACTAGTAAGCAAACTGATCAGATCTATAAAAATCTTCTTGGGTTAAAATTCAGAAAAAAATATCCTTTATATATTTATCAAAATGTCTGTGACTCAAGAGTCTACGGGCACGCCCTCATCACTAGCGCTGCAGGACGCGCGTTTCACCGTCCGTGGGACCATTTGAGACGACTGAGGGTAATTTTGCTGGGGTCTGGGACTGTTAATGAGTATCAGACCCTTTGTAGACCTCACACGGGTCCGCGAGCAAAGAAACGCTTGTGCCGGAGCGCTCGCTGGCTGGTGACCGCAGAGGAAAAAGTCACAACAAAACTATGCGTTATATATTAAAGTAAAAAGGATATCTTGCTCTGGGTCTTCATAGGACAGAAACGTTTCCCATCCACCATTCGCCACATAGTCTCGGCGAATAAGCTCAATCTGTAGAAGAAACATCAACAAGAACATTACTGAGATGGCGCGACATTACAGCCCTTCATCTAGAAAAACTTAAAAGTAATGTCATAAAGTCCTAATGTTTAAATGCAATAATAATGTAGTTCTATCGTTTATCTCACGATGTAGTCAATTCCTACATTGATTAAAAAAATTGAAAAACCGTAACACTGCACCCTCTGACTAAATTTATCGAGCTAAGCAGGAAAAACGACGAGAATGTGAGGCGTTACAATAAACTTAAGAACTAAGCAGGAAGCGGAAAAGAACACTTGACATTGCGGATGTCACCAACACTTGGAGAATTTGTTGATGCCATTAAATAATCATATCAAATAAGCCTTAACTTACCTCAAATGGTCGAACCTTATGGTGAATTTCCTGTATGCCAACCTCACGGGTTCGAACATCACGACACTAACATGAAGTGAAGAGCAATACATAAAATTGAAAAAAAAAAAGAAAACCAACACACTTCTCACTGACAAGAAAAACATCGGTGACAGTAGACCAAAATTGCTTTATTATAATCCCGACGTCCGACTCGAATTCCTGAAATACTCAAAACTAAAGAGTAGAAGTGACAGTAGACAAGTTACATTGAGCGCAACTCCAGGAACAAAATTCTAACCTGTGTTCCCAAATCCTTCATACGTGCTAGTGCCAGTTCCCTCAAGTTGCCCTGTTCGACACCAGAACTTACTAAAGGCATGGGGATATCCCTGAGACAAAAGCAAACACTTGGAGCGCATTTCATTTGAGCGTGGTAAAACAAGCACCAAATTATATGAAATTCATATATTTGCACTGCGGTGAAGAAATGAAATTAAGAGATCCTCGCAGCTAAGGAGACTACTGAACTAGTTATTGAAAATATGACCTGAAAAAAATTCAGGCCCGTACGGGATTTGAACCCATGAACTCTGCGATACAGGTGCAGCGCTCTACCAACTGAGCTAACAAGCTAACTATGAGCTGGCCAATGTGTTGGGTCCAAATAAACCATCCAAGTGATGAATGATGATTTTAGATATATGAAATTCATATATTTGCACTGCGTTGAAGAAACGAAATTAAGAGATCCTCGCAGCTAAGAACACTACTGAACTAGTAAAAAATTCAGGCCCGTACGGGATTTGAAACCCATGACCTCTGGTTCAGTTGGTAGAGCGCTGCACCGGTATCACACAGGTCATGGGTTCAAATCCCGTACGAGCCTGAATTTTTTCAGGTCCTATTTTCAACTACTAGTTCAGTAGTGTTCTTAGCTGCAAGGATCTCTTAATTTCGAAGTACCAAATTAATTACAGCAGCCATTCAGACCGAAGGAGCCAAAGAGAGCTCAAAGTAAAATCTCAGGAAAAACTGCCTGAATGAAGCAATCAAGTTATGGTCGGATTTGGTTTTACATGTACATCTGATTGGTCCAGACCGTTGCGCGATTTTCTTCACCAGTTAACTGGACGTAGTGGATCAAAGCTGATGGAGACACCTAACAGTTTTGTATAAAGATTATGCACATTGCCATCAGAAATGTACTTAACATAAGTCGACTCACACGAACAAAACTGTGAATAATTTGTATAAGGGTTCCCCCCTCACTTCCAGTTTGTGAGACTAACCTTTGCACTCTATAGACTCGTGTCCAGGGTGGTACTAACGCTAGAATCCTCGCGATCAAATCCACCAATGTATTAGGAGGGTAACTCTTGTAGCGGCCGGTCTTCCATAACTCGTACAAACCTAAAAATGTTTGAAACAAGTTGTGAAAGATCCCACATAAAAAAAAGAGAATAAGTTAATGAACCGTATTAATTAAGGGTATCCTTCGAAAAAAAAAGGTTGTTCAACCTTTCCCTGTGCAATGCATCGTCGTGGGCAAGCTTATCAAGGAGTTGATAATTATGAAAGAGCGCTCACAAAAAGTGTTCAGTGAGACAATGAAATTGCTTTCTCATGAAATTAAAATTTTCTTTCACTTACCTGTACCACGGATTACCAAGGTTGGGTAAATTTTCAAACCATCAGCGCGAAACGCTGGATTTTCAAAGAACTCCTAAGATTACAAAAGAAGCAAACAGTTTAGTGCCAAAACTATAAGAAAATATTCTTATGTAAAAACAAAACATCAAATTGTTGTGTTAAATTTCACTAACTATGAATTGTGCAATGTCTCGTTCCAGTCCTACATTTGGTAAATCAGGCATCATATGAGAGACAACCTAAAAACAAAATTAAACAAGTTTAGAGTTTTTGTTACTTTCCAAAAATAATATACAAAAATAATATATATATATGTGTATGTGTAAATATATACATTAGTTGGAACTCTCTGTGAGTAACTGATTCACAAATAAGAGTAAATTGACAAATTCTTGACAATTGAAAAAACTTTTTTTAAAGGAAAAATCTCAAACTGAATTAACAGCTTTACCTTGAATCCTGCATCTTTAGACAAGTGAAATGACTCACTCACTGCTCTGACAGTGTGGCCTCTGAAAATGGTGTGAAGGGAAAATGTTCACTTGCATAGTAAACATCTGTTAACAGCTCATACATCATACAATAATTGTAAGGGAATTTAGCCAAATCCTCAATACAGATCACACATGAGTTGGGGAAAGGTAAGGTGTTACACTGCTTCTTCACTGCCAGACGCTTTGAATCCTGTCTCCAATCCTCTATTTGAAATATCACAGATTCATGATAGACAAATGGTGGCATTTTTGCCTTCCATTTCCGTCTTCTGTACCCCTCCGGAATCCCCCCCCCCTCACACTCACACATAAAAAAAAAAAATTTATTTTCAAGTATAGTTAAATTGATCCATTAATAGCTGTGTCTATTGTGGTTGAGAATTATACAATTACATAAAAAAGGGAAACTTTACAAAAAGCAAGTATCCTCTCTCATGTATTCCATCATGTTTACCTGTTAGTATCTCTTGCCACATCTTCATACACGCTCTGGACACCAATCTCCAGGCGAGTGCAGCCATACATTAGCATGGAACTAAAAATATGAAACAGGAAAGGATTGCAAATCTTGCTAACAGCTCAAGAGTGTTATGAAAAAGAACAGAAACTAATTTGTAATTAGAAATTGGTAAAAGATGCAAAATTGGAACTAGACAAATTAGCTTTTTGGGTTCCAGCTTCATCAAATTGCTTGATATCTCAACTGAATTTTAAAATTTAAGTATAGTTCTAGGCTCTGTCAACCCTGTAAGGTTTCCCCTTGCAGGTCAACAGGCATCTTACAAAACAGGTTATATAATGTTAACAACTCAGTTGAAAATGTAAATTGGTCACCGTATAGAGTTTAAAGGCTGATGTTTCGAGTGTAAGCACTTTGTCAGAGCAATCTGGCTGACACTCAAAGTATCAGCCTTCAAACTCTTTATGGTGACTAATTTATGTTTACAGTTGTTAACACTAAATTACCTCCTATACTCTCCCACCAATGTAGCACCACAGTTTCTTTAGAAACTTACTCCCTTTATTCAGGTTACAGAACAGAATAATTATTCCACCAAACATGCAATCCAGTATAACAGTTTGAAGATAAAAAGGGGGAAGTGATTTGGCTTTTTCCTTTTGTATTCTTGAAAAAGTAGAACACTCACCTAAGATGTTTTTTCAGACAGTAATCCGGTCTTGTTTCAATAGTTATACCAATACACTTTGTCTTGCTCCTCTCTGAGTACCTGAGTGGCATAAGAAAAAAACAGGTTCAGAATACTAAGTTCAAGTAATTTTCACTGTACTGCAATAATCTAAATACTGCTCCCCTGGCTGAAAACCTTTACTGGGTATTAAATGGTTTCCACTATGTGCTCTTATAAAGCAAATAATCAACAACTGACAGAGATTTTATTTCAATAATAGTAAATTACCAATTGTTTCACCTGACAAAGGCTTAATGCTCAAAACATCAGCTTTAAAAACACTTTATGGTAGGCAATTTATATCATCAATCAGTTGATAAAATGAATGGAATACTCCCACCAACACAGCACCATGGTTTCTTATCCCTTTCATTCAAATTAATAGAGCTTGATGATAGACTTACTTGACTGCTTCATCCACATTATTACTTGTGTGACCTGACAGGGCATCATGGAGATTCCTTATAAAGAAATCTCTATAGCTTTCATCCAGACACATGAATGTACCTCCCATTACAATAAACTCAACCTTCAAAATATAATGAACAATACAACCTGTTTTGAAGTTTTGGACATAAGCGGAAACCTTGACTAGGAAAGTAAGATTCTCTAAAGGAAGATGTGTGAATCTGCTTGTCCCTCTCTTGACCCAAGAGGTCATATGGACACTAACAAATTATAACTAAACCATCAAGTAAATGCCACAGGTATCCCATACACAAGATGAAGTAATGCTTTTGGTTCCTCCTAGCTAGAGAGACTGGAATATGCAGGTCACTAATTAAGGGTTGTTAGACTTAACCAAATATGATTTAACAAATTGTAACAGATGTCACTTAGAGGTGATCTGAGTGTACAAAAACAGAAGTGTATTATTAATTCTCACCTTATCCACACTGTGGCCCAACTGTTTAAGCTGAAGAAAATACCAAATATTCTCATGAGGTCATTAGACACCAAATACATTATTCCACTTGCCAGCAGGGCAAAAAGTTTAAACTGTTACAAGTACATGTGTCTGTCAATCTAGCTTGTTTGTGAAGTTGGCCCCTCAGATCCCAGAAGAATAAGCTCTCTATACTAAGACTGCCTGTTTCCTATAGGATTCACCCTCCTTCTCCACTTTGTCTCTCCTACCACCACTGCAGACCAGCTTCAGCCAGCCTTGCCTATTCACACCTTCCTCCTCTGCTCCATACAAAAAGATTGTTAGGAACCAGTGAAATTCAGGGCCTAGTTGTATAAAGGGCGGTTAACACTATCCAATCTATAAATTGCTATCCAGCCGATAAGTGATAGCAAAATGTAAAGCGTTATCCACCAGATAGAGATTTATTCAGTGGATAGACTTGTCCAACCTTTGAACAAAGGACTTTCCGCAATTACATAACTGGAGATTTTTATAATCACCTGCTGCCCTCCAAATGCTACAAATCAAGTAGTGATTAATAATTACTAGTATTTCAATATGGCAAGTTCAAGACAAACCACCATCCACAAGCAACTAAACTGCTGTAAGACTACCGCTGTAAGACTACCACTATAAGACAATATTCACCTGATCAATTCTATGTCTTGTTTGTAGATAAGGGTTATATCGTGCTCGTATTGCTCTCATTGACGTGGGCTAAAAGAAAAGAGTTGAAGTATATGACTGAGATATATTTGCCAAGCAATTTGCAGGAGAAATATTTCATTAAAAAAAGCCTGGTTTATACTTAAAAAAACCTTACTTCATATCCAGTGTAAGACTGTGTAGAGTATTCAAAATCAGAGTCTGGTCCTCCTGGGCAATATCTACAAAAAGTGGAACACACATTTTATGATTTGCTGTCTTGAAGAACTACACAGTCATTTACAATAAAAATAATGTTAGGTTTGTGAAGTGCAAGCCACTTGTCACAGAAACTTTATCATCCATCTTCCAAAAAATAAACAACAGTAAGGCTACTTTTCAGCTTGAAGGGTAAATATATCTGATGCAGATCTTTGACATTGTGATATTGAATCCAGTTCAGCATAATGTCTAAATTCTCACAGATAAAGTCACAGACATTCTCCATCACTAAGCCTGTTGATTTACCAACATTGACAGTAGCAGAAGCGCAGAGTTATGCTAACTTACACACAGATATTTCCAGTCATGTTTATATGAGGACATCTATGAGGTTTGCACATAACAGCCACAACTGCAATCTGGGATAATAAAAAAGGTAAGTAAAATCCATTTTTTTTCGTTGTGGAAAATCACCATTCCCTAAAGAGATAAAATAGTCCTACTAAAGCAATGGTTTCCATCCTTGGACTCATTAAACAGCAATATTGAGTCTCCTTATTGTCTGCCTTATATATATCTAAGGATAACTAATGAGAATTACTTAAATCAAAGATATACCCCTTGCTTATGATAATAGTCACCACGCATAATTTCTAAAAAAGTGCCTAACAAGTAACAATGATGAGAACAACAGTATTGTCCCTCATAACCACTACCTATACAATACAATGCAAAATAAAAAGCATCAGGATACTCACCCCTGAAGCTGTTCTTACTGGTTTGGCTTTCAACTTTGGAAGTAAGACCTAACCGGGTAAAGTACACGAATTCCTGTTTCATTGAAATTAATATTCCAGAGCAATCCCTTTGTGAAAATAATTACTGAAAACTAATAAGCAAAGAATTCAGGAACTAACCTTTTTATAGGCAGGAGGAACAGCAGCAATGATATCCACCAGTCTGGGTTGCGATGTCAGTCCGTATTTACTGGCAGCTTGTCCTTTGATCCTTATAAACCAGGACATAACAGTAATATCGAGCAATGATACAAGAATGTGACACTTTTTTATAATTTAGATTTGCTGTTGTTGACTACAGCATTACACATTGCACGCCACTGAAAACCGATTTTTAAGAAAATCTGGAAAAACTGAACAGTAGACCATCCAAGCGTTACACAAGCAAATGTTTTAGGAGTAAGACGTGTCCATGTATAAGGAGACTAGACAGTGCTGCATAACGAGGCTAAATAACAGCTGTGAAAGAGGCTGGACAAAAAGGTTATGAAATAACATCCTCAAATGTGTGCGTTAACAGATATCAGGCACTAACTTGTTTAGATTTACATCATTTCCTTTCTCGTGTGCTGTGATCAACTGACTCACAATGTCTGACACTGTCATCATCATCAGTTCAGCTCTAGAAGCACTGGGATTCACTACAACGGAGTAAAGTAAACAAGATGAAGGATTCTAAGAGAAATTTAACATAAGCTTAGAATTACTTCCAGTCATCTTAGGAATCTGGGCTTATTGAGAGGGCAGTAATGTTCATAACAAGCGAATGACGTTTGAGAACTTTTAACATGATTTGGAAAACAGAAACAACTCGCACACAGACACACATGAACATACATCAAAAGTCCTGACAACGGATCAGCAGATGGTAAAAAAATCCAGTATATGAAAATCAACTGCACAGACACGAATTCAACCACACCTTCCTACCTTTCTTGCGATTCTTTCCCATATTGGCACTTTTTAACCAAAAGGATCTTGTTTAACCGAAATATGGCTTACTCAGTTGATGGTTCAATATGGCGGAAATGTGTACTTGATACTTCATGTAAAATGTGTTTTGTCTCCCTGAAGATAACAGCGACAGGAATTGAATAAATAAGAATTTTCTTTCTTTTTCATTTCTTGTTCTTTGAAAATAGACTTATGGAACAGGTTATGAAAAGGAAACAAAAAGGTTTGGAACAGATTCTAAGCGCCTCACTGGGAAGCGAAGGTGCGCGCTCCTTCGTCTTCAAATCATGGTCTTAATACGGTGCTAATTTTTCCATTTGTCCACAGAAATTGTTTTTTCACACACAGCGCTCACACGGCAGTCTTTCTGAGAATATCACTATAATTCTGTGCCTAGGAAAATGTTTTGCCTTGTGTATGTTCGTACCTGAATGTGTTACTCATCAGAAACGAGCTTTTCCAACCTTGAATGCGTTTTAATTCCCCACCCCCTCCCCTTTCAGACTGGAACCACTCTTGAAGTCTCCGATATCTAATGAAGCCTTTTTCACTTTTTTTCACACATGTTTATCGCTACTTCCTCCTTGCCACAGAGTTTAGGAACACATTGCTTATGCATTGCGGACCTATGTTTTTAATCGCGCAACTTCATGCACGCTCTTTCGGGTTCATGTTTGAACCTCGGAGGAATCAGAGGTTTGAAGCAGATAGTAAAGCAGTCAATCCTGTGACGAGATCGTCTTGATAAGGACTGTTGTGGAGGATGTCTGAAGAGTCAAAGTATGTTGTTTTATAATTTATATTGTATCGTCATAAATTATAAATGATAAGCAACGGCAAGCTGACTTTATAACATGTAATTAAAGTGATAATTCATTATTTATTGCAAACTGCTCAGGAAGAAAGGATTTTTTCAAATTAATCTACATCACATATGGATAACTTCAAAGTGTAACTTGTAGTTATTTTGTCTATATTGCTCCCCCACATATTAATGGAATTCTTTAGACGATAGGCTGTCAAACTATTGACAAAGCAATAACATAAGGCTTCAAGCCACGTATTAAATTATAATAGATAATGTTGCTATTATGTTTATTCACTGTGTTCTATGAAAGTACTAAACAAAGGGGAAAATAGCAATAGAGTAAAGCTGTTTTGCTTTGTAAGTAATTTGAACTGAGTTATGCTGCCCAACTGAAATGAAACCTAAACCGATATTGCACCGGAAGTCATAATTAGTAATACAGGAGGCATCCAACTTGAACTTTTGCATTTCTTCATTCCGATTGATTTTGCGAAGATGCCCTATTAGTCTGTTATGTCTTCAACCAAAACGCCGTAATTTCCGGCTTTGTATCTCGAAATGATGCGACTAGAAATATTTTTCCACATTTTAAATTTTCCTTTTGGAGATGTAAAACTTCTCAATACTGGTTGAGTTCCATTCTCGATAATACTATTTCTTTCAATTTCATTGAAATGGTCTTCGAGATTTTCCTCTTCTAATAAACAATTGTACGAAAATCCATTCCTGTTTGTCGCCTGGTTTGTTACATTGCAGTCTAGGTGTAGCCAGTTCATAAAGCGGTGTCTTCGTGCTTTTGTCGACGACGGGCCATTTTGGGAATTTATCCACATACTTTGAACAACGCGAGAAATTGCACCAATCCACTGATCACAGCTTGATTTACAGTCTGTCTTGAGGAGATGAACACCTCTCTTAGCATACAACTTAAATTTACAGGGGCCGTCATCGAAACCTCGCTTACGTCTAGAAATATTCTTTAAGCTCGAGCGGTCTGAGCTTTGTCGAGACGATTCTTTTCTCTCCAACACTTTACATGTCGTCTCTTCTGTCAAGGTTATGACTCCGGCAATTTTCTTTTCATTCTCGTTCATAAACACAAGCCTATCTTCTTGAAGGATCACTCTGTACTCTTTCCACGTATTTTTCTTCAGTTTCTTTCGTAAAATTTCTCCTTGAAATAGGGCTACAGGGTTTGTATTCACCATAGCTTCTTCTAAATTAACTCGCCCGTCGTTGAATGACGCCCGTCGCGGTCCACTGAACCGTTGTTTATGTTACATGCAGTTTGCCAAAGCCAGTGAAAGTCCAGTGACGTGGAAATATCCAAGTTTTCCGTGAAATTAAGCTATATGCAACTGATAGCGGATTACAACATAGTCTTTGACGTTGGACGACACTTTGCGCAAAAATCCTTGGCAGAACTTAATTCAATCACGCGGTGGTTTCCACTCGGTTGTGAGTGAAAGATGGCTCTGAGTGGATTATATGTTGCAATATGACTTGCCGATAAGAAATTTATTCCAAACTTCGATTGACCAATTAGCGCACAGCTTGCTGACCTCAACTCGCTCTTAAGACAGAAAAAGCCATGGTTGGTTTCCTCTTTCAAAACAGAAAAAATGTCTGTTATTTAAATCATCCAAAGTGACGACAAAGGGAAATAGATGGCCTTTTCAGAAAACGTTGAAAGCTTTATCCTTTCATTACGGGAACGCAGTATTTTAAAGAATCCCTTTTAAAAGAAACTTAACACAAACACAGGATTTTTGTTTTTTTGTTTTTTTGTTTTTTTGTTTTTTTTTTTTGTGGGTCTGTATCGTAATAGATCACGGATGACGTTAGCATGTGGTAAAAACATAAGTTACACACGTGCACACGGCTGCGCCTCAAGAATCACTTTTTTTCTTCTTTCCACACTTTGACGTTATCTGTGATCTATTACTGAACAAACGCACGGAAACATAAAATCAGTTTCTGTAAATCAGCAGGTCTTTTGAAAAACCATCAACCATAATACACGTCACTGTCATAAGTTTTGATAAGACCAAGGTTGGGAAAAATGTACTGCGAGCTCAAAGAGCAACAAATTTGGTCATATGTACATGCGATGTATATTGGTGTAGGAAATACCACCTGAGGGTGAGAACTTGTTCAAATCTTTCAAGATGTCTGTCCAGTCTAAAATTAGATTTCCTACTACATCTTGTTTAGTCCCTCACCTGCGCATTTTATCCGCGTGCACCAGTAGTATGCCTGGAAACAAATTTCGCGCACTATGAATGCTGGGACTGCGCACGTTTCGTCCTTTTTTCGCCATCTTTGTTTTCACAGAAGTTCTTGAAGACGTGTAACCAGGGTAAAACAGACTTTCAGTGGTTCTTAGCTATGTCGATTTCGATGAATCTTTCCACTTAAAATCTCTCTATATTTCTTTGACTACTTAGGTCATCGAATAAAATGCAGAACGAGGCAGGAGAAAACGTAGACATGTACACACCAAGGAAATGGTGAGTTGATCAGCACTCAATATATGAATTTTAGCTCTAGAATCGTGTAATGTCGTCGTCGAATCGTCGTTTACTGCTACGTTCGATTAAGGAGTAATAGACTTAGTTTTGGGTTACCTTTTGCAAAGTGAACAAATTTGACCCATGTATAGGGCAAAAGTATATTGATTAACGTAAAAACCAAACGCTTTAGGCACTAGCTATAGGTTATCATCAGAGTCAACTAATTTGTTTAGTGTTCCATCCTTATTATTCATGACAGAGCTCTAGCTACACGTGCTTAGATTGATTATTATTGTGTTTATTATTATTGGTATAGGTAATCACATGATTTCTAGTGCAATTTGGAATAAATAAGCACGAGTAAATTTTTTCAAAGACCTACAAAATTACACGAGCCTGCAGGGTCAGTGCAATTTGGGGTGTCTTTGTAAACATTATTTATTCAAACACTGCAAGTGACGTAGTGTGTTCGGTCAAAACAACCACATACAATCAAAACAATAACATACAATAATATTTTCACATTTTTAAGCAGGGGTTTCAATAAAAGCTGGTTACCAGCGGTCTACCACCGCCTGTAGGACCTCTCACCTCCATCTGTTTGGTGGTCACAGCCGCCTATTAAACCTTCAGTGGCCGCTTATAACTAATGTTATTGAAGCTCCTGCTTTAAGTCGCAAAAAAGTTAAAAGATGGGCTAAACAGTTCAAGGAATTGTTCAGTCTGGTTTGTGACTTCTTTGCACTGAATTAACCCTCTTCTGTATTGAATTACCTGAAAACTGCAATTTATCTTAACCAATCAGAACTGAGTAATTTTTTCATATATCTTATCATCATAGTTATTTTTGATACCTATACAGCTCCGTTACCAATCGTGTTATTGGGGCCAAAGACCATGCCTCAGTTCAGTTGAATGTCGGACAGGTAGGCAGGCAAATGCTACTCTGCTTCAATTCCAAGCTTAGGCTAAGGCTTCTTCCTCTTCCTTAAATTGATGAATAGAGAACTTAGAGAACTGAGTTAAAGTGGACATTAAAGGAATCAATTTCCCTCATTCCTTGCCCTTTCAAACACCACCCTCACAAAAGACACATCACCACAACATTTCAGGATACCCTAAGATGAACAACTGTTAGGGTATGACTAGCTATGCTGAAATAAGCACTACATGAGCTTAAACTGATGCAAACATTTTGTCTAGAATTCAATTTGTTCAAGAGCAAGGGTCAAAACATCGGTAAAAACTTGTTCATGATCAGGAGATTAGGATAGTTTTGAAATCCCTGAACTAAAGCCCCTTATCAAAAAAGTTCATAAATTACTCAGACTGTTGAAAGAAATTCTATGGTAATGTTTGTTTGCTTTGCTATAGATTGATGAGACTGGGCGATTCACTGGCAGTTTTAAGACTTATGCTTTGTGTGGAAACATCAGGCAGATGGTACGTAAGGGTTAATTATGTGAAAAGATAATTTGATGGAAGGGCAAACTGGAGACAAATTTTGGGCAGGTTAAACATGTGGTTTTGTTGTTCAGGTTGCAGTAATGCCCAACTTGTAGCTGAGAGGTGAATGTTCAAACCCTCTTTAGTCTGAATTGATGTGTAAGCTCAGCCATCTGTAATTGCTTTAATTTAAGTTTTTCTGTAATGATCAGTGTGTCCCTTTCTATCCACAAGCAAATGTACTTTGTAATGTAAAGTGTTTGAGAGAATAAACTCTTCATCAGAATGCTATATTCTGTCATATTCTGTAGGGTGAAGCAGATGATTCCCTAACAAAGCTTTGTATAGAAGATTCCATTGTTAACAAGTAAGTTCCCTCTGTTGAATTCCTCTTCTGTAAAAGTTGAGAAATGAAAGTCTGTAAGTTACCTCTGACCTTTTTTAGTTTTCAATTTTCAAATTTTTGTTTTTAGCATAAAATTCAATGAGGCTGTATCATTTCAGTAGTTTTTTCTGTTTCAATCTGCCTTGTGTAAAGCATTACTGCTAAATGGTAACATGGTCTTTAACATTTTGTTGTTTTGTTCTATTTGTAGGAACTATGACTCCTAATATGGAAATGAAGAGGAAAGATCTTTCTTGATAAATAAATAAACTTTGTTGTTCTGACTGAACTGATGTATTTCCTTTGTTTTCTTTTTTAATTGTTATTACAATTGCCCCTATTCACCTTGTGCCCAACTCAATTTTCTCATTTTATCGCATGTTATTTCTTCCTGACCACCTCTTCATGAAGGGATTTAAATGCTTCGTACACTAAGTAGTTTCTCTCCCTTGTGGTTACCCACAAGTTTGTTTTTTTGGGCTGATTCTCTGAGCGAGTTGTGGAGAAGTATGTTGACAAGCGAAAAGGTGCGCAAAAATATAAAAATGTTTAGTCGTGCACAAGGTAGACTCTAGTCGTTGCGGGAAGGGAGAAGGTGTGCGAATGTCCGAGTCATATGATAGATTACTCGAAAGTAACCAGGTTCCAGACCAAATTTTCTAGGACTTAAATCTGCGGAATCGCTTAAGAGTGACTGGAATCATGTTGGCCCGGGGAGAAGGAATCACGAAAAGAACGAAAACGTTGATCAGAAATGTTTTCTTGACGAACTTCGTTAGACCCATAAAGGAGATTCATGCTCGCTAAATAGAGATTGCTACCATGCAAACAAAGGACGAGAGGATTTGATGATTATGTCACCATAACATTTGGGCCTCGGGACGATTACCTACATCTAGTTTATTCTCTGAAGCTCAAAAAAGACTTCGAAGGAAGAAAAAAATTAGTTTAGAAAGAAAAGTTACGGGCAGAGAATTGAGAAAGGAAAAATGACAAAAAAGGAAAATATGGTCCGTGAGAGGCTCGAACTCTCGACCTCGGCGTAGCCATTAGATCTGTGATCTAGGTGTATCAGCACCGCGCTCTGCCGACTGAGCTAACGGACCATTGGCTAAATACTCGTCTTATTTTATAATATTTAAATACCTTATTCATCTTAGCAAGTTGGCGTTTACCAACAAGATCTGTCTAGAAATTTTACATTCTTCAACTTCGATACGAAAGGGGCTTATTCGAACCTCAATTGTCGAAATAATCTAGGTGAGGTTCCATCTCTACACCAGGACCGGATAATTTTTTAAAAATGCAAGGATGGTGAATCTTGAACAACGTTGTTATAACGGCAGAACTGAATAGGCCACATAGTAATTAGTTAAGCCAGTAAACTAGGATCTAAAATAAATACTAGCAAAAATGACTTTCCTCTATAAATTCTTCGCATAGAAAAGCTACAGGAAAATCCCACATCGCAGGCGAGTGTCTTGCACTTGAACTTCATCCATCGGCGCACAAAGTATTGCACAATAATGTCTTTTGGACTCTGTATTTGCTATAATGTTTTTCCTCGCGCAGTTGATTACTCTTAATACTTTGTAACTAATACCCCATTCACACCAGCAAAACATGTTTTGTTAAACTGGTTTTCATTGAATGAAAATTATAAACTACTAGCTAACTTGCATTTCCAATGTGCTACATTCAAGTCAAAAATATTCGGTTAAATAGTTTCTATGAAGAAAAAAAAAATTAAACTGTGTTTAACAAAACAACTTTTAAACATGTTTAAGCTTTGGTGTGAATGGGGCATAATTTTAATTGCTTACTGAGTCAGATAGGTGAAAAATATCACTTTTTCCCGAGCACTCCGAGCAGACGATGCGTGATAAATAATTGTCCATGACACCCTTCAAATAACACGGACCCACAACGATACTGATTGTGACTCATTTCTATTTAACGATTTCATCAAAATAACGGAAAAAACCAACAGGTCTCCGTGACTAATTTTTACCTTTCGTGTCACTTACGCACTTCCTTGTCACTTGCGCACTTTTCGTGAAAAACTTTGCACTGCCTAATGAGGAAACTCAAACCAAACAGAAAAGAAAGAAAAAAAAACGAAACAAAAAGATGAATATAAAAAAGTGAAACACAGTCAGCTTTGCTTGACATGCGGTGCGGTATTATGTAAACACGAGATTCTTTTTCCCCAGATTTGAGAGAAAAGATTCAAGCCGAAGTTGAAGATTAACAAGTAAAGATTCATAAGTAAACCATTGATCACGAATTGACCTGCACTGCAATGAAACTTTCCTGCAATTAATGAGGCGTGTAATCAATGCAGAGATGTTAAAATGATCTGTTCGGATCTACCTCTGGTACGAGAAACAAACGATTGTCGAAGTGTTATGCTACACATTTGTAATGCAGTAAATGCACCGAGAAATAAGTTTATGCAAATAAATATAGTCAACGAGGTAGGGCAATCAAGTTTGCAGGAAATACGGTGTTTCCGTTTCTATCCTAATTATCTTTCTTTTGAAGACTAAGAGTCCTCAGGTAAACAGAAGTTTATCAACCAAGACAGACTAAATATTCAGTAAGCTTCTAAGCCCCAATCCTTAATACTTCGGAAGTATTATGACGCTGATTTCTGACAATGGTTTTTTTTTTAGGAGCTACTTTCTCACGGGTCTAACCTAACCACTGAGCGGCAAAATTTCAATCCTAGTCACGTACGTTTTTTTTCTGCACGATGAATCACCTCAGCAGTTTTACACATTCTCTGGTACTTGATCCCAAGCACTGAAAAAAGAATGCCGGACATCTTTCCCTTGTCATCCGTGTACTTGTTTTTATTTTTTAACCATAATCCTTATCCGGAATATATGTATAAACTCTTGTCTTCAAAGAGGCATTTGATAAGCAACTGATTAGTTGGGTGTAATGAATATTTTGTTAACGAAAAAAGGAATGTTTATATTTGGTGTTAGCCGACCTCTGGGGCCGCAGTCTCTTGCAATTTGTCTGGGAAGCAAGTTGGTTCATCCAGTCCTGAGAGATCTAAGATAAACATCGAGATTTCAATCACTTATGTGTCGAGAGATTCATTTCCGATCATTATTTAATTCTTCTCATAAACTTGTTTCTAGTCACGAAGCAGTGAAGAGCAAAAGAATGATTGTAGAGAAAGAACAGCCGAGGAAACTTTTAGCCACGCACATGCAGGCATCGACGGCTTAGAATGGCCATCTTTGCATGAGGTGAAAGTAGACTACACAAAAGTATCTTAGTATTCCCAAATTCACTTGATGAAAGCCAAACGAAACTCTCAACTGACTAGTAACAAATGATTTTATATGTTCGCCCCTTCTCTATATAATCATTTGGTACAATAATGCGCATGCTCGCGTACCAGCCTGAGGAAGGGAAGGACTAATGAAGTAAGACCAAGATTAAATCGAATCAGGGAAGAGCGACTGACCAATCACATTACACACTTCCCCATGGATTTCACGTTTACTTCTTGTTTACCACGTGAAACCCGGCTCTTCGAAAGCCTGTGTGCACTTGCACATCCGAATGCAACATCCAAAAGGTTTGCTTTCTACCCTGCACCGAAAGCATTCAAAGGAAGCGGGAAATGAACCGGCGCCGTAAAGGAATTCCGCCTCTTCTCTAGGACTGCCTGTTTTTAAAACACTTGCGTGCCTCGTCAACTAGTCTCATTCTTTAGAGAAAGTAGGGCGAGGAAAGCTGTAGGCGTCGTCTTAGCGGATAAGGTCTGGCAAGAATTTTCCTGTTGTGACCATATTCGTGACTTACTGTGCGACTTGTTAACAGTTCACTGTAGGTGTATCCTTTTGGGACGAGTAAATCAAATCATAATCGGGAAATTCCAAACCTGTTCTTTCTGGATTACTTCAAGTCCAGGGTGTTCTTTTCGATATCATATTCCCAATTCTAATCGCCAATTTACCTAAGTTTCTGTTCCTAAGCTCTCTCAAAGTCAATGAAATATACTGGGGTTTTTCAAAAGCCAGTGAAATATAATCTTCAAGTTGTTACAAACCGAGGATTAGAACAGCCATAATGCGTTAAGAAATCCTTTAGAGAGAGGTTTGTTTGTTTTTTATTCCACCTGTCTCGAAAATTTCAGGCTTAGTATTTTCAGAGCGCTTGACACTCGCTTAAGAGGAAACATTGGTGAGAATTACACATATTCAGAGAAATTTCGTGTTGACTTTATTTAAAAAACTTAAATGGCGCATTTTTGTTGATCATCTGACACTAACTCTTGTTACAGCAACGGCTGGGTCCAAAGGTTTCATGACTGTCTACATTACTTTAGGCAAAGTTTTCCTCCAAAGCGTTAAAAGACCGCCAAAAATGAGCTTGAAACCGGAAAACAGGAAGATGGTAAATTCATGTCCTCTTTCCTTTTGACCCTGACTCAGTTGGTATGGGCGGGTCATGTGGTGGAACAAATATGCACACCAGTTATCAATCAAATGTTGATTGGCTGCTGATTGACTGCAAACACCGATGGTAACTGATCGCTGACCGATATAGACGCTGGCGAGAATACTTCGGCTAAAAATATGGAGTGTGCGCCACATAATTAAGGACCCTTTACTGACCTTAACAAACCCCTCTTCACTATTGACAAAAAACTCACAAGACTCAATTTGGTAGTCTCTTTTGGATATTAGAAAAAGTTTATTAATGAAGTTACATAACAGTTACTCTAATCCATATAAAAGTATGACCCAGCACCATTTGCGCTCCCACCGGCAAAGCGTGTCGGCAGTTTTGTGGTGGAAAAAAAAAAACAGAACATTCAGTTTTGTGGTTTAGAGTTTGCCGAAGGAATATTCTAAGCTGTCAGCTGTTCCTGTCTATTTCCTTAACTGCAACCTTCTCAAATCCACCCGTTGGTTGTTCCGACGAATTCATTCCATTACGCTATGGCCATTTTAGGGCTGTTTAACCAAATTCTGTTCTTACAGGAGGAGTAAGGGCAGAAAGGAATAGCAAGAATAAATCAAGAATTTCTTTCAGCTTATCAAAATAGAATCAATTTCAGCCGACTTCGTGAGTGCTACCAAAACGACACTTTCTTTCAGCGCCTGACCTTTTGTAAGATTAACGAGTAAGCACAATGCGCTGGTTTTTGTGGCCTTGTAGGTCTTGTGGGGATAAGCTGATTGGAGCCTTCTCGAGCTTAAAATGCCTTCCTCGACTTCAATTACACCAAGTTTAAATCATCCCACACAGATATTCTTAACTACGAAAAAAGTCTGAAGTAACAAATCTCCCTTGAATCGTTGTTTAAAAAAGAGAACATCTCTGTGCTTTTTAATACAGACAGGCATCTCCAGTGTACGAAAATCTTGTGAGTTTTTCAAGATTAATACAAAACAAAGGACAATATTTCAAAACTCTCATAAATAAAATTTGAAAAAATTTTTATTTCTACATGTACGGGAAGTTGTGCCCAGCTGAGGGGAAATTGGAAGAAGTAGCGGATTAAATGCACAAATTAATTTTAAGTCAATTTGTATGAAATTGTGCTCTTTAATACCGTAAATCCCTTTTTGTTCCCACGCATATACCATTTACGAACAAATACTTTTTTTTTTAATGTTGTGAGATTGAAACATGCAAAATAGAACTAAAAAAACACCATATCCTATGGTGGACTTAACTCTTACTTTCCGAAACGATTAAAACTAAAGTACTCTGAAGAACGAAAAGGGTCATTTTCAGTCATCTTCTAAAATTTAAAGTATCGGAAGCAGTCGACCCAGGTAATAAAAAGTAGCAGGCGGTTAAACTTCAAGTTTCGTGACAAACCAAGGCTATGGTGGAAACGCTAAGCCAGCGAAAATCCGTGGGCTGAGATCCGCTTCCGTTTGACACACTTTGATTGTTTATATGAGAAAAACTTCAAACTTTTGATCACTTTCCACGTCAACAAGTTTGCGTGCGAGCGACGTTATTTTTTCGGTGGATGTCTTGTTTTTCTTTTAAGTCTGTAAACAGGTTCAAATTAGATAAAGGCTAAGAAGGGTTAGAGTTAAACCCTCTTAATTCGGAAACAAACGTCATCTCGATTTACATTGGTAACCTTTGTGCGACTTATAAAAGGAGGCAGTGTGCCAAACCAACTCTCAATTTAGACCAAGCTACACAAAGGGAAGAACTCTTACAAAAGAACACAGCGAGAACAACATAATGAGAGCTAATAATGGAGTAAAAGATGGCCATGAACTTGCCAAAAGAAGGAGAAGAAGAAGTAGAAACGGGGAGAACATGTCAGATACTGCTTCCAATGGCAACGTTTCTTCTAAACAAGGAAAAAAGAAGAATTCTGTTCTTGAACAAGAAGAAAATCGCGGTGAAAACAACACGAACAGTCGAAACCGTGAAAGCCGCCGATATGGCATGATTGTAGAAGATATTTACATTGACATGGAAGACATTATTTGTGATATTCAGAATGGGAAAATCTCGTTGGATGCACTGCCTAAGTTGGGACTGTTTCCTTTACACGAGGCAGTCGCTCGCGGACTTACAAAATATGCCGAGAGTTTAATAGAACTTGGATTACAACTTACAAGCGAAACTCCTGACGGACTAACACCACTGGAGATAGCAGTTATGGCTGGGAATTTTGACGCTGCTGCCTTGTTGATTCAATATGGTGCTCCCATTGATCGAATTCGAGATGGAATTCCTCAATTTATGTAAAGGTTTCTATCCTCATTCAAGAGATTTAAGACTGGTTGTTACCAACTTGACTTGATGTGTGCCCTCTTGACTGGGAGACTAAGATTATTAAGACTGGTTATTTTATGCCGCTTATGAGTGAGAGAACATCACTGTGCGCAATAATTGCGCTCAAGATAACCCAGTTGTACTTCGTGGAGCATATTTCACAGACAATGTAATTAAATGTTATTTGGAGACAGAAGCTTAATTGTTTTAAGCAGCAATTAACAGAACATCACAGAAAATGTCAGAGATCACAATACTATATTGTATTTATTGAAATAATAAACCATCATCGCCTAATAGCTATTTTTGTTTTGCTTGTTTTATTGTAACAGTTGACATGACAAATTAAAAAGGGCATGAAAATGGTTCACAGTAGTATTAGACAAATCTGTTTATCGATGGATGCTTCTTAAAAGGCTGCGGAGTCGAGAAGCGCTTCTCTGTCAATATTACCATGGTGTCGAAGGTAAGCAAAAATTCTGAATTTATCTCAACGTGGCTAGCCTTGTAAGAGATTGGTAAGTGATTATGAATTATGAAATTATTGTTTCTCTTCATTTTGGGCTATCTGCAACCTCGTCTTTAATTTCATGCTCAAGTTTGTAATAATCATTCGGTTCTGACGCACTAAGGATCAATTAACTTAAGTACGGAATTTTGCGTGAGCCATGAATTTTTTTCAGAAACAGTTTCTTGCTTAATATATAAGCTTCTTGAAAAAGTTATTTTTTGCCTTCTAACTCGACTTGGCTTCCCAACTTTCTTTCGAGATTACGATCTTTATGACTGATGTACTTCTTTCGATTATTTGCTTAATACTCGAAGGTATTTGACTTCACGCAGTTCGCTTTCCGCCTTCTCTTTTCTCATATCCGGTCTCAGTAATCTCTATTCCTACTCAACTCCGTCCCCTGATGAAGTTGAACAGGCACTCCCAGACATATTGAGCGGGTTCGCAGTTAAATTTCTTTACATGATCCCGAGAAAAAAAACAAACAAACAAAAACAAACCAATGATTTATCATTCGTCGTTAGTCAAACGACAAAAGCGAACTGTTAAATATCATTAACTTTGTGGCTGAGTCGATCAACAGATGCGATGAAGACCCATGACAATCTTCCCGGGTCATACCCACTGCTTGGTTTTGGTTTTACCACAAAACTGGTGGAAATTCCATCACGCATCTCATATGCCGGAACAAGGTTCCCTTCTTGTAAAATTTTGTCCATTACATCATATTTTACGCTAGTGTTTTACTAACCCAAAAAAGGAAGAAAAATCTTCTTTGTGCTTGACAAATAATAACGGAAAACCTTGGTAAGAGATAAACATATAGTTATAAAAAGTATGATAAACCCCGTGGTTACAATCGAAGGTGTTCTTATTTTCAAGATGGAATTTTAAGAAATTATGGAAATATAACTACCGAGAAATTATACAACTTAACTCTACGTGTGTACTTATACAAATCGGCAATTGTAACGTAAATGAAAATTTCGTCATTTCGAGTAAAACCTTTTCTGTAATTACTGACAAATCGATTTCATTATAGACGCTTATAATCATTTTATTTCAAATACTTTCTTTTAATCGTATGAAAATTTTAAAGAGCTTAATAAAAAAAAAGTGTAAAAAATGAAGACAAAATTTTCATTTATCTCTATGGCCCTAATGAAAATGGCGTCGTTTGGTAATGAAATTTTTTTACAGTTTTTTTTTTTTATTTCAGAACTCTTCACTTAGTATATGCATCATGGACGAAGTAACAATGACTCATTCGAAACAGGAACTGGCCGGAACCAGACAGAGACAAAAATACGCTTTTCGAAAAAAAATTTGGGATTGTTTTTTAAGCAGGCATAAAAAAGCAGAGACGTTGAACTAGTGTCAATTAAGCGGTGATGAAAGCTTCCGTAAGTACTGAAATCAAACCAACGAAAATGATAGATTTCATTTCAACCATTGCGACGAAACTTGGTCACGAAATCGCATCGAAGTATAATGTCGTTGAGATTTTGCCGAATGTGCTTAGTTTCCTTTGAAAACGAAATTCAAAATTTGCGGATCTCGGTAGTTAAGGTGATGTTAAAATGCAGAATGATGGAAACTGGTTTCGTGCAGAAAATCGTTCGTGTGTGAGTCATCTGTGACCAGGTGAAGTACAGACGTGAGAGAAAGGATAATCCTGTAAACTTTGCACTTGAAACTCAGCCAGGCTGGGCTCCCTGCTGCAGCCTTCAGGAGAGTTACTCTGTTCATATCCGTTTGGTGATGATTACGAGACTTCATCGCTGTTAAATTGAAGATACAATGCCTCTTGCTTTAAATAATCTAATGATGGTAAGCTGAACACCACATGCTATGTTCATCTCGTGAAGATACACTTACGGCGTTAAATCTATTCTAAGTAACATTTGGAAAGTACCATATTTGACCACTGATGAAAACCATGTTAATTTTAATTTGTATTTCTCTAGAATGAAATTAGTGATTAGATAAAGGAGGAGACAAAATGGCGCGCACCACAAGTCTTCTGGAGTTCGTTTTATTAAGACTAAACAATTATCGGATTTGTGCAATATATCAGTTGGATTGCTGTAAGAAAGGGAACCCTCACAGTTTGGACGTCGTCAAGGACAACGAAAGTACGTGTTGTCAATCTTTCAGAATTTCTCTTCCATTTCTCATAATAGAATTCATCAACTCTGTTGAACCCCTCCCTTCTGTCACACGAAACAGTGATGAGAAGGAAAGGAAACCATAATCAAGGGTATTACGGAGGTAATGTCTTCAATTGATTAGTAAATTCCCACCATAGACATGAAAGCAAAATTATGGGGATCAGTTTTGAGAATTGAAATACTGAGCTTTAACTGAAGAAAAGTGTTAAGCAGCTGCCACTCAAACAACTACTGATTTGCGTCAAAACGCACACTTAGAGGTTGCACCCGTGATGTGGATGAAAGAAATGTCCTGTAATCCAATTTAGGTAACTATGATTTGTTAATCGAATCAGTTAATGAATTCACGCAAGAACGCCGAGCAACACAAAGGGAATAACCATCGATCACATATGAATTTTTCTACAGGAGTATATTTTTCTTCCTAAATAAAAAAATAACAAAATATCTATGGCTATCACTTCACAATTTCAATGATCTGGTTTTGACACAATTCGCAAAAGATACTTCAAGTTCAGTTATGAACAAGTCGAAATCAGATTTGTTACAGGCCTCCTCCATTCAAATGTTTGGTGATGTCAAGAAGACGCGAGCTGGTCCCAGACAGACTTGAAGCATATTCAGGCTTGAAAACCTTCAGAAAAATCAGAATTAGCAAAAACTTTATTAAATATCTCAGACGGCAATCGTGAATAACGGTTCACTCACTGAACCTGAAGTTTTTCCTCTGCCGTCAAAAGCTCGCCGATGGTTCTGCGGTTTGGCTAAACCTTAACTAATCGCTGAGTTTAAAACAGATAATACAGTTTATCAAGTTTTTGGCCGCGAGCGGTATCTGTGGATCTCCTTTAATAAGATTGTTTCAAGCAAACTTAGCAGGGGAGGACGTGCGAGAATGTAGGCAGCAGTCAGGAGTCACGTGAAATACATCATTAGAACCCTTACCTTGTCTGGTCTGCTCTGTACTTTGGTTATTTTTCTGCTTTGTTCATGAGAAAGTGTCTGATTATTTTCCTCAGATTTTCTCTTTTTACCAACTCTACAAGAATCTAAAAATGAAACAAACGTCTAGAAGTTTCCAAGTCAGAAAATTTTACATATCAAGATAATGATATATCGTTGACAACTCGTGAATTAAGTTTCGAGTGTGACAAGCTCGTGTTTTTTTCGTTTAAGCAGGAGAGGAAGTTTATTTGCCTAAACAAAGCGGATAAAGCCTGTATTGAACCTTTCAATCGTAAAAGCTCAGCTAAACATACCGTCAGTTACAGGTTGCGACTCTTTTTCCTTTTTAACTTTAAGACCAGCTATAAAATGTGAAGGCACATCTAGAAAAGGAGACACAAAATGAGGTCTTACATCACGTAACCGGAAAGACGATGATGACAACCTCTTAGCTATAAACTGTAAAATGAAATAGTGTACACCTACTACAGTTGATAAGGCTACCTACCATGTCTACATTATATAGAGCTAACTCCCTTGTCTACATCACACACAGCCATCTATACTCTCTATATATGTACCTAATTCGTAAGGAGAAGATAGCAGTATCTCCTGTAAACAGTGAAGAGAACTGTGTCTCTTGTAGACACAGTTGATAGCTGTATCCAATGCAGACAGAATAGATAGCTGTATCTTTTGAAGACAGAGTAGATAGTTATATCTAATATAAATGGCATATATAGCTGTATCTAATGTACACATTGTAGAATTTTTTACACATTGTAGAAAGTCAGTGTGCGTTACAGATGAATTATTCCAATGTTGTTACATAGGTAAACCGAGTATGGTGAGTACTAAATGAGGTATTTGATAAACAGACTATACGCCGTGATACCCTCTTTACCTGAGCCTGTGATATCACTGTACGCTTCAAAGAATCGCACCTTGTCCGCTGGATCCCGGATAAAACTTGAAAAACCTATCATTAACACAAAACAAGACATTGTCATAACAGCATAACGGTGTATCGAGCCTCTAAGCTTACCAACTGCGAATATCTTGAGAACAAGATTACGGTCTTAAAACTGCCCACCGGGCTACTGACCGAGCATAAGCGGGTACTGTGCTTCAATTGCGGTGAACAGCGGCGTAAGTCCTTCGATGAGAAAGTCTAGGTCGAGGCTCTGAATAAGAAAAGATTGGTTTAATAAAATACCATCTTAAGCCAAAAAAAGGAAAACATCAAGTTGTTTCTTCTTTGAAGCCAACATGCAGCGAAAAAGACAAATCTTGGCATATTACAAACCTGTTTGTACTTGCTCAAAACTTGAGAGAATATTCTGTATTGTCCATCACTGAGCGCTTGTTTCACCTACAACAGACCCAAAAACAGGCCCATAATTTACACATTTGAAAAGAAATATAAAGTGTTTAAATAAAATTACTTTCGACAGCAAAGATTTGAATAACGGAGTCATACTGCACAACCAAAATCTTCTCTGTTTTCTCAATCATTGCGTCACAATAAAGTGCTGAGGAATAACTGAACAGCAAAGGAGACTTGTTCAATTTGAAAAGCTGGGCTGAACAAATCTCATCCTGATTGGACGAAGAAACTTCAAACGTTCGGGATTCCTAATATAGAAGTAAACATAATTAATGCATTATCAAAATATTGATAATAATTTACCTTACTTATATACATCTTAGCTTCATTAAGCTTCTGAGCCTTGTTGAGTGATGATGTATGTTGATCCGCACTCTGAAAAGGGAAGCCAACTCTAAAATATTGTACAGAGAAGTAAAAAGGCAGCGAGGCACGTTCCGCTATCAATTCGCAGAGCACGTTCGATAGCCTACAAAGTGGACTCCCCTAAAATATAGGTTGAGTTACAACGGCCTCAGTTAACGTCAAGAGAATATACACTTTATATTCTCTTAGAAAACGTTCATTTTCATTGTCATAGTCCCTCAGTATATCTTGGTCTGCCCCAGGCTTTGAGTCAATGGAGACGGGCCAAAGAGAGAGAAATCAATGAAAGGTTGTTGTCAAGGAGATAGCTGCCTGATTGCCGCCATTTATTGCACTCAAGAAACGAAAGAAGCCTTGGATACCATATAAGGAGGGAAATACAACTGACCGATCTCGGCTTTTCTTCTTCTTTAACCTTGACCACCTGAAAAGAGAAAAAGGGAAAAAATCGGCAAGCCAGAAAGAAAAAAATGATCTAAAACATTTGCTCTGACAATGGCTCAATAGTTTGGTGTGTATGTACCAACCTTGATGCCAAGTAGAAATTTAAGCGACTAGAGGCTTTGTAACAATCTATGTACCCGATGGACAAAGTGCGCGGCTATACATAGTTTAACAATTTTTACATAATCTCTCATTTGCTCTTTACTCCATATGTTCATTTGCTTTTTCTCTAGTGAACTGACATAACGAGGCTACGGTAACTAAGAACTATTATTATATATTAGTGAATAAAAACAGTTTAAATGCACTTTGCTATAACCTTCAAAACTTTCTTGGGCTTAGTTGTTCTATTTACTTCCTTTCTCTTCATGATTGCCTCTGACAGGCTTCTCTCCTGAAAATGAGAGAGAAGAATAATCATTTACAGCAGATGGACACCACCTAAGAGGAAAAACCTTGCCTCATCAAGGCAGGGTTTTTGAAGTTTCATTTTTGACGTACATTAACCAGTAAAAAACTCCATTTAAGTCTCACCTTTTGCTCTGGTGATTCTTTAGGCAACTCAGCTTTTGGGGCTGTCTAAAATTGATTAACAACAAAATTTAACAAGCACACTTCCTCATGCTTAGGTAAATCACGGCTGAGATTTAAAAAATGTTTAGATCTACACATGACGACATTCTTCAAGACCGAACTGAAGTCTGGGGCGATCTCTTTCTCATATCAGCAAGGATAGTAACAAAATAGATTAGAAAAAATCACGTACATTATAAACTATTTGTATGGAACAGTTTTACCTCCGAATTTGTTAAGAATTCGATCAAACTTGCTGGCTTTGCTGTGTTTGCCATGTCTTTCACTCCAGATGACTTGTATACATACTTAAGACGAAGGGACGACACAGGGGCTTAAAGAAGACAAACAAATGATCATGAGGGATGGGTTATGAGATCCGTTATCGCAGCGCAGTAGTAATAGATAGACAAGGGAAATATAGATTTCTAGATTCTAAGGGAAAATTAGCTGTTCCACTTGAAATCTTACGGAAACTATTTAACAAATTCATACCCTCTCCTGCTGTCAGGTTTTTAACGTCTTTTACGGTTTCTTTTCTCTTATTTTTCTGAAGGTCCGTTTCTTCTATTGATATATGGGACAGGTTTTCGTCAGAAATTTTTTTCGCAGACGTATTTTCGGCCCGGCTGGAATTATTTTTATATGATTTGACCTTCATTGAGGACTTGTCGACCTAAAACAGGATAAAACGGCAGATACGAATTAGACAGACTTATAGGAGACAAATTTGGAAAAAGCCACCAAACCTAACGTTGGGTAACCGGTTGTTTCGCCTACGAAAAAGAAGCGTAACAGATTTCGACTAACTCTCTACTTACAAGACTTTAGTTGTACGTAAATGATTGCTTTTCAAGATCAACATTAAAAAGTCTTACCATTTTATCAGCAGTGCGGAAGAAATGAATAAGATCTCTCTGAACTGACCCAAAGTCTTTATATACTTTGACGTATTGTTTCATCCAACTTGGTAACTGTTGAACTGCATCCGGGTAAGTGAAACGAACGTCACATAATAAAATGGCACCAAAATCCTGCTTGTGACGTATGACGCGACCCACAGCCTGATTGACAGCTCTGGAAGCTTGTTGACGATACCACTGTCGGCCGCTTAGACCCTTAGCGATTATACAAAATCAGAATGATTCCATCATATTTAAAAGTTGAGACAAAAAAAGCGGAAATAGAAAACAGAATTAGCTAGATACCTTGGATGACGAACTTTTTGCTTTCCGAAGATTTTCGTCCAGGAAATTCATCTTTAAGCGAACCTGAAGATCATATTCACACTAAATTAATCAGTGTTAAATAACGAAGAAAAATCTGGTTTTTGAAGAAGCATACACTTTTGACCTATGAACTGTCCACATCTGATTCATAATTCTCCCTTCCAGCTGCTAAAAATTTCCTTTTGTCTAAGGAAAAGGATTGTAAATGGCCAAAAAACAAACTCTATATGACAAGTCTTGATATTCTCATCACAGGTTTGCTGGACAATGTGTTGAATTTGAGAATTAGCCTAGACAATAAAAGATGGTGGGCTTGCACAAGCGTCCTCCATATATCAGTGATGCCCAGAGCGTTGTGTGAGTAAAAAGAACATGGAGAACGAAGTTCGATTCCTTGTGGAGAATTAACATCTTGTTCAATTATCCGAATAAGAGTCAGGCTCTTGCTATGTACCTTAGCGTCCATTTTTGGCGGGAAAGGGAGACCTGTTATTACTACAGCTCGGCCGTTCATGTCAGCAAAGTCCAGTCCCTCGCTGACCTGAAACAGTTTGTGAAACTACATAAGCCAAGGTGAGAGTGCTCCAGGAGCAATCTAACGAACAGGAAGAAACATGGCATTTTAATTCTGGAAAATAATGGCTAAAAAGTACACAACGTAACTAACATAAATCTGCAGAGTTTCTGTTGGACAATAACATCATTTGGCACTGTACCTTTCCACGACAAACAGCGAAAAAAGTTGCAGCATTGTAACTCGGATCATTAATTTTTTCATAGAACCTCTCCATGGTCTTTAAATAAAAAATACATAAAAGTGACCATTAAGCAATGTAAGAAGATATTCAATTGTAAAATAATAATGATGAAAAAGATAATTAAGAGAATGCCTTTGGTTTGCAACGGTTTATGAAATACAAAATATGGAAAAATTGATCTCCTAATAACCTCGGCAAAATCTCCTTTTCCTTTGGGTTCGGCAAAAAGAGGTTTGTGCTGTTCTAATCTTGACCATGTTCCAGAATTCTGTGAAAGATAAAAGAATCAACTTCAAAATTATAACTGTGAAACTGCCGAATTGTTACTAAAAGTTAAAGAGTAACATGGAAGTGAGTCTTCTGAGTAATTGTAAGATTTAAGTTAAATTCATCCAAAAATGTTTTTAATCACTCTATAAGACAAGCTTTGGAATTGAACTCATAACTTACTTGCCAGTGTTCCAGACACTTGTTCATCACGGGATATGAAGGAAAAAAGACCAAAAGACCATTTGGTACAGTTCTGGAGAAATTAACTGTGGAAATGCAAATTAAATCAGTTGGGTCAAAAGAAATTGAAAATAGTATATTCAAGATACAGAAACATTTTAAATTACTGCTGACCCTGAAAATACTAGTACACATTTGAATAACAGAATACAATCACAGTGATTTAGTCCATCTGCCAACAACAGCCTCTCTGTGAAGATTTTACTGACCTACCTATTGTATTGCCCAGACCAGTCATATACTCAGTTGTAAACCTTCAAGAAAAATTACAAGTAAAATCAAACATTTCGCAAATTTACTTAGTAAAAGGTTAATTCGCATCAAGCCTAGGTCCATGTGATGAGTTCTTATGTAAAACCCTAAACTTAAGCATTATCTCTTCACAAAAAATACTTGTATTTGTAGGGGAATAAAATGTCCCAAAAAAGCACAATAATATAGGCTGCAGTAGAAGATCAAGTTCTCATTTGAGGGGAGTGGATGTTTTATCCAACAACAGTCAACCAACTCGTTACTTTATCACATGCACACACTTCCCTCCACCAAATCTATTTCAGACGTATCCAAACCTTGTCTCATATGATGAATTTAAGGTGGCTCCATCAGGTGCTTTTGTTATCACACCAACCATCATTTGATGCTGTTCAATAACGTGAGGATTTTCCAGTTGGATCGGGAATGATCTGTACAACAAAATAAAAAGATGACAGATGCAATAGGGAATTAGGCTTTTTGTTTTAATCATGAAAAGAGAGCCCTCTTACATTTGCATTTCAGCTCTGAAAGACTCAAGTGGTGAAAGGGTTCCACTTGTCAACACAACTGTCCATACTCCATAAGACATCAGATCTTTCATGGCATGTCCTGGACTGAAACACCAGTAGCTTAATGTCCTACCTGTTATAATAAAGAATTTGGTCAGTTTTTCTCAAAAGTGTGAAATCATAACAGTAAGAAGTTCAGACGCAATTGGACATGAACTGTTCTCTTTATGCTAAATATGTGTAACTGACAGTACAGATTACCCTTAAACTGCATATCCTAAATCCAATGTTTTAGCAATGACTAATAAAAAAAGGCTAAAATTAAGGTAACTGTCTTGAGTGTGGAAAAAAAAACAATTGCACTTGACTGGTCAAGGAAAACAAGCTCTCTAAACAAATCAAATGGTGCAGTCAGGGAAAATCAACACCATCATGAGATACTGTTAGTTACACTGTTAAAAATAGATTTCCCAAACTATTGATGAGACATCATAAACAATCTCAGCAGTACAACAATTGGGAGTCAAACCTTGTTTAGAAATCTTTGATCCTGTTGTCCACACATCCAGATTCTTCTTTTTCTTATTACTGTCTGGCTCAAGTTGGATATGAACCTGGTTTGTGACAAAAGAAAGTAACAATATCCATCTCACCAAAATTGCGGAAATGACAATACCTGGACTAAATGTCTTTAATACTAGCAAGATTCAATAATATAAAAAATGGTTGCATCAGGCAACAAACAATACCTTGAAAAACTTTGCTTCATTTAAACTAGAAGACTGGTTTTGCACATCTTTGCTGAAAATGATCTGAAAAAATGAATAACCAATAATTCACTATCTTGCATCAAAATTAGTAATCTGTGAAATAGAATCCTTCTGTTAAAGGTTGCAAGGGTTTTGGGATTAAAAATCTACACAAATTATAATATGCATACCTCAAGTCCTAGCTTTACCCTTTTTACCTTACTACCCCAAAGTATACTTACACCAAAGAAAGTTGGATCATGTGTACTATAGGTGGCCTCGGTCGACATATAGGCCGACAATCGACCGATATATCGGTCGACTATCAGGTCGGCAATTGACCGACTATCGGTCGACAGTTGACCGATAGTCGACCGATAATCGACCAATATATCGACCAACTGTCAGCCGATGCATCAGCCGATATGTGCACATTTATCGGTCGACTGCCGGCTGATATAGTGGTCCACTGTTGGCCGATCTATCGGTCGACTATTGACCAATAGTCGGTCAACTGTTGACTGATAGTTGGTCGACTGTTGACTGATAGTCGGTGGATAGTCGGTGGATAGTCGACCGATAAATCGGCCGATGTATCGGCCGATATGTTGACCGAGGCCACCTATAGTACACATGATCCAGAAAGTTTACCCTAGGCCTATGGTTTTTGAATAAGTTGTTTCTTTTATTTGTAAGGTTAAAGTGATGCTTCTCACATTATCTTAAAACAAGTATTGAATTCTTGAAATAACACAAGACAGTTACCTGCAAAGCATCAGAAAATTTTTGCAGAGCAAAATGTTTTCCTCTAAACTTTTGTGTATCTGGATTGAAATAAAAGTCATATGTAAGGAAAAACTACTTCAATAATTTCGCATAATTCAAGATAATAATTAATTTTTATATAGTTTTCCATTGTTGTAAGATTGTTCAGATCAATGTCAGCATCTGAGCAACTGAGCACCACCCCTCCTCTAACCCAACAACAGTCAACTACTAACAAGTTGGGTTAATGTTGGGTTAGGGGAGGGGAGGTGTGCAGTTGCTCAAGAACTGAAAATGATCCACTTGTTAAATATCTTAAGGTTTCATATGAAAAGCCACAGAATGTGCTCAAAAAAGCCTTTACCTCCAACTAACAGTGTATTACATTTATCAAGGACTTCTAAAACTTGGTCCTTGGTGGAGAAATTCATATTAAGCTTGCCAAGAAGGTCAAACATAAAGCTGGAATTCAAGCAGAAAAAAATCAGATAAGCCTCTTCTCAGATTCACACATAGTAGTGCTGACAAATACAATGTTTGATCTCAGATTTATGATCACATAACATCATCCCACATTACTCACTCTCTTTCAAAATGATCCACAAAAAATAAAAAGGAGAAGAAAACATTCAACAAATATGCATACCTTCCAGGTTTTGTCAAACCATCTCCATTCTTTGGCAACTCTTGCATGTCTATCAACTTCTCAAGTTCAATAAACAAAGCTTAAGAAAAATAAAGAAGTATATTTAATAGGAATAAAGATTCATTGTTTTATTCACAATAATACCTTGCGCATCAATATCTATCTAATTATCAACCAAAAATATTGAAAAAACCACTTACACTTAAGATGGGCGAGGTCTTCTTTGCTAATATCTACATCACCTTAAATTAACATGGTAAACAAGATCAAAAGTCAAGATGATATCATAAAGTTAAATAGTATGTAAAGTTCAGTACTTATTGACTGAGTAGGAAGGTCAGAAAGCAAATTATTTGGCTCAAGGTCATGATATATGTCCTCAAGCCAAAATGTTACACATGTGGCCTGGCCTAACTACAGCAGAGTCTACACCTTTTCTTTCTTCTTATATTTTACATCTAGCATGACATGGGCAAAGGGTTTTACCTAACCCTTCTTACAGCTTGCATGCAGCCCTCAAACAGGGATTTCTAGTAAGGTTTTTAAATAAAATCATGCAAGGCCATTTGGGTCAAATGATAAAATTATTCAATATCAACCACTGTGGGATTATTTGAACAAAGTTTTGAAAATAACCTGCTGTTTCAGTAACATCCAATACGTTATGTTCACGGCATTCAACAATTTCAATACACTGTGCCACATCCTCTATACATGATGCTATGTCAAAAGATGTCAGGTCAAAGGATGCAGTTTCCTCACAAGTCTTTTCCTAAAATGATCAATGTGAAAGAACCTTCATTCTCTATTCATATTGAATTAATGTCTCCTACATGTTAAAACTATGCCTAAGTTGATTATCAATGTTTAAGTTAAAGCTAAAGGTCTTTTTTTTTGAGTAACAATATTTTAATAAAGAAAGGGGGTAACTTTGTAAAGAAACTGTGGTGCTGCTTAGGCAGGAGAGTATAACAGGTAATTTAGTGTTAATAACTGAGTTGAAAACGTAAATTGGCCTCTGTAAAGAGTGTAACCTAAAGGCTGATGTTTTAAGCACTAGCCCTTTGTTAGCCTTTACACACTTTATGGTGGCCAATTTACATTTTCAACTCAGTTGTTAACACTAAATTACCTGTTCCAATTTTTTGAGTTCTCTATGGCCATACATTATCTTCATGAACATCTTATTGATAACCAACTTGTTAATTCCCTTGCCCACAGCTAGAGTACTCCCTTGAAATGTGAAAGCAAAATAAAGTAAATTTATTTTTCAGCTCTCTGCTGAGTTTCTTACCAAATTATGTGCTTCATCAAAAAGTATTATGCTGCCAGAAATATCCACATTATTTGCTTTTCTTGACTGGAAAGTAAACCAGTTGAAAGTGTATCAGGTAAGACATTCTCCTCTACTGTAAAGCTATCAGCACAATAAAATATTTTTAAACATACTTTGAGATCCAAGAGATAGTTGTAAGGCATAAATATAATATCTGCAGTGGTCTTCAATTCCCTGGCCATGTAATATGGGCATACCCTGAAGTAAACAACAATTGCTTTTATGTCAATTAAGTGAAATAAATGTTTTCTATATTGTTTTATTAGTTTAATTTGCAATTTTAGCCATAAGAAAAGTTGAAACTGTAACCAGTAGGTTGTTGGTAGTGGTAAGGGGTTAAGGTGTGCGTATGTGATAGGATTTGTTGTTGCTGTTGTTGTGCAGATCTACACATGTTTCCAACACAAACATTAATTGTCCAAAATGCTTTGGTTTGCTTGCAGTTACATTCTATTGTGGGAATAAATTATCCTAAGTAACCTTGTTTTCTATGACAATTTATATTTGTCACCTGTGTCTTTGTCCAAGTTCCACCAAATCTTCAATGTCCAGGATGCTTTGTGTGAAATCTTTATTAGCCTTGTTTGCTTATTGAAAGATAAATTAATGAGGTGATAATAATGATAAATTGTATAATATGAAAATATTTGTATGATATTCTACATTCTACAGGTATTTTGACTGGCACTCACATAAAAAAATCTATTAGTGGACATACATATGGATCATTAGTTTAAATTAGCTTGACGATGTTTTCCACAAAAATTAAATTTAACATCTACAAGAGATTCTGCAACAGACCAGGTCGAAAATTTTTTTCTTAGCCTAATTCCTTTTATGTGGTATTTGAAGTGTAATGAGGTGCTGCTAGTTTGAAATCTAAAGCTGTTTCACAAGAAATTCAATTGCTAGCAAAAAATAAATAACCAGTTCTGTTACCATCCAAATTGTTGAAAAAATGACATGTCCTTGCCTGAACTTTAGCTCTGCACATATGTACCTGTTATCAGTGTCAAAGTATCCATGATCAAAATTTAATGCACACAGTAAAACCATGTTGTGTTAGTTTCTATTTACTATGATTTCCCATTTTACCACACAACATTCGGAAACATTACAACTATTTCATTTCAACAATCTTGAATTTTTTGCCTCAGTCTAAATGAAATGATTAAAACTAGTTTGAGATTGCTTTCTTTTACTGTTGAAGCAGAGAACAGTTTCTTTCATTTTTCATTTCACAACCAACTTCCTCTCAATAAACCTCCTAAAAATACTTCTATAACAAAGTAAGTGTTAGAGGATTGGAGCCCAGTTTTGATACTATTAGATGTTGTTCTCTAGAAACACTGGTCTTCAGAGTAAACGTTATGTTTATGTTGTTCTGGTATATATCTTATAACACTAAGAGAAGCTATCAACAACATCTGCTGTGTCAAAAAGAGGACCATCAAAAAACAAACTACTTGGATCAAATTTTTTTCCTTTCCTTTTGACCACTCATCTCTGTTTATCTAAACTGTAATCTGCAGTCTCTTTTCTGACCTTTGCCGAGTTAGTTTCCTGTTTCAGGACGTCATTATTAACACAAAGCTGTTCACGAGATCCAATGATACTAACTTTAGGTCTGAAAAAGAGTAAGAAACTGATTATTAAGCTAAGTTTGCTACAAGACAAGCAATGAACAACATAACAAGAAAATTAAATCCCTTACAAAACAAACCCTTTCTAGGACAGTTTTTTGATGAAACAAGTTGCTTCCTTCTCAAGGCAAAATTTCTCCTATATTTCTTATATCTCTTAAAGAAAAACAAAGCTGTTTTGAAAAGCTTTACAGCAAAAAAAAATTTTTAATTCCCTTGGATAAAAGTATAGTGACCTAAGTCCCTACCTATAGATTGTATTTTTAAGTTCCTGCACAGCCTGAGACAGCTGGGAATGTGTTCTTGAAGAATACAAAATTCTTGGAGCCTCAAGAAAAGAACCTAAAATTTGAGGGGAGAATATCAATCAGTTTAAGTACTGTTTGTTTTGCTTAATAGTAAATTATTGTGAAACTCAATATAAGATTTGCAGAGAAATTCTATGACACTGCAATACAACTCCTGCAATAAAGTGTCTCCTTTCCATTTCAGGGACTGAGATTATTGCATGTGATTCAGTTTAAAATGAAATCAGGTCAAACCAAATTCAAACTACTTTAATATCTGTTTTCCTTTGTTCTGATAAATCATTTTCTTAAACAAATTAGATCCTTGTTTGAAATAATTTTTACAAAAGTTTGAGTAGAATTCCACTAGAACTCAAACCTTAGGTTTTTGAGTATGCAAAAACCTCAACTGTTTCAAGACCCTTGCACTAACTCTTTTCACCCTAACATCAGTGAGCATATTCTCCATACTGTTCTCTATACATTTCCTGTGGTACTGGCAAGGAAAATTTAAGTAATGTTCAAGAGCCTCTTTGAAAAGTGATTAGAGTGTGATTCTGGGGTAGTATCATAGGAAGAAATTAGATGTTAGTCACTCTTAGGGGTCAAAAGGTTAATTAAAGCTTAAATCTCACACCTTTATCACCATCTGTTGCTTCCCAAGAGCCTCCATTAGTAGCATGCTGTAGTTCTTCACCTAATGCTTGCACATAACTGGAACCACCTTGATCAGATGTAAGCCTCTGTCTAAGCTGCAGTTTTGCCACATAACTTTCTCTCCAAGCCAGTGTTGCACACAGCAAACAAAGGGTTTTTCCTGTTCCAGTTGGACTCTCGAGAATGCCATTTTTTCCCTAAAAAGTGTTTCCCACATTAATCATAAAAACTATCCATGTCATCAAGAAGAGAAAAAATTCATGCAAATGATATTTTGAAAAAGATTCGTACTGCACGATTAAATTCGACCACATAGTTCAACAAACTTAATGTTCCCTGTGTCTGCATAAATTTTCCGTAAAATTTAACATATCTTTTCGCGAAGTAAATTTCTTAGTTGTCAATAGACTTTTATATTGTTTTCTGAGTTAATGTTACTTTCTTACACAACCATTTATCAGTACGAAATACAAACAGTGCGAATTCAGGCTTGCGGAGATCGTAGTAAATATCATATAAATATATTTTACGAATAATCATCGCAAAAATTCAAAACATCTGTTCCTAAAATACTTTCAATGACAACGAACGTCGAAGTAAACTTAGGGTAGTACCTCTTGTAAACATTGAATAACCTTTTCCATGTAAGAAACTTGACAATCGTATGGTGGGAAAGGAAAATCAACATCCACGCCACGAATATGGAGTTGTACCATTTTAGAAAAAATAATTAAAAAAACCCTCTAAGTACGAAATAAGTGCACAGTTGGCTGAAGAAACGACAAAATTCCCGCCATCTTTGACAAAGTTTTTCGAACAGCAACCAAGCCTCCTGTCCTTGACTCCAGACGCCTGGGTAAGTAAAGGCGAAGAATCATGTGACGTCATTAAGGGTGTTCTTTCGGTGGACGGGATCAGATTGAGCATCACAACTTTTCCCACGTGAAAACAATCTCGCAAAGTAAGTTTTTGCTGCACTATCAGACAATAAGTCTTTTATAAATGAATGCATGTTACGGTTAAACATGGAGCCTGAACAATTTAAGGACATCAGTGACAAACTCGGTTGCACTTCGTGCGCCTCTTATGGTTCTTGCTACATTTAATTTTATGAGTGCTTGACGGTTCCAAGAGCGACTGCAAAGGAGGCTATGAAATGCACAGCGACACAGAGTCTACTTGTTAAATTTTTTTAGTTCAACCCTGCAGGAACAGGGAATATTGGTCATCATAATCATCCTAAACGACTGAGAACCAGTCTCTTTGGAGCAAGGTCAAGTCGTGCGTGTAAATGACCTTCTTCAGGGGTTTACTTTGGTCAACCTGCGCTTCTTACTTCACCCTCAAAGTGAGCCTCGGGTCTCTGACAAAAAAGTAAATGAATAGGAAAAATGACTTTACCTGTCTTGGATCATGAGCACATACCATAGTTTACTTCTTTTTACTACTGCTGTAGCTTTTTAATTGCAAGGTAGTTTAGGTTTAATAGGAATTATCACATTCAGCAAAAACTAGAGATGTGGTACTGCCTAACGTTGGATGGATGTGAACTTCTCTGTTTTCAAAAGATATTTCTGAGATAGGTGTAAAACAACAGTTCAGCATTGTTACTGATGATACTCAGTGCATTTCTTTTAGTCTACATGGTTACTATCTAGATTCATTGTCCTTTTAAGTTCCTTAGGTCACTCCCTCTCAGAGAAAGACTTCTTTAATTGAATGGAAATCCATACGAGATAATCGGCAAACAGTGATACACAGAAGGAGTAGAGTATCGTTTTCTCTAAGGTCACTGTCCAAAGTGGGAATGAAATAAAAGCCACAATAGAGCAAAAGGAACATCTGTGAAAAAGCTATACAACTCCTCCTTACCAGCCTACTTTCAGAGGCATGCAACCAGTTATATGTTTTCTTGTTTGATAAATATACTTCTATGGTGAAGAACTTTTCAGTGAAAAGGAGAGTATTATTTATGATTTCTAATAGGATACATGAAAAAATTACTCAGTTCTGATTGGTTAAGATAAATGCAGTTATCAGGTAATTCAATGCAGAAGAGGTTTAATGCACTTGATGCATGCGCTTTGCATCTGCATAATTATGATAAGCTATCTTGTATTTTTTCATGTATATTATTAATATGTAATCGCATGATTTTGAGCGTAATTTGGAAGAAATAAACACTAGTAAAGTTTTTCAAAGACCACAAATTGCATTCGCCCTATGGGCTCATGCAATTTTGTTAGTATTTGTGAAAATTTACTCATGCTTATTTATTCCAAATTGCACTCAAAATCAAGTGATTACCAATATAAATGGTTAGGCAATATTTTGTCAATATTATGAGTTCAAGAAACAATTCTTTCTTAGCAAAATCATGTTTGAATAACCAAAAATCTGTCAATTTTGAAAGATCAACCAGCTCTTGCAAGAGACCGCCAAAGAATGTCTCAATAGTTTACACCCAATTTATGGAGAAATGTTCAAAATTTATTCGCAAACTAATTTACTTTAATTGTAACATTTGAATCCTTGGATGGAAATCCTTATTGATAAACACAACAATATACAATAATATTTAAAGTTTGTTTTCATCAACTATTATCATTAAGTTTCAATCGAAGTTTCAAATTTAACAACACAACATATGAAAAACTCTTGAAAACTACAGCCTTGTAACCATGTTTTCAGGGAAGGATATTAGATAGGGTTTGTGCGACAGGTGATGGTCATGACTCAATCTCTGTTTATTAACCCTGAGCTTTCTCAGCTCTCTGTGTCTTAATTTGTTGGTGAACCTCCTCTACATGCTTGTCATGTGCCTCCAATCTTTCTTGTAAAGCTCTGAGCAGTGCATTGCGTTTCTCCTCTGATTGTTCCAGTTTCTGCTGTAACTTCTGTTTGCAAACTTTGCTTTGTTCCTGAACAAGAGCATCTATGAGTTGCCGTGCTTGCTCAATCTTCTGAGACTTAAACTGCAGTCTCTCCTGCAGTGAGCGGATCAAAGCTTCTCGCTTCTCTGTAGTTGTTTCCATCTTCTGCTGCAAGTTAACCTCAGCTGTTTTGGATTGCTTCTCAATACTCTCTTGTAAAGAAGCCAACACTTCTTGAATGCGCTTTTCATGAGCTTGCCAACGTTCCATCTGAGCTTTGCGGTGTAACTCAAGGTTTTCCTTGCTTACAGCTTCTTTTTGTTGAATCTTCTCTTCTGCTTTTTTAGAAAATGATGCAATGATCTCTCGCAGGTTTGCTTGCACTTCTTTGATGTGTTGTTCTTTTGCGTGAAGGCGGCTGTACAACGCCTTAATCTGGGCTTCCTTGTTTTCAGAATGTGTACACATCTTTTGTTTGAGCTTTTCTTCTGCCATTCTACTTTTCTCTGCAACTGTCAACAGTTTATTCTGCTGAACTTGAACAACGTGTTCACTTCTGCTAGCAGCTTTGGCCAAAACTTCACCTTCAATACTCTGTTGTAGAGATGAGATAAACAGATGTCATGCTGAATGTGGCTTTTAAGTTGCCTCACAACCTTCTATTACATGCAAAATCATTTGAGTTCTTTAAATTTTTTTGGCAGATAAAAAGAGGTCCCTTTTATCACTTAGTCCTTTGATCTCCTCTGAGGTGCCAGGGATGAAAGACAGAACTTAATTTGGTTGTAGGAGCTAAGCAGTACATAAATAACTACAGATGAACCTAAATTAATTAAAGAGTGATGTAATCTTGTTAAAATCCGAAAAAAAAGAAAACACTTCAACCCGTCGTTCAACCCTTCAGTGTTGTAAATATGTTAGCAATATATCCTTTTTATTTAAAAATTTTCAATGTTTGCCAACTGATCATGAACAATTCCGGTGAGAGCAGATGGATGAAAGCTGAAATAAGCGTATTACTTTAATTTCTACTGGTCCTGGGTTTTTTTCCTCTAAAATAGGTAATCTTAAGGAACTCTAACCTTTCTTCGTTTTTCGGCTGCTAGCTGCTTTTCTACCAGCAGCTGTATGTTAAAACTTTCTTTTCCTTTCAATGGAGTTAATCGCGGCTTCCTTGCATTCTCCACTTTGGGACTCAACATGACTTCGAAAGCTACGCTGGTCCTAGTACAGTTGCCTGCTTGTTCGCAGAATAACATAAATGAATTAAGAGTATGGAACAGAACATAAAGCCCACCGATAACCGATTACAACATCCTTCCACATTTAAAGATCTTAGAAACTCTGGCTCACCTTGAGATACCACAGACGCCATTTCACAGATTCAAATTGAACTGGCGGTAACTTTTTTAAATGTGATGCTATTACTTCAAGTAAAACTGCGCTTCTTCAACACGATAACAAAAAACAGAGTCTTTCCGGTAAACGAACAACAGCTAGCTTCTAGTTCCTCCAAGTCTCATAAATGGCACGACCAACGTACGATCCAACTGACAAATGTAAAGGGCCTGGTCGCGTGTTTCAAATTCCTCCCATTTTCACGTGATTTTGTAGTAGTGATTTGATTGGCCAAAATGTCTTTCGCAAAGCGCGAGACTACACCTTTGTGACTGTGTAGTCTGTAAGTAGAATGGACTGCCTCTTTCTGCTTACATATGGTTATTGTCTTGAAACAATTAATTTTTTTGTTTGGCTTTGTGTTTTGTTGTTGTTCCCTTTATTTATTTATAATTCTGTTGACAGAAAAGAATTAAGATAATATATGCACGTTCTGACGAGTCAACTACTTGTATTTTTTTGGATTGGTAAAGCCACGGAAAACTTGAACCTTGTTACACTTTGACAAGTCTTATAACCTAGCATTTAATAACTGGCCTCAAGGGAAACAGCGAGTTTTGTTTCCCCGAAACCTTTAGTGCCCTTCTCCTCCAATCGGTAAAAGTCCTTTAATTGGGTTGGGAGGTATGACAATAAATCTTGTTTGATTTATTTATAGCTTGAATAGAAACACGGAATATGGCAGCTGGGTTGCGATTTCTTCCTAAGCCTTGGCGCTTCCTTCATCAGTTGAACACTGAATTCAGCCTACTTCCGAGAACTGCTATCCCAGCATGTAGGCTGAGTAGTACAACCTCTAAAACTCTCCTAGGTGAAGAAGCCCAAGCCGAAAATTGGCGACGCCGAGTTGATCTAGCAGCTTCTTATCGCATCTTAGAGAAGTACAACTTACATGAAGGGGTGTGTAATCATTTGAGTATGATGGCTCCTGCGGCAAATGGAGACGGTGAGGTGATGTTAGTCATCCCATATGGACTACACTGGAGCGAGGTATCTAATCTTTTACTGTCCTTTGAGAATGAAAAATCCTCTTCATTGCACTCCTGCCTTTGGCATACTGCTCTGAAGGAGATATATGACACACGCACACCAGGAGTGCCCCTATAAAAAAATTTAGAAGCACATTCTGTGTTCAGACGAGTTTAAGGCAAAGGCAAAATCGGCCTGGGAGATTGAGATATTTCGGGATCGGCTTAGTGCCACGCTAATTGTGACAATGGTATTTTTTATTCTGATTCATAGTTGTTTGTTTTAAAGGTTAAAGCCTCTTCATTTGTTGGCTTAAATGTAAAGCGTGAAGTGGTCGAGGGAGAAGGTGAAGTAGACATAGCTGCCTCTACAATTCACATGGGAGTTCATAGAGCTCGACCAGATGCTGTTTGTGCCTTCCACGTACATCCGCCATACTGCACGGCTTTAGGTATCTTTCCAAATTGTCATCGATTTTTTCGTAATATCGTTGGGACCGAGGATTCCCCCGCGTAGTCGAAATTTTGCTTGATCGTATTTTAATCGTTTTAGCCGATGATTTTTGCTTCTTTTTAGGAACCTTAAAAAATCCCGAGCTTGGAATGCACAGTCAAAACGCCTGTATTTTTTACAACCAAATTGCTTACGATCGAGTGTACAGTGGGCCAAGTGTAGATGAGGAAGAGGGCATGCGTACAGCAAAACAGCTTGGGGACAAGTCGGTACTGTTTATGTGTAATCACGGGGTACTAGTGGTGGCTCCTAATGCTGCAAGAGCTGTGGATCATACTTATTATCTAGAGCGTGCCTGCATGAACCAGGTTAGATTTGCCGAATTATTATGAATTATTCCTGCTATTACAAAAGTAGGGATCCATGATTTATTCTCTCGCTGGCACCATATGTGCAAGGACATGAGGACTATACAGGTGATGAATTCCCAGATATTATTATTTGAATCAGTCTGCCTATTCACAGTGCGAGGTCCGAGACAATAGCGTTCTAATTCTTTAATGAACTAAAATCTGTGACAACAAGCTATGATTAATTAAACTTCGGGAGTCACCCCTAAGTAAGGGAAACTTTTAGCAACATAGAGTAAGAAATTTTGTAGGTGAGCACAACGCATTCGTTGGGTGACGGCCTTATCAAATTTGTGCGTACCAAGCAAAAGTAGAAAGAGCCTTTCCGAGAAATTGATGGAAACTTTAACAAGAGTTTCTTTCTTTCCTTAGGTCCTGGCAATGTCGACTGGACAAGAATTGTTTGAAATATCGGACGAAGTAGCCAAGTTTGCATATGAACAAATTGACGGACCAGGAATAAGACAAAAATATTGCGATGCTCATTTTGAAGGCATGAAAAGAGTTCTCTCCAAGGAGTGTCCCGACTTCATGGAATAAGCAGTCATGGGCCATGAAGTTCATCTCCCTTATGGGAGAAATTGACTTAGTTGGCTTTTTTTTTTTCATAAACTATCAGTGACTGTTTGCAGTATCTTACAAAAACTTAGCCAGAGTGTTGAACGGTTTTCCTCATGTAGTAAACTTCAAAACGATCCTGTTTTGTCGTTGTTGTTTGAGGTTTTGTGTTTTTACTTCGACATATATTCACATAAAGTATTGAATTGCTCAACAAACGTACAGCTAAAACAGCGTATCAGCTAAATGTGTATACCTTTTTCCAGTGATGGTCTGAGAACTTCTACATTTTGCCCTAAAAATAGCGCAGATTATACTTTAGTAGAGCTTTTTTTGTATTGGTGGAAGAGAATGTGAATCTAATGTCGGGTTATAGATAAGACATCAAATAACTGAGAAGGGGCAAATAAAAGATATTTTGTTGTACCTGGCGAGCTTAATAGCCCACACTTTCGAAGCTTTACCATGAAGCGGCTTGCGAGCTGTTTCTGCTTTTAACCCCAAGATGGGTTGAAAAAAGATTGAACAATTGAAAGAAAAAGAATTCATATATATATATTTTTATATATACATAACAGGCTAGCCTACGTGTAGCCGTACCCTTCCCCCGCCAAGGTGAAACGGTGGCGAGGCGTCGCTACCGTTTCACTTTTGGGGGGAGGGTATGGCTACACGTAGGCTAATAAAAGGCGCACTAAGAAGGAGGAAAATGCATCTCCTTCCTTCCTCCTGCAGAAGATCCCAAGCTCTTCGCACTCGTAACTAGTCCTTCGCGAAGTTACTCGCGTTTTGCGCTTATGTACCAGACAGGAAAGTAGCTAATTGGTACTGTAGGCGCCTCAAATCAAGGTAGTCTAACCACCGGAGCCCAGATGATCGGCGGGCTCGTAACCGGTAATAATACAGTATACTTTGATATTGATAGACAAATTTTGGTACCTTCGCTAAATTTCTCGAGTCCCAAGTACTGATGATATAAATAAGATAAGTACTCTTTAGCAAAGCGGTATCAAGATTATTCACTCACAAAGGAAGAACGCATTGAAAGAAGTTGGTGACTGAATTTTCATTCGTTCTTTCACATTTCACTGAATTAAAGATGGTCAAATCAGATGGTAGAACGAAGTCAGCAACTGGTATTTGCTGAATAACACATCACTATTGACTGGTATGGTGCATAAGATACTAACCATGCCACTGACAGTTCCATTTTCCACTTGCTGTTTTTTTCATGAACTTAAGTAACTGAGATTATTTTATGTCACACAAGTTAGCTGTGAATGTTTCTTGTTAGAGGATCTTATACGTGTCCCGTGACTTGTGGAAAAATTAAATTTAAAGGTACCCGTGGTGGCCTTTTCTATATATTCATTAAGATAACTGAGGCAGATATAGAGTTGTTCATAGCTCATAACATATTTGCACTAAAGTTTCTTGGTTAAGTTCAATTTAGCCACCGAACTCGGCGATCTTTTTACCATGTAATAAACAAAGAAGTATTATCCGTAGTAGGAATCTTCTGTTCAGGGAGGAACATTTTCCCGAATTGAAAATAAATTCAATTAGTAACAACATAAATATGTGTAGGAGGTCTATGACGTCATAAACTGAGAGTAGAATTCTCGCTATTGGAGTACTTCAGTTGCGTAGATTTAGATTCTTACCACAAAAAGTTCACGAACACATTTTAGGGAGAGTCAGAGAGATGAAAGCTTGATCATGCCTTCTATGCACGTGAACGACATAGAGCTTTAATGATCGCCATGCTGACATGTGATCACCCCGTGTAAAGCTATTCACTAAACGGTCATTCTACACGAGGATCGTGTTCTAAAATTGAACACAGAAAGAAACCTAATGGTTCCTTTTTGTTGCTCTGAAATAGAATTCTGCGACTAAAACATGAATCAAGATTTGGTACGCCTTATTGCAGCTGATATCACAAAATACATAATTTAAAAATGTTTTGGTTTTGCTCTATTGAACACTTCTGATAACCTTTAGATCGATCAATATTCTCAATTTTGTGATGTCGGGTTTGTCACGGGCTGGTAAGCTGAAGTGAATCTACGCATTTTCCGTAAAAACTGCGTCATCACCCTAAAAGGATACCTCTAATTTAATTTCTTACTCGGCATTCTACGCGTTATTCACACGGGAAATATTGGGGCACACAGGATGGCTGACAGTCCTGCGATGTACAAATTACATAACGATGAAATGAGTCCAAAATAGATGACATGACATCAGTACGGTCTCCAATGGGTGCCATAGCAACTATTTATCGTAAACCATTTACGAAAACCAATCAGAACAAAGAATCGATTGAGTTCTGTTTTAAACCACAATGCAAGCTTGGTATTGTTTCATAGTTAAGCGAAATTCGTGGTGAGTTTCTCTGTTCTCCGTGACGAAGTTTTGAATCATGAGTGCTGAAATAGATACGCACATAACGAAGAAGTATGAAATCAAGAAACGTTTGGGAAAAGGAGTAAGTAACTGGCTTTTATCGTTGAGATTTGGCGCAATGCGCGCCATGTTTCACTGCAAGTTATCGATTTGCCGGCGTGTTCGCTCTTACTAAGTTTCACGATGTTTTTAGGCTTATGGAATCGTCTGGAAAGCTATCGATCGACGAACGGGAGAAGTCGTTGCCGTCAAAAAGATTTTTGACGCTTTTAGAAACCAAACTGACGCTCAGGTATGTGTTGTACATAAATTTTGCCGCGTGATGTACTTTGGACGCTATTTCTATGAAATATTTGGATCTGTAAAGAAGAGTACTCTCCTGTATGAACCACTCGAAATTACGGAATTGTAATTATTACTCATCATTGTGTTTTACTTTGTATTACAGAGAACCTTTCGTGAGATTTGTTTTCTTCAGGTATGTAATTTAAATAACTAGTGAAAATTTTTCGTAGAGGAAGTTATATTTTTGTACCGCTGTAGTCTTTCATTTTCTGCGCGAAATGTTGATTTCCGTGTCCTGTGTTTATTCCAGGAATTTGGAGATCACGACAACATCATCAAACTGCTAAACGTAATAAAAGCAGATAATGATAAAGACATCTACCTGGTTTTTGAATATATGGGTAAGTTAATTTTTGAATTAATTGTGAGTTTTGAATCCCAATCATAGAATTTGTTCATTCAACTTTAGTGTTTTAGTTGAAACTATGATTTTGTGATACATATATGATTTTTATGAACCGACATTAAGTTGAGCCTTGGAATATTCCAGTTCATATTGCTTAAAATCAGACATTTCGTCCAGGGCCAATAGCCGACTCGTTTAGCTTATGCTAAAATGGGATCGCGTCTGTTTCCTATCGTGTTTTGGTAATTTGCATGTTCGGCCTCCTTCGATTATATTGAGTAATTTCCTTCGCTCTAGTTCTCTTAGTTTAGGTGAGCATGCCGAGTATCTTAGTTTCAGAGCCGATATTCGAGGAAGCTAGTATAATTCTATGACCTAACACTAAATAATACACAACTTTCTACGTGAAAAGAATGAAATTTGTTCACCAACGATGAAGCATCGTGCTTTTTTATTAATCATAACATTCGGTAATCCGTGCAATTCATTATACTCTTGAATTCGTGACAGATAAAGAAGAAAAGCAAATTAACAATATGGTATTTTGAGGGAATGTCTGGTTTCTGACATTTTCAATATTATGTATTTTGGTGTGCTATTTATTCATATTTCTAGAACTTGTGTATTGTGATTTGAACGTTTAATATTCATAATTCTTAAGGGGTTTGGATTAACTCATCCCTTTGGAAATTGTACAAAAACTTGTGGCTGCACGAGTGATTCAGTGCACAAGTGTGATTGGACTAGATCTATTTTCAGCTTGCAAGTCAGTAATTTTAACATTAATTTCTCTAAGTTTTAAGAGTACTCCACCTAAAGAGCAAGGGTAATACAAGTTTATGAACTTTCTTTCAGTTGTCAAACTTTCAAGCACAGTTCGATTTGGATTGCAAATTTTCTTCATCTATTATTATGATTTTTAAGTGCATGGACATGAAATGCTTGTATGATGAACTATCCTAAAGACAGAACCATTTGTAACCTTTTTCTCTATTTTAGTCCCTAATAGCTTTTCAAATTGTCATTTTTGCATTCCATTTCACAGCTTTGTGGTCAAATCCTAGTGTTAGCACCTGTAAGCCTTATGGTACATCACTTACAACTATGAAAGGATGTAGGAATTTTGACCAGTGATTTACATCATCAGTTGAAATAGTTAACACATTTATATCAAAATTAGGAATTAGCTGTGTTTTTTACACTTTTGATTTTACTGACAGATACTGATCTTCATAATGTAATAAAGAAAGGAAACATTCTTAAAGATATACACAAAAGATATATTATGTATCAGGTAAGGTACTTCAGTTTAATAAATTAGTATAAAGTTTATTTCAGGTGGAAAACAGTGGTAACTTCTCCTGAAGAAGACACTGAGGAATCATAATATTGTATCATTTAAATTTCTATCCATTTCAATTCTTAATATTAAGCGGGAAATTGTACCTGTCAGAGTTGGGTTTATTAACTTACCTCATACATTTATTGAAGACCATTATGGCAATTATTTTGAAGAGTAGAACTCTTGCATAAATCTAAGTGCTCTAAATGGCTGAAGATCTTTGAAGAACTTTTCCCAGAAGCTTTTAATTAACTTAATTTATCGTCAAAGGAAGGCATCAAGCGTGATGTGCTTTTCTCGCCAATGATCAATATTGTTTGAGAGTTTTCTGTATTGTTCAATGGTCATAAGACAAAATTCTCATTTTAAAATCTACTCTGAATTTTTTGTGCTTTCATTCTCTGGATACAAACATTATTTTGTACTCACAAAACTTTGAAAATCATCTTGAAGGTTAAATTTAAAATCTTGATGTATAGTTGGAAATTATTATCTCATTATATGAGGAGCTGTTTAACATCAGTGGACATTATATTTATCATAACGTACTAGTCATTTTTAAGATGAACAAATGTGCCTTCACATGTAAGAATTTATGGATTGCTGATCATGATTTATTCTGTTCTTGGCAAGTTGTAACATCTTTGGAATGTTTTGGATGGTGGTATTATTCGCCCCTTTAATGGTAATTAGTTCCTTCTGTGACATCAGGAGGGAGAACCCTTCCATTTTATCAGCAGTATATTGGATATATGGTTTGTAATATTGTGATTATTTGTGCTGCAGATATTTAGGGCAGTTATGTACCTACACTCAGGAAATGTCATACACAGAGATCAAAAGGTATGATAATAATTCATAGTACATCTTCCTAATTTTCATATTTGTTCTGCAAAGCTGAGTGGTATTCAAAAGATTTTTTTGGCTTAACATGCAGGGGAAAGTATGCTGAAAAATTATAGTATAACATGTAACTTTTCAAAATGTAATTCATCATCCACCAGCAAATAGGGGTTATAGTAGGGAGAGGTTGTTGATGGAATACCAAATTCTCTTCATATATATATATATATATATATATATATATATATATATATATATATATATATATATATATATATATATATATATATATATATATATATGTATGGAGATGTATGGCAGCTAGAAGAAAGAAACTTTAATCAGACTGTGGAAGTTGATGGGATTAAAATTATCTCAGGATTTGTTTAAAAAGGCTTGGCAAATGAGTCGAAAAGCAAGTTTACAAGGTATTCTTAATTTTCTTTCAGCCAAGTAATGTCCTCCTGGATTCAGAGTGTTTTGTTAAGGTAAGTCATAAATTTTTATCAAATGTTGCAAGATTTCCAGCTAGAATGGTAGGAATAAACTATGATTTATGATGTACTCCTTCTTTCGCATATTCATTCACATTCATTCTAATATACAGATGTAGTGCTGTTGTTGTTTTGTTGTGTTTATATACTCAAAGAATATTTTACTGTAACATGCCAGGTTCGTTGAATGAAAATAGCAAGGATGAAAAATACTCATTTTAGGCAGGATTCATAGTATTTCTATTTACCTGATTGATTGATTTGCACGTTGCAGATGTGTGACTTCGGTCTAGCTAGATCAGTTACCAGTATGACGCAAGAAGCTGGTGATCCAAGTTTAACAGATTATGTGGCAACACGCTGGTACAGAGCTCCTGAAATTCTGCTAGCATCACCAAGGTAAAGCAAGAGAATCTCTTCATCTTTAATAAGTTCAAGAGCTTTAACTTCATATTTCTAAACCTGTCTGACATAGTGTTAACTACAATCATTGTAAAAATTATTTTATCCTTTCTTCCTCTCAGGTATACAAAGGGTGTAGATATGTGGTCTCTAGGATGTATTTTAGGAGAGATGCTTTTAGGTAAGTTCAAAATCTGTCACTTGAAGAACTTACTTGATGCTCACCTCTCTCCTCTCATTGTCATTTTTTCAGCTGAATTTTTTTCTTCGTTCATTATCCAAAAGCTTTAGTGTGGCATTCAAATTATCACAGTCAGTCAATTGTATGTGAAATACTGGTAATTCAGTTTAAGGCTTGGCTTCCATTCAGTTAAGAGTATCTGAACCACCCAATTGGAGTAGAGGGAAATTCTAACTTGTATTTGTTTTTGTAAAAACTGAAGAAGAAATCATCTTTACCCATACTGTATTTTGCATTTTTTCTTAACAATTGTACTATGGTTGCAGGGAAACCAATATTTCCAGGAACATCAACTTTAGATCAAATAGAGAAAATTATGACAATAATCCCCACACCATCTAGACAAGGTAATGTTGCTGTTGGCAAAATCTCTCATTTCTGCGATAGTGTGAAATTGCAGTTTGTTGTCAGTGTTAGCTAATGTTACACCCACGGTTTTAACTCCTATGCTAAGGAGGAAATTAATTTTTTGTCATTTTCTTCTGAAAATTACTTGCTGTTACAGCTTTATTAACATGATCTTTTTTCTGTGTATCATAGACATTGACAGCATCAAGTCACAATACAGTTCATCAGTGTTAGACAGAATGACCTGCAAACCTAAGAAAAGTCTTGAAGAAATTCTTCCAAATGCACCACCAGATGGAATTGATCTATTGAAAAAACTACTTCAGTTTAACCCTGACAAGCGACTGACAGCAGAGCAGGCTTTAAGTCATCCATATGTAGCAAGATTTCACAACCCTGAAGAAGAACCATCAATGGACTATGATGTGATTCCTGCCCTGAATGACGATGTTCAGTTAAGCGTGGAGGAGTATCGTGTTAAACTTTATGAGGTTGGTTTGAGGCTTAATTTCAGGTTGAGTGTCACGAAAGAGTCTAGTTTTGAGGCGGGATTGTTTAAAAAGTGACTGTAGTTATTTTGATAGCTTTGGACTTTTCAGTTGAAATTTTTTGTGGTAAATTTGTGACACATCTTAGATGGTATACTCATTATTAACCTCTCTTTATTGTTTTTTTGGCAGAGTATCATTCAGAAGAAAACCACCATCAGAAGAAAAAGAAGGGAGATTTTTCTTCAGGATCAGAAGCAGAAACATGCACAGGCTGCTGAACAAGCAAGGCATCAGGAGAGGGAGTCTCAGCCCCTCAAACAAGTTGAAAACTACACTCATACTTCAAGCATCACTCAAGCACACCAACCCACACACAGCTCACCAGTCAAATCACCTGTTCATAGGAGTGAGGGAGTGACTGTAGCTTTTGGAAGAACTACCAAGATACAGCACCAAAGATCACCTTCTGCTGGAAAGAGCATGGTGAGAAGGCACAGCTTAGAAAATGACAGTGTAAGCACAGTTCAGTTGTCTAGTCAGCTTTTACTCTTTCCTTAACCTTCATTTCTCTTAATTATTATGTTGTATACCTTCAAATCACAGAAGATTTGTTTCCTGTCCTTACAGGTTATGTCCCCACCAAGGCAAAACCCAGCAGGACGTGCAAGGCCCATATCTGCACAAGTGAAGCCCAAGAACACCATAATCACACGTAGTAATAGTGCTGACAAACTTCTACAAGTGACAAGTGCTCGCCTCGTAAGTTTTCAACTGATCTAACTCCTTATTCTCAAATCTAATTACCTTGCATGCTAGTCTTGAGAACATGTTTTTCTATTTAACACAGTGTCCTGTATAAAGTATTTTACTTGTATCACTTGTTCACTTGAAGATAATGTAGTCCCATCTGTTCATTCATTGAGTGAGTTGAAGGGTTAGATTAATCAAAGCAGGAGTTGTTGTAAGAATGAGGCTATTCCCTTCTTTCTGTTTTATTTGCTTGTTTTCATTTTTACCTCTTATTTTTTAGTTTGTGATATATATTAGTTTTCCAGTCTTCTTCCTCATTAGTTACCCATATTGGTATGGATAGGAACTTGATCTTGTTGCACTCTCTAATAGTCCTTTAACCTACTATATATGTGTAACTTGAATTTCATAAGTAACCTCCTTGTTTGGTTCTTAGGTTCCAGCTCAAAGACCTCCTTCAGCTAAAGCAATACACAGACCAGCCAGGAAACCTGTCCCCAATCCAAATCTGAGTCGATCCCCTTTTGAAAGTTATGCACAAACACATGGAACAATATCAAAAAGTTCACTAAAATCTCTACAATCCAGAGTTTGGTAAATTTATTATCTATAGGCTCTTTTATAATTGAACCGTTTTATTGCTTGAAATTTCTCAATTGCTTTCCTGAGGTTATCCACAAGGAACTTTGTACTTAATTAATTTATTCAGTATGTAAGTGTAATAAAGATATAAATCAATTTATGCAGACTTTGAATTTTGCTTAGCTTCTTTTTGCCACAGTTTTATATGTTGGGAAAGTACTACTTTAACAATTTTTATGTCAAAATTATTGAGTTAGACAAATTGTAAATAAATTATATCAGCAGCCAAATGATTGTAAAAATTATTGTAAATTTCTTAATTACCTGCTAAATTGAAAAGTGATCACATCAAAGCATTTTTTCTTATCAGCAGTTCAGAGTATTATTTTGCCATATGACCAATACAATTAAAGGAAACATCTTTTCCACCCAATATTTAAATTTTGAGTTTATTTGCAAGATTTTGTAGATGATAGTATTGAAAATTGAGTTAGGAAACTGTGATATTTCAAAGAACAATTATTGTTTTGAGAAGTATTTCTATAATATGATGCTTTCATGTCATGGTAACTTTAAATAATACATTAAATTAAGGCTACAACTCAGAAACAAATGCTCATACTAAGGAAGAGTTCAATAAACTGTCATTCTCTCTACATTTTGATTCTCTTTACATTATATTGGCCACAACTGAATTCAGCTAATTTCCTTGAAATTTCTGTGAATAGTAAGTTATATTTTGGAAGAGGAAATATGGTAGATTTGTACATATTGCTTCTGTTGCATATTTTTGTCTCTTGTATAACTATGGAAAAAGTTGAGGATTTATTGTCAACTGTGGATTTGTCAAAAATAAACTTTCAAAGCCTAGTGTTGCCTACCTAGTAGTTTGTCAATTGATTCTTGACTCCACCTGCTAAAAATTGCAGGAAGAGAAATAAGTTTCATGTCGGTAATGAATTACAGTACTCATCACCAAAGTAATTTTCCTGCCTGCACTAAAAAGTTCGAGATATTCCCAAAAAAGATCTGGGAATGACCCTGGAGTTCCTATGATCAATATAACAACTAATTGGGTTCCAAGAGGGGTTTTTCCAGAACAATCTGTCGTGTCTTGTAGAGAGTACAAAATGCTGTGTTGTATGCAATTGTCTGAGTCAGCCTCTTGAGTTTGAGGGCTGAGAAAGTAGTTGTGAATATAGAAATGATAATTCATTTTCTGTACAAAAGTGACCAATGTTACCTGGGCCCTGAAAAGCTGTGCTCCCAAGCTTAGTATCAATAATTGTTCTATTATAGCATTCTGTACCTCATAACATTCCCTGAATAGAGGATATCAGCCTACTCTGCTGAATGTTGTTGAGACAAAAAGTAGATGGAAGAATTTTGTGAACCCAAATCATATCAATACAAAATCAAATGGCAAAATTACAGAAGCATCTTTTATTGTCTTAAGGCACTAAATTAATCACGTTTGCTCCTACACAGAAACAAGAGTTCTGAGCGCAGTAACATACAAACATACGAGAGGTATAATGAACTTCATCAACAGGAAACACCGACATTTTGCATGTAAAGATCTCAAACAGATTGTAAACAGAAAACTATGGAGGTTTATGAAAAGAAGGAGGAAAAATTTCATCTGCCAAACTGCTTAATTTAACACTGATAACTCGCAGGATTTAAACCTTAGTGTAGGATAGACTGCATTTCTGGAGTCCCCAGACTGCTTTGGACAGCTTTAAAAATCTCTCCAGTCTTTCAAGAGACACTGACCGTAGTGCACTAGATAATAATGTGACTGACTAAAACTTCCCGTAAAATTGAAAAAGAGAGAGAAAAATGGAAGCTTTTGATGTCCTCAACTGGCTTTTGACAACAAAATTCTTCAAGCTAAAGACTTGATCACTTAATTTTTTCGCTCTTTGAGCAGTTTGCTCATTAAGTACTTTTCATCGTCAGTACCCTTTTTAAAATTTCCCGTTATTTAGATGGGCTATTAAGATTACTTAAGTAAAGTTTTACAACGCTAATTAGAAAAAATCTTTAAAAATCCTAAAACCTAAATTCCAAAAACTTTCTTTACAGCCACCTAAACAGTCATTTTAAGCTTAGCTATGAATAACCTTTCTTTCTTTTGTCTATTTTGCTGCACTGCTAAGTGTTAAGAATTGTTTCAACTTCTTTGCTGGAACACAATCTCAAAGGGGTTTCAGAACAGTTTGTGCACTTTTCAAAATAAGCCAATTTTTTAAGTCCATCATTTGAGATAAATGTTTATCTTCTCCATCCTTAAGTGTGCTCATTCCGTTTTGGTTTTTCTACCCTTTCACGTGTTTGTCTATCTAAGCAAAAAATTACTTTCACGTTTATTTGCATGAAACGAAATTTGGTGTCGTGTCACAACACTTGATAAGACCCCTTGTATATTTAGAGCTTCGCACAATCTCTTATTCTTTTGAAAAGAAAACCTCACTGTCTTCTTTCACTCTTAATAAAGACGGATCTTGGAAAAAGAGAGTTTAGAATGTCACAACGGCAAGGCCTGGGAAAATGTTGATTGAAATAAATATTTAATTTCTCCTGAGAATTTTGAGAGTAGCTTGCCTTCTACGACGGCGTCAGACCTTCCATTCAGAATAGCATGTGAATGTAGGGTTGAGTTTAAAGGAAAAACGTGAATACTTTACTGTCGGAGTTCCCATTCTCAGAGTGCGCAAAATTTGGCGATTTAACGCTGTTGCCTTGGAGAGAAGGACTTGAAAATGTACAACGTTTTAAGACGCAGGGTCAAAGTTATTGTTCTGCTCATTAAACCTTTCGTTTCGCTACGTTCTCGTTGCAGTCGTGGTTTTCTTTAAACTCCTTACTGGGAGTTAATGAAGAAATCTACAGCGGCTCTCATTTGTATCAACGTTAAATCAAGTCTTCTGTGCATTTTTATAAAATACACAGGGCTTTAAGTAGATTACGTAAGAATATTCAAAATGGGAAAAAAATAATTAGTTTTCATTCAATTTCCCATAATACTCAGACCCCCTTCCCGGAAAAAATTTATGTCGCACATTGACACAGAAGAATGTCATCGAAAAAAGTAATTCAACGAGCTTAAAGCACACAAACAAATAATGGGTACGCTAATATTATTCCTTTCATAATTTGTGTGATACCAGGGGAATTTAAAAATAAAATTTCTATGTCGATATATTTACAGCATTTTTGATAATTTACATTTGCGTAAGAGTTCATCCCATAAAAGTTTCAATAGAAAAATTGTCTTTAAATTAGTTTTGTTCCTGTGCAGAATATTTTTTAGGGTTTTACTGTAAGATGCAAAGTTTTTTCACGTCGTTTTCATATTCCTCGTCGTCACTTGCAGAATCTGGTGTTTGGCCACTGAAGTTAGGAAGAAACGCTCGTTCGTCCATGCCGTCTTGCTGATAGAACAGCATGTAGGGTGAGTCTTTTTGTAGCTTGGTGCTGTCACACTCCTGGAAAAACAGATAACTATCTCATTGGTCATGGTAAAAACAAGGAAGTCGATTTTTCTGAATTCACACACGTTCACTAATTTTTCATTTGCGTGCCTCTTAAACTCTCAAATATCTTTCCACCTTTTGAGGCAACAGAAAGCAGAGAGCAAAAAATCCTAAAATTTTACGCACGCCACTTCTGTTTTCTTATTAGACTTATTCCTTTTTTCTGTTCTTTTTTCTTCCTCCACCCACCCCACCCCCACAAGTATTTATATATGAACTAACCTTGCAACTACTGTCGTTGTAGCAGTACCATCTGTTATTTGGGTTGTGCGCGTATGAAATGTAGTGCCCTCCTCCCAGTACTCCAGTGTGACACTGACGATTACAAAGCATATTGAATGTTCACGAGAAGCGTTCCAGACCAATATGACGTGTTTGACACGTACCAAACGTACTACCAATGGGTTTCTCATATAAACGTATTAAATATTTAAGATATACACTTGATTTGTTCATGTTGTATGTGGTCAGATTCAACACTTTTTTTTTTAAATAAAAGAAACCTTTTTATAAGAACGTTCAGGATGAGATTAACCAAACTTTTCAGAACATACTAAGAACCTACCCAGGCCGAAAGTCAGTTAAGAGGGACAAAGAAATATAAAACAGTGGTCCAACAGAAGAATTAATTCAAATACTTAGGGACATTTTTGACATTGATTTATCTGGCTGGCTTGAGAGTACACGAATGAATAAGACATACCGACATAGCATAAATACGATAGGTTGGTGTCTCTGTCTGTGAACCTTCACTCCTTAACGCTGCCATGCTGCCACTTTCACTTCTACGTTCATCTACAGAATTTAGCTCCGTGACGTCAGAGATCGTAGCATTTACGGTGGCATCGCCAACAGGCTTCATTTCCAGCATCCCCTCAGGGTGGACTTTAGCTGAGTTGAGGCTTATACATGAGGACTGGCGCGAAGGAGGTTTGCTGGTCTGGTTTAGTTCCACCTGACTGGAACTCAGTTCACCAGATGAACTCTGGGAAGACGACTCCTGTTGGGATATACTTCATTTAGTAATCCTTAGTTAAGTTTGTGTCACTTTTAAAAGGAAGTAAAGTGTATGACCTGAAAGAATATTAATGCAATAAAATATGGGTAAGATTCTACGGAAAGAGTTCAGAGCCCTCCTCAAAGTGTAAGCAGCCATGAAACGTGTGCACACCTTACTACCAGATGCAAAATTTGTTTCAAAGTTGTCGTTATAAGTATGAAAGATGGTCGGTGAAAGATTAGGATCACTTTTTATGTCATATCATTAAATACACCATATCAACAAAACAAAGTATGTGATCAAGACTGAGTGCAATTCTTTCAGTGTAACCTTAATATCATTTCCATGCTGACACCAGAACCACCTGGTACACAAGCGTGCAAAATAGCCTCACCTCGCTACCCTTGCGGGACGCTTCCTCTTTCTTGTCTCCAGGCTCCTCCTCGGGTTCAGGTTCCTCGCTGCTCTTGACATTTACTGTGGTGACTCCACCTGACTCTGAGTTCCCTGCACTATTTGGGCGAAAAAATCGTTTGGCCAGGAAGGCTGAAGGATCGAAACCTTCCATGGGAAACTGCACAACTTTATTAGACTTTACCCAGTGGCCATTTACGAACTGAAACCGCTTCAAGTGAATAATCTACAAAGCAAAAAGAAGACGGCACAAGTGGACAGTAGTTATAAGATACATGCGGCTAGGATTGGCTACTTCAACGCCTTCCAGCACATAAATAGAAAAGTACAACTCGTCCCAGAACTAAAAAAAAAACACTTAAGCATTAAGTAGATATTTTTCCTCAGCGAGTTAAAAAGCTTATTACCAACATCAGAATAATCTCACCAGTTTGGACTTCTGCACAAAAGAATCAGAGCAGAACTAAATTCTTACCAAAATTGGGGGGAGACTCCAGATATCAAGTTTCTTCACTGCTAATCTGTGTTTCTTACACTTGTTGCAATACCTAAGATTTAGATATAGTTTTGAATAAGTGGTTTTCATAGCAAGGGATGTGAACGAGGATGTGCTGTAGCATGCTTTACTAGTGAGAGTAACCAGTAAAAGTAACTGGAGTTTTGACAAACTGATCAGAACTTCTTAGTACAGTCAAGTGGAGAGCTGATAGTTAGTCAAGTGTGTTAAATCTGATTCGTGATTGGTCATCCGTGATAGCATTGAGTGTTAGACTCAAGCAGTGTTGTTTACTTGTGATACTCACTTCAAGACGCCATGGTAAATTACTCCACATCACGCACAGCTTACTAAATCTTTGTTTCTTTCAGCCTAGGAATCCTTACAACAAAATAGCTATTTGTTGATGTTGTTGAGACAATTACTCTTAATTAAAATTTCAGAGACATGTACATACCACAGCTCATCTTCCCCTAACTCCTCTTCTTTAGTGAACGCTCTGAAACATTCATACAAGTCAATAGGTTCTGTCTGCAGTTTCCTGCTTCTCTCCACACTCTCGTGTTCTGTTGACACTTTTTCCTGTGAGCTCTGGTATCTGAGATGCAGTGTAGTTGGATCCCACTCTATAGCTATGTATGAACTGCTACTGCCAAACTCCTGCTCACTGCACTTAATGACACAGCCATGGCAGAACCTACAGTTAGCAAAGACACAAGATTGTTTAATCATACCTTACACACACAAGTTAAAGAATTAAAGAGGACGCATTGATTCTCTGTGACTCTGAGTTTCGTGCCAAAGGGCTCATCAGACAGAAAGTTCTGTCTGATGAGCGCTTAGGCGCGAAACTCAGAGTCACAGAGAATCGATGCATCCTCTTTAATTCTTAAACTTATGTATACTTAGCTCTGCTACCACAGCATCGAGCACTTTATGCCAAGGTAGTCTCTACGTTGTACACTTCCTACTTATTAACAAATTTTATTGTACTGGGAAGTGGTGGAAGCCTAGTGCTTTGCTCAGTGCCTTTCTTGCTTCCCAGGCACATTAAGCCGCACTAAAACATACAGTGGTGCAATAAAGTAAGAGTGCTCACCTGTACCACGGACACCATGCACACATGAGGCCGTCCTTCTGAACTGCCCGCAGCTCAAACGGATAGTCCCCTGCATCACTATATACAAATACAAAAAGATCAAATTGGTTTTCTTAATTTAGAAAACACCTTACTGGATCAGGAGCGAACACAAACTTACCCATCCTTACAGTTTGTGTCTCCTGGTGCTGGTGGGCTTAGTAGCCTGGCCACTTGAGTCCAGACTCCCTCATACAACTCACACTGTCTTGTTTTAGATGAGCATGGTATGATGACAGGGATTCCAAACAAACCAGGGCGATTCTTTTGTGGTGAAAGGAAATATGCATCTAAACGAATCTAAATAAAGAAAAGAGTGCTTGAGCGGACTGAGGTGCACATGTCATTTTGTGCTTCAATTATATCACAATCTTTTGTTTCTTATGCTCATGACTAGCCTTTCACCCTAAGTTATTTTAAATTGCGGCCCTGAGTGCAGAGATAGAACAGTTTTCGTACACTCACATCACTCCAAAACGTTTTTCCAGCATTTAACTTCGTGAAAAATGGAAGCAGAATATCTACACAACCTTACAAACAAATTGTGTCAAATGAAATTTAATACTGGAAAAAAAACTGCAAATACTGATCAGCAATGATTTAGAAACAACAAACTAAACAACATATAACTTACTATTTTCCTGTGCATTGCAACAACAAATCCACTAAAACAATAGCCCAAATATGGTGCAGGTCCTGTTGTAGGTGTTGACGAAACACTTGAATGTCCAGAAGCAGCATTAACATTAACAGGTGAAGAAACAGTTTGGTGACTTGGAGAATTTTCCACACTTAAACTGATGCCAGAATCAGAATTAGTATTAAAATTTCCTTCAGCTAATTCTGTTGAAGATGATGATGAAGACGACTTCCTTAATGTTGCAGTCAAACTAAATCCTGCCCCAAACTTAGGGCTAATTTTCTTTCGCAGTTTTGGACTCAATCTCCTAATTGGACTAGAAGAACCTTTCTTCTTGTTCTTTTTTCCATCCGCAAACCAATCTTCTTGGACTCGAAGCCGGGTTTCGCTTTCCTCCGAGCCGTTTTCAGAATTTGTTCCAGAAGATTTGCTTCCTTTCCTCTCAGTTCTATCACTGTTTGAAACAGTGTTGAAAATGGTTCCATCTGTTTGACAGTTTGTATCCTTATTTGTCGTACAAAATTCTCGCTCCTCAGACTCTACAACAGATGAATTACATATAACCTTGTCCTCCTCTGAAGGATTGGGTCCCACACAATCATTTTCACAGGAGATTGTAGGAGGTGGAATCTCATAAGCATAGAGTATCCCAGCTAACGCTGTACGAATCTTCTGTACATCTGATGGGAGACTCTGTTGAGCAGGAAAAATTCGCTGTTATCTTGAACCTCAAGCTGAATCTACTCTTACTGTATCTACAAGTTATTCTTTACTCAGTTCAATAGTGGTCCCAGCCAAAACTCAAACAAAGAATTACTTTTATCTTGAGTGTATAAAAAAGGAACCAGCTGCAATAGAATTTTGAAATCTTGAACTTGTTAAATTTTGGATGTCCAGGATAAAAGAAGAGCAAGATCCTGACACAAGTTAACTGCACCAAACCTCTCCAAGGGGAAGGTTATGTAAATACAGCCAAGATCCTCAAAAAGAAAAAAAATAGGTATTGTGGATTTCAACTGATGAAGAATTCTGCAAAGAGTAGCTTGAGTCTTCTCACTGGCATGTTAAGTAGGAGGACACAAAAAGGTGCAATTTCTGGATTAACTGGAAAATAACCAAAGCAGTGTTTCATCCTACCTACCTTAACAGATGCCCCAAATATCTCAACCAGGAGAACCTGTGAGCACACCAGCCCACAGTATTTTGACAGTTCTCTTTTCACATCCTTGTATCTGTCATCATTATTCAACAGCAATCCATACTTTGTAGGGGTTTTCCCCTCCAGTCGAACAACTACACAATAGAAATTCAACAGAATTATCACTCAGCTGCTGCTCAGCATCTGTAGTAGTGACATGTTAGAATGCTAGTTACTCTTGGAAATACAGGGTTTTGTACCATCCCAAATTTATAAACTATGAGCATCTTCATGACCTTTTCTAGGTTCTTTTTTAAGCTTTCCTTGACCAAAAATCAAGAGTCAACTTCACTCGACATAATTTGAAAACCATTGATCACCCAAAGTATTTCCTGCTATTCTGTTATCAGACAACTACATTTTATTATTTCCCATGACTTTTCCCTGCAAAAGCTGAAGTTTCACAAGTTATTTAAGTTACAGCACAAGCAGAAAACTTGGGAGCACACTAGTAAGGGGCCTTACTGGATCATATCTGCTCGTGCTGCAACACCTGTGACAGCCAATTGGAAGATTATTGGCAAACTTACCTATAACTTCAACATATATTGAGTTGTCCATAGGGAGAGGCAAGGAGAGGAAAGTGAATGGGTCAAACCTAACACTGACATAGCCACACTCCAAACACCTGACTTGAGACTTGAGCTGCAAATTAACCACTTACAATCACTGATGTGACTCTCATAATTACTGATCTGATACAAAACTAAAATATTTCATATTTAAAGAGAGTTCAAAATCACACTTTGAGGCAATATGTAAAGCAGTTCTACAAGCAAAAAAGGGGAAATCACAATAGAGAGAAATGATTGAATTTTTACTTGGCCTTGAAACAGGTCCACCACAACTGATTGATTCCTCTTTAGATGATTATCCCATGCCTGAAAAAGTAACAAATCAAAATCAATATTCTGTACATAAGTACATATAATTAACACAAAGGGATTAACTTTGTTCATTAAAACAAAAAGGAAAAATGCATCTTCATACATTAGTTTGTCCAAAAATATCCATGAAACCATTCCACTTATAGTCATACGACATGTCCCCTTTGAATATCATAGAGGCTGTATCATTGCCAGTGCAACTTAACAAAACAGAGTCATAAGTTTGGTGCTTCCTCTTTGTACCAAATAGTTTTAACCTTTATTGCAGACAATGGCATGGATGGCCCATACAATTTTAGCATAAGAAAAGGATTGTTAACAGTGTAAGGAAAAAAAAATCAATTGTTCAGATACCTCATGTGCTACTTCCTCATCTGGTCGACCATCACTGTCCTTAAGTTCAACATATGGTTTGAGCTGAACTCTATGGGAAAAAAAATCACTATTCAGTCTCCCCAGTGACATGTTATGACTGTCCAGGCACACAACACATTGACAATCTGTGCGAGTAACTTACTGGGAATTTTTTAATGCTACACAATCTCCTCAAAAAAAGTTTATATATGCTGACAACACAAACACACCTGTTTAAGTCCTCATGTAAACCATCCAAGAGGAATGACAAGAATTCCTTTCAAAAGAAAAGCAAAAAATAGATATCAGAAAAGAAGACATAATGCAATTTAGTTTTTCCAATCAACATTATATAAAATTAACACTGCTAGATGACCTATTAAAAAGAACTACTGCATAAATTTCAAGGAGAACAATGATTTCACAAAACAAGCTAAGATTAGAAGTGTAGTACAGGGGTTAACAATCAATAGTAGATGTAGCATCCTTGTATGCTGTAGAACTCCTTGGCAAAGTTCAGTGTCACCCATATATATTTTTTTAAAACTGATGTGAAAGGGAAGTTAAATGAATAGCTGCTGAAATTGCATTCTTTCAGTGATCAGTTGCCTATCATCAAACCAAACATCATTGTAAATAGGATGTCTATGACAATATGACTATTCTGTATTTCCAAAATGTCTCTCCTCTGACCTGGGAGTCATGCTGCTGAAATCCATTAAATCTTGGAGCATACCTTCCTATTGTCCACTATGAGATAAATGATATGTATCAAGTTTTGATTAATCTGAAACTCAGTTAATTAACAATTAAAAGTAACAGAAAAAAATCCACAAAATAATACAGTTCTATTGATCCATATACTTACCCTGAGTTTCAGTGGAGCAAGGCTGCGGGAGCTGCCACTCCACAAATCTTGAGTAAGGTCTCCATACCGACGTGCAATGTGCCCTTTCATACCAAGAGGGTTGGTCCTATAAAAACACAATTTAAATATAACATAAGATTTTCAAAATCAACACAAAAAGAAAAATAAACATGATGCAATGTGGTTTGATCCATTTTCCCCAAGAGAAATTTACCTACACAGCAGAATTTTAGTTCAATTCAATCTTCAAATGTCCAAATCTGATTACCAATTACCTCTAGACACTTCCCTGTGCATAAGTTAAGGTAATTTATTGTTGTATCAAGTCAACACCCTCCTGCTAAATGGTTTTTCTCTTGTAAGAAGAGCTTACACTTCAGTGTAAAGTAAAAGTTAAAATTGCTCTCTTAGATTCTTTAGGAAAGTACATACCTATTAAGTTCATATAAGTGGCACTTAGTTGTGAAGTACTGTGTCAGGGGTTGGGTATTACTGAGACACTGCAGTGCAGAGTTCATAAAGCAGGTGTTACCCAAGTTACTGAGGCCTGTGGCTCCTTTTTCTGTTGGTTCTGATGGGACAAATGTTAAAACAGATTCAGTGCTTGCCAAAGAAAACAAAATATACAACATATACGTTAATGCCAAGTGTGCTGTCTCAAAGAAGACCTATATTGCTGACTTTGCATATTTAAAAGATCTGCAAAACCCTTTTCTGTCCAAAGTCACTTTTTCCACCACAGATAACCATTTGTGAAAATAATAGGAAAAATTTAGACACCCCTTAAATGCAACATTGATCTCCCTGAGACTTTTTCAACTACATGTAAATACCTACCTAAATTGAGTTTCTCCCTAAGACTTCTGTTGTTTGCCAAGGAGGACATCTCTTCTGGCCAACTCATATCTCTGTTTCGAACTAGAATAATAATAATAATAATAACAACAACAACAACAACAACAACAACAACAACAACAACAAACAACAACAACAACAATAATAATAATAATAATAATAATAATAATAATAATGATAGTAATAAATACAAATTAACTCAAGTCTCACTCCAGATCCTTGCAGGGGTGGAGTCCAGTTTGGGATCTACCTAAGCAGGCCTGTGCTTAGTATGAGACTTTCATAATCAGCAATTGCAAGAACAAGCAGTGGAGAAATCAAAAAAGGGGATACCTGTGTTTGTCACATGGACCTGTGTTGATCAAGAAAGATGACTTTTGAGAGGGAAAACGGAGCATCACAACTAATACCTTTGATACTATTACTGGTTTATTTGAGAACATGTCATCTATTTTCCATAACTCTTTCAAACAATTAGACTGCTGCTGTGACAAACCTTCAATAAGAACAGCATGGTTGTCAGTGATTCCTAACTTCTCCAAAGAAGAATTGTCTTCTTCTAAAAGCTGTAGTTTATTCTGTGCAAACAATAAAAAAGTAATTCTGTCAATGAATTGAAGTAACTTAATATAGAAAGAAAAGCCTATAAAAATAACTTAAATTGCATTATTCATTTCACAAAGTGGATACTGACATTCTGGATACAAATTATCTTGCAGGTCTGACATAACATTCACTGAATTACTGTCATGTTTATGACAATGTTGTCTTTTTCCCCCTAAAACAACATATTTGTCATTTAAATTGCCAGATGTAATATTCCAAGAGAAAAATAAATCTCTCTAATTTCTCAGGACAAGGCACAGATGTTAACTGCATAACAAGTTAAACAGTTGACCAGAAAATAATTCCATAAGTAAATGAAACGCTAAATCAGTTGTTCAGTTGATCATTTAGACAGGCATTTACTTAGTTGATGAACAATTCCACTTCATATATACCTCATCTTCCAAACTCCAGAGTCTCATATCTTCTATGCGGAGTCTGAGTCGTGCACAGAGATAGTCATACACCTGAAATAAATAAATATCAAACCAAATAATCTACAGGTGAATGACAGTAACACAAGTGGTGTGTAATAGATGAGTGATGTACAAGTGTGAAATATGCTAAATTATGCGAAATTTAAATGATGCATGGATAGGACAAACACACATTCATGGGTCTGAATGTTTTTTTTACAGCCAGACAATCCTCCATACACCAATCATCATCATACATCACAAGCACAATAGCCAGGGGTAAAATATTGCCTCAGATCTTGCTCTGTTTGGTGCCTTTGACATCAACTACTAGGTACCACTTACATAAACACCAGAAAATACCACTACTTCCCAGTCAAAAGACAACTAACCTGTTGTAATGTGTTCATCCGACTAAAAGATGCCACATATGCCAGGTACCTTTTGGGTGGGGCATGAGGGGTGGTAAGAGAACTGGTACCAAAACCAAACGTACTTAATCCAAATCCAACCCCAGTCCATGTTGTAATTCCACCTCTTGTAGGGGGAGGGGCATGTCTAAACAGTCGCAGACTTATTGGGTATAGCTCTAATTCTGGGGTTGGATCACCATTTGTAGGAGTTATGACCTGTTTAACGAGCAGACCATTTATGATAGCATGGTAAAAAAGTGTATATTAGCCATAACTGAACTGTGTTATGCACATCAAGTATAAAAAAGAAAAAAATCCACTAATCCTCCTCCTGTTAATATTTATCCTGATTTTTGATGAGTAATAAAGAAGCACTATTACATACGGTAGAATGCAGCATCAATCTACAATTTTTTGTGGGATCATATAAATTATGTAAGTGTACAGTGAAAAAGGACACAAACTTGTGCGTTAAAAAATTAAATTCATTGGCTAATTACAAAAATATGAGTTCTTTATGGTTGCAAAATGCAGACGAGTGATACAGTACCAAATAAGTAAGATTGTTGAGTGACACCACAATCAAGAAGACAACTAATAATATAATTTAAGTAACAATAGAGTTACCGTTCTTGGGAGAGCTGGTCCACCTCCATACCACTGCTGAAGAGCTCTCCAAACAGGTTCTGGTATGATCTCAAAGTCCCTTCCTCTGCATAAAGGAATGTTACGCTTCAACTTTCCTCCTTCGCCGGTTAAAATCATGACCTAGAGCAACAGATATACTCTTGTAACTAAATCATTCTTTGAATTAATGATTACACTGTCATCTACTCCTGTTAAGAACAATATCATTACACATAAAGATTCTTCACATTAGTTTAATCAGAGGCTAATCAGTTGAATTCAACATGTTTAAGAAGTTTGTTAGCAAGATTTTTCCTCATTCAATTCTTGACATAGTTAAGCACCCCAAAACAGTTTTTTTCAGATAATGCTACCTAAAAGAGTACATCTATTTAGTCTTGGATAAACAATTCACCACCTTATCATGTGTGTGGCTTAATTTTAAAAGAAAAAAGCTTACAGCACCAAATAAAAGATGTCAAAGCTCACCTTTCTTGTGTCAGGTTCTACAAGTGGGACATTATCGACAGGACCAGGCACTTGTGTACCTAATGCTACTGCTCCTTGTGAACAGTGACCATTCATTGTCCCAGTTGGACTTACTGCCTTACTACTCTGGTTGTACATTGGATGAGATTCACGCCGTCCCAACGATCTTGTTTTTAAAGCAGAGTCACCACTCCAAGCTTGTCCTTGGTTGCCAGAGGAGGCATTATGAACTTGGTTTATTCTTGCTGGCAATGTACCATTCTTGCGGAGATTCCCTGTAGATGACCGTCTGATGTAAGGCTACAAAATGACAATAAAAGTGGTATGCAGATATTATGTGGAACTTAATCTAACCAAATATTCTAGAAAACAAGCTGACCATCTGGATGGTCATTGGAAGGTTTAACTACCACTTCTTGAGGAGGACTCCTCTAGAAACAAAAGAAACAATGGCTAGACTGAACACAGCAATGTCTACAATGGGTAATTTCCAAACATGGGATTTTCATAAGGTGACCTCCATCAAGCTGTCTGCTCACAAGTTTTGATTAAAAGACCTTTGATTAAAAGACCTTTAATTGTATTGTTAGTTGGGTATAATTTACAGAATACATTAACAAACCTGATAACTAACATACTCTTTCCATATGCGCCACCAAGAAATAGCCACAAGATACCAAATGGTACCAGGATTGAGGTCATGCTGGTACTCACGCTCAAGCCAACCTCTGTAAAAACAATAACAGAACCCTTTGAATAACCAGTATTGTAGAAATAATTTTTAAAGAACTGAATTAGTCAAGAAAGACATTTAAAAAAGTGGAAAAACATTTCTATCTCGAAACAGTGGCACAAACCTCACAACTTGAAGTTCTACTTCTCTAGTGATTGGTCTAAGCCCCAAAACAATGTGACATACCTACAAAACATAATATACAAATCAAATTGTAAGGCAGTCAACTTGCACAAACAAGCTGCTGTTGTGAGAATCAACATACCACAACATCTTGGACACCCAAACATTACCATACAAGAAGGTAAGGTCACATATAATAACTTTACAAACATTACTGACCTGGACCAATAACTTGGGAAACAGATGGGAAAATCTATGTGTAGATGCCCACTCCTTATACTCTTCTAAGCTAATTTGACCATCCTAATCACAGACAGAAAATTGTTTAGTCCCAAATATATTTATCACCCCAGGGAAGATAAACACAATTAATGTTCTAAATACAAGGTACATCTAACTTTAGATATTGGTGGAACGACAAATGCAACAGAAATGTTTCTGTAGCCAAACAACATAACATCAACAGCTATATCTACTGTGTTCAGTTAAACAGGGTTTTCAGCTACAAATGTACTAAAATGCAGGAAAATAGTATAAATAGACAAAAAAAACACATGCAAAAGCTCCAGATCTTATGGAGAAAAAAGTCAAGGCATCATATTAAGCCAGAAATTTATCTATAGAAGCTGAAGAAATCTGTATATTAGCCAGAGAATTATAGAATTCCTAATAAGAAACCTGGTGAGGTATCTTATATGTTCCTTTAAAAATAGAAATAGAAATTCTGGATAAAATCAAGTCAACACCTGAAGCAAATGTGCTTTCAACAATCCTGTTGGTGGCTTACATACTTGTAACAAACAAGATCACTTTACCTCATCTTTGCTGCAATCACTCAAGATTTCAATTGCCATCAATGACACATCCTTGTCCCAGATGGCACTTGTATCCTAAGGTCCCACAAAAAAAAAACATTTAAGATATAACCTGAGTACTATGTTGGCCAGTTCAATATTCCACTAGTCTCGTATTACCTTTTCTCCAGCATTTTCCTTTCTGATGTCAATTAAACCCCTGCACATTATTTCAATTTCACTTCTTGACAGAAAGCCATCTCCATCAGCATCAAATACCCTAAAGCAGACTAATGGAAAAAATAAATTTGTTAACAACTTAAATACAGTTGCCTGTTTTAAAGGAGTTTTGAACTTTTGGTTCAAACAATTAAGTTACAACACTACACAAGAAGACACCATTTAGTACAAGGACGTATGATGTATGCAATCTTCATTTTTCACCAACATTGAAAGGAGTTCACTGTGGCGGATTAAAAGATTTCTCAACAAGCAATCACTTAGTTTTAATTTTTGAATGGCTATCTCTGACTCAGATATTATTTTCATCTCATCTGAAGTCATGACAACATAATTGAAAAAAAAACCCACTACAAGTCACCAGATGGTTTGAGTTCTGAATGGAAAATGTACTTGAAATAATTTTAATACCTTTAAAGTTACTCACATTTTTGCCTCTCAGCATTGGATCCCCTGCAACATTTGGAAATTCCACATGCTAGCTCACGAAAATCAATGTGGCCATCTTGATTTTCATCAAAAGCATTAAACAATCCTTGGATAAGAATGTTACAAAAAAATTACAAAATTCCATACTTTTAAGAACTTCTAAAAGGATGCAAATGATATCAGACTTCCAAAACATAAACTTTTAGTAGAATATCTAAATTTTGGGATGTTAAAACGAATTCTTAGGGATACAGGGAAGGGTGTTTAAACCCAAATTTTGAGAGGAATTTATGAATTAAACTAAAATACACTTTCCTAAAAGCTTAAGGCAATAACCAAAATTACCCCTCTGGGTAAAGATATGTCTAATTTTAGGATTAAAAAAAATTCAAAGTGCCATTGAATATTGCCAACAAGTTTTGTTCACTCACACCTGATGACTCAATGTTAGTTGTGGAAGTCTTAAACTTGGTATAGTGTGGCCAGTAGTCTTTATCAAGTGTCATAACTCCTAGCACTTCTTGTTTTATCCTTGTAATATTAACCATAACATGTAGATACTGTGGTTCAATTTTATTCTAAGTTGAAATAAATTTCTTGTGCTACCAAGCCATTACCTCATAAACAACCCAAACTAACAAAAACAAATAAACCAACAGACTGCCAAAATGAGAGAAAATTAATTTGAAGGAAGAAAACAGTCCACCACAATAACTGTTAAGTTCTTAGATTCAATATGACTTTCCAGGGAAAAAACTACTGAAATGACATTGTATCATTCCAAATAAGTAATAACACTCACGGATTCAACACAAACCTTTACATAGACACTTTGGAATGGGTGGTGATACTAGTGGTGTGAATGTATCCAGATCAAATTTTCCAGTTTTTGTTCCAGCCTTTAGTATCCAATATCTCTTCTCCAGCTCCATAATATCTGCCTCTTGTACTGAAGCAATAAATATTCAAATTTAAATTAAGAAATCATTATTTCTCTCTTCAAGGAATGAGTTATGAAAAAAAGGAATTGAAACTGCCCATATTTGAAAAAATTATGAACACTGCCTTTGAGTTGATGAATTATTTACAAGCACAGATTTTATCCTATTGAACATCTCTAGGGTGGGGTGAGTAACTTCAGGATTTCACAGAGAGTTCTCCCACCCACTCACAGCTTGCAAAAACCTCCCATAAAACTCCAATACATCAACCAAATAAATCACTATTGTTAACTAGAAATTCTCATTGTATCAAACTGTAAAACTTACAGTGGGTAACACTGGCAAGTGTCTGGTAAAATGTTGGAGTCTCACTGCTATCAGTTAACTGGATACTGCAACCATTACTAACAATGAGCAACCATCTGGTAAGCGTAGTCACATCTGGATTTCTTAAAAGCCACTTTGAAAACTCCTCAAATGGTAGTCTATCAAACTGCAAAAGGAAAAAAATCATTGAGTATTTTGATACTAACCTGAATAAATTTTGTGTTTATTTTGCAAGGGAAAGTGTAGAGATTGGTTACAGTGAGGTAAGTGAGTTTTGCCTTAAATTACCCAAAATATATACTGATCAACTCAGGTTGTAGAGCACCAATCACCCACCAAAAAGAAGTGAAGAAAATCTCAATGAACCAATTTCAATTTCAATTCACCTAAAAAAGGGGAAAAAACTTAAAAAATACAAAGTAAACAAAAATAAACATTTGAACACTAAAGAAAAACATAGGCACGGTATGCATGCAAGAGTTATTTTTTGGGGATGGGTGAATTAATTGGAACATTGTAAGTGATGTCTACATTTTTACAAAAGAAAAGAAGAATATTAATGCAGAAAAGAACAAAAATGTTAAATTAACTCGCACACAGATATTTTGTGGTAGATTGTGCGTGTTGTGCGACTAACTGTAACCAAAAATAAACTTTATTGGTGCCATGGATACTTGTTAGTACAAAATACAGACTGCAGACTGGATACAAAATGTAGACCAGGTGCAAAATGTAGACGGCAGACTGCAGAGTGGGTACAAAATCCAGACTGAGAATCTAAAGATTTTTTTCACTTGGTATGTGATAACATGTCATCTTACAACTTATTGAGTATTATGCAATCGCTTTACTGCAATCAGCTTTCACGATTATTTGCACTATTGTGTAATATTCCTGGCCCATTTCTTGATCAAAATTGATCTTAATAAAATGTTAAGCCTTCATATAGTCTTCTCATTTTATGCATGAGTTGGTTGGTATAATGTCTGTACAGATTTTACCAACATAATAAAAGTAACAAAAGTAATAAAATGTAATAACGTAATTTTGATAATATATTTTTATTACCAACGTAATAAAAGTAATAAAAGTAGATGTATCATATTTACTCATGTATAAGTCGACCTTTTAGGACCAAAAAATCAGCCCAAAAAATCACCCTCAACTTATACATGAGTCATACACATAGACCTGACCCAAGCAATCCAAGAAATTAGCATAACAATTGTCTGAAGTCAAAGGAAAACCAAGTTTATAAAACCAGTTCGAATTGTGTTTGAGTTTTATCACTTTTCAGTACATTCCTCGTTCACAAAAAAAATTTGGAATAATAAATTTTGAGTGGCTTAACACAAAGCTACTAGAGCTGATTTATATTGTGTCTTCGGATTGTAAAACACACATTTTTTCTAACAGCTTGGCTGTTGTTTACAGTGCTGAACTTTTGATTTCATTGAATGATTACAGTAACTTAGTAACCTGGCAAATGCCTTTGTCTCACATGGTCTTGCTTGTTACATGCGATCCTTCAAAGCTATTCAGTGTTCCTTCACTTTACTCAAATTAATCTCCTTTCAAACTCAACATTAAGATAAAGGTTTGTTAAATGCAAGAAGATTTCATTTTCAATGCGACTTACAAAATATGGTAAAATACTTCTCCCATAAATCAAAGTGTCCTTGTGTGCTTAAATCATGGTGATATAAACAAGTGCTGATAAACTTCAAAGCACTTGGTTGCATTTTGCTCTGCAGTTTTTTAATTCCCCGTGCTTTCAATACATTCCAAGAAATAAGAGATTAACTTTTGGGAAATTTCTATCTGTCTGAATTTTACTTCTTTGACTACAAATGATGAAAAACCCAATTTTTTAACTTAAAAACGGGGGTCAACTTATACACAAGTAAATACAGTAGATGCAAACAAGATGTCACTATTGAATATTTAACACATGTATGCAGTATTCGAGAAAAAATTGACAGCTTTGCACGTATTATCATTTTAAGTGGTACCTGTTTATTTTGTTGACAAAAACAGGGACCAAGACCTAAACTGTTCCTTTGACTTTATATATTTTCAATGTTAGTAGATTACATCATATTAACTTATCTCCATAACTCACTCATTCCAGATAACAAAATCAAATAAACATGTCAGTGATGGTATCTGAATTTGTCCTTGGCCAAACACAAATGACTTCACAAGATCACTTTCTCCAGGCATCAAAAACATACACAAAATCATCTATAGTTAATTTTAATCAGACATTCATCTAGAGATAGCACTGAGCAAACCATTTTTTCAATCCAGAAAAATATAATCAACACACTCAACAAATCATGAATCTTGCAACAAAGCTTGCCATTGAAGTACTCAAATCAAAATGTTTGGTGCAATTCATCAACACCTCAAGCAATAATTAATTCAAAATTTTTCAACTCACTCTTGTTTTGAAGGAACAATAACCATGATCGTGCTACAACGAACAGAACTCCATTTTCTCTTGAACAACTATCCACCATTTTCATAGCATGAGTAACACATTTACTATAGATAATCTGATATCTTTCATCTGTCCAATAGTATCACATTTCTCATAAAGTGTGGTAAAATACACATTAAAAACACAGAAAAGCCAACATTTCTCCTTCTAAAAGATGACTCCGTTTACAAACTGCTCTCTCCAAATCCCTTATTGCTTAAAATCTTAACCAGCCATATTTGATATGTGGATAAAGCTAGAGAACATGTTTATCTAAGTAGTTGCACCAATATTCAGAAGAGTTTCCAGGAAGAAGAATGAATGAATGGCATTCAGTATCACAAGTAATACAACAGAAACCACTTAGATGGAATCTGTTCTATGCCATCACAATTTAATACTTCTTGAAACATATTTTGGAAAAATAATTTCAGTTAAAGACATCTTGGTGACCTCGTGGAAAGAATTTCTCAAGAAAGCTTGACCTTTGGGCTTCAGCGGACTTGGTACACTTCAAATATCAGAAGTACAAATCAAGATCTTATTGTATTTCATCCGTTAAGACACTTTTAAGGTTTTCATGTCGAACTAAAAATGGAATCCTACATCTCATGCATGAACGCTGCTAACGAAACCAGTATTACCTCAGAGAAGCATTCCACGACCGGCTGAGGAATATTGCCTCCATCACAAGCAAGGATCAAACTTTCCATATTATCTTTGTACACGAACGCTCCGTCGGTCGAATAAATATTGAAAATAACTGCAAGGGAAAACAAGAGACAAAAAAACAAGACAAAAGATCACTAATCTTTGGCAGTGGATTATCAAACAGGATAAAAAGAGTAATGATTAATTCAACTGTTTGGACATCAAACATATAACAAACTTACATTTTATCTTCTCTTCGCGTGTGCCCCGGGTTAGAAGCACAAGACCACAGAGCAAATCGCGAAATGTCATTCCCTTGTTTGTACCACCAAACGCTGTGTAAATTTGCTGAAACACAAAAGGAAATGTTTTCTAGGGTTTAAGATTTAAGCTTAAGGTAAAGAAGAAATCCGATGTAAAGATGCAATTCCCTTACCTCAGCCACTTTGTTAGGTACACCATCACCAAGAACTTCACGGGTAAACACCGGTTGGGGCATAAACCCACTGACACCGGAACATCGTTTGAAGGCCAGTCTAAGTCGTTGCATTTCATCGTCTGTAACTGAAGGAGTTTCAAACAAACAAAACGAAAATCAGCTGGAACATGCATCGAAACTTACTTAACCTGGTGAACAGGTCTTTCAATCGTGACAAGAAAACTTACCTCTCTTCGTCGCTTCCTCATAAGGGAGGAAGCAAAGTTTTGACTCCCTAAGACCCATATTGAAGTAGTGTATAAACTCCTACATTTTTCCGAGGTTGTCGTAGTCCCGATAAACAAAGTTACTAATAAACATAGCACCTTGCAAAGTCCTGATCCCGATGAAAACACTCACACACCTTCCTGATTCCTGCTCGTGACGTTCAAAGCCTCGCTTCGGCAACTGCTTCGTGTTTCTAAGCACTGTTGCACTGTGGGTAATATAACTGCGCGGGAGATTTCAATAATTTTGTACTCTAAGAACTCAGGTTTGTCTCCCAAAATTTTTGGCGATTTTATGAAACAGTGTATGTATATCTCACCATCAAGGAAGTTTATATTTTTTACCCTTCACTGCTCTTTTCCGATGCAACAAGTTTCCCTCCGAAGGGGTGGGACAATGAAAACACTGTGACTCCTTAGTTACATCATCTCTGTGTTTCCTTAACATCATGACAGTTTCAAGAACAAATAGATAAAGGGGCAAGTTTCTAAAGAAACTGTGGCGCTGCGTCGGTGAGAGAGTATAGCAGGTAATTTAGTGTTGACAACTGAGTTGAAAACGTAAATTAGCCACCGTAAAGGGTAAAGCGTTAGCCCTTTGTCAGCGCTCGAAACGTCAGCTTTTTTACCCTTTACGGTGGCTAATTTACGTTTTCGCAGGTCGGTAGAACAAAGGAAAGTCAACGCCACATCTGTAACGAAAAGTTTGGGCTGAAAAGCCTATTTTATTACTTCAAAATAAACCGAGTAGTTACATGTTCAAAAGACCGCAAAATAATTGACTATACACCGAATGCGCATATCGTTTTTTATTTAATCATTAGTGGCGCGCTCATTTTGATAGGTTCGGTTGCACGTGTCTATGTTCGCTACTTCTATACAGCCCAGTAATTTATGCCGGCATACTTCCAAAAGTTCTTCGTCAAAACATCGAGACGGTAGAGTCCAAAATGAAAGTCAAAGTGCCACCGTGGACAGCTGACTCCACCTGTTTGATTCTCGTAAGATTCTCGTGGGAACAGTGTCATGACAAGAATAAGAGTAAGCAGCGCAAGGGGCAATATTGTATACAAGTGATACCTAGTACTGTTTCTACATGAAGTTCACTTCAAAAAAGAGTTCTGATTTCAAGCAAGTTACGACTTCTAAATCACAAGGAGATATGCGAAGGAAATTGCGGCTCATGTTTCCACCATTCAAGTGGGATCCAGGTATCCTTGATAAGAAGACTGAACATTAATGCATTGTTTTCTTTTTTTGAGGGGGGAAGGGGGTGGGGAAGGGAAAGGAAAGGAAAGTGGTCCGAATAGAACACACTAAATACTCACAAGAGAGATACAATCCCCCATAACACACACACACACACACACACACAAAATACACAAAAACATATAATGAGCATGTCACCATGATCCAGTCCTCGACCATATTTTGTCTATATTTTTGTGGGGCAGGGTCTTGTATGTCTTTATAAAAGATGCACTCTTACCGAAGGGAACACACTCTAACAACAAAAGAATGCATTCTAAAGAGAGAACGCACTCTAACTAGGTAAGAATGCATTCTAACTGAGAAAGAACGTAAAAAGAGACAAGAAAGAAAAGAGGAAACACGGCCATATCCACATGTAGCGTTAAACTCAACCAAAGGGATGCTGTGGAAAATAATTCCACGATTACAGAATTTGCTCTAATTCTACTTTAATATAGTAATGGGCAAACATCCCCATAAGAGTTGCTCGGGTACCAGGGAAATTTGCTCATTATCTAACGAAGGTGTGTCAGAGAAAGCCTGTTCCTTAATGTTCACTACAGGAGGCGGGTAGGAGCGGAATTAAGAATACCGTTTGTAATAGCTGTTTTGTAGTCTTAACTCTAGACGGTGGCCAGTTTAAGTTACATGTATCAGTATAATACCAAACTACCTTGTTCCAATCTGGAATCATTGAGTCAACATTATATTTCTGTCTTTTTTTTCGTGTAAAAGTTTATTTACGAGTATTTTACGATCGCTATAATATTTAAATTAGTTAGGTCTCCACATCTGATGATTAGTAAGAGGCTGATCAGAACTTGACAGAATCAAAATCATGAGAACCAACACTTTGCTGCAGGTATTCCCCATAGAGCCGATCCTGAAATTACAAAGACATTTCAGTATTCAGTCAGGGAAACTAATTCTCTAAAGTCTCGCATATGATGCACACAGGTCAAATAACGGTTTCTACTTTCGTGCCAGTTCTCTTAATAGAAAATAAAACACCGTTAGTTATCTTCCGCTATGTTTTCCCTGCTTTTTTTTCTAACCCACCTTGTGACCTTTGACATATCCTTGGACGTATGACCTTTGCTCCAATAATGTCTTCTTCTGTTTCCGTGAAAGTGTTGGTTTGAGTCTGGAGCAAAAGGAAGGGAGACAAACATAACTAAACGTAAAGCACAAAATTACTTTAACATTTGAGTCATACACACATGCAGATAGAAATTTTTGGACAAGAAGTTGTCAGAAAACAGCCATCACTCCTGTTTGTTTCTCTCTCCAATTGACACGAATTGGAGAGTAAAACAAAACCAAATTGAAAACACGCCTGTTACAAATTAATTTAGTCTCTCATTATGTACTTAGCACATTTGGTACAAGGAAGTCCCTTACTTCTAATACTCTCAACTTTCCTTTATGTCATAAAATGTGAGATTCCTAACAGGTCTTCCACTTTCACGAGGGTTGCAGCAAGGAATAATCAACTCCAGCGCTTCAATAATTCAGGTAATTCAACTGACACCCACCTGGATAAAAGCTTTGCAACAATCAGCAGCAAAACTGAGAACAAAAGCATTCCTATGAGGGTGTGGTTATGATGCTGAGCTGGGATTGACTGCCACATTTTTTCAACAGGTGCCTGAGAGTAAAGAGATTTCACACATCAGCCTTTTTCATAATTTTATTATGACTTAGAGAAATGCTTTGACTTGGAGATCTCATTAATCTGTTGTTTTAGACAGTCTATACTGTGTGAACACATGAATTAAGGCCATTGCCTCTCCCCTAATTTCAAAAAGAATAATTTCAAACTGTCTCCTTTTGTCCCTGACTTGCTCTTTTTTTATAATCAGTTACTACTCTTTATGTACCCTATACTAAGCACACCAGGCCAAAGATGAATAAAGTAAAAAAAGGAGTTACTCTTTGCTACAAGGAGGAGCCAAGCGGATGAGAAAGAAAACCATAAAGTCACTTAAGTCTCACTTGAAAATTACATGTAAACTACTGAGGCCATGCCAACAAAAACAAAATACACAACACATCTTATAATTGAGGGAAAGTTCATACCCAGGCCCCCTAATTTTCCCAAGCTCAATATCTGTAAGTAACTTCTACAAAAAAAGAAACAGTACTCACAGTGTAAATAAAGAGTTTTTCTGCCCTTTCTTTTGCAACCAGTCCATACAGAGTTTCTCTTGCATTGCTACTTGCTAGGAAGTTAACCAATAAAACAAAAGGGAGAAGAACACCCAACAAACCAAAAAATATACCTTTCAATCTTGCCCAGATATTATGTGAACAAGCCTCCCTGTAAAGAAAGATAACAAAGAAGAGTTTGCAACTTTTTATCTCGTGTTTTGTGAAAGGGTTGGTAATAATATATCTGAGAGCAGTCATTTTGGAGTGGATTGTGAACAAAACCAAAGAAATCCCACCCACCAGTTAGAACAAAAGAAAAAACTAGATGGCCTGTGATAATTCTAAGAAAAACCAAGCAAAATACACAAAGCACAGAAAAATGTGAGTGACCATTAGTTGTGGTGGTTTTAATCTTGGTTGGTTCTTATCCTGGTTAAAAGGGTACCAAAAGATTTTAAGATCAATTACAGAGCAAAGTAAAGCAAAATCAATGCACTCTTGGATCCCTCTAGACACTAAATTGAATATTATGCCCAGGTAGTAAATCTCTCTCTTAGAAGGAATACTAAATAGGGATCTGAATATCCAAAACAGAGCAAAAAATAAAGCAGGTCTTGTGGAAAGTACAAACAAAATTCTTTCTTTGCATGTTGGTGGCAAAAGATAGCTATTGCTACTCACGTATCAAGACTAAGTTTTTCATCCACCAAGTCCGCAATTTTCTCACAGTCTTTTTCCAGTGTGTTAAGGGTGTTTTGTATTGTTTGGTTAATTGTCTTTTCAATTTCTTTACAGACTTCTTCTATTTGATTGGCACATTTAGCTGGCTACAAAAGAATTAACAGAAATAATAAAAAAGACCAAAGAAATTCAAGGCAAAAGGAGTACTATACTACTTCTTGCAAAATTCTAGGACTGAATTGTTGCATAGGTAGATACATATCTGCAACATTTTGTTAGCATCCATACAAATACAAATACCAATACTTTGATAATAAGGTTTTGCTTCAGTGTCTGTAATGACTGGAATTTTGAAGTGTGAATTTTCAGTAATTCATAGAAGATAAGGTAACATTTTAGCTAAAGAACTCTCTCAACTATGAAAATGTGGTCATAATACCCTAACATTTAGATTGACAAGACTGTTACACAGAGAATTGCACTAGATGCATTTTGTAGTCAATCAAAGTTGTAATGGTTCTTTCTCTTTCATTTAGAGACAAATTATTTAGTGATTTTTAAGGTGTGAATTTAATACAAGTTTCCCATGGGAAATGCTAGGTTAACACTTAATATGTTAATTAATTCAGAGTTTGTCATAGAATATTTGTTTGCACCTCACCTTGTCCAGTAGCGAGGGAATGTAAATAGTCGGCATCTCAAATCCTGCTTTGTTAAGTCCTGGCCTTTTACAAAGCTCCTGTGTTATCTGCATTAACACTTTCTACTCAAAAACAAAAGAAATTTAAAAAAAAGAAAGAAAAAAAAAAAGTAGAATTAACCATCAATTATCTCTATTAGATGCTGTACACTATTTTTTTTAGAACTTTAGTTTCAACAATCTGATGCTGAATCAAACAATAACCCCTGATTGGCATTTTTCTATCTTTTCACAACTTTCTACCTGAAAACGTGTTGATATGGTGAGGAGAAATCCCTTTTTGATCACTCCTGGGGGTGAATCTACAAGGAAGCTAATTTCTATGAAATAAAATCCATATTGTACTGACTTGCCATGTTTCTTTGCAAAGCAATTTAAAAGCAACTCTTCAGTAAAATCTATTTCAAAACACAAGATAGCCTCCATATATTTTTTGGATAATGCATGCATCATTGCATCAGTTTGGCATACCTGCCTGTCACTTTCATGTCCTGCAGTGTCTGCTTTGCTCAAGAAAAATCTGATTCGATCTCCTTGCTTCTCATTCATTTTTTCTACCATGAAACACAAGTCATTTAATTATAGACAAAACTGAAGAGTAAAAATAGACATAGTAATGACTTAAATGTGGGTTTCTTACCAACTAAATTTAAAGTTCTCTTGCAAAGAGCTTGCCCAATTGGATCAAAGAACACAAAAATCAGATCAGCCAGATCACCTGGAGAAAGACAAAATATGTACAGAGTCTTACTGCAAGGAAAAGGAAAATGTAGAGCAAATACAAGGAAGGAAACTGTGTGTAAACCCTAATGACCCTGTGTTTGATATTGCATGCTCTTGGTGAGTCTGTGATTTGCTTTCATGAGGAAAACCAGGTGGGAAAACCTTTTACCACTTGATCAAGAACAGAAATTACACTTTACTGTTTAGAACTTGATCTCTCTGGCTATTTTTTAATAGCTGCATAAAGCTCCTCTCAGGCCACTGAGATGTAATCTTTTTCTCTTCAATGCCATAGAAGAGGGAGGGCTGGACTGGACTTTAGCATATCTGATGATTTTGTCCAATTACATGTAACTGCAGTGCTTTTTTTTTTACAAAAGATGAAAAGATCAATAGATTTGTAAAGGCAAGTAACAAGAATATCTGAAAAATCTGCTAAAACACCTGGTGTTAAGATCTTAAAGTCGGCATGGATTCAAAACTCACCCAACCAAAGGATAGACTCATCCACATCAAATGCATACTTCATGTCCCCATCAACAAGGCCAGGAGTATCAACAAAAGTCACGAGGCTAAATTTCTTCTGCTTTGATGTAGAAATTTCAGTTGTCAAGTAATCTACAACACCTGTTGAGAAAGATACCAATCAAAACACAAGAAGTGAAGACTGTTTAACAAAAAGCTGATTGAAATGCATTATCTATTTTGCAAATTTTTAAAATTAAGTTAATTTTTTTATCCTTTTGAAATATTTCATAGGCAGGCACCATTTCTGAGCTTGAAACAAATTGCATGCTCCTGACATCACTAATTATCATTTTCCTGGACAGAAAATGCTTCCATTCTACAACATCTCCTTTAATTTGAACTATTTTGTAAGCACTCAAACTAAGCCATGTTTTCTCAAGGTAACAGAAATTAAAAATGTGTAGTCACTGATCAGAATAAATAAAATGGTGTTGCACTATTACCTTCAAGATCCTGCAATGACTTGAAGTGAGGATACAGATGCAATGTGGCATTTCCCTGTTTATGACAAAAATATTGTACTTGATTACAAAATTTATAAAGATAGACTGATACTTAAATAGAAACTAATGCATCAAATATTACACCAAAAACAAACTTAGCAATGGCAACAAAGAAACAATTTAATTTGAAAAAGTCAACTTACTGTTAGTGATTCTCGTTTCTTTCCACTTGTAACAAAAGTAAATCCTTGGGTCTCTATCGCAACACCAGTCTTCTGCACATGCTCTTCTACGTACCTGGTTTTATGAACAAAATGAACCCTCCAATGAATCTTAACTAGACCTTTCAATGTATCATTCAATCAATCAGCCAATCTTTCTGTAAGCACTATAACAAAGTTGTTGTTTTAAAGTTTTCTGCCTCATCTCTTTTCTATGTTTTTCAGTTGTCTTAATTATAAATTGAATTTATAATTGAAGTTATTGAGTTTGTTTTCATTTTGTGAGATTGAACATTACTCTTTGCAATCACTTGTTTAAGAAGCAAACATATATCCAAATGGCTGATAAGGGACTGAAATCTAACTTAATTTAATTAATTTCATTTTAACATGACCCTTAATGGAGGTTGCCAGAATCAAGTTGAGAGTGAAAATGAATACAGATCGTCCATGATCTCCACTTCTTTTCAATGGAGACAGGAATTATCAAAAAGAGTTTCCCCTTGCGACATGAACACATTTATCTAGCAGAACGGTAATAAGAAGAAAAACCATCAGCTATGCAACTGTTCGATTTTACACCAAATTTTTATGCTAAAATTATAAGAAATGTATAGCAGACAGAGCATGAATTGATACTTCAATCTTGAAATAAATTGCTGAGTTACGTACCAATTGATAAAAGAACTTTTCCCTGCAGAATGGTTTCCAAGTAGCAAGATTGTAATCTTCTTTCTTGGAGCCAGTAAATTTAATCCCAAGCCACTCGCAATAGTGATAAGACCTAAGAAACAGTAGTAACAAAAATCGTGACCATCGTTTCATGGGTTTCCTCGAAAATAAATTCCAGCTGGACTTGTCCACGTCGACACCACAAACACTCGGCCACTTTGGCAGATACTTTACCCCTCTCCTTCTCCGTGTACAAATCATGGCATTCTTTCAGGATTTTTTCGTTCAACGTCACAGCAGATGTGTCAAGAGCATTCGCTGAAGTCCTTTGTCGTCCTGACGGCATTTTCCGTCTGGGAGATCAACGGTTCTCACTGCACTGTGATCCTCAATTTCTTAAAATGTGCCGGTGTTCAGTCTCACCACTGCAGTGCATCATGGGTATTAAAATAGAGCACTTATCAGAAGACTTCTGGGCCCAGTTGTATAAAGGAGGTTGACGCTGTCCAACAGATAAATCGCTATCCGGCGGATAAGTGATAGCAAAACGTATAACGTTATCGACCGGATAGAGTTTTATCTAGTGGATAGCGTTATCCAACCTTTGAACAACCGGGGCCTGATGTAAATTTCCGACAGCAATAAACTCTATTGTTTGAGTAATAATGACGTTAATGACGAGATTATGAAAATCAAGTAGAAAGCATGTCAAGTGTGATGAACTTCGCGGAAAACTGGAATTCACCATACTCATATCCGTCACACAGCAAATTACAAGTCATCTACATTCTTTCTTCTCAATGCCTTTCCCGATGCTAAAAATTAATAAAAAATTGTTCGTTAAGTCAGCCCTCTTGAACTTGCTTGACTTTCTATCTAGGGAAGTTTATTTTTAACATTTAACGTCGATTAAGAATTGAAAATATCCACATTGATAGACAGGGTAGTGTACTGAAAATAAAAGTACTTGTACCAAAGTTAGTAATGTTGCTGTAGGACTACTAATCGATGTAAAAGTACTGCAATCAAGTAACATGATTTTAGAAACTCATTAGATACTTGATCGATGAATAAATACAGAATATAGAAAACAATTGAAGAGTGAGTGTCCCCACTAAATGAACAAACAATAACAATAATAATCCCAATTTGTCATAAATGAAACTGGCTTTCACTTTAGACATAATTTCGATGTTCACCGTTTTCTGAATTAGACAGTTATCCTAATCATCGACTAATTATCTAATGATGTGCATAATTAATCACAATCAGTGCTCCTTATGCAAAATAAAATTATCATAACCTGACGTCATTAAGATAACGTCCTACGTCATATGACCAGCGCGCCATTCGAATTTGTAATGCACGTGGTGCTCAGACATGTCGCCCACAACAAGAAAACGCCAGAAAAATTATATCCCACACGTTCTCGAAGCCGTGAAAATGCTGCAAGGAAAGGATCATGGAGCCTCCACCAAGAATATTTTGAAATATCTAGAGGATAAGTTAAATGATGAAATGAATGGTGTGAAAATTTTGCCTTCACCAGCTGATGGAGTGGTGAAATCCGCCCTCAGGGAGGCTTTGAGTTCTGGTCTACTTGTTCATTACAGTGGGGTTGGTTTAAACGGATCATTCGTATTACCACTGCACTCCAAAGGATTAAAAACAAAAGATATGGAAGACATGAAACAACAGGACAAGCAGAAATCTGTCATCACAAAAGAAGCAAAGTTGCGAACGATTTCTTCGCTGGCAAATAAACTTCAAGAAAGTGCTCGCCTTCAAAAGAAACCGGCCAAGGCGGACTCTGCCTCTAAACGTCGGCGGATAACCAAGCTTCAGTTGCCAGTTGGCGATCTTGAGTCAGACAAAGAAGATCAGTTTGACACTGGAGAGAATACAACAGCGTTAAAAACAATCTTGAAACTATCGCGTAAAAGAAAATTTACTGGCTCTAAAATCAAACGAAAGAAAGTTTCAAGAAGAGTCAAATTTCGTTCGCCACCCCGGGTAATTTTCATAACACCTTGCATTAAGAGACGATCCAAGCGCAAGAAGGCAGAGTAACATTAGCGGTAATCGTGGATATAACGCTGGAGGGCAGATAAAGGTTTTAAGGCAAACTGTAACCGAAGTACAAAGTTACAAAGAGTAAACTTTAATACCACGACTGATATAGAAATGGCAGTTAAAAACAAAGTAGCTCAAAGTATGTTCTGCTGTTTTGACAAATTATGTTCCGTGTTGTGTACCAATGGCTACTTTCCTTTTCTTTGCATGAAGAGTAATTAATCGTAACAGTAGACCGAATCAGCCCTTTTGATTCATGCTACATCATCTATGAGGGAAAGCTTACCTTTGATGGATACTTCAGCCCCTCCCCTCTCCTCCTATCAAATCCATTCCTAAATTTACAAGTCTGTTCTCATTTGTGTCATGTTGGGTTTGTTCATTTAAAAAGTTCACCATTTGAAAAGAAAGCTCAGCTTTTATTGGGATGATGAGAACTGAAAAATAAATTTTTCTAGTGGGGCCTTGAAGTCCGCAAGTCTTAAACTTTACTCCAGATGTTCACCTTTTTCAAGTGATATTTTTACAACGTTAGCCACTTGTCACAGGATTTGAACCATGACTTTGCAAGAGAGACTTCTGAAGATCAGATGTTTGTTTTTATTCCCATTATCACTGGATTTAAGCTTGTCAATGAGCTCTCTGACATGTGACATTTCAAAGCTTTGCCTACAGAACCACTCCTAAATTTAATAAATTATTCTTAATGTAACTTTTTATCCTATATGATACCAGTTTCCTACAATTGTCCCTGAAATGTTAATAAAGAACTTAATTTTTGAATATGGCAATTTGTTGTACCACCTGATGCTGTGGTATCAACCATCAGATCAAATGTAGATGAGAGGCACAGAACTAATCAACAAATACATGACATAAGATATCAATTAAATGAACTGCGACAGTGATACTTCTATTTTCAGTTTTATAGCATTTCCCTTCAGATAAAACTTGGTACAGGGTACAATTTGGCAAATTGACAAATTTAAAATGGTTTTACCATTGTTTGTATGGTGCTAAATAATAAATTTCTTTCAGGCCACTAGACATTCTACCATCAGTAATGTGAGCCTTGTCCTCCCTCCTTACTTAGAAAGTGAGAATGTTGATTGGTCTCAAAATTAATTAGAATAAATCTATAAATCTCAGAGGGATAAATATGTTAGTTTTGCCATGTTGAGAATCATAAAGTGATGACCAAGTTCCTTTTGATTGGCTTGATTTTCACTGCAATTGATTTTATTCCAAGTCAAAGAATAACACTTAAATAGTTATGCCTTAAACTTCATTTCATGGTTGCTCCCACAAAGGCATAAAGCTACCAGTATTTTTATCTCACTCTTACACTGTATTAGGTAAACCCTGATGTAAACTGAGAGCCTCTGAGCTCACACACTGCCTGAAAGTGATACTTGCATAAAGTGAAGCTGGATAAGAAAGTGAAGCCAGATAAGAAAGATGCAAAATAACTAGGGAAGACAAGAAGGAAATGTTTAATCCTCAGCCTTTCAATTAATTATATTTCACAACTATCTATTCTTCAAGCATTTGTTCAATCAGGATATGGCAGGTTTCTGATCATTTTTCTAATTGTCCTTAAGTTTAATCTTATGGGCTCTTGTAATACCATGACAGAGCACATAAAAAACAATAAGTGCCCCTTTACAAACAATGTAATGGCTGTCTTTCTATCACATGAGGATATCATTTCTTTATTTTGTCTGAAAGGGGCTGTTAAGTTAAATAAGCCCAAGATAAATTTTCAGAAACAGTTTACAAAATGACCATTTGAAAAAATAAAGTGTGTATAAGGAAGCCAGTTACCAAAGTTAACTTATTCTATAAGAAAATGATTGAATCAATTTATGAAATGATGCATATTGAAAACAAATTTATGAAGATCTTTATTTCAATCCATCTTCTGTTGCACACATTTAGTAGAAAAAATCAAGTGTTAACAATTGTACTGTAAAAATTACAGAGACAGAAAGATTCCAAAAGTGTGTTTCCTTATTAAAGATCTTATTAAAGATGAAACAAAGATTATAGAAACTAATAAAGGCACCACACCATAGGAGAACTGAAGATGTGGTCAAGGAAAGACGTACTTTCTGCTTATCCACACACCCTGAAAAATTAAATTGTATCCTAACATTGTACCTCTAATTTCCCCTCTTGCCACTCCTATCAATATGAAATATCAAAAATGATATGATAACTTAACTCTGTTACTCTTAGCCTGAGTGAGTAAGATTTATTCTGCACATAACTATCTGAAAAAGTCATCTTTTATTTAATGTTCAATTAAATTATTTAAGATGAATGAGTGGGGAATCTTCATTCTTTATTGTAAGTTCCATTTATATAATACACCTCTACAATTTAATTTGTTTAAGTATGTATAAAAAATTTAATATCAGAATATACATACAATATTGAAGTCCAACTTGAAATATGGAAAACAGCCTGGTGTTCAGTAAGGCAAGCAGACCATAACAAGAACATTTGCACAATGTCTCCTCAAAGAAATTCATTCCCACTCAAAATTTGTGTAACCAATGAATGTAATGTTCTGATAATGTCAGGACCAAGTTGTGTTTTGTCTAATACAAACCTCCATATAATGAAGCTTAGCCATATTAATAATAATCATGATAGCATGATTAAAGAACAATGATAACTGTAAAATTCTACCCAACCCCAACCTCTAAGCGAGGGCAGAATCAATGCACCTGACTTAATATAATAGGTTAACCATTATCATGGATCAACAATGTCAATTACTAAATGACTTGTTTAGTAAACTATTTGTTGGCAATTTAGTCCAAGGTTTTAAACAAGCACTTAAAGAAGTGTTCATTTCTTTCCTACATTTGCTATATCATCTACTTACAAGAGAGGCAGAGAATGCTGCCCCTCATCACGAGAGAAAGTCAATCCATTCAGATTCTTTCATGAATTCATAGAAAGTAAAGAATCAGCTAAAATGTTCTCTTTAGCAAGAAATAAAACTGTGGGGTTATTTTGTACTCTTTCTCAAAATTAACCTTAACCTGAACTTCCACAGTACACAAGTCCACAACCATTCATCTCTGATCATCAGCCAGGGTTGTGTTGTAGAATGTTGAAGAAGAATCCTTGTTTAGTATAACATAGCAGCTGTCACACACAGGATGCCACTTCGATGTTTTACTTCCCATCACAGACTTGGACAAACACTGTTCACAGAATATTTTACCACAATGATGGCAGTTTTGCTGGGTTAGAAAGATAAAACACATTATAATAAATAAGCAAAGTATATTTTATTGAATTATGTGATAGCTTTTTCACAAGAAATGTTTTGGTCTGTATGCAAAGAACTATTTGTCAGACAGCCTGAATTACAAACAAGGCCACCTTTCCCAAAAGGAAAACTCTTTGCCTAAAAACTATATCTTTCTTGAACTGATTGTCAACAAGAGTGAAACAGCAGTTCATTTATACTTTCACCCACCTTATCTTTGTTTGCTTTCAATACTTTTTGGCAACTTTTACATTCTTTAATGTCATCAGGATACTGCCAGCGAACATCTGTTTCTGATTCATGAATTTGAGCAATTTGCATCTAAAAAATTAATCAAAAACTATTTTCTCTCATCATTGATAAAGATATTAACACAACTGAATGGAATATGATGCAATGGTTGATCCTGAGGGAGGCACTGGAAAAACAAAAACACGCAACAGGGTGTAACAAGAAATCAGCTGAGCATCAAAACCATTGCTCTTTATTAACTGTAATTTGACCAATCACCTGTAAAGACTGGGATAAACGCACAAAGTCTCTCTGAACGGTCTCACTTTGGTTTAGTTGTTCAGTCATTGCCTGTAATTGGTTTCTCAATTGTTTGCTTTCCTCTTCTGCCTTAGTCTGCAATAAAAAATGGGTGACATTTTCTTCACTAAGATGATAACAAGTTAACCAGAAGTTAGTATCACAATTGTATTCGATCGAATTTACTTTAATACAGCTACTTGGGTTTTTTTTAATGTGGAAATGCCCAACACCTGTTTTGATCTTTTCAACTCCATACAAAACACCAAAAGTTTGCATTTAAGTTGATGAAGCAATTCATTGGGTAAAGCTGGAATTAATTTTCAGCATGATGGGGATGTCATGCAACAATGACTTCATGATAAAATGCTCTGAGTGCTGCATGAAAAAAAAAATGCTTCAGACATTCTTAAGAGCTGGGACAAGATGCTATACTACAAGTTGCAATTTCCTCATGCAATGATTTGCATACTGCCTTAATGATGGAGCACACACAATCAGCCCTAAGGAATTATGATGGAAAGAACACTTGGAAAAGGATGATAAAACTAAATTAAAATTTTAATACCTTTTCTGCATTAACTTCATCCAGTTGTCCTCTAAGAGCAATGATGACTTGTTTAGATTTGTCTTCTGTGTTCCTTATGGACTGACCAGACATGTTAAGCCTGGCCTGTGCCTGTGTATCACACCAACATAATTTTAGCACCTTAACTAGGCAGTCATTTTAGATCCCAGTTGATCAAGTTGTACAGCATCTGTCTAGACTGGTGGTTATTTCAATAAAATCTCAAGGGTCTATCAGTCGAAACCTAGTGACTTAAAGTTGACAGTAACACTAAAATGTTAACCTTACAACTTTTTGGTGTTCATGTCTGTATGAACTATGTTGATTAACTTACACATCTTTTACATGAAAAAAGTACATAGCTATAAAAACCTATTCAAAATGAATAATGTTACACAAAAAACACATCTGTACTTTCTGACAAATACCTCTTCCCTGGCTTTTTTTTCCTTATCACACTCTCCTCTTAGTCTCTCTAAAAATAAAGCAAAAACTTCACTTCCAATTGAAGGTAACAATTTTTGGAAGGGGGAATAGGTTGAAGTTTTATCAATGGTGGATAATCATATGTACATCTCAATGGTTTCTTTTTTTTCCTTTTTTTTCCAGAAAGAAGGGAAGGAAGAAATGAAATTGTAAATAAATTCTTGCAGTGCAATTGAAGCTCTAAAATGGGAAATAAGAGTAGTTCCAAAGGATAAATTTACACACACTTCTTAAATACAATTAGGTTCTCATATTAAAAAACAAAAACTGTTCCATTTGCTCCCATGAGCATTGAAGAATCTAGACAGAATAACATTTTCATTTACAATTGATGAAAGACTCACTCTTACCAAGTTCAACCCTTGTGTTATCCACATCCCCTTGAAGCATTGCTTCTAGACTGTCCTTTGCAACTTGTTCTGCCATCACACGATCCTTCAGGAAAGCCACCTTAAAATAATGCAAAACAGTTCATACACAAGAGTAGAGGGGGAATCCCTTTTCTAGCACCACTCAAACTGCTACACATCAGCACACATTTGAATTTTAAGAAAATATATCCACTCCAGGGATGGTTTGCTCCACCAACATGGTGAAGTCTTCATCATTTCATGGGATCATCATGGCAAGCATAACATCACATGAACATTACTTTACAAAACAAGCTCATTTGTTGTTGATTTCTTCTCACCTCACTTCTTAGCTTTTCCTCTGTGACCTCAGAAGCTGCTCTAATCTGCATCAACTGCTCATGCATTTCAGCCAGCCTGGCATCAGAGTCCATATGAGTCAGTTGCTGAATAGCATTGTCTTGCAGTGCAGCATATTCTGTTCTAAGCTGCGAAAGCTATAAATGTGCAAATCCCATCAAATTACAAACATGCACAAAAATATTCCAACAATGACATGTGTTGTAGTGTATAGTGTTTAACAAAGGGATAAATAATTAACAGCAATAGAGAAACATAAATAAATATAATTAAAAAACACTAGACAAAGCAAAACAGCTTGTACAATTGATCAAATGTGTAAATTGGACAAAGTCGTTGCCAGGGTTACCTCCTGCATCAACTGATCCCTTGAGGTTACAAGCTTTGCCTACAGAGGAAATAAGCAAATTTGTTCATCATGTTCAGTATCACTTTCAAACAACCGGTAAAGCCAATAAAATTGTCTGAAAAGACTTTCATTTAACTGTGTTAGACTAAAAACTTTAAACAACCTTGAAAAAAGTTGATGATTATGCAATCCTTACAATTTGAGTTTGGGCACCATGTTTAGTTGCCTCAAAGTTCTCCCTTAGCCCAGCAATCAATTTTTCCAACTTATTGTTTGTCATTGCATGATTGTTGATTTGCATCTGTGCATCCTCTGCAGCACTTGACACACTCTCCTCCAACTTGCTTCTCATCTTTTGTTCTTTAAACAATTCCTTCTATTAAAAAAAAAGTAAGGTTTGGGAATATGCAATTGAAAGGAGGAATAAATTTATAGCCCTAAAACAGAACTGTCTGGGTGTTTCTACCACTTTGACTTCTTGCCATTTATCTTTATTTTCCAGGCTTTTCCAAAGAGAAAGATATTTTTGGTAGTTCATAGATACCAATGAACACGTAAAATTAACCATAACTAATTTCTGATCAGACTAACTAATTGAGTTCAAGTAAAAGAGCAAGAATTATTACAATTTGCAGCACCTTTTTAATTAAATTAATAAGCAACTTTTTAACATTTGGTAGAGATTGTACCTTTTCTTGATCCAGAGCCACTTGTAAATTAGATGCCAAGTTTTGAAACTTCTGATTTTCATCCTGCATCTTTTGAAGCTGCTTTTCATAGTTAACACACATGGCACAAGATCTGTTCAAGCTGCTTTCATGGGAAACTTTTACCTGCAGAATGCACATATAAATGTATATGATTGAACTCTGATTAACAGTTCATTGTGTCTCAGTTAAGACATGTTTTGAAAGAGAGAGTAGCTATGCACCTAGGAATCTCTTGCAACAGTGAGAAAAATTCCAAGAAAAACACATTTACAAAATAGTTTAAAGTAACCAATGTTTCTTCAATTGTTCTAATAGCAAATCATGGTCATATGTAGTTTAAACAACTTTATTTGATTGTAATGGAGGGAGGATATATAGAATAGTACTACTATATAAGAACTAGGGTCAGTAATGTTTGACAGTAGAGAGCTTGATAGATACATCACTAAGATACAAATGGATTTATAGCCATACATTTAGAATTGAATGCAAAGGATCAGATAAAATGATAAATGTTAAGCTCTCATCACTTCATCAATACACTTTTAACATCTCAGACAAACTCACAGCTTCCTGGAAATTCTTCCAGTCAACTTTGGCCCCAGATCGTTTAGAGGATAACGGAGGTCTGGAAGGGAGGGAACTGGGTCCATCAGCTGGAGGTACATTAGACAAGGCACCTGATGATAGCTCTGGATTTAGCTCCTCTTCAGAATGTGCTCTGGAAACCTCACTATTGTTATCTGAAATCACAGTTATTCAAAGCCTTCAAAATAAAGTTGTTGTAGACAGAAAAGAGTTCCCAACCATGAAATGTATTGTAAAAAGCAGGACCAGTTATGACTTGGTTAGCCAATCAATTTTGAGGATCAAGAACCCCTCTCACAGAAGTGCTACAGAGAAAATAAAAAAAGATATTTATAATATGTAGGTCTAGCTTATCACATTTAACATTACAATCAGGTCAATTCATGAAAGTAATTTAATAGTCACAGCTCACTCTCACGACTCCATGTTACATCAGATGCTGAGTGTACTCTCTTTAGTCTTCCTCCATTGTCTTCCTCTTTTGTTGTTCCAGGAAGATTATTAATTTCAGATGAAACCTCATTTGTGCAAGGAACTGTAGGAATGCTGTCCCATATTGAACCAGATTCTCCAGGCACTTGTGGAGATAAAGGCACATGGCTAGGCTACAAGGATAGACACGAATAACAAGTCATTGAAACACAATCAAAAATTGATCAAGGAGAAGGAATACATTGAAGAATTTGATCAAGCCAATTCCATATCATGATGAAGAACATGCTATGATAAATCTAAACTAAAGGTTCAGTGAGAGAGTGGTAACATGATGCCATCATGTGCTATACTGTCAGTACAACTAGATGGGTGACCTGGCTTCCACCATGGCTGGCATGAAAAAGTAAACTGAAGGTAACTGAGCATATTTAAATTATTTTAAATAGGTTTAATTAGTAAGTATTTTATTTGCTCAAGGTTTATCCTGATACGATAAAAATTGAAACAAAGAAAAGTACACTTACTATGCAACCCTTTAACACTGGATACAAGTCCAAATTAGAGACTTATTAGTCAGGGAAAAGTTTGGTGACTGCACTTCAATTGATTTTTATCAAATATGTTTACCTGTTCATTAGTTGGCTGTGGGGATGTCTGTGGACTCTGCAGATCAATAAGTTGGCCAACCTGTGGTTGTTGTTTTTTTCCCTGGTGCTCTTCCTGTTGCTGCCCCTGTTTTTTCTGAACAGCAGCTTGCTGAGCAGGTGTCAAGACATTCCATACTCTGGTGAAAGCTTCACTTTGTACCTTAAGATTCTCTACAAACTGTACATTTGCCATCTCCCATGTCTGCTTTAAATCATTGTGTGACATTTTTTCTTGCTCTAACAGTCTACAGACTGAAGGAAATATGAAAATTTTTAATCGGTACCATTTGACAACAACTGACTCCATTTGCAGTATAAAAGAAAAAAAATGACTATTTGCCTACTTAGAAAAGCTATAATGGGGATTAGTGGGTTGCTGCTGACAACTGACATTTGAACATATTGTTATCTTCAAACTTACCATTGTGAAGCTCTTTTCTTAATTTCTCAGAGTCTTCTTGCAAAACCCCTACAGAATCAATCACAACTTTCAAGTTAACTTTGTTAGCACAATTTCATAATCAGAAATTTGCAGATAATACAGACATGCTACAGACATGGAACAGACATAGGAAGGACATGCTACAGACATGCTACAGACATGCCTCAGACATGGTGCGGACATGGTGCGGACATGGTGGGGACATGGCGCAGACATGGTATGGACATGGTGCAGACATTGTGCAGAAATGGTGCAGACATAGTTCAGACATGCTACAAACATGTTATAGATATGGTGCAGACATGCTACAGACACGGTACAAACATGCTACAAACATGTTATAGATATGGTGCAGACATGCTACAGACACGGTACAAACATGCTACATACATGTACTAGACATGCAACAGATATGCTACAGACATGCTATAGACATGTTATTGATATGTTACAAACATGATACAGACATGTTACAGAATGGTACAGACATGGTACAGACATGTTATAGATATGGTACAGACATGCTACAGACACACAGTGCAGACATGTTGTAGATATGGTACAGACATGCTACAGACATGTTATAGATATGGTACAGACATGTTATAGATATGGTACACACATGCTTCAGACATGTTATAGATATGGTACAGACATGGTACAGACATGGTACAGACATGGTCACAACATGCTTCAGACATGTTATAGATATGGTACAGACATGGTACAGACATGGTCACAACACGCTTCAGACATGTTATAGATATGGTACAGACATGGTACAGACATGGTACAGACATGGTCACAACATGCTTCAGACATGTTATAGATATGGTACAGACATGGTACAGACATGGTCACAACATGCTTCAGACATGTTATAGATATGGTACAGACATGGTACAGACATGGTCACAACATGCATCAGACATGTTATAGATATGGTACAGACATGGTACAGACATGGTCACAACATGCATCAGACATGTTATAGATATGGTACAGACATGGTACAGACATGGTCACAACATGCATCAGACATGTTATAGATATGGTACAGACATGCTACAGACATGCTACAGACATGGTACAGACATGGTACAGACATGGTAAAGACATATTATAGACATGGTACAGACATGGTACGGACATGGTACAGACATACTACAGATGAAAGTGAAAGTAACAACTGACCCTTTTGAGTATTCAAGACAGCCACATACATCTCTAGATCTGTGCGTGATGACCGCTCAGCCTCTAGATATTGGTTAAGTTCTTTTACCTTCAACCAAATAAAAACAAATGCATTTGAAAAACCTTATAAAATGAGCTCTTTTTTGATCAACTTCCTTCAAAAATAATGTTATTTCTATAAGATTGGAACTGATCTGAGTTAGTTTTAATCTCTTGATCTAGTTATTTCTTTCTTTTTCAATGTTCATAAATACCTTTTCTTGCAGTTCTTCAAACCTTTCCCTTGAAAAAGTTTCTCCACCATCTGATTTTTTGTCATTTTTTTTATTTTCTCCTTCCTGATGACCAAAAATGACAGTAAAAAGACAATGTTTGAATAATATGGGAACACAATTGAAAAATTGGAACTTTTTAATTGTGCTAGTCAAAAAAATACCCATACCCATACACATACCCATACCCCTGTACTAGTGCAGTGTTTTTAATCTGACCCCTGTCCCACTCTTCTAAAGATCTCATTTATAAATCCTATTTTCTTTAAGCATTTGTGACAAGTTTCCAGCAGCACTCTGTCAGGGTTGGTATGGATATCATTTGGAGCTACAAATGCTATTACTAACAACACAACAACGCACCTTAAGCTTGGCCTCTGCAATTTGCAACTTTTCTTGTAAATCTTTTAATTTTGCTTTTGTGAAGGATAATTCCTAATAAAAAATGTCATAAACAGGAAGGTTAACAAAAGCACCTATTTACAAGATGACCAATTATTGATGAACATTAACAAATTCCTTTTTTGAAATAATAATATAGTTCCAAATACAGCAAGATAAAATGTATTGGATAATTTAAAAATTAAACTTTGGCCCTTAAAAAGCTGAGTGTTAAGTTGCTATGATATATAAAGAATTGTCTTGTTAACTGGTATATAAAATTTTTAATGGTTCATGGTACAAACAAACATACAAAGAAATCAAGATTTTCTGTTAAGTATATCAAAATAACAACAACAAAAAAATGGTTACCTCCTCTAAAGGCATAACAATTGATCTCCAGGCTTCTGCATCCTCTTGGGCCTTTAAAAAAGATGGAAAAAAGTTTTTTTTACAATATCTAAGGGTAAAGCTATAAGCTGTCTGCAATTTCACTTCTTTTCTTTTTAAAACTTTCCAGGAACTGTATCAGCCTCCTCTTATGAAGGGGGATCATAGCCATGTTCTGTTAACAAAATCACTATCATGACAGAATGTTTCAAAAACCAGTGTCATTGGTTTGTTAATGATACCAAGTTTTCATCATTATCATCTTCTTCTAATGTAGAGTTGTAATGTGGAGTGGGTCAACTGGTTATTTAATAAATTGAGTTGTCTTATCTTAACTGTAAGTCGAATGTCTAATTATACCTGAACAACAAAAATTTCATTCTCAATAACAGTAAAAGTAGTAAGAGGCCACATGTAGGGAGGTTAACTACAAACTTGTGGCTATATAGCACAGTTAGTGGTAGTGCCCAATGATGTAGTCAGGAGGCACAGGTTCACATTTTATCACAGCCTCGATGTTTTTCCATGCTTCTTTTCTGCAATTACTCTGATTACAGATCACTTGTGAGAATATTTTTTTCTTGTCAGTAACATTAACTTGCATTTACCTTTTCCATGCTTTTCTCCAAAGATTTTCCATCAGGTGATACAGCCTCATCTTCAACACTAGAATTACCACTTGCTGTAGTGTTCCTTCTTATGACATTGACCACTGCATCAGAGATCCCTGACAACATTCTTGGTCTGTTGCTACTCTCCTCTTCAGTAGAAAGGAGGGACTTGAGGTTTGTTAATTCATTTTCTAATTTTTTATTTCTGGCCAGAAGATTGTGCTTTTCTATTTCAAACTGTTCTGCAGAACTTTCCTTGGCCTCCCGCACAGACTCTGCAATAATAAAATTTACACAATTTACACATTGAATATATTCTCAAGGATTTGCCCATTTCTACATATTATATGACAATATCTGCTGATTATGTATTATGATATTTAAAACCTTTTTGGAGATGGTGAGCTTTAACTTTAATATCAAAACACAGAGGAAGTACTTCTTTGCTGTTTCCTCTTAATTAATTCAATAATTTAACTTACCAGACATGATGTGTTGTAAAGACGCAATCTCTTCTTGGTACTTTGAGCGCATTGTTTCTAGTTCCTCTTTCTGAGATTTCTCTGCCAAAACTGCAGCAGCTCTATATCCATCACCCTCAGCTAGAACTTTCTGCAATTCATTTTTAAGTTTCCTTGCTTCTCCCTGAATTGCCTGAAGCTTTGCCTTTTCTTTTTTAAGTTCCTCTGAAAAGAAAATAACAAAATCCATTTTAGGGTCTATCACTCAGTACCAACAATCAAATTTGACCATAGCACCTACTGTCATTGGGTTGACACTTGATATTCCATACTCACAGGCACTGGGCATCATGTCAATTGATACCCACAAAATTATTTGCCTGAATGAAACAATTCATAATATTTTTGGTTTTTAATTACTAGCTAAACTGCTGTACTTTTATATTTCGAATTGTTTAGCAAAACCTTTTTGGCCTTTTGCACTGTAAGCATCTGCAAATGCAAAATCATAGGAATTATAATCCTAACAGTGTTGTGAAATGGCGTTAGCACAAAAAAGTCATCAACACCATGACTAGAGCTTCCTTGAGGTACACTGACTTACATAATTGTAATGTAACAAGTAAAAACAAAGCAAACAGGTACAGCACAATAAGACAATGATGGCATGACATTGAAGCCCAAACATTTTTAACTTATCATCACGAGTTTGAAATTTATTTAAATTTCAGTATTTCCACGAAGTTAAGGAAGTACATTCAGTTGCATAATCAGTACAGTGTCCACTTAATAGCTTACACCTAATAGGGGCAGGATTAACACATGTATTTCAGAAAGCATTAAAGAATTGAAAAATTATAAAATATTTCTAGGATGTAAAAATACATATACAAACTAGCCACACAGATTAAGATTTAAAAGCTGAAACCACAAACCTCAAATGCACACAAGCTTGTATTCTTGAAAGGCCAAATTCATTAAGGAACAATTCGAAATATTTACATATGAAGCAATGATACCTTCTCTTGCCATAAAGAGTTCTTTAAATTTTGCCCTTCTTTGGCCGAACTCAATTTCGTTCTGCTCCTTACTTCGTAGGAGCTGTTGCTCTCTTCGTCTTAACTCTTCAATGGTGGCTTTGAGCACAGCAATATCTGAAAAAACATTTAAAGACGATCAACATCTAGTGTCGTACAAAAGATTCAAAAGCTTTCATGAGATATTTCAATTTATTACCATCAGGAAGATCCTGTGAACTGCTTCCGAGTTCGTCCATATCCTTTTTTGTTATGAAATTAATTTTATAAATATAAAGACGCCATATTGATTTCTAGGCCTCACTTTCAGACAATTTTACCCTCGTCTCCATGCGGACTACCAGTATGTAGGGGAAACCTGGAACCGTGATAAGTTAGTGTCACACATGGGAATTACAACATCACGGGCGACGAGCGGGGATGAAGAAATGACCGAAATACGAGTGGTTAGCGGAGAAACAAATTTAATACTTCATATGGAGACATATCAGTTGTAGTTGCAGAAAACAATAGTGTTGTAAAGCCAAAATGTTAACAGTATACTTCGCTAAATAAAATGTGAAGCAATTTTTCAAAAGTGTTGATGGCACATATATCTTTTACTGCTGTATTAAACAAAGGAGGTATCGGGAAAGGCATCGGTGGCATTCGGAAAGGCACCAAGAAGAATTATATTTACGTTTTATAACTTGTAAAAAACAATCTATTGTAAAGCCAAAATGTCACCAGGTTATACTTCGCTAATTCAAAAGTTAAGCAATTTTCTAAACGCTTTGACTGGAACAATATTTTTATTGCTATATTAACCAACGGAGGCATCGGGAAAGGCATCGGTGACACCGGGAAAGGTATCAAGAAGAATGATATTTACGATATGTAACTTGTTGTATGACGGAAAAAAGTATCTTGACTTGTTTACGGCGTAAATCATAGTCGGTTTGCTTTTCACTTGAATTTTGCAATCTCGACTTTCGATTACGGAAAAATGAAAAGCTAACCAACTCTAACAAAATTTCGTTGTAGATTTTTATATTTTTAGAGTCATTAATAAGTTTGTTTCTACAGCCTTTAGATAAGAAATTTTAAATTTCCATCAGCTGTAGTTCTTTTAGTGTTTATTATTATATATATATATATATATATATATATATATAATCAATGGCCTCATTTCACGTGAAAAAGGCATGTAGTAAAACACTGAGCTTCGAGAAACAGCCAAGTTAAGGCTAATGTGTTTACCATGCTTAAATATTTATAATCAGGGCCACTCGTTTAGGAGAGCTTTTTTCAGAAGATCTAGGCGTTAAAATAATTCTGTTTTCCTTTCGAAGTGTTTTTTTTTCCTATTTTATTTAACAAATGAACTCGGGATGAAAACTTAATTTTCGAAGCGAACGGCAGGTGAAATGTTGTGTTGGTGTCTCTGTCCCCCCCACGTCTCTGCGAAAGGTACATCCAGACAACCTGCATGAAAAAACTGACCACAGCTATCGCACCAAATTTAAAAAAAAAATCTTTAAAACTAAACTTGTGAGCAGCACTCTGCGAACGGTAGTTGTAAAATTTCTTTATTCTCCGACGCGTTTCGTGTAACTGTCGTAGACTTCTTCGGGGAGTTTTACAATTTAACACTAAACACCTGTATTTATAAGCCATAGTTGGTGGCTATACGGGAGCCAGTGACCATAAAGGCTTGGCCGGACCTACGAATAAGAAAAGGTGAAGTTGCGGAAAATTTGAAAATTTTTTGGGGCAAGGTGGGAGAATTCATTTGGGGACCACGGTTTTGGTTTTCTTTTTTCTTCACGCAGCAAGTTACAAAACGTAAATATAATTCTTCTTGGTGCCTTTCCGGATGCCACCGATGCCTTTTCCGATGCCTCTATTGTTTATTACAGCAGTAAAAGATATTTGTGCCATCAACACTTTTGAAAAATTGCTTAACATTTTATTTAGCGAAGTATACTGTTGATAGCAGGTAATTTAGTGTTAACAACTGGGTTGAAAACGTAAATTAGCCACCGTAAAGGGTAAAAAAGCTGACGTTTCGAGCGTTAGCCCTTCGTCAATCGCTCTGACGAAGGGCTAACGCTCGAAACGTCAGCTTTTTTACCCTTTACGGTGGCTAATTTACGTTTTCAACCCAGTTGTTAACACTAAATTACCTGCTATACTCTCCCACCGACGCAGCACCACAGTTTCTTTAGAAACTTACCCCTTTATACTGTTGATATTTCGGCTTTACAACACTATTGTTTTCCGCAACTATAACTGATATGTCTCTATATGAAGTACTAAATTTGTTTCCCCGCTGGCCCCACTCGTATTGCGGTCTTTTCTTTATCCCCTACTCATCGCCCGTGATGTAGTAACTCCCGTCACACATGAAGGCCATGAATAACTTAGCTGTGTGAAGGACGATAATCACTTTGAATTTTCGTGATGGTTAACCATGCATCCTATCAAATAAGTTTCTTAATAGTTTTTGGTTTTCGAAATGGTCTTACTGATGACGCAGGTTACGAGCATTAACGAACAAAGACAGTTGGCAACAATTCAGAACAATCAGGATTCACGATATGGCATTGTGAACTACAAACAAAATCAAACACGCGAACCTGTGAACAATACTTTGCTCCGTTGGAGTCAAAATATTGCGGTAGGTAATATGAGTCTGCGTAATTGCTTCAATTTTCCTGAAAAACAAGTGAAAGTTGTTCGCATTCCATGATCAGGTAAAACTGGTTCTTTGTCTTAGACAAAAGTTATTGGAAATTTGCTGACAACTGACGACAACTCCTTGATGTCTACCGATGAATAGCGACGTAAATTAGACGAAAATATCACCACAGTTCTCGTAGTGTATGCCAGTAAAGCTCTCGTATTACCTGACAAGTATTTTCCCTTCATGTATTATTATTTTGAAAAAGCTTGCAAGTGTGTGCATAGTAGAGCTTATATCTAAAAGTTTAATAATTAATTTTAAAATGCTCTTATGAGTTTCTTGAAGTTTTACTTTGACTGTCATTAGTTATTGTTGAATCTATTACATTCCCAGAAGTCTTGAAAAGGAAGCTTGAATTGAAGTTTGTTTAATTCTAAGTAATATCATACTGCACAAATATAATAGTGGCTGACTGAATTATTTGAAAGAATAACATCCTGATTTTAGTTGTTGGTATGACTTTAAAAATTGAATATGTGTCATTCAAAGTTTAATGAGTTAGTTTTTTCGATATGAAATGTTCAATTTTGATTTTAATAATTGGAAGAAAAAAACAATTCATAAGTTATTAAACTGAACCCTTTTAACAAGTTTAAGCATTCATTACAACTGAGTGAAAAAAATTCATGAAAAAAGAGAGATATCTGTAAAAAAAGGCTCAAAGATTTTTTATGGTGGACACTTTCTCAATTTGAATCTTTAACAAAAAACAAATTGTGATTAACTAGCCATGTAAGAAACATTTTTGCACAACTTTGCAATGAAAATGCAAATAGAAACTTTAATAGAAACTTTAATTTTGATTAATTGCTGACAGAAAAATTTACATTTTGATCAGAAAAGACTGGAAATTATTTATAGGCCTGTAGCATTCTAATGAATAATGTTTAGACTCGTAATTTCAATGGGTTCACTGACTTTTGATGTTTGAGAATTTTATTCATAATTTAACAAAAGCTATCACTACTTAAGAGCACACGCCTTTTACATCACCTCACAACACCAAATCTGACTGTGTATTTCAGAGCTAGAAGATTAAAGAAAAAAAATTTGAAGGAGCAAGGACATCAACATGTGCATTGTGTTCCTATACTTATGCAGGGAGCCAAACCCTGATAGATACCATCTGATAATTGCATCAAACAGAGATGAGTTTTATTTCAGACCAACGGCCAGTGCCAAGTTTTGGAAGGAATATCCAAATATAATTGCAGGTATATTTTGTTGCTGAAACACTCTTGACTCTGACTCTGTCATGATCTATGTCTCTGGAGGCTTGAGGTCCAGCTTGTTTCTCAAGGTTCTCTGCTATCACATCAAACCCTTGGCAATAGTAGTATTTTCTGAACGTGGGAAAGGCTTCAGACGGATGGAATTTGATTCAACTTTGCCTGTGCAGAAGTTTCTGCTTGTCCCAAATAATATTTTTGATTTAAATCTATAGCTAACTAATGAAGAGGTACTTGTGAATTGTTTCACTGAAAACATTTTATGTTGATTATGACCATGCATAATCTTTTTACTCTATAAAAATACTCCATAAGAAGTAAGAAAACCTCCTTAGGGAGAATTGCTCCAAGCAAAAATTTAACCTGCATGTCCTTTATAACTCTGCAATCAATGTTGTGGCAAAAGTTAACAGATTTTCTACAGAAGAACATTTTTCATGGCAGTAAAATGTTGTAAAAAAATAATCATTCTGCTTTTCTGAGAGATATCCATTATCTTTATACAGTTGTTAGCATTAAATGAAATAGATGTATTAACAAAGTGACTTATTTCTTTTCAGGCATGGATCTTGAGCCAGGGAAAAAAGGTGGAACATGGCTTGGTATAACAACTGATGGTAAATTTGCAGCAGTCACAAACTACAGACAGGCACCAAAATTCATAGATCCCAAAGCAAGAGGAAGAGGCCATCTTGTGCCTGATTTTTTGAAAGGAAGTGGTGATGTTCAGAGTTACCTTGAGGCAGTGGGTAGTGAAGGTGATAAGTACAATGGATTTAATCTTTTGGTGGGGAAATTGTCCCAGAATGGTGAGACCAAGATTGGATGGTACTGTAATGTTGAAGACAAACAGGTAACAATGTTGGAACCTGGGATTCATGTGTTATCAAACAAAGTGTTAAACTGTTTCTGGCCCAAAATGGCCTATGGAAGAGAAAGATTTGCTGAAATCCTTGAAGAAACTTCCACGAAAGAAGAGCTTGTTGATAAACTTATGGGCCTGTTGAGTACCAGACAAAGGTTGGTTAATTTACAGTCACTTAAATTTATATTGCCATCCGTTTTAAGTACATATTATTATACACCTGGCAGTGCCAATGGGCAAGATAAAGTAGATTGGCTACCTGTGCAGAAAAGATGGGCCCATTTTATGCACCTAGGATTTCCCTCTTTGATCCCATGTCAAAGAAAGAAAGTGAAGTGGACTTACAAAATGTTATGGGTGTATAATTTATTTTTGGATAGAGTAAAGCAAAATAATATGTTCACACCACTTCATTGTAAACTGTGCTCCTTTTTACATTTAGTGACAGGAGAGTCTACTAAATGTCAAAAATATTTTTATATGAAGTTCAATGGATGTGTTCCATCCTGGGACATGTGGGTATATCAGTTTTATAATTACATTGGTTATTTTCTAAATGTCTTTTGCTTTTTTAATGATATATCAATATTTCTAAAAGGCATTTCAGCTGTGGTGACAGCAAGAGTTTTTTGGGTCCTCAAGATGAAGGAGGCAATGAAAATCTGATCAATGCCTGTCGAGCAATCTTTGTCAACTGCAAAGAGTTGAAATATGGAACAAGGTACATTTTAGAACTTTTTCATCAAGAAAGAGAGATGAACATTGATTCTCTGTTCCTGATAAGAAGTCAGAATAATAATTGTTAAAACAAGTTTATAACATAGCCGGTAAATTTGTCTAATCAAATTCACTTGCGTGAGCGTGCTTCACATTCCTCAAAAACCTTTTCAGACTTTGGGGCATATTTTCGCCAAATGTAAGGATCCTGTCACGAAAGAACAACAACGAACCGACGCCATTTATTCTATTCCTTGCAATGACTGTGACAACGAATACATCGGACAGACCAAACGTCAGTTTTGTACAAGGTTAAAAGAGCACCAAAAAGCGGTTTTTCTTTGCAAAAGGGAAAATTCAGCTTTATCGGAGCATACATGCCTAACCAACCATACAATTGGGTGGGATAATTCTACGGCGTTACCACCAGCGCCTTTGTTTGGAGGCTTGGCATATTAATTCCGCCCACGCTCCTTTAAATCGTGACGATGGCGGTTTGCTTCCTGACGCCTATTTACACCTCGTCAAAAAAAAGGCCGCTAATTAGTGATCATATAAAAGAACCTCTTATTGCAGCATTTAGATGACCCCTGATGAAGACACTAGACAGGAGTGTCGAAATGTTGGGTCTATGAATTGTAACTTCTTCAGTTACATTTATTAAATCTGCAAACCAGAGTAGCATCAAACTGTGTCTGATTTTCAACCTGGTTGCCGTGTGAACTTAAATATATTTTACATTCTTATTGTGCACCCTCATGACGTCAGCAAACAAATCCCTCGAGAAAAAAAATTTCTCCGCGATTTGTAAATTAGCCAATGAAACAACTTTTTTGTTTTTCTTTTGGATAAGAAAATTTTGTATTCAATCAGAGTGAAGTTCATTTACACGCATGAATTCATCTGTCAGGTTTTTGACCAATCTAAGACAAGATCGTTTACAGCGTAGCGAAATGTTTTCCTGAAACAAAATTATCAACACGCTGAATCGTAGCAGAGGGAATATCAACCCTTTCACAACATTTAAACCATCGGGTTGAAAATGTTATAAAACAATTGGTTCATACGTCAGCTGTGCGTTCATCGAGGTATGAAGCACGCGGGAAGTTTGGAGAGCACGAAAGATGCGTAAGAATTGCTCGAGGCGTAGCCGAGAGCAACTCTAGCTTCTTGAGACGTATGAACCAATTGTTAATTTGAGCACCCTTACACTAAAGAGTCAGAATTTTTTTACACGCACTTCACTGTTAGTAATGGATCTTTATACAGATTCTGCCATGAGTGAAGCTTTAAATCAAATTTCAAGTACCATTTATTTGAATGAAAGTTAAATTACATGATTATGACAGAGTTCCTTTGATAAATATCACCCATAATAAATTTAAACATTAGCAGAAGAAGGGATATTGTAGGACTGGAAAAAACCAAAACATACAATTAATATAGAATAAGAAATCTTATCCCAGCTTTCTTAGTATAGGTTAGATGTTAACCTTGTTGAATTTATTTTTTAGAACCAACACAGTGTTGTTAGTTGATAAAGATGGACATGCTACTTATGTTGAGAGAACCATGGATGAGAATGCCTCTGACCCTGATGAAGCTGACTGGAAAGTAAGCACCTATGAGTTTAAAATTACTGAAAAATCTGGCAACTGTGCAGATAACAAGTCACCTAAGGAGAATCTATCAAATGGAACAAGTGTGCATGTTGAAGGGAGGGAAGAATCTACGCAAAACAATCATGAATTCCTGCCACAAAACCATTCGAAGAAGAAACGATCAGTGAATGAAAACAGTTCACCCGTGGAACCAGCCAGAAAAGTAAAAAAAAATAG